TGGATTTTTGTATATTAAGTTATGATTTGTTAAGTCAGAAGTACCAGCGCTGGGTAATTTGAGTGGTTGGGGATTCAGGATGGGATGGTAACAGACTTTTGGAACCCCACTTTACCTTGGATCTTGGATCCAGCTTATGCAACGCTGCGACTAGCGGGGTGGAGGGGTGAAAGCTTGCCCCACCATGAGCTCGAAGCTCAGTTCAGTTCCATGAACTTCGAAAAATCCTCGTGACAAACCTCCGAGTCCTAAGACGTTTAAAGCCATCAAGAGGCTTATAAACGGTGTACTACAGACATTCCAGAATGGCCGACGACAAGGGTACGTCTCCCATTTCCCAAACTTCTACCCTTATTGGAACTTGTGATTCCGCAGCGTTTCTGCCCCCAGGCTTATTTCGAAGCCCCCTACAAGACCGCATACTGACATCTCCATGACAGAACTCACACCCGCCGAGGAGGCTGCCGCGCGCGCCAAGGAGAAGGCCGAACAGGACGCTCTGCCCTACAAGTGGACCCAAACCATCGGCGACCTCGACATCACCATCTCGGTACCGGGCAATCTCAAGGGGCGTGACATAGCAGTCGACATCAAGAAGAACTCCATCTCGGCGGGAATCAAGGGGCAAGAACCCATCCTCAAGGTCAGCCCCATGTTCACCCTCTTCTCTCTACCATAACCAACTCTTACTCCTGCAGGGCACCCTCCCACACGCGATCCGCACCGACGACAGCACCTGGACGCTCTCGGCGGCGCCCGACAACACCAAGGTGATCGAGATCCACCTGGACAAGGTCAACAAGATGGAGTGGTGGGCGCACGTGGTGACGACGGCGCCCAAGATCGACGTGACCAAGATCGTGCCCGAGAACAGCAAGCTGTCGGACCTGGACGGCGAGACGCGCAGCATGGTGGAGAAGATGATGTACGACCAGCGGCAAAAGGAGATGGGCCTGCCGACGAGCGACGAGCAAAAGAAGCTGGACATTCTCAAGAAGTTCCAGGAGCAGCACCCCGAGATGGACTTTAGCAAGGCGAAGATTAGTTGAAGCGACGTCTGTTGCCTGGTTCGAACCTTGCTGCATGTATGTACGTTGGTTGTCGGTGATGTGGAGTACTTGACCAAACGGCATTGGGTCCCTTACGCGGAAAGGGGCAGCACAGCGCGATATGTTTACGACCGCAATGATACACATGAACTCGGCTTCTATTGTTCCTATGGAAAAATGTGAGGGGTGAAACGAATCGCCAGGACCATGGGGTAGTTTGCCAAGGGTCGAGGCGTCAGAGAGCCCATCCGCTTTTTATTGGAATCGCCAGTAATGTGAATGCAGATGGTGAGCTGCAAACCATCAATTGTCAGATAATTGAGCGTTCCGTTGTCAGCCACCAACTCGATGGCACTTGGGAGACCGGTCACCATGGCTCTCCGCCATGGGCCGCTCCTGCTCCAGTACAGAAGGGAGAGAAAGAAATGTCTCGAGAGGGAGGAGATGCACCGAATCACAAAGAACCAGGATCCGAGTTGAGGATGTCGGTATAGTTCGATTCTCATCGAGTATGGGACAGTCCAATCTGCCATCCTGGTCTACTGCAGCTTGGTCAGCCGAGCAGCCTTGAACTTGCTCATCCTCTTGGGTCCGCCCAGTTCCTCGTCCAGGGGGACCAGGCCTGTTTCACTGTCGATGGCCCCGTCCTGCTGCAAGAAGCCACCGTGCTTCTGAATTAGCTTGTTCCGCATACGGGTGTACTCAACCGCTGCGGCTTTGTAGAGCAGAGCATCGTCCATCTCGTCTGGCTCTGCCGGGTCCGGCATCGTCGGCCGTTCCACAATTGTGCTGGCCACCGTCCCCAGTTCTGGTGGAGCTGGCTCAGCTGGAGGAACAGTTTTGGCCGAGAGGAACGTGGTGGGCAGTTGATGCGGGCCTGGAGGAAGTGCGGCCGCAGCCGAGGTGGAAGACAACGCCACCGTAGCCCGCTCTTTCCTGAACCTCGACACCCGCTTTGGCGGTTCCTCGGGCTCCTTCACCAACCCTGGTTCTGCTACCTTCTCCACGACATCGCCAACCTCGGCAATTATGCGTTCCTTGGGTTTGACATCCGGAGGTGGTTGAGAGCCGGGATCGGGAGCAATGTCCAACTTAGCGGCGAAGCTGACACTCTTTTTTCCCGGAAGTTTAGGGGACGCGGTTGAGGCATCCGAGTCGCCAACCACGGCTATCCGCCCCATGCCTTCGTCCGGTGTCTTTGCCTTCGTTTCCGAGCCGCCAACTGCGAAGGCGGACTGGACGCTCAGACGTGTTTCAAGTTCCTGCATGCGCTTGATGTAGTCTGAAGAAATGACGCTGCGTTTCGAGCGCCCCAGCTCGTCCTCGCCGTCATCATCCGTCTCTTCCTCTTCGAGCTCGTCATCAGTGCCGTCCCATTCCCAGTCATCCTCGTCGCCCGAGTCGCCCTCTTCAATCTGCAGCTCGGCCACAATGGGACCAATTTCCGACATGCCGTACTCGAGCATTTCACGGCGCAATCGCCTGTCCTCTTCTGACTCGTCATCTGGAATGACGGCCGACGACATGTCCATCGCTTCTTGCTCCCTGGCTTTCTGCATGAGCCATTCAAGATTCTCAGCCGCCCTTGACTTGCTTTGCTCAGCAACATTATGGCCCGGTTTGGTGTCCTCGGCAAAGGAGACAGACTTCTTGCGGCTGACAGGCCCATCGCTCGAAAGACTCTCCTGGGTATCGCTCGTAGTACTTCCGGCGGGACCCGCGATAGGCTGTTTTACAGCATCGTCCTGCCTTGGACTGGAGGTGGATGGTTCCTGATCCTTCGGCAACTCTGCTTCAGCCTCAGCAAGATCTTTCTCGCGGATCCCAGCTTTCTTGAGAGCCTCGACGATCTTTGGCTCAACGTCAGAGCCGCTTTGCAGCCGGAAGTTGACAACGTTGTCGTCATCGTCCAGTTCCTCAATGATGTCGGTCAAGGGTAATCCAGTCTCTTCGTCAGTGCCGGCATCGGGTTGTGCAACAACGCTTGCAGCAGCGAGCTTATTCTCCTCCTTTTCAATAAGCTTCGTCAACGAACCGATGTTCTGCTCGACATAGTCCATGCGGCGCGAGAGCACGCTAACAATTTGCTCTGGTTGCTTGAGGTCATTCTTCCCCAGGATCTCATTGATTTCCTTGTTTGTGAGCACCTTGCCGTCAAAATCGCGGCGGATACGACGAAGCTGTTCATGCGGAGGCGAGTCAGTGGGAAGCTGCTCGACCTCCTCTTTGAGCGCCGAGTACTCGAGGTACCATTGCTGCCAGTGCGACAGGGACGCGCGCAGCTGGTTTACTCTGCTCTCGAGAAGCTGCACATGGCGGTCGAGTTCGGACAGGTGGTCCTTTGATTGGGCCATGGTTATGGTGAACAGGAAGATGCGATGAAGGAAACAAGTTGGGGGGAAAATTTTGAGCACGGTTCTCTCGGGTTCTTTATCAATACAGCGGTCCAGGCTAGCAGGAACGAAATCACATAGTATCTTACCCACCGGCTGTTGGAAATTACACACCGATTAATACGAGGATATACGGGTACGGTACCTTAGTACACACCCAACGATACGGCGTATTTGACCAACCTCTGCACCAAAAGCCAACTCCTCATCATCCTAGTGTGCGCGATGGAATTAGATTACCCGTTTTCCAACTATGATGACTATAATACAGATAGAACCGTCATCGCTTGCTTCGCTATGCAGTTCCCTTCCAAAACCCTCTGTCAGAAGCCATAAGGTATACCCCAACTTGGCGTCTCTGACAACTCGACGAGTAGATTGAGCCCGACCCAACAATGAAAAACGAGAACAGCCCAAACTCTAGAAGTACAGATCCAGACACTCCTATAAGGTATGACGCATAAGACATGCATCCCCCGACACTTGCCAGGATTGGCCCACCGGGTATCAAGCGCATGAAAAGCAACGGGCGGGACCGCTCCGTGACACGGCGGAAAACTGCAGCCGTGGTAGGACTCATGGCTGGCGTGGTTTTACACCGACCGGCACGGGCCGCATAATAAACCGCCATGCTCGTCCCCAGCTCTGTCCATCCCTGTCTTCCGGAGATCGGCTTGAACAAGACGACCAGGCCGCCGAGCGCCCTCTTTTCACTATAATCTAAACCTGACGTGGCCGGATGCGTTTGCCGTCGAGAAACTCCTGGCTCCTGCCTTCGTAATACGGGTTGTTGGCCACCTGCTCCTTTCTCCTCTGCTCGAACGCGGCGCGCTCCTCTTCGTCCAGCGAAAAGGCCTTTTTCAGCCAGCCGAAGGCGCTGCGCTTCTTCTTCACCGATTTGCTGCCCGCCGTCTGATTGGTCATGGTCGTCCCCCGGCTCATGATGCTCATCCCCATTGCCGAGGGCGTGTGCCTCGGTGGGGCCGGGAAATGATGGGGACCGACAGTTCCGGATGTGTGTGGTCGCTGCTGCAGCGGTGAGTACGGGTTGGCTTGCACCGGGCGGAAGAATTGTCTCTCAGAGTGCGGCGAGGGAATCATTCCCGGATAGTGGATAGAGGGTGGTGAGACATCCGCGAGAGACGAGTTGATGGATGCCATGGAGTTGACAGGAGGCCGCTCCATATCCGACCCATACGCGGAATCTGGCGCTTGGTAAGTACGGGGTGCTATGTGCAATGGCCCCTGCAGCCCGAGGGCGTTTGGCGGCGGTACGTGAATTGACTCCGGCGGCGTCGTCTTCAGCGAAACACGTTGCCGGAGCGACGTCCTCTGCGCCGTATGTACCTCGGGATCCCCTGAAATTACCAGTTCCGGTGCTTGAGTCGGGTCTGGCCTGGATATGGGCTGGAATCTCTGACTCGTCCTTGGAGTCAGCTTTGGGTCTGATCTTGCGCCAATCTCAACGACTCTTGGTCGGTGTGCCTGTGGCTTCGACAACACTTGTTCCACCCGTGGTTTCGCGTGTTCAATGGTCACTTGCGCAGCTGATTCCACCGAAGAAGCAAACGATTCCGCTCGGGACCTGTTGGCTTCCCTTTCCGTCTCGGGCGGCTGACCACCAAGGCGGGACGCTGGTTGCATGATACGAGGCGAGGGCTGTGGTGATGGAAGTTGAGGCGTATATGTTCTTGGCTGCAAAATATATAAGGTGCCCTCCTCCGCCTCCTCCTCGTCGGGTTGCTTGGGCACTTCGGGTTGAGGTGCTTCTAACAGCGTCGACGGCCAATTGGAAAGCCGGCGAGGATTCCGAGCAGGGGGTGACCGGGGCGGAAGTTCTAACGGCGACTCGGGCGGCGTCTCTTCCGGGGGCGGCGACCTGGAAGTTACCATCAGGAGCGACCGCGGCGTGGCTCCGTCCCGGCTTGGCTGCTCAGTCAAGCGGCGCTGCTCCAGGTCCTCCTCCACGGTCGTCCGCGATCCAACATCAATCGATAAATCGACCGTTTTGATCGTGCTCAACCGTAACGATATCCGCGGAGGGGAATTGGCTATCTTTCTCGGCGGAGAAGTTGGAGGAGTTGTGACCGAAGAGGCATCTGATGGTTGGGGGCTATGCTGCGGAGAAGTGAAAGGTTGAACGCTGAACTGTTCGAGCAGTTAGTGACAACGAGTTCGCGCTCGCAAGATGACGGCAACGTCGACATACCCGAGTCTTGCGGCTAACTTCGCCTGCCCGCCGCTCCATCTCCGAGATGATATCTGTTAATCTTACAATGAGAGCGTTCAAAGCACTCCCCTTGACTTGCAGGTCCATAAAAGCGTTGAACCACCCGTCAGTATTGCCCCTCATAGCATCGAAAATGTCGGTCACATCAGGGCGCTCCCGGCGCCAGCTCCCGTGCTGTTGCTCGGCCAGGTAGATGGTAAACTCCCTGGTTGCCGCGAGACCCTCGGACAGATCTTGCGTGGTCTGTTTCAGCGCAATCTGGGTCCGTGCCAAGATATGCTCGATCTTTTGGTTGCCCTCGAGGATTTGCATGCGAAAATTGCGATCCTCCAGCATTCGCTCAAACACATCAATATTATCCATGGGCAGCTTCAAATGCTTGATCCGTTCCTCCATGTCCTTGGTGGCAAGGTCCATGTCCTCCAGCGTCGTCTCCAGGAACTCGTCTACCTCGTCGATGTGGCCCTGCAGGATGGAGACGACCAGAATCTGGCTGTTGGCCATGCCATTCAGCAGCAGATAGACACCAAACGAAATCTGGGCCATCAGCCTGCAAAGCTCGTGCGTTTGCTGGCCCGGCCGGCAGCGCCACAGCGCAGTTGGGGGAGGATCCGACGCGCCCTGGTCGAGCAGCTCTTCCCGCCTTGCTTTGGCATCGCCGGTCCGTAACTTGGGTTTCGTCGCATTGGCACCGTTTGTTGCCTCTAGTAACGATTCGGCAAAGGCTTGCTGCATGGAGGGAATCGGGTGCTGCGGAGCGGGAGACGGCTGCGATTTCTCCTGTGGCGCCCGGGTATCAAGCTCGAGACCCGCTCCCGAGTCCACATCCTCATCGTCGACATCGGGTACCAGCACAATGGGCAGCTCAGAGAGGCGTGACGGCGGGGGTTGGGAAAAAGCCATGGCGTAGCAGGGAGGTTTTCCAATTTCAATATCAAATAGGTCGGCGTTGGGCTGTCATTGGCCGCGGCCACGGCGGCGATCGGCAGGAACTTGTCGTACAAGCGTGCAGGCCGGCGACCTCAGGTTTACCGAGTCTACGGGTTCCCGCAGGGATGGGATGCGTAGGATGACACCGGCAAAACTCGGGGGAACGGCGAAGATGTCGAGAGTCAATGGCGGTGCTCCTGTCACGGAAGCGGCCTGGGATGCAACATAGTGGTAACGGGCCTCAGAGGCGAATGCGCGGTAAGGAAGAGACAAGGTGAGGCACCCGAAATACCTCTTCGCTTTTCAGCCACGGGCTAAGTTGGTCGGTGTCTAGTTGTTTTTCGTTGAGGGATCGATCCGAAAGTCGGCTTTCAAGGAAGGGCGTCGGCCAGTCGCACCAAACCAAACTGGGCGTGTCGCGGTTGTGAGCGTCGAGCGTGAGTGGCTAACAGTCGAGAAACAACTCAGAGAATGGCAAATATCACGGTGAGCTCTTGGATGTCGTCGGCAACGTTCTGCGGTCAGGGAGGTTTAGAAGGATCAAGCAGCGGAGCAGGTCGAATATGGAGTGAGGTGACTGTGATGTCGGGGAGAGGAACCCCCTGGCAGGAGGAGCAACAAAATCAGAGATGCGCTCCACCGGAACTATTGGATGGGCTGGCGCACTCGCGAACCCGGAAGCGGTTCCTGGCCCTGCATCCACCCCCTGCGTACCGATCCAACGTTATCCATTCAGGATGATAGCGTCGCGGCCGCGGGGAAAAGGGGTGTGGTGTCAACTCAAGAGCTGGGGTTGATCGAAGCGAGCAGAAAAGGACCTCTTTTCTTGCTGGGACATCTCAGTCGATGGGCCAACGGACCCAGAAAATGAGCTGCCAATTGCTTGTCCCTCCCTCGATCCTCAACCCGAGTGCAAACCGGGAATTGGATTTGGATGGCTCGCCAATACCGCGGGCAATGGACCCATCAGAGCTGGATTCAGCTCATGACCAACCAACCGAAACTCTCGTCATCCATGCAAGCCTGCCGTCAAATAGGTAGCGCATCTCTGCTGAGCGACAGGCCGAAGGGGGGGGGTGGAGGAGCGGCCTGGCTGCGAGACTGTTGTCCGTAATGCGGGCAAATGAATTCGGAATTGAGATGTTTATGTCGAGGCTCCCACCTGCAGAAATATCAGTAGAGTTGTCAGCGCCTGCCAGCAACTTGAACCGCAGTTAACTTACAGGTACCAGGTATTCCAGACCTTCCTGCTTAAGTAATACCTTACCTTAGTTGACATTGCCACAGGACACAGTAGGGCTTGGCATACTTAACCGCACGGTACAAATCCGCGCACCTTTGCGTTACATGCTTAGAGAGGTAGAAATCAGATAGTTAAAGCCTTAACGTTATTTGAAGCAATCAATGCATGGGTTATAACGAGAACTTACTTTCTTGGGCCTCGCCAGCGTATTGAGCCAACCCGGGCCCAAAGCTCACTCTCAAGGTCAAGACTAAGCGGGAGCCCAGTCAGTTCGAGGTAGTTGAGGCCAAGGTCCAGGCAGTGCGACCTCGCCGAGCTCCGAGCAAGTGTACGAAGTACCACGCATTTGGCCACACAAGAACCTCAAGGGCATGCCCTTTGCGGTATTCAGATGTACTGTAATTAGCTCTGGCGATGGCATTGGTGGTGGTGGCGGTGTGGGCGGATTCTGCGATAGATGCATGTTCGGCGATTATGTAATCCGTTTGCTTATCTAATGCGCGCGGACCCGCGCATCTAACGTTAGTGGGATCCATGTAATTTTGCCTTGCTACCTAATGCGCGGACCCGCGCATCTAGTGGAGCTCATCAAATACTATACCGTTAGCGTAAGCCCCAAGCCCTCACACGGTCCGAATTTCCTTGTAACAAGTGCTTTGCAAGTGGTAAACCTGCAGAAATGCAGTTGGCACAGACAAAGTTCAGTTACACGAAATCTCTGATGTGACATGGCCCTGTCTCTTCTGGAGCTCTCCCAGTGAAGCTCGGTCAGTTACAAGTACATACCAGACGTGAACCTTGACGGCTTCCAGTAGTTTTACCGGACGATTTCTCAACTTCTAATTTCTTCATAACTCACTTTTAGCTACTCCGGCTCACCTCATCAGGAGCCGGGGGATCACGCCCACCAGCCAACAATTGGTTGTCGTTGTGCGTAAGGTATGCTCTCAGCCAACGCCACCAGGCGCCAATATAACATGAAGTTCCACTCAAGCACTACGGCAACCTAGCAGTTGCTCTAGCTACAGCATTCGAGCCTGTACCAGGCACATGATAGAGTACAAATACGGGCAAGTTTCAACGGTGGAAACTGACTTCGAGAATCCGGGGTTCCAGAAGCACAGCTCAAGGACCCAAACAAGGGTCGCGTCCGCACTGCCGAACCCTCGCGACGTTGCAGCTTCGACCCTGGATGAGACGAGGGTGACGGCGCTACCTGCCATATTCGGCCTCGAGCCGCTTTCGCTTCGAAAGGAACACGCAGAAGAGAAATGCCACAGACTAAGACCCCAAAACCAGCAAGAGCAGCCTTTCCATCTCTACGCCGCGACGGTTTCGTCAACGCCGATTTTTGACAGCCTGAGAGATAACTACCAGGTGCGGATAGTCGCTTTCTCTCAGCGCGCGCCAAGCGATCTGCATTCTGCGAAGCCAGGATCGGCACCCATGGCTGGGCGACCTTTCAGATTTGGGACCGACGTCTGGGACCCAACCCATCGGTTTGAGACATCGTGGCTCCTGTCACCATGGCTGCTTTTCTTCTGCCGAGCTGTCATCGTAAGTCTCCATCACTGCCCACTTGCTTCCGCCCCGGAATGGCAATCGCTGACTCGCGCGTGCCCTGCGCAGTCTCTATATGCCTTCACCACGGTCGTCTTCGTGCTGGCCTGGCAATGCGCCAAAGCTGCGACGGGCTGCACCGCGTCGCAGAACCAGTTTAGCTACTTCACCACCCTCACGTACTGGGGACTCGCCTTCTACTTCCTGGTCGCCGCGATCCACACATTCACCTACGCGCGCTCGGGCGTCGCGCTCCTCGACCGGTTCCCGCGGCCCCTCCAGGCCCTCCACTCGGCGTTTTATACCACCATTATCGTCTACCCTTTCGTCGTGACCATTGTCTACTGGGGCCGCCTGTACAACGGCCGGTGGTTCACCGAGATATTCGCCGGGTGGAGCAACGTTTCTCAGCATGCGCTCAACAGCGTCTTCGCGCTGTTCGAACTCGTCGTGCCGCGTACCAACGTGCCGCCCGCCGTGCACATGACGTGGCTGGTTTTGATCCTGGCGCTGTACCTCGCTCTGGCGTACGTGACCAAGACGTCTAAGGGTTTCTACACGTACGATTTTCTCAACCCGGACACGCAGCGGGGGCTGGTGGCTGCCTACGTGTTTGGAATCGCCGTTGGGTGCCTGCTCATTTTTGGGATCGCCTGGGGCGCGATTTGGCTGCGCAAGTACATCACTGAGACGAAGCTTGGGAAGCATGGCAAGTTTTCAAATGTCGGACAGGACAGATCAAGCGCGGCAGCGGATTTGGAACTGGGGAAGCCGCGGGAGTCAACGATGGCGTAGCACCCAATATGCCGTCGGGTGGTTTCTGTTCGTCTACTCCCCCAACATTCAAACATTCGCCGGTCGGGCGTTGGCGAGGATCTTCTTGCATCTTTCACCATTGGTTATGTCGTGGGAGGATATACCCTTAGATTGCCCTTGGCATATGTGCGTATCATGCTTGTAGTAGAAGGAACACTAAGCTGTCAGGGTTTCTATTTCGAATTATGATTGACGTTCTGGAGCCTGCACGTACTCGCACAGATCAAATGTCACCTCGAGTCGGCCAAGGATACGGCTGTGATCCCAGGGCTGCAGCCACACTGGGAGCAGGCGTATCGAGCAATGCCGGGTCATCGCTTTGTTCCAGGTGACACAACCTGAAAGTATCACTGACGCAAGAAAATTCGTCCATTTATGGGACAAGAGCTACTTAGCCTGTCGATACTGTCCAGTTGAAAGTAATTCTATCATCAGAAAGAATTTAACACACCAGAATCTCAGCACTTCAGATCGATACCCCGTCTCAACTCGGACTGCCGTATTTCAAACATAACTTGGATGCCCACAAACAAGGCTGAGCATGCTGTAACGAGGAACACCAGACCTAGACTAGCAGTCAGTAACAGCGAAGAAGAGACGGGATTGGAAAAAGACGAAAGGGAAAGATAGCTAAGTAAGTCAAGATGAAAGTGGGCAATGGGGCCACAAATGAGTTTGCAACGTACCGGAATAGTCCCTGAAAATCCCCTTGACGATATTCTCCAGCCCGTCCAGCCCAACGGCAAACCCGACCAGATTAGCCGAGATCATCATCAACACATTGCCCACCCCGCCAACACAGCACAGCATCCGGTACGCCGTCGGCCTTCCCTCCCACTTGCGGCGGGGGAACATGTACCCCGCGGCGATCTCGGGCAGGAAGAAGACGACCACCAGCCAGCCCCAGATGAGCAGGTTGAGCTTGATGTCGTGCCACAGCGCGACAAACGTGAAGACGACCAGGTACGTGAGCACGGTGCGGGCCGCGTCGAATCCCGTCCTAAAGCTGGACCCGCCGAGCGGGATGTAGATGTAGCGCAGCAGCCAGCGGTAGTAGCTGCGGTGCCAGCCGCGCCAGAAGGACAGGGTGCTGTAGTTGTCGCTGACGCAGCGCACCATGTTCTCGGGCGGGTCGACGCCGTCGGCGAGCGACCAGAGGCGGAAGAAGCGCCAGGGAAGCAGGAGCTTGAGCCAGATGATGTGCAGGTTGAAGTAGGACAGGAGGGAGATTTGGGCCGGCGTGTAGGAGGACCAGTCCGGGCCGGATTTGGAGATGGCGCCCACATAGTCGTAGTGCAGCACCAGTTCCATGGCGAGCAGGACGAGGCCGAAGCGGATGGCGTACTTGAGCGTGCGTGAGGGAAATAGCGTGGCGGGCTGGTAGCGCTGCTGGGAAATGTAGTCGTTGAAGGTGATGATGGGGCCGGTGAGGTAGAGAGGGGCGTAGATGGTGTAGCCGAGGTAATTGCGGAAAGAATAGTCTTGCGGAGATGCAGGGATGGAGATGCGGTCGCGCTCCGAGAGGTTGGCCGGGTCGAGTTGTTTCTTCTTGGGGGCGTCAGTAAAACTCATCAAAGCAGATAGAGATGAAGTTGGAAAAGGGGCCATACCTCGATGGGGCTGGAACTCCGCCTGTCCAAGCTCCAGTAATAGTCGAGGTTGAAGCTAATCAGGCGAAGGACAGTAATGTTGAAAAGGATCTCCCAACGACCCATGAGCCCGCCGTGACTGTCGAGCCACTCGCCCAACCTAACCAAACCCAGGGTATCCGTCACCAGATCCAGCGCCGGTCTCCCCGTGAAGAGAAGCGCAGTATCGCGGAACTTGTATCCCTCGCACAGCTCGTTAGCGAACAAAGTGCAGATGTTGAAAACCCAAGTCACGGCCGGGACATATTTCCTCGGCAGTCCCGTCGCGATCTTGTAGTTGATGGCCAGGATCACGAGGATCTTGGCGGCCGAGAAGCCGTGAAGAACAACGAGGTAAAGCAGTGCAAAGGCAGCATCGAACGAGGCGCGTTGGTGAAGCCTTGCCTCAGCAACCTCGGGAGAGTTCAACTTGGAAGGCTTCGTCTCCTGCGGGACAGGATACACGGCGTTCCAGACCCTCCGCAGCAGCGGGTGGAAGAGCAGCAAAAGGGCCATGTACGGCAGGTTGACACGGAAGGTATGGTACTGCGCATCGGATACGTCCTATAGAACCAAAACTCAGCATGCAGTCTCAACACGACCCCCGAGAAATGCCTTACGATTTTGCGCCCTGGAATCCAGCCGTCCGAAAGCAGATGCTTGAACTTCTGATATCTTGGGTCCGACGCTGCCCACGGTCAAAATCCGATCCGGTTCCTTGACACCCACTGCGGGGAAGCAGCAACCTACGCCTCGATACATCATAGGCGATCCAGAACATGTACGGGACAGCAACCAAGAACACCAAGTAATAGACATAGAACTCGAGCGTGTTCCATTTCGACGGCTCAGCCCGTCTGCCGGTGACCCTGTCGTCTTCCCGCTTGTCCGCTGCAGCCCGATATGGCACCGACGACGGCGTGGTGAAGCGGGTGTCAAGCGTGTCGAGATCGTAGACGCTGGCGAGGAACGAGATCGGACCGGAGCGGCTGCCGTTGTCGCCGCGGGACGCCATGGCTGTAGTTGCACAGGTTGGCGTGGTCGGGTTGAAAGTTGCTAACTTTGGCCAATTACAGCATCTTGAAATGGAAGAGCGAGATTCGTCTATCGTCGCGGAAAAAAAGGAGTGGCAGCGGCGGTTTGTTGCAGTTACGATCCCGTATTCACGGGTTTGCTGTAGGATGTCGTTTGGGCGGTGGACTTGCACGCGACCGAGGCATGTCTTGCCCGGCCGACGGCAGCCGGTGGGCAGCTGCTGCCAAGCCCCCTGAAACCCCTTCGCCACTTTCCGTAATCGAGCCTCTTGCAGGAGGTGATGCTCCATACCTACTCGATATACTCTAGCAGAAGCACACGCAAACGGTTTCCAGTATATTCCACGCTATATGCATCTATCACCGTAATCCTTCTGTTTCTTACTAAGGAACATTGAACAAATAAGAAAGAAGGCTCTTGAAAAGCAAGAGAAGCGAAAATGGAATCCAGGACCCCATAAGTCCTTAACTTGGTTCCGGACTATGCCCCCTTCACACCGTAACTTCGCACGCGACTGAAATGGTATGGCTTGTTGTTTTTCATCGTGAACTCAGCCCAGTCACCCGTCAGGGGGTTATAACTGTAGAACCCCTTCCAGGAGAGCTTGTTATTCTTGGTGCCTTTCCCCGCCGTGCCCAGAGCAAGATCCAGCCTGTAAATGTACTTGCTCACGCCCTCGGTCTCGACCACGACGTCACCCTCGGCCTCGCTGAGAGATGCGCCGGGGTTGTCGGCCTTGCGCGCAAGCCTCCAGCGGCCCTTCAGCACAGACTGCACCACAGCGCTCGGCAGGTGCGGGTTGGCGCCGCCGACATGCAGAGCGACGGCCTCGCGGGTCAGGTGGTGAACGACGTCGGCTGGCTCAGCCGTGGTCAGGAGGCTGATGACGGTCCCATTCCGAAAGAAACGGAGGTACCTGTAGTAGGTGACAATGTGCACGGGCAAGCCCGCAGTGACTGAGTTGACATTGGCCTGGCCGGCCCGTATATAGTTGACAGTGCTGATATAGCAGCCGTTGAAACGGATACGCGGGCGCAGGCGGAACATGCGCTGCCAGGAGCAGGAGTAAAGAGAGTGGTAAAACATGAGCGTGTTGGCGGTGCTCTCTTGGACGTGTCGGCGTGTGCGCTCGGCGAGCGTCAGTGGGAGTGGGGGTGCTTCGACCTCGGGAGTGTGGGATCCTCCTGCTACTGCTTCGTCGGCTTCCCGGAGGAGATCTTGTTCGGTAAGCGGCCCCCAGGTTATCTGACGCTGCCAGTAGTAGTGCATTCCCTCGAAGCCGAATTCCGGACCGAGGCAAATGCGTCGCCAGATACGATCTTCAGTGGCCACCAGGTAAGCGAGGCGCTTGCAGACTTGGGCGAGCCGCACGAAGTCCCCAACGTCGAGAATGGCCACATCACGTAGAATGTGCACCAAGAGCTCCTCTGGCAAAGAGGCGAGCGGGCACGGGGATGGCGGCATGCCCTCGACCGCAGGTGGCGCCGGCGCGATAGACACAACAGAAAAGCTGGCGATGAGGTCATTCATGGATTGCGGTTCATCTGGTTTGGACACAGAGTCGGCGCCAACTGGCGCCCTCCTGAACGGAGCTGCTGGGGCAGGCTTGGGCACCGCCTTTGGGAAGTGCTTGTTCTTGTACTTGATGTCGACCGCGTCGTCCATCTGGGTCGTTGTCAGCATGTCGAGTTCAGCCATGTCTCGATATTTCGGCACGACGCACCCTAAAGGCCTTCCTGTACAGCTTCAAGCTGTCTCCCAGATTACCGGCCGCCTCCTTTTCTACTGCCCTCTCATAGTGCTCCAGTGCTGAAACCGGCTCGCCCATTTCTGGCGCGCCGAGTTGCTCTCGATCATGGGAGGATGTTGGCCGGGCAGCCGCCGGCTCGTCAAAAGACCGTGACTGGGCGTTATCATCGTCCTCCTCTTGAGCCGCCGGTTTTTTCTTGGGCTGTGGCGGCTTCACCCGAGCCGGCGTTTTCGCATAAGTCGTGGACGGTCCGGCCGCTGCCCTCTGGTGTTGCTGTGACTGGGACCTGCTCGGGACCACATGCCTTGCCCGCACCTCAGCCTTCCATTGTTCCCGGAAAGATTCAAGCTCTGGGTTAGACTCTGCCGGGTTCATCGTGACATGTGTTGAGACTTTGTCTGACAGGTGATGTGTGAGAAGGCAAATTGGCACTGAGAGTTTGAGCACGGTTGTAAAAACCACTGAAACACTCGCTATTATTCGAGAATCACCTTGATCCAACAAGTATGATTTGGCACTCTACTGAGGTCTTTCAGGGTTGATTCGCCCTCAAAGCCCCAAGAGATGCAGTGGAAAGTCGGGGGGAGTCTCAGTCGAGTGTGTCATTCGGCAACCAGCAACCCAAATCGCGATAAGTGCTTATCAAAGTCAGTGCTCTGAAGTGGGTCATTATGGAAGTCAATGGGCCAACCAGAATCCGCTTTTTTCCTGACTCCCTCAATGATGAATCCATCAAAGCTCACGCCGCAACTGTCCACCGGCAAACTGTCAGATGCATGCGAAATCCGGAGCTCTCAATGGCCCACTCACCAAGAAATTGATTCAAGTTACAAGTGACTAGTCCTTCTATTTCCCCTATAAGTCATCTGATAACTGAAGCTGTAATTGATATTGTTCCTCCCGACAAACTGTTGCGTCTTGATTGCGACAATGCTCACAGCTGGACTCATCAGTGTCATTCCTAATGACTCTAATGAACCCTGAGTACTTATTGGATTTCTACACCCCCTCTGACTCGGGGGATTCAGAGTCCCTAACGAACTTCAATACACGGAGCGGTGCATTGCGTACCTAAGTACACCTGCCAGCCTAACATTACTGTGTAAGTACGTCGCAGTGCGAGGAGACGATTCGACAGATACAGCAAAGTGGAATACAAAGGGGAGCTGCTGTGAGATTGCTATATGGTGCCAACTTAGAACTTGTTTAATGAGAAGCAACCTCGGACGGCTCCTCTGCTGTTAGAGTCAATTGAGGACACTCCTGCGGCGGAGTTATCTGAGACAGTTCCCCAGCTTTCCCACAAAGTAGCAGTTACAAAGGGCGGGTTTTCAGAGATTTGATGAACCTAAGACTTGAACCTGCCCAGCTGTCAAACGCGAAGGTACATTGACATGCCTCTCACATGGACAATGTTGGATGTTAACTAATGCACTTATGGATACTTGCTGCTACTCGCGACAATGAGTTCAAGGCACAAATGATGGCAGACAAAGGCTGGAAGTGCAGGCATTGGGACGGCCTCGAGCATCACTCGCGCCATTGAGGGACGCCTCGTTCATCTGTATCACCACATACACGCGACGCCCGTGCTGAGAGCGTTTCCCCTGAGACGCGGAGTCTGATAAACCGCACTGGCCTGATTCTGTGTTACTCGAGATTGTGTGGCGTTTGTTTGGCAGAGCTTGAGTTGAATAGCTAGGTAAAAGCCAGTGTAAATGCAGTCGGTCGTCTTCTGAATGGGTACTGAATTCGCCATGCAGGGATATTGCATCAGTGACGGCCTGACGCGCTGCGGCGATAGTCTTGTTTATGATGCCGAACGGATCACTGAGCAGAGAACGCGCGGTCTGGCAGAGGTCACGGGGTCATAGGTACGCTGTTGAGACCATGGCACTTGTTGTGGGGTGACACTGAGTGCTGCAGGCGGGAGTAAGCGGCTGGTTTGACTTGACTGATGTGTAGGCGGGGCGTGGCGGTGTGATCATCCGGCTGGGGCTTGTTTGGCGGCCAGTTTTGCGAACGAACATGCCGACGAATGTTATCTCCGGGATGAAGCCGTTTTGGATTGAGAATGACAGCGGACAAGGCAAGACCCTTGTTTCCCAGAGGAGCTTGCGAGCCTCTACTGCCCGGATTTCTCCAGGAGCTTGGCTCACATGGCATCGAGGTTGTTTCCGGGAACCGAAGCGAGAGGACGACCATCCAAGTTTCAGTTGTTTGTGTCACCTAGATCGACATAAACAAGAAAGCGTTGTTCGACATTGATGCAAATGTCCGAGTGAACCAATGTGGATGAGTTCGAGCACTTGTCCTCCGGCGATTCAACACGGCAGAGGTGAGCAGCTTTTTGCCCATGCCTGATCGAATAGTACTCGGCCTCTTCGGACGGTGACTGTCATCCGACTTGCGCGTCTTGGTGGGCATCGCCTCGTTCTTGACGCTTGGCGTCTTGTCTTAGCTGGGCGTATCCGTATCCGGGCCTGAAACGGGATGGTGATCGGGTGGAGTGGAGAAAAGTCGGCACGGTCGGCGTGGAGTAAGGCCGGATCCTCGGGCGAGTGCCAGTGGTGTGGCCCAGGGCCAGTCCATGGAGGGCCCCGTCAGGCGAGGTTGATGTTTGCCGCGCCGTCGTGTACGAGACATCGACTAGGTAACAAATGGCCAACCAGACGTGCAAAGATTCAACTTCTCCTTGGGCCCTTGGGAGTTCTTGGAGCATACTATGGGAGGAAGTTACAAATCTTGTTGCCACTAAGCAGACGTTGAGGCGAACAAGTATAGTCCATTTATCGCAACAAAGAACCATCCCTCAGTGGGGCGGTGTTGAAGTGGTGGCCAGCAGACCTGTTTCTTGGCCTGAAGGCGGATGAGTGAGCAGGCTGGTCTGGCCGGGATTGAGCCCATCATGGCCAGTCACAGGGTCGCCAGTTCCAGCCAAATCATCACGACATGCAAGCCGTGCAAGGATCAGGTCGATCTCGGCATTAGTAGGAAACGGTGATATCGAGATGCCGGCATTGGCTGCTGTGCAAGCAAGTATGTGTGACCTTTTGACTCCCCGTAAAGACCGAACCTCTGCCACTGTCCCTCGGCGAGAGAAAACAGGGCCAAGGAAGGAAGAGAGATTTGTTCACCTGCGTCCGGTTTCTGTCAGCCGGGCAAGTGATTGCGGAACTGGAGAATCTGACCCAAGAGAGACTTTCCATGGAGGGCCCTGAGTGAGCCAGGAAGATACGCCAGACATTCTGTTGTGTTGTGTTCCAGGTTCCTGTCGAGTGATGATGGCATGCCCGCGCAGAATGCAGGTGGTGCAGTCGCAGTGCCGATCCGATAGCGAATTACGCCCGTATTGAGATAGATTTTTCAGTTTTGTCGAACGAGCGCCGCAGTGTCCTCTCTTGCACATTTTATGAGTCGCACCGCATGCACCACCAGACCTTCTCCTATTCGGGACGCAAGGCCGTGTTCATGCCATGTTATGATGGTGATTGGCGAACTTCCACTACCCGGGTTTGGTCGGTTTTCGAGGCCGATGGCTTGCATCCAACCCTTCTCGCAGGCGTGTATTTGTGTGTTCCTCGTTCAATCACGTCTGGAAAATCAGCTGACGTCGTGAACGGGCGCTGTGTTTTCCACGCCAGTTCATCCACTAGATACCGAGCTCACGAGGGAGGACAGTCCATGTTCTGTTCCGGTGTCACCTTCGGAATACGATAAATCAGGCACGACCACAGGAACTTGGTTTCATGATCTGGAAGCTGATGCGGGGAGACGGCACATCCGGGCTCCAACTCGCAATCAACGCTAAGCAGACTCCTTAACTGGGTGACTTACCCTGTTTGGGAAGTGTAGATGTAGACCACTCCAACCTCCAGAAAGCCGTTGGTCAGGCACCTGTGGTGAATAGTGTAATGCAAACCTTCTGAATGTGAAGTACGGAAACCCTCAGGATCTTGCTATCTTTCCTGATGAGATGGTTCTACACTTGCCGTAGAGCGTCCATGGGTTCGTCAACCTTTCCGCCTTCCTTCCAGAGATGCTCCGTAAAACTTCCCATTTTGGTTAGATGCGGACATCCCGCTTTCGCTTGAGCCTGGCAATCTCAGTTTTGTCGCATCTCAAATGGCATAGTGGAAAGGACATGGTTTTGGCTTCACCCTGAAGGACAGTGAGACTTGGAATATGTGTATGGCCGTGCCAGAGTCCACCTCAACGATATAGGGACCGATTGATTTTAGAGGATAACCGTTGGTAAAAGCATACTAGCCAAAGAAGTTCCCATTGTAGAAGGGAGTCTATGAAATAGAGGTAAATGTACTGTACGGATCCGTACTTATATTGTACAGTACCTAGGGTACGCTTGTGAAGTTTCACTTGGGCTCCACCATCACCACGAACATAATAGTGGAGGTCCATGAATTTACACATTGGATTGATCGTTGGGTGTGTCATCTCGTACATATGCCATTCATCCTAGATACATTAGGTTTCTCAACAGAGCCACTGCAAAGGATTTGATGTGGTGAGCCGAACTTGCGAGCGCTCCCGTGTGTCCGCCCGGTCACGCAACCTGGAATGTCTTCGTCAATCCCGCTTGTTCCGGAAACCCCTCCAAGACCAGCCCCCTGCAACAACCCGCATCATCAGTCTGAGGAGGGCCTGCCCCACAAAACCACTCTTCCAGCGTCTCCTCAGGCTCCACTTGTCCCGTCGCACTCAGCCCGTCAAATACCCGCCCTTCCTAGGTTGCTCTGCTGGTCTCAGACACAGCGCCGCCCCTAACAATTTTCCCTCATTAACACACCCGCCGCCATTTCCATTTTCAGATCCCGTCCTTTCCGTTGTCCCCCATCAATTTCTCCACTTGTGAGCTCACTGTGCTCAGGCTCCCTTGACTCGGCTCTGTTCAGGCCTCATCAAGCCAGTGCCTCACAGTTTCTTTGGGAGCGTCTCTATTGACGCAACCTCGAACATCCTTCCTGCCAGTTGTTCATTGTATGCTGGCAGCCGACGCCCTAGTGTCCAGTCCAGCCGCCAGCTCACCCATGCCCGGTTGTCGAGTCGACGACATCAATTGCCCGATGGACGCCCAGCGCCCATAACTCGTTCCAGTCGCCATCGAGTCATATCGCGTCGTCTCCGGCAACATGATTCTTATCAATCCTGCCGTGGTAGAAGCGGCGCGTGTGGTGGTGAGGCAGGCGACCGACACTGCCTTGACAATAGCCACATCATCCACCTTGACAGCGACCCAGGCCACTTTGGCTTCCAGCCTAAGCTCGCCACTACCGACGACGGTCATCTTGACACAGCCTGCTGCTTCGCCGACCGACACGAGCACTCTCGCAAATGGTAATGCCAATTCTGGGGGAGGAAATGCTTCGAGCGGCGGCAACGGGGGAGGCGGCGGAGGAGGCGGTGGGGGAGGCGGCAACTCGTCTTCCCTGCTCTTCTTTGTCGCGCTAGGATTTGGTGTCGTGTTCACCAACCTCTGGTGAGTTTTCGTGATGGGCTGAGTTGCGTGTCCTGGAGGACGTTTGTCTGACTCCAGACAGGATTATTGTCGGCGTCAAGTATTGTTTTAGGTACAACGCCCGGAACCGTCAAATGCGCAACGAGGATGGCGAGCCTATCAACATGGAGAGCATGCCACGTCCGCACCGTCGTCGGAGGGAGAAGAAGTTGATGCCGATCGATGAAGTCAACGAGAAGTTTCCCATGCAGCAGTACAAGATGTGGGTTGCTGGCCGTGCACAGGAAGGGTTATCGACCCGTGGTGGAGTGTCAGCTCCTCCGAGCCGAGCAAACAGTGTCCGGGATGCGGATGGTGTCGTACCGGAATTACCCAAGGAGCGCATGTCAGCTGACGGGCGACCAACAACAAGCGCGACAGCTACAAAGGCGGCCACGCAACCCCCTGCCGACGCCGTGGCCGGGGACGTAGAAAAGTCCCAAGTTCAAAGTCCGAGACATATTCCCAAGGAGAGCACATCGAGTACAGTTGGAGTGCTCCCTCGAGCCTCGACGGATTCCAGTGGTGAGCCGGAGGGAACCGTAGCCCAGAAGCACCTGAGCCAGTTTTCCCATGATGAGGATGACGAGGATGACCATATCGATGCCGCCCTTCCTCCAGAGTGCATGGGAACGTCAGGCGATACTTGCGCTATCTGCATCGACACTCTCGAAGACGACGATTACGTCCGCGGTCTGACGTGTGGGCATGCCTTTCATGCTTCCTGCATCGACCCGTGGTTGACGACAAGGAGAGCATGCTGCCCGCTGTGCAAGGCTGACTATTATACTCCCAAGCCCCGCCCTCAGGGCACCGAGGGCGGTGATGGTACACCGGGCCTTGTTCAGGTCACACTGCCCGGCAACGGGCGCAGTGGCCATCGCATGAACATGCCCGGTAGACCCCGGCCCCTATTTCTGGGCTTTGGCCGGGTGGGTCAGACCCGTCACAGCAGACGGCACGCTGACACTTCCCGACCGGAGGATAACGCTATCTTCTCGGTTCCTGGCCGTCCTGGACGGGGTTCCGATCCCTCGCCTTCATCTCCTGACACACCCAGCACGGGACCTGTCAGTGTACTCTCCAGTTTCAGACCTTTCTCTCGGTTCCGGTTCGGCAGGACGCAGAACAACCAGGGGCAACTCGAGCCAGTAGCCTCGGGCGCCAATATGACCACCACCCCGTCACAGCTCGAGGCAGCGCGTCACAACCCACAAAGCTAGCGACGACGTGTCCTTTAAGTAACAGCTACGACCGCCGCCCTGTCGATACCCCGTCTCTTGATATGTACATGTATCCTTACTGCTGCGATGCGACAAGCTCGGCCTGCTCGCAAACATCTGCCTGATTCTTCCTGGCCACATACTATGCCTGTCATCGTCGAGGCATGTATTGTCCACGCACGCTGTCGCCATTGTCAGATACCCACGCCTCAATTGATCGGTGGAAGGCCACGATATACGCTATGTTACCACACACATCTACTCGCTTATCGAGCAACAGCCGCTAGGCCGCCACATCGCTTTTCATCATCCACGGACACGGGCACTCAGCGGCAGGGTGGTGTCACAGTATCACAAGTTTCTGATTTACGAGCAGAGGATGTGTCGCATACGCCGCGAAGCAAGCACAAGAGCATATTGATCGGGATGTTGCCGCTTGTTTTCTGTTTTCTATCGCACTGTCTTCTCCCTCTTCCTATAAACGCAACTTTTTCTGTTATATGCATGGCACCGTGGTATTATGGGTTGGGCAGGGCTCAATTTGCGCGCCCTCAGCAAGCATGGAGTTTATTGGTATGAAGGGAAGGTTAAGTCGGTTGACTTGAATTGAACTGAAGGAACGGGTTTGTCAGTTAGCGAATGGGGCAGAGAGAGAGTCTGTCCTTTTTGGCTTGAACGGGTATGTAAGTGAAGTGAGGTGTGCCGGCCTTGTGCAATCCGATCCCGTTTGGCCTGACGAGCCTGAGTCTATTCATTGTATTTCGGATTGATCCTCGAATGAGCAAGATGAAACTGCGCGAACTGACTCCTGATCTTTGGTGGTGTCTCTGGTATGTATGTTTCGCGTCCATGCTTCCTGGCGAATACCTCGGGGGGGCCTGAAGACCATCTCAGTTAACCCCTTTTCCCAACAATGCCCGTGAAGCCAACCACAGCCCCAAGATCAACGCGTAGCCCAACCGTCGCGCAAGCCTACAGGTACTTGCCACTCTGGAACCTACCCCCAAAGTTCGCCGCCCTATTCAACAACTCCTTCCGCTGCGCGTTGCTTATCTTCCCGCCCACTTTCATGTCCTTTTCCCAGTCAAAAGCGCGCTTGCTCGGGTCATCCTCCTCGTCATCCTCCTGATCACCACCAACATTGCCCCCCCACTTGGTCTTGTCCCCTTTGCCAGACACGACAGCAGCAGCGCCTTTACCGGTCGCCCGTTTCGCGGCCTGGTGCTCCTCCATCAGGCTCCTCCCCCTCGTCTGCTCGATGTAGGACCGGATGCGCGCCTCGTCCTCTTTTCTGGCGCTATGCTGTTGTTGCGACGGTCCCGCGGTGGTGGGTTGGGCAGAAGAGACTGGGTTGTTGGGATCTGCGCGCCCTAGCACGGAATTGGCGAGCCGGCGCGCTTTTTCCTCGGGCGTCTCTGTCCAGATGGAGGATATGCCTGCTGGCTTGACCTCTGTTGCGGCGCGGGGTCCGCTAGCGAACTTGCGCGCTTTGAGCTTGGTTGGGTCGGGAGCGCGGGCGCCGCTGCTGGCCGGGGGTGCCAGCATCCAGTCGTCGCGTTTGGGAGCAGCTGGGGTTTCGAGTCGGGATGTGCTGATTGCAGGGATGGTTGGGCCGCGGGATTTGGAGTTGGTAGAGGAGCCCGGCAGCGCCGGGCCCCATTCGTCGTCGTCGTCGTCGCCGTCCTCTGAGGAAACTGGGTCGAAGGCGGGACCGGTTGGTGGACGTTCGGAGAGGGGCGCAGGTGGTGGTGCTGGGCCGAGGACGCGCTTGGGTGGTGGCACTTGGCCGGCTGTGTCGTGGTCGTCGGGGTCAGAGTCGAGGGCAATGATGTCGCTGTTTGCTTGCGCTCCAGCTGGTGGGAACAAAGGTCCTATTGATCGTTTTTTGTCGGCTGATGCGACGGCAACGGTGTTTGCGACTGTCGGTGGCAGGGGGGGGCCGACTGTTGGAAACGGTGGCGGCGACCTTTCCTCCGTGTGATTGTTGTTTGTGGAAACGGGCGCGCTGGGACCAAAGCCGTCATCTGAGTCATCATCTAGAAGTATCTCATCCTCATTGTCTCTGCGCGACGTCTTAGGCCGAAGCGAGCCAAGCTCCGAGTCATCTTCACGCTTGCGCTTCTGGAGGTGTGGAGGGAGTTGCGGGCCGATAGACGCCATGGCATTCGTAATCAGCTCAAGTTAGTACCATGAGTTGGTCGCGTCGTGTAGTCAGCGAGTTTACAACTGCAGTGCGTGCTGTCGACCGTGATGCGACGCTCTGGTGGAAATCGTCTCGGAAGAACCTGGAATGTGTTGAGCGTTTGTCATGATGGTCAACGACACTTAGAGTTTGTTATCGATAGTGGAGTTAAGAAGCCTGGCGCAACCGGGCTAGCGGCTGCCAGCTTGAGAGTTGGGCCAGTTACTTTGTATGGGGATGTGGGTCTGAGATTGGGGCGGCAGGGGAGCTGCGTAACTGAGGTGCCGGCTGCTGAGAGATGAGAACTTGCAAGTTGCAACATCCAGCCTCGATGCGCCAGACGCTTTAGACAAAGCGGGGCACTGGGCTCTCTGTCTCAATACAGGCTGCTTCGAGAGCTACAACTGCGGCCAATTGTGCATTTCAATCTGTTCCAAACTACTCGCTGAACGTGCGCCGCTCCTCCCACCCCGCCGAACCTGGAAGCTTACGTGCCAAGACAACCGAATCTCGAGCTCAAAGTCCCAAGGGTCCTCCCCTAGGTGTGATAGGCGCATTCGACCGGTTTCTCGAGAGCGATGCGTCTCATTCTCAACGCCCGATGAGTTTGAGTCAAGACCGGGAGGACAATGGCCCCCCGGGCGTAATGGCCGAAGAACTGGAAGTGGCTCGCGCCGACGGCCAGAGCTCGAGCTCGAGCGACGAAGACACACTGAAGAGCAATCAGGATGAGGACCACGTTGCCGACATTCTCGAGGATGATAAGCCGTCCATCGACTCCCCTTTGCCTTCCACCGGCCCCAGCTCCATCGCCCATCGCTACCGTGAATTGCTGGAGGCCCAGCATGAGGGAACGTCGGAAGATGGGGCCGCCGACGCCATTTCCCGATCGGCTGCAAGCCCTCGGGACTCCATGCTGTCCGTTCCAGATGATCTGCCTTCAGTTCATGTGAGTTGGGCACGGGGAACTTAAGCTCAATGTATGCTAACCACCTACCACAGGGCTCCGTAGTATCCTCGCCCGGAAGCAGCAGACCGCCTTCGCTGGCCCTCCGCCCTGGCCTAAGTCCGACACCGTCTTTCCGGCCCTTCGATCAAAGATTTCAGTCCCGTATCTCCTCGCCGTACCTCTCATCCCCCAGACCATCTTCCCCGGCGTTCCTGTCGGCTCACAGTCGGAATGTCTCACTCAGCAGTCAGTTGCTGCTAGATCCAGGGGACACTGAAACCCCGTCCCCGCCATGGGAAGTTGTGCGGTGGACAAAGCTCAGGAAGCTCAATGGCCAGGTGTTCTCCGAGGCGGGCAGGAGGAACTTCGGTTCTCCCACATGTCTTGCAGTCTCCGCCACGATTGTGTTGGGCACCTCCAAAGGCATCATCTTGGTGTTCGACTACAACCAGAACATTAAGATGATTATTGGCCCAGGGACAAAAGGTTGGGATCCCGGTGCCCGTTTGTCGAGGCTCGTGTGGTTGACTTTCACCAGCTGTCGAGTCCGGTCCCATTACCGCGATTGCAATCTCTGCGGACCATACCACCATCGCAGGTGGGCACGCAAATGGCAACATCTTCACCTGGGACACTGCACGAGCCGCAAGACCATTTCTCAGCATTCCACATCTGGACCCGGCGTACCTACTCAACAAGACCGCCGACGGCCACGTGCCAAACGTCAAGATCACGCACCTGGGCTTCCTAGGCACCCGGCATACGGCTCTTGTTTCGGCTGACGACCGAGGGATGGCCTTCTCGCACCTGGCCACCAGGGGCACAGGCGCTCTGGGTAGAACTGTGAAGACGAGTAGGATACTGGGCCGGTACCCGGACTCAAAACCGCCACCCGGAAAGACGCTGAAGCCCAGCACCGTCCTGGCGTTCGCCGCTCTGCCTCTCGGCAACGTTGAGATGGCCACGGATACAATGGGGCTTACCGCGATGCTCACGCCCTACTTGCTCGTCATTGTTTCGACTACCCCTATCGCCCAGACCCAACACAAATCTGCTCGGCCAAAGGAAGTTGCCGCCCACAGCGCCATGACCGGGTGTTTGGCCTGGTTTCCCGGCGTCAAGCTAAAAGTGGCTGACCCCGTCACTGGAAGCCGAATCTCCAAAGTCAAGTTGGTTTACTGCTGGTCAAACGTCCTCACAGTCCTGGATGTGGAGGAAGTCGCTTCAGAAGACAAAGACAAACCGCCTGGTTTCAAGTTTAGGGCACGGAGCCGGTGGAAGTGCGAGGAGCCCATCGTCGCCGTGCAGTGGCTGAGTCGATCTGTACTGACCGTCTTGACCATCTCGCAACGACTGATTGTGCTTGAGGATTGGAGCATGCGCATGACTGAGGCTTATGACCTCATCCACAAACACATTTACCACGTTGATCTGTTCTCGAAGCAACTCGGCGCTTTAGTAGAGCAGCTTGACGAGGAGGACCCTTCCATGCATGGAGTGGTCGCCGATGCGTTCTACATGAGTTTCAAAACTTACAAAGGGCGTCTCTTCCTTCTAGGATTCAACGACATATCAATAGGGGCCTTGTCCAATTGGGCTGACCGGCTCATCGCGTTGATGGAGAACGGCGACTATGTCGGCGCCATCAAACTCGCCACATCGTACTACACTGGAGACGCCAATAAGCTCACGGTGGGGCTTCCGGAAGATAGCCAGTTGAGGCATTCCATGGTTCAAGATAAGCTCATGGAGATTATAAGCGCATCTCTCAAATACGTGTTTGGCCAGAGGCATAAGAACAAGGATTCAGTCGATGACAGTCATCTGAGGGAACTAGCAGAGACATGCTTCGTGGCCTGTCGGAGTGTTGAGGATGACGACTTTCTCTTCGACGAGGTGTACGAGTGGTATGAAGATGCCGGCTTCGAAGGCATTTTCCTTGAGACGCTGGAGCCTTACATCCTTGACGGATCCATCAAGGCAGTTCCGCCCGTTGTGGTGAAAGCGATGGTCGGTCATTTTGTCAGCAAGGGCTGGGAGAGCCGGCTCGAGGAGATGATCTGCCACATGGACACTACCACACTCGACTTGGACCAGGTCACGCTACTTTGCAAGCAGCATCGCCTGTACGATGCCTTGCTCTACGTCTGGAACCAAGGGTTGAACGATTTCATCACACCCCTTGTTGACTTGCTCTCCCTGCTAGTGCCGCTCATGCAAAACGGCCAGTATTCCGGCAGTTCGATGGAAGCAGAGATCTACGGGGTGAACGCGCTCAAAATCTTCCCCTACCTCTCATATGTGCTCACCGGACGAGTCTATCCAACAGGCGAACCACTTGCCGAGGATGTGGCGCAAAAGGCAAAGGCCGAGCTCTACTGGCTGCTGTTCTCGGGGAAAAGCATCACCTGGCCGAAAGGCAGCACCAGGCGGCTGCTCACTAGGCCTAACCAGTCGCAAGAACCGTCATTTCCCTACCTCCGATTAATTCTGAACTTCGACGCCGCCAGCTTCTTGAGCGTTATCAATGAAGCCTTTGAGGATTCTTTTCTCAACGACTCCCCAGAGAAGTCGAACGGTAGCTCTGGGCGGGACCTACCAGAGGAGCAAATATTTGGCTTGACAGTAGATCGGCAGTACATTGTCTCAATTCTCACAGAGATCATGAACCCGGCCGATTTCTCCCCCAGCGAGACCATCTATCTGGACATGTTCATTGCCAGGAATTTGCCAAAATACCAGCAATACCTTCTGTTCCCAGGCTCAACGCTAACCAAAGTTCTGGTCGGGCTTTGCAAATACCCAAGCGGTGATCTGGCCGAGGATGCACAGCTCAGCGCAGAGTACCTGTTGTCGGTCTACCAGCCCCCGGACCTCACAGATCTCATACCGCTACTCAAAGAGGCTGGTTTCTACCGCATATTGAAGCGCATCTACAGAGGCGACAAGCAGTACGGGAAGCTCATTCAGACCTACTTTGAAGACCCAGACGACCAGGAAGCTGTCTTTACTTGCATCGATGTCTATCTGCGACCGCAAGCAGGCCTTACTCGGCGGCAGATCCAGGACGTTCACCAGGTTATCAAGACGCAGTCGGCGGAATTCGTGCATCTCAACCCCGCTACGGCAGCCAGGACGATTGCAAAACATGCCCCGGAGCTGCACCAGTATGTGCTGGACTCGGTGCGTGCAGAGCCTGATCTACAGTACTCGTACCTGAGGACAATACTGGAGCCTGAGAAGGACACGACTCCCGGCCGCTCGACAGAGCGAGATCTGGTCGAACAGTACGTACGATTGATGTGCCAGTTCGACCCGGCGCACGTGTCGGATTACGTCGGTTTGGTCCAGTCCTCCAACCTGAGGCTTGAACAGCTTCTTCCGACCATGGAGGAGACGGGGGTCATCGATGCGGCAGTCATCCTTATGGCAAAAGAAGGCCAGATTCAGGACGCCATGGGGCGGCTGCTGAAACATCTCGAAACGCTAGAGTCTGCACTGCAGGGCCTTCTCGCAGGGTCTCAGCCTAACGCGCAGGATGCGCAGGAGTCTGCGGAAGAATTGGTTCATGCCTTGCGCAAGTTCGTCTTGGTCGGCATCTGGCTCTGTCAGGGACAAACCAAAACCATACGCGCCGCAGCTGGTAGGCGAGGACAGAAATTACCAGCCGGCGACACCCTCTCGGCCGATGAGAATCTCTGGCTCGGCCTAATCGACGCCTCAGTCCAAATTACCAGACGACTATCCTCGTCTCTTCAAGACCTACCAGAAACCGTTCTTCCCTTCACCAATGGCGCCACCCACCACCACCCACCTCGACTCGACACAGACAAACTTCTCACTCTCCTCCGATCCCTCGTCCAAACGACCTTCACCGCCCTCCTGACCTCCACCTCGGCCTCCTCATCCCTCCCACTACCCAGCAGCACCCCCAACAATACCCCATCAACCGGACCGGTAACAACGCTAGGCGTCGGAACAAACCTCTCCTTCCTCCGCATCCTCCGCGCCTTCCTCACCCGTGCAGCGGCCTCGTCCCCGAACCTGGCCGACCTGCGCGCGGTACTGGCGTCGGTTTTTTCCGCGTACGCCTACGAGGAGTCGATCCTGCGCCTGTCGAACCGGCTGCTCGAGCGCAGCCTGTTTGTGAGCGTCGAGAAGGCGGTCGAGCTGAGGCAGCGCGGGTGGCGGTCGAGGAGTTCGACTTGCGAGGGGTGTGGGCGGAGGGTCTGGGGGCCTGGGGTGCAGGGCGGTAAGGTGTATGAGGCGTGGGAGGAGAGGGAGGAGGAGAGAAGGCGGTTGAGTACGAATAGAAAGGGAAGAGGGGTTGGGGTTGGGTTGGGCGGTAGTGGTGGTCGTGATGGTGAGGGGAGAGGAGGTGACAGGGTGGATGACGACGGGGAGGAGTATACTGGAAAGGGGAAAGGGAAGGGGAAGGGTTTGAGTCTGGGTGTGAGGGAGGATAATCAAAGCGAAGGGGATGGGGAGGGAAAACAAGACCCCAGGGAGGAGCTGGGCGGAGAGGAGGTGAGTCCCGCACAGACGGACCACCAACAACCGGCGCTGGGACCGCTGGTTCTGCTGGCGTGCAGGCATATTTATCACCAGAGCTGTCTGGGGGCGCTGCTGACGAAAGATGGATCTGGCAAAGAGAGCGGGTTTAGGTGTCCTATTGATGGGTAGGGATAGATGGCTTTGTCTGTGTAGCTTGGGCATATGGCAATGTGTACTACCGCCGTAAACCTGCGCCTATAGCAGCCTTTCGGGTTTCCGAACTGAGCGAGTGTGCTTCAAACTCGCCCTGTAGAATCTGATCCCCATGCCCCATGATGAAGGTGGCGCCAGGCGGTTCTGGGCAGCGCCAAACCCCGCTGCGGTTTCTCCAAGGGTCTGTCGATCAGTGGGCCCGCTACTGGAACCCGCGGCCCCGCCTGAAATACAATAGTACCGTACATACCTTACGGCAGGGTGGCTCGCTTGGGTACTGTAACGTTATCGATTGCATCAACATCGAAGCTCCCAATAGCCGTTTCGTTTCTCAATTCAACATCAGCTCTGCACTTAGACGTCCAATCAAACCCAATGGCACTACCATGCCGATGATATCAGAAGAAGGCGTCGACGAAGACGCCGTCCGTCTCCACGACAGAGACGGCAACCGTCTCTTTTCCCGCCAGGACTCATCAAGCTCGAGCAACCTCCCCAACGACGAGCACGGCAACGAACACGAGGACGAGGAAGGAGCCTACTCCTCCGCCTCGGACTCAGGCACCGAAGGCGACGGAGACGACGACGAACACCTGCCCTCGCAGCCGCCAATATCCCGAAACACGTTCGCACCGCCCTTCTACGGCCGCCCACCGACGCCGCTACCACCTTCTCCATCCCTCACCTCCCTGCTCCGGCCATCACGTCCGACGACCCCCGACGTGTCCGACGACGATGGCGGCAACGGCACCGGCACCGGCGGCGGAGGAGGCGGCACGGGCCACGCGGGCAGCGAGGGACCCCTCCCGCGGGCCCGCCCCAAGGTACCGACGTACGAATACTACGGCTTCGTGCTCTACCTGTTCAGCTCGCTGTCCTTCCTGATCTACCTGCTGTGGAGCTACCTGCCGTCGCCGTTCCTGCACGCGTTAGGCATCTACTACTACCCGAACCGGTGGTGGTCGCTGGCGATCCCCAGTTTTCTGGTCATGCTGCTCGTGTACATTTACGTCGCGCTGGCGGGGTACAACCTCGAGATCCTGACGCTGCCGCTGGAGAGCGTCGAGACGGTGGTGGATGAGGCGGCCATGGTGGCTGTTGTCGATGGGAAGGGGAGGATATTGAGGGGAGATAAGAGGAGGCGAAGGGCAGGAGGCGGGAAGGGGTCTGGGTCCGGGTCCGGGTTGAAGGGCGGCCGGGAGCAAGGGAGGGAAAAGCAGCAGCCTGCTGCTGCAGGGAAGGATGAAGGGGGATTGCAGGGGGGAAGCGGCTTAAATTGGCGGGAGGTTTGGAACGAGGGGACGGATGCGGTCATGGATGTGCCGTTGGCTGGGGTGTGCGAGGTGTTGTATAGTGAAGGGAGGGATTGGGATAGCGAGGTTGAGGGAGACGATGTGGTGATCACGAGGGTGTAGTAGGGCACGGCCTATGGTACGGCGTTTAGGTTGACGCTAGGGACTATGAAGAAATCCAGCCTTGATGATACCCTTTTTATTTTCTTCAGGGGTTTTCTTCTCCTGAAATCGAACATCGTCTACAGATAACTTGGACACAAGGAAGTACTCGGACAGAGACGCTGTTCAAGGCAAGACATATCCATATCACATTCTCTAAGGGAGCTAATCCTTGCATTCCGACTGTCCCCTCGACCAATATCAGCTGTTTTGTGAATGAATTAGTCCATTGAGTCCAGTTCTCGTTGCGTTCCCAAAAAAGAGTGCCAAGCCTGTTCCATTGTTTAGCCCCACATACCACAACAGCTCTAGCTGCATTTCAATGCTTCCCTCTTCCTCAGACTTGGAGAACCAACTCCCATCGCATCTCCATCCGACACGTTAAACACGACAACGCGATATCGAGACGCGATTGCATCGTTAATACTGTCAACGTTGTCGCGTTATTCTAGAAACACGAAGTGCACACGACATAGCAACCAGATATATCCGGAGCATGTCACAACATCCGCTGTCCTCGTCGGTACAGCCGACGGATATCTACGGCGGAGGTGAGCTCCCCGATGGAAAAGCCGGAAGCTTTCATTAACTCTGCGCGCCGCCATTGCTAACTGGCGCTAGATGAGGTCTCGGCCCTTGTGCTCGATCCGGGCTACTGCAACTCGCGCGCCGGCTTCGCGGGTGAGGAGATGCCCAAGCAGGTGATACCGTCCTTCTATATCCACGCCAACGGCCGCGATCTGTTCGGCGACCCAATTATCACTCCACGCGCTGGTTTCGAAGTGCGCAACTACATGAACCGCGATAGCGTCGTCGAGGACTGGGATGCCGCCACTCGCATTTGGGAGCACATGCTTGTCAAGCGACTACAGCCCCCAAGACCGAACCCTGCCAGAAGGGACCGACCGAACGTGGGCGACGATGGCGATGTAGAGATGGGTGAGAACGAGGATGCCGTCGGCGAAATCGAGAAGCCCCTCGCCGAGAACCCCCTACTCATGACCGAGGCGCCCTGGAACTCGGGAAAAGCCCGCGAGAAGGCTATGGAGGTGTGCATGGAGAGTTGGAGTTGCCCGGCCTTTTGGCTCTGCAAGACTCCGGTGCTGGCTGCGTTTGCCGCAGGAAAGGCCACCGCGCTAGTGCTAGACGTGGGCGGAGCCAACACAAGCGTCACGGCCATACACGACGGCATGGTCCTTAAGCGGTCTGTCCAACGATCACCTGCCGCCGGTGTCTGGCTGAGCGGCCAGATCCGCTCCATGTGGAAGAACAGCGAGCCAAAGGTCGACATCGTGCCGACCTTCATGGTCGAGAACAAGAGGCCCGTCGAGGCTGGTGCTCCCCCGGATGTCCGGCTGCGCGACTTTGACTTCCCCATCGCCGACTCGTTCCGCGCCTTCGAAGAGGAGCGCGTCCTCACCGAGTTCAAAGAGTCGGTCGTCGAAGTATGGCGCGGGCCGGGCCGCTACATGGCCCCCGGGAACGAGGATTATGCCAGGAGCCAGCCCGGCCGCGTCTTTGAGATGCCTGACGGCAGCAACCAGATGTGGCGCGAACAACGCTACCGCGTGGCCGAAGGCATGTGGGACGAGACTGCGGCATACCCCGCTCTCGGCGAAGAGCCAGCTATATCCAAAGCACAGACGATCCCGGCACTTATCAAGGCGGCACTGGACGGCGTCGACGTCGATTTGCGGCCGAACTTGCTTGGCAACGTGGTCGTCACGGGCAGCACGAGCCTGTTGAACGGGTTCAATGACCGGCTCAACCACGAGCTCACCGGCATGTACCCGGGTCTGAAGATCAGGATCCATGCGGCGGGCCTGACCAGCGAGCGGCGGTTTGGCGCCTGGATAGGTGGGAGCATCCTGGCCAGCTTGGGCACGTTCCACCAGATGTGGATTTCGAGGAAAGAATACGAGGAAAACGGGCCGGGTATCGTGGAGAAGCGTTGCAAGTAGGGAGGCCGCATCAGAGCAGAGTTGCGCAGAAAGCTTGCCAGCGAGGATTGGGTTTGTGCTGGATGGTGGACTCAGAAAATTTGCGGGAGACATGGCGATGGCCGGAAAGTATGGCGTGCATGGTTTGCAGGTTGACCAGGGCAAGCTAAAGCCAGAGACAACAGACACGGGTAGTCCCTTAACACGCGGCAAGGAGTCACTGATTGTTACATTCAAGGTTCCGGAGAAGACTGAGAATTTGGTGAAGGGATGAGAAAACGGGAACCAATTCTGACGATATGGCAGGGTGTGTACGCTCTCGTGTGATGGACTCCTATCGAAGAACCGAGTGTAACACCACCGGTGGTTCTTGGGCCGGAGAAGCAGTGACTGAGTAACAGTCAAAGATGCACTCTCTATGACCGCTCTCACCATCCCCGCCACCGTGGCCAGACGTCCACCACCTCGTCGTCATGCCCCTTGTTCCGACTGTCTACGATCAAGTACCAATCAAAGCAGGCACCCGCAATGCAGCTGTGATTGGGCCAGACGCGGACTCTCTGTCCGTAGCCAAGCGGAATTTCGCCTTCTTTACTGCCTTGCCAGATCAGGATGCCGTGCTCCTGGCTGATGCGGCCAACCTGCCAACCGTTGTGGGCACGTGGGAAGTCTGGGCCTGGTGTCGGGTTACCCAGGCCCCAAGGCATCAGGAAGCCCCAACTGGAGTAGTCCTGCCCAGGGACCCTGCCTCTGTCAGCCACCGGCTCGCGGCCAAGCGCCAGGGTTCCGGCGTTGATGAGGGCTTCGGCGGTTCCATTGGCGCCGCGGTCGGGGTAAACTTGCTATATAGTCAGTATCTTCACGTCGTGGGGAATGTAACTGCTGCTGGACTCACGAGAAGCTACCTCGGCAAGCACGCTGATGGCGATATTATCCGCCGTCATTAGCGACGTGTCCCTAGCGTGTGTGGCCAGCTGCTGCATATCCAGCGTCGGACTGGCTCCTCGTTAGCAGCCAACCAGCCAACGATCAGCCTCCATCGAAAAAAAGGGCAAACTTACTACACACCAGCATGAACCTCCAACAAAAACCCCTCCCCACTCAATTCCCGCACCAACCCCTCCACCTCCCCTACCGCACCTCCTTTCTCCCTAGCAGCCCCGTCCAAAAACTCAGGCGCCTGCACCACCAGAGCCGTCGGCGTGGCACCAACAGATAACACCAGCGCGCTCTCCCGCTTCCTAGCAGCAACAACCTCCCTCGCAACATCCACTAGCCCCCGGACCTCGCCCGCCAAGTACCCCGCCACCTCGCCCGTCCCGCCCCTCGCGGCATAGCTGTGCCCCGCGTGCGAGTAGACGCCATGAAGAGTGCACAGCCCTTGCTCTTCGGCGGTCAAAACGGCGGCGATGAGGGTTGTGCAGGCCGGGGTGTTGGGAACCACGCCGGCGCGGCCGTAGGAGGTGTCGATTTTGAGGAAGATTAGGGGGCGGTGGTTGGCTGTGTTGATTAGGGTGGAGAGGGGCCCGAGTTGGGATGGGTGGTCGATCATGAGGGCGAGGGAGTTTGGGCCAAGCTGGGCGAGGAGGGTGGCTAGGCGCGGGGTGACGGAAGGGAAGAGGGGGAAGGAGAAGAGGATCTGGTGCGTGGTGTCAGTGAGGAGGTGAAATGACGTGGGGTTCGTAAAGGGGGAAGAAAAATGGGGTTTGGTTACGTTGACGGGACGACCGCGGGATTGGTATTCCTTGAGCAGGGGGAGGATGTTTTCTGCCTCGGCGATGGTTGAAATTATCAATGAGACGGGTGTGGTGAGGGTGTCTCCCACTTGGAGGCGGGTGAGTTCGGTAGTCTGAGAGGGCGTTAGAGTCGTTTTGAAGGGATATACAAGTACGGGGGGAACTGGCTTTGTGAGACTTGATATGAGCCCGCCACAGCAAACCGAGTCTCTGCGTGGCCTTAAGCATGCGCTGACAGTTGATTTCGAGCTTTGCAAGGTCCAACACGACCGAGGGAGTGGGCACTTCGTAGAGCGTCTTGCCCACGAATCTTGCCCGCAGCTGCTCCTTGAGCCTGGCACTGGGCGAGGTAGCTGCCATATTGTCTAGGTTGAAGCGTCTATTGAAAGCAACGTTTTTGGAAGACAGATAAGCAGACTCGACGGATGAACTGCGGGGGCTGACGGTATCACATAGTTCGCTCAGTTTGGGTCCACATCCACATGATGCTGTGCAGTGAGTTGGTTACTCTGGATCTTTGTATCAGAAATACTACCCAGTACCGAGTATAAAATCAGCACTTCCGAACAAATAGATTTTGCTGCGCAGGCAGTACTTCACTTCATCGCTTTACAGTCGGATACAGTTTCGGAAGAGTCGAACACGCTTCTCAATTGCTTCAAGACAGATCTTCTTTCAGACTTCCAACGTTGCATGTTGCTGGTGGACCGTGGGAGAAGTTGAGCGTTCGGCATCCAGTCCATCTCAATCGACCAATTTGGAATACTGAGGTGGGGCGGCGGGGCTATTGCAGGAGCGTGCCGAGCGTGCAGCCCCGCTTCAGCGTCCCAGACCCACCCTGACATGGCCGCGCCGCTCAGTCAATCTTGGCATCTGCAACCAGCGAACCTCAACTGCCAGCCGAGCTCATCCTGACTTCTAAAGAGAACCGCCGATGCCTTCCACTGCAGCAATCTCGTTACGCTGCTGAACTCGCATTTGCACTACGGGACCGCAAACCAAGTTTTGCCGCGCTGCCGATGAATATCATGATTTAGCCGTTTACACGTTCGCGCAACCTCGAGACCACTCGACAACCGATCGTGAAACACCGTCCCTTAGCCGACAATCTGGCATCCGCTACACCATGGCCAGAGACAACGAGTCCGAGTTCAGCGCGCTCAACGATGAGGACTGGAGGGTTCAGGAGCAGCGCGATGACGCAGCAATCCAGCAAATTCAAGAGGGCCTTGCCAGCGGCGTCGGCGAGTTTCTCTCTAAGATTGAGCAGGGCGCCGAATTCGACCAGGCCGGCAAAGCCGATGATGCTGTCGACTATGAAGACATCGATCTCAGCGACGACGACTTACCCGACGAAGAGGCTCCTCCAAGCGGCGCCAGCGGCGATGGCCCGGGCCTGACCGATGACAATGACGACGACGACCTCTTCGGCGAAAATCTCCCGTCATCCCCTGTGGCCGCTGGAGATTTTGCCTCGTCTCCCCACCCGATCGATGCCGATGAAGATGACCGCATGCACATCGACAGCCCCCCGCGCGAATCCCTTGAAGATCTCATAGCTCTTAACTTTGACCACGGCCCTAAGCCCAGTGATGCGAATCAGGATCCCAATATTCCCCCGCCCGCTGAGACCCTCATCGAGGCCGTGAAGCAGGCATTTCCGGGCTTCAAGGAAAATGCCGTGCTTCCATGGAACGAGCTCCTGCGCCCAAAGCAGGCCCACTGGATTTCCAAGAAGCCCGCCAAGCCCCCAAAACCGCTTGTGCCAACGAAGCTCAGCCTGGAACTGGATGCTGACCAAGAAAAGCTATTTCGCATTCCTGGACCGGCGTCATTGTCTGTCTACCAGAAGATCAGAGATGCCGAAGCACGCGTCCTCGTGTGCCTCGAGGAGCCCGAACCTCTGGAGCAGGCAGACCTTGAGGTCTTCAACCTAGATGACGAGGATGATGAGGTTGTGGGTGGCTACACCCTACGCGACATCGCCCTGGTTTGCGACGACTGGGATTCTATGATCCGCCTTGGCGACGCCCTCGCTGCACAAGCCCCCGCCCCCAACAAGGTCGATCACATCTCCGACAACATGCTCATTAAGACTGAGGTTGATGGAGATGATGAAGACTGGGACAGAATGTTCCTCGACGCCCCGCCTAAGAAACGGCGTCGCGAGATACCCAAGGGCCTTCCCTCGGTTCCCCGCTTTACTGCGCCCAATTTCGACAACTTCGAGGAGGCCACTTCCAAGCTCGCCAAGCGCGTGATCCTCGATATGAACGACCCTTATCTCCTCATCGACGATGTTGAGTCCGAGCGCGTCGCCAAGAGACGTAAAGTCCAGCACAAGACGGTACGCATGGCCAATGGCCGCCTTGGTCGAGAGTTGTCGCAGCGCTTCAATTTCTCGTCGGATACCGCCTACGACGCGTTGAAGGAGAACAGCCAGAGCAAGGTCCGCGCCACGCTGGCCTCCATCCCGGTTGAGCACAGCATGACGGCAATGAAGCTCTCATGGCCCTACTACAAGGTGAAGCTCTCGGCAAGCGACCCCCACAGCTACCATCGGCCCCAGTTCCACCCGCGAAAGGACGCCTTCCACCCGATCAGGTTTAAGCCACCTGCGATCAAGAAGAAGAAGCAACTCAAGGGCAAGCGAATCTGTGAGATTTTCCAGTCGTCGGCCGACCTCACCATGAATGACAACTCGATCGCGATACTCTTTGAGTATTGCGAGGAGATCCCCATCGTCTTGTCGAATTTCGGCATGGGCCAGAAAATCATCAACTACTACCGCCGCTCTAAGGGAACAGACGCGAGGCCCGAGAAACGGGAACTTGGTGAACCGTATATCCTCATGCCCGAGGACCGCTCTCCCTTCGCCATGGTCGGCCAAGTCCACCCCGGCGAGACGGTGCCCACGCTGCACAATCAGATGTTCCGCGCTCCCATTTTCAAGCATTCCCCGAGAAGCACCGACTTCATCCTTGGTCGGAGCAGCACAGGGAAATCGGGCTCCACGTGGTACCTTCGGAATATCGATCACCTGTTTGTGGTGGGGCAGATCCTGCCATCCATGGAGGTACCTGGGCCGCACTCCCGCCGCGTTACTAACATCGCCAAGAATCGGCTCAAGATGGTGTCGTATCGACTTCTGCACCGCAGTGACAACGTCACGTTGACCGACATTACCCGTCATATTGCCGATTCCAACGAGTCGCAAAACCGTCAGAAGCTCAAAGAGTTTCTAGTGTTCCGTAAGGAGCAGAGGAACTGGGTGCTTCCCGAAGGAGAGGAGCTCATGCCCGAATCCGAAATTCGAGGGCTCGTTCGCCCGGAAGAAGTTTGTCTCCTAGACGCGATGCAGGTCGGTGCCCACGAGCTCGAGAATGGCGGTTACGAAGTGAACGACGCCATTTTTAAAGACGACGACATGTTGGAGGGTGACGAGCTTCCCCCGGATGCTCTCGCTAACAAGATGGCACCGTGGCGGCTTACCAAGGCTTTCATCGACGCGAGCCATGGCAAAGCCATGATCGCCGTCCATGGCCCTGGAGATCCAACAGGCAAAGGCCTTGGCGTCAGCTATCTGCGAACTTCTATGAAGGGGGGCTTCCTGGAACAGCTTCACGGCCCGCTTGCCACGTCTGCTGACGCTATCGAACGCCAGCGAAAGGCTAATGGTGGCCACATGTACAATGTCAAAAATCAGGACAATCTCTACACCGAGTCCCTCCGCGACATTTGGACGCGGCAGAAGCAGAGTCTGGAGGACATTCAGGAGCACGACGACGACGACGTTCTCGCCCAGGAGGATGAAGACGAGCGGTTCAACGTACAGAACCAAACGGGCCCGACTGCAACCGTGCCTGACGGCGTGAGCCAAGTGAGCCAGAGCCAGGCTAGCGCCCTGAACTGGCGCAAGCTGAAGATCATTCGCGAGGTCAAGGGCGAGGATGGCCAGATCCAGACCGTCACGGAAATCGTGCATGACCCTGTCGTCATTGCGCAATACAGCAAGAGGAGGCGGCAAATGGAGTTTGAGAACATTGAGTGAGTACAGGGTGGCTTATTCCAGTAGAGACGGTACTAACTCGACACCCAGCATATACAACGTTAAGCTCACCGGCGACCCCGAGAAAGATGAACTTATCCTCGAGAAGTAAGTTGTCCTAAGCCATCATTTGAGTTACTCACATGGTGTTAACCTTCCGCAGGGCCCGCATCGAACAGGAGCGTCTGGAAAAGAACAAAGAGCGACGTAAGAAGCGCGAGAAACAGAAGAAGCTCCAGCAAAAGATGCGGGACGGCGGCGCCGGCGGCGACGAGGGCTCGCCCGAGCCGTCCACGGAGAAAATCACGGGCACAACCCGCAAGTGCGCCAACTGCGGCCAGGTCGGCCACATCAAGACCAACAAAAAGTACGTATGTCCTTGCTCCCAAAAGGAGACAGCCAAGGCCCCTGAGATGGAGGCAGGTAAAAGGGGTCAGAGTCTGTCCGGCATTCTTCCCTCCAAGTCTAGCAAGCGCGACTACAGTTATAGGCCCACCCAAGACCCCCGCCAGGGCGACAGGTTCTGGGATCCCCGAACATGGGATACGAAGGCCTTCCAAGACAAGATGGACCCCGCGCCTCTACCTAAGGGGAAGCAGAAACGACTTACGTGGGAAAACGATGAGAACGAGGGCTTCGGCGAGGAGTAGCGCTCCACCTCTGAGCCAGGCGCCTTAAACTCAGTCGTTTCCTTTCTCCTTTTTCTGTCCACTCTACTACTTTCTTAGCCTCGGCTTTACTCGGTATCCTCTATCCTGTCGGATACAGTTCCAGTTTCATACCGTATATCTCGCCAAGACAGCTATGCTGACACTCGATTTTTCTCTCATTCAAAAAGACTTTGCCCGCTCCTCAACGGCTCGCGGCCGCGTGACCAAAACCCGGACGATACCGCTAGCTTCGGCTCGACGAACGCACCGGTTGCCGCGAGCTTCGTCAACCTTGGCTGAGCTGGACATGTGATGCGGGCCATTCAGGTTTTGAGGGGATAGGTATGATGTGTTGTGCGCGGTTCCTCGAAAATGGCGCGGTCGGTCGATTGATCGAGCTCTGAGGACGAAGCCTTTTGCGCTGCTAGGCGCGGCGCTTACATCAGGCAGGTCAAGCTGATTCTTGGTTCCCTGGAGATGGGAACAACTGAGATTGAATTGCTATTCGGGCATGGTTATCGTTGAAGTTGGGAAACAAGATTAATTCTCGGATGCTACCCGTCCACGCGCATCGGCATCGGCAGGCGCAGCTGCGAAGGGAGCCCTGGAGAAAGAAAGGAAACCTGACACCTTGAAAGGAAGGCGCATCTGCAGCGACCCCAGTCACTGGTCTGAAGGAACAGACAAGCGGTTTGACCATACTTCCCCTACAGTTTCCCGTGGAGGAAGGGGGCTGGTTATGGAGGGCTGATCAGGGGAAAAGGGGGTTCTTTGGTGTGATGTTTTTTTAGCTCGCGGGATGCCACCCATCTCGTCAGCGAAAGCTTGCGGCGGTGGCGTCCGAGGCGGCTTTGCTATGTCGTCGGACAACATCGGTTGGAAAGAAAGGGAGCACGTTCTAGGTATCGGCGGCAGTATCCGTCCCTGTTATTTCGTATCCCTTGGTTGGCGTCAAGGCTCTCACTTGGTTTTCATGCATGCATGCGTGGTTGCGGCGTTTTATCAGGAGGTCACCCTATGGATAGGATGGGATGGATGGGTTGGGACATGGACTTGAGTTGGCCTTGGAGTTTAGTTGATCGGAACATCATTCAGAAAGGGCACGGTGCGGACATGCATGGTGAATTGTTTTGTACCTGCGCGCAGAGGCATAGGAGAATATTCCATACCGCCTGTAATTGAGGCGAGTACCCGCAGAAGAGCTGCTGCCATTTTGGGCGCTTGTTGCCCTGTCATGTCGATCGAGATTGCCCCTACCCAATCCATAGCTTGGGACCGGTCTGCTGGTGTGGTTACTTCCACTATTTGTACATGTGCGCTTAGACCGTGATTCACCGCCGATGTGTCGCTTGGCCCGGGTCACCGTGATGGGTCCTGAACATGTGGGGTCTGCGGGGATGCTGAATCTGGACCGCAGCCCTGTGCCTTACCTATGTATTATGGCTGACTGTGATTTGTAAACCTCGCTCGTCAACGGGCAAAAAGTGCAGTGGTTGCGGACTGTATGTTGGCAACAGTCCCCCAACGGTTCGATATTTAGTTGCAGGACACAAAACGGTATTATTTGAATATCCTCAGTCTTGGAGGGGAAGCAGCTTGAACCTTAACATCACAGACAGGCGCTCGTAGACGGTGCGGCAACTCGAGTTCCGATTGCATGTAAAAATGTGGGCAACGATGCCGATCGATGCAGCGCCAAGTCGATGTATATCAACCAACTCATCCGTAAAAGCGGTAATCGAGAGGATCGTTTTTACATACATTATTTTGGGCTTCACTAACAGCGTGGATGGAGCGATACGTCCAATTCGGGTATGCTGCCGAGATCCTGGTAGGGTTGCGCTGTTCCTTCCCAGATTTGGTTTACAGAGGCTTTCTTCACATCCCGTCCCATCTCATCGTCCACGTCCCATACGGCTTGCCTGTTCCTTCTCTTTCTTTGTCTGTTTTTAGGTCATCTCCCTCGTGACACTGGTAGTAGTATTCAACGATCTCCCCAAGGTAGAACAGCATCCATCTTCAAGTGGAACTGGGGCACCGTTAGCGCCCACCTCTCTTTGTCACTGCTCTGTAACTCGGCACGTGTGCGGCGACGCTCTCCAATGTGCCATGGCCAACCCTGGGGGTCTTATCCGGCCGGCCGGGTCCGCGAATACGGCTGACGGGTTGTGGTTCGTGCCATGACGGTGCAGCCAGATAAATTGCACCCCTCTCACGCAAGTGCCGGTTCGGCGCTTGTCAGGACAAGCAGCAGGACAGCTGTGTTGCGGAATACAGTGCTGTGTCGTGACCCACATGTAACCCATAGGATCGCAAGGTCGGAGCGACTTGCGATTCGACACCCTTTTTTCAGGGAGATGCGACATATCTGAGTGGGTTGGTTGTGAACGTATCGTCACAGTTGGGTTCTAGATTCGGCTCTCGCTACCGAACTATCCAGCTAGCTCACTCTTGCCTCCCATGTGAAATTCAGGAAGTGATATCGTCACCGGGCTGGTCTAAGTTGGGGACTGGAGGGCGGGCAATACTGAGTGCAGATGTGGGTGGTATTTGGCGGCAGTTCGTCGATGGGTAGGATGACATTGGCCGAAGGAGGAGGGAAGTGTCATGAGTTAGCCTCTGTCTTGAAATCTTGAAATCATACATGGCATAAACTCTTTCGGGTCGACACTTTTACTGAGTGCCAAGCAAGCGTTATGAAATCGAACTTCGAGAACCTGTGTAAAGAAGAACAAGTTTCATGTTGTTTCTATGTTTATCGCGCTCGTGCGCTGCGTGGCATGGTGCCTTGCTTAACCGCCGTCCTGGATTGACGCCCGAGTGGTACCCGGGGTTTGGGCCGAGAGATGTTACCCGGTTTGGGCATTCAGAATAGCTTTGGTGGTGGTAAGCTCATCTAATTACTTGCCGGCGTGATGGAAGTTGTTCGGTTGCACGACTCATCACGTTGATTGGCGGCAAGATAGACTTGGTGCAGTTGGAGCGGCAACGCAGAGAGCTTGGTCTCTCTGACCAGAGCAACCCTCTTCACCGCAATCGAGGAACAAGCCGGGAAACAAAGATGTCGTTGAGGTGACCGGGTGTCAACGTCGAACCTGCCGGGACCCTGGACGCTGCAGGTGATTGTGCTAAAAATAGCTAAAAATAAACCGCGCTTATGCATCGCGGAAATCGCAAGCGGGCAAATTTACCCAATGATATTCCATTTAACCCTCTCGGCGCTTGCATCCGCCAACTGGGCAAAATCCATGAAATTTGCCATCACCAATCAGCGCCCTGTCGCAAACGCGACTTCCCGTTGTTGGCCAATCGCCGCCGTTGCAAGCTTATTTGAAGCGAGCATGTGCTCCCCACCGAGGCTGCGCCTGCAACACGCAGAGAAGCGGCTCTCTTTGCAGCAAGGGATCACTCCAAACTTCAATGCAGGATTAACATCATCGCCAGCATTCTTGTGCGTTGATTCTGTTACTGACTGAGCATGTTCCTGAACACTATCCGGATGCCAAGCAAGCTGTGCAACCATGAGCAACAGAACCAATTTCCGCAAACGTATGATCCCTTGTCAAGTTTCGTCCGAAGCTCGAGAGAGGTCGGTTATACTACGTACTGTGAATATCGAGGCCGGCTCTTGGCATGCTCGAAGCCCTCCCCACACAAGCGGGATGTTGTTTTCTGCCGGGGAGGTCTATCACTCAGTACAGGTAACGTAATCAAAAGAAACACATAGCTGACTCAAGGAACTGGAAATGTAGGTCGTTGAGGATCTTGCAAACCACAAACAAACCCACATCAATGATATTATGGAATCAGAGTTTGGGGGGGCAGGCATTCCATGCTAGCTGATATGGCCGATGCGGCTCTTGTCGACCGGCTCGACATCGAACAGGGAGGCAGTGCCACTGAGACTCCGTGACAAAACATTTAACAGCCGGGCAAGGGACAGTGTCCGCCGGACGTATGTGGTTCCCGCCATTCGGGCCCGACCTGTATGCGATCGGGTGTTTGAAGTTGATGACAGGCAAACGGAAAATAAGATACATTGAACATTTTCTTGGCACAGAACGTGGCTGAGGCGGAGTCCCTTTTCTACGGAATGCTGAAGATTGAGGTTGTGTAGTAACAATAACTTGAAGACGGAAGCCCTGCTTTTACGAGCAGGCACCGTCTGACTATGCTGAGCTCCAAGATGGGCGAGCTGAGATCACAAACGGGCAATGGTTCGAGCGTAAATCATTGGGTTTTCGCTTTCCATCTGCGCATCCTCTGTCATTCCGTCCTGCGTTGCAGCCGGACCGTGGATCATCTCGACGCTTACCCGGAGATATTGCAGCTTGTAGAACAGACCCAAATCCACTACAATAAATTCCGAAACTTAAGCTGTCCTCAAGTCATCTTCTTGTCATGCGCGACCCAGTACACTTTATCGTCGTCGGCAAGTTGTTCGTGCCGCCCGACTTGAGCATTTCCGCGTCGCTTTCATTATCATCTCTTCCCATCGTTTCGTTGTCTTTGATTCTTTTGAGTACAGCTTTGGCCACGGGAGCCGTGGCCTCAACGGTGGCGGTCGTGGTGAAGAGACTCGGACATCTCGAAAGGCACCCGAGCGATGACTTCCATGCTTTCCTGTTGTGGTCTCGGTTTCAAGAGAGGCACCTTTGTCTCGGTTGCATCCAGCCAACCATGCTGCATGGTTTATCTGGGTTGGTGGGGCTGTGCCAAGCCTGACTCGTGGCTTTCCGGCTCCTGTCCCATGCTGCAGCGGACCCCTTGCCTGGTTTCCCCGGGCCTTTTCCTTCCCCACCACCCACTCTTTTGCGCACCTCGTCTCTCGCCTTCTGAACTCACGGTCTATTATTAGCATCACCAGATCCAGCCTCGTCGCCCTTGAACTGCACGAGCTGTCGCCGCATGTACCAGTGTATCTTTGACTACCCCTGTCGCGAACAAGGGAATTGACGTCGCCCGCCGGAATCTTCAGCTGTTTGCTCTACCCACAGCGCACAAAAAGAAGGCCGTCGCCCTCGTCGTCGCCATTTGTCGCGGTCCGTGAGAGCTAGTTAAAGAGTCAAGCATCCACGTCCGCCTCCACCTCCAAACTGTCCCCATACGAGGCTGCACCTACACGCGACGCCATCCTGCAGCACACTACCTGCCCCACGTCCTCGTCATTAACGCCACAGCAACATCGTCGGTGCTAATAACCTGTCGACCACGGCCGCTGGTTGCCGTCGGAGTGTTTTTGTGTTGGCTGTGCGGCAACATCTGGATCCAAGCATAGATTGGATATCACCGGCGTTTTGACTGCGGCCTGACCGTCACAATGGGTCGGAGAAAGATTGATATCAAGCCCATCAAAGATGATAGGAACCGCTCTGTGTAAGACACTCCGGCGCCTTTCTCCCGATCACTACTAACAGTCCTCGCCGCGCCCAGCACCTTTCTGAAAAGGAAACATGGTCTGTTCAAGAAAGCCCATGAACTGTCAGTGCTCTGCTCTGTGGATATCGCCGTCATCATCTTTGGCAGCAACAAGAAACTCCACCAGTTCTCGTCCGGAAACATGCGGGAGATGGTCCATCGATGGAGCTGCGTATGTCTCCTTCCCGGTGCCCAGCCACACGCGACTAACACGGGTCTGCATAGCACGGCGAGCCGAACGAACACAAGGGTCCCCTCGATTTCAACGGCGGAGCTGACGATGACGAGGACGATGATGAGAACGGCACCCCGCCCCAAGTTCAGGGAGTCGAGCCGGACATGCTCCCTCCTCACTTCCAAAACGGCCATCCGTTCCCCATCATTCGGCATCACACGCCTTCGGCATCGCCCCCAATTCCCAACGGTGTCTTCAACCCGCGAGGCCACACCCCGCAGCCCCAGATGGGCTCCCGTCCGTCATCGCGAAACGACATGCGCCGGATGGGCCCGAGCATGATGGGCCAGCCGGTTGGACCTCCCGGCCCTCAACCAGGGCCCGTCAATGGCTTCACATACATGGCGCAACCAGCCATGTACAACGCCCCAAATGCTCACAATATGCCCTCCAACATGCCCCACGGACTGCCACAACCCCACCCTCCATATTCCTACCAACCACAGCCGCATCCGCACCAGATGCAGCCATACGTGGACGAACAGCGGAGGGCGTCCGGGCCTGCTGCGTTCCCTCTTCAGCCGCCACAAGTGCCACCAGCAGGACGTCAGTCTGTGTCCCCTCCACAGCCGCCCGCCGCCCAGCTTCCTTCCCAGCTACCCGCGCAGCCCATGGCGCACATGTCACCGCCACCACAACCACAGGTCCATCCCATGCAAAGCCCACCTCAGCCTCAACAGCATCTCCCGCCCCCCCCACCACCGCCCCAACCGCAAGAGGTTCCTCAGGTCTTCGTCCCACCTCAAGAACCACACCCACCCGCACCTCTAGAGTTCAAGGCGAAGTCCCTTTTGCTGGACACCAACATCAAGAAGCAACCGCCGCGCAAGGGAGGTAGCATCTTTACTCCGATTGACGAGAACCGCTCCATCCTTTCGCAGCATCTAGCGGCATTTCATCCTGAGCCAAAGTCGGACCCAAGGTCTGAGCCGCCATCGAGCAGGTCCCAATCAATCGATGGTGGCAGCGTCACAAAGGGCAGCAACCCGAACTCCCCTCCATCACTCCCTCGCATCAATACACAAGTACAGCAGCCGCAGATCAAGCGGAATGGGTCGTTGGGAAACATTCCTGAAACGACCTTCACGCCGCCCTCGCGGTCCAACAGTCTGCACACGGCCCGCAGCATTTCGCGGCCGCAGTTGAAGGTGCAGATTCCGGACGAGTCAGACGGCGGCAGCGCCACGAACGAGTCAGCCTCGCCTCGCGGCACCACAGCGACCGCGACCGACATCACGTCGCAGCCCTCTCGGCGGCCCACGGAATCGCACGCGTCGGGCGTCGTCCTACCGCCCCCCTCGCCCTCGGCATCTACCTTGCTCTCGGCAGGCGCCACGGGCCCGCCGAACCCGTTCGCTCGGCCGCCTCCTCACCAGAGCAACATGAACATTGACACGCCCGTTTCGGCGCTGCCGTCCCGGTTCCTTGGAGAGGGATTCTTGCCGAGCCCGGGCGGGTTCTATGCCGATTGGGGGCTCAAGAACGACCACAATGCCTTGAGCCCGCTCAACTTTGGGACGCCCGTCGTTGGAACGGGGCCGTCGTTCCTGCGCGATGATTTGGCGCCGCTCAAGAGGAAGAGTCCGGAGATCAGTGGGAACGGGCCAAACCACGAGGCGCCTGCTGATATGCAGGGAACTGAGGCCAAGAAGCTCAAGGTTGAGAGGGCAGTGTGAGTTGTGAGTGGGTGCGAGGTTGAGTGTGTCGTTTTCTCGCCAGTGTGGTTGGCTTGTACTTCTTCTCTTTTCAATTCTTTCCTTCTTGGTTACAGTACTATGTCTACTTCCTTCATGGGATAGTAGAGGTCCTGCTTATCTTCTTTTTTCCCATTCTTTTTTCGTTTTCAAGGCGAGTGTTATACTTTCAATCGGCATTGGGCAGGCGTTCAGCGAGGACTACGGAAAATGGATGACGGGACAGGCATCATTGAACGAAGTTGGAAATGGTTTCTGAATTGTGGGGAATAAGGATGCTGGCGTTGTTGGAGCGCATGAGCAATTTTGCGCAGGAAGGAGGTACAGGGGGCTTGTATGTTGGAACGATTTTTGGATAGGGGTTATAGAATACAGAACTCTTGATCTCGAACCATCTTCCGTGCAGTGGAGCGTGTGATTTGCGCTTGCGGATAAACGACGTAAACAACGGGCTCATTGTTCCGGCTAGCTAGCACGCCGGGAGGACCGGTCCGCTGTTGAGGTGTGACACGATCGGGTAGAGTTGGCTTAGTTTCTGTATCTTCCCGGCCCCTCGGGAGCTGTGATGGGCGGTGGGTCAGGGGCATCGAGGGTGGAGAATTTCATATCCCTTAGCATGGGCTTCAGCTTTGCTCTTGAAGACATCCCGGAATTGCGGTCCAGGCGTTGACGGCTCTGTTGCTATTCTTAGAAGCTGCCCTTATCCAAACGACGAACCTTGGTGCCGTTGGCTTCGGGTCAACTCCCACATGCCGGCGCAGGAAAGGGATGGCTACTGGTCAAGGCACTTGTGCCTGAGCAGCTTAGCTCAGTTCAGCTAAGGTAAGGTAATCGAGTTACAACAACAATGGCATGGAATCGAACGGCCGGCCAAAACCCTCTTGACCTCATCGAACAACAATCAGATTCGCACAACAACCTTGACCCCGCTGACGCCAGCCTTCAGCTTGTTGTGCGCCGCATTCAACCCCGCGAGACCACCCCCCTCAACCTGAACTCTGGGACTCGGGACAACACTGCCGGACTCGAGACCCTCCCGCAGCCATCCGTGGAAGCACTGATGCATGTGCTTGTCCCTTCCCGCCTGGTCTAAAGGAGGCAGGTTGAATTTGACCTCGGTGTTGTCGAGCGTCGGGTGGCCCGGAAGCAGGACAGGCGAGTGGGCGACCCTGGCGGCGGCGTTCCCCTTCGTCTGCTTGAGGACCTCCGGCATGGGCTGCAGGCCGCGAGGCACGACGCAGTGGGCTGTGCGCAGCTCAATTCCTTCCTTCCCGACGGCGGTGACGATCTGCGCGACCACGTCGCTGTCGTGGAAGTCGGACGCGGCGTCGGCGCCGAGACTCCGTAAGTAAGCGTGGTGTTTGGTGCTGGCGGTGGCGTAGATGGTGAAGCCTAGCGTGCGGGCGGACTAGATGGATGGCGAAAGTGCCGACGCTGCTGGCGCCGCACCAGATTAGCACGCCGTGCTCGTCCTGGAGGACGTACCGGGTCTCGAGCGGGATGCCGAGTGTCGTCCAAGCGGACGGAGCGGTCTTGAAGCCCAGGGGGCGACCGGCGCCTTGCTCGAAGGACGGGGCATCGAGCAGCAGGATACGACTTCGGACTGAGCCAGGGCGTACTTCTGGAACTCGAAGGCGCCATGTCGGGGGAGCCATTGTGGTAGTAGGGGGAGGCCAAGGCGAGGACACGAGTGCCGGGCGCGACCGTGGAGACGTGGGTGCCCACTTTGGGGACGACACCGGCTGCGTCGCATCCGATGACGGCCGGGTACATGGGTACGGGTGGGAGACCGCGGTCCTGCTGTGAGACGTCTATGGGGTTGAGAGCGACGGCTTGTACCTCGATAAGGACTTCATGGAGGCCGGGTTCCGGTGTGGTGCATTCGGTGACTACTAAAGTGCCGCCCTTTGTGAGCATGGCAGCGGGATGCATGTTGCAGTTGAGTGTGCACTCCAACGATTTGAAGGGACGTTGAGATGCGTATAGTACTTGTCTTGAAACTGATCGGTTACTCAAGCCTTCTTAGACAATTGGTTCTGCGGGAGCACATCTTCATCTAATAGTCTCGTAACAGCCAGCATGGGCCGGATTTTGCTGACCAAGCGCCAATATCAGATATATGCCTTTCTCTTTGCCCATTACCGTCGTGGCTGCAACAGTGGTGTAGGGAACCTTGTCTACTAAAGGGACATCCTCCACACGTGGTAGGGCTAAGCGTGGGTGACACCATCAGACCAGTGACGCACCCTCAGCCACACCCCTGGAAGCCCCCTTGTCGTCTCGTTCTACACCGTCCTCAAACGAATACCATTGTGTACTCCTGTTCGTCATCTTCCGCCGTGCCAGCACGGTCGGTCTTAGGTTAGGCGCAAAGACCGATATTTCTCAGATGACATGAGTCCAACCAAGGACGAAAGGTATCCGCACATGTGACAACCTGCCAATCACCATTTAGACTCTTTGAATAGGAAATTGCATCATAATAAGGGAAAGAATAGGATGGCTTCTACACAGGATGCCGTGGGGTCAGGACGAAAAAGTAGAGGTTCATCCTCTGAGGGCAGCGGTGACGGCGCACTGCTGTCCGTTTCTCCATGGCAGCAGACAGGAAGTCGCCTTGTCAAGGGTAACATCATGTTCTATCTTGCCGAACCTGCTTTTCTCTGATTTACCCATTCAGTTTATCAAACCATATACTTTCAAACTGAAAAGTGGTCAAGAAACCTGACGGCTCGTAGCCGGTTTTGTTCGGCTAGTCGATTTGATTTTATTCCTGCTCACCTGCCCGACACGTGTGTAAACTGCAAACGACTGATCCTATGGCTGACTGGCAAGCGAGGCAATGGTGCAGGAAATATAAACCCAACTGGAGCGCTATGGATGCGACTGGTACCAACGAGGCTTGTGAAGTGTGGCACCGCTACAGAATAAGATTGAGGTGATCCCCAATCAAGGCATCCACCTTGCTTCAACATCAAAGCTCACCAGCCTTTTTCCCGAATCTCCTTCATGCGATCCTCCACCTCGGGGTAATCAAGTGAGCTCCGTGGCCGGCGATCCCAAAAGTAGCAATCCTCGTCGGTGGGCTCCGGGCGCTCCCAGATATCCCTGTAGACCTTGTGGCGATACATGGCATAATGAGAATCAATGCGTACTCTGTGATCCAGTGTGGGGAGGAGGGGCAGAGGCCCGTTTGTCGGCTGATACTCGGAGGAAGATGCAGGCGCCGGTGAGAGTAGTAAGTCCAACAGGGCTCGTTGTTCCTCGTCCTTGACCTGCCAGAGGCGAAACGTGAAGCCTTTCCGGGCCGAGTGCAAGTAGAGGTTGGGCTCGGGAGACGGAAGGACGTCGGCGACTGGCGTGTTCCACGGCTGCGACCGATCAAGAGCACGACGCCGCCGAAAATCTGGTCCTCGGCCCAGTAGCCCACGGTGTCGGCGAGACCATTGGGATATTGGTCATGGTAGCAGTATTGGGGGTGCGTGAAGTGCGTTGGCCAGGGTGGGACTGGATGAAACTTGAATATGGAGTCTTGGTTGTCATCATCATCATCCTTTCGCCGCCACCACGTTAGCTGGTCGACCGAATCCCTGGGGTTCGTGATGTGCTGGTCATGGAGTCGTATGTCCTGCTTGTACAGAACGGCAATCTGGTGGACAGCCACAGCCGCGAGCTCGATGAGGCGGAGCTGAAATGCGCGCGAGTCCGGAGCCGCTGCTTGGAATGCTTCTAGTAGCTGGGAAGCCGTCAGTCAAGATATTTGTGGCTGACCTAATGGTGGTTTGAATATGTGGCTCCGCTAACCTTTGTATCGAACTTCAACGTCCCGATGCTGAAATTTGCTCTGAACTGCCTGGCGGTGTTGACCACACCTGGACAAAGAGTAACGTGGTTCTCGAGCGGATGGCCTAGAATAACTCGATGGGCCTGTTGGCCCCGGACAACGTCGCAGAGGGGGACACCATCGATGATTTGGCTGTATGTCTGCGCCGCGAGGTCCGTGTCGAGAAGTCGGAGAACTGCGCGGGTGAGGGCATCGCTGTGTTGCGAATTCAGTTTATCGACCCCGCTCATCTCGACCTTGGGAATGCATCCTCAAATGTGCTGCTTGCCGATGCCATGGCTGAGAAAACTTAAGATATCTGTGGTATACATGGAAAGGAGGTAATGGAGCAGAAACGAAAGTCAGGTGCCTAACTGGGCTTTGATTGCAAATCCTAGATACGCTCTGGTTTCGTCTCTCGACTAAATGTGAAGGAAAGTGCAAAGGCTTCCGTTTTGACGCTGGCAGAGGAGTGTAGGAGGGATGCCAGGCGATGGACCATGAAGGGGCACTGCGGCAAGGGCCACTTGCGCCTCGCCGCCGGTTGTTACAGCCTACCAACGGCATGATCATTATGGCCGTTATGAGGTTCTCGAGTCGGACCAACAACCGGGAGAGGTTGCTCGAGGGGCGTTCGTTGATTTTCACTGTGAGGTCTACAAATGCCACTGCCTCTACGTCGACAGATTTCGCGTCTTCTCTCCAAGCTCACATCGACCATTCTACTTTGAAATCTACGCCGTCAAGTCTTCTTTAGCCGCGCTCATTCATAATCATTTTCCATTTTCTCCGGTCGATTTCCCTGTTGTCATTGCTAAACCGAAAAGACGCGCAGCACTAGCCTTGCCATTGACTCTGTCTTATTCGATACCATAATGAGGAAGAGGTAAGTTGTATAATCAGACTCTCCTCTTCCTCTTCCTCTTTCCCATTCTTTTCTCGTTACCCCTTTTTCATTTTCATTTTCATTTTATTCTCTCCTATTGAACTACTTACTCATTCGGCCCAGCAGCCCAAGTTCTAGTACCCCTTCCTCCCGGAGCCAGTTTCCCGCAGGTGGACAGCCACGCACCAGCGGCGCTGCTAGTAAGCCAATGACCCCTGTGCAGGGCGGACAGCCACGCACCGGTGCGGGCACCGCTAGTAGGCCCATCACTCCCGTGCAGGGAGCAGGTAGGCGCAACAGCCCCGCGCCAGTCTCGGCCTTTTCTATGTCTAGCTCGTCTTCCCCTTCCTCCGGGACCAGGAGCCCGTCAAAATCTCCTCCCCAGAAGACCACAACCATCACCACCACCGCTACCGCCGTCCCCACCACCAGCAACCAGGTCGATCACCCAGGCGGGCTAGTCATCAAGCTCAAGTCAGACGCAACGGGCGGCGCAGAGACCCAGGTGGCCGACCATGATCCTCTCTTCCTGGCGGTGGTAGCAGCTGTCAACCTTGGCCTCAAAATGCTTGAATATCCAGCAGGAAAAGAACGTCTTATTCAGTGGTGAGTACGAGCCGTCAACGACTGGACAGCAGAACAGACGGAACATCTCTTTCCCGAGTCTCCTGCCACTCACGCCAACATGACACCCTATGCCAATGCCTTTCTGAAGGAATTGAGAACTCACTTTGTCCCCTCTTTCTCACCAATAGTCTGACTGGAGAGGGCGAGACGGAGAAGTCCGACTGGGCTCGGCCAGCCAAAGGACTCGCTGGTTATGTTGGATCGAAAGCTGGCCTCCTTTCCCTCAACAAATTTGTATGTTACCTGGCCGTTGTCCTTACGAGTTTGCACCTCCCTCCCTAGTACAGTATATACATTAACAGCAAACTCTTAGATCTTCGAAACCATCGTCAAAGCTTCGGAGCAATTTCAGAAGGGAAACAAAGACTATGTAAGGACTTACGAGTTACAGATGGCTCTCATGGGCATCACCGTCGCCCACGAGTTGTGCCACTTCTTCACTGGCTACTTGACCGGGCAGAAAGAGTTCCATACGCCCCCAGGTATCAGGTACCTGGATAGAGACCTCAACGTCATCAACGGCAAGCTGGTTGGCGAGTCCGGCCGCGCGTGGGAAGCCAGTCTCATTGGCGGCGAGCTCCGCCACCTTACCGAGCCTCTGGCCGACGGGGCTCCCCCGGAAAAGCACCCGCTGGGCTACCGACAAGCCGGCGATCTTTGGCTGTTGAACGATAACCTTGGTGGCATCGCCGTGGTTGATCGCGAATGTATCACAGCGCTTCTGAAGTTCGGTATGTACAATCAGGCGCCTCGGAGCGTGCGCTAATTACCTAGGCGGCCACTGGGAAGACGATGGGCAGCGATACCTGACTGACCATGATCTACCGCATGATGACAGACTTTGCCAAGGCGTTTCCCTTCCGCACCACGGGCACTCAGCAAAATATCATGCTTGTCAAGGCAACCCGCCTCAGGATGGACGAGATGCGGAATCTGGCTCTCGGCAAGGCCGCGGATATAAGCCACCAAAGAAGCAACTTATCAAAGCGGACCTGGATGCCCATAACGCGCTCCGGAAGCGTGATTTCAGTGGCAAGGATTTCAGACGCCTCATTATGATCCCCTCGCAGCCCAAGTACATTTTCCAGCCAGTTGTCTGAAGAAAGAAGCAGAGACGGGTGGACAGTCTGACCGTGATCAGTATCGTGGTGTTTGGCTGCAGGGCTACTACCTGCTGTTGCAATATATAGACTGAGCTTCCTGGTGAACTTATTACTGTCAGGGCTGGTACCTCGGTAGAACGGACGAAGGGCGTTCAGGAGCTTGATTATATACAATATTGGCTATGATGGCTTGCCAGCGAGGCGGCTGGACTGTTTCAGCCCCGCTACCTCCTCTGCTGGGTATGCTACGTTGATCATTTTGAAGGATCAGTTTGTCCGAATAGTTTGACTTATGTGACTGAGAGGGCGTCTAAGGGCAACAGGGAGAGTTAAGTGAAAACAAGGTTTTGATGCCAACACTCGAACCCAAAGCTGCCACTGAGATTGATGTTGAGCGGTAGCCAGAGGTTGGGGATTGAGAAACAACAAAAGCTAAAGCTTACCATGCGCGTCATGTCAGCGAACGCGTAATTCCGACATTCTTCCCCCTATCACCAGCCACGGCGCACTCGATCTCCTCTATGAAAGGCGTCACCGTATACTTAGTTACGCCCTCGATAGTACCGCTAATGGTAGAGAAGGACTGCCAGAGGTTCATGAATCAATACTTCAGCTCCACTGTGAGGTTGGTGCATCGGATGAGGATTATTTCTCGATTTCTTCCTGAAGCCCATCAACTTTCGTCAGCAAGTTAGCCCTTTTACGTTGGACTTGGGAAGAACAGAACGCACCAGTCCAAGCTTGGTCTCACCCAGCCAAGTCGCCGAATCAAAGCTTCAATGATGAGCTCGAAACAGCTTGCAGTGCACTACTGTAGACAGCGAGAATGAGGCGAAGCTGAGCTTCATTTACGTACCCTTCCAAACACAAGCCCCCACAAGCAACGCTCACCCAAATTTGTCATGCTTACTCTTCACCTTGAGATCCAACAACGTCTCGTGGTAATTACCCTCCCTCCTAGCCTTCTTCAACATCTTAACCTCGTCCTCCGTCAGCTTTCGCCCCGCCGCCGCCTCCAGCTCCCCTCGACTGATGCGCTCTCTGGCCTTTTCCTCGCGCGACGCCTTGAGCCGCGGCTTGAAGCGCGCCTGCATGCGCACGCGCAGCGTCGTGTTGAAGGTGATTCCTGTCTCGTCGCCGCGCACCTCGGGCGGGGCGCCGACCTTGGCCGAGCGGGAGGCGCGGATGGTCAGGAAGGTGTCGCGCAGGGTCTGGACCTGGAAGGTGCCCGGCGTGTCAGCGGTCGGGACGAGGTTGAAGGACTCGAGCGGGGAGACGGCGTCGGAGGCGGCGGTCAGGATGCCGTATTTGTCGCAGGAGAGGTATCTAGTGGGAGGTTAGTTGGCGTAACTGGCGGGTTGGGGGAGGTTTGGCTGATGAGGGGCCTGCGTACTTCCCGTGGTGCCCCTTGAGGCGGAAGTGCTCGGTGCCGACGATCCGGTTGGCAACCCATACCTGGCGCACGTCGTGCGGCTCGGCGGTGGCCGGGTTGCCGTCCATGATGTTCTCGATTGGTAGGGCAAAGACCTTGCCAGTGGCGTCGCAAGCTAGGGCAGTAGGAGGGTCGCTCGGCAGGACGAACATGACGGGACCCGAGATGTCGGATACGGTGTCGGCCGAGACCCAAGTGTCGTCGTCGTCGGCCTCGGCTTCGGTGTTGTCCGCTCTGGGAGCCTTGACCTGCCGCTCTGGGTTGTCATCTTTGCCTGCGCCCTCGCCGGCCTCGGCGCGCTTCCTCTTCTTAGGCTTCTTGTCGCCTTTGAATGCCAGTGGCTTTACCATGTTGGATTTCTGAGTGAGCCGTGCGCAGGAGGATGGAAGATGGAAGAACAGACGTCGTGACGCTGGCGTTGCAATCAGCAGCCTTACTCCGTATCGATAAAAGCTCCCTCCGCGCAATCCACCATCGTCATCCACCTGCCGTGTTCAGCAGGTGACAACCACAAGCTTGGCGTCTGCCCCACCACTTTGAGGGGCACGCGATCACCAGACAACGAGAAATTCATCGCGATATACTTTTCTCATTTACTCTGTTAAAGGTCTTTCTCATTGTAGCTCGAAGTGGACTGTTTATACTATGGCGCCAATTGCGCAGGCCGTGATGGTCTCGTTGGAGGAGCTTAAAGATGGTAAGCGACCTGGAATGCGAAGCGTTGTGTAAGTGGCATCGCTGACAAGGGTTCTCAACTTGCACAGGGAGTGTGCCGTCCGAGACGCTCCACGAAGCCTTCGGTCCGGACTCGCTGGGCATCCTGATTGTCAAAGATATCCCTCCCGAGTTTGCCAGGCTGAGGCATCATCTGTTGTCGTACTCGTCGTATCTGGGGAATCTGCCCAAGTCGCAGCTTGGTGCGTCTCGTCGTGTCATTTGTGATGGCTAACCAGGCCCCGGCCACCACTAACAGCGCCAAGACAAGCTGGAGAACTCAGAGGCAAAGTATTTGACGGGATGGTCGCTCGGCAAGGAGACGCTCAAGAACGGCCAGGTCGACACCTTGAAGGGGTCGTTTTACGCCAACTGCGCCTTCTACGTCGACCCAGAGCTATCCTGCGCCGTGCCCACGGAGCAGTTCAACCCGGACGATTTTCCCGAGTATCTTTCGCCCAACATCTGGCCGGATGACACTACCCTTCCCGGGTTCAAGGACACTTTCGAGAGCCTGTGCCGCCTGATCATCGATGTAGCCGTGCTCGTCGCCAAAGCATGCGACAGGTTCGCCGAGAAGGAGATCACAGGCTACCCGAGCGGGTACCTAGAGCGCGTTGTGAGCACTTCGACCACCACCAAGGCCCGCCTGCTGCACTACTACCCCGAGGACCCCACCAACGAGCCCGCCCCGGTGGCCATGGCCGACGATGTGGCCAACTCCAACGACCCGGACGAGGACGATTGGTGCGCTACCCACCTCGACCACGGCTGCTTGACCGGTTTGACGTCGGCCATGTTCGTCGACGAGTCCCAGTCGAACCCAACCGTGGCATCCCCGGAAGTCGAGGCGGCGGCGGCCACGCCCGAAGAGCCGTACCTCTTGTCGCCACTTCCTGAACTTGAGTCATCCCCGGACCCGGCGGCCGGATTGTACATCAAGTCGCGGACCGGCCAGACGGTGCAGGTCAAAATTCCGCGAGACTGCATCGCTTTCCAAACGGGCGAGGCCCTAGAACGCATTACCGGGGGCAAGTTCAAGGCTGTCCCGCATTTCGTGCGTGGCGCGAGAGCGGCGCTGAGTGAGGGCCGGATTGCGCGGAACACGCTCGCTGTCTTTACTCAGCCGAACCTGGGTGATGAGGTCGATATGCAGCACCATATCACCTTTGGAGAGTTTGCCAGAGGAATTGTGGCCAAAAATACGGTTTCATGAGGGTTTCGCCGGGTTGTATGCTGAGGTTGGTACTTGTATAACTGAGCTTATCTCATTGGCACAAGTTTAAGTCAATCCATGTTTGGCACCATGCGGTCTGACTACCTACCTACCTAAATAACACACATACTCGTGCTAAAACAAAGTCAATCGGACAATCGGCCATGAATATACAGATCCTTCATACCAACGGCCGCAGCTCCGTCGACTCCGTCGACTCGTCCCCTCGGTACGACTCGAACGGTTTTCGCGCCATGCGCATGTAGGTTCCCCAGGCGCCGAGCACCAATAGTGTGAGGCCGACGGTTGTCACTGCGTACACTATTTTGTTCGTCTCGCCTTCTAGCTGAAAGAGGTTTACCTGCCACAGTGCCTGTGACGCATCAGCTCCCTTCATGGCGATAGGCGGAGCATACACTTACCGTGGTGAACGTGGCTGGAAGAAACAAGACCCCCAGCAAGCCAATCGTCTTCATCATTCTGCTATCGCTAGCAGCGGACTGGGCAGCCCTGAGATTGTTATGGGCGATATCTCGATTCGTTCTGGCTTCTCTCTGTGCAATCATGTTGGTGGTCTACAGTCGGTGTATACGGTCAGCTTCAGCCTTCATCTTTGCATAATTGGAGGTCTTGTCCTTGCCATGCTGATAAGACCACGGAGACGCTCCTGCAGGTCGGTGGAACGATCTTGCACAGACTTGCAAATAGATAGGGAAGGTCGCAAGCATGCTTCGAAGGCCTCTCTCTCTCCGGGCTGGAGCCTTTTCCCGGGCCTGGCTTGCTCCACGATGTCCATAGCTTCCCGACAGTGGTCTGCATAACGCACTCCAAAGGCCAGGGCGACCTGAGAATGACAGATCTGAGCGTTCGTGGTGGCGAATTGTCGATTTAAGAAGTCGGGATTGGAGAGCTCCCTGGCTCGTTGCGGAGTCGGGTGGTTAAATTCCCAACCCGGAGGCGACATATCCAAGAGGACCTCAATTTCGTTGAGGCTGACCCAAAGACTGGCTACCCACTCCTCCCATGATGGAACCCGCTGGGCATATAGCAGTGCCAGAATACCCAAGGGGGTTGTCTGTAAGAGACCTCGGTGCTTGTCGCAGAGGTCCCGTACTTCGGCCAGCTCTGACTGTTCCTTGCAACTTACGAATGCGACGCTCTGGAGGCTGGGAAGTTCGACGCGCAGGATACAAGTGATCAATCCCATGCTTCTCGGCAGGCGGACAAAGAAGGCTGTGTCGTCCACGTATTAGCCAACTTCTGCCCCATTGGGTATTAATAAGATTACACGGGCTAGACTCACTGATAGCGGTTATCCGCTGTTGACAGACTGGGTCATAGTCGATTTCATAGAAAAAGTATCCTCTTACAGTCTTCGACATTGTTTCCTTGGTATGTGGCCTGAGGTGGAACAGATCGTTGATCCAGTCAAGCTCTGTCTTCCCGCCCTCGTCGATGCGCTTGAGGGGGTTGTAATCCGTTCGAGTGTCACCGTAGGCAGTTCTAGACTCAACTTCGTAAGAGAGCCACATGCCCTACGTTTCAGATCCTGCAATAGTCTCGAACTACTTACAGCAAGAAGAACGACGGCGGCTCGGTTTTTAGCTCTGATGTTCGTCTCTGGCAGTTGATGAGCTTCGCTCGCAGAGATGTCAAGTATCAAAAGAAATCACTCACAATTTCCCTGGCCTTATCAGCGACTTTGCCGTTGCCGCTCAGGTCTTCGTCTCTCCAAGAATGTTGAGAGATCGTCAAGCACCTGGCTTGAGAACTTAGGTCGGAGTCCCGGTATTTGTACTTATGCTGGGTATATGGAGCAGTATACCGGGCAGGATGCTGGGTTTTCATTTTGAGGACATCTGGTTCGGGGAAAGGCAACTTCTGTTTACCTTGTCAAAGGAGGATGCCAGCAAGGTCAGAATTAAATCGAAACTTTGAAGAGGCAGTCCAGTTTGGCATCAATATCAGGCACGCGACAAGGCTCTCCGATCAGGCAAAACCGAAGCAATAATCACTCCGCTGCGCCACTGTCATGAGCTGGCCGCCCAGCGGGCTGCAGGAGGCCGTGCAGGAGACGCCAGTATCCAATGACTGTCTAACCAGTTAAGAGAGGATCACGACCAGAGGTGGTGATCCTGGTCAAGTTGCGCATCACTTCATGGTCCAAAGTGAGCCGACAGAGGGCATTACCAGAAAAGAGCCCTGACTACCGGGGCCAGTGGCTTTGTTGCAGGCACTGCGGCTGGCAGCCAGTTTGTGCATTGGTTGTCACAATCACGGCTGGCACTGCAGTCGGCAGGCATTCCGGCTGCCCCCAGGCTGTTGATTTCGCAGGATCATGTGCCCTTGGATTGGCTGAGCCCGGCGACGACGAGGCTCTAGTGCGCTTACGAGTCCCGGGCCAGACTGTTCGCAAGGTTGTTGGCAAGATTGGCTGACAAACTGGGGTAGTTACATCTGTTGCTATACTTTGTAGTGTATAAGTCATTAAGGAGCCTGTTGCATGTGTCGAGTATCTACTGCTCGCCATCCACTTGCGGCATCGGACGGTTGATTTGAGGCAGAAGACCGAGGTTGAGGATGTCGCGTTGTGGAACGCTGCTCGCCCCACAACTCGGCATTAGTGTCGTCCACGACACGACACGGCTTGCCGGGGTGCTCCCAGTCCCCATTAAGTTTCAATGGAAGCTCCGGCACGACAAAATTGCCGCTCTGATAAAGGCGAACTTGACGTTGTCCCGAGTCGAGTTTTCGACTGTTCACTCCTTCACTTGGTTGTATTATTATTCTATTTCAGGCCCAGCAGTCATACCATTTCCTTCTACATTGTTTATTGTCTTAGTTGACCAATTGATTCGGCTTCGTTACCGGATACAAACGGAAACCCCCGTTTCACTCAGACAGCTCCTCCGGGCCATTCGACCGTCATGCTCACTCCTAATAAACTTGCCATATCGGCAGCGTGGCTGTTGCTCCTCGGGGCGACATCAGCAGCCGAGCGAGCCGCTGTCGACAGCTCCGACGTCACAACGACCATTACCACGGTGCTGACTACCACCACCGGGGTGCCAACTTTGCTCTCCACTGCGCCAAACGATGCGACAGACAGCGTCCTCAGCACGACGACAGGCGCCGCCAGGCCAGCACCCACCAACCAAAAAGGCGCTGCCGAGTTGGCCGCTTGCCACAACACAGACGGCGAGTTCAGGCCGTTCTGCCTGCCCAAGCACAACGACGTCTACTACCCAGACTCGATGCACTACAGTATGCGCGCCTGGCCTAAACCATTTTTATCTTTGCGTCCCCCATGTCATATGTACTAATAATCACCTCACCACGCAGTAACCTGGGACCCCTCTTTCTTCCCAGGCGCCAACACGACCCTCAAGCTCATCGGCTTCTACACCAACACCTCGGAACCAACCCCGACCAACGCGGGCCCGCCGACCGGCGAAGAACGAGCTTTCAGCTCCGAGGACATCGAAGCAGGCTGGGGCCTATACGAATGGCACATCCCCGGGTCGCTGCTCTCCCGCACGGGCCACGAGCTGATCAACATCACCCTGCACATGGTGGCGCTGCCCAAGGGCGCCGCCCGCGCGCAGTGGCTGACGGGGCCGACCATCACGCTGCGGTGGAAGCCGAAGCCGCCTCCGGCGCCGAAGCCCCCGAAGAACAGCGCGCAGGAGCTGTACATTGCGCTGCCCCTCGTGTTTGGGTTCGCCGTGCTTATGATTGTGGGCACCTTCTTTATGAATAGGCAGATTAGGCGGATTGGTGTCGGGAATGTCATAACCAGGACGCGTAGGGGTGCTGCTGGGGTGCTGGGGAGGAGGAAAGGGGGTAATGGTGTCGGGGCGAGTAAGAGGGATCGGGCGAGGAATCAGGATAAGGAATTGGGGATTCGGTTGATGGAGCGGGATGGGGCGGTGATGGAGTCCGATGAGGAGAGGGCGGGCAGTTGGGAGGAGGGCTGGGGGAGTCAGGACAGTGGCGGGGCTGGGAGGAGGGTATTCGAGAGGGTTGGTGGTAAAAGAGACTAACTAGGGGCTGGGTAGGTTGTACCTTGGGGCACGAATTGGCGTTGGCTTGGGGAGAATTGAATATAGACGCGAGCAATACAAGAAGCGAGTAAGTTTCATCAGGACAATGTGTCTCCAGGATCATTGCCTTCCACATCCACAACCAAGATTGCGAATGCGTACCGTGCGCCCAACTGGTTTTATCCATTACGCCTATCATCACAAACAAGCGCCAGGGGGCGTCCATCGTTCACCAGAGTAGCTAAACGAGATCCACGCCATAAGCTTCCAGTTTGCCCCTAAACCAACTCTCTTAAACCACCTTACCCGACCTAGCTAGACCGGAAGCAAATCAAACTCCGAGCACTGTCCAACACCTTCCAACCTCTCTGATGGTATTCCCATAACACTAAGGAAAACCGATTCCACATCACTCCCAATTGATCTCCCAACTCTCCGCCCACACTCTCTGAGGGAACAACTGATTCAACCCATGCAACAGCAGCACAGCACTGTCCTGATCATACGTCCAGTGCCCAGAGTCAAGCGCGTGGCTGTTCAGCCAGACCCTGACAGGCTTCTTGGCCAGACCCATGATAGTGGCGTTGCCAAAGGTGTTGTCGTCAATGTAGTCGCTGCCGAGGAGCGATTCCGCGGAGAGGGACCGGCTCGTGGCGGTGAACTGTGCGTAGGTAAAGGCACTATGTTAGCCATTGTTTCTTCGGACTTGAAAATGCGAAGAGAAAGGATAGAGGGATAACCTACGCGAATCTCGCTCGAAGTCATCGGCTCCAGGCTCTCGCCATCATCAAGATAAAGCCACCCCTTCGCAGCCTGGTTCTCATCCAGCGCCACAATGAGGCCCCACGGGTTCCTCCTGCTCTCCCACGTTGTCATACCCGGCTCCTGGATCGGCACCACGCTGCCGCCGCGCACATACAGCGGGATATGCCCCAGCGGCGCATCGATCGTGACGTTCTCACCCGGCCCAACGCCCGTCACCGCCGTGCGAGTGTACCAATCATACCAGACCGTCCCGGCCCCGACGCCTGGGAACACGCCATTGACCGTAGTGGCCCCCTGTTCGAGGCACGGCACGACCATGAGCGCGTCGCCGAGCAGAAACTGCCGGTCCGCGTCCGCCAGCCACGGCTCGTCGGGGAACTCCCACGCCAGGGCGCGCATGACGGTGCGCCCCTCAAGATTCGCCAACCACATGAGCGTATACAGGTACGGCAGCAAGGAGTAGCGGATCCTCATGGCGGTGCGCGTCGCCTCGGCCACGCTGCTCCACACGTACGGCTCCTGCGAGATGGCCCCCAAAGTGTTGTGGTTGCGGTAGAAGGGGAAGAAGGCGCTGAGCTGCATCCAGCGGGCGCACAGCTCGAAGTCGGTGTTGCCGCCGAAGCCGCACGTGTCGACGCCGAACATGGAGACGCCGAACAGGGAAAAGGAGAGCGCCTGCGGGATGCTGAAGTACAAGTACGCCCAGCGCGCCTCGTTGTCGCCGCCCCAGTGGCCCGCCCAACGGCCCGATCCGGTGAAGGTGCTGCGTCCGATGATGAACGGGCGCTTGCCCTCGTGAATTTTGAGCAGGGCTTGGTAGGTTGCGTTGAGGATCTGGTGGCCGAAGAGATTGTGAAAGTCGTACTCGAGGTAGCCGCCGTGGTGGGTTGCGTTTGGACTGATGGCGTGGACGGCCAGGTCACCGTGAAAATTGTTAACTGCATAGGGCGGCCAGTCGACGTTCCTTACTCCAGCGGTAGGCGTGGTGCGGTAGAAAGACGTTGGGCTCGGGGCGGCGGCTGTCTTTGTGGCCTCCTGTTCACGCAAGGAGGAGAGAGCCGAGTATGCCTCAGACATGTTGGTGCGCTCGAAACCCTCCGGGTAACCCAGGACGAGGTTTCCAGGCTCTCCTGGGAGACTAAACGGCGGGTGGGCTGGGTTAAGCGTCAGGTTTCCGGTGCCACAGCTCCCGACGCAGAACGAAGCAACCTGGGACATACAGTCAGTGGAGGGTGTTTTCAGCCCACAGCGGGTGTACGTTACCTCTGACATGTCAATCCACAACCCGTCAAACTGTGAAAGTTAGCTACATCCTTCTTTTGCTTTTACACCACCTGGGTTCAAATGAAGACCACAACTAGACGCGAAACAAGAGTAGGCATGATGGGACGACGCACCGCTATTTTCTCAGACCACATCGACAGCTCATTGATCCACCAGTCAATAGCGCCGCTGCCATTCAGCACAGCGCCAACCCAGTCAGGAAACACTACCCTTTGTTAGCAGAGATCGAACGCAAGATAAGTGGTAAAACAAACCAGTATAACCAGGCCAAACAGCTCCGTAATAGATTGAACCATCCGGGTTCATGACAAACGCATCCGCATCGACTCCGCGATCGTACGGAGGATAAGCATCACTCGAGTTATTGGGATTCGGGGCGTAAATGGCAGAGTCAATGATGGGCACGTAATGCTGGTGGTTAGCGTGCAGCTTGGCTAGGAACTGGGCGCCTTCCTCGTAGCTGAACCGCTCAGGGTCGTTCTCAAAATTACGGTACTGCTTCATGTAGTCGATGTCGGCTAGCATGTGTCAGTCCACCCACCCAGGCTATTCTTGACTAAAACGCCCAAAGAATCGGTGGCCAGGAGACTTACTCCAGATTGTCTCGAGTGGTATCTCAGCTTTGGCAAAGTTGTCGATAACCTCCTGCAACACGGTCCAACTGCTGTACCCCCAGCGACACTGGTGGAAGCCGAGGGTCCAGTACTGTTGCATGGCTGGGAACCCGGTCATAGTCTCATGGTAAGTCTTCATCACGTCGTCGGCCTGGGGTCCGCTGTAAAAATACAGGTCAACCGTGCCACCCAGCGCCCGCCATGTGATGCCGGATGGTCTCAGGAGGACCTCCTGGGCATGGGCGTTACGGAGGTAAACGCCATGCGTGTATGATACATATGCGGCCGAAGTGTCGGTGGCATTCGGGACGTAGGTCAGCTTGCCCGAGTCGTCGGACGTGAAGTACCTCGTGTCGAGATAGATTGGATGACTGCCGTAAATGTTGGCATCAATCACGTCGCCTACATCAGCCGCGAAGAGAGTCCCTGGAACCGATCAGCATTGAGTCCTATTAAATCATCCTCAGGGCAGGCGTACTTGTCAAGTTGTTTCCCAAACGGAACCCGTGAATAACCTCGCCGAGACCATACAGGTTGTAGTTCTCGGGAAGCGGGGAGGCGAACTCGATGAACTGGTCCTCATAGACGAGGATCTTCCCATCGGTCGAGAATAGAGTGTCCCCCGTGCTCTTGCGCTTCACGGTAAAGGAGAAGGTAGGGTCGTTCGACCATGACACCTCCAGCTCAGGGCCTCTGTGTTTCCCCATTGAGCTTTCACTGTCCCGTGGGACGAGTTGTGTTGGTAGAAGGAACCAAGTCTCATTTTCCGGGCCGATGTAACGGGGCCGGATCTCGACATGGACGCGGTCGTCAAAATGGTAGTCAATGGACAAGGTGAGATGCTCGATATCGGTTCCGTAGACGCTGCATGGTGGCCCTGCGAGATCCAGGTCTGCCTTGAAGGCCGGCCCGACGGCGCTGTCCACGTTCCGGATATTGGATGCCTTATAACCTGGGCACACCGTCTGGGGGTCAACGGCTTGGGGGTCCTTGATGTTGGGTAGGATGTTCCTGCCCACGTCGGCCGAAGCAGGAAGGGTAAAGACGGGCGCCGGATTGGTAGTGAGGCTCGTCTGCGCAGGCCTCAATGCGGCGGTTGACTGGTTACTCTGGCCTGAAGCTGTATGCAGATGTAGGGCTGTGAGCACCATGATTGAAGCGAAGGTGAATACAGCCATGGCTGAAATCAACCCGGGTCTCTTCGCGAGGCGGTTTCGGAGTGACGTAAAGCGCTTCACGAATATATGGACGAGACCGAGAAGAAATAGCAGCACGAGGAGCCCAAAAAATATATCCTCCTGCACTCCACGATGGCCAGCACCGAACGGGTATTTTATCCAATTCCGCAGAGCCAGCCGTGCCGGTGACCCAAGGCACGGGTCGGCTTTGGTATGCCGAAGTGCCTCCCGTTGGCTCTGGACGACGCGTTCACCGGTGAGTTCGGCCAGAGTAGGCCAAATTCCAGCAACTAGAACAAGAAGCAAGCGACTGATAGCTGCAGTTGGCCGTGTAAAGCTTGCCGATGCCGGGCCGGAGAGCATCTGCAAGACGACGTCAGCCGGGGACGGTTCAGACACTCCTCTCATCAGGCCGGCATGTGCGAGGTCAGAAGCCAGGATTGGTCAAGAGTAGAGGGAGACATCCCACTTACAGTCTCGGATCTATCTTGGGCTCTGGTGCAGGAGTCTGTTGCACGGCCCGACGCTGGAGCAAACACCGCCATTCTGGTGACTGTGCGTGTGTTCGTGTCCATGTGGAGAAATTGGCCGTGTTCAAGCTGCAGCCTTCCTCTTCTTCTCACTGAGAGGGCTGGGAGCGGAGTGTGGACGGGCGGTTGGACCGAGCGAGATAGTGAGTCTATGACATCCATGGTTACGTCGGTGAGTAGCACCGGACACAACTGATGCAAGCCGGCATTTGACCAGTTTCGTAGCCAACTACGAAGCGTTACGCACGAAAATGTAGGATCACAGCTGCAACCATGGATGTTTGCCGTCGCCGAGAGTTGAGCCGTCTGGATATTGCGATGCGACGCATGGAGAAATGTCGACGATCACGTATCTGTCCTGTATCTTGACGGAGCTCTGTCTGCGGCATAGGTAAGAAGAAGGTCAAGACCTGTGAGGTGAACAAAACTACGATTGAGAACCGGATTTTGGATGAGAGACTGACAATAAAGCTACCCGCGACTGAGATCTTGGAGCGGGGCAGTCCAGTGCACAGGCATCGTAACACAGAAGTAGATCGAGTCCTGTGCCAAAGTGATCGGCAAATCGCAGTGCTACAGAACCCGCAACTGCCTCATGTCGCACCGTCTGGGAAGCCGCTGCCCGTGTCGAGAGTCCGTACGGAGACACAATGTGAGCACTCCTTGCTTGTGTTGAAACAGATGATACTATCCTAGTTGCATTAGCTGTGTGGACTGCTGCATGACAAGTAGGGCGGTTCTCCGTTCTGAGATATGATAGTAGGTATAAAATCAACAGCTGCCAGCCCACTGACGGCCGTTCGTTTCTTTCTCGTCCCGAAATGTTATAAGTTATGCGCCTGGACCGCCGAGTTTCTCTTCATCGAAAGGTCACGTCCCCAATTTGGCCCCAACCATACATAGCAAAGTACAAACACCAGACCTTTGGCCGAGTTGATCCCACAATGCAAGAAATACTCACCCACTTGACACCATAAACGAGGGGTGTAGAAGCGACATTCAGTACCCGAGGATTTGCCTATCCAGACGCCCTTCCCCCTTTAACTCCCATCACGTTAAAACTCCGTCGCTGATATCCAAAACATCGCTCAAGGAAACAGAAAACATGAAGCGACCGCGGATGCCCAGAACTCAATAACTCAAGTCAACATGGCCCAATTGCGACAACATCTTGGCGTCCTGCGAATTTGTCGATGTTGTATTGGTCGTCGAGCTCCCGGCCGTGTCCGAGTGCGAAGTGCTGGTATGCGACGATTGGAGCTCGAGCTGCGGTTCGACGGGGGGAATGCCGCTGTCCGAGAAACCAAAATCCCGCATCTGCTGGAAGCTCCAGCTTGGTTCGAATCCCCGACTGTTCCACGCGCGGTCCACCCGTTCGTACATTTCGTCGATCTGTTCGAGGCTGATCTTGCTCGTCTCGTACACCATATACCAAACAAAGGCGATGGAAAGGATGCAGAAGGCGCCCCAGAGGAAGAACACCCTCGAACCCAGGTCGACCGATCCCGCAGCGGTATTCGAGGTATCCACAAGATATGGGCTGCCGTACGCGATGCCAAAGTTCAGGATCCAGTTCGACGCCGTCGAAACGGACATCGACTTGGCGCGCACTTTGAGCGGGTATATCTCGGACGTGACGACCCAGACGACGGGGCCCCAGGATGCCGCGAAGAAGAAGATGTACACGGCGACAAAGATGATGAGGATTATGTTCTGAGTCCACTGGTTGTTGTTCCCGCTGGCAGTGGCGAACGCGGCAATCAAGAGCTGGCAGATGGCCATCCCTACGGCTCCCACAATGAGCAGCCTCCGCCGACCCCATGACTCGACAACAAACAGGCCGGGGATTGTCGAAACCATATTGATAACCTGGATGATGAGCGAAATCGTGAACGGGTCCTCGACCCCCGCTCCGTTGAAGAAGGTGGTTCCATAATACATGATGAAATTGACGCCCGTCAGTTGCTGCAGCATCTGCAGGCCACAGCCTGTTAGCGTTCGACGGCCGAGGTGGGGTTCACCGAAGATAATGTCCTTGTACGTGTCCGGACCCAGGGCCATCTCGTACTCGTGATTTGCTTGGATTTCGGCTAGCTCCTCGATCAGGGCGGGATGTGTGATGTCGAGGCGGCGGAGGCGGCTGAGAGAAAGCCCAGCGGCATCTTTGAGCCCACGCTTTACCAGATATCGAGGCGTCTCAGGGAGAATAAGTAGACCCAGGGCCAGGACAACGGCCCAGGTGAGCTGCAGTCCTATCGGGATACGATATGCTGCGGCTGAGGGCAGGCGGTATGTCAGTATATTAACCACCGAGGCGGCGAGCAGGCCTGCCGTGATAGATAGCTGGTATGCGCAGACCAGCGTTCCTCGAATCCATTTGGGCGCCATTTCCGACTGGTATAACGGGACCAACACCGAGACGATCCCGACACCGATGCCCGCGACCGTCCTGTTCCAGAGTTAACACGGGCTGCTAGGGAGACGCGACGGCATACAGGCATGCCGAGCGACAGTATATCGGTACGCACCTCCCCACCACAAGAAGCGCGACGTTGGTTGCGCATACTTGAAATATCCCGCCGATGCAGAAGACGCCGATGGCGAAGATGAGCGACAGTCGACGACCCCAGCGATCCCCTATCGGCGCTGAGCACAAAGCACCAACCGCGGTCCCAGCGCTGAGCATGGCGACAATCAAGGACACCTGGCTCGGACTCATGGCTGGCCGCCCGTAATCGTCCTTGAATCCCGTCGAAAAGTCCTCCTTAAATGGCTCCATGGCCAGAATCCCGTTGATCGCCCTGCGAAAGACACCCGCGTCAGCCGATCCCTAAGCCCCTCGTCCTGCAGCGCATGCACCATTCAAACGACCGTCCCATTCGGTATTACGCTTACCCAGTGTCGTAGCCGAACAGCAGTCCACCCGTGGCGACAAACAGCCCGACCATGATTGCCGGCGCCGAAGAGCCAGCGACATTGTCGGGTTTATGCCAGCCCATGGCGAAGACCGCCATGGTGCAAGAGGACGGGGTGCCCCTTTCAAGCCAGATTTGATGTCGCTGCCGCCGAAGCTGTGGGGGGTTGACGATGCGAGGTTGAAGCGTGCCGTGGGACCATCTGAAGCGAGAGGTGGTTGCTCGCCTGTGTGTGGGTAATATGGGGCGGAAGGGAGGAACAGGACGGGCATGCTTCGAGATCAGCAGTTTTGGCCCGCAGCCAGGTGACCGCACTGTCATTGGTTCAACTTCGACCCAGCCAGGGAGTCTGTGCTTTGGTTCGACTGCCAAAAGCCCTCCTTTGCATCCAATCATAACCCGGTCACCCCAGGATCCCACCTGGAGCCACCGACTCTTCCCCCTTGACCCGCCTTTCCGGATCCGTGAAAGTCACGGCGCTGGTGCAGCGCTGGCTTCCTCCATCAGACCAAGTTTTCTCCGTTCAAAGCGGCTTGGCGTAGCTCGACGATCTTTAACGTTGAATCATGACCGACCTCCATCTCGAAATGGCTGGAGAACTCTGTGTCTGAGTCTGCTTGTCGTTCTTCTAACAAACGGTCGACCTCGAAGCGCTCGGGCGAGATAGACGAGGTGGTCAGCGTGACTGAGCGGGAGTCCCACTGCGGAGATTCCAGTGTCCCCACCCGTCCCGCTGTCTGGGCACTGCCTTTTCAAAACATGAGAAAAGAAAACCAAGACAACTGGGCAAGTGGGACCCAACTGAAGTCAGCGAATCACCGACTTGCGAAATCGGGTATGGAGTTGAGTGGGCTTCAATGAATACTGGTCACCGTTCGTTACCCAGTGCTCCGTGGTAGTGAGGCACTGTATGATCGGAAAATTTGTGCGGTGGGAAGCTACAGAGGTACACGTAAGTAGTCTCACTGACAGTGTGTGCAAGCGAGATCTGGCAACCTTTGAGGTACAGTACTCCGTACAAAACCTGGAGCCGGACGTTTAGCGGCCTCGGGATTTCGCGGCAGTCCTCGGCAGGTGGATGGATACCTTACCCAAGCGAGCTGCCGAGAGTGCTAAAGACATGAGACAGCGAGTTCCATTGTGACCAAACACTATGCCCAATCTTGGGATTGCTCCGCCGGAGTATATCTCCCTCTGAGATCGAGATTGAGCCTCCTAGTCTTCCTCCTGCACGAACACCAATGCTGAGAACGATGACTTATCTTCGTTTGTGGGTCACAGTGCTTGGCACGGAATGCGGGGAGAGGACCCGACGGACACGTGCGGACCGTCCATCAGTGTCTCAAGGAATCCACTGCGGCATATACCGTACAGAGCGCTATGATAATACGAATGTAGTCCGTACATACGGCATATCCGAAATTTGCTTGGCTCTCTTCCTGCTAAACCTGAGTCGGTCCCACACGAATTTCAGAAGACCCGTCTTGCACTATTCCCCCACTGTGAATCTAAACTTCTCGACCTTTGCTCCCCATCAAATCCGAGCTGGCCATCTCACCAGACACGGACAACATTCAGAAAAGTCCTAGTCTTTACGTGTATGGAGGCGTTGACCTTTCATGAAAGAATGCTATGTCGCACAACATAGCGATTTCGCTGCTGATGGCCAAACTACCTTAGCCACCAAGCGCTGTGTTCAAGTTTGCGCTGTGATGGCCACAGTTTGCAGCCAGCAATCCAATGTCCTTGGACAGTCTCCTCTGCAATTCGGTAATCAGGTAGTACACGGTCTACGTAGATTGTCTCGATGCATATTCCGTAGTTGGTCCAGACTAAGGTACAGTACCTTATTTCTTAGTTTCAGCCGCTCACAAGCAATTCATGCCCAATGCTCAACGTTATGTAATCGATGACTACATGGATTCACACAAACCTCCTCCCATACTACATAGGGTACTCTCTCTGTACAGACATCTGAAGGGTGTTTGTCGCTCAGAACGCGAAATAGGCCACAGTTCTCACCTTACTGGTACTCTACCGTCTGTTGCCTCCCAGGGGACTTCACCCCTCTTTCCAAAACAGACCCGTTCTGCGATGCTCTCAAGGGACAGGCAGTGGCCAGTGGAGGAAGAGAGCCGTGCTCCATCCAAGGACCGGCCAACAATAACAAACTGGTCTAACCACCTGGACCAACTTTCCCTAGCTTCGCTAACCTGGTTTCCGTCTCTCGAATCTCTTGGGCAGGCGCAGGCGGTGGCACAGGGCTGCGGCTGGCATTGGCTGCCACCGTCCTGCCTGCGCCGCCGCCCGGAACCAGCCCTGGCCGTGCCACGACCTCGGTGCAGCTCTCGCCAATGGCTGGCCGGTCTCGCTTGTGGAATTAAGCACAGAACCAGACAAGACTAGGCAGGGCGAGGTCCTGCTGGCCAGAAGCATCGAAGCAGCAGGCCATGGCGTGTTTTGTGGCGTCGAAGCGATTCCTCCCCTCAACAGAGGAAGGAGGAAGCAAGGGGAGCAGCGTTGCTTTCCTATCGCCGCAACATCAAGCAGTGAGTCGAGAGAAAAGACGCCGCCCATGTCTCGAAGCTCACTGCCGACAATACCTGTCCTTCCCGCTGGTCCCTTCGCCCTGTTCGAGTTGCCCTTCTCAGCACCCGAGTTGGTCCTCAGTTCGATGTTGTGAAACAGTGGTACCGGAGTCAACCCCGACGAATCCTCACAACAAGGGAATCTCCGTTAATGACCTCCCTTCTTAGAAAAATACATAGCAAATTGTAAGTATTACAAACCGACAACCGACCGTTTGTAAGCCCCTGGCCGGTTGCTGAACAACTCCTCCGTACCTGTAGGTTCCGAACAACATCCCTTGGCCAGATCCACAAACTCTCTTACACTCCGACAATCGCCCCATCGCCGGCGGTGAACAGCTACACAGCAGAGGTCAACCTCGTGTATTCGGTAAAAGGAAGTAAGCCGGACTATTGAGTTCTCCCGCTGGCGCCGTCCAAAAGCAGGACTGTGCATTCCTGATTGCACTCACACCTTGTACTCTACTTTGCGATGAGGATGTAGACCTTTTGTAGAAGCAAAGTAAGTAAATTTTGTGATGACACAGATTCTACGAATCCAGGTACACGGTCAAGCACACAGCATGTAGTCGATGGCGAAGAGACACTCTTTCGGCGACTCCCTGATGTTGGTAAATTCCCACGACAGGAGGTCAGATGTCAACATGGCTTCTTCCCGCCAGAGCACTTCAAGCAGGGAGAAGAATACAGCTAGGATACGGGAAGGAGCAGTTGAGCCGAGCGATGCCTCAGTCTCCGTTGCGTACATCTGGGAGTGATCAGCGGAACTTGAGCACTCGGGTTTATTTATTATGTAGATATCTCTTCTCGAATTGCTGTGTTGTGTCATCTCTGCATCGTTATCTGTCTCCCACTCTGGCTCGGCTACTTGAAGGCGGCCTGAGCAGACGCCACCTTGATTACAGCAGGAAGAGGAAAGCATGAGGCGACATAGGCTAGCGACCAACGGCAGCCGGAGACAAAGCGAAAAAAGCGTGAGGAATAGAAACCGCTCGCCCTACCCCCTACGGCGTGGCTGAACAGGAAACAATGGTGAGACGGGACGCCGACAAACAAACACCACGCTTTCATCTTCGGAAACGGCAGAGTGTTGCCAGTACGAGGACAGAGGCGTCAAACCTCATGAAAGGTACCAATTCCCGTACACGACTCTTCATGCTAGGGCCACAGTCTTAATCATGAAGTTTCACATTGTCCCAGGCCCCGAAAGCGAAAAAAAAAAAACGCTATCAATACAAGCAGGCATCTGCCTTGCCTAAGCCAGCGACGGATCCAAAATTCCAACTGGTACCTTTGCTCCCAGTAATAACTCGAAATGCAAATGATACACATTCCAACCCCAGCCACTGCTTCATCTCCACGGCCTAGCATCTCCTTGATCCCAGTCTATGAACTTGCGCCTCACCAGAGCCTCCCTGTCAAGCCGCGCCGTACCACCCAAGGAAAACATACCATGTCCGTTCTCGGACACCGTGGCCTTAAGGAAAACTAGATCTCCAGCGTGACCTTCTGGCCCTTGACCCGCCCAATGACCTGCTCGGGGGCATACTTGGGAATGACCTCGTCGTCGTGGAGCATCTCAAACTCCTCGGAGGCGTCGCGGCCCATGAAGTTGAGAATGGCCTGGGGTCCGCCCGGGTGGTCATTGAGCCAATTGGTCAGGTCCAGCACAACGCCCTTGACCACGACCCAGAGGTCGTCCTTCTTGTTGTGCTTGGCGACCTCCTCCATGGTGTACTCTGTCTCAGGAATCGTGAAGGCCTTGGGCGGGTTAGCCTTCTTGGCTTCTTGCTTAGGGGCGGGAGCGGCGCCGGCCGAAGCGGCTTGCGTCTTGGGAGCCTCACTGCTGTTACTGCTGGCACCGGCCCACTCAACCGAGATCTTGCCCGGGGTCGAGGGGTCGATGTGAAGGGCAATCTGGCCAAGACGAGCCACCCCGGGGGAGGTGCCCTTGAGGACCTGCTGGAAGAGATAATTGCTTGCGGAGTCGCCGGCAACACGTCCGTAGACGACGCAACCCAGCAGTGACGAGCCACCCAGGCGGTTGGCGCCGTGCACACCGCCGGCAAGCTCACCGCAGGCGAACAGACCCTCAAAGGGCTTCTGCTCCTTGTTGAGGACCTGGGCCTTGTCGTTGATCTCGATGCCGCCCATGGTGAAGTGGAGCACGGGCTCCATCAGGGCGACGTGGAAAGTATCGCTGATGTCGAGGGGCATGTTGTGGAAGAAGCGCTTGCCCCAAGGGTCCTTCTGCTTCCCCTCGGCAATGGCGTTGTAGGTCTGGAAGGTCTTCTGAAGATGCTCGGGGGTGCAGCCAATTTCCTTGGCAAGTTCCTTGCCAGACATCTTCTTCATGAGGCCACGGCCCGAGTAGTGGCGGGTGTGGAAGTCGAGCGTGTTGGACGCCTTGGAGTTGAGAACCAGGCGGATGGGAAACTTGCCCTTGTCCTTCTCCTTCCACATCATACCCGACACGTAGTCACGGTGGCCGAGCTCGTCACAAAAGCGGTCGCCGTCGGCGTTCAGGAGGATACCGCCCTCGCCACGGAGAGCCTCGGCAGCCAAGAACTTCCACTTGGAACCGGGATCCTTGGGGTCGACGAGACCAGTCGGGTGAACTTGAACCTTGTCCATGTCGATACCATTGCCGCCAATGGCCATGACCATCTTCTGGCCGTCACCGGTGGCGTGCGAGCCGTTGGTGGTGGCCAGGCCGAAGGTGTCGGGCCGGTGCTGCTTGAGAAGCGAGCCCTCCCCGAAGTCGGCAGCATAACCACCGGTAGCGAGGACGACGGGGCCGTCCAAGGACAGGGTCTCGCCGTTGTGCTCGTACTTGACGCCCGTGATGTGGTTACCCTCCTTGTTGAGACTTGTGACCTTGGCCTTCTTAATGACGCGGACGCGGTGGGGCTCAGTCTCCGCGAGCTCCTCGAGCCTCTGCATCAGGGCGTAAGTGATGGCCATGCCGGGGAACTTGGCATCATGGCCGCGGTGGGTGCGGGGTTGAGAATGACCACTGCAGATTGATTAGACTCAGAAAAGCCTACATCAGGAGGCAATGGCGGCGCAAAAAGATAACTTACCCCAGGCGGGAAACGAGTGTGAGGTCCAAGTTGAACACATCCTGCAACCACTCGACGGCAGCGGCGGACTTGTAGGTAAGGACCTTGATCAGGTCGGGCCTCGCCTTGTCACGGGCAGACTTGAGCGTGTCATCGTAGAACTGCTTAACACTGTCCTGAATGCCGTGCTCAACCTGTGTCCTTGTGAGGGCACCGTTGATGCCGGATGTGGCCTTTGTCGAGTTGCCGCCGAAGAAGCCCTGCTTGTCGAGGACGACGACGTTACCGCCGTTAAGATAGATGGTGTGGGCAGCGCTGAGGCCAGAAACTGCAGCATTACAATCGCGGTCAGTACCATGACGACAGCATGCGGGGGGCTTGCAGTGCGGCGTGATTCACTTACGGCCGCCGCCAACAACAATCACGCTCGGTGCCATTGCGATGGGGTATCTGAAATAGACTGGTGGAAGGAAATAAGAAGGGAATGGACTTTGATGTCGTTGAGAATCAAAAGATGCAAGGGGAAAGAGAAGGGCGAGAGCGTTAGGAATGTGCCGAGTAGTTATCTGAGCGATGGCTGTTCCCGCCGGGCTAACAACGGCCGGGCCAGGCGTTGGTATTGCTGGGACGCTGATTCGTGAGCCGAGGTCGATGCCGGGGAAGGACAGGGGCTTTCTGGCTTTTTGCCTCTGGGAATCCGCTCTTGATGAGGCTATGCGAGACAATGCCAGGACGCACTCACTTCACTGAAACACAGACAGTTCCCAATTTCTGAGACCATCACAATGTAGTTTATATTATAGAGCGGTTTTCCCAGCCGTTATCGAGACGAGAGTGCCTAAGAACTTTCCGAGAACGCTCCTGCCTATGGGCGGTACTTGCCTCTCTCGCATTCATCTCGGCCGAGGACAATTGAAAAGTGGATCCGAGGGTCCCGGTAGATGGGCCGAGGCTTGACAGGGCATCCAAAACGGTGCACCCAACCCCAGACACTTCTGTCCCTGGGTTTTCACAAGTGTGGGGTAGCGTCACAAAAGAACACCGAGCAAAAGACAGCGACGGCGACGGCGACGGAGACAGCGACATCTGCGTGACGTTCTAGGAATCGGCAGTTCGAGAGGATCTTGCATTCTCTGCCGTCTCAAATGGCACGGAGACATGATCTCTTGCCCCTGCCTTCTTCCTTCCCAACCCCATCTGGTCCTCGGATCCTCCCAATGCGCAGCCATGGGTTCCTCCAATTCATCATTTGCATGTGATGCAGGAAGTGACACTTTACTTGCTCGGTCTGAGACCCCTCCAGATTGGCCATCCGATCGGCCATGGGAACTCTGCCTGCCCGATATCAAATCGGGCTATGACCCCAGTCCCGTCGTCCCATCGCTTCATCCACAGTGGCCGCCAAGCCGTGTGGGCTTGGTGAGATGGAGGGATGTGGAGGTCAAAGTTGTTCCCGTTGCATGTGATCGGCCCTCGAGCCCGTCTGCAGCCAGTCAACGCAGTCAGCTGTCCGGTGACTCCTGGCCTTCCACTCTTCAACATTTATCGGGGTTTGCACAATGAACCGCAGCGCATACAGTTCGAGCTTGCTGGTTTCGAAGTGATGGGTACCAATAACTACAACTCAGCAACCGACCCCGCTGCGAGCGCCTCACCACTTCGGGGCTGCGATCTGGGACATGCGATGGAAGAGGTCAAACACAAATCGGATACTCCCGATACGACAAGTCAACCTAATGGTCGCAGTCGACGCTGGAGTCTGATGTGTTGCCAGCGAGAGCGAAGCAGTCGCACCAGCTGGGCTGTCAGATGACACCTTACGTCACCACCAATGGCATTCTCCCCTTCAATCCATGGCGGAACATTCCCGGTTTCGCCAACGACTAGACTTCACGCAAGAGCGACAGTCAAACGACAAGAAACAGGCTTATCTCGAAAACGGCTTGAGAGTATACTGAAATCAGCCGAACATGCGATTATTCCTCCTGCCTCTTGCTGCTTTAAGTGCTACCGTTTCCAGCCAACTTGTCGTGCCTCTTGTTCGGAGTGATTTGGTACACAAACCGTTCGACCAAGATCAGGCGTCGCTCATGGATCCTGCTGGTCCTGGCCCGGCGATGCCCCCCTCTGGGCCGACTCCGGCTGATCCGCCATCGAACTCGGGGGGCGGTGTGGTGCTTTCCGACGTGATGGGTCGTGATAGGAGTATCAATCTCTTCGCAGGGTATGTCTGCTCCGGCCAACAGATCCCTGACAGTCCATTGGCATCGCGAGCTTACCGATACTGCTACAGCTTCGTAAGAGACATTGAATCCGCCTCCCGCCGCCTCGAAGATTCGGCGCAGAACACGACCGTACTGGCGCCCCTCAACTCGGCGGTCGAGAAGCTACCCCGGAAACCGTGGGAGGATCCCAGAGACTACGGCGCCCTCGGTCCCGATGCATACGAGGGTGGAGAAGGGCATGAGCGAGCTCAGCGCAACCTGCGCAGGTTCGTGGAAGCGCATTTGGTGCCTGTGAGCCCATGGCAGGAGGGCGAGCAAATGAAACCGATCGGAGGTGACCGGGAGATTTGGTGGGAAGAAAAGGATGGGACGCGGCTCGTGAGTAACACGTTCCTGCATGTTGTATCTCTGTTGGAGATGACTGCCGCTGACTAACGAGCGTAGATTCAACCGGGCGCGATAGAGGTTGTCAGTGTCGCGGGAGACGTTGCAAATGGTCAAGTGGTATGTCCAGTCAATTGTCGGCTCCCTCGAAAAACTGATTGACATCAACTGACCGGTGATCTATCGGCAGTGGATCATAAAGGGCGTGCGCAATTATGCCTGAGGATCAGGAGGGTCAGAGAACATCGCAATGGCTACAACGCGACGATATGGCGGCGGGTCTGTATAGAAGCCGAAAGTTGTATCAAGGCCCTCTTAAATGGAGGGGCCTGTCTCCGTATTCAATTAAGATTTGGCCGCCCCTGCTTTTGCTGGCAAGAGCAGTGTTTCTCAACAGACCGGTGCTCGCAGCGGCGGCGTGGCGCCCTCAAAACCACTGCTCAACGTCGTGATTCCTGAGCGTCTCGTAGCCCACGGTTACAAGCAGAAAGTCCATGACCATGCGAGAACGGATACGGATAGTCAACTGACATGGGGAGCTCGGAGGATGAAATGGAGCAATCAGCACCCCGAGGTTTTGCCGCATATCTTATCGTGGCAAAGGGGCAGAGATCTCCGGGCTGCTGCGGCACGAGCAGCTATGGTTTCAGGGTCACAGAACGATCTGATTGAGCACAATCCGCATATTTTCCCCTGCATAAGAAGATGCCGTCATCTCTCTGACACACGTACCCTTTATTCCCACTCAACGAGCCAACGAGTACTCTTCCTTCTTGCGTGCCTCGAGCTTGGAGTTCGCGTCTCGGACGTTGTGCAAAACAGCCTTATGAGAAGATCGTCGCAGGCTGTAAGCGGAAGCTCCTTGGCTCGCTCGCATCGGCCTTTTGCTTCTCTCCTCTGCTGAGCACCTCACACATAACACCCAGCCCCAAACAGTCCAACTCTCGACCCTGACAGCGCCAATTCTTATACCCTCACTCCCATCCGTCGTATGTCAATGCTAAGACGTTGGCAGAGGCTTCGAGCAGCCAGACGAAATGAGTAACCAGCCGCTGCATGCCGGTACCGGCTTCGAGCGCGAGCGCGACCCCGACGATCAGCGCCATCGCCCTCATCATCAGGACGATCTTACCCGTCGAGACAGAGAGGCCCGTGAACGCGACCGTGAACGCGAACGTGAGCGGGACCGCGAGCGAGACGAAGCCGACCGCCAGCACCGCGAAACTTACCCTCCCACCGCTCCCCATCACAGCACCGCCGGCTCCCTCCCAATCCACCAGCCTGTCGCGTCCAGGATTTCAAGCTCTATCACGGGGCCCGGCGGTCTTCTCGCGAACCACGGGGTCTCTGCCCCGTCACTTCCCATCGGCGGCCCTTCTGCACCTGCCCCTGGCTTCGCCGGCTCGCTACACGGCGGCGAACCTGGTCGGGCTCCTCAACAGGGAGCCCCGGGAGGTGCATCGGCACCTCAACATCAGATATTTGCGCCGATGGCTCACGGTCCAGGCGGTCCCAGTGGCCCCAACAATCCTCTTGGAGCACCGGGCGGCCCCAGCGCCATGTTTGGGGGTCCTCTTCAACAGGAAAATGGACGAGGAATACCGCAGGAAGGTGTTAGGGCTATGCAGCAATTACCCTTTGGCTCCAATATGGGCCCCGGGCATGCCATGCCTGCTGGCCCTGGCGGGATGCCCCAAGGGCAGCAACCCATCCTCAACGTAAGTGGCCTGTGACCAAGTCAATGCGCCATCCACAGCTGACATGAGTCCTTGCAGGATGCGCTTAGTTACCTTGATCAAGTAAAGGTCCAGTTTCATGATCACCCCGATGTCTACAACAGGTTCCTGGACATTATGAAAGATTTCAAGAGCCAGACGTGAGTACCCGCTGCCGGAGCTCGCTCGAGCGCCGAATTGCTAACCCAAACCAGGATCGACACACCCGGGGTCATCAACAGAGTATCGGAACTCTTTGCTGGTCATCCTAACCTAATTCAAGGGTTCAACACTTTTCTGCCTCCCGGATATCGAATTGAATGTGGCCTCGAAAACAATCCAAATAGCATCCGCGTCACCACACCCTCAGGCTCGATGATCCACTCGATCGGCGCAGGACGAGCAGGCCAGCACGAGGCGCAGCCGGCGGCGGGCCCTACACAGGGCTTTCTCACTACGAGGCCCGGCTGGCAGCCGCCTCTGCCGCACGGTGCGGAGAGCCCGGAAGCGACCTTTAGCGTACCGGTGCAGAACGGCCCTTCGGGTTTTCCTGGGCCCAGCCAGGCTGCTTCGTTCGACGGTACGAGTCCGGTCCAGCAGAGATCGGTGCCCGCCCCCCAAAACAGCACCCCCATCAACCACGCGCCGGCTCCACGCAACGCGCACACCCCGACACCTGCCGCTGGCCCGCCCAGCTCAAACGGCGGCGCTACACAGCAAGCTAGTCTGGAGAAGCGCGGTCCCGTGGAGTTCAATCACGCCATCAGCTATGTCAACAAGATCAAGGTAAGCGCAGTTCCTCATCCTTTCCCACTCATAGGGCCAATGGTTACTTCCACCCGAAGCCTCGATCCGCACAGCGAAATCAGGGTGGCAGACAAGCTTTGGTGGAACTATTTTTTCCGCTGGTCGCCTTAGAGACGGCTGCTGATTGCGACCCAGAACCGTTTCCAGGATAAACCCGAAATTTACAAGCAGTTCCTCGAAATTCTCCAGACATACCAACGCGAGCAAAAACCGATTCAGGACGTTTACTCGCAGGTCACCAGTCTTTTCCACACGGCGCCCGACCTTCTTGAAGACTTCAAGCAATTTCTCCCCGAGTCTGCCGCACAAACCCGATCCGCTGGCCAGCGACCCGAGGAGAGCATGGCCATGGCTGTTTCTACGCCGACGCCGCAGCCGGGACATATCGCTCGCGATGGGCCCAAGATGCCTCCGGTGGGCAACTTTGCACCCCCGGCAAGCGCAAGCAAAGAAAGCAAAAAGCGACGACCCGAAAAGGGTGCCGTGGCTGGCCCTTCGGCTTCTGAGCAGCCGCAAACCTCGGCGTTGCGAGGAACCGGTCCCGCCGCTCCGCCTGCCAACAAACGGGCCAAGCTGTCGCACAAGCCCAGTACCGCCGAGACGGCCTTCATCGAGCCCACATTGACGCCGGTCATGCCCGAGCCGTTAGCGTCCACGCCGCTGGCCGTGTCGACCCAAGACGACCTGGCCTTCTTCGAGAAGGTCAAGAAACACATCGGCAACCGGACAGCGATGACAGAGTTCCTCAAACTTTTGAACCTATGGACTCAGGATCTGATCACCAAGGAAGTCCTGGTTTACAAGGCGAACCAATTCATGGGTGGCAATCCTGAACTTCTCAATGCCCTCAAGGCTATGATTCGGCAAGATGTTGCCGACGAGGCCATCGAGAACCGGCCCGAGCCGCCAACAGGCCGTGTATCCCTCAGTAACTGTCGCGGCTTCGGCCCCAGCTACCGACTTCTGCCAAAGCGAGAGCGGCTCAAGCCCTGCTCAGGGCGCGATGAGCTCTGCCAGTCGGTGCTCAACGACGAATGGGCCTCTCATCCGACGTGGGCGTCCGAGGATTCTGGCTTCGTCGCCCATCGCAAGAACGCCTACGAGGAAAGCCTTCACCGCATCGAGGAGGAGCGGCACGATTACGACTTTTTCATCGAGGCGAACCAGAAGTGCATCCAGCTTCTGGAACCGATCGCACAGCAGATGCTCTCGCTGCCTGCGTCGGAGCGGCCCAACTTTAAAATGCCTGCGGGGCTTGGCGGACAGAGCACATCCATCTATAAGAGGGTCTTGAAGAAGATATACGGCCCTGACAAGGGCTGCGAGGTGGCCAACGACATGTTCAAGCACCCGTTTACTGTCGTCCCAGTCGTCATGGCGCGTCTGAAGCAGAAGGATGAAGAGTGGCGGTTTACCCAGGTAGGAGAGCCGGACAGCACATTCCTTTTGCACATTGTTGGGCAAGTGTTTGCTGACTGTATGGTTGTCGCAGCGAGAGTGGGAGAAGGTTTGGCAGAGCCAGACAGAGGTCATGCACCTGAAGAGCCTGGACCACATGGGCATACAGGTCAAGACCAACGACAAACGTAGCCTCTCAGCGAAGCATCTCGTTGACCTCATCAAAACCAAGCACGAAGAACAGCGTCGTATCCGGGTTGCCAAGGGCAAGACTCCGCGCTATCAGTTCGCATATGGTTTCTCGGACGAGGAACTTATCTTGGACCTGCTCCGGTTTATGGTCATGTTTGCCACCAACGGAGGCCAGCATAACGCGCAGGAGCGGAGGCGCATCCTCGAGTTCATTGAGTCTTTTATCCCCCAGTTCTTTGACCTCCCGGAGGACAAGGTGCAGGAGAAGCTCGTCGACATTGACCAGGACTCGGCCGAGGAGGACGAGGATGATGCGACTCCGGTTGAACTTAGCAACGGCCGCAGCCGTCGCAACGGCAAGAAGTCGGACCTCCTCCGCGGCGTACTCGACCCTGGCCGCAACGGCAGCCGGCCCCGTGGCCAGAAAGAGGATAGCGCGGCGTCGGGCAGCAAGGAGACGACTCCGGATGTGGGATCGGCAAACGAGGAAGAGATGCCGGATGCGCCGGAAGACTCATCCGTTCCGGAGGTGTCGAACGGGCGCTGGCTGCCCACGGTTCCTGGACCCATCATTGTGGAGAAGAGCAAGGGCGGGCGTGGATCGGACCTCGTCGACGTTGACGGCGAGCTCAAGGCAGATGCGCCGTTCCGACGGCACTGGTACAATTTCTATTGTAACCAGAACATCTATGTCTTCTTCACCGTTTTCCAAACTCTGTTCAAGCGGCTCGAGGAGGTCAAGCAGAGCAAGGACAGCGTCCTGGAGGAGATTCGGCGCGAGAACGCGGAGAAGCCGGCTAAGATTTTGGGTCTTGTCCACGAGGGCTTGCATTACTTTGACAGCGAGGACTCCTCGACCTTCTGGCCCAAGACGGTGGAGTTGATCGAGGATTTCATCACAGGCGAGATCGACGAAAACCGGTTCCAGGATGTCCTGCGGCACTACTACCTTGCCAAGGGCTGGAAGCTCTACACGATCCAGGACCTCCTGAAGACGCTATGTCGGATCGCGCTGAGCTGCAACAACCCCGACGCCAAGGGCGAGAAGACCAAGGACCTGGTCAAGGCATACCTGGATAGTCGACAGCAGACCGAGACGAGCTTCCAGAATGAAATCAGCGCGCGCAAGTTTGCCGAGAAGTGCATCAAGGACGGCGAGATGTTTGTGATTGCTTGGGTATGTATCTCGGGAGTCGCCCGTTTCCTAGTCCCTAACGCCAACTGACTTTTTTCTTTTTAGTACCCCGGTAAGAAGGAGGCAACGGTGCGGTGGTTGCAAAAGGATGAGACGACATTCTACATGGACGAGATGGAGCGGATCCAGCAGTGGCAGTACTACATCTCGTCGTACATGCGCATCGAGCACACCGAAGGCATCGTGCGGTCGCGGCTGCAGAAGGTGCTGCTGGAGCGGAACCTGCCGTCGGACGCCAAGGACTCGTCCGAGGAGGGGTACTCGCCCAAGCCGCTGGTCATCCACGAGGGTCTGGTGGTTAGGATCTGCCTGAACTCGTCCAAGATGGTGTTTGAGAGCGGCACGGCCGACTACTTTGCCTACAACACGGCGCGGCCCGGGACAGCCGACGAAGAGCGCGACGAGGAGGCCAAGCGGGCGTTCCGCCGCGAGATTCGCGCCGAGAAGCTCAAGGAGAAGATGGTCACTAACAATGCGTGGATGAAGGGCCTTAGCCACGAGGACGTGCAGAAGGCGAACAACGAGTACCAGAAGTGGAAGGAGGGTGATGTTTCGCTGCCGCCGGAGGAGGAGGCGGACGTCACAATGGAAGGCTAGGTCGGACCCATGTATTGGGGCGAGCTGGGTGGACTCGTTGATGGGATGGGTTCGGGATGCAGCGGCGAGGATGGCGTAGAGGCGTAGTAACGGCTGAATGGAACAGGATGAATAATCCGACAGGGGCGGGTGGCATCATGAGGGGGGCATTTATCATTTCGGTTGGGTTTCTGTCTAGCCAACCCTTTCTCGGCCTGCGTACGCGATGATGATCGGGGTCGCCTGTAATATCCGCCTCCATTTTTTCTAGTATCGTACCGCCTGCCAGCTTTGCTTTCATTTGCTTGCACATAGGTCGCACACTTCCAATTGCTAGTTTGCTTCGCTAGGGCAAAGACGTCCGGGTAGTCTAAGCTGTCTAGTTTCCAGCTTGGTAAAGCTCTATGTTTGGTCTTGGATTGGAGATACTACAGCAACTTCAAAAATTCAAGTTGGTTGGAAAAGTACTCGTGAAAATTGTGTTTTCGGTCAGAGTCGCTAGGTGCTCGAAGCTCAAGACTCCAAGCAGAAGCTCGGGCCATTCTCCGGGCTCGAAACTCTTGGCGTCCCAAGGCACTGTACCCACACCTTTCACAGCTCTCTCTGAACTCATTCATCTCACGTCACGCCATGAGAGGTGATATCTCCACAACATCATGATGAAGACACAACTGAGGCCGCTTGGCCTCGTTTTATGGTCTGGGAGTTTCAACACTGGCAGAGAGGGCGGACTCAATACGTTGCGGCAGATCTCGCGATTCACTTCCGTCACCTCCTCGACCCCATTCACACCATCACCACCTTCACCACCATCGGCTCGCGCGTCATGTCGTCTTCAGTTCGGGAGTTTGAACAGGATACTTTCAAGGCAGTGGATCAGGAGGACAGCATTTTCCACGGGCCCAGTACGGAGGTCGAACGGAGGGAATTCGCAGAACCCTGTTGAGGGAAATGAGGGCACACACGCCGCCGGAGGGAAGGCTGGTAAGCAGGGCTATTCTATGTATGGCCTTGGCCTCTTAGAATGAGAGTTAACGGCATTGACAGCCTATCCTGAGCGGTTGATCATCTACCATGCCGGCACAGGGAGTAAGTCAACCTCGACTTCGCCATTCAAGTTCCCAAACTGTCGGAGCAGCCGCTAACACATCAGTCAGAAACCACCTTCTTGGCCTGCCTCAAACTAACCACCCTCTTCGTCTTTGGCTTTTTCGACATGATCATGACACCCGCGTACATCGCGGCGGGGGAGCCTTTCCTCAAAACAGCGGGCGGTATGACCCCCTCTCCCTCCCTTTCTGCTTCAGTCCTCCCCTGCCTATGCCTCCCACATCCACTAAACAACCGGAACACTACAGTCGCCCTTTGCGGCCTGATCCCCGCTGTCTACGTTGCCTGGAGCACGGGGCCCTTCGTGGCGGCCATCCACATGCATCTGCCACCCTACGCGCGGTGGTCGCGCGCCATCCTCGAGCGCTTCGCGCGTACGGCGCCGCTCAACACGCGCCTCGACATCACCACCATGACCCTGATTGGCAAGCCCCGCGTCAGCTCCATGACGCTGGGGGACCTGCGGCCCGAGAGCAGGCGGTTCGGCATGGTCAACTACGTGCGCGACACGACGCTGGCGAACGCGCAGCGCAAATGGTGGCGGTTCCGGGCCGTGGGGGAGTTCAATGTGCAACCGCAGCAGGGGAGTGGCGGGGTGAAGACGGGGTGGGTGTGGAACGAGGTGAAGGAGGGGATTGACAGGAGAGTTGCGGCGGCGGGCGAGAAGGGGAAGTGATACCCCGCGTATCTGTGGTGTGGAATATTCAGGCTCAGGTGGATGAGACCTACTGTATATTATGTATTTGTATGTTCACGGGAGTTCTGATGGCGATTGTGAATCAGGGATATCACAAACCAGCCAAAACACACGATGCAGTAAGCCTCGTCAATACCACGTCCGAGAAGAAACAACACTGTCCACTACATACACATCCAAGCTCGTCACCCAACAACCCCATACCTGACCAGGCCCAAGATCGCCCCAGACACACACGCCACGGGCGGGCTGACGCCAAACCAGCACCCACCGACATAACTCGTCGCCGTAACAACAACCCACCACGGATCATCGGCCAAGCTGGACCCCCTCTCGCGGCCCTCATCAATCCACCCAATCTGCCACAGCCGATACACGGCCGTGTAAATCAGCCCCACAGCCGCGGCGTTCACGCCCCTCAGCGCACTCCTCACCCACCGCCACCCCCTGATAGCGCCCCAAACGCCCACCGTGCCATGCACCGTCACCAACCCAGGCAGGAAAATCCCCAGGTACCCCAGCACCGCACCGAGCACGGGCGAGTAACCGGCCCCCGACGCCGTCAGCGCGCCCAAGTACACGGCAAAGTTGAAGTTGGGCCCCGGAAACCCCTGGATGATGGCCAAACCAATGAGGAAATCGCGGGCCGAGACCCAGCCCTCGGCGACGATATACTCGCGCAGGAGGGGGATCACGACGGGGCCGCCGCCAAAGATGATGGTGCCGGCCAGGTACATGTTTGCGAAGAGGCGGTAGAGCAGGGGGGCCGGCTGGAGGACGCCGCGGAGGATCATGACGGCGGTGAAGGAGGCGAGGAAGACGAGGATTATGAGAAGGCCTGTCTTCCAGGTTAGGTGTTTGTTGAGTTGGTGCGAGGCGGGGACTGTTCGTGGGGATGGGGGTCGGTCTTGGTCTTGGTCAGCCGGGTGGTCGTCGTCGGCGGGGTGGTCGTCGGCGTCGGTGTTGGTGTCCTGGGTCGTGAACGGGAGGCGTTGGCGGGTTGGTTTGGCTGGGGAGGAAGGAGGCCGGGAGGAGGTGGGTTCGGCTTCTGGCTGCTGGGATGCGGTTTGGGAGAGCTCGACGCCGTTGCCCTGCTCTGCCGCCGCCTCGGGTTCCGGTTCCCGGTTCTTTCTTCCTCTTCTCCCTGGTACCTTGGACATCACCCACTTGACCGGGGGATGGAGCCAGCGGAAGTCATGAATGACGGCAATGATGGCCGCGGCCAGCATCAGCACCGGGAAGTACCAGAGGGCATTGTACAGCAGCCCGGCGGCAGCGCCTAGAAACACCAGCACGCGCGTGAGCTTGTCGGTGATGGCTTTCTCGGCCAGCTGCACGGCGGCGAGCGCGATGATGCCCACGGTGGCCGCGTTAAGACCGGATAGCAGCGCGTACGCGATCCGAGGAAGAGTGTCGCCGATGTTGGAGACGCCGATGGCGAGACCAAGCATTCCTATGGCGGCGGGGATGCTGTTTCACGAGCCCTTAGTTGCATGCTCAGTGGGAAAGAGAGGAGAGCGATACTCACCTCCAGATTAGAAAGCCCAATACGGCGGGCAAGAAGCCGTCATGGATCAGGTTGATGCAATACAGCATCTTAGTGCTGCCTGGCCCGGAAAAGGCCTGGCAGACGCTGAAGAGCTCTTGATACTGTCGAGCCCAGACTCAGCCTTCTGGCCTACTACTTCTAGTCTGAGTAATGTCAAACTCACCACCTGCTCGTCGATCCATTGCAGTCTCGTGACAAATCTATCGTGGAACTGGAACTGCCATCAGCCAGCTGTCCCACAGATATTTAAACTCTTAGGGGCAGAACATACAATCTTGAAGTGCACTGGCGGCCCTCCAAACGAGGTAAAGCCCAGGTACCAAGTGTAGCGGATCGTGTTCCAGAATCTGGGAGCCAGGTTCCATTCCGAGATGGAGTCCCAACCCCAGTTGCGTTTGACGCCCATTCTGGCCTGTCGAGCTGTGATGTCAATCCGGTTGGCGATACCACGAAGAGGCCCAGGAAGTGCTAATAAGGGTGGAACTTGTCTGCTCAGTGTTGATAGCAATTTTCAAATGAGATTGAACAAGTGCAAAAAGGCTCCTCGACGCTGCTGCCGTGCCCTCGGGATATGTAGAGAGAGACAGCCCTCTCCTATTTCAGCTGCTGCTCTCCTTATTATGAGAAGATCTTTAAAAAATCAACATCTTAATTATCATGCCAAGATGGCTCAAACAGCGCCCGCCACTTTCGGCGAGACAGACGAGGAAAGGAGAGACGGCGGCGCTTCCCGCGCCAAGGCTTTGGGTCGGTTCAATGGGCCTGTCTTTTCGGCACGTCAACGCACGTGGTTCGAAGTCTACCAGACCTCATTTCTCCCGTCGAGGAGATGCGAAGGACATTTGGATCCAAACCCGGCTTGTACACACTAGACCAAAATGTATGGACGGATTATGGCTGTGGATTGAGCAACGACGTTTGGATAGTTTGATGCATATCCCGTATGACAGCCAGCATCGACAAGATCAACTCTCTTAACATAAGCATCGGAAGCCCAGCATAATCCTCCCCTTCTCCCCAACGCCCCAGATCCCGCCGCCACTACTACTACTAATACAAGTTGTATCAAATGGTGATACTGTCCATCCAGCTTATTCCCAGAAATATACAGCCTGACCAAAACTCCCAATATGCGCCGTCAAAACCAGAACCCCACCGTGAAAACTCCCTCCGCTGTCCAAAGCAATGATCCCACCCGGTGTGCTGGTGATGTCGTGCAGACAACACCAATGCTGTCGTGTTTTCCCGCCCTTTTTATATACCATAACCAACCTGACCACCTCCCGATGAAACCTGTCGTAGGAACATCGACCAATGCAGAATCATCCTCGTACAACAACACCACCCATCACCCTGATGCAGGCGGAAGGTCGACCGACTTGGGACAAGAGAAAGGGTTCGTCGGCGCCCAATTTTCTAAAGTCGGATATGTCAAACGGCCGTTCAGTGTCGCTTGACTGACATATGCGCGTCGTAATCCCAGGCGCGCTTCAATCCACCCTCGTACACACTCGCCACCGACTCTTGCCACATGGCCGGCGTGACAAAAGTCTGCACGGGCGCAGCGGGGGCGTAGTGGTGCGGATGAGGCGGCTGCATCTGGGACGATCCCGTCCGCAACTGGTGCATGTCCTGCAGACTCGTCGCGTGTTCCACGCCTCCCGCCGCCGCCGCCGCCGCCGAGCCCACGGTGAGCGAGCTCGTCTGGGCCGCGACCGACGGCGTCGGCGAGGACTGCAGCTGCGGCGCGCCAAATGACGTGTTCCATTGGCTGTGTGCAAAACTTTGTTAGCCGCATGTTCCAACCCCTAACGCCTGTTGGGGTTCGAAGCGGGAGGAAAAAAGAACGTACTCAAAGATGCGCGAGGGATTCCAGGCAGGGGCCTCGGACAACGGCAACGTCTGTGTCACGCCCGACGCCTGAGAGCCGTGGACCGAAGCCATCGTGGTTAGCGATTGTACGACAGGCGAATCACTCTTGCTGTCCAGCTGGGTGCCGACCGAGACGGGTGTGAGGGGGTGGTGGCTGGTGTAACTAACTTGTTGCGAGTGCGGCATCTGCGTATTGTGGTCCAGCGGTCGGCCGGGCGGGCTGGGGTGCGTTGCCGAGTGCGGGCTGCCGTACGGAAACGTCGGCTTGAGGACAAACGGCTTCCGGACGTCGGCCGAGAAGGCTTCGCGGACCGAGTCGATCTGCCTCTGCATGTCGGGCATGGGCCACGCAACCATGACCTTCTCCAAAATCCTCATGTGCCGCGTGAAGTAGTCCCTGGCCTCCGAGTTCAGATCTGGGTCCGGCGACGTGATGGCCACCTGAAGAACCTAAGTCAGTCACCCGCAAAAATATATAAACACCCCTGCTCGCCCCGGCTCGGCTAACGCACCAGGTGTAGCACAATGCAACCAAGCACCGCATAGATGGTAAAGTTGATCCCGCGCTGCATGCATTGTAAGCCGTTCAATCCGAACGAGCCCATCACGGCCTCCTGCAGCCTGCAGAGCATCTTGGCTGCGTTGTATGACACCACCATGTGCTGCTTCCATTGTGTTGTCGACGGGTTCAAGACGGCCAATTGCGGCCTATTGAACAGGATGATGGTTAGGTAGTAGTACGAGTGGAGGTTCCCGACGAAGGCCGATGGAATCCAAGGCGGCGACCCGTCTGCCGGATAGCTCAACGTCAAGTCGGCCGGGAGTCCGGCCAACCACGCGTTCAAAGATGGATCGAGCTGGACGAACTCGGGGTCGATGCCCCATTCCTTGCTCTTCTTGAGTCGCCCATACGTCCTTGCCATACGGCCAATCGAGCGAACGATCCTTGTGAAATAAGTGAAGTTGCGTGAGACTAGGTATTCGCCCTCTTCGCCGTTTGGTAGCCGTCGTGGGAGGTTGAAGTCGACGCTGTCTTCTTCAACTTGAAAGTCGGTTCGACCTAAGGCGACTGTGAGCAAAAGACTTCAACTCCCGACGCGTGCGATAACGCACCTTGCGGTGAGCCAATCATCAACTCAACCACATATATAGTTTGCCATATTCTTGTCTTCAGTGCGCACTCGGCGGCATCTCCGCCGCAGGACCTGCCGGCCTGGTGATCCGCCAGGTGCTCGTCCAACCCGAGGTCCTTGGCTAGCTGAACGCACTGCACAATGCTCATCCACGACCGGTAGTAGTAGCCCTTTTTCGGTGCCGATTCCCGTGCCTTCAAGAGAATCATCAATGCCTGGAGCGTGCTCAGCCGGGGTACATCCATAAAGGAGTCAGCGTGCCCTGCAAAAAAATTGTCAGTTACCTGACCCAGCCGGATCTCAAGTCGCGTAGGCTTATCATACGTGTTGCCATCGCCAGCCATTGCTGGCCCTGAGCAGGCTCGTCGGCAAGACGACCGGCAATGGCGAACATGGCTTCCAGGAGCAGGGGAGAAATCGACTCCCTGTTGTTGTGCCATTGGTGGTAGAAGTAGCTCTTGTCCAGAACTGGCACGTAAGGATGAGCATTGACAAAATACAGTTCGAGATAGTGAAGAACCATGTCGTCATCGGGCATCAGCTCCGGGGGGATGCGAATCTTGGAACCCGGACCTGTCGTTAGCGGAGGCAGGAAAGTCTTGTATTCATCCCCATCCTCCACGGGGGGCTCTTCATCCCGGCTGGACTGCATCTTGCTGTTTAGGTATGGAGCGGTCCCGGCCTCATTGACTTTCAGGGAGCCCAGGAGGTCAGCCAGGTCTTGCTGGCCGTACTCGGACTGGAACGTGTCTTCTGGGGTAGCGGGATTGTGAGCATGCTGCAGCGGCGGCGTGGGGAAGGCATCTGTCTGTGCCGCATACTGCGAGTGGACGGGGGCGTACTGCAAGTCGTGCGACACAGACTGGGGGCCCCCGTACTGTACTTGATGATAGAGTCCGGTAGCGTCCTGGTACGAAGTCTGCGTGGGATAGATGGGCTCTGGTTTCGGCGCATGTGCAAGAAGCTGCTGCTGTTGCAGCGGCAATTGCTGTCTGAAGTTGTCGGGTACCTGCTGGGCCTCAAACTGGGGTTGCGGCGGCTCATAGACTTGGGGATCGGAGTTGTCAAACCCATTCGGACGAACGCAGTGCAGCTTCAGACGGATGCATGCCGAGCAGGGCCAAGTGTTGGTTGTTGCTGCATCGCACTTGATTTTTCTCCTTCGACAGCCCTCACATGCTCTCATCACTATGTGCGAGAGTCAGTCCTAGTAACGGGGCAATGATACGGCAAGGCAAGGCTGAGATCATACCCTTGAGCCGCTTGTGTCGGTTATGCTCATCAACAAAGACATAATCTGATAACGGCAGTCAGAGACGGGACAGAAAAACGAAAGGGGACAGGCGAGACAGGGCGTACTTTTCTGGGTTTCGCGAGGTTGCTGCTGGTAGACTGGCGGCGCAAAAGCAAAGGTTCCCATCGGAGAGGTCTGAGGGAGCAGCCTGCGAGCCGTGGGATCGTTGGACATGTTGAGAGTTGACGCTTGTACCGACGCTCAAGCCGGCGCGCTGACAAGAGACGGGAAACCGGAGACGATTCAACATTCAGGTCATGGGTCGCGGTCAATCGGACAGCGGTGTCGTTGCGCCCTCTGAGTCTATGACGGCAAAGCTGTCGGCGCGGTTGAGCAATGCGGCTACAACAAGCCCAACGGAGTTGACCAGCGGGTGGACCAGCGTTGGACGTGCAGTGGGTTTTAGCACTGCGCGTCCTGGCTTGTCTTTCCTTCCCTGGTCAGCGAAGGACCAGGTAATGAGGGTTGCTGAAATGGGCCCAGAGCCTGGCAATGAGTGTAGGGTAACCCTGCTCCTGACGATTCGATGGCCGTCCGAATAGGATCCGCAGACCTGCCTAGATCTGACGGAGACCAGGATTGCAATTGCACCAAGATGCTGCGGGAAGGTGATCGAGGAGCTGATGTGATCAGGAACCGAAGGTGACCGCAACGATAAAGTGGATTCAGTCAAAGAGATGCCGAAAACGACGGCGATCCACCTGCGTTTTTCATATCTCGAGCTCCAGAATGGACGTATGCCTATAAACGTATCCGTATCTATGGCACCTAATGTATAGTCGAAAAGGGGTTGTGGTCGGATTCGTAGCTCGGTTAGGCGACCCAACGGATTGCTGGCGTATCTCTCGAAGAGACGCGTCGAGGTGATGGATGTTATGGCCGTGCCGGAACGCAAACGCAGTGGTCATTTCCTGGCGACATGTATTGGTACGGCGGGGAAGCGCTTGCTAGGGGATGGCACGCTAAAACTGAGGAAGCTATCGGGGTTAGGGAGACAGGGGGTGCTCGGTTGGAGGGGTCAAGAGTTGGGGGTGGTATGTTGCAATCGAGGAGCCGCCACGCGTGTGCCCGTCCACCTCCACCTTCCGATTCTCTGAACGGAAGGGGCATGGAAGGAATCAGGGTCCGAGCTTGCAATCCATGTGCAGCTTCCGCGAACACCAAGGCGCATCTCAACGGTTCTACTCCGTACGGACAGCTGGGAAGATGCCGTAGGGGTGCGAGTCTTGCCGGTGGATTCGTTCGTGTACACCCCTGAACTTACCTACTAGTTTGGTTTCCGGCAGTACCACGGCAGATTTCCAGTATCTCTCCGACATGGTAAACGCCGATACCCCGATGCCCTGGAGAGCAGAACCAGGATACTCCGGAGTACGGATATACCCCGAGTAGGACGTACCTTGTGCGTACACGGTACGTGTATGTCTACTAACATAAGAAAGGCTATGCGCGAGTGTCCGGGACTTGGCAGCCGTGGCGGGTGCGTCATGTCAGGCGATGTTGGCACAATGCCAAAATCTGTATTGTACCTAAATGCTACGTTTGGTTTGGGACACCGACAGAACCGACCAAGCGGATGCTAACTTCCGACAAATGAGAGATGCAGGACGCTAAACACCAAGGCCGCAAAGGGGGAGCACTCCCCATGTACCCCTGAAACACTTTGGGATTCCTCAAACACCGCATCGGAACTGACGAGGAGATCTTGAGACTCGGGCAGTAGCGCTTGAACCTGAGCCTCATGATGGAGAGCCCACTGATCAAACGGGATTCTCGGGCCCGTGAAGAAATCCACTCCACCTTCCAATAACCCGCGGAATTGCAGATACATTACCACCGTAATGTATGTATCTGTGTCGGGTCTTGATGCGCCCGGGCATTTGATGTTGCGATGCAACACATATATTTTTCGAAACCTTGCATGAACGGAAGCACATCCGAGCCAAATGGCATAGTAGCGCATGTCAGGGGCGTTGGCAGTAGCTCAAATCGGAAAGTCGCTCGCAGAGCCCTGAGCCGTGTCTTTTGTAGTGTGGCTGGCCGCCTGCCGCCATTGTTGGCTCAAACTGCTCAGGAAATCTGCCGAGTCCCATGTCTATCACATGCTCGAGTCCCTGTGAGACAAACGAGTGGGGGGCCAGGTTGCAGAAACGTAGGATTGCCCCGAGACTGTCAGCTAAGGTGGTGCAACCCGCCTCACCGCTTTGGCGTGGCTGGGAACATTGGTCCTGCCATCCAGCAAGTCCGCGTAGTTGTAACGGGCAAACAACTCATTGAAAATCAAGGACGAAGCAGGTTAGCCCGGAGAGGCTGTATTGAGCTAAGGTTGACGGCAGATGAGGCACCGGACGTTCCGCCAAAGAACACCGGGTCCTTGGTTTCTCCATCGGTTGTGGAAAAAACGGATAAGGGACCCATAACTGCCCTGTGAAATGGTATCCAACCCTCAAGTGAGAAACCGTACGCGTACGATAAAGCGCTGGATATGGAAAGAAGACGATACGTGTAACTTACGATGCTCGCGGCGTTGAGAGGGTTCATCACAGCCTCGGTTCCCACTAGGCCGAGATGAGGAGCTTGGCACTGGCCATGCTGCCACAGCCCTGCCAACGGTAGGCGATCTGAGAAACCCGCAAGGCAGGTACCTTGACGGTAAGGTACCGCGCGGCAGATGCAAGGCACACGGCATCCTCTCGGCGATGCGATGAATTTTAAGGTTGAAGATCGCGGATCCCAAGTGTCCTTCTGCTGCCTCAACGCATCTCCCAGCCGATTATAGAAACAAGTCCGAGAGGCCGGTGCGTCATTGCCGCGTTGAACTAAACGTGGGGATGGCTCGAGTCCATGGGAGCAACGGGCGCCAAGCACGGCGCCGCCGTTCGCTGGGCTTCGAAGCAGGGATCGTGGAAGCCCACGCGGTCTCCCGGGACATTGCCGACCCCGATGTCATTGATGAGATTTGTTAATAGCGGGCATGAGTTAGTGCCAGGAAAGAAGATGAACGCAGGCTTAAGATGGGACATAATTTCCGGATAGATGGAAAGAGGGAGGCGAGTTTGAATGGTAGCCGCCTCTGAGAAACCATTGCAAGATGATGTTCGACAAACCGAGAGTTGTGAATCTGTCGGAAGCTGGCGAATCTCACGCTCAGGGTATCCGTATGCGTCACGTTACCCCCGTATTGCTTCGGTGGATAAGTGGCCCACGTGAGGTGGTGTCTCGGCTCGACCCAATAACGATCGAATGATCAGATAAGCAAGCATGAACAGTCAATTGCGCACCGCGACATCAAAGAAGTGGCAACCCGATCAACGTCAGTCAGCTTTTCAACGACAAAAACTGAGAATTCGACCACGGATTTCGATCACGCGCTCAGTCAATCAGAACGCCACACAGACTGACATATTCGACAAGATCGGGTGCCACTGAACCGAGATGGAGAGGGATTTGGATAACGCCAACCCCACAATTTTGAGTGTGTCGCAGCTGCCAAGCAGGACTCGGAAAGGGGCTGCCACACGGAATGGGCCGGATTCGAAATGTCACGACATCGTCTATCCCCAACACCACTGGCCCTATGGTTGTAGTTCGTCGTCGGATGAGGGCGAGGATTACAGAGAGGAGCCTATGGATGAGCAGGACATTTACGGTATGTGCCGCCATTGACAACCGCCCACTTGTTATCCCAGTTCAAGGAGGAACCATAGACACATGAAACGGCCCGACAGTTAAGGATACCCTCAAACTGTGTCCGTTCAGACTGACGCTCTTGTAGACCTCATCTCGACCATCTCGGACCCCGAACACCCTCATACACTGGGCCAGCTGTCGGTTGTGAGGCTCCCAGACATCCACCTGAGCCCCTCGCCCACGGAGCTGTCGGGTCCGGACTCACTAGTTACAGTCCTCGTCGAGCTCACTCCCACCATCAACCACTGCTCCCTGGCGACCGTCATCGGTTTGGCAGTGCGCTGCAGACTGGAGCAAACTCTGCCACCCAACTACCGGGTGGACGTGCGGATGAAGGTTGGGTCCCATGCTCAGGACGACCAGGTCAACAAGCAGCTGGGCGACAAGGAGAGAGTTGCTGCCGCTCTCGAAAACGACACCCTTCAACGCATGGTGGATAAGATGCTCGAGACATGCGCCTGAGATGGTGCAGAGCGCTTAGGTATCACAATTCCGGCAACTTCCGTGTCAGGGGAGCATGAGACCCAGTCCAACGTTTCCATTCCAGGGCGGCTCGGAAATGCCTGCAACGGTTGACTTCCATGTGCTGTTGTAGCCACCACCAGCACCAGTATATAGCGTCAAGCCCCTGGAAGACTCGTCACCAGCATCCTACGAAGTTACCCAAGGAGAGCTCGGTCAAAGGGAGCTTCGGTTTGATTGGTGGGACAACCTCGGTCTGTTTGAACGTTACGTTGATCTGGGGTAGCGCTCCCAATCACCCGGGACGCTTCGCAAAATTCTACAGAGTATGACTTGATCTATCCCCATCGCAGATGTCGGGAACAGCGTAAATGTTCATAGGGCAAAATACGACTGTGTACTACTGTATGCACATACAAGCACATCTATGCAGACCAGGGCCACTGACTTGTCAGATATGTTTCGAGCAATACGGAGAACCATACAATAGGTTATTGGAGTCGGCTTTCAACCACAGCCTTGCCCAAGAGCGTCCCCTACGTGTTACAGGCAGCCCTATTCCCGCTTCTTCTCAACTCACCCTTCACCTTCACAATAACACCTTGACGTTCATCTATCCTGTGAGGTACCATGAAGATTGTTCCATTTAGGTGAGACAGTTGCTGTTTCTCCAATAAAGTTGCATGCGGAATATTGAGCCCTAATGGATTAGGGTGCAGACTTAGCCGATACCTTACGCGTCCGAAGCACCCGACTTGACTACCAGTACCTGAACATCTTAGTCATGTGTTGCAACCCTGGTCAAGGACCAGTACTTCGACGTATGCAACACCCCATCCTCCCTGTCCGTAGGCAACTACATGCGGAATATGCCGAGCTTTTGGTCTTCACCGTCGGAACGGAGCCGTCAGTTGTCAGATCCACCGCTCGGTTATGAATCAACTCGACTGGACGGATATGGGCAACGTACATGGCACACAGAGTAGGAATCGCGTAAGAATCTGCCCTCGAGCATGATAGATCACGGGGTTAGCCGACTGTTGGTACAGGGGATGGACAAGTAATGTCGAGAGGAAAGTAGAGACAAGACATGGAGCAAGACCCCGACCACCACGGCCTCCACCAGTCCATTCCATCCCTTCCGGAGATCTCCCCGGCGATTATTAGTGGACGGATCATCCCTTTGTCCAAAGTCGCCCGTCCTTGGCCACATGGCTGTCCATGTAGATGCTAGATGGCGTCGGATGTGTCTTGCAAATGTAGAGTGAGGACTGATCCAGACCCTTCCCCCCTTGCATGACTGCAGTCAACTGGACGGCAACCTTGATCTTCAATCCAAATAAGCTTTCCCGCATCTCAAGCCCCGCCAATAGTTGCATATCTCAGACTCTCCTCGTCCTTAGCGCCAACACCTCTCAACCAACAACCGACGAAGGTAGGGAAGTACCCTGCAGATGAGGCTGGACGCGGATGCAACACCAAACGCCATGGAAAGAACACCAGCATGTAAAATCCGATCTTGTGGATCCATTCAGCCTCTTTCCCAACTCAGCGTGGCAACTACTACCATGATGTCTCAGAAAACCAACAGATGCTGTTTGTTATGCGGTGCCCAGCAGCAGCACCAAGCCGAAAGTGCCGTACATGTCCATGGGAACCACGATCCTGCTCGCTCAGGGCTAAGTGAGACATACATAGACAGCCCTCATCCGATGCGATCAGCGACGCCACACCGTTGTAGCTACGTACGCGAAGAAAAAGGCTGGCTGGATGCTTGTCAGCCCAAACTAAGCCACCATCCAAAGTTCCCGGCAGCAACCTTGGGGACACTCCATACCGTTGTTCGAGGAAGATAGCCCAGCCCCCGCGACCCCTGTGACAGAGAAACAGACAAACCTGCCGAGCATCATGGCCGTGGTTTGTCAAGCCAACAGACAGCGTCACGGGCGGAACGTACACATAAAAGAGGATCCTCGCGCAGGATTTTCACATGCTCAATCAACCAAGCGCATTAATCCTCTACACAGAACACATCCCTGCCCTCCGCCTCCAACGCCCCATCACCTCCTCCGTCAAAGAACCCCGGCTCCAGACAACGGTCGGGTACCTAGGCAGGCGGAGACGTTCAGACCCCATCCAGAGTGCCTCCCTCGACCAGGCTCTGGTAAAACTCGGGCTCCAAGAACTTGGCCACCGTCACATCCTCGCTCAGCCCCTTCCTCCTCCTCGTCTTGAGAACAAAGTCCCTAGCCGTCGCCAGCGGGCTCGCCATCTGCAGCGGCCTGGTGACCATCTCCCTGTCCAGCGGGTCACCCGGCACGATGTTCCACCGGTCAAACACCAGGCTCACCATGGCCTGGCCGGGGGTATTGATCCTGAGATCCGTCTCGAACCCAAACGAGTCGATGACGGGCAGCAGGCCATTGACCCGGTAGAGCGGGGTGCCCGCGATGGGACCGTCCGAGAGCACGTGCCCGCGACGGCGGGCGAGGATGTTGTAGACCATGGTGACGGCGTCCTGCGGCCCCGTCATGGAGACCGAGTACATAGGCTCCATAAGGCGGGGCGACGCCATGAGGAAGGACGAGTAACACGCACGGCGGGCGGTCGGGATGATTTGGCCGCCGCCACGGAAGATGGCCTCCTGCGCCAGGGCGACGTCGATAAGTCGGAACTTGGTGTTGCGAATAGCTGGTGTGGAGAAAACAAGACTCGTTAGCAACCAAGCATAATACACGACATTTGGCTGGGTTGCCAGATAGGGGAGGTGTGTTGGTTGGACAACAGCGTGCTGTGGATCCCCTCAGCTTCCTATTGACTTCGGAAACGGGGCAGATCCGGTCGCTGTGGTGCGACCGTGGAGATGAAAGCTTCTGCATGGACAAGTTGGGTTTGCAGGAGCTGCGATTGTGCAGCACACCGCTGAGGGGCAGGTGGCGACGAAAACAAACTTACGTTCTTCGCAGAGGGGGCCTTCCCGGGTTGCCCAGCTGAACCCCTGGCGAATCGACTCCTTGACCGTGTTTAGCCGCTTCTTGTCAACCTGATGCCATCCGTTAGCACGCGCATATCAAGGCAGAATACCTCCGGCATCCCCAGACGGCGTGGCCCCAATACGGGACAGTAGTGAATGAAATGCAACGCTGAACGCACCTCGGTGGGTAATGTGTCGTCCTGCAGAATGTTTGGTCCCATCTCGTCGGGACCGAACGCCCAGATGCTCCTCGCGGCAAGCATGTCCCACCCGTACTTCTCCTCAAAGAACTTGGCTGTCTTACGCACGGGGTCTCGTATCCTGACCGCCCGGGACTCAATGTCCTTCGCGATGCCGTCGTCTAGCGGTTCCGCCGCCATGGTGATTGTGTTTTTCTTGTTCGGAGTGACGGCATAGCACTTTGTGGCAGACATGTCTTGCACCGTCTCGCAGAACCGGACAACCGGATCCGACACCCTGACCTCCATATCGGCATAGAGCCGGCGCAGGTCGTGTAGCACGCAGTCCATGTACAGCTCACCTGTGCCGAGGATGACGTGCTCTCCAGACTCCTCCACCTTCGTGGCGATCAGAGGATAGCTCTTGTTGATCTTCCTGATGCCATCGAGCATCTTGGGCAGCTCAGACGGATTGATGGGCTCCACCGCCACCTTGAGGACGGATTCGGTGAAGTGCGATAGCGGTTTGAAAATGTAGGCGGCCTCCTCGTTCTTGAATTTCTTGTCAACAACTGTGGCCGTCTTGACAATCGAGTTGTCAATGCCTCCTAAAAGAACCCAGTTGCCGGCCGGCACACCGTCCGTCGGGATATTGTATCGTGTTTCGGCGATAAGGACATCGGCAACCCTGGCCATGACCATGTCCTCCTCGTCATCGATAGAGTACCCCTCACCTAGAACGCGGACTTCTGTGCCTGGCCTCGCGATACCGCTCATAACGCGGCCAAACGAGTAGAAGTTCTTTGCGTCGACGGTGTTGAAGAGCTTGGTCACGTACATCACTAGCGGGCCGTTTTGATCGCACTTCTTCATCGACTCGGCTACCTCGGTGTCGAGGGGACCGGTGTAGTACTGTGACAATTTTTTCTCGGCAGCCTCTGCTGGCGAAGGAACATGTCGACATACCATGTCGACGAAACCGGTTGATGGCCCTACCCTCGGGTCAGCGTGCGAACATGGAGTTTATGCACTATAACATACCGAAAAATTGCTCGCACACCAGTTTGAGGAGCACTTTCGGATCTGACTTGTACTGAGATGGCTTGAGTTGGATCCCGAGCTTCCCCAATGTCCCCTTCAGATCCTCAGGGCTCTCGCTGATGGTGTGGGAGTAAAGCTTGTATATCGGCTCCATAATGAAGTTGACGAAAGACCTCTTGGCTTCCTTCTCAACAGGCTTCCTCGTAAAACTCCTTCTCCCAGGATTGAAGTAGACGTCGCCCCACAACCGCCTAGCAAATTCGTCGATGTTGACGCCGCCGAAGCTGTCGGAGTACATTTTTGCGAAGGAGTCCAAGGTGAAGCACCAACCCATCGAGGTACAGGCAAACAGGACATTGCCCTTTTCGGGACTTATCCTCCTTTCGGCGCCTCGTCCAGGGATGGTGTTCTCGATAACGGTGTTGACTTCCTCGATGACGTGCTTCAACTTGTAGTAAGCATCGTTGGGTGGCAGTTTGAGCTCGAGTATTAGGCGGTCCATCTTGTTAACGATTAGGGTGAGAGGGATGTCTTCTAGCACCGCGTGCTTGATGATCTGCTCCGTGTTGACCTGGACGCCCTCTACCACGTCCACCACCAGACATACGCCGTCCACTAGCCGGAAGGATGCAGAAACCTCGTCGACGAAATCCACATGCCCGGGTGTGTCAATGACGTTGACGAGGTGCGATTTCCCTTTGCTGTCCGGCAGCACCAAACTCATAGGCGCCGCCTTGATCGATAGCCCGCGGTCCCGCTCAATGACGTGAACATCAGTGTACCTGAGCTGCTCATCGCGCTTCTTTCCTGTTCGCCTCTCGAGCCTGTCGTTGATGGCATGCGTCTCCAGCACCAGCATGTCCATGAACGCCGTCTTGCCGTGATGCAAATGCCCCGCCAACGCCACGTTCCGGATCTGGTCGGGGAAGTTCATGAGGTCGGTCATGAAGCTGCGGTCGAAGTAGACTGGTGGCAGGTCCGCCTCTTCAATGCTGAACTTCTTCTGCTCAATCGGGGCGATGATGGGTTGTGTAAGCGGCTGCGCGTCCTCCTCCTGCACCAGCGTCTCGACCTCCTCCCCGTACACTTGCGCCGCGGTCGGGTAGTACTGCTTGTCTTCATGGAGGATGACTGCGTTCGAGGGCCCTTCGTCTAGTGAGAAAGTCAGCTGCAATTACTTATCCATTAACCCTTTCCAACCTAAGCACAGCCAAGCCGACACATACCATCAATTTCCATCTGCTCCACGACGGGAGCTTCTGGGGCAGCCTCCGGGTACTCGTCGTAGGCATAGTTGCCCACATCCACGCCATGTTCGGATTCCTCCTCCGAGGCCTCGACCTCTTCGCCAATGAAGTTGCCAAACTCGTCGTACAGGTCGTCATCCATGGTTGCTGGCGAAAGTCGTGCTTCGTCGTTGAATGGCCCGTAACTCGATTTTCCCAGCGCGTCGCGTGCTGTGATGTAAGCCTCCGAAATTAAGTAAGGTAACGATACCTTCTTATCGTTGCTTGCCCGGTTTTCCCAAGTGCCAAGCAGCGTAAGTTACCATGTTTCAGTTCCGGTATTGTGGCTATGCTCACTGTACCCGCCATAGTGAGGCGCCCGCTTACTCCCGGCATCCGACGATCGGCCCAGACCTTGAAGATGCGCAATCTTCATTTACCAATTTGGCGCCACCCGGAAGGCCTTGTCCCAACAGGCCTTATCTTATCTGTCCAGGGTCCTGGCTCGAGGTGAAATATCCCCCGCTACACCGACAATCGCAAAGCTCCCAACCAGTTCATCTCAAGTTTGCTCGTCGTTACTCGCAACAATCGTCAATATGGCCGGTCTTCCTCCTGTCTACATCGTCTCTGCCGCGAGAACTCCGGTCGGCAGCTTCCTGGGCAGTCTCTCCAGCCTCAGCGCTACGCAATTGGGTTCGCACGCCATCAAGTGTATGTCTGGATTTCCCTGGGTTGTTGCCACCCCCTGACAAAGAAAGGCTGCTGAACTGAAGCGATACCCACAGCCGCCGTCGAGCGTGTCCCCCAGATCAAGCCCGAAGATGTGGAGGAGGTCTTTTTTGGCAATGTCTTGTCGGCCAAGTAAGTGGAGATCACTAATCACCCCGCCATACCGTCTCGCTGACAATCCCCCTTCTACAGTCTCGGCCAGGCTCCTGCTCGGCAGTGCGCCATCGGCGCTGGCCTCTCGGAGGCTACCGTCTGCACAACGATTAACAAGGTGTGCGCCTCGGGCATGAAGGCCATCATTCTCGGTGCCCAAACCATTATGACGGGCAACGCGTCGATCGTCGTGGCCGGCGGCACCGAGAGCATGTCCAACACACCACACTACCTCCCGAATCTGCGCACCGGCGCCAAGTACGGTGACGCTTCGCTCGTTGACGGCGTGCAAAAGGACGGCCTCCGAGACGCCTACGGCAAGCAAGAGCTCATGGGCATGCAGGGCGAGCTCTGCAGCCAAGAGCACGGCCTGACTCGCGAGATGCAGGACGAGTACGCGATCAGCACATACAAGAAGGCTCAGGCAGCTACCGAGGCCGGACTGTTCACCGAGATTGCGCCCATCGAGGTCAGCGGCGGCCGAGGCAAGCCGCCCGTCAAGGTTGATCGGGACGAGGAGGTCAAAAACTTGAACGAGGACAAGCTTAAGACTGTCCGTCCCGTATTCATCCCCAACGGTGGCACAGTTACTGCTGCGAACGCCGCTCCCATCAACGACGGGGCCGCCGCCGTCGTGCTCGTTTCAGAGGCCAAGCTCAAGGAGCTCGGCATCAAGCCCCTGGCCAAAATCCTCGGCTGGGCCGATGCGGCACGGGATCCCCCGCGCTTCACCATCGCGCCGGCGCTGGCAATTCCTAAGGCCATCAAGCACGCCGGCCTGACGGAGAACGACGTCGACTACTATGAGATCAACGAGGCTTTCTCGGTGGTGGCCTTGGCCAACATCAAGCTGTTGAACCTCAACCCCGAGAAGGTCAACGTGTTCGGCGGCTCCGTCGCCATCGGCCACCCCCTGGGTGCATCAGGTGCTCGTATCGTCACCACGCTGACGTCGGTGCTGCGCGAGAAGAAGGGCAAGATTGGCGTGGCCGGCATTTGCAACGGTGGCGGCGGCGCGTCCGCGTTGGTCATCGAGAACCTGCAGTGAGTGGCTAGTCCTATGCGGCGATCCCAACAGCACTCAATGGACGGGAAAAGTGTCTTGAGCGTTCTCAGCGAACAAGCGTTGCAGTTCTAACGCGGGATGATCGTTGGTTATAGATCGGCACCAGTTCTGCAACTAGCCAAGCCCAGTCTATAGCATGGCTTAGTATATAATTGGGCGAAGACGCGACGGAATGCCATGAATGGCACCTATATTGCTGTACTTGTATCCTTCTTGTCATAACGGCCGCTGTCGAACAGCGCTGCAAATACCTTCTCCCACTTCGCCGATGACTTCAAACTCAACTCCCTGGCCTCCAAGCCTTGACACACCCGTCCTCACCAGCCGTGAACACCACCTGCTGCTCGTCATAGAAGCAGAAGCTCCTCACCAACTCTGACCCGTGCGCCCCGGGCAACCCAACAATCGTCTCCCTATCCAGGCCCCATCCACCAGACCCCTTGGCCAGGTGAATCAACTGGAACATTTCCTGACTACATACCCACCCGTCAGCACTCACACACCATTCCTCATCAAACCTAATCCATAACAAACCAAACAGGTGACGAATGAAACGCTAAACTTACTCCTGCGCCCCAACACCCACGACGGCCCCCACCCCGCCTTGCTTGGGGACCACGGCGGCAAGGTACTGACAACCCAGCAGGGCCCGGACGTCGCCGAGATCGAGCGTCGCCGCACCGGTGTGGGTCTGCTCGGCTATGTCGTACAGCGCAAACTTCTCGTCATGGGACGCGGCGAAGACCTCGGTGGCGTTGAGGAACCCGGCCCGGTGCACGGACCCGTGGTTGAAGGTTGCTTGCACGGCGTCGTCTTCGTCCGCGATGAGGGTGTCGGTTATGTTGATTAGGCCGTCAGTTGAGCCGGAGAGGAGGAGTGATGGGGTCGTGGGGTTGTGGGATAGCTGCGATGGGAAATAAATAGGGGCAAGCTGGTTAGTCGCTTCGGTTTGTCCGACGTGTTGGCGAGAAATACGGAAAGAAAGGGGGGATCGTGGGTTTCAAAGGGGATGTTACCTCAGTGATGTCGTCGGAGTGGCCTTCGTTGTATTGTATTTGTGGAGAGGAAGGGGAGCGGAGGTCCCTGGCGCTGGTCAACAACGGGGGAAATCTGGTTCGAGGCGGCCGGCGTACCAGATGATGATGGATGCTTGGTGGTTGGCGAGCTCTGTGCCCGCAGCAACGGTGTTTGCCTCGTTCGAGCATGCGAGTGATAGTAAGCTTGGTAAGTTGCCTTACATTGCTTGTTAGCATGGTTCCTCCTGAAGTAAACACAGAACAGACGCACCCCCTATTTGCATAGCCCGGGCATTAGAAGCGTCCAGGCGCATGTCCCACACCGAGACAGTGCCATTCTCCCCTGTGGTGCAGACAACGGACTCGCCGGCGCTGTAGATCTCCGCAGCAGTGAGATTCCCGTGATCTGTCCTGATCTTCGTAGTCGGCCCCTGGCTCAGTCTCAGGGGGTCGAAGAGGCTGAGAGTTTGGTCCGATGCCGTCGCAGCGAATCCGGTTGCAACTGGAAGAATGTCCAGCACATAGGTCTCCTGGCCAGGGTACTTGTACACGTCTGAGTTGACGAGTTGATACATCTTGGGTCGCTTGCTTCTAATGCTGGCTTCTGAGAACTTAAAGTGCACGAGAATGTGTAAGTCAGGCAACCGACAAACGAAATGGGAACATGAAATTGTGCCATTCTTCTGCAGCGCAATGTCACATACCAAGGTAAAAATTAACTTCGCCTCAAATATACGAGATGGCTATTGATATCAGAGCTTGCGCTTTGGACCTCCCTTCCATGAAAACAATTTTCACAGGTCGGTGTTCAAGTTTGCAGCTTCTTTTCCAACCTGGAAGCCAGAATCGCAAGAACAAACCTGGAAATGCCCCGCAGCCTGACCCTGTCGATGCGCCGTTGGTTGCCGGCGGCAGCACCCCGGCATCCTCATCACAGTGGAGTGGAGACTGGGAGCTCTTCTGGACAGCTTGTACTGTAAGAACGGCCAGGCACAGATGACGCTCCCCAACGCCGCGTGAGCCGGTCCATCGCTCTCTGTTCCAACCCAACCCTGCTACAACACCAGCACTCAGCCATGTCATGACGACCCAAAATCTCCGTCTTCTCATCACCAGCAATAGACCATGAAGGGGCTCCTATGGCTGTTCCGTAAGCTGCCATCCGGCCAAACCAAGCCACGAGACCATCCCACTAACACGGCCGATCCCAGTGCTCCTGCAGGCCATCACCATTTCCTATGCGAAAGCACAACCAAACCAGCATGTCCTTGGCGGCGACACGACTGGAGAAACGGATGGCAACTCATTTCGCGCAGAGATAGATGCGCAACGGGGGAGACAAATGCCCCGCGAACCGGGTATGGGACAGTCGTGGGGGAATCCAGATTCAAGGCATTATTGACAGATATTAGGAGCCGACCTCGTCGATTCAGCCCTCATCGAACTGCGCAAGCTATACCAGCCACTCCACTACCAGGCGCGGAAGCAACATGGCTTCGTCAGCACGCTCTTGCACTTTGCGCTCAAGGCCCTCCCGACCCTGCGCCTCAGCGCTCCAGCCCCCGAGTCATCGCGCCAGAACGTACCTAGCGGGAAGCTTCTCCATGCGACAGGACTCCTCGAAGAGTCGGCGCGCCGAAACAACTCCGACGCCCTGTATCTAATCGCCGAAATGAACTTCTACGGCAACTTCTCGCACCCCAAGAACTTCCAGGCGGCCTTCGATTACTACCACCGGCTGGCGTTGCTCAATGGTAACAGTTCGGCGCTGTACATGGTCGGATTGATGTATTCGACCGGGATTGGAGGAGCTGTGGAGCGCGACCAAGCCCGCGCGCTCCTATACTACACCTTCGCGGCCGAGAGGGGACACACGAGGGCCGAGATGACGGTGGCGCATCGGCATCACGCGGGCATTGGAACGCCCAAAAACTGCGAACTGGCTATCAAATACTACAAGCGGGTCGCCGACAAAGCCATTGCGTGGTATCGGTCGGGACCCCCCGGCGGGAGGTCCTGGATATCTGAGGCCTACCGGATCGCCGACGAGACAGGCGGTGCCTACGGAGAAGGGGCCAGTGTTGCTAGTGCCGGGTCTAATGCCATCAAGGCGCACCCTAGCTCGGATGCTTATGCCTCTATCGAGGACGTCATTGAGTACCTGGATCTCATGTCCCAAAAGGGCGACTTCAAGGCGTCCTTCAACCTGGGGCGGATCTACTACGACGGACAGAGGGGCCTCGACAAGAACATGGTACTGGCCCGGAAGTATTTCTTTGACGTTGCCCAAAAGTATTGGAAAAAGGGCCGCCCCATCGACAACCCGAAGGCCGGCCTCGACAAGACGGCGGCGAAGGCGGCCGGATACATTGGGCGCATGTACCTACGCGGAGAAGGCGTCGAACAGAACTTTGACCGTGCCAAGTTCTGGTTTGAGCGCGGAGTTGACAAAAAGGACGCCCAGTCGTACCACGGCCTAGGTCTGCTATATCTTCACGGCTACGGCGTCAAGGCAGACCCAGCCCAGGCGATTGACTACTTCAAGCTAGCTTCGGCCCTAGACTATGGCCCGTCTCAGGTGCAGCTTGGGTACCTCTATCTCGATCACGGGAGCAATGAGGACGTGGGAACTGCGAACCACTACTTCGAATTGGCCGCGCGGTGGGCGAACATCGAGGCATTTTACCACCTTGGCGAAGTGAACAACATGGGATGGAATCACGACAGATCTTGCAGCAGCGCCGTGACCTACTACAAAAGCGTGGCCGAACGGGCCGAGCCCCTCGTCTCGTCCTGGGCCGAAGCCAATCTCGCGTTCGAGAGCGGCGATACGGAGTTGGCGCTCCTCGAATACCTCGGTGCAGCGGAACAGGGCTACGAGAAGGCGCAGAACAACGTCGCACACATCCTGGACCCGGCCAAGTCCAGTCTGCCCATTCCACGACTGCTGTCCGGCCGTGCGCCGACGTCCCCGCTCCTCCGGGACCCTACTCTCGCGCTTATCTTTTGGACGCGCTCGTCTCGCCAGGGCAACATCGACGCCCTGGTCAAGATGGGCGACTACTACTTTCACGGCATTGGCACCGACGCCGACGTCGACAAGGCAGTGCAGTGCTACACCGGGGCGTCCGAGTACCAGCAAAGCGCGCAGGCGCTCTACAATCTGGGGTGGATGCACGAGCACGGCGTTGGCCTAGAGCAGGACTATCATTTGGCGAAGCGCTACTACGACGCTGCGGTTGCCACCAACGAGGAGGCATACCTCCCCGTGGCGCTCAGCCTGCTGAAGTTGCGGGTCAAGAGCGCCTGGAATACCCTGACGCACGGCAGGATCAACTCTATCCAGGATGAACCAGGTAGGCATCTTCCAGCAGACCAAGGTCAAACGTGCTGTGCATGAGGAATAACGCTAACATAACGCGCAGCGCCGAGGAAGGAATGGTCCCTCACCGACTGGATCAATAACTTCCTTCAGGACGAGGCCCAGTACTACGACGATGTCTACGACGACTTGTACGAGGACCACGACACCATGCCCGGCGGCGATCCGCTCGACTTTGATGACGGCATCATGGAGAGCGTGGTCATCCTGGGTCTGGCCGCCTTCCTCGCGTTCTTGATCATGTACCGCCAGCAGCGGCAGCAGGCAGCCCGGCAACAGGAGGAGGACGTGAGGCGGCGGCAACAGCAACACCATGCTGCGGCTCAAGGGGGAGCGGCTGTGGAGGATCAGCAGCAGCCGCAGCAAGAAAGAGGATTCTTCCCGCGGCCTGGGGATCCGGATTTTGGACAGTGGGGGGTTGGAGGGGTCGGGCATTGATGCGGGCCCGAAAAGAAATCTGTGTATTAGTCCCATGGCATGGAGCAGCGGCGTAACTGGGTTGTGTTGATTGCTGTGATTCGACTTCCTTAACGTTCCATGGTAATGGGGTCAACGAGAGACAAGTGTCACCTCGATAGATACCTTCGACACTTTTGACTGCTTGCATGTATGTTTCGCGGTCAGTCTTGGGTTTGGCTGTTCTCCCCTTTTCCTCCTTTCTCCAATATCGAAAGAAAGACAGTATTGGTATATACTCATGGTGTTGGGTACCGCCAGCCAGTGGCATATTGTAGAAGGCTCGTGTTCCTCAACTTCAAGGGCCACCGCCGAGTAGCCCAATGAGTCAACGGTGGCGGTCACGTTCCTAGACTTGAGGCTTTCTCGGCCTTGTAGCGAGATGTCACCAATCCAACCCGAACCCTCTTCGCGAAGCGAATTCTCCCGAGGGTTCGTAACTGGCTAGTTACCTCTCTTCGACCGGCGATGAGGCTAAGCCGGTGAGCTTATGCCTCTTTTGCCCCATTTCCTTTTCCCTGTTTTTCTCTTTCCTTTCTTTCTGTTATTCGATTTCTCGCTCTTTCACCTAGTACTAGCTCGATCTCAGTTGGTTACGTATTATGGGAGTCTTGAAGTTAAGCAACTCGAACCCACCACGAAAGCGATTTCCCTTTTCGGCCCAGCTCCCAACTTCCATCGCAAAACGTTGGGATAGGCATCCGTCCCCAACACACATCACCTTCGGCGGAGGAGAAAAGACAATGCGAGATTCGTCAGAAATGTGCTTCCATCGCAAATCGCCAAATGTCATTTCAAACACCCGGCGGCCCGGCCGCCAAGCGACGACGGATTGAGACGGCCAATGCAACGCTCAGAAAGCCCTTCAGGTCACCGCTCATCGCCCGGAATGAAGACGACAGCCAGACCCTCTCACCAAGCATCGGCCGCGGGTTCACACCCGCAGCGAGCACCGCCACCCCAGGCACTCCGGCGCCCGCCCCCCGAGGCAATCGCCGCCCAACGAATACCGCCGTATCGCCCCTCGCAACAACCAGTCCGGCTCTCAGCGTTGTCAACTACTCTCCACCAAGCCGGAAACGACCGGAAACCAAAACCGGCGAAGATTATTGTCATGATGGTGACCTGCTCTCGCGGATCAGCGCATCGCAGAGACAGCTCGCTTCCCAACTGCGCGCCGCCCAGGCCCAGCTGGACCTGGTTCGCCAGGCGAGGCGTATCGAGCAGGCTTCGTCTGCCGCCAAGCAATCTGGAACGAATGGGGAAGAGGGAGTTGGCAGTGATGCAGGGTTGCGGGAGATGATTTCGAGGTGGAAGGCGGCCAGCAGGCTGGCGGCGGAGGATTTGTTTGAGTTGGTTAAAGGGAGGGTCGAGGGTGCGGGGGGTGTGAGGGCTTGGAAAGCGAGGCAGCAGGAGGTTTGCGATATTGGGGTTGGGTTTGGAGATGGTGAAAGGAGGGATGGTAAGGGGGACGGGGACGGAGAGATGCAGGGGAAGAGTGGGAGGGAGAGGGATGATGGGTCGGAGGATGGGAAGGACGATGAGGAAACGGTGAGTTGAGGCGATGAGGGACGGCGATGGTGACTCGTGGACTGACGGCGACGCAGGAATTTACGATGTTTGCGATGCTCAAGATTCTTAATATCGACCCTGATGTTCTGGGGTACGATCCAGTTGAGGACAAGTGGCGGGACTGATCTTGTGTTAGTTACACAGTACCCACCCATCGTGAGACCGGCGAGAATGAGCACATCTCCAACATGTCTGAGTGAGCATCGTCAGGAAAGGCTGATACAGTTTAAAGGATGAAATACCGAGATGGCGAGCGATGCTCTATGTTACCCAATCGCTAGACTAATTGTCAGGGGTTCTGAAACATGGACCTGATGAATGCTCTTATGTAGACCACAACATATACGGAGCACTTCCAAGTCATTGGTCCTCTGTGGACAACCGGCTGTGAGCTTGTCGGCTGCAGATTGAGGTCCTCGAACTTGCCTTACGTAAGCAATGACCGCCCTCTTTGACCCTCGCCATCTCGGAACGTCATGGCAGATTCGAATCAAATCCCAATTGTCCGATTGGCCACTGGCTTGGAAGTTACCGAGCAGTGCCGGGAATCCGCGATCCACACCAATTCGACAGCCGCCACCAACAGAGTGCGTTGCCGAGGCCTTTTTCAAGTGCATTTCCCGCCCACACGAGCAAACGTCGACGTCGCCAGAGCAAGCGCCTCAACCGCCCGTGTCGCCGTCATCATGGCCTCTCTCCGCTCTTCCGCATCGCTCTTGCTCAGCGCCGCGTCCAGGCCGGCCCTGCGCGCGGCTGCCGCTGCTCCGGCGGCTGTCCGCGGCATGGCCCAGGTCACGGACGGCCAGCAGCAGAACATGATGGCCTCAAATGACAAGGCCAAGCTGAAGACCTTCCAGATTTACCGCTGGAACCCCGACACACCAACCGAGAAGCCGCGCATGCAGAGCTACACCCTCGACCTCAACAGGACAGGGCCCATGGTCCTCGACGCCTTGATCCGCATCAAGAACGAGCTCGACCCGACCCTGACCTTCCGCCGGAGCTGCAGAGAGGGCATCTGCGGCAGCTGCGCCATGAACATCAACGGCACCAATACCCTCGCCTGCCTGTGTATGTTTGGACCGGACGCAAGATTTGAGAGCTGTGTGGGATGCGAGGTTACTGACCGTTGGCAGGCCGCATCCCCGCCGAGGACAACGCCGAGATGAAGATCTACCCGCTCCCGCACACTTACGTCGTCAAGGACCTGGTGCCCGACCTTACCCAGTTCTACAAGCAGTACAAGTCGATCAAGCCGTACCTACAAAGGGAGACGCCCGCCCCGGATGTGAGTGGAACGCAGCACGTCCACATGGCTGGTCACTGTTTGGCTAACATACCGCACAGGGCAAAGAATACAGGCAAACCAAGGCGGACCGGAAGAAGCTCGACGGCCTCTACGAGTGCATTCTCTGCGCGTGCTGCTCGACGTCGTGCCCGTCGTATTGGTGGAACTCGGAGGAGTACCTGGGCCCCGCCATCCTACTGCAGTCGTACCGGTGGCTGGCCGATTCCCGCGACGAGAAGACAGCCGAGCGCAGGGACGCCCTCAACAACTCGATGAGCTTGTACCGCTGCCACACCATCCTTAACTGCACTCGGACTTGTCCCAAGGGTCTTAATCCCGGTTTGGCGATTGCCCAGATCAAAAAGGAGATGGCGTTTTAGATGGGGAGTCGAGCTGATGGGGCGACGAGAGAGAAAGGGAAGGATGGCCGTGGAGTCTGGTGTAGGCGGTAACACAAGTGGTGGGCGGATGGTGTCTTGAATTTCCGATGTCGTAGATATGTAAACTGTACCTGGTCTCCTGCATGGTTGGAGTTTACTTTGTTACAGTACAGCAATAGGGATTGTTCTTGGTTCTTCTATGTCTGTACTCGCTATTGAAGCACTATCAACGGGTTATGTTCTGTCAGGGGTAACAGAATGACAATGCGTCGTACTTCTTCAGAAATCGTGTCTGCTGGGTAGTCAAGGTATGACAACGCCCGATTAGTATTTTGAGGAAACCGAAAGCCAAAGCTAACGACACATCAGACACTATGAATGGACTACTTTGCACATGCCGATGGCACGACATTAGCGGCTACCTAAGTCCCATCACCTCCCCAACGCGGCTCGGAATTGCACTACTCTTCCTTGACGAGCTCGTACCCAACCTGCACCGGCATGTAATTTGCCGTCGTCCACGCATTCACTAACCAGGTTTCTCGGTCAGCACAACAAGTAAACAATAACTTGGTTAGGCAACTTACCATCCTTCCACTTAACACTCCAGCCCTCCCCAGTACCAGCACCAGCCGCAGGGAAGACGACCCACCTCCCTTCAGATCCCTCAATTGCGTACTCGACCGTTCCTGTCTCCGCGGCACCACCGTCCCGTTCATGGTTGAGCTCAAGCCGGAACGAAGTCCAGTTGCACGTCGCGCCCTCTGGCAGTTTCAGCGCCGCCGGGTCGGCAAGGCTGGCCAGGTCCAGCAGGCCGTTGGACCCCAGCACCGCGAGCGTGTCACCTGAGGCCGGGATGCGCAATTCAGCGAGGCCGGTAGTGGGGTTGTGGAGTGGGTAGAAGAGGATCTTCTTGTTTTTGCTGTCGTTCACGTTGGGGAATACGCCGAGGACGGTGCTGTTGTTTGGCGAGCGAGTGATGTAGAGGCCGTTGAGGGAGGGAACGGGTCTGTTGAGTTTCGTCTTAGCTGTCTGGTGGGTGGCAGGATGGGAGGGGAGGGATAAAAGGTGGTGAGCAACGAGGCATACGATGTGATGCGCAGGGCGTAGATTGCCTGGCAGACGTCCCGGCGGACGGGCTTTGCGAGGCATGTGCAGGCGAGGAAAGACGGGGTGAGGCTTTGGAGCTTCATGGCAAATGCAGTCTGTCTTGGTGTTTGGTGTTGGTGTCTTGACTGTCCTCGACGCGAGGTTTGCTAGTTGGCTGGCAAAATGATGATATCATACTGGCTCGTCTATCTCAGGAAGGCGTAAAGTAGGATTCTTTATGTTGTCGTCCTCTTGTCTTGACTGCAGTGGTGCCAGTAATTAGAGTCACAGACATGGATATCACGGTCAATTTGCACAACCTTCTCTAGGTCATCATCGCCCTCTTTGCACCTTCCTCTCACCAAGACTGAGGCTTTCAGGTTTGCACCAGTACGCTGCCCACGTCATCTGTGTTTGCTTGTCCCACGACACAGTCGCCGCTACTTACACAGTTGCCGCAATACAGACATATGGTGAGGTGTTCCTGATGGATTTTTCCGCTCCAGATATTCGTCACATATTAAAGACTGCAAGCAGCATGCACTTGATTAACCCGATATTCAGCCAGTATTATTTATTTTTAGCAGCTGCGCTGCTTCTCTCCGCAGAACATCGGGCTCCATGTTTGTCGTCTTCATAAACGGCACAAAACCAGGTCTTCAGCCATCTCCCAGCTCCCGTCTCTCTCTTTACGTCCCTTCTTCTTCTCCCTCTCCCGGAAACAACCAAGCTCCCGTTGGCTTCCGGCACAGCTACTTGATGTGACGGTAATGCCAAGTAAGTCTAGATGTTCGTTGGCTGCTATGCATTGCCCAAGGCAACCACGACGAGGCTGGATTGATGACATTGGACGAGAAATCAGAAGTCAGTCCAATTCCCGGTGTCTTGTAGTATCCTGCCATAATGCCGAACCAGGACCTGAGGGGAGGGAACATGTTCATACGATGCAAGAGAGTGAAGGCGCAAAATCCTATAAAGCCCAAACACAACCCTCCCCCCCCTTTCCTTTTCCCGTTTCCCAGTTCTAGATTTCTCCTCTTTTTGTCCTTTTCAACTTTCTCCAACATTCATTCTCCTAGGCGATGCAAGATATGATTCAGCTGCAAAACGAACTTTGTTTCTGAGTGCGGCGGGTCGCACAGAGTGTACAGGAGCTGGCAAGTCAAGCGAAGGACCTGGCCGACGTGGTATTGCTCCTGTACATTCAGAGGCCGAGACTTTGGCTCCCCAGATCTGCCCTCCCCCCCCTCATCATTCCGCAAATCCGGGCTTGGAACACCTTAGCCTATGGGTCTGAGTAACCCTACCTTAACGTTAAATTCTGCATTTGGTTCCGGTTCCTGGCGGAATCCCTTCCTCCCTTTCCCGTTTCTGTCATCGCTCTCCCAAGCGCCCGCCTTGGCTGCCATTGCAGCTACAATGACAGCGAAAATACGAGGGCATTCACCAAAGACAAAGTGTCAAAAGGGTGCTGAGGACGGGACGGTATGAGACGAGCACAGACTTCCATGAGTATATATGATACGGTCGTTGGAAGACACATACATGTGCCAAGGGCCCTTTCTTGTATCTAATGCATTCACTTATTGCAATCTGCTGTCGCTGGGAGACATCGTGTGGCGACGTCCCGAGCCAGACTCCTTTATGTAAGTGTCTCCATTGCTCACCCCTCAATGTGATCAAGCTCTCCTCTGTGCCTGAACATCTCACCTTCATATGCGGGAATCTAAGAGCCCGTCATTTCAGTTTGAATTGACATCACAGTAGCCCAACATGCGTCACACAGCGGTCTTGCCCCTATTCTCGTCCATCCTTCTGCTTGGGGGGATGGCTGCTGCCGTCCCCGTGGCAAACACTGACGAACGATGCAAGCCCCAGATCATCTGCGTTGATGCTGTCAACCCCTGCGGTATCAAATATGGCGGGTATGAACTCCAGGTGACCCGGTAAACCAGAGTGGATACTGAGATGGGGCGGCAGTTGCTACGATGTCTGCGACGTCTCAGCCAAACCCGTGGCACCGCCGTGCCCGTCGTCGACAACCAAAAAGTCCACCCCAACATCCACCAAGAAGCCTACCCCCACCATCACCAAGGCCACGTCTACCACCAAAAAGCCCTCTCCATCGTCCACCAAGAAGCCTACTCCCACAACCACCAAGAAGCCCCCCGTCACATCGACAGTCAAGCCCCCCGTAACCTCCATCAAGAAGAGCACCACCCTCACCACCTCCACCAAGCGCCCGAGCAGCACAACAACCAGCGCATGCACGGCCACCGCCCCCTGGCTCTGCTGGGATGGTATCAACGAGTGCGGCATGATGTACGGCGGGTAAGCATCACTCTCTGTTGCTATGCTCACAGAAAAGAAAACGAAGAGCACACTGACATACTGTGTGTGTTTAGGTGCTTCCCTGATTGCAAGCCGTGGCCCACCTTCGCGCCGCCTCCTTGCCCGACCAAGGACAAGCCGACTGTGATCACTAGGGTTACTACGCTGCCTACTTTGACGGTACCTCACTATGACTGAGGTGATATGTGGTGGCTTTCATGTAAGTGTTGGGCAGTTTTGAGGTGTGTCTACTCTTGTACTGCTTTTTGAGTGTCGGGGGGGAAGTTGAGATATTTGTTCTATGGATAACAAAAATGGTCACGACGAAATTCTTGAAGCTTGTCAACACTATATGTGGTGCTTGACGGGTTTGTGGGTTCTGCAACCGTCAGCTAGAATATCAACTCCTAGCTACGAGATAGGTGAAAGGGGATGAACGAATCCGATGCACCAACGGTGCTTCATAACCGATTTCCCGAACTGCCATGCACGTGCTCGTCATTTTGGCTCAGGCAGCATTGCCTGAGGGTTTGTAAGTCTCCTGTTTTCGCGCTCCATGATACGCCCGTTGGACCCGACAACTCTCCCACTAAAGACCCGGCTTTTTAAACTGAGATAACCGCACCTTCCGCCGTTCAGTTCCAATGCATCATTCTTCCTGAATCATCCATCCCACCATTCATGTCACGCCTAGAACCCTGCCCACGGCTGTTCATTTACCTTTAGCAGCGAGGTACTCCACGTCTCCAATCTCCCTCAGCTTCGTCCCCTTGATAATAACTTGCTCCTCCATATCGTGCTGATACCGCCTCATCTTGTCCTGAAACTCGGGCACGAATGACCCAAGAATCCTTACCGCCAGCAGCGCGGCATTGGTCGAGTTGTTGATCCCCACCGTGGCAGTTGGGACGCCCCTCTGTGCTTCTGATCAGTAAACCATCCCATCCACACCCGATGACACGGAGAAGAAGAAGGACAGGTACAACTCACCGGCATCTGCACGATACTCAAAAGACTATCCAACCCATCCAAATGCGTCGCCTTGACGGGTACACCAATGACGGGCAGCGGCGTCTCGGACGAAATCATGCCCGGCAAGTGGGCAGCGCCGCCGGCCGCGGCAATGATGACCTTGATGCCGCGCCCCGCCGCCTCGTCGGCCACGCGCATCATGTACTTGGGCGTCCGGTGAGCCGAGGTGATGTCAAGAGCGTAGGGCACACCAAATTCACGAAGGATGTCCAGCCCCGGTTTGAGCACGGGCAAGTCCGAGTCGGAGCCCATCGTTACCAGGACGAGGGGGTTTTTGGGTCCGTCTCCTTCTTGTGGGGAGGCTGAGGAGACTTGAGGCGTGGTGGTGCCGAGTGCTTCCTGCTTGGGGCGGAGGGTTTCGGAGGTGGCCGAGAGGCGGTCCAGGCGGATCTGGTTGACGAGGTCGATGAAGGGCTTGGCTTTGGCTTCCAGCTCGTGGATGGAGGAGGTGGCGCCTGTCAGCGTGATGTGGCCGATCTTGCGGCCGGGCTTGGAGGCCTTGTTGTAGAGATGCAGGTAGACGTCCATATCGTCATCGAACGTCTCGCGTGCGAGCTCGGCAAGCTTGAGATGGGCCGAGGGCGTGGCGCCGCCGAGGATGTTGAGCATGATGGAAGAGGAAACTCTGGGGGTTAGCTGCTTAGGCACGGGGAGGTCGAGGACGGCGTGTATTTGCGCCTTGAACTGCGACATTTGGGGCACGGCCTCGATGGTGTAATGGCCCGAGTTGTGAGGACGGGGGGCAACCTCGTTGACCATCAGGGAGCCTGCAGGTGTCAGCAGAGGCGTTAAGAACGCCAAGGGATTTCGTACCATCTTCGAGAAGGAACATTTCGACGGCAAAGACACCCCGGCCCCATAGAGTGCTGATTACCTCTGTTGCCAGCTCTCTCGCCGCCTCGCAGATGGTCTCAGGTACATTTCTTGGCGGCATGAAGACCTTGGTGCATATGCTGTCCTCGTGAATGGTTTCAACGGTGGGATAGGCGACACAGTTCTTGAGCTTGCCGCCGTCGTCTTCTGTCCTGATGACCATGACGGCCAGCTCCTTGACAAAGGGGGCCCACTTCTCAGCATACAGGCTTAGGCCACCGAGGGCCTTGACTGCAGCCTCGAAGTCGTCCGCACTGCTGACTTTGAAGTTACCCCTCCCATCGTAGCTGCCCTTCCGCGCCTTGAGCATGAAGGGGAAGCCGAACTTGGCGGCTACATCTTTGAGCGAGGCGAGGGCGGCTGGTCCCGACTCGACGGCCACCTGGTCGGCAATGGGTATCTTTTTGCCGCAGGTGCGGAAGTGCTCCTTCTGAAGGTACTTGTCCTGTATGAGCCGGATGGTCCTCCACGAGGGATGGACAGGCGGCCTCTGAGTCTTTGTGGATCCGTCGGCCTGCTTAACCTCGACGCCGTTCTTCTCGATGTCTTCGAGAACCCCGGTCTCAACATGCTCGATCTCGACGGACAAGACGTCAGACTGCGCAGCGAGCTCCCGGATGCGCTCGGGGTCCTTGAACGAGCCGGCGACATGGCGGTTTGTGTTGTGCGCCTGCTTGGCCGGAGCGTTTTCCTCGTCGAGAATGGCAACGTCGATGGCCAGCGGATTGGCTGCCTCGCACAGCATGCGTCCGAGCTGGCCACCGCCCAGCAGCCCAATCACGGGGTTCCTGTTGTGTGACATTATCTTTCTGAGGTTATGTATCTAAATATCTTGGGCAATTGTTGTCGTGGCCTGGCAACTTTGGGAGGATAGAAGACCGAAATCGGGTAATAAATCACATTGAAATTTTTGTAAGTCACTGCAGATCGGCTGCAGTCGGTGTTAAGGTACCGTACCCAATTCTCACGTTCCGTTAGGTAACTCAAGTCAAGCCCTGAGGAAATCCTCGAGTAGTCTTTTGTGTTCGCTCATACTTTTACTTTATGGACCGGATATTCGAAGTGAAACTTGAATTTGAATTGAAGCTCCTCCGATTACTTGGTCAGGCACAAAGGCGTGATAGTTGAGGTACTTCTCTCCGAGGTGAGACTCGCATTGTGGGGCTATCCATTGCTTCCTCAACAGCTCGTTACCTCCTCCTCGCACCGAGACAGAAATCCAATGGCACTGAAGTACATCTTTCAATCGCTGTGCTAGAATCATGACCGAACTCTCGGATCTAGAGCTCATTCAGTAAGGATAGATCCCCATCGATCCTTCAATACGGAATACACCGAGGCTTCTTTTCTTGACTCGCCTGTGACTTACACCTCTACCAGCCCCCTGAAGCTCTTCGACATTGCAAAAAATGAGAAGAGGTTTCTGTACGCCTCAGCGCCTATGGTGCGCTACAGCAAGGCATGTTGCTCAGATGTTAAGTCTACCATGGATTTTCTGACAAGCAGCAGCTTGCCTTCCGCCAGACAGTGTATGCTTATGGCACGGATCTGTGCTGGACGCCCATGATCCTGGCCAAGGAATTCAACAGAAACCGCTTTGCAAGAGACAGCGGTGAGCCCTCATCGCCTAGCAAGACTCTGGCCTGTCCCTGACTCTCCAGATTTCACAATATCGACCAATGGGCCCCAACCTCCAACAATAGTCCAATTCGGCGCCAATGTCCCACAAGAACTCGCGAGGGCTTCCTCACTCGTGGCTCCTTTCAGCAACGGCGTGGACTTGAACTGCGGCTGTCCACAGTCATGGGCATGTGCCGAAACCCTGGGCGCCGCCCTGATGGAGAAGCGGGAACTGGTGCGGGACATGGTCGTCGAGACCCGAGAGCAGCTTCGTCGGGATGGATGGGCCGTTGACAAGGAGAAAGACATCAACAACCCCAAGGGAAGGAGTGTGAGCGTCAAGATTCGCGTCCACAAGGATCTCCGGTTTGATCCCAACAGCTAGACTTCCTATCCATGTCAACTAACCAATCCGCCCAGGAAAACAATCGACTTCATCGCCACCGTTCTCGGTCCCGAACGAGACCGCCACATCGACTGGCTAACTATTCACCCCCGCACGCGCTCCACGCCCTCCAGCACGCCAATCAACCTTGAAGCCCTCGAAATCCTCACCTCGACCTTCGGCACCCGCGTCCCAATCCTCCTATCCGGCGACGTCTTCGCTCTCAATGCCCTACCCTTCACCTCCCCCTTACTTACCACAAGACCAACCATCACGACCACCACCACCCCCCCCCGCGATATCACCTCCTGCTCCTCGGAACACCCACGCCACAACCAACCGCCAACTTCACTTCCAAACCTCCCTCATGTCTCCGGCCTAATGTCGGCCCGCGCAATCCTGTGCAACCCGGCCCTCTACGCAGGCCACTCGACGTGCCCCTGGTCGGCGGTCGAGGCCTTCCTCAACAACGCGGTCCGCTGCCCGCTACCCTTCAAGCTGGTCCTGCACCACCTCAGCGAAATGTGCGGGCCGGGGATGGGCGCGGACAAGAGCGCGCTCCTGACCAAGCCCGAGAGGGCGGCCATGATGGCGTGCGGGAACATGCTGGATCTGATCGATTTCTTGGATGGGAGAAGGGGGGTAAGGAGGGGCATTTTTACGCTATGATAGATCAGGCTGATGGCTGCTTTATGAATATGGCACAAGCTGGGGAGTTCTGTATGTGGAGGAAGGGATAGCATTACACCAGGATGGGGTATGGAATAAATATGGATGGAAGTGCGTCTCCGCAACCTTGATCCGTCTGGCGAGATGGAAATAGAAGTGGTGGGACTTGAAACCATTATCCAGGGTTGAAATCTCGTCCCGGCGCTAGCATGGCAACAGCACGGCTGTGTACCTGGAGTCGCTGGTGATGCCATCAAAATCAGACGCCTTGGCGCATAAACCCTACCAGGACACATTACCAGAGAAAAATACAACACGAGACTGGCAGCTGGCGGGCTTTCCTGAGATGAAAAGGCGAAGAAAGGTGGTATGAAAGGTGGTAGTGTATGAGTACAAATGCGAGCGCTCGCTAAATGGAGGCCCATTATAGAGTAACCGCGAGACGGGCATGAAGACAAGCGGCCAGGAAATGAAGAAAAAAAAACCGAGTACTCCATATGCTCAGCCCAAAACCACCCAGCTATGCCTCCCAACTCGGCAAAACCCCTTGCCAACCGCTGACCCCGACCCCGAAATCACACCCAAGCCGCTTCTTGCAGGGCAACAAGGAAGACAGAGGATACCTCCCGTAGAAACACAGACGAAGAAGGAAAGAAAGGCCGGTCGAGCTGCCCAGAAGAGCACGAATCAGGACCCCTTAATCTCTCCCCCGTCCTCATCTCCCAACTTCTGTCTCTTAGACTCCCTCTCCTCCCCATCTTCCGGCTCCTCACTCCTCCTCTTGATCCGAGGCGAGACCAAGCCGCCGCCAGTACTGCCATTAAGCGTGCTGCTGTGGGTGTCGTGCGTCGAGAGGTCGTTAGCCGCCGCCTTAAGCGCGGCATCAGAGTCACCCCTGGCGCTCGTCTGCGACGCAAGCTCCTCGCCGCTCGCTGACGGCTCGTCTCCAACCTTAGTAGTAGGAGCCGATGACTCGCCAAGGTCCTCCTTCTTGATGGCAACACTACTTTCCCTCTCGGCCTTGCCGTTTTGCCGAGCGCCACCACTTGGCCGGGGGGGGCTCTGCGTGCCGCCCCGGTCGGTCCCCAACGGCGTCGGGGTGCCGTACTGGCTCGAGTCAAGGTCCATCTGGCTGAGGCTGAGCTCGCCGCGGCGGCGGGTGCTCTCGAGATTGAACACGGGCGAGCCGGGTACTTTGTTATTGTCTTGCTTACGTAGCGGGTTCTCTTTGTAGAAATCCGTCATAAATTGTACGGCGCGTACGGTGTGCGTCTCGCTGCCCCGGAGGTACTGCCACCACGCCTGGCCGTTGACGTCGTCGATCTTCTCGCCCGTGACGGCCGTGGCGAAGAAGATGGCGGCGATGGCGATATCACGCGCGTTAAGCATGAGCGGCAGCACCGTCAGGCAGGCGTCGTTGCAAAAGGCCCAGGTCGAGTCGCGCAGCCGTTTATTGTGTAGCAGATCGAGCCGGCCAAAGTACTCGTACAGCCGCATGTAAGGATTGTCCACCGTCAGGTCGAATGTCAGCGCCTCGAGCATCAGTTCCTCGTAGGTCAGGATGCTGTCACGCCACTTCCAGTACTCCTTGCTCTGCTCGTCGATAATGAGCTTTGTGTTTTTCTGCGCCACCTTGGCGACTGCAATTATGACGTCCTTAGTCTTGCGGCAGTTTTCCTCGGTTTTGTTGGCCAGGAAGAGGGCGGTTGCTGCGATGTTCTGAGAAGGACGTGTGAGCATAGACCAGATCGTGGTTTCGGCAGAGTTGACCTACGTAATGGTGGATGCCTCCCTTCTCCTCCATCATGCTGTACCGCATGTAGAACCGGTGGAAGAAGACGCCGGCAACCCATAATGTGATCTGCGGCAGGTCGAGCAAAATGCCGGCTTGGTAGATGAAATTCACACCCTTAGCCCTCCTGAGCCTCTCCTCGCTCGGTAGGAGACCCTCAACTATGCTAGGTGTGCTGAGCACCTCGTCTGCGGTAAAGAACCATTGGTCTGGCAACGGCTGCGGCGCCTGTAGCGGACTGGACCGGGCGGGTGAGGGCGCGCTCCTGCGCGAAAGTGGACGGGGTGGGGACGTCCTCGAGGAATGGGTGGGCGGCGAGGGGACGGCAGGGGGTACATCGCGTCGCCTTGATGGTGACTTCGACAGACGGTCGATGGCAGCGACCTGTGGTTTTGGTGGAAGCGACGGCGGTTGATAGCCTTCTCTTAGCGGCCGGTATCTGTCGATGCTCGACATGTTGGTTGCGCGGCGGCGAGTAAGATCGATGCGGAGTCGTATAAATCCTCCCTTACTCTTGGAAGAGAATGTGTATGTGGTATTCAGACCAATTGCATTGATAATCTAGGGTGCTGACAGAGAAGTCGAGAACGAGTCGTTGAAAATGAGCGATGCATTTGTACTTAAGTTGTCGACTTGCAGATGGACCGCGAGAGCTCCCGGCGCCCTCGAACTTCAACGTTATCGCCCTATCGGAGATGTGGGACCATGGCTCGTGCAGAGCGCGGCTCACACCTACTCAATCTCATTATTGCATGGTCCAATAGCCGTTCAGGCGTCGTCTTCGGAGCACCTTGCACAGCATAAGGTCACAACGACATCATGGTCAAGTCTCGACTCGGGTATCTGGTATCAAGCTAGACATCTTCCTAGTCCAAACGAGGTCATATCGTTTTCCTTTTCACAGACCTCACCTAGTCATCGCCGTACATTCCCGCAGAGTCATATCTTCCCCACAGCTTGACCGTGCGGTCATGGCCACCGCTGACGATCCATCTCCCGTCCCTGCTCACGTCCACACTAGCCACAGGCCCGGTGTGGCCACTGAGTGACTGTACCAGCGCCCAATCATCAGCCGAGAAGACGTTGACCTTGTTGTCGAAACCCGCCGAAACAAGAAAGGTGCCCGATTTCTTTGGAATCTGCATGCCCTTCTCATCCTCGCCGGGGGGAGTGCCTTCCAGGGGATCATCGAGACCCTTGAACCACCTGACATCAGCCACCGCGCTCGTGTGCGCGCCGATGCCCCCAGACCGCTGCACCTTCCTGACATCCCAACATTTGATCCATCCGTCGGCAGAAGCGGTCAAAACCCGGTGGCCGTCCGAGCCCCAGTCGAGCCCGTAAATGGGCTTGATGTGGCCGTCGGTGCCGCCGTCGAGAATCATCACGGTACGCCCGGAGCGCAGGTCCCAGACGCGCCCGATGCTATCCAAACCCGCGCTGGCCAGAAGGGAGCCGTCCGTGTTGAAGCTGACGGCGTAGACTCCGCGCGAGTGGCCCTCCTGGAGGAGCAGCTCTGTAGTCGTCTCGACGTCCCATAACCTCCACGACGTGTCTTCCGATGCCGACGCGAGGTACTTTCCGGAGGGATGGAATTCGACCCGACATACCCGTTGAGAGTGGCCGGAGAGGGTTGAGAGTGGCGTGTCTTGGGTGAGTGACCATAGATGGATTTGGCCCTCGGCGCCGCCCGATGCGAGATTAACCGTCTCTTCTGAGACGTTGCGCTCGGGCAGTGTAGCCCCAGGCATCCACGAGATGCCGCTGATTTTGTTGGTATGACCTCTCAGTGTCCGCTTGTGTTCGAGGCTAGGAATGTCGATGAGTTTGACCTGGCCCCCCCAATTGCCGGTCGCCACCATCTTGCCGTTCGGAGATATCCTCGTCATGCTAATGTGACGATCTCCGGCTGTTTGACTGCCCTGGAGCTCAAAAGTCTGTAGCCGTTCCTTGATTTCCCTCCGGAATTTGACGTGGGTACGCAGGGGAATGGTGGCCTCCTTCTTTTGGAATTCGACGCGCCGCTTCGCTCGTGGGATCGTGTACTGGGCCATGTTTATCCGCGCCTGGAGAAGCTCATCCGTTCCTCGGGAATAGAACTCCTCCTCTTGCTCTTCGACTTCCTCCTCCCCGGCCTCGTCCGCGTCTTGCATCTCCACTTCGGGACCCTCTCCAGTCGTCGCCTGCTGTGCCTGCGCCTGTTCAGTGAGGATCTCCCGCAACCTGTCGCGCCTGTCCGCCGGGCCTTCGCCGAAGAGGGTGATAGGGTGGCCCAGCTCCCGAAGCTTGGCTCGTACTCGCCCATCGTCGGTGGGAACTGCAATGGTGGCTGCTAGCCTTTTGCGCTCGAACTGTGAGAGTAGGGCGGATGCCTTCTCAGGCGCAATGCCAGCTCCGGCGCTTGGAATGACATAGTCACGGTCGATGGCTATCTGTGTAAGTTACTAAGTTGCGGTGGCACCATTTCATATTGGGCACACGTACGGATAGAGTGTAGGTCAACGCCGGCTTTTCGATCCTGCATATGACGCGGGTCAGTCATCGGCCGGGTTGCTGCTGCCAATGTCGGGGTGCTTGCTTGCCTCAGACTCAGCCTCTTCCACATATGCCCTGCGCGATGGGTGCATCATGATTGCGATTTTGGTTTCGAATCACGATCTCTGCCCACAGTTGGCCGGGATGCATTAGGAGCTCGGTGCTTTGGATGGCCGCGATCGAGTTGTCTCAACGAGGTGGGTCTGATTTGGTAGCTTTAGGTAATTTTGATGCAATGGATGCTAGGACGTGACGTTCGGTAAGTTAACTGTAAACTTGAAGGAGCGAAAGAAAATCGATGTAACAAACCGTTAACATTATGAATCTTACCTCCGGTGCCTTACCACATTTATTTAGGTGTCGTATAATATAATACATATCCGTACCTTGGGGGCCTTATACCTAAGGTAACACCCTCAGGATGAATTCATAATCCCGGAAGCTCAAAAGCAAGATCGGACATCAAGAGCAGCAAACGGGGCCACCTCTTCCGTGCAGTAGTATGACACTACTCACTAACTTCTTGGCGGGAGATTTGAACAATGAAGGAAAAGTGTGCAGGTTGTTGTAAATCCTGAAAAGCGTCAAGGACAGCTGGTCAATGCCATTCCGGGAACGCCGTCATTGGCCGCATCGTTCTGGGGAGCTGGCATTTTGCGCAACTTCCTTTAGGTGCAGTCGAGCCCGTGAGAGACCCTGCCTTGAGTTCGTACGGATGGAAAAGTCACAATGGAATGGTCGGTCTTTGTCTGCATCCGTACTAGTAAACTGCACAGTAGTATCAGAAACTCTCCGTCTCCAAGCTTCCACTGGCATTTTGAAGGCCTTTAAGTGTGGTCGTTTCTGGGGACGGGATCCCCGGTTCTAGCCGCTTCCCCAGAGTTCAGAGGCGGCCGGCCCAGCCCAGCCTTTCGGTTGAAAAATCAAGGCGATTCAGGGCTGAGATCGATCTGCGCCCCGGAACCTTAGCGCAGCACAGCCAATGGAATGGCCACAAACTTTTTTCTAGCTTTCTTGTTGGCTCGCTCAGGCCAACAACGCATGTGAAGCGCACTGGCACGCTGTACTCCTGGAAGGGGACAATAAAAAGCTCCGCACTGCCTTCTTTTTTTTCTCCCTTTGAGAAAGTTAACACCTCCTAGAACGCAGTTCACCAGGCACAACCTCCCAGTTACTCAATGCAGATCAAGGCGACTATACAAGACAACTCTACTTCCTTCTTCAAGTACCAGATGCGTACAATTCCAAGCCACAAGGGACTGAGCAATATTACTGAAAGGAGGGCTGAGGGCGGACGACGTCGGGGAAAGCCTTGAACGTTGAATTGCCTGGCCGGCGAAACCAAATGGTTCTAGGCAGTCCGTTGTTCGCTGGTTTCTGAGTCTATTCGATATCTTTAATCCCTCATTTCCATCGCCCAATCTTTCGAGCAGCAGCGACGCGTACCTCACACGACGAAGCCGGCGTCATGTTTTCCAAGGCGACTCCCGCGCTCAACACTGTGCGCGGCTTTAACGGAACCCCGTTGGCTTCTGGCGACGAGGACTCAGACTGCTGTCCTACTCCGCAGCCCGGCGAGACGAACCGTGCCAGGCACGCCAAAAAAACCCATGCCCTCAACGATGTTGTCAGTGTGAATTGCAGCCCGGCCCTCAAGCCGATTGTCTCCCAGGGCGGCATGAGCGGCATCAGCAGGCTTCGAATGCAGCTGGATACGCTCAACCTCGCCAATGACCAAGCTGCCGGTTCCACGGCCGCCTCGTCGCGCACGACCTCCTTGACCAACAGTGAGAGCCTCCGTTCCCCTCCCGCCAGCGACACCACCGTCAGCAGCGGCCGCTACAAGAGCCGCACTGGAAGCGGCATCAGCAGCGAGGATGAGACGGCGTCACAGGGCAGCACCGAGTACGAGATCAACTTGGAGCACGACTTCGCAAGTGAGGCCAGCGGTCGCCCCATTGCCGACACTGTTCGCCCCCGTCATAAGATGACGGCGGGCGACTTTGAGCCGCTCCGTTGCCTCGGAAAGGGCACCTACGGGACCGTCTTGCTCGTGAAGCAGCGCACGACCGGACGGCTATATGCCCAGAAGCAGTTTAAGAAGGCGTCTCTGGTGGTTCATAAGAAGCTTGTCGAGCAGACGAAGACGGAGCGCCAGATCCTCGAAAGCGTCAACCGTCACCCGTTCGTCGTCAAGCTCTACTACGCCTTCCAAGACCAGGAGAAGCTGTATCTGATCCTCGAGTACGGCCAGGGCGGCGAGCTGTTCACTCACTTGAGCACCGAGAGGATGTTTTCCGAGGAGACGGCCGCATTCTACATGGCCGAGATGGTCCTCGCACTGACCCACCTGCACAACACACTGGGCGTTGTCTACCGCGACCTCAAGCCTGAGAACTGCCTCCTGGACGCCGAAGGTCACCTCTTGCTGACCGACTTCGGTCTCTCCAAAGTCGCCGTTGACTCGGACGCATGCAATTCGATCCTCGGCACGGTCGAGTACATGGCGCCCGAGGTGATCCAGGGCAAGAAGTACGGCAAGGCCGTCGATTGGTGGTCGCTGGGAGCGCTGGGGTTCGACCTAATGACGGGCCACCCGCCCTTCCGCGGGCCGAACCACGCCAAGATCCAGGACAACATCGTGCGCCAGAAGCTCGCCCTGCCCTTCTTCCTCAGCCCCGACGCCAAGGACCTCCTCACCCGCCTGCTGCGCAAGGATCCCGCCAAGCGCCTCGGCTCCAGCATGCCCAAGGACCTGGCCACCATCAAGAAGCATCGGTTCTTCCGCAAGATCGACTGGACGCGGCTGGCCGCGCGCGACATGGAGCCGCCCATCCAGCCCATCATCACCGACCCGGAGCTGGCAGAGAATTTTTCGCGCGAGTTCACCGAACTTTGCCTCAGCCCCGTCGTGAGCCGGTTTGTCGATCTGGAGGGTGGGGCTGGTGGCGCCCCGGACGTCAACGACGATCCGTTTGGCGGCTTCAGTTTTGTTGCGCCCAGTAGCTTGCTCGAGCGTCCTGGGTTCACTATTCCCGTCTGACGCGGTGGGCTGCTATTTTGGCTCCCAGGGCTGTTGGTACTTTGCTCAGGCGAGGATTACTTGCTTCGTGGAAGAGAAAGGGAGCTCGCTCTGACAAGTTGCTTAGGACTGGAGGGGAGGAGAGGCGTGGTAATTGACGCCGCAAGGCGCTTGGCGTTTATAGGATTGGCAGCCTGGGGGCATTCTGGGACGTGGGGGACACGGATATTATTATTATTGCTTTGCGAACCGGCTCGCACATTGCCTATGGAAAGAACAAATATTCTACTGGGTATAACAGAGGGTGCACCGCTCCGTCATTCTTTCCTGCGCCCCTTCATTGGGTGACCCTGATGATGCTCGTCAGTCAGATATACAGTGTCCGCTCTCCAATTTGTCAGCAGCATGAAGTCGCAAGTAGGGTGGGTTTCAGTGCGTTGTTACTATTCATAAAGGGACGCGCCTTCGCTCCGTCCCGTGGCTTGGATTCCCGTCTCTCAACAGAGCACAGCATTGGGGCGCGATGTGCGATGCTGAGCGTATCACCTTATTATCATGAGGTTCTTGATCCGGCGCAAGCCGCGCTGATCTCCCTCTCGGTGAACCGCCGGAGTAGTTCATCAAATTGCAGCACATGCTCACCAAGACCTCAACAGCCTCGTGATGACGCGTACACACTGCACTGTGCAAGTACAGGAATGCCCGAGTTATCCAGTCGGGAAGTAGCCAAGCCTGCGACGAAAGCCACGATGAGCACAGCTCTACCGCGTCGGTGCCGTGGGAAGGATGCTGGAGGTTCTACCAGCCAGGAGAGTGCCGGAGACGAAAGCCACGGAGTTAAGCCCAGGCAGCAGCCATCTTTCCGTTCCTACATGCAGATGAAACAAAGACTATGTGCTGTTTCCGTGCCGTCTCACAGCCGGGTTTCGGTAGTTGGTTGCCAATGGTTGGTGGTCTGTCCGGGGGTCTGTGGGTGCGTGTGGGTGTGTTGGAAGGCCGCCCGGCGTCGACTTCACAATGCTCTCATTGTGAATAAAAGCAACGAGCAGGCAGCGGCCCGTCCGATCGGTGTCCGACCGCGTGTGGAACTCATTGGGCTGCGTCTGGCGGAGAAAGGTTTGGATCTGCGGTTCCCCACGAATGTCCGCCGGACGGAAGCGGTGCTGCACCGTCCAGCGAGGCATTACTCACGACTGACAAATGGCTCGGCATCGAGTGGATGGCACGGGCAGTAGGAGTTTGGGACTCGAAGACCGTGGGTACCACGGTTCGGTGTTGAGACGAGACGGGACCACGGTAGCTGGGGAAGGGGCTTGGTAGTCGTCATTCCAAGGACTTGGATATCTGCAGGGCATGTTTGGCGAGGCCGAATCCTCGACCGGCCCGTGAGGGGCAATGGAAATGGGTGTCCTTTCAACTTTGACCATCGAGTTTACGCAAAGGAGTTTGGTGATGGAGTCGTGTTAGCGCTATGCCCTTGTGACGATGTGAAGCCCGACGCCTTGCCATCTTGTCATATCGTGACGGACACTTCACCTGCATCGGAGCTTGCGAGGGGGTTTGTGTCATCGAGCCGTAAGACAACAAAGTTGGGGAGTGTCAGATGGAAAGGGTGAGTGGGCCCTTGCAGGTGTGGAGGATTCATGGAACGGCACTCGGGCTGGCGCTAAACCAGGCCAGGTCTAGGCAGCGAAATAAACCTTGTTCCACCGAATACTAGGGCCTGGCATGTCAGCTTCTCAACGCTAACCCAACACTAGAACAGAACATTGGCCCGTACCTGAATGCCAATTGCAATACTCTGTACGGTCAGTATCTCGAACAGGGCGGCGTCTCATTCTGGATTCACGTCGCTGAAGCAAAAATATGGTCTTATGCTTCAGTCGTGACGGAATATCGACGTGCCGAGAACACAGATCGACGTGGTGAGAAGGGGGCGGTGATATCTCGTCTCTTCCATGGTCACCGCATTGCTGTTGGTGATGCCAAGGATGTCGGTGAAATCAAATATGGACACAGCAGCGATGCAGCACGGCAGTACTGTGTAAGTCAGTTTTTCTACGCGAGCCAAGAGAACCATTGGATCAGACCGTTGGACCAAGGGATGAAGCCGTATTGGGCAAGCCCGACGCCGCACTGGGGCTGAAGGGACGTTAGACCGCGATCGTTGCTCAAAGAGAACCGCCCAGACAATGTCCGTCGTCCTGCACGGGAGTTCCGTGCTGCATGGAGGTTCATATACCTTGCGCTGTCCTCAGACGAAACTTTGGTCATGGCAGCTTTGCAGTATCATCAGTATCACCTCTATATAATACCGTCTGTTGCGCATGCCAACGCAGCCGTCCTTTGCTCAGCCATTCTTTGCTCAGGTTCTGGGAAGTTGTGGTCGTTTCGCCATCCTGATCTGTGAGATCATCCCCCTCGCCCAACCGCCGCCTCTGTAGATAAATACCCCTTTTTTCCAACTCAACTTCTCAATCTTCATCCCCAAGACACGCCAAGATCTGAGACGCAGCACTGGCCTTCGACCTCTGTCTCATAGTGAAGGATACCCACCTGACTTTTCCTTTGGATATCAAAGACTTGAGCCGAATCCAGCCCCGGGACTCGCTCTTCGTGCAGCTTCTCTTTTTCCCGTTGCAACCTCAAAGAAAACTAAAACGACACGATGCTCAACTCGGTTCTCGGTTTTAGTTTTGCTACCCTGCTGTGTAAGTCTCCTCTTCGCCTGACTGCCCGACCCGCCGCTCACTGGCCTCGCTCAGGGCTCGCCAGCCTCGCCGTCGGTGCCCCCTTGGAGCACTGCCCATCGGGTTCCGGAGGCGTTTGCTTCAGCATCGCGGTGCCGACCTCGTCGGCGAATTCTGGATCTGGGAATGTCTATTTCCAAATCAAGGCGCCGACGTCGCTCCAATGGGTGGCCCTAGGCACGGGCAGTGCCATGTCCGGTTCCAACATTTTCTTGATGTACCAGGACGGAAAGGGCAACGTGACACTGTCGCCACGTCTCGGCCAAGGGTACAGCGCCCCGCAGCTGGACACAAGCCCGACCGCTGCCCGGCTGACACTGCTGGCCGGCAGCGGGGTCAGCGACGACGGCGCCACCATGACGGCGAACGTGGCGTGCTCCAACTGCGACCAGTGGAGCGGCGGGGGGACCATGTCTTTGAGCAGCACCGCCGCCGGATGGATCGCTGCATGGAAGCGAGGCTCGCCGCTGGCCACCATCGACCAGGCGGTCGGCATCTCTCGACACGATGGCCGCACACTGTTCACCGTGGACTTGACTCGTGCGACCGTCAACACGGACAGCAATCCCTTCGTGACCAGTCACAATACCGGAGGGGGGAGCAGCTCCAGCGGCAACGGTTCTGGCTCGGGTTCGGGCTCGGGCTTGGATTCGGGTTCGGGCTCGGGCATTTCTGAAATGACCGGCCGCGGCCCAAGCCAAACTCTGGTGGCCCACGGCAGCATCATGGCGGTGGTTATGCTTGTCCTCTTCCCCATGGGCTCGCTGCTGATGCCGTTGTTCCGGAGGTGGTGGCTCCACGGTACCTGGCAGCTTGTGGGCCTTGCCGTCATGTGGGCTGGCATCATTGTTGGCATCGTGGTTCTCCGAGATATGCAGATGGTGAGTGATGCGAGCCCGTGGGGCCCCATATCCCTGAGTTCCCTACTGACAAGTAACCCAGCGTTGGAACGATCCCCACTTCATCGTCGGGCTCGTGGTCGCCGGCGTCTTCACGATCCAGCCCGCCCTCGGCCTCCTGCACCACCGTCAGTACGTGAAGACGCTGCGCCGAAGTATGGTCAGCCACGTGCACCGATGGCTCGGACGCGTGCTGATGGCGCTGGGTACGATCAACGGCGGGCTGGGCCTGAGGCTGGCGAGGGCACCCGAAAGATTCGTCATCGCGTACGGCACCGTCGCCGGTGTCGTCTACGTCGGCTATGCCGGCTACAAGCTATACGTCTTCTTCCAGCGCGGCACCAGCAACGCGGCCGCCACAGACAACGACACCGACAGGTCAAAGGAGGGACATAGGGGGCAATCGAGACGGTAGGCGAGGAGAGCGTCGGGATGGGTGTCAGGGCGGGCGTGAGCATCTGTGTGAAGGGGACAGGAGTCGACACTTTGATGGCGTTTAGAGGTACATAATATAAAGAAATTTCCCTTGGTCAATGACGGTATGTCGAAAAGAGGTGTATGATCTGCTCCTGTCTTGTCGACCGTTTGTTGCCTTATGAGCCGGTCAGCATGGCTCGCTACGGGAGGGGGAAATCTTCCCAGTCAAAAGGGACGTTTGCAAGCGGTGCTCCGTGTTGTCCTCTGTACAGCAGCCAATATCGACTTGAGCATACCGAACAGGGTGCAGTTCGAAGGCACCTTACTCCGTCGAAGATCATTTTTCTGTGTAAACGACCTCCCAAACTCATCTGTCTCCCAAGGCTGGCTTTCTTTCTTTTTATTTTGTCTGTTCTCCCGTCTTTGTCTTCCGCTTCTCTTCCTTTTCTGTCTTCCAAATTTAAAGAGAATTCCTCTCCTTGCCCTCAAACTCGAGATAGATTTGGACGACTCAAGAGTGTCCCAGTCAGTCGCAGAGTCTGGAAAGATCCGTGTGATGTAAAAAGGGAGCTGCAACCGATCTCTCCCGATTACCCGGCAGCGCACGGACCAGCAGCGCTAACCGGAATGGAGGCGTGCACGACGCCGAGCTGGGCCATTTTGAAAACCTCTCAGCGACGGACCTCCACCTTGCCAGTCTCAGCAGCAGCCGACTGCCATTCGTCCCCTCCGAACCCAGGCGTGTTCACTTTCAACACCGCATCTCATACCAAGATGTTCTCCCGGGCTTCGGTACGTACCCACTGTTGCTGATCCGACGCTGTCGTCATATTTGCAGCTCTCTTTCGATGATGCAATGGCCGCACCGCGGTTATGGAGAACGAGCTGATTGCTGACTGTCGCGCCGTCAACAGTCTCGCAAGGCCGTCGCGGCCGTCTCCCGACTCGCCACTCGCAATGCCGCCCCGATGAGAACCTTCATGGCCCCGACTGTCTCCCGGAGAGGTACGTGCAGCAGCAGCTCATGGAGGAGGGCGGCTACGGTTGGAAGTTGGGTCGCGCGGAAGGGCCGGTACGGCGATGGGGGTGGGCGACAGGGAGAGGTTGGCTACCGACAACATCAATTGCACGGCAACCCACTCACGAATTCTTCCCAACACTTCGACTTCCACAGCAACTACCGTAAACCGACCTCCTCCCGACAATGCCAACCCACCACTGTCCGCCGCCGTTGCCCACCCACGCCGCACAATCTGGAGCCACCCCAACCTCTCCATCTTCATTTCCCCCCTGTTCCCGACTCAGTTTCCCACATAGCTCGCTCTAATTACTAACCTCATCGTAACAGCCGACTTCGTACAGGAGCTTTACCTCAAGGAGCTCAAGGCATACAAGCCGGCGCCGATCAAGGAGTCGGACTCGGTCGGCCAGGTGGCCGTCTTCAGCCTTCCCAAGGCGCCCAAGTCCCCCGAGGAGGCCGACCTGGCGTCGAGCCTAAAGGAGTACGAGAGCATGGCGGTCGAGGTTGAGGGCCAGGAGGGCGCCGTCGCCGGCCATGCCGCCCCCGTTCTTGAGGACTGGCTTGTTGATGAGGAGGAGGAGGAGGCCGCTCACCACTAGATGCGCCCTTGGGGGGAGCCTTATCGGAAGGATAGGCCACACCAGACGGGATGGGTGGCTTGGGAGACGCAGAAGACAGATGGATCGGGCTGTTGCCGATGTGGCTGACCGACTAGGACCAGCGACCAGCAGTCCTTACTAATAGGTACAGGACGGGACAAAAAAGGGTCGATTTCTTCTTCAATACTGTGCTTGAGGGGTGAAGCCGGCGGTCTGAGGGCTTCGCAGGAGGTGAAGGAGTCGTTCCTAGGGTGGGGAATCCGTGTACATTGTTCTTTAGCCTTGTTACCATAAAAATCACTCTCGTCACCACTGGAGGTGCACAACATGTACATCTCTGGCACATAGACTCGGACAAGGAACAGGAAAGTCTGCAAGGAGGAAGGCCCTTGGGTTAGCCCATGATACCAGGCGCAGTTATCTGATATTCAAGGCTTCGAGGCAGTAGAGGAGTGTGGAACCATCAGATATCTATAGTCGCCGCCACCGCCGCCACCGCCTCAGGGAATTGATCTAAGCAATCAAGCTGTCTCAGTATTGCAGTCCCAACAAGGTGTGCACTGGCTTGTCTCTCAGCTTGATCAGAGTGACAGCACATGTAGCGTGAGTGTTTGCCATTACGGGGCAGACAAGCGGCATGTCACACTCGAAGTGTTTATCAACGATACGCTCTGTTTGCTTTTGTCCAACACCAAGTAGAATGCCAGATAAACAAAGTCGAGAGTAAACTATCAATTACCGCCCTGCTCAGACCCATCAGACCTACCCATCATTCCTATAATGTTGGTGTGACATGTTATGTGACCGCACGCAAATACAACAGCTGGTTGGTACTAGACTCTGAATTACTCGTAAAGCTCTTGGACAACCCAGAGCACTCAATGCGCCTTATCTGTGGCCGTTTCAGCTCGGTAAAGGTTAGGCAGGGAATGAACTACAATGCGAGCATCCAGACCGAGAAGTAGTAGTATCCCGTAGGTACAATAACATAGGTACGTTTGTTCCCACCACACCCGTCTGTTGTGCCCTCCAGCAATAAAGTTGCCAGGTACCATGCTGTAGACATCAAACCCTCTTTGGTCCAGTCCATTGCAGTCCACTCCAGATCCAGACACCCAGAAAGTCCTCATTTTTACCCCCGACATGCCAAAGGCCATGACATAGTCCACCTCAGCCAGGCAGACACACGACCAATGAGTTAGAAAACCATGTCGACAACGACAACAACCACCCCTAGTAGTAAGATGAGACATCCGCAGACAATGACAATCATCATTCTTTACCAAATGATGCGAGGAGTTGAATCAAGGAGGAAGGGAAAGACACATTATCCGGCCGACTGCTTCGCCAAAACGCCCTTGCCGAGTGTGTGCGTCCAGCCGAAAACCAAAACACCCGGGATGCCAATGAAGCCCGCCCAGAAAATGCAACATGCTATCGTTGTTCGTTGAAGTCATCAACAGTGAAGTTCTCTTTTCTTTCGTTGTTTTTCTGTACCACCCCAGCCGGACAAGAGAGAGAGAATAACAAGGAAAAGAGAAGATAAAGTTGTAGAAAAAGGTGCACAGCAGGAACATGCCTGTTAATGCAGGATGAGGCGGTACAACGACGGATGAAACACAGGTCCTGGATTACATGTCGAAGCCCGACGCACCAAACATCTGCTCGTCATTGTTGCTGCCCCGCAGAATTCCGCTCATGCGGTTGGGGCTGCGCACATCATCATCCCAATCAGAGTCCTTCTTGCGATCAGAATCGTCCATCTCCTCGTCGTTGTCCTCGTCCTCGTACTTCCCGTACCTGTCCCTCATGTGATCGTCCAGAGCGCTCTCGTCGACAAAAGTGAAGCCCTGAAAGTTGGCTTGCACCGAAGGCGAGAGCGGAGTGGACGTCGCGTACCCCTTCGCCAGGGCTGCTGCGCGCTCGTTGAGGGATCCATTGGTGTCGAGCGCGTTGGTAAACTCGGGATCAAAGTACGAGACGTCGGTATCGTTCTTGAGCTGCGGCTTGAAGGGCGGCGTGATGAGCTTCTTCGAAAGGGCATCCCAATCAATGTCTGCGAAAAAGGCGTGCTGCTTGAGTTCTTCGGCATCGTTTGTGGCGCCGAGCCGATGCTTGGGATTCCTGTTGAGTAGCCCCTTGACGAAGTTCCGCCCTTCCAAGGACAACGTGTCGCGAGGGAACCTGACCTTCCCGAAAGCGATGTTCTTGTACATTTGCTGGGTATCTTCGGCATAGAATGGGCTCCAACCGCAGCACATCTCAAAGACAAGAACGCCCAACGACCAAAAGTCCACCATCTTGGTATAACCGCTCTCGTCCAGAAGCACTTCGGGGGCCAAGTACTCTGTCGTGCCGCAGAACGTGTTGGTGGTGTCGTTTTTGGTCAGATTTGCCTTGGAGAGGCCAAAATCGCACAGCGCAATGTGGCCGTTGGCGTCCAGAAGGATGTTCTCAGGTTTCAGATCGCGATAAACGATGTCGTTCTCGTGCAGGTGTTGGATAGCGAGGATGAGTTCGGCAATGTAGAATTTGGCCCGCTTCTCCTCGAACTTGCCGTCCTTCTGCAGATGCCAAAAGAGTTCCCCTCCCGACATGTAGTCTGTCACAAGGTAGAGGTCCGAGGGTGTCTGAAATGAGAACTTCAGGCCGACAATGAAGGGCGAGTCCGACATGGCCGTCCGTACCAGGATGTTGCGCTCCCCGACGGTATGCGCGACCTCTTTCTTCTGCACAATGACCTTCTTGGACAAGACCTTCATGGCATAGATGCGCTTGGTATCCTTCTTCCGCACCTGGTATACTTGGCCAAAGGTGCCCTTTCCAATGAGCCGCAGAATTTGGAAATCTTCGGGCCCAAAGTGCTTCTGCTCAGCTCGCTGGTAGAATGACTCGACAAAAATTTCGCCTGTAGGCGCATTCTCGGCCATGGTATCTGCGTGGCCTTTCAGCGGAAACCATCTTCGGACGGGAGCCTCTCGCTCCGAGGTCACGGCTTGAAAGTCGACATGACCAAGGAACTCCTCCCCGTTCTGGCCCTGGCCATAAACTGAAATGTCGACTAGCTTATCAGAGTCGACCACGTCGCTGAATCCAAGCCGTTAGCCATGGCTCTCCTACGTGTTGTGCGAGATAGGGATCCTTACAATATGGCCTCGGCATCCCATTTCGGATTAGTGAAAGAACGACGCGAGTTGCGGTTGCGGAAGGTGTTGAAGTCGCTCAAGCTCGTGTTGCTGCTCTGTCTACTCCGCATGGGTATAGCCATGGATCTGCCGGAATCGCTCCCCTGACGCTTCATGGGGATGCCGCCCATGGCGACGGCAGAGATGGCAGCCTCTTCGTCATCCTCAGAGGGACGAGGGCCGGATGATATGAGCTCACTGCGTTGAAAGACCACCACTACGTAGGGGTCTCGGCACTTCCTCAGGCCTCGGGCCTCAGTGACCTTGATGGTGAGCTTCCCCCGGGCCGCAGGCGCCTGAGCTCCCTGAGGCGTCGGCGTGGCCGTCGCAGTCCGATCAATTCTTTCTCCATTCTTTGGCCTCGTGTCCTCATCGCTGTGAGCGCGAGTTGAGGAGAGAGCACGGGTCGGGGTGGTTGCACCGCTCTTTGGGGTTGTTAGCTTCTGCTTGAGGTATAGCGTAGAGGCTGACTCGTAGGAAAAGCCCCGAACGCTGGCAGCAGGGCGTGCACGGCTCGGAGAACTAGGCACAGTAGAAGATCGTCCGACGGGATTTGAGAGGTGAGGAGCAGCTATGTTGGATTGGCTAACCATGGTCGTCAGGGGTGCCAGCAGAGACGGTCTCCGAGCCTTGTCTTTCCCGGACTCCGGGATGTTCAGATGGCACAGGCTGGTTGACCGTGAGATCGGAGGAGTCCCCTGCGTCGACTTCTGGCTTGAGAGATCCTCTGGAAAGTTGCGGAGTGAAGAAGGCTGCGACGTGGGAGGGGTGGGACATGACTGGGGCTGGCCATCTTCCCGCGGCATCAGGCGTGCAGCAGGTCCCGGCATCTCATCTGCCAGGAGGGCGGGACCTTCGTTTGACGAGTCCGTCCACAAGTCTGGCTCAGCAGGAGAGGGTGGCAGCTCTACCATTGTTGCAGCTTGCAACTGTCCTTCGAGGATTGGTGCCGCGGGCTTCGAGAAGGTTGCGGCTTGCCCGTTTGACTTGAAAGAACCCGGCCACAGTCGCTGAAGAGAGCTTGTACGAACCTGGTTGAAGTAGCTCATGATTCCCGGCAGTCGTCTGTCTTGGAGATCTGGCTGCGGAGTTGCAACGCCAGACCTCGGCGAGTCAACTCCTATCTGATCCGACCCATCGTCTTCTGCCGCGGCAGACCTGCTTTGCGCGTTAACACCGCTCATGGCGATCTTGAGTTATTTTCGCAAAGGAATCGGAAGAAGCAGGGGTGTGAGAAACCGGTTCGGGAACGAGCCGGAACAGAGGAAAGGAAAAAGGGACAAGCAAGATATTTGGGAGGGCTGTGGCTAGCTCATGACGGTAGTTGGGATCGGGCAGGGGTGAGCTGGGTTGTTCCGGGGGAGAGGGGCAGGAAATACGTCGATGACGAGAGGCAGGAACGGGAGCCGGGGAGAAGTGGAAATCTCTGCCAGGACGAGATCGGCCCAAGGAAGAGGGTCTCACTCGGCAGAGGAGGGGAAAAGACGGGGCAGGAGGGGCCAGTCTGGGGCAAGACTCGTCAAAGGCCGTCTGCAAGCCGAGAGTGAGAAAAATATGTAACACCCTTCTGGCCGAGAGCGCCTTTTGCTCTTTTCTGCCTAGGTAGATGTACCAATGTAGTAGGATGAACACTTTGATGGTGTGCCATGTGGTTTTCAAGGGTCCGCGAGTACCAAGTGGGGACGAGATGACACCGGCCAACAACGACCGCCGAGGGAGGGGTGATGAAGAGCCAGCACCCGCTCACACAGCGAGTCAGACTGTCCATGGACATGCTTGAAGATGGGTTGGTGAACCCATGCACCCCTGGCAGGCTCAGCACTTGCTGCTTGCCGCCCAAGACGCTGGCACTTCTGTGGGGTCATGCAGGCGCAAATGATTGAGCCAGAGGGACCTGTACCTCTCCTAGGTGCGGTATATTCGTGTGCTGATGGATCGATGGTGTGCTCAGAAGCGTCTGGACCATGGGAGGGGATCATCCAGTACTGGAACTGGTCACCCTTATCCCCATCGGCGCATTGTGATGACATATTCCTTAAGTCTTCCCGGGGACGGCACTAGCTCGGTTCAACGCCTTGCATGACCGGCTCGGACACGTTCTATGCTCGGGAAGGCCCTGGATGAGCAGGGTGATGGCCTGCTCGGATCTGGGGATACAAGACAAAGACTACAAGACGAAATCTCGGGTCTCGTCTCCATTGCCACTGGGCTGTTTCGGGAAAGCAGCCTTCCGCTTACTCCCAGTCCATCCAAAGGACCAACTTTGGCCGAGGACATCCGCGTTGGGTAGGGTTGCCGGTGCTAGACTTGCCAGGTTGACCATAAGCCCACACTAACTTGTGGAAAAGATTGGCGAGGACGAATGCCCTGGGTGAAGGAACAAGGGTCTGGGACTGGTATTCATGGCGTGGCTACCTTACTGCACACTGCACAGTAAAGGCAAGGCCAAGCTTCTGGAAGGTTGTGAAGAACAACGGCTTTGCTGCACACTCTCTGAATAAAGTGGTGGAATCCGGGCAGAAGGAACGGGCGCTGGCCCAGGTCGAGTTGTCGATGTAAGTGGGAAGAAGGGTTAAAAATTAACAGACCAACATAACATACCTTGACATCATGGCCTGAGTCGCCCGGCGTAATAGGTCTTGCGTTCCGGAACTACTGGCCGAGTGAGTATCTCCTGCGGGGCCTGACATTTCGCTTCAATGTCAGAAGATGCCAGGCAAGAAATATGAGTGTGTCTTGTATTTCGGTCCGTGGCGGACCTGTGGCGGTGAAGTTCGGTGAGCAGATGGCTGGGGTCTTTTAAGTTTGTTTGTAGCCGATAATATTACGAGGATCTTGGAGGATTGGAAAAAACCCGGATGGCGGGTGAATAGAGGGAGACGGAAGACAAGTAGTTGACCGTAGTAAAGGTTTGAGTTTGGTTATCGCGTAGGCGTTATGTTCAGTCTTGCATTGACACAGAACTGGCTGTGGAAAATGGTGCCGTGATTTTATAAGAGGTAAATCGAGGGTCGCCGCACAAGACGTGAGTGAGGCTTTCAGCTTCTGCCCAAAGTCAAACCAAGAATGCCCCGCTCCTGACGCACCTACCACGTTCTGTGCAGTCACTGTAGTGGAGTCCCGAGATGAAGCGAGCCTTGGCTGCCGAGACCTCCCGAGTCCCGAACGAGAGAAGCCCTTGCGAAAACGGGTTAGTACTCTCGTCCGAATTGAGGTGGGCCCTGCGATAGGGACATTTCTAGTGTGTGCATTGCGGCTGCTGTCTTTCACAAGATGGAAGACACCGACTTTCCACTGCACTGTCGTATTAAAATGTTAAATCACTTGATAGACAACCCGCTTTTATTGCTGTTTACTGGTGTAAGAAACTCGACGCTAGGTCTGCCTATTAAGAGTAGATATATATATCGTCAGTGTATACTATTCCCTTTTGCAATTAAGAACCTTTTTGTAGGTGCCTATAGGATTGATGTGGATGGACTTGTCTTCCAATCTTTGCGTAGGGCATAGAGGTTAAAGCAAGGTTAGATGGAACACTTCTCCAACTAGCAACGTGCTATCTTTACCCTACATATGAGACAACCACGGCCATCCAGTATGCCAGATCAACACTGGCGGCACCTTCATGAGCTGGATACCCTTCTATCTGCTCCTTTTTTCGTACAATGATTACCTACTGGTTGCCAGAGCCCCTATGTCATATGTCCGACTAGATCATTGCCCGCTTGAATCTTAATGTATCGTTACATCTTACTAGAGCAATGCACCGGTTACACGAACACTAAGCGGTCAATATGTACTTATACCTTTGGCTATACGCTGACATGCTACTTGCTTTTCGCACAATGACACTTTAATCTGGTGGCCACAGATCAACTTTGCTTAGCAAGCGTCCAAGAGCAGTGTTCGAGAACTCTCATCGTCCATCCAGCCTTTAATCTTAACTTCGTATATGTACTCGATCCTTGGCGTAAATGAGCGGTGTCCCATGTTGCCACCACATTGATCATGGGTTTGCTGCAATGGTAATATTAGCTCAACCCTGTGAGCTGCCCAGTATGGCAACTGATCGGACTTCTGCAAGTGCATTGGTTGCTTGTCATTCACTTAGATCAACCTCTCAAACGCAGCTGCTGCCCACACCTCTATTATTGGACTCACTGGATTTTGTACAAGTACGATGTAGCAAAGCAACGAGGGTGTATAGTTGCCAATCACCGCTTTCAGCTCCGGGCATTGCCCCAGCCCTGGGCCCAGACCAGGATCACGGACGGGAGTGGCGCAATTCATGTTACACTAGACGTCCCGAAGTGATCAGCATTGTCAGCTGTCGCATTAACAGCTCCTCAAGCTCACTGGCGAAGGGAACGATGCGCCTATGTCTCCTATAGTCGAGACGTCGCACATGTGCAACCACTAACGCAGTCGATCGCCCGTATAGCGGTAAGCTGAGAAGTGCCCTTCTCAGATCTTCCTGACTGACCCAGCCAGTCCCATAATGTGAACTCCCAAACCCAATAGACGCCATACCCGTGCTATGCTTTCCCCGAGCATTGTAACACATCAGGGACAACAGTCCAGAACACTTCCCCGCATTGCACCCATCCTCATCCTTATCTGCCGTTGGGCGCCACACCGGCCCTAGGTAACCTCATTCACATAACCGCTGTCATCGTTGAAGAGAGAGGAGGAAAACGACCTCCGTCAAGCAACCACCCCACTGCCGCCAGCGCGAGCCTTGACCTGAGCAATCAATTCGTGTAGTTTCCGCTCCAGCTCAGGGTTCGTCCCCTTGGGATACTGCTTGGGATGGGGCGGTCGAGGGGAGAGCGGGTCGGGGTAGTCAGCTGGATAGATTGCATCCTTCAGCACAATGCTCTCGATGGGCGATAGCAAGGTAGATATTAAGGTCAGAGGGGTTGTAAGAGTCAGAAACGTACCAATGCTGAATTTTTGGTCCTGGAGCCGGTTCTTGTATACCTCGTACTCCTCGCGAAACTTCTCTGTGTTCCAGGCGGCCGCTTTGGAAGCGTGCTGCTGTTGGGAGTCTGACATTGGGGCGGCTGGGTCAGACATGATTTCGTGGGAGTTCATTGTGGTTTGAATGATTTGGGTTCAGTTAAGTTTCTCCTGCTTTGAATGTTGTGTGTTAATGGTGATTTACGGTGTCTCGGTTCTGCACCGATTCGGTCCTTCTCGGCGCTGTTCGGTCAGACCTGGTGATTTGGAGATTACGTGAACTCTAGGGTTCATAGCCGACAACCAATAATGCAAGAAGCTCCTTACCTTTCAGGTTTTTACTATGAACAGGACTGGCTATTTGAAGTGATCAAGAGCAGACGAGTTTCTGGGCTGTTCTTGGATTGTCAAGATTGCTTCTTGAGAACCCCACATCACGATGGATTGTGGTCTGTGCGTCAAGAGGACACGGGTGGGCTGAATGTAGGACCGCAAATTGACTAAAGCTCCAACCTCGAAATTGGTGCTGCTTTTGGATAGTTCCACCTCTTGGTTTCTTGCTACCGACATTGACTATTAGGTTTCCATACACACCTAAAGGCCTGTACAACTAATTACTACAGTGACACAATGGGAAAAGACAAAATCCCAGACGCCTGGGACGACGATGACTGGGAACAGCAGGCCGACCGCGCAGCAAAGGAGGACCCGCCCAAGCCAGAACCCCCCATGTTTCTGACACGCGCTGAGCGTCTGGCAAAGCACGACGAGGAGCAGCGCAAGCTTTGGGAGTCAGCGTGTGTCGCACATCCCTTGATTTGACCGCGAATGAGGTCCTAACCTTTGCGCGCAGAGAGGCGCCAGAAGAAACGCCCTTCTTCCCCCCGAGCACCAACCAGGTCTCTTTCATGACTCCCTTCAAACCAGCAGTCAAGGTCCTGAGCCGCAAACCAGCACCCCAGGTCATCGCCAAGAAAGACCCGGTCACCGGCCTCGAGCAACTGACGCTGGCAAATGACGAGGACGACGAGGACGACAAGAAGACGCAGGAGTCGCCAGAAGATATTCGAAAACGGCAGCAGCGGGAACTCGAGGAGAAGCAGCGTCGGTACGAGGAAGCACGAGCTAAGATTTTTGGCGACTCAAACCCTTCCTCGGGCCAGTCGACTCCCCGCACCGGCACTCCGCCCTCGGGAGCTGATAGCCGGCAAACTCACAGGGGGCGAGGCCGTGGACGGGCCGGACGGGGCCGTGATCAGGAAAATGGGCGACAGGAGAGGAGGCAGCCGAACACCCAGCAATCCAGCAGCACGAGAGAGCTATTTGACCCGGGATACTCGCCGAAACCAGGATTCAGTCTCCAAAAGCGTGGGGATTCCGCTGGCCAATCTGGAAACCGATCAGGCATTCCGCGCGAGGAAGATCATATCATTCGAACACCGAGAGGGCCAGACGGTAGTGGAAAAGGAGGTTTCGGCTTTGCCCGGCGAGGAGGCGAACATGGTTGACTGATTTATTCAGGTCCTACGACACATGTGCCGATGCAGCTACCATCCGCCGCCAATCTTGCCAGCCAGCTGTACCACCCTTTCGGTGTCACTGATCTGCTTGCCCACGTCGCTGACCACCTCGCGGTAACTCGTGTACACCAATCTTTCTAACTGTATGCCCGTTATATCCGACCAATGCGCCAGGGTATCTCGAATATGCGAAGGAGAAATTCCAGCAACAACCCCCATCGCACTGCTATCCTTGGTGTTAGCAACTGCACCGTGCACAGAATCCGGCTCCTCGCCGGAAAAGTAAGCCTCATCGATCTCTGCTAGCCAGGCCTTCTGCTCGTCCGGGCCTGGCTTCTCGCCGAAGCCCTTGCGGTCGACAATGATTTGGTCGTCGACCTTGATTTGACCGCCGCCGTTGGTGCACCCTCCAGGGCATGCCATGACCTCGACATAGGCAAGCTCCAGACCGGCGGATTTGCCAGTGGCCCGCCGTGCGCTACCAAATGGTTTCCCTCCCGGCATGCGGGATGCCTTCGCCGGCTTCAGCTTTCGAACGAGGTTCTGGATGTTGCGAAAACCATAATAGCGCGCCGCCTTGAAAACAGTCTCCCCAAAAGGAGTGACGACGGAGTACTCGACTACATCGGCGTTTCTGCCGCGCAACATCTGGATCTGTGACCCGATATTCCTTGCTTGGACGTCCTGGAGGATGAAGTGCAGGTTTCCGCCGGATGTGCCCGCATCCCGCTGTTGCTTTCGCCGATGCTTCGGAAACAAGAAGCTTTGGAGGACGGGATCGGGGAAATCGAGCTGCTGCCGGGGCGAAGACTTAGGCAGGCTGAAGAAGTCTATCCCTCTCGACGCAGCCAGCATGAGGATTTCTTTGCTTGTAATGACACAATCCACATCCCGAATACCCCTACCGGGTTTGCACTCGCCCGCCCAAACGGCATCCGTCAGTTCTTCCCGGCTCGCCTCCAGCTTCTTGTCGAAACACGGCATAACCGCCAGATGCCAAATCCTGTCCGGCGAAAGCCCCAACACCCGGCTAAGTGTAGTCTTGAGCAGCGTGCCCATCAAGGCCTGCGGCGACTTGACTCGCGACAGATGCGGCAGGACGTACGGGTGTGTCTTCTCTGCGTAACATACCCACCCGGGGCAAGACGACGTGAGGATAGGCGGCGCCGCAGGCTTGGTGTTATTATCGCCCAACCCCTGCCTTCTGCCGCCACCCCCCAAAACCTCGTCTGAGCCCAACACAAGACACGCCTCCCTCGCCGTGTTGGTATCCACAACCCAGGTAAACTCGTTCATGTACTTGCCTCCCAGGGCCAACCCGCCCTTGCCCATGAACAACTGCTCAATCATCCACCCGGCCTGCTGCTCCGTGACGCCGCCGCCCGCGGCAGCGGCCAAACTGGCGCGTGTTTGTGGTGAGACGCTCGCGACGAACAACTTGGCGGCCGGGTCCTCCAGCCCGGAGACGGTGAACCCCGCGGCGCCATGATCGGTACGTTGTATCCGCAGCCCCGGTGCCCCGTCCAGCACGCTCAGCACCTCGTTGTGGCTCTGCAGGCTGACGAGCACCGCCTCAGCCGAGGTTACGCAGCCGGAGCAAGCGAGGCAATCGGTGAGGGAAATCTGGGCGGGCGGCGCGGCCCCGTTTGCGGTGCTCGGTTGCTGGCCGTCAAGGATGACTTCGAATTCGAGGGGGTGGTCGGAGGAGGAAAATGGTGGCGGCTGGGTCGGCGGTAGGGTCTCGACCGGCTTTATGCAGGCTACGCCAGGGGAAATGAAGTCGTTGAGATCGTCGGCGGAGAGGATCGCGGACATGGTGGGCTGTGAAAGACGGAGGAGGGATGGTAGTTGATCTGGCAGAGGACGTGCGAGCCGATGATTGCTCGTGGTTGGGAGGCAACCCCAGGTCAGAATTGCCTTTTCTTGAAAACCAACCCAGCCCGATATCTTATTTATGGGTGGTTTTCAAATGAGGTTTATTGCCGAAGGTCAAGTGATAATTGAAGTTCCGAGGGATAATTCTCTAGCCGGAGATGCACAATTTTGGTGACTGCTTTGAAATGCACTTGCCATGCGACATCGGGCTTCGTGGTGGCGGTTTGGCTGCCCCGCCGATAGCGGGTCCAGGGTCTTGGGGGCCGCCGCTTTCCGCTCCCGGTGCCAATCAGAGTGTGTGCATTTCCACTTGCCAGCAATGACGTAGCGCCCGGGCTTTTACAAGTCGATGCAGTTAGGCTCCGTCTTTGAGACACAAGAGCTCCTACGGTACATACAGAGTAGAAGAGCAAGTACTACGATTTTGATGAACTAGACCATGTTGGGTGATCTTAAATATCAATTCGCTCTTAGACATCGTCGTCGTGAACTCCTCATTCAAGCAAGATAACCCACCTAGCACACACCAATCACCTCCAACGATGGATGCAAGTCCCAGCGTACCTGCCCTCTTCCGGACACCCTTCCAAGCTAACAGCCGCAGGCCGTGTCGACCTACAGCGTCGCCAGTCTAAGTTGGCTGACAATCCAGGCCGTTCCGCTCATCATCTGGCCATCCCTGATCAGCACCCTCCTCCGCATCGACTCTGCTTCCCAAAGTGCCCATTACGGTGTCACCAACGCCTCTCTGGAACAGTACTTTGCCCGCTCCTTGGGGCTTGCCCAACTAGCCTTCGCCGGTCTCCTACTCATTCAGTCCGGCACCCTCCCGCTTGATTCAGTAGTTGAGGGTTCGTACCGAATTCCCTCCTGCATTCTCTGGTCTGCTAACCTTCCTCGCCTATCTACTGAACCAGGCCCCGAAATCCCTTCCTCCCCAACGCCCACCGCCTCCGCCGCCGTGTTGGTCACAGCCATCTACCACGCGGCCGCGGCATCTTACACTTACTCGCGTTACCACTGGACTGGCCAGTCGGCCTATTTGCTTGGGTGTCTGGCGAGCAGCGCGCTGGCGGCGTCGGGGCTGTGGGTGCTCATGTTCGCGGGGGAGAGCAAGAAGCGGGTGAGCCGACGGACGGGCGCGGACAAGAGCACGAGTTCATGGCCGTTTCGGAATGCTGTAGCTGATCGGAAGAGGCGATGATGGAGTTCTATGTTACTCAGTCTCTTGGGCGTGGGCGTGGGCGTGGGCGTTGTCGCGATGTGGTAAGGAAGGCATTGAGACGATGGCTGTGATGGTCGGAGGGATATGTTCCGGCTGGCGTTTGGATCACAGACGGCACTGCTTACCGACTTGAGGGTGAAATATTCGTGAGCTGTCTCGAAGTTGTTATTTTCGACTACCGGTTCATCTCTCTGGGGCCATGGGGAGATATTCAAACCGCGCCCAACTCGTACAAAAACAAAGGAAGGGAGCAACCCTTGTCGAAAAAGCCCACGTCCGGCCGTATTCTGCCGACGCCAGTTTATAGAAGGCGCATCATGTGAATCTATCCCTCAGTGAATGCCTTTCCCCGCCCCCAACTCCTCATCAAAATCATGATGCCGCAACCATGCGGGCGGCGACTACTCGGTAGCACCCAATAGTGATTTAGGGCGCTCTTCACCTTCTAGGATGCATAAGAGCTCGTCCGACGGGCAGACGGCGCCGTCGCCTCGCCATTTCCAGCCACGACGGTATTGGCCTCTGCCGAATGGACGGCCTGCCGGCGGCTATACCACTCCTTCTCGCTCTTAACCACCTGCTCCAGAAGCGCCTCCTTCTCAAGCCACTCCTGCTTGTACAATTCCTCCCACTGCTTGCACTCGGCGCGCAATTGCTCCCCGTCCGCCTCGGCCCACTTCACTTGCAGCCGACACAGCTTCATCAGCCGCTCGAGCGGCATGGCGAGCTCCTCGGAAGAGAACCCTTGCTCCTCGGTCAAGGGGGTGAACATGTCGCCCGAGGATTCGTCCCCGGCGCTGCCCTCGTCACCGGCATCGTCCTGGCCAGCAGCATGCGACTGTGGCGTCTTGATAATGATTTTGAGGTTCCTGGATTTACCCGTCGCCGCCTGCATGCTCTTGGGAACTGGGTCGGAGGGCCGCAGGGCCTCGGTCTCGTGGACGGTGCGCATGTGCTTGGCCAGGGCGTCGGACCTAGTGAAGGCGCGGTCACATTCTATGCGAGGTGTTAGTCTACCTATGAAATAAGAAAGAGTAGGATTAAGGATCGTACCTGGGAGGTAGCAGTAGAAAGGTTTCTCCCTGGTGTGGCTCCTCATATGCGCCTTCAACGCGTATCCGCTCGCGTGTGGCATGCTTTTCCTCGAGCAGCCAACCCATTCGCAAGTGTACTTCTTTTGCCGGCTCTCGATGTGGTCGTTGTGGATGTGCTCGACCAGCCTGTCCATATTGCCCAAGTCCCCGGATCTGCACCCTTCCCACGCGCAGACCGTGATCTGCTCCTGGAAGTCATCCTCGTCTTGGCGCGCATTGACGGGCGAGCTGGGCACGTCGCCGTCGGTGTCCGAGGAGACGTCGGACATGCCCTCGAGCGGATCGTGCTCTGCTTCGGGGTCGTGGGCGGCCGCGGAGGGCGTGTTCGATCGGGCAGTGATCTTGAGGCGCTTGGCTGGCGGTCCGTCGTCCAAGACCTCGGTGGCCTCGTCGGGGAACTCATCCTCGGAGGAAGACATTGATGAAAGCGGCGAGTCATCCATTGGGGAATCTGGTTGGGTCATTGCCGAAAGATGTAAGGGGTGAAAGCTCAATGCGGACGGGAACTTGTGATTGATTGCAGGTTCGCAGAAAAAGGTCACGTCCTACACTGGGGCCGCCGGGTTCGGAAATCCGAGACCGCAGGTCAACAATATTGGGAGGTATTGATGCGTAATTTACAACCCAAGGAATAAGCCGACGTGTGCTTTCGGCGTCTCAACATGAGACGTTGAATCATAATATTGTTAGGTTCCTAGAGCATGCACATTATGCGTGTCGGCTGAAGGAACAGGCGGGTGCCAGCACCTAGACTGTGATACAGATGCACCCTGCAAGACACACTCACCTTGACCCTCCCTGGACTTCAGCTCTAGAAGGTTTGGGGAAGCGGATGGTGACAGTTGCTACCAGTTGAGAACTCTTGGCACTCGCCAGGGGCAATTGTCGCACTCGCCTGAGCCTGCAGGGTCTGTTTACCCCTCCCCCACTACCGGTATCACAAATTAACTTGTAGGTGCTGAGACTTTGCGCATGATCCTGCTTTACCCAAAGTCTCACTCGCAGATAAACCAACATCTGTGCCACTCCGGCTGTTTTGACGACTGCGCTTGCATATTGCTTCACTTCTCCTATCACCATGGCTCCTTCTACCAAGATATTTTCCCTCGAAGGGAGGGGCCTCAAGCTAGACACAGCGGAGGACCTCGAGGCTCACATTGCCGATCTTCGCGCAATGGATGACCTTGAGGAAGTGCACATGCTTGGTAACACACTCGGTGTTGGCGCATGCAAGCTGCTTGGCGAGGTGCTTGCGACAAAGAAGACTTTGCGCGTAAGTTGACACTGTGCTTCAACAGACCCGGGTGTTGCTGATTGCTGACCAATTGCCAGGTTGCCAATCTTGCCGACATCTTCACCGGCCGCCTCCTCAGCGAAATCCCCGAAGCGCTCTCCTCGCTCCTCACCTCGATCCTCAACCTCCCAAATCTCAACACCATCAACCTTAATGACAACGCCTTCGGCCTCAACACCCAGGCGCCCTTGGTCGCCTTCCTCGCGGCCCACGTGCCCCTGCAGCACCTGTACCTCAACAACAACGGCCTCGGCCCGCACGCCGGCATCCTGATTGCCGACGCCCTCTCGGAGCTGCACGCCAAGAAAGAGGAGGCGCGCAAGCAGGGGCAGAAGGTGCCTGACCTTGAGACTGTAATCTGCGGGCGCAACCGGCTCGAGAACGGCAGCATGACGGCGTGGGCTAAGGCGTTCAAGCTGCACAACCGGGTCAAGGAGGTTAAAATGGTGCAGAACGGGATCCGCCAGGAGGGCATCTCGCACTTGCTGAGCGAGGGTCTGCGCCACGCTTCGCGGCTCGAGGTGCTGGACCTGCAGGACAACACCTTCACGCTTCTGGGCGCGAAAGCGCTGGCTCAGGTCGCCCCCGGCTGGGCAGAGCTGGTCGAGTTGGGCGTCGGCGACTCGCTGCTCGGCGCCAAGGGTGGCGTCCTGCTGGCCAAGTCGCTCGGCAAGGGGCAGAACAAGAAGCTCAAGATTCTGCGGCTGCAATATAACGAAATTACGGCGCCGGGCGTCAAGGCTCTGGCCGAGGCTGTCGAGGAGGCTCTGCCGGTCCTGCAAAAGCTGGAGCTTAACGGCAACAAGTTCACCGAGGAGGACGAGTACATCATTGCGCTGCAGGACCTGTTCGAGAAGCGCAAGGAGGAACAGGCTGGCGACGTTGTCGTTGAGGACGATTGGGGCCTCGACAGCCTGAGCGACCTGGAGGAGGAGTCCGAGGCTGAAGAGGAAGAAGAAGGAGAGGAAGAGGAGGAGGAGGAGGATGTCGAAGAGAGGGCTGAGAAGCTTATCAAGGAGGCAGAGGAGGCACAAGAGGAGCCTGCTGCCCAGCGAAAAGACAAGGAGGTTGACGACCTCGCCGAGAAGTTGGGGAAGGCGACGATCTAGGCGACATGGTCAGGTGGATGAAAGCGGGATTCATCAGGACTACCTGGAGGAATACAGACGATACCCAACACAACTTGGTAAATAAGAGTTTGGCAGACGGCTATAGAGCATGAGCATTGTGTTCAATGCTGGGTAAGGGAGAGTGCAAGAAAATAAGCCTTTCCAAGCCAAGCTTGCTGATCCTGAACGTTGCAGTGTACGGTTAGGATGCAAGGTCATCAAACATGGTGGTTGCAATACCCAAGTTATCCAGCCCCAACGCCTACAACTACATTACACCACCAAGCTGTTTTTCTGACTCAACAACACGAGCTCGGAAGCAAGTCGAGCGAGACGTTATGGCCACCGCCCTCTTGAGGTTAACAAATTGATATCAGGCCATCTGATGTTTCCGGAATTTGCCTCGGAAGCGACATATAGACAACTTGTGGACTTCCCGCCAAAAGGTCTGAAGTGAGATGGGACGACATCATACTTCGGTCATCAAAAGAAACCATCCAATCCCAATCGGACATCTTCAACCACACATCACCATCTTTATTCCGCCAACTCATTCAACTATCTCAGCTTCATCAATCCTACTTCATCAACCGTAGCAGGTACATCATTATTTCTTACAGATACTATACCAGAATACACAAGATGGCCAACTGGATCGTCTTTGAAACCACCGACTCGGTCATTGAAATCCTCTGGGACGTCGCCCTCGCCTTCTTCGTCGTCCGCCTCGCCGCCCTCTACGCTGCCCTGACCCTGCTCCCAGCCTGGTCCCTGATGTTCCTCCTGCATCACCTCCACCACAACCTCCCTCCCTCCATCGTCTCAATCTGGAAAGGCAATCCGCATCTGCTTGCCTGTGTCTTGACCTGGCTCGCTGCGCTCGCCGCCGCCTGGTTCTTGGTCAGGAAGTTTGAGGTCCCCCGCGTGTGGCCATTCCGGCTCGCGATGGGCGCGTCGGGCGCTGTGGTCGGGATGGGGATGGAGGCGGTGGTGAGCGGGATGGGGTATGAGTTTTTGGGGTGGGAGAGGATGGAGGATTTGGTGGTGGTGGGCGGCGGGTGGAAGATGGGGATGGGCGCCGTGGTTGGGATGGCGACGATGCCGGTCCTGGCGATGGGCCCGGAGAGGTGGTTGGAGAAGCGCGCTGCTGTGCTGAGGCATAGACAGCGGGAGAAGATGGGCGAAGTGTGAGTTTGCATGACTGTGGTGGGGCGGTGTTGGTGGCCTTGATGAATGGAAAGCTAACGAGGATGTAGGCTGCATGTTGTCGTGGAGGAGAAGAGGAAGGAGGCGGGTGGTCTCTAACGACCGGGACGAGGTTTGGGGATGGTCTGCGGAGAGATGGTAAGGTGAAACTACTCAGTGTGTCCATGGCTTCTGGGTTTCATCTTCATTGATATTGTCCATGATCATTGTACATAATCATACCTGAGATTGGCGAAGGCAAACCAGCTGGGGCGGGCGGATGGCGTTTAGGGAGGGATGCTAGGGAGCAAGAACCTGAAGGAAACCAGAGGCTGGCGTCAGGGTATCAAGAATGAAAATCCTATAACTAATGAAGCATACCAAGTCTTTCTTGCGAATTGAAAGGGAGACCTGTTGGAATCTACAAAGCACGCTCATCTCGCGGTTCTTGATGTTGGCTGAACCTTCATCCTTGCATGGACTCTGCGATGAGCCTCAGCTGTCTTGCTGAATCGCTCTCCCGTCAATGTATGGCAATCAAGGTGGTATATTAACGGAAATGCGGGATTTCACTGCAAACGTTCCACTTCTTGAATTGTCGTCTCCCGTTCGACAGTGGTTTATATCATGCTGGTGATACAAGTTCGATGGCCGATCGCGTCCATCTCCGTTTCTTCCACGCATCTTCCATCGACATTCCTCAGCTCCACCAACGATGAGAGAGGCCTTGAGCAGTTTTCAACATCAGCCTAAAGTTCGAAATATGAATCTCCCTCTGCCTCCCGGGCATGGGCCGAACCATGCGCTGGACTGTCATCTGTCGGGGAAGGTCCGAACAAAGGGGTCAGGTTCCTATTCAGATCCCTGTTCCATTCCATTTTTGCGATGGCGTCTGAGATGGTGAGCTGAACTGCCACGAACGGAGTCGTCTCGTACACTCTTGGCGGCTCTGTTGATCTGTGGTAATTGTTTATAACTTGCCGAACTGATCCCGCTCTGAGATCCTGTTTCCTCATGCTCCTTGTGCCTGACTTCTGTCACCGAGAGCAAAATGCTGTCTTCCTTGTGCTTCTTGTCGCTCCTTTTGCGATCCTTCCAACCACGGTCGCCCTCCCGGCTGGTGTTGAGCTTGGCCCTGGAGAGGATGTTCAAGTATAATGGGAGGGGACGACTGTGACAACCACCATCTGGCTCGCGGCAACGTCAACAAATAGCCCGAGCTCTACAGTAACACAGACAACTACGAACTCTTCTCCTGTCGCCACGTCTCAATCACCGCTCCCGTCGACGACCACCTCGCTTGGCACTAGCCAGACTGTTACCACAACTACCAGTTCGACCGCTCCATCTACTGGCACGACGGTCACGGTGGCTTCGGGCTACCGCAATGCTCTCTACCTCACCAATTGGTCCGTCTCATGAAGTGTATTTAAAAAGGGGGTTGCAAGCTAATCGTCTCAGGGGTACCTATGGCGCCAACTACCAACCCCAGCAGCTCCCAGGGAACAAGATCACTCACGTTCTCTACGCATTCGCCGACATTGCGTCTGATGCACGGTTGATGTAGACAAACACAAGTCGTCCAGACTTGAACTGACAGTGTCAAGGAAATTGTCGGACTCTTATACGGACCTCGAGAAGCACTACTCGGGAGACCCGTAGGACGATATGGGACTCAACGCTTACGGCTGCGTCAAGCAGTTGTACCTCCTGAAGAAGAGGCAAAGGCACTTCAAGACGCTCCTGTCCATCGGCGGCTGGACCTACTCGCCCAAGTTCGCTCCTGTGGCAGCAACGGAGGCCGGACGCCAACGCTTCTGGAACTCATCCGCCACACCGCTAAAGTTACCGCCCTGCGCCTCCAGACCTGCCGCCAGGCCCTCGGCGCCTACGCCGCGAGCCACCACTTCCTGCTGACAATCAAGTCGCCGGCCTGCCGCAAAAAAAAACAACACCATGAAACTCGGGGAGATGGACCCGCTGCTCGACGCCTGGCACATCATGGTCCACGACTACGCCGGCTCCTGGGGCTCGACCACGGGCCACCAGTCCAACCTGCGCGCGGACCCGTCCAACCCGCAGGCCACCAAGTTCAGCACCGAGCGCGCCATCACCGACTACGTCGCGCGCGGTATCCCCGCGGCCAAGATTGTCCTCGGCATGCCGCTGTACGGCCGGGCGTTTGAGAACACCAAGGGCCTGGGCCAGCCGTACGCCAGCGTCGAGCCGGGTTCGATCCAGGCGGGCGTGTATCTCTGTGAGGACCTTCCACGGCCTGGGGTCAAGGAAATCCATGACGAGTCGGCCGGGGCGAACTACAGCTTTGATGAGGCCAAGGGGGAGCTGGTGTCGTATGACAATGTGTTCGGCGCGCAGAAGAAGGCCGAGTATCTCGTGAATAAGAGTCTGGGCGGGGCTGTGTTCTGGGAGACGGTCGGGGACATGACTGGAAACGGGAGCTTGGTGAGTGCGCTTGCCGGCGGGATGGGCAGGTTGGAGACGGCGGAGAATTGGTTGTCGTACCCGGAAAGTCGGTATCAGAATATCAAGAACGGGATGCCCGGGGCGTGATGGGGCTGAGGATGCGGAGGAGAGAGGTTATTTCTTTTAAGGATTCTCGGTTCTTGTTTGGACTCAAACGTTTGGTTCTCGACTTGTTTGTCTTTGTCGACTCGGTATCTGGTGGGTTGGCGAGCTGCATGTAATTCCTTCGTCAATCTCCTCGGAGTATCTACATCGGATACACGATGGCATAGAGCTTTGGTTCGCGTTGACATCCCCTGGTTTGCGTCCAATGTCGGGATATCACATTGTTAACAGCTTGGCAAAAGTCCATTCCAACGGCGGTTACCGGAATTCAAAAAAGGGAGGCTGTTCAGTTGTCTTAGACATCCACGTCAACCCCAAGACATGGATGGTCGTCAGGATGTGAAACTCATGCCAGCCACCTCCAGCGTTCTTTAGAGTTTTTGTCTGAACATCTAAACGATAGGTATCTTGACTGTATGTATATACACAGCTGCAGAGGTTTGAGTCGCTGACCCAAAGCGTCGTCTTTGAGCCCGTTACTAGAGACAGATCTAGTCTCGCCTGTAGTCCACTAACATCTCCCATATTCAGTAGCAACACCAGCTCCGGCCACAGACCGTAGCTGAAACCTCCTGTGGGCAACCAAGAACTGCCAGCAGCACAGCACCACCCCAGGTAAAGAACACAAAAGTTCTACCACCCCCAACCTCTCCACCTTCCCTTGCCCCTTTTTGTCCGGCACGCAAAGCAAAGACTTCTACAACATAAACACCCCAAAGCCACCAGCCAACCCCGCCACAACAGCCGCCCAAACCACATTCCTCAGCCCAGCAATCCCGCCAACTCCCGACCCAACCGGGACAGCAGCATTCCCCGTCCCATTGGTATTGGCACCCACACCCAGCAGTCCAGACCCGGTGGTCTGCGCCGCCACAGCCGTGATCAAGGTCCTCGTGACTCCGTTACTGACCGTCGTCAGCGTGGTCAGCGCCGTCGCTGAGGCTCCGCCACCACCACTGCCGGCAGAAGCAGTCGCCGTCAGCAGTGTGCTGAGGACATCATCCAGGCCCGTGGCCGTGGCCGTGGCCGTCTCCAGGAGTGAGCCGCTTTCTTCGGCCCTGTCGTTACCGCTTCCCGGTAAGGGCTGCAGGCTGGGCGAGGCCGGGTTATGGCCGGTAGTGCTGTTACTGCCGCCGTGGTGGGGGAGCGGGGCGCGGCCGCCTGTTGGGTGGGCGGCGCCTGAGGTACTGAGGCCGGCGGTGGCGTTTGCGAAGAGATAGCCTTGGGCTGGAGCGACGAAGGAGGAGTGGCCGGTGCTTGAGGACGTGGTGATGGTGGAGGCGGCCCCGGCGATATGAGTGAGGGAGCTGAGCGCGGCCAAGGTGGTCGAGCTTGAGTCGCCGATGGCGAGGGTGGTGCTGTCTGACGCGGCAACTGCGGCGGTTGTCTCAGCGGCTGCTTCTGCAGTTGTTTGGCCGGTGATGGGCGTGAAGAATGCGATACCCCCGAGGGCAGATGATATCGCCGCTACAGCAGTCGTGGCTCCAGATACTGCCGCTGCTGTGGAGGTATCCCCGACAGCTGCTGAAGTTGTCCCGCTCACGATTCGCGTAAAGGATGCAGACACTTGCGCGGCTTCAGATGTGGCAGCTTGAGGAGTCTGCGGGGAGGGTTAGCGTAGGGTCCCACGCAGCTAGGCGAGGGAGTGTACATACCGAAGTTGTAAGGGTCAGAGAACTGGGGAGCGGCAGTGGAGACGCGGCAGCGCCCTCGCCGAGGCCCGGAGGCTGCCTCAGCCCCCCTGCCGGAGCCAGAGTTGCAGTCACAACCGGTTGAGCTCCCCCCTGACTCGCGATTACAGAAACTGCCGCCGAGGTTTCCACGACGGCCGAGGGAGCGATGGCATCCCCGTTTGCCAGCGCTGGCAACGGTTGGAGTAGGACTGGAGATTCGTTGGCCTGCAAGCCAGGGGGTTGTCTCAAGCCGGATGCTGCTGCGGCCGAGTTGGCAGCAGCGGCAGCGGATGCAGCAGCAGCCGCGCTGGCTTGTTGAGCCGCAAGAACCTCTGGAGGGATCGGAGTGGCTGCGGGTGCGTTGTTGCCAACAGTTTGTATGCTAAAAGTACTGTCATTGCCGTTGACCGCTCCGGCGTTCCCGTTGTTGTCCCGCTGGGGAATGGCAGCGACGTCCTGGGCGGCAGCGGCCAGGAGGGCCGCAACGAAAGTACCAGTTGGAATATGCATCTTCTTCGTTGAGATACTACGGGCCGGTCCGTAGCTATTAAGCCAGGTCCAAGCTGGCGTGGTCAAAGGTCGAACAGGAGAAGGTGTTGGTTTATAGAACGTAGAGTAACAAATACGCTGACCTGCAGTCACGAAGAGAATGGTATAATAAGAGAAGAGAACTTAAAGAGCTGAACAAGACTCGCGTCAGGAAGAACGGCTGAGGCGCGGACAGAGAGATGACGAGAGAGGGAGGAACTTGGGTATATGGGAGGATATAAGCACAGGACGTCTGGACATGATCCGCGACACAGGAGTTAAAGCATCACGCTTCGATGTCATGATTCCCTTGGCTCACTGCCATAATGTTTGCCGTTGAGGGTACATCGACAGGTGACTGCAAGGGGTAGGGCGGGACAAGTATTCGCTTAAGACGGAACGTCCCATCATGGATCGAGGGACAGTTGTGCATCCCAACCGGTCATCAAAGTCCTGCATCAACAGATGGACCCGCATCTGAAGCATCCGTCCAAGTTCCGGCTTGGAGGTGGAGGCTCGACGAGGCAAAAGTTGGGATGGACAAGGGGTCAGAGCCTTGCTCTGATACAGCCCTGCGACGATGAAACTTGCCTCCTGCCAGACAGCCTTTCCATGTTAGCGAGCGTTGGAACCAACCACATAAATCACTAGCAGAATGCGAAGAAATGCGGGACTTGAGTTAAGCTCCTTGGCAGGTTATTGAAACAAAGTTGCCTCAAGCCGGCCGCCAGTTGCTGGGGCCGTCCCAGAGATTGAGCATGGTGGACGCGAAGGCCAAGTTGGGAATTTTCGAAGGACTTCTAGCTCTCCCTATGCTTTGAAATAGCTGCCGACGCTGCACTTTGTTTCCCAAATGAGATGGGGGGTTTTGATCTTCAGGTCGACAATTTCATTCTGCCCTAATTGGGAGGTCTGAATTGTGGGAGCCTTGGGATACTCGGGTAGCGAAGTAGCAGTGTACTTCGACCGCAGCCAACAAGCATCGGGTCATGAACAGCTGTTTGGGTTGGGCTCTGGCAAGGGAGGAAGCAAGACAAAAAGAGAAGAGGGCGAGGGCGTGTAGTCCTCAAGGTGCGGCCAGCCAGACGACCACTGGCGACGACTGCAGCTGGTCGCAAAGATGGCCGGCTCAAATGTCGTGAATGTCGTGGCGAACAAGATTCCGTTGCGCGGAGTTTTTAGAATAAGGTACAAGCGGTCGGTTTGTCCGGTGTTGTTATACATCCGCTGATACCCTTCAGGCACAATCGGTCTCTTTCTAGCAGACGGTTGTGTTGAGTGTCGAACAAAATTGAGCGTGACGGAAGATCAAATGTGGATTCCGCTCAATGTGCCAATCTCACCCTTGGCATCTAAACACACAGTGCTCTGCCGCTGCAACCCGCCTAAATTCCGACTGCTAGGAGCTCTCACAGTCCCACACTCCCAGCGACCCTCCAGGACACGACACACACCAATCCATCAGGTTAACACCTGCTCCGGTCGGCAAGATGGGCTGGTTCAACGGCTGGTTTGGCCTCGACAACAGCGGCTCTGACCCGCTGCGGCGGCTGGACCCAAAGCTGCGCGAGTTTCTCGAAAAGGAGTCGCCCGTCAAGTACAACACTCCGACGCCACCGACACCACAATTACATCAACAACAGCCGTCACCACCCCCTCAACACACCCAGCAAGAGAAGCAAGAACGAAAACAACCACAGTCCGACATCACCCAACAACAACAACAACAACAACAACAAAAACCCGCTGTCCCCCCAGAATCCCTCTACCCCGACGGCCGCTACGCCCACCTCTGGAAGACATACCGCCCCCTATCAGCCATCGAAGCCGAGACCAAGACCGACAACGAGAAGCTGACGGACGTGCTTGAGGCCTTCAAGGAGCGCAAGGCGCAGATTGGGCGCGCGGCCCTGGAAAACTGCGCCGAGGAGCAGTTCGACTGGACCGCGTGCATGAAATCCGGCTCGTGGACGGCGCGCATGACCATGTGCCGGGACGAGGTGCGCAAGTTTGAGCGGTGCTACAACGCGCAGAGCCGGCTACTCAAGGCGCTCGGCTACCTGAGCGTGCAGGGGCGGAACCCGGAGGTGGATGAGGAGATCCAGATGCGGGCCGACGAGCTGTTCCACCGGATGCTGGCGCAGGAGAAAGAGATTGAGAAGGCCAGAGAGGAAGGGAGGGCTGTGCCTGCCTTCAAGCCGCTTCTGGAAGAGAAGAAGGAGGTGGGCGGGACCGCCGCGGGACCCGCGGCTAAGAGTCCCGATGCGTATGAGCCGAGCGAGGCCACGGTCGCGGCGTGGAAGGAGAAGCTGGCCAAGCTGCCGCCCGAGGATCGCGAGGCTGAGGAGAAGGCGCTGCGGGCCGAGCACAGGGCCAAAGCCGAATTGGCGGCCCAGGTTCAGAACTTGTGGCAGGAGCAGGCAAAAGAGAGGGAAAAGCGCAAAGCTGAGGGCAAGGAGACGATTATGGACAGGTTTTCGGCCTTGGCTGGGTCGTGGTCTGGGCCGAAGTCGACGTGATTGCAGACTGTTTTGGAACCCATGTACGAATATTCGCTGTATCTCTCGTTCGTCACATATTCACGACACCAGATCACCAGAGAGGGTTCATCATGTCGTTATTGGGAGTGCTACCTGCCCTCCAACACGGCCGCTGTCCGCTCCAAGAAGGCATTGAACTCTCTGATCTGCTTCAATGCCCCGCCGCCTTCACTCCTGGTGCATGCTTGATCGGCCACCCGACTGATCAGCAACTCCAGATTGGCCAAGTCGGCCTTTTTCTGCTCGGCCGGGCTCAGTTCAGGTGCTGCCTGCCCCTGTTCGACTGCCAAGTCGATGTCGTGCATGGCCGACGAGAGGGATATGTGACGCTACAAGCCGGTCAGCCAGCCATCAGCGAAAATCTCCCTGAAAGACCTTACTAAAGCTTCCTTGCTATCAGCCTCGTGCCGTATCCTTATCGCGTCCATCCGCAGCGCCACCTGCTCCCTCTCGGCCCGGATGCGCAAGATGTTGTCCCGCAGCGTCAGCTTTTCCTTCTGCGCCGCCCGCACCCGCTTGCGGAGGGCATGGAGCGTGTCCAGCGCGATGGTCTACGCCTCCGTCAGTTACTGTGCCTTTGGAAGACAGCCCCACGTTGCAACTTACATGCTCCAGCAGCCGCGTCCTCAACTCTTCCTGGAACGCCTCGAGCGCCCGGTACATCGTCTTCTGCTCCCTCCTGGTTGCCGCGTCCTCGGCTGCCCTGGCGCGCTCCTCGAGCTTTTCCATGTACGCCTCGATGAGTTCTTCGCAGAGCTTCGAGAGCACATCAATTGCATTGACGCCGCCGCGGTCAGCGAACGGTATGTCGCTGTTAAGGTCTGCGCTTTGCTCGTCCTCGGTTTCCTCGGCTTTGGAGCCGCGTGACGGCTTAGTGAAGCGCTGAACCGTGACGGGAACGGACCCGGTTGGCTTCTCTGTCTCGTCGTCATCTGCGCCCCTGTGCTTCTTTACTTGCCTCCTCGGCTTAGGCTTGGCCTTCGGCTGACGCTGGAGTGGTGGTTCGGGTGATGGTTGAGGCTGCGGTTGTGGTTGAGCCCTGACGGAAAGCCTGCCCCGGGGTCTCTTGGACGGTTGTTGTTGTTGGGCAGGACTAATCACCTTCCTCCTCCTCCGCCGCTTCGGTGCTGGTGATTCCTCTGTCGCGCCAGAACCCAGCTCAGGCGACGGAGCAGGCTGACTCCGCCGAGGACGCTTCCTGCCCAAACGCTGGGCGGCTTCCTCTTCTCCCTCCTCTTCTATTTCTTCTGCTCGCTCCTCCTCCTCTGGCTCCTCTTGTTCCGCCGCCTGTTCAACCCCGACATCCTGACCCTCATCAGCTTGCACAACCTCCTCATGCATCACAATCTCTTCCTCCTTCTCTTCCACCATGACCATCTCACTCTCCGCCACACTACTCCCCGACATCCTCCCGGGCGCTCTCCTCCCAGCAACTATCCCAGCCCCTGCCCTAACCCTTCTCGAAGCCCCAGCACTCCTCCGCGTGGCCATCCGCCTCTCAATCGGCGACGAATTCCCCACGGCGTCGGCATCCCCATCCCCATCTCCACCTCCATCGACACCCTCCTCAGCAGCCAAGACCTTCTGCAGCAGCGCACTCGACCCGACCACGGGCGTGCCCGCTCCCGTGCGCAGCAGGCGGCGACGGCCGCTTCCCGGCGCGTCGGCGGGGCTCTCGGTAACTTCCATTTCCTCTGGTGGCGGCAGTGGCAGGGGTAGGTCTTGTGTTCTTCCTCTTCGACGAGAGGTTGATGAGGAGGAGGGTGGCTCGAACGAGAGGCGTTTTGTGGCGGAGATTACGCTCGAGAGGGGCCCGCGTTGATGGCGTGGATGGGCTGATGAGATTGCGGTTGCTGCTGTGGGAGGTAGAGGAGCGGCATCGGCCATGGGGTGGTTTTCGTTTTCCGGTTCGGTTTCGCGGTCTTGGGGAGCAGGGGATTGGGAGGGGAGGGTTGAGGGAGACGCGGGGATGGTTTCTCCGGCTTCGGTGCTGTGGTCGGGCAGGCTGTAGACATCGTGCTCGGTGGTTGTGTGTACTTTTGGCTGTGCTACGGAATTCAGATCTAGTCGTCTCCGCTTCGCAGATGCGTTGGGGGATGGTCGTGTGGTTGGCGCTGGGCCGGGGATCGCTGACGGTTCATCGGCCGGTAGCTCTTCGGCATTGTCCGCAGGTTCTTCAGCGACGGGGATGATGAAGCCGAAATCGATATCTCCGACATTGTGTCTCCTAGAGTTGCCATCAGTTTGGAATCGTTCCCAATGAGCGTAGGGGCAAGGTACCCTGCCCCACGCATGCGGTCTCGCATGCGTTCCTCTCCTGGTGGGTGTCAGCTTGTTAGTACTTTGAGGGGATTTTGACCATGGACATACTCGTCGCCATCGCTCCTCAACTTGATCGACGTATAACTTCTTACATGTCTCAAAAATCTGGGTTAGGTACAAGCGCTGGAATTCTCCCCCACTGATGTTGGAGCTCTCGAGCTTGATGGGAATCCGAGGTGACGCGCTTCGGGTTGTTTAGACGCGACGTTCGTTACGACCGTAACTTACAAGGACCTACAAGCCCCACACTGAACCGCGCTAACTTGTGGGGCAGCCGGGCCGTCAGCACCCTGCCTGGTACCGAGTTGAGCAAGTCGAGAAAAACGCCTCCTCGTTCAGAACGAAGACACACATAGCCCAACACACAAAGGTTGCATGATCGCATCACCTCTTCATATTTGACCTCGTTGTATTCATCTTCAGTGTATTATTCTCCTGTTTGCCGTCAAACTACCGCGGGCAGTGCCAGCCTGCCTGGTTCGAACAATCCTGGGGAGATTCGGTCCCCTCTACCTTATATGTCACAACTCATCACAAGTCTTCATTTTCTACACCCTCGGCCGTTTCGCCTTGTCCAACGGACTCTGTGATGGCCCATTCCCGGTTTTCGTGAATCGTGTAGCTTCAGGGGTGCTGTTAGCTGTGGTGTGAGATTCAAACCGGATCACAAGAGACCTACGATGTGCGGTCCCTCGCCTCCAACGCCTGGATCCCATACTCCATAACAAGCAGTTCCCGGTAGCGAAACGGAATCTTGGCTGGTACGCCCTCGAAATTGTGACTCGCAGCGGATAAAGGTACGTATCCCGGTCCGTCAGTCTTCTTCCGTAATTCGGTGCAGACTTAGGTACCATAGCACGATCTCACTGCCGTCTTTGCAGCTCAGCAGCCTTAGCCTGCCCTCGCTATCTGGATGGCTCAGGTTATATCGGACTGCGTACGCATTCATAAAGAGGCCGGTCTTTGTATCAATCCACCTCGCGTCGGCGGGGTGCAGCGCGTCTGCTTGTTCGCGGTCCTTTGCATACGGGCTGAGTTCCAGCAGATATCTGCTGGCCCTAGGTATGCCGGAGCCCTGGAAAGAGAAGGTGGACATGTTGTAGTATGCGGCAAGGAAGAAGATATCGGATTCCGAGACGTGCATGCTGACGTCCTGGCGCAGCGGCAGCAACTTTGACAAACGGCCACATCAGCTTTCGGCTAGTTATGCAAAGTGATGGCGGGAAAAGCCTACTTGTTTGGACCACCACCATCCGAGAAGGGCGCTGTGCATCAGCCATGTCTCGATGCCTAGGTCGTTGCAGGCGGCCAGGTACGTCCGCACGAGGTTTCGTATTGCCGTGTCTTGCTCGGCATCTGTAAGTTGGCCTTTGGAAAACCTGGGAATCTGTCAGCCGTCGTCATGGGCAGGCCGATATTACTGCTTCCAGGTTCACCTCAGGCCGTCTTAAACTCGACGGTCAGTACGCTCACCACAAGACATGGAATCAGGCCACTTACAGATGTTCGGAGGTGATGGACCATTATCTCCTTGCCTCATCACGGGAGCTGTCTTCAGTGGAACCGCACCACATGTCGAAACCAGCAAGTGTACTAGCAAGAAGTATCCCAGAGGCAGCATGGAAAAGAATTTTAATATCAAACGCCAAGTACGTTCCACGTGTAACTCAAGCCACTGGGTCTTCCGGATTCGAGAACTGGCTGAAGAATGGAAAGAAAACTGACTGGCAGAGGCGCAAGGGCCTTCACATGGAAAGCGGGACGTGAGGTTATTAGTAGGCAGGGTATTGATGACATGCGCAATCCCCGGAAACCCTTTCAAGTATCTAGCCATCGATGGAATAGGTCCCCATATGGGGTCGTATTCCGTTGGGGCCCATGGTTGTTTGCCCTGCCGCTTACCCGCATCAACGACTACCGTATACATATTGTAGGCGACCGCGCAACCGCGCGGCAGTTATCATCATCGGCGCACATGTCAATGCTCATAAGCTGCTGGCGTCCGGCAGCGCGGTACCGAGATAACGTTCCGCCGCAATCTTGTGTCGAAGTTCTAGGCGATATTACTGTGTAGGCGCCTTGGTGTGCGGATGCGGCAAAGCACGATGCGTCAACCCCTGTCCTCTACCACGAAGACGCTTCTTCAAACAGGTTCCCCTGGGTCCCTGAACTTGTTGAGGGATTTCTAGTTCCTGTCTTCACATTGACGTCGAGTGATGTGGATTGTCTGCAGCACGCATAGAGCTTGCCATTCTATATCAGCGAGTCTATATCAGCGAGTCTATGTCAGCGACTGAATGTGTGGGCTGATGTGGTCAAGATTGGATGGGAGTGTCTTGGTTGAGAGTGAATACGTGCATACAATAATACACTCTTCCTGACGTAGAAGTCTGCTGCGGGAAGTGGGATGCCCGGCCGCTGACCAGCTGCGTCGTCGCTGGTCCAGTTGGACTCATCTGGGTTTAACAGAGTACTCTTGCATTGTTGCGAAGAATACACGCTGCCGCCGAAGCGGAACGAGACTCGGGCTTCCTGTCTCTCCCGTCACGAACCGGCATCGAAGCCCGAAGAGCTCCGCCAGGGGCCGGGCTTGGCCCGGGTCTCCCGGAGTCATCGGCCTGCCGATCAAGACAGGCAAGTGCGGAAACCGAACAGGAGCGTCTCACACGCCGATCGGCTATCTCGCCTTAGTAGACCCGGTTGAAATGTGCCTGATCATGTTTGGCCTTGGAAGATTCGCTGCGTTTAAGAAGCCAACGGAAGTTACGAGGTGGTGGAGTAGTAATTTTGAACCCTAACCCAAAGGTTAGTTAGTTTGCTACCTTACGCGGCCGGATGAGAGCTAGGGGCTGAACCCATGTTCCAGCTCTGGTGCCACGCCCGCTGTCATCTTCGTTTCTTTAGTTTCGACAACCACCCATACCTCCAGATTTCGAACGCACAACTCCGCGATTATCTCAGAGAGGTACGACCGCAAGCCTGTCGATTTTGCGCGCTTGAAGGCAGCGCAGCGCCTACGGACTTGATCCTACCGTCAACGAACTTGACAGAGCCTCACTCGCCTCGTCCTTGCAGGTGACACCTCGAGTAATGCAATCATAGAACCTCTGCGCCCGACAGGCAAATACACGGACGTCTCGATAGCTTCGACCTGAGGATTTGCCTTTGGTACAAGATGGGGTGGACCGTGAGTTGGACATATTCGGTCTTCACGACAGCGCAGGGACTAACGCCAGCCTCTTAGATCTTTAGGATAGCGGCCGACTTGTGCCACATCACATCCAAGTGCATCCTCATATTCTCCATCCACCGAAACAGGAGCTCCGAAGGTCAGTTTGACTGGCGTTTTCTTGGAAGTTTGACACAAGGGCTCACGTTGCGTTGCTCCGCAGGCGTCTCCCTCCTGACGCAGCTCTTCTACGCCCTGGTCTTCATTACGCGCTACACAGACCTCTTCCGGGAGTCCTTCGCATGGAACTACTTCTTCAAGGTCTTCTACCTTCTCTCGTCCTTTTATACCATCGCCATCATGCGCTTCGTCTACCCGCGAACCCGTGAACGCGAAGTCGCCTGGAAGCTAAGCGCCCTGATTTTGGTCGGCGTAACGGTCCTGTCGCCCTTCATCATGATGATCTTTGACGAATCCAGACACTGGAGTTTTCAGGAGGTATGCTTCGCCGCCCTCCATTTCTCTCCCTCCTCCACCATCACCTCTAACGTCGACGCGTCCAGTACCTCTGGGTCTTCTCGCAAGTCCTCGAATCCGTCGCCGTCCTTCCGCAGCTCCTCCTCCTGCGGCAGACCACCATCCCGACCGTCATCACCTCGTTTTACATCGTCTTCCTGGGCTCGTACCGCGGCCTGTACCTGCTCAACTGGATCCAGGGCGAGCTCGACACCAACATGAAGACGCCCAACCCCATCTCGGTCATCTTCGGCGTCGTCCAGACGGCCCTCTACCTCGACTTTGCCTGGGTCTATTGGTCACGCCAGCGCGTCAAGCTGCGCAACGGCGGCGTCGTCGACGCCGATGACCTCTCGCGCGGCTGGCTGCTGCGCCGCATCTTTGGCAGCAAGCGGTTCACGCAGGACATTGACGGCGCCGCCAGCGATGACGAGGAGAGCGCCCCCGCGCTCGGTGGCGGGAGGCGGACTAACTACAACCACCACTATGGCGGCGGCAGTGGTGGTGGTGTTGGTGGCAGACCTAAATGGGGATCCCGCGGCATTTCGATCAGTGCCGACGAAGGGGTGCTGGAGCACGAGCGGGCGCGGGTTCTGGATGGTGATAATGACGATGAAGAGCACGGCGTTACGGATATTGTGGACCCGGATGCCAAGATGCGCGATCCGGATGAGTTGGCCAGGGCGCTGGATGAGGATGGAGATCTTGATGGCGCGGGGTCATCATCACAGCAGAAGCAGGCGACAGCGCACACTGACTCGCAGGGGCAACCCAGCGGGGTGAGGAATGGGGATGAATGGGATGATGATTGAAGGGTGCATGGAGCTGGTGCATGCGTGCCTGGTATTTGGGACAAGGGTATGTCTGGATGGTGGTGAATTTGAAGTCTCAAATCTGTATTTGAAAGACTACGACATGTACATGGCTAGGTCTCCTCGGCGCCTGGATCCCTATGGGACTGGTAATGGGTGTTTAGGTGTTGGTTGGATTTGAGCTATCGACTTTGGCAGAGAGTTTGATCAGATCAAGGTTACATAAACCGCATATATATCTCACCTGGCTACGACGCATAGAAACCGTTTCGCATGCGTCAGGGAATGGTAGCAACCCGTAAACGGACAGCTGGAGCTCTCAAAATCGCACAACAAGGTGACATCGACGGAGGCATCGCCCTTTCCCCTCACGCACACAAGGGGAGGTCGAAGGGAGAAACCAGTAAATGCAGGCTCTTAACGCTCCATGCAACCATGCAATTATTCGAGCAAGTGAGTGGCCGCGTAGTAGCATCGCATGTCATACTAATACACACAAGATATACCACACATCTCCAGACTAGACAGTCTAGGGTCGATTCCCAATCTCAACCAAACCGGCAGGTAACACGCTCACCCAATCATGTCCTCCCTCGCTCACTCATCATCCCTCAACCGCGAAACATTCGGGCCCGCCCTCGCCAAACTCTGCCTCAGCATCTCCAACGCGCCCTTCCTCTTAGCCTCCCTCGACTTCAACTCCCTCTTCTCCTCCTCGCTGTACATACTTAATCGCTTCCTAGGCGAAGGCGTGCCTGCTGCCCTAGACGACGCGACCGAGGATTCCCGCAGGAGCCTGTCCCTATCAGGCGTCATGATCGACCTCCTCTGGGGCGTGCCGGCCACGAACGGCGAACCCTCGCGGCTGCGCGGCCCCGGGGTGCCGTTATTGGCGGGCCCGGCGGAACCCAGCCGGAGGCGGCGCATCTGGCTCTCGAGCACGTCGATGTCGCCGCTGCGCTTCTCGGCCATGCTGGTCATCTTGTTGATGGTGCGGATAATGGCGTCAACGGTGGGCACGGGGCCCTTGCCGGTGGCTGCGCCCACCGAGGCGATCTTTGCTTTGAGTAGGGTCAGTGCCTCTTCCGTTTCGGCGAGGAGCTTGGAGAAGGCGGCGTAGGAGCGGCGGAGCTCGTTTTGCTGCGTTACCTGCTCCGCGCTGAGGGGCAGGGATTTGGTGACGGAAATTTGATAGGGGTCGGTGTGTGAGGTGATAATCTTGCGCATGTCTTCCTCCTTTGCGCGGAGCTTGGCCAACTCTTTGGCAAAGCTCCTGATGGAGTCTTCGAGGCCCTCGCGGTCTTGGATGCGGCCTGCTGCGAGCTTCGGTGCTAGTTCGTCGTCGAGAATGGCGCCGAGCTCTTCTGCCTCGATTAGGACCCAATCATCGGGGTTCTCAAGGTCTTCCTTGTGCCGGCCGCCCTGCTTGAACTGCGTCGTGTGGCCGAGGATGAACGACTGCAGTGATCGCGAGTTGAGGCCCAGCCTGTCTATCATGCGGTTGATATCCCTCCATAATGTCTCGCATGCGCCGGGAACTTCATCCCGTCCTGGCGCCGCCGTCTCGAGCTTTGATTCGACCGCTAGGAATTCATGCATCTGCAGGGTCGGCTCGAGCTCCGAATGCAGAATCTGCTGGATGCCTTCATCTTCTGGGTCGACGAGCAGATGCTCCTCAGCCCGCGCTTTCTCTGCAAGCTTCCGCTGCGCTTGCACGTTGGGGTCCACTTGAGGGCGTTGACCAGTGCTGAATCCAAGGGCTGTTGATGGTTGGGACGCTGCCTTCCTGGCCAGAATATGTGTAGCTACCCCTGGAGCGCTGAAAGACCGGCCGGGTTCGCTAGGTCTAAAAAGGCTGCTTCGGTTGCCTCGTACCGGGCTGGGCGAACGAGGGCTCTGGGGAATGGGCGCTGCCTTCGGGAACAGAGGCGGCACATTTTTGGTGATCTCACCAAACAACGGCCGCGGCTGCTCGGCATCGGTGCGAGAAATGGCCGAGAACGTGCTCCCACCCATCCCGCCAAATGAGCTCTGGGGTGTAATTCCGGGTCCAAATCCGGTGGTTGGACTGAGATCCTTGGCAACATCAATGCCGCTTCCTTCGCTTGCAGCTTCCGACTCATACTCGCCTTCGTCCCTCTCTTCTCCCTCCTCCTCTTCCTCCTCTTCCTCCTCTTCCTCCTCTTCCTCCTCTTCCTCCTCTTCCTCCTCTTCCTCCTCTTCCTCCTCTTCCTCGCCCCCCTCCTCTGAAAGGCCCTCTTCATCGGCGCTGTCAGGTACAGCAGGCAAGGTGGCCGGTTGCTTTGACGGCGGCTTGCCGAGAAAATCTGGTGGTAATGGTGCTTCCTCGGCAGTCGGGGATTTCGACTCCTTTTCCTCGGACTTGGTCCTGGCAAGGATAGAATCGGAAGGGAGCGGTGCGGCCTCTGGCAAGGGTTCTGCCTTCGGTTTGACCGACTCGTCCTTCTTCGGGGGCTTACCCAAGAAGTCGGGCGGTAGCGGGGCCACCTCTTCCTTGACCGGTGGTGTGGTGACTGTTGTTGGTGAGTATTCCGATCCCGAAGACGATGAACTCAAATGATAGGCCGCCTTACTAGTAGTATCAGGCGGGAGAGGTGCCTCCGGAATCTCGGAAAGATCCGCCTTGCCCTCATCTTCCTGCTTGACCTTTGGCGTTCCAAATATCGATGTGGCCGGCTTAGAGGCCCCAAAAATGTTGCTGATTCCCCCGGACGAAGAAAGCTTCGACCCGAAGAGTCCGCCAGCGGGTGCTGCACTCTTGAAGTCGAACTTCTGGGGAGCTGGCGTGCTCGTGGGTGTCGTGGATTGGTGGCTAAAGATTGATTTGGGCTTTTGAGAGAGAGGTGGTGTAGTGGCATCCATGTCCTCATCTTTCGATTCAGGGGCTGCTGCCGGCTGCTTGGCGGCATCCTCCAGCGAGAGCCCGAATCCGCTGCCAAACAAGGACTTGCTTGCACCTTCTTTCGGCTTCTCGTTATCATTGGCCGTCGACTTATCTGCCTTAAACGTCGTTCCAAGAACGAAGGACGAGCTGCCAAGCGCAGGCTTGTCCGCTTTGGCAGCTGGAGGCGGGAAGGCTGTGTCGGTGTCCATAGAGACCTCGGGTGCACTCGAAGTCAAGGCACCGCCAGGCTTGGACCCAAAGATACTCGTGCCACCAGTGGCACCACCCAGCCCTGCAAAGCCACCCTTGCTGGCAAAAGTTGCAAACCCACCGGTAGCGGGTGACGCGCTGCTGCCGAAGATCTTACCAGGGCTTGGTGCGGCGCTTGAGAACCCACTTTGGCCAAATGCCGGTGCCGCAGCACTCGTCGAGCCGGCCGCCCATGGAGAAACCTTGTTTCCCAAGCCGATTGACGAAGATTGGCCAAAGGCAGGAGCCGCTGGTTTGCCTCCGAAAGCAGACGCGCCAAAAGCAGGCGCACTTGGAGCAGCCGCAGCTGGTTTGCTACCAAATGAACTGGAACCAAACGCTGGGGTTGTGGACGCACCTGCGGGCGTCGACCAGAGTGATGGCTTCGCCCCGAGTGTCGACGCACCGCCGAAAGCGGGCGTTGGGGCAGCTGTGGATCCGAATGCCGGAGCCTTGTTAGCTGGGGACCCGAACGCGCCGGGAGCAGAGGTGGCCGGTGCCGGAGTCGTGAAAGCTGGAGCGACAGCATCGCCGGTAATAATTCCAGGGTATGTTGTCCCTCCACGGATCGACTCGTTGTAAACGATCCACCACGCCGCCAGGACGCCCTCGTTGTTGAGGACCCACAAGCCAGGTAGAGGTCCAGGAGAGAACTCCATTTCGTCGGTCGGTATCGGCCTGTACACCTTGTCCTTGCTGGACAAGTCGAGCGCCGCTCCAACCGGGTATGTCTCGGTCAAGTCCTCGCCCATCGGCAGCTGCGCTCGCCTAGAATCGTCCGCTAGTTCTGTCATTGTGAAGACATTGGTTATGGCTTCGGCGGGTTTGTCGCTTGCCAAGGGGGTCTTGGACCGAGTCAACAGACCAACACTCTCCGTCGCAGTCGATGAAACGAGAAGGAGGTCCTGGAGGTTCGGAGGGAAATCCTTAAGCCGCAGCACAGTATGGTGGGGAACTTTATCGAACACAAACGGCTCGACCGGATCGGTGAGCTTCTGGAAGGTAAAGCTGGCTGTCCCACCAGGTGGCTGTTGCCGAGTAATGATATGGAAGACCGAGGGATCTTGGCTGTTTGTTGGGCTATAGACGGTAAGGAACACATGGTTCTCCAGCCATGCAACCGAAGAAACTAGCCGAATCAATACGAGTATGGGGGAAAGCCCGACGACAGGAGAGAACGTACCATGAAAGTGGCCCAGATTCGGCGGTTTTGGTATGTGAGCTTTCTCGACACCATCGGGCGTCATTTGGTAGATTGAGCCGTCCGCCATGCCTGCCACCAACTGTTTGCCCTTCGTGCTCCATGCTGCGCAGCTAACTTGTGAGCGTAGAGATGGCCCATTTGGTCCGGACACCAGTTTGCGTTCCGCCAAATTTGCCATGAAGAGATTCCCATTGTTTGTGACGATGGCGCAAAGACCGGCAGACTCGGGCATTGGATTGGGGATCAGAGCCCGCAGCGTCTCGCTGTTTGTACTGAGCTCAAAGGCAGCTTGTGTGCTCCCCTGAATGAGCGCCTGAACATCGTACACAGCGAGACCGCCGCCTGTCTCAGCAGAGAGAATCAGGTACTGTTCGTCGGCGGTGAAAGCGAGCTGGGAGATTCTGATCGGAAGCGGCACCTTGGCCTGGGGAGTGAATGACCGCACTTCACTGTCGCCATTCTTTTCGCCCTCGAAGGCTTTCCGTACCGACTCGGTCGTAGCAACGTGGACGGCATCGGGGCCGGCAGCAGCAACTAGGCCCTTGCGGGAGGCAACGCTGAGGAGCGACGCCGTCGGCGCAGGAGGAGGGGACCATTTCGACGTCAGTTGAACTTTGGCGTCACCAGCGATTGAGAGAAAACCAAGCCCCTAAAATGGCACCGTCAGCAGGCCGGCCATAACTGGTAGAAATGCAAGTGATGCTGGTACTACCTCTGTGTTGATGACCTCGAGATCACTGCCCTGCGACACTCCTCCCGCTCCGCCAGCGGAAGGCCCCATCATGTTGCCGCCTTTAATGCCAAAAGCCATGGCTACGGTAAAGGTCGCCTAGCTTCTTCAAACGAGGTCGTGAATTTAGGTGCGGACTCGGGTCATTGGCGGGTGATATCGCGAGCGGGAGTGCAGGGGGTTTCAGCAGCTGGCGCGAATGGGGACCAGCTGGAAGTAAACAATCGGACGGGCGTCTATGCTGATGCGGTGTTGGATGGTGAAATCGAGAAAGAGCTTTACGCAGAATCCTCCGTCAGTGGCTCGGCAAAATAACCAAGATGAATTTTCGTTCTTGCTAGCGGTTGGCAAAGTCGAGATACCAGCTCTTCAACTCCTTGAAAGAGACGCGACCCACGATTTTCTGCCCTGCCCGTTGCCTGCCAGCAATCCGCTGCATCAGCCAGCCAAGAACCGCCTGCCACTTCGATTTTGTTACTCGTTTTAGCTACTTCGATCACGTGTGGGGGAGCTTGGGCCTCCTGTCTTCCGCAACGGTTTCAGTGGGCTGTGGAGTCAGGCAGCCTTCCCTGCGCGTCAAACGGGAGCTCGCCGCCTTGTCCCTCGCCTGTGGTTCTTCAATGCGAAAGGCAGCTCTAGCCTCGTCATCAGCTCCCGTCAACTACTTCAAACCATCAGCAACCGAACTCAACTCCCATAGTCGAAGAAGTGCGCTCCAGGTAAACTCTACGCATTTCGACCACGACTTTGGTGACAAGATCCCGACGTGATAATTCACCTGCTCGCTCCCGTAGCGACCCTGTCCAACAATGCCCGGCTTCGACTTCTCAAACTACAACCGCAATGCGGCGCTGCACGCCCGCGGCGTGCCGCTGCCCAAGGCGACCAGCACAGGCACGACCATTGTTGGGTGCATATATGATGGCGGTGTGGTGGTTAGTAGAACCATCGATCATGAATTTCAAATGGGAGCCCGTTGATCTGATAATTTTAAATAACCTACAGATCGCCGCTGACACACGAGCAACCTCGGGCCCGATCGTCGCCGACAAGAACTGCGAGAAACTACATTACATTGCACCCAACATCTGGTGCGCGGGCGCCGGCACGGCCGCCGACACCGAGTTCACCACCGCGCTGATCAGCTCGCAACTCGAACTGCACTCCCTCTCCACCGGCCGCAAACCGCGCGTGGTGACCTGCATGACCATGCTCAAGCAGCACCTATTTCGGTACCAAGGCTACATCGGGGCATACCTGGTCGTCGCAGGCGTCGACCCGACAGGGACGCATCTCTTCACAGTGCATGCGCACGGATCAACGGACAAGCTGCCCTACGTGACGATGGGCTCCGGTTCGCTGGCGGCCATGTCCGTGTTCGAGACACAGTGGAAGCCCTCGCTGACGCGGGACGAGGCGGTCAAGTTGTGCGCGGACGCGATCGAGGCAGGCATTTGGAACGACCTGGGGTCCGGCAGCAACGTGGACGTGGCCGTCATCACACCTGACAAGACGACGCTCATGCGCAACTACATCCGCCCCAACGAGCGGACGCAGAAGCTTGGGAGTTACAAATTTGACAAAGGCACCACCGCCGTGCTCAACGAGAAGATCATCCTCAAGGGCGACCTTGGCAAGTTTGTCGACGTGCAAGTCTTGGCAGAAGAGAGCGGTGATAAGATGGAGGTGGACACCTAGTGGTGCTGTAGCCGGTGCAATTGGCTCAGGGAGTTGGGCGATCCAGCTTAGACGAGTTCATATACAGATAGCGGGAAATCATGAAAGCAGGGAGCTAATCGGTACCCCTAGAGATGACTTGCCATTTATTGCTAGAGTGAATGCGTCTTGCTAAGGGTGGTAAAGTGCCCTCCAAAGGAGATCAGTCTCCATAGATCCATATCTAGGACCGAAGTATCCAATCTAACCCTAGTTCGTTTATTAGTGCGGAATTTATATAACGTTAGTAGGTGTTACACCTCATCTTCCTTCACTTTGACCTTCTACATCTTTTATTTCTATTCATTAATCATGTTTCCTTATGTTCCTTGGTTTCTTTTACTAGTATCCTGTATAGATGGAGTCCGAAGTACAGGATTTCCATTCAACGTAGACCATGATGGTCGGCAAATATGTGCTAGAGAACGAACCAATGCTTGAACAAGAAACAAAGACAGAGAGAAACCATCGCTGGCGTATCACTGCCTCGACAGCGCAAATAGGCCGCAACACTGCCCAATGCAACCCTGAGACAAACGTTAATCCTTTGCTTCAAGGCATTACAAATGCCTATCGCTGCCAAACCGACTCCTAGAAACTCCGCGAAACCAATGGGGTATGTATGATGATATCATGCCGATGCATATTTCTCGTAATCGTCAAGACGTCGTCTTGTTGTGTGGGCACGACCAGGGCTGCTGGCGCCGTTCAGTGCTCTTTCTTCCTACCAAAGATGCTTTTTCTGGACCTCGACTTGGATCGGGCCTGCTTCTCTTTGTCATCGTCGTACTTGGCTTTGTGAATCCTGAACATGGTTAGCACCTCAAGGAAGGAAGCGAAGTTGAGGTCGAAACTTACCAGCTGTTGCCGACCATGCTCATGCCCTTGGCTTCAGCCTCGCGGTAGAACTTGGCGCTCTTTCTGAGATCCTTCTTGCAGCCGATGCCTTGGGCATAGCAGAAGCCTGCCTCGGCAAGCGCATCAACATCACCCCATGCTGGAAGTCCGTTAGTTAGATAAGCCTAGCCAGTCCTGATCACCTGTGCGACTTACATGCCGCAATTTCAAAACATCGCAAAGCGAGAGCCTTGTCTTGCTCGATACCCCACCCATTCATGTGGCTGACGCCCAGCTCGTAGATACTGAGTGCAAATTGCGCCTTACGCGTCTTGCGCTCCGCAACATCGGCCGGCTTGCCCTCCTTACCTTGGCCTTCTTCGTCGGCCATCTCTAGACTGGCCGAGTCTGCAGCTTTACGGAGCCACTGCACGGCTTCCCGCGGGTTCGGCCGCATTCCCCAGCCGTGTCGGCAGGCAAGAGCATAGAGCAGCATCCCGGTGGGATGGCCCTGTTTCGCGGCGTGTCGCAGGTGCCACGTCGACTCCTGCAGAGCGCCGCTCTCATGCAGAGCAACCGCTTTGCTGACATGCTCCTCCGCTGACAGATCTGACATAGTAGGCGCGACAGCATGCATAGACTTTCCAGCCTTGATGGTGCTTGCCGTGTCGCTAGTGGCAGCGGACACCGACGAGTTCGCCGCTGCAGTGCCACGTGCGCGGGAGACCAAGCTTCGCCCGCGGTGCTCTTCTTCCGATACATTGATGCTCTCTGTTGACGGTCTGCTGGGGTTGGGGGAAGGTTGCTGGGCGGGCCGCATTATTTCGGTACTCAGCTTACTCCGCTCCTGCGATGGTCGTGGCCCATCAAACTGGCGGCTGCCAGAGGAGCTAGAAGGCCGAGTGGGAGGAGAGGGCGGTGGTTGTCCTACCCCAGGATAACTCTGGGTGCTGGTTGAGGGTGATAAGGGTTGGTCGACCGAGGGCCGCGCAGGAGGGTCGTTGAGCAGGATAACTGAGGATCTGTCCAAGGCCTTGCCACGGGGTAGGGAGAATTTAGAATAGATGTATGATGGCGCTGCCGAGTTGCCCTCATCTCCAGCGCCTTCACGGGATGTTTGAGGGGTCAAGCCACTCGAGGCACAGGCGACGTCGTCTGTCGGGTAGAAAGAGCTATGGCTGTCTGATGAGGCTTGGCGTGCTGGCGGCTCGAAACTCGGTGTGCCTGCTCGGCTGAGAGGTCTAGAGAAGTTGAACTGCGGTCGGGGAAGGGCAGAAGCGTCTGAAGCAACTGATGGTGAGCGTTGATATGGTGGGTAGGCTGGAGACAGAACACTGCTGCTGGAAGAAAACTTGCGCGAGCGCTGGGAGTGAATCGATGTGCTCAGTGTGCTTATCGCTTCTTCATCGGTTGAATCCAGCGGTGATGACATCAGGCTGGAGGACCGCTTGGTGAACAATGGCCTGGGAGGGACAAGGCTAGCAGCATCGAACGAGTTCTTAGCTACTCGCTCAGGAGAGCTTGTTATCGACGCGCTGGCCACCGGCGACTGATGGGGCAGACTGTCCTGGGTCGCGGAGCTGCCCTCGGGCTCCTTGCTCGGAGAAGGGGAAATTCCCATGGGCGACGGCGAATGTTCCCTCCGCGCCTCATCATCAAAGAACCCTTCCCCTGTCCCTGTATCGGTTCGTTGGCTGGCGTCGAAAGGCTCCAGGTTGGTCTTTGGAACGGCTGGTACTGGTATGGAGTCGTCAGGAGTGGGTGGGATCTGGCTCAAGCGCGGGTGCATCGACCTGGGCCGGTTGGTAAGATCATTGTCCACCTCCGTCTTCAAACCAAGTCCCACATTTTGGAGGGGCGGGTGTTCGTCGTCAGACGCGGAGTCGTGCGATAGAGAGCGGAAGTAGTCCGATCTGCCTTGAACAATCAAAGGGCTCTCGACAGTCAACGGGGGGAGGCGGCTCATGCGGCGACCCTGTTTTGCGCTTTCCTCCAGCTGCTTTGCGAGCAGCCGGCTCTGCAATGCGAAGGCGTCGAGAGGCGAAAGTTCGGGTGGCGCTTCGCCGGCAACATGGAGGCGGGGTGATCGCAGGGGCCGCGAAACGGAGGCTTGCGATTTCGACCTGAGATCGAGAAAATCCGGCCGTTGCTGCGCCATGGCGAAGTGCGTGTTGGTTTTGATGACCGAGAAAGGAATGTGGTATGTGATGTTGCGGAAGGCGCCGTGTTTATCAGAGCGCAGCACAGCCCCGACGCGAGCGCCGAGGTGACAGGGCGAGTCTGGCGATAACAGCGTTACGCGGGTTCAAGATGGAAAGAGAATCGCGCATGAATCCTTGTCTTCTTTTCTTTTCTTCATCAACTCAGGACACAGCCAGCGAACGAGATATGACGGCGTGCAACTCGAGCATTCAGGATCGACCGAGTCGTGGAAGGATTGGTTTGTCGAGAGCCGAATTCGTGTAGACGGGACGTCTGTGGGCAGGTTGAGGTACAGCCTGAAATCCCGATCGCTTTCGAGCCGCTTGCCGAATTTTTGGAAGGCCGTCAACCGTCGTCAGTTTCAACGTCACAGCCGGTTTCGTCGCTGGGATAATGAGCCCATCAGAGACAAATGAATTGGGAGCGATCTCTCTGTCGACAATGGTCGTTTTCAGCCACTGCACAAACAAAAACGCGGCGCACAACGGGTGGACAGGACGAGCGAGCGTAGGAGGATCGATTATTTCGAGCGCATGGTGACGAAGGTCGGGCGAGAAAAAGAGTGGTTGTTGCAATGAACTCGATTACAAAAGAGGCCGGGACTGACAAGCGACAGACGGAGGAGGATCATGTTAGGCCGAGGGGGAAGGGGAGAAACAGGGGAGAGACACGGGGATGCGGAGAATAACGGATTGACAAGGGTCCTCAGGACCTGCATCCACATCAATTTCCCACTTCATTCCCGAAGTAGTAAAGTTTACACAGACGCTGCTCCAAAAATTTCGACTCTAGGACCAAGTAGGCTAAGCAAGCGGCTCGTCGTGGAAACGGCGTCTGTAAGCGTACCATTCCAGCCACACCTGGCCGTAAAATCATGGGGTGCATGTGTGGATGCTTCCCCTTTTCCAGAACGTCTTTTTTCCCCAAGGTCCAATGGAAATCACCGGCCTCGCTCACCTGCGGGTTGTCAGGCACTTTTGAGTCCTTTGTTGAAAGCCGCCACATCCTCCAACGTACCCATCAGTTTCTCAGCTGGGTTCTTGAGGCAAAATTGTGAAGGTTCCAACTACCAGTCAGGAAGGCAGTTGGCTGTCCGGCGGATGGGCAACCCCCTGACCTTTTGACTGAGGCTGTTGAAACAACGAGCCGGGCGTTCAAGTTTCGAGTCCATTGAAAACTGCAGCTTCCAAAACAGTTCCTTATTATAGACCCCTTCCACAGTGCACAAGCCGTATGCGCGTCACTCTGACGTTCGCTGCAATAACCTGACTCTCTGATCCAACAAACAAAACACAGGCTCGATCTCAAACCAGACATTTGCCCCTTTCCCCACTCACGTTCAAGCTATGAGCCCAGCCTCCCGGAAATTCCAGATATTTGAGTATCGTCCGAGTCCGGACTTGACTCTGTCCCCCACTTGCGTTCGGCCGATCATCCGCTGTTGGGACTCAGGGGAGCAGTCAAGGCCCAGCCAGCCTCAGTTCGGTTGAGGCACATGGTCAAGCTGAAAGAAAGACCACACTACTTGCCTTCTCTACGGAACACGAATGGCAGATCATTCCCAACTCCATCTTGCATATGCTGAGCCGCTCCCTTTCACAGTCATTGTCATAAGAGTTCAGGGCCAATAGGAGACAAGAGATTCGAGTACTCAACATGTGAGCATCCGAAATGTGCAGATTGACCACGCCATTGGCAGGCGACCTTCTGTGCGCCATATGGATGTGCCTAACGTTATTCCGTAGGGGCCTAAATCATAAAATCCAGTCAGGAATGGGGCCCAGCAGTCTTCGTCGTAGTGTGAGATCCATTCCATATTGTGCTCGGCATCCTTGACATGTTGAGTAAGAAGAGGAAAAGGATCAAAACGAACTTGAAAATTTAGTAGCTATTCTGATCTCATTTAGGTATCGCAGAGGAAGAAACTTGAAAACCCCGAAAAATAAATCGAAGAAAACAAAGAAAGGGAGAATATTAAGGGATAGTAAACGCAGCAAGAAGTCCAAAACTCTTGAGGGCCCGAGACTTGAGCATCGTCATGTATGGGAATAACTACAACAACGTGCTCGTCTATCCCACTGGGCAATTCTCCAATGTCACCCAGAGCCGGGTTCAAGTCTCAAAAGGATAATGCGCGCTTGGTTCGACAAAAGGCTGATGATGATGTCCAGTGACAGCCTGAAACTCCATTGATACTGGACCATGAATCCAAAACAAGAGGACGAGTGTTTCCCAGGCCCACGGCATGCATCGTAGATAACGTCCGATCGATCTAGGAGCCAACGATAGGTTCGATGATCCGCCATTGGATTGTCCTGGCTGATGCAGAAGCCGCTAAAACTATCTTGGACATCTTCGTGAGCACTTGATCGTAGTGAAAATGGCGAGCGCGGTGCTTGGTTCGGGTTGGATCTAGAACAACCCCTAAGGGAGCAACATACATTCAGTCTGAACGGGAACAGAATAAGGAGGCCGCGATTTTGAAAGGGGAAGAAGCCAAGGACAGTACCTGACAATGTCTTCATCATCTTGTGAATCTCAGATACCTATATGCTCAGTCAGCTTCCGAGCCTTCGTGGTGATCTTCCCTGCCTTCGTACTGCCCGAGTAAATCCAGTTATATTCACAGCCTTCAGGCTACTCTCCGGCGCTAGCATCGACTCCATCCTAATGCACTGCGCGACCATGACGCCATCCTCATTGTCAGTATTGCCCGCAAACGAGCTGTTGCAGTTGGTGTCGTCCATAGCAGCTGGAACAGTGCGAGGCTCGTCGACTCGCTCGACTTGCAGGCCGACTCACAGGGGCCGTTGAACTTCCCTGTCGTTCAAGTAGCCCACCGTCATCTCCCTATCCTCCGTGGGAGCTTTCCCCTGATGGTGCCAAGCTGGACGTTGTTCTCGAGGACGGCGTAGAAGATGCGTTAGGTGGTGAACATGAGCTCGAGATTCTTGACACTAGGTACGAGCTTCTCCACCTCGCGACTGAACTGAAATACCAGCTTACGAAGGTCGTTATCTGACAGCAGACCAGCGAATTGGTCGAATGCTTCCTGGCAAACCGAGATGCTAATGTTTGCAAGATCCTGCCCCGGAAACAGCAGCGCCCGCCCCCGTTCGTTCTTATCCATTGTGGTAATGGGGACCCTGCCAATGGTCACCTGGCCCGATAGGCAACTGTTTGACTTGGAAGAGCAATTGTGAGCAATAGGTTTTCGGCGACGTGGTAGGTTCCTGGGAAGATATCGTATAGCCAGGATGCAACGTCACCCTTGTGAATGTCAATGCTTATATCGCGCAGGTCAACTGGGAACTGCACGAGGCGAGGGTACTTGCCTGCTGCCATACTGATACAACATGTGAGTTGTTGGTACCGATTCGGTCGATGTCTGCGGGCGAAGTGTTGGAGAGGATGGAAGTTCAAGGATGGAAGAAGCCACGAAGCAGTTTTCTGGTCGCGTCCTTATAGCGTGCGATGGCACAAGTCATTTCCCGCGAGTACTCACATCATGCTTGGCCTGCTGACGCAAGCTTGTATATCAAGAAAAAGAAAAGTAATGGGAGAGGAAACAAGAAGAGGAGGAGGAAGAGAAGAAAGAAGAGAGGTCAATGAAGAAGTGGAAAACAGTTCGATAGTTCAGATGAGCGGAATGCCCGCAGACCGTCTCACTGGAAAGGAGAAGATGTGAAGAGATCTGTTTTCCCACAGAGACCTAACCGTAACTCCTCTCCCATGCATCTACGATACTTATATACTAGCCAAAACGATGAAAAAAAAAAAAAAAACCACGAAACCCATCAAGGACATCAACCGGATATACAAGGTATCATATCATAGATAGGTTGCTGCCAACCCACCCTCTGCCCGGCTCATAACTCCTTCGACCTCATCTTCTTGAGCCGCACGGTGCCCTCAAACAAGGCGCGATCAACCGCCGCCGCCACGGTCAGCGTACCGCCCACAACGGCACAAAGCCCCGCGATGAAACCCAGAAAGCTCTTGGCCTTCTCCTCCCTGTTGATGACCTTCATGGGCGAAATATCCTGGCACGTACAGTCAGCATAATCCCCAGTTCGCTCACGCAAAGTAGCTGGTATCAACTCACATAAGAAAAGAAAACGCCCGGAATGCCGCCCTTGGCGTGTAACCGCTCCTGGTGGCCCTCGGCGGCATCATCGCCGCCGGAAAGACTCCGCTTGTGGCTGGTGACCGAGTACTGGTGGGTCTCGACGCTGCCGTCGGCCGAGGCGCCAAACGACCCCAGCTCGGCGTGATGCTCCTCGCGGAAACCGGCCCACTTCTTCTCCCAGCCAAGCGGCAGGTACGACGTGGGGACGATTTTGATGAAGTACATGTAGTTGAAGTTGACGTCGTCCGTCTCCTGGTTGGTGCCGTCGAGCGGGTTGAGGTGGTGGTTCGTCCACGGCAGGTTTTTGGTGCCCAGCTTCTTGTTCAGGCTGTCGGGCAGCTGCGGACCGAAGCGCAGGTGGTGGATCGTGTGGGTGAAGGTGTGTTTGACGGGCGTGTCCCAGTAGTTCTTGAGGTCGTGCACGTGCATGTTACCGTTGCTGAAGCTCCGGCCTGGCGCGATGTGGAAGTTTCCCACCACCTTGTTGACGCGCAGCCCGCCCTCGATGCGGCATCCTTCGTGCCGCTGCTCGTCCAGCTTCTCGCTGTAGTGCTCGCGCTCGCACTGCTCGATGCCCTCACCCCTACCAAAGGCCCAACCTTGCTGCGCGTATGCCTCCCTGACCTCCTCGCACGTGTTGCAGCATCCGGGCTTCTTCGCAGTGCTCGGAGGAGCTGCGCCGCCGCACGCGCCGCAATAGGATGGGTCGAGGTGGGTTGCAGCCTCGTCTTGCGCATGCCTGGCGGGGTGTTAGTCGCAGATTAACGAAAGAGGGTAGGGGAAGCATACAGAGCAATAGCCTTCGAGTCAATGTCACCACCGCCCTCGCTCAGCGGTCGCAACCTGGTCTTGGTCACACCGTGCTGAACACCGTGCTGCTGCTCCCCCGAAACATCCATGACATCAAGTGTGATCAGCTCGCAGGGGACTCGGGGGAAGGTTATGTTGAGGTGGATCTCCATGCGCTCGCCTGTCGCAAAGCTCAACTGTCAGTGTCCGTTGCCATTGAAAGTGTATGCGCGCCGTCGTACCTCTGCCCTTGTCCACAATCAGCTCCGGGTGCACGACTATCCTCCGGTAGTCGCGCCATTCACCCCAGGCGAGGAAAATGACCACGATAAGCGACACTATTGTGACAATGCCGCCCGAGGTTGTCCGGATCCGCGCATCCTCGACCGTCTTTGTGAAGGCATCTAGCCTCGTAAACCTCGACTTCGCTGGCATCTTTCCTCTCGCGCGCGTCGCAAGCGCTGCGTTCGGGATTCGATATCAAGGTCTCAGGCCGTGGGCTGATAATTTAGCAGGAAAAGAGCAATTGCGAATCAGGGGACGTAAAGGAACGGGAGCGAAGTCAAAGAACTCTAAAGAGCGGCACCAATTGGTTTGACATGGAGGAGACTAAGGCGCCGTCGACAACGAGCCTTCTGAGAGAACGTTCCACACGATCAGTGATCAACAACGGTTAGAGAGCTCCAACCGCGAAAAAGTTAAGGCCACCTTACAGTACAGTCCGTCTCCAGCCGCAGCCGTTAGTGCGTCAGCTGAGTTGTGATTGGCCGTAGATAGCTGACAGCTCCAATCGGTGGTCGGTCCCTCCGCTGCGCGCAGCCGGGCAATTCAAGGGACCAGCGGACAAGGCGACTGCATGAAACCTCAAATCCGGGCACTACCTGGGGACCGCGATGGGAGAATGAAAGTTGACAACCCTTCTTCTCTTGGCTGACACCTGCCTTCGATACAGCAACGGTTGGTTCAAGATCCACCCGACGAGGCAAGATTATGAACAACCTAGATGAGGGGTATCACTATCTTCACTGTCAGTTTTCGGTTTAGTACTGGACGAACTAGACGTGTAAGTGGCGCTCCCTTACAACTGTCTTTTTCGGTCTTGTAAGTAGTGTGCTGGGATGTCTCCAAGGGCTACCAAACCGCCTTATTTATCAAGAGTAGAGAATCCAGTTTTTAGAACACTCAAGAGTCACACACACCGGGTATCGAGTGCCTTCGTCAGCCTCGTTTTCTTACTCTCAACCTTCCTGTTCAGTGCCAGGTGGGTCGAGTGACTCAAAGCCCACACATCCATCCTCCCGCACTCCCAGGGCTCCCCTATTTGAACAGGTCCATGTTATCCCCAGATTCACAAATCTTCCTTCCCTTCACTCACCCAATCCAAACCACTCCCGAACACAACCAACCCTCCAGCCGGGGCGGATTTCTTCCGACTCGCACAATGCCCCGACCCTCCGACCAAGCAGCTCTCAAGCCGGGTCCTCCCGCCCTCCCCAACTTCCCTCCCCTAGATCCCACCACCCCGATCCCCCCTCCGGTCATAACCCTCACCAAATCCCACCTCCGCCTAGTCCACCCCTCGGACGCGCCCGCCATGACGCGCGCGGCCAACTCGCCCGCCGTGGCCAAGTACATGACCAACCGCTTCGCGTCGCCCTACACCATCGAGGACGCCTACCGCTGGATTGCGTTTGCGTCCGCCTTCAAGGTGCCCACCACAACCACCACAACAACGCCCAACGGCAACACCACGACCACCACGGTCGAGGTCCTGCCAAACATGAACATCTGCGATCCCACCACCGACACCTGCATAGGCGGCATCGGGATCAAGACCAAGGAGGACGTCGAGGCGAGATGCTTTGAGATCGGGTACTGGCTTGGGGAGGAGAGCTGGGGCAAGGGGATCATGAGCGAGGTGGTGCCGGCTTATGTCAAGTGGGTGTTTGAGACCTTCCCCGAGGTGATTCGGTTGGAGGCCGTGGTTTTTGAAGGGAATGATGCTAGTGCGAGGTTGTTGAAGAAGGCCGGGTTTGTCCATGAGGGGACGAGGCGGAAGGCGGGCGTGAAGGCCGGGCGGGTCTTTGATATCATGATGTTTGGGTTGTTGAGGGAGGCGTGGTGTGCTTGACCAAAGGTGATAAAGGGTGGAGGCTTCTTAGGGGTAGGTTCCGCTGCTGAAGAATCATGAGAAGAAGAGCGTTTCGAGAACTGTTGCAGCATCAGAATGGTAATTTGAGTCGCTGATCCCATCATTGTGTACAACTTCGCCGGTTAGGCCGCTATCGACCATGGAAGCTTAGCGGCACCTCAAGCCTTCAGCCTAGCACTACTGGCCATATCATCCTGCGCGTCCTTGACAAGAAAGCTGTTGAAACACCAGTCAGCAAAAGCCACTTGCACCCTCCTGATGAAACGGGACTCACTTATACCACAACACCGCCGGCGCGATCGTCCCCAAATGCCATAAGCTATGCGCATCGACGCTACCCAAAAGCGGCGGGAAATCAAACAACTCCAGGCTCATCGCCATGATCACCCATGCGACCACCATCCCCGGCCACGCCGCCCACGCCTTGCCCGTGCTGGCATACCTCGTCCAGCTGAACCAGCTCCACAGCACGTTCTGCACCACGCCGCACACGACGCACGCCAGCGTATTGTACGTGTAATCCCACCGCCACAACTTCAGGTACCCGACGTGCGCCACATACAAGCCGGCACACACGGCCGTCCACATCCTCAGCCCCCTCCCCGCCGCCGGCGTGGACCGATCCAGCCGCCAGATCCTCACCACGGCATAGTACATACCATACAGCACCGACGCGCCCGCGGCGAAATAGTCCAGCTGCTCCGTCAGGGGGAAGTCGCGGGTATGGAACACGGCGCTCAGCAGCCACGTGACCATGCCCAGCCGGGCGAGCGCGACGTAGAAGGGCCGCATCGTGTACGATGGCGGGATGCGCGGCAGGACGCGGTAGTGGAGGCCGTGGTAGTGCGCGGCGAGATTGCCGAGCGAGAAGAGCACGCTCGCGGGCTCCTGCATGCCCCAGAGGCGGTAGAAGGGCCATTTGCCGTGGAATTGGACGACGGGGAGCGGCGGGGTGGACGACTGCCGCGCGGCGGTCGTGATGTGTTGGCAGGTGTAGTCGCATTCGGACGGGCAGGTCCAGAGGAGGAGGCGGCGGTAGAGGGCTGGTGGATTAGGTGGCGTGTTAGTTTGGTTTGGAAAAAAAAGGTGGACAGGGAGAAGGGGATTGTTTACGGATCGGCGTCTGGTGCTCTGCGTCCGGGCCGCAGTTTTCACGTTTACATATCTGTTGAAATGGGCTGGTCAGTCTGGCACGGGTGTACCATGGCAGGTGGTGGTTGCAGACGCTTTCGCGTCTGTTACAACCAGAATTGCCCCTGGTTGCTGGGAACACGAACCTCGACACACTCCCTAAACTCAGGCAGTTGGTCGCCGATTGAAGCGACTGCGGGACCGGCGAGCAGAAGGAACGCGAAGAAAAACAGCGGCATCAGGGCAGAGTGCCCGCGCCGCCCCTGTGCGAATCTCACCATGGCGGCAGCATTGGCTTGTGAATGAGATTTCCGCAGTTGGCGGATGGAGAGCGCTCAGGTGCTGTGGGAGACGCGGTGTCAATCGCGATCGCCGGCCCCACACAGTCTAGGCTCGGGCCGGGTCGTTGGAACAGCCCGAAGCAGCAGTAAGGGGCCAACCTGAGTTTAGTCACAATTGAGACCCAATTATCACATCGGTATCAAGCACAGATCTCTTCACCAATGTATAGATCGAAATCCTCTAACTAAGATAAGTAGCTTAGCTACTACATAGAGCAATATGCGTACGTCAGCTCCGTAACATGCCGCTCTCATAATAAAGTCCGCATCAATCGTCCATCATCACCGTTCATGCATGGCAGTCGTTTTTGTCTTTATGCCCAACTCCAATCTATGCTGAGCCCTCCAAATCCAAGTCGGCAACTGATTATACCGCTGCCTCGCGGCCCAAAAAGCGACGAGGTCATCGAAGAAACGAAATGCCACCCATATAAGAATGAAGAGTACTGTTGATGAGCCATGAAATCCCAAGGCCGTCATCGTGCGTTTCCGTCGTCGTCTCGAGTCGTAACTTTTCGTGAAGCCGTCCATGATGTGAATCGAACGAGAGAGCGAGGTGATGATATGAAAGAAATGGAAAGAAACGAGCGGTGATAGTGAGAACAAAGGGAAAATGTCTCTCCAGGAAAACTCCAACATCCACCAACTGCCTACGGAGTGGGCATATGAAGAGCAAGGAAGGCGACAAATACGCCCACCGCATATATAACAAACCAACATCATGATATATGTTCAGTCCGCCTGGGGGGGGTACTCCCATCCATCATCCCCGTCGTGAGCTCATACTACTCGTCCAGAGACTTTTCAGGACGTGGTTTCGTGCAAGACGTCGTGATCATTGTTTAAAAGACGTGTCATCGATCCAGAAGGCGTCCGCTGCGCTTCCCAGCCGAAAATCGTCGGGTGAGGGCGAACAGCAGAACATGTACAGAGAAGCGAATGGCACCCGCAGAGCGGGCTCTGAGCGTGGAGATAGGTTTGTGCTTTCACAAGGGGGACTCGGAACGGCGATTTGTAATTGCATCCCGTTGCCGGAGCTCCTTGAGGCGCTGGTCGATGTAGGCCAGGCGGTCGGCCAGGCTGTTGCGCGGTGGCGGCGAGCTCGGTGCGGCTGGGAGTTGCTGGACTGTCGCAAAGGGGCGGCCGAGAACACCGAGGTCGATGCTGCGGCCTTGGTGCATGCGGTGCACCCGATGGGGAAAGCTGAAGCTAGAAGCCTCACCAGTAAAGGGGGAGCCGAGACGCGGCGGGGGGAGAAGAGCCGAGTGGCCGAGTTGTACGCCGACATTCGGCATGCTGATTGATGAGTTGAGTGCAGGTACAGGCGGGACTCTGGGGATGAAGAGGTCGTCGTTTTCCCATGCGGTGGCTTCGCTTGCCGAGGTCGCGCCTGCTGCTGTTGCAGCGCTGAAGCTTGGATCAAGCCACAGATCAGAGCCGATGCTGGGCCGCTTGCGTGGCGCACCGGATTGTGTGTGCCGCCGCTTCTGGGTGCCCGACCTGCTAAGGCGGACGGGTGACTGTAGAGTCCGCCGTGGACCAACCGTCTGTGATTGTCTGCGAGGTAGGGAGCCGGTCAAGCCGAGGACAGCCGCCAAAGAGCCCGAGGAACTGGGTCCATAACTGCTTGCGGTGAACGGAGACCCCAGCCGGCGCCGCTCCGCAAACGATGGTTCGCCGTCAAAAGTGCAGAGAGCTTGGCCTGCGAGGGGAGGTGAGCCGCTTGGCTCTGCGGGTTCTGGATTCGATGCGGCAAGCTGGGCCAAGGGACCGTTGGGCTGCATGCTCTCGGCCGTGCTCATGGCGAGCGATAGAGATATATCTTGTGTGGCGAAGGGGGCTGGCGAACGGGCAGGAGTCGAGCAGCGGTTCCAGTGGCGGGCGGCCGCTTGAGGGAATGGGGTGATGTTTTGTGGAGCAAATTTGTAATTGCTGGTGCCTGAGCTGGCTTTCAGCCTGCACAGTTCCCGGAGATGCGCACAGGTAGCTGCACATGTATGCGGCCACTGGATGAACGTCCCCGAACTTTCTGCAGTTGGAGTGGCGCTCCCGCTCTTAGGGCCCTCGCCGGAAGTGACAGCTTTGGACAGAGCCTTGGAGCCTTTCCAACTCCTCTTTGCCTCACGGGCGACCCGGAGACAAACGCCGTGGGGCGGAATACAGCTCTTTCCCATGCGAAACGGAGTGACCTTAGGGTCCTGGAGATAGAGCATCAAAGTCGACCACAGGTGGTCGCTCATAGCCTTTGTCCATGGTGCTCTCCTCGCCTTTCCCTTGAGGTCTGCCGGGTGTTGAGGCTGCGAGTCCTCGTATACGGTGACAGGGAAATTGTCCTTGTCCTTTCCCTCGTCCCCGAAACCTTCGTATTGGTCATCATCTGAGCTAAGTGAGAAATGACTGAACAAGGAAGAGCTCGTTTGCGTCGATCTTGAGGTTGATGGCCTACTGGATTCGTACTCAGGCTCTGGCGTCGACTCCGCGCTGCTGACCGAGTCGATCGTCCAATTCGGATACCGCGAAGCCAGTACCGACGCTTCAAGTTCGGGCGCTGGCGTTTTCGGCGGGGGCAACCCCCTTCCATGAGGCCGAAGGAATTGCGTATCCCCCTCGTCCTCGCAGCGGAAGTCTGGAAAGGGGCAGCGGCTATCCATCTCGTAGTCATCAGCCGCAATCTCGGGCTCCTCGATGCTCGGTATAGGAACGTCAGCCGCAGCGACAGATGCTAGAAATTGCTGGGTCGGGGCGGAGAGCTGAGAGACAACCCGTCTTCTCAGCTTCAAGCGCGGTCTTGGAGGCGAAGGTACGTGGACGTCATCCGCCTGAGAAAAAGGTTCCGGTGTCTTGGGCGCCTCATAGTCAGGACACCTGAAACCCCGCGCGAGGGTCGCAGGGGCGGAATGTTGATCCATCTTGTCGTCTGACTGGAATATCGGGCGTCATGAAGAAGCCTGAATGACCTATTATGAGGGCGGTGCTGAGACACGAAGCAAGTTTTCAGCGCGAAAAGTGTCAATTGCCCACCGGGGGTTCGTGGCGAGTCTTGAGTTGCGTCAACAGAGAGTCGTGCGCCGCGCGAGCTGAAGGTGGTAGCGGTGGCGCGCCGAGTCAAAATAGGTGGCTGGTAAGGCACAAGCTATCGCCTCACCAGAGTAGTTGCAGATTTGTCGCTCCTCATTGATGATAAGGATCAATGTATGCTCTTGAGTCGTCGCCAAAAATAAGGAAAACGTCGTTGAGAGATACTCAAGAAAAACGCCAGAAAAAGGAAAAGGAGACAATGAAACACGGTCGTCTAGTCAGGAGAAACCGAGATGGTGAGCGCAGCGCATTCGGTGCTGATCGTGCTAGCTGTCATCGACGTGATATCCGTTGATAAAGCACCCCAAGACCCTGCGCCGAGCGACTGGTCGTTGGCTGAGTCGCAAAGGAGTGACCGCGCTGGGGAAAAGGGGGAAGAAGCGGATCTACGAGGATGGGGTGCTTGGGGATATGTAACGGTGCCGGCCCGGGCTCATGCAAGAAGGGGGTGGGCGGCGAGCGAGGGTCTCGTCTGGGGGCGGTGGCCCTGGCTGGCAGGGAGTGGGTTGACGAACCGGCACCAATGCGCCTGGCTTCTCAGATCCAAGCAACCCCCACCACAAACCACAGCGAAGAGGAGCCGAGCGACCAGTGAGGAAGAGCCACAAAACCAGACGTCTCTGACTCGGCGGATAATGCTGCAGAACCCCAGTTTAAGCCTAAAACCCTTGTTCTTCAACAAGCCGACAGCTGCTGTTCAGTGGACCTTGACGAGCTGGACTAAATGCTGTAGGCTACCGGCACAAGAGGAAAACCGCTGGCATCACCAGCGTCGCTGCGGATCACGGCTGACGGCTTGCAGGTTGTCGTGGGCTCGCCGGGTTGTGCGTTCGTGGGCCGATTACAACTCGAGAGAGCAGCGACTGGGGAGCGTCCTCGGTTTCCGGCCCAACGGTCGGGCAGCTCGGTGATGGCTGGCTGGTAGCAACGCGTTGAGGATTGCTACGGATTTGAATTCGGATTGGTCCGTTGGAGCAATCCGCGTTGCCAAAGACGGTTTAAGAGACTTCCCTGGTCGATTCTGGACCTGTGGGCATTGACCAAACAGGCGACACCAGTGCTCAACGTCGAGGATGTATGCTACTCTGTACAGATGACAGCCACACTAACGCTAGATGAGGTGCGCTGATAGGCGCTTTGCTAGCAGAGACATGCCATGGGACCCCGAAGAGCTTGGGGATGGCTTGCGGCCGTGCAACATGAGCGTGCGGACCGTGGAGAGCTGCAGTGAACAGAAATGGACAGTGGATAGCGGAGCTAGTTGTTCGCCCCCAATTTGTTCGTCTGCTAGAGGTCTGTTCCTTCCGCCGGGTCGAATAGACACGTCCACAGGTGAAGGTAAAATCCTAGGCTGTGCGCTGGAGTCGAATGGATGCAGCTTGTTGGGATTGAGGCGGGAATAATTGAGAGGCTGGGAGGGAGTGTCTGACGCGTTGAAGAAACAACATGCAGCTTGCGAGCGAATGGAAGCTGCAAGCCTTTTTGGCGTGAAAAATTGGAGTACCTTGGGGTACCCAACAACTGCCAGGAAAGATCGAGCTGGAGAAACACCTCTAAGCTGAAGTACTCGACCAAACTTGATTGCAACGCCCTAGTTCAAGTCCGTAGACGGCTTGAAATGCAAACTGTGCACCCAGTGATGCTTGTACAGGAAACGCTGGGCACAGAAAATGTGTTCATGTCACGACAGGGTAACAGGTAAGATGAACGCGCTTTTTCGCGTTGGAGGTGGACGCGAGTTTAAGTGGTCTTCCGCTGTGGCCCAATCAACCGCGGCGGAAGCGGTCTGGGTATGTTCCCCTTGTCCACCAGAGAGTTCGCTCATGCTCGCGCGGGGACAGAGATCCAGATGGTTTACGAAGAGAGATGAGTGATGCTCCAGCAATTGACCATTCTTTCGACTGAAACGATGAGCGCAAGCAATGGCTGTCTGTTCTCGGCCTCCGAGCCCCTGATTCTCCGCGAAACCAGGTCATAACGCGTGCCGCGTGTCGTCAGTGCACTTGACCCGGAACAGGAACAAACGGTGAACTGCGCGTCTCTGGGCACCACCTCAGGTCGTATCCCGCAGCTTGGCCAGACCGGCATCGTGCTCACCGCTGTCAACTAGCTTGCCAGTCCACACCGAGGAGGAAGGCCCTGGTGCAGGGGTTTCCAACAGAGCTTCCAGCAAATGTCAACCGGGGACTAGTATGTCCAATCCGTACTTGGACAATGGTGCACCGACACGCCAGACCTGCAAATCTTGAAACCGGTTCAGCCTCCATACAGGCCGTGTGCAGGCCGGATGTCCTATTTTTGAGTTGGATGTCACAAGCACGTGGCTGCCATCAAGGTTTGACGACATTATCTCTGGCATTAGCCCTCAGACGGGAGTTCAGACAAGCTGGTTCCCGCATACGAGACAAAGATCTAGTCTTCCCGCAGCTCCTGTGTCTTCCCGGTAGGACAAAGTAAACTGCAACTCACACTTGCAGCTTCCAGGTTGATCAAGACATCCAATTAAGGTACCTTCGGCCAAAGACGAATTTGGGCCCGAGCTCATCCAGGGATCTCGAGGCAACCAGACAAATGGCCAGGCACAGCGTGCTAAGTGATCATCAACTCAGACAACAACGACATATTCGGTGGCCACCGGGCGTTGATGAAGCTGGTAAGGTAACGAGGCAGCAATCCCGTCTTGCTCACCTGACCACTGCCAGTCATCGGCATAAAGAAGTCTTCGAAGCAGCCAAGGATGAGTGTCAGGTTGGCCCCACATTCTGTCAACGTTAACGCCCTAGCAGTCTCACTGCCGCCTAACATGAGCCTCAGATAGGCGAAAATCAGTCTCTGCCATTCCGCTGCCGTCCACCTGGCAGCGATGCGGCTGCCATTTTCATGTGCACTCTGGATGGACATTTCCCTGTTTACCAGCTTTGTCTGCTGGCGTGTCAAACACTTAGAGGCGTAACACATAAGTTGGGCAGACATGCGCCTTTGGTTGCCAGCTCAGCCCCACATCAGATGCAACTTTCGAGCTTGACGTCCAAATCTCGCCTTCATTGAGACGCTGACACGATCGACACGCTATTACCGCCCTGCCAGTTTCTCGCTTCACATCCTACCTCCAATATCGAGAATCGACGCAAGTTGAGATGGACGACCTAGCTGCCATCGTGACGCTTGAAAACCTCGAGGAGAAGATGCCGAGATGGAACCCGGCCAGCTCCAACCACCTCTATGCTCTAGTCGACATGGGAAGGTAAGCCAGACAGACCGTTCCTTTTCACTGTGGCATTGGATCATGTCTGCCATCATGGCGCAGAACAACCCCGCTGGTCACTGACACGCCTCCGAGCAACGGCATCCGCTTCTCCATTTCTGATCTCTCCCCTCCTCGCACCCGCCTTCTGAGGTGCATCTACCGGGAGCGGGCCGCCATCTCCTTATTTGATGCACTGAGCGGTTCCCCGTTGCTGCAGGATTTCCCAGACGAAACGATCACACTGGTCTCGCAGACTTTGGCTCGCTTCCGGGCCATCGCCGTTGACGACTACGGCGTCCCTCCCGCCCAAGTGAGAGTCTTTGCCACGGAAGCGATGCGCCGGGCCCGGAACGCTACCGTGATGCTCGAGGCTATACGGGCTGCGTCACCTGGCCTGTCGGTGTACATTCTTGCGCCTCAGGTTGAGACACTCTTTGGCTCAGTTGGAGCCCGCTCAGGCTTCGTTGACGTGAAGGGGCTTTTTCTCGACCTGGGCGGCGGCAGTGTCCAGATGACATACCTGGACACGTACGACTCAAAGTCCAGTATTCAAGAAGACGGCGTGGGTCCCGAGGTTGCTGCTGCGCTCGCCGGGCAGAGCCTCCCTTTCGGCGCAGCTCGCCTGATCAAGGTCTTGGACAACCACGATGTTCATGCACGAGCCTTCGAGATCTCGCGGCTTCGTACCGGCATGAGCGACGCATTCCAGAGATTGTGTGCTAGATTTCCGTCTCTTGCCGCTAATGTTGCCGAAACTCGGCAGGGCCAAACGTACGAGACTGCCAAAGACGGGTCGGGAATCGACATCTACCTATGTGGGGGAGGCTTCCGGGGGTATGGGAGCAGTACGTTGACTCTCAGTCTCTTTTTCCCATCCAAGGGTGATTGATATGACTAACATGAAGGTCAGTGTTGATGCACACCCATTCGATACAGCCGTACCCTATTCCCTCTGTTGGTTCATTCACCGTCTCAGGCGAGGTGTTTGCCAAGACCAAGGAGATGCTTAACGTCAACAAGTCGTTTGCCGGGAAGATTTTCGGAATGTCGAAACGTCGGCGTGCTCAATTCCCTGCCGTCGTCGAGGTGGTCGATGCACTCATTGCTTCCGTGGCCCCTATCCGATCTGTTACCTTCTGCTCTGGTGGCAACCGTGAAGGCGCTTTGATGATGAGCTTGCCGCCAGAGATCCGGGTGAGCAGTCCCCTGACATGTTCCCATAATGTCAGGGAGAGCCGTACCCCTTCCGCCCCAGGCAGAAACTCGGCAAGCATCCAAGACGTTCTCGATACCCTGCAGTCTGCGTTCCCGCCGGATTTGGACCTGGCAGCTACGACGACTGTCTTTGGGTTGCAGCTGGGTGCCCTCTACGCCGGCCAAATCTGGACTCAATTGGGAGCCGACGCTGATGCCAACGCGGCCGCCGCTCTGCACAATGCCGTCAGCTCCCCCGACCAGCCTGGATTGACACACCTAGCCCGCGCTGTGTTAGGGGTCACTCTCTGCGCACGATGGGGAGCAAGCTTGGCACCCATCGACGAGCAGTTACACCAAAACCTGCGTGCCTTGATGGACGCTGCGGACCCGGACGCGACATTCTGGGCCGATTACATAGGCGTTGTGACCGCCACGACAACAAGACTCTTGAGGACATGGCCGCAGACGTCAAGTGTTCTCAAAGACAATGTCAGGTACGTGGCAGGCCCAGACTCCTTCTATCACGAGGCTAAACAGTACGGCAGGTTTCGATCAGCCGCGGAGCATGGTAAAAAGATGAGAATTCAACTCGATATTTCGGTTAGCGAGGATGCAGCGAGGGGAGTTGATCTTGACAACCTTCTCGACCTCTTCAAAACTGTAAAGCAAAAACACAACGGGAGGAAAGTCACCGTCACCATCAACCGGCTCCCGTGAGACAAACGTAAAACAGATGCAGGCTCATCCTGCACCATTTGGCTTACGGCCGAAGCCTCCCCAGCCATCCTTGATCCGCATTTTCCATGGGCCGCGTCCTTGCCGATCCCGTCGGCAACACAAGAAGGAATAAAAATCCGCCAACTCCCCGTGCGTGCCGCATGAGAATTCGTCGCTCATGACCGCATTACCGCTCATCCCATCTCCATGAAACGACCCTCTTGAACAGCTAGATCCTCGCCATCAATCAATCTTGGTTCCCAGAACGTCAAACAATCCATGGCCGGCCTGCCGACAATCGCCAGCGAGTTCCTCCAACGAACACGGCCTCACTTCTTCTTGCGAGACTTTGCCAGAATCTTGGACTCCTTTGCGACGATATACTCAATGAAGAGTTCATCTGTGGGCGACACCTGGCGCAGCACCTGCTCATCTATGGAAGAGGTTAGTGACATTCAATCATCCGCCATAGGAACTTAAGAGTGGCTCACAGAACTCAGGAAGTTTGCCCCAGGCTCTCTGATATGCCCTGTGGAGATGGTCATCCCCAAAGACTTGGGGCGCGGCGTCTCTGGTTCTCTCGACTGTGGTCTTCTTATGGAATAGCACAGAGTAGATGACGATGATGGCTTCGAACAGCTGCCTTGTCGTCTCCCGAAAGGTATGCCTCGTATGCCTCTCCCCATTCATCGGCAGCACTGGTTCCTCGGTCAGCATGCTGGGAGACGAATTCGCCTGGTATTTATCTGACCTGCAATAGGTATCGGTGCAGCATCCGTTTGTTGTTGTTGGTCCAAGACCCATCCCAGCGATTGGCGGTAAATCAAAATCATTTGCCACGACAGAAACCACCTCATGACGTCCAGTCCAGGACGCACCGCCGAGGTCGTGTCTTTCTCTTGCTTGGATCGAGACGAGCTTTTCTCCTTGCTTGAAAAGTATTTTTCAAGCTCAGGGAGGATGTTTCGCTCTAGCTCCGAGATTCGTCGGGCCGCAAGATACCGAAGGTAGTCCTGGACCGATGCAAGGCGCAAGTCAAATGGGAGCGCCGGGGATCCTTCTTGGTGAGCAAAAAGCTGTTTGCAACTCCAAATCCTAAACATACACCTCATTTTCAGGAGGTTCGGCAGCAACGACTCGGGCATTTGCGTCGCCTTGTACGGAGAATCAGCATGCTGACTTGGCAGCGGCATGCCTTCCTCCTGTCGACGGACAAGCTCGAGGAGAAGCTTGTCCATTTCGGCTTCAAAATCTGCTCGGCCGTCGGCCTTGATCTGCTCTCTGATCCAACGGTAAATCGTGTCCTCTGAAGGATGCTTGCCGGGAGCAAAGCACCACCGGGGGCCACCTGGAAGCCCCTGGCCCTTCAAAAGAGCAGCCTCAATCTCGAGGGAAGGGCTATCGATGGCCTCGGAAATTGAAACAAAGATCCGCTCAGTACGACCCTCAGTGAACTGCTCACGGCATGGTATGATCAAGTTCGGATCGCTCCAGCTCCACCGGACTAAAACAAAGCGTCAACACTATGGCTTCGGCTGATTTGAGCAACGGAACTCACCAAACCTCGACGGCACCATATCCCGCAGCGATTTTCGAATGCATATGCATTGGGGAAACGGCTGTTTGGCACACTTTTCGCACACCAAGGACGCATTACACTGCCCAGGCCGGTCAGAAGGATGTGGGAGGACGAAAGGACGAGATGGTCACTGACCTTGGTCCTGCTCATCTTGCAAGGGTAACACGCCCCGACATCTCGAACTTGGCTGGTCTCCTCCGGATTCTTGACCACTCGCGTCTTCTTCTGGGTTGACGGCGAGGTGGCTTGGGGCTGACCGTCAAGCTGCATTGCTGTGGAAGGAGGTGGTGAGGGCGACGCTTCCAGATGGATGTCTTGGTGTCGCGGAGGGTGGGGGCCCGAAACCTCTGGCCAGACATGGGATAGTGGAGGTTCCTGGGACGGAGCGTCTGGCATGGGGCAGTCATTCTCGTGCCTTGCGGCGGGAGCCGCCGAGCCGTGGACCGGCACCCTGGCGGCGGGCTTGCCTACCGAGGAAACATCAGACGGGATGGTTACATCTGTTGCTTGGTCGCTTTCGAAGCGGGCCCAGTCAAAGAGGTCCAGGCAATCATCAGACGGCGCCGAGCTGCTTGCGGTCTCAACCGGGGAGAGGTTGCTGTGGGGCGAAGGGGGGTACTCGCAGGAGGAATCGTCGGAACCCCCATCAAAGAGGCCGGGGCGGTCTAGGGTATCATACATGGTTGGTCCGTGTCTCCAATATCCGGGACTAGCGGCTGTTGGGCGTAATGTGCAGCCGAGACAGGCAAGCCAGCATGCGCCAGGTCGAACAAGACCAAACGAGGCAACACCAGGACGGCCAATAGGTCCGATACAAGTGGGAATACGGCGCTGCTATGACAGGTGCTTGAGGGGAAAGGGATGGTTTGGACAGTCATATGAGGGTCGCACCTCGAGTTTTCTCTGTGCCCCATCTGCTCGACATGAGCCTCGCCTCTCCTTCCTCCCTCCCACTTACACACTAGGCGGGCCCGTCATGACAGTTTCCCGAAAATGGTCAAGCAGGGCTGTTTGATTGGTCAATGGGCCACACAGCTTGGCGATCTTGGCGATCTCTGACCAATCGCATCCTGGCATTTGACCGGAAATCCAATCGCACGGGACGAGGTGGACAGAAAACGGGGTCATTGACTAGGTCGCTGACGGTGTATGGAACCTACACAAGAGAGCGGGACATGTGAGAGGAACGCACAATGCGCAGGAGACCTTCTCGCCTCTTTCTGGCGCTCAACAGAGCTATTAGAGACCGCTTTGACCCGGATGTTTTCATGCCAACTCTACTTGCTCAATCCTTGGTTTCGAACTACTCCGACTGTTGCTCAGGCAGTTGAGACTATATTCCACACTCAGATGTTCACCTCCCGATTTACACTCCGCACAACCCTTCGGATGAGCGGCCACCTCGAAGGTCTCACTTATTGACCAACCGGTTATTCAGAGAGACATGGAAGCTCTCCTTCTGTCAGGCGAACTAGAGGCTGAGAATCAGCGAGACCTACAGGGCATGTACGCACTGATCAGCTCCCCGTGGTACTGCATTTCTTGTCGTGATCAGCCTTGTGAACTTCACAAGCTTGATGGCCAGTCTTGGCAAGCCCGCGCCGCATTTTGCGCCTCCTCGACAATCTCAAGATCAGGATTGGGAATCCATTGCCGTTGGTGTGCCGCCTGTGCCGTCTGAACCAGCTCCCTGGGCCAGACATGTTGCGCATGACTGTCGGGACGGGCAGGCAGAAATCCCAAGTTTGCCCGTTGCTGTCTGGTAGGTTTGTCACATACAGAATGGGTGTTGGCGCTTGTTACGTCCATAACGTGAGCGCAATTGCGCGTTTCTAGGTGCAACCGGGATCGATGCCAGGTCGGAAGTTCCCATACTTACTCCGAACGGGACAAACGAGGTTGAATCAAGGTGGGACGCTGGGGAAGCGCGTGGGCGGTACGGCACGGTAGAACCCCGACGGCGTGTCCACGGTTTCGGCACATTTTTCAGGGACACCACAAACACCACGGCACAGCGGCAGCGCAGTTGTGCCATCGCTGGCTGGGTGAGCTGCGTAGGGCCCAGGGTTTCCCACGAGCGCGCGGCTGTGTCACTCCCACTCAAACCCAACTGACTATGGAGTGGATCATTAGGATGCCGTGAGTCCTTTTTTACCCTAGCCATGTTACTTATAGGTTACCCGCGGGAATGATGGAACGAGTACATGAACACGAACAGCGTATTACTGCAATGAGTGTCCACGATTGACTTGCTTGACTAGTTGGAACCTATACCTCTGACAACGGAAGTACCTACGTAGACCTTCCTGATCGGCCCAGTCATAGCCAAGTCCAGGGAGGGTGTCGCATTGGATTCACTCAACTGGCCCCTGAACGGGAAACAGAGGAAGTTCCCACGTGAAGTGATACCGGGCACGCATGGAGTGAAGATAACCGAAAAGAGGCACACGACTCAAGCAAGGTGTGTATATTCAAGGCAGTCTTGAGTACATTATGAGTTGCTTCTGCACCATACCAACCAGCTTCTTTCCACGGATTCGATGTGTAAAGCACGACAATCTCGGTATTTTCTCCCTCCTCCTGTCACACTGCTCTATTCAGTTCGTCTATATGAACTTGCGATTGCATAATTAGCTGAGAAACCAACAACATAACAACCATCGGGCAGAAGGACTCGCATTAACCCGATGCCAGCATGTTCTCAGGACCATGCCAAACAAGCTCTAGACCAAATTAGAACGCAGTAGAATTGAGTCGAATTAAAAAGGGGTATCATCTGTCAAGATGCCAAACCAGGCTAAAAGGAGAAAATAGCAGAGAAGAAAAAAGGGGACATGATAGTTAAGTATCTTCGAGAATACCAAGGCGAGAAAGAAGTTTAAACCAGGTAAACGCCGCCCTCCTCCTCCAAAACACCACATCACCCAACTTTTATGTTTTTTTTACCTGTCCCGAGAGCAAGAGAGAGCAACCAACGTTCAGAAAAACAGCTTCTTCTTCGCCTTCCTCCCATTCCCATCCATCCCTTTCAAAATGTCCTCAAATGTGCTGCCGCCGCCAAGCGACTCGCTCGCGGCATGACCGGGACCAAGGTTCGACGGCCCGGCGCCAGCAAAGCCAAACCCAACACTCGACTTCCTCGGCTGCTGCTGCCCATCCCCCAACTCTCCACCACCACCACCAGCCTGCAAATTCACCGCCGACCGACTGGCCCTCAAACCAAGAAGCTGATAACCCCCGTCTCCCCCCGCCGCACCACCACCACCAATACCACCAACACCACCTGCTGGTAGACCCGCCAGGAAATTACCACCACCCATACTCGCGCTCCCGCCCAAGCCCAGCGCAGGACCTCCTGACGCCCCAGAGGCAGCCGAAGAAGAGGAAAGCGAGGCCATGCTCATGACGCGCGAATGCCTCTCCACGGCCGGCACGGAAGGCATGGGGAGCGGTTCCAGGCCAATGGCAATACTAGCGCGGAAGGCCTGGCGGGCGCGGTCGTTTGTCGAGCTGGCGCGCGGGCGCAGCTGCCGGTGCGGGTGTTGTTGTTGAGGGTAAAGGTGCGGGGAAGGGTGGGTTGACTGCGGCGGCGAGGGCACTCCTGGTCCTGCTGGTGCTGTTGCTGCGGAGATGGAGCTGGGGTCGGGGGGGCTCTGGGAACGTTGACGCTGTTTGTCAGGGTGGGCAGATGAGGGGGAGGTGGTGGTGATGAAGGGGTTTATGTCGTAGAAGGCGGCCGGCGGGGGTAGTATGGGGGAGGTGAAGGTTTGATGCTCGTCCTGGGCAGGATTTTGGGGATGAGGAGGTGCCGGTGCTTCGGGGTTGGACGCGGCCTCCCACTCCTTGGCGGCCAGCCAGCAGTGCGAGCGCATGTAGATGCCTTCAACCGAAAACATGACAACGTCGGCCGAGAGCTCAACCACGTTGGAATTGTTGGTCTGGAACCACATCTTGCGGGTCGCGCCGGCGTCCTCGGTCCACGGCGCGTTGCCCTGGGGAGCCTCGCACAGAAAGTCCTCGACGCCATCCGTGTAGCGCAGCCCCGGGGCGTCGACAACCAGCATCGGCAGCGACTGCAGCACGACATAGAGGAAGAGCCAGTGGCCGATGCGCTGGTCTGGGAGTTCAGAAAGGTGGGTGGATCTCGCTTCCTTAAACTCGAACTCCTTGTAGGCGAGCAGGAAGGGCATGTTGAGGGCGTCGGTGTCAATGTTGCGGGACTTGATGAGGAGAAGCTGGAGTTCGTGGTGCTGAAGAGATTTGCTATACTTGGCTTGCTGTTTGGCCGGCAGGTCGTCATATTTCTCGTAGATGGTCGAAATGCTTGGGAGCTTGGGAATGTCGTAAGGGATGGGTGGAAGCACCGGCGGTGAGGACTTGTCGAACTCGCTGAGGATCTTGCGCAGGGCCGAGATGGAGGCTTCGTGGGGCCTCTCTTCCTTGAAGCCCTTCTCGGAGTCATCGAACCCCTCGCCGATAACACGGGGCGTGATGGACTGGCGATCCACCAGCAGGTCGTAGAGCGCGCAGAAATCCGAGTAGAGTATTTTCAGGCACAGCCGGTTGAGCCCACTCTGGGAGAAGTAGTTCTTCTTGCTGCGGGCCCGGGGTGGCCAATTGCCAAATATGCCCTTGTAATAGCTGAGGACAAAGCCTCTCATCTTGGCGAACGAGTTCCGCCACTCCTTAAACCTGACATTCTTGTACTCCTCGGTTGAGGTTGAGCTGGCGATGCCAGCAAACAGAGAGGGGAACTCGAACGCCTCGAGGCGCGTGTTCACGTTGGCCTGGCGGTTGGCCAGGTCCAGGTGAGCGCGATCCAGGCGCTGACGAGTGCTGACCGAGATCCTGTCATATAGAGGCGACTTGAGATCAACAATCGACTCGTACTTGCCCACGGCATGCGTAAACGCTTCGTTGTAGAGGTTCCACGACTTCATCTGCTCCGCCAAAACCAGTGCCTCGAGCGTCTTCTCCCCGCTGTAGCGGACATCTGCGATTCCTGTGCAGTCCATCAAGAAGTCAAAGGCGGCGTCAACCAACTCCCCATATGACGAGCCATCAAAGCTGCAGAAGTTGAAGCGTCGTAGCAGGCCAGCAACCTGGAGAATGGCAGCGAACAGGGTCGGGTTCTCTGTGGTGGCCACGAGCGGCTGGTGCGTCAGCAAGGCAAACAAGTTGCGCGCGGCAACTAGACGCTCGAGGTCGGTGTTTCCAAGTGGAAGGTACAGATTTCCTTCCGTCACGGGGCCGGATGGCGGTGCGACGTCGGCGTAGCCAGCGTTGTTGGGCGTGGCTGCCATCAGTTCAGTCACCAGCAGCTCCACCAGAACCGACGACGAGCTGAAGATGTGGTCGGCCACTTTGAAGCACGGCCCGCGGTTGCTCTCTTTGGGATGGAGGTAGACATAGACATTGCCGGCCTCGTTCCACAGCTCGGGAACCTAGGGGATACATGGTTAGCACATCGTCGCAAGAAGGAATCCAACCCACAGGTAAGGCTTACCCTTTCCCCATTCATCAGCAGCGCCGTGCTATATTCCGCCTGGCTATCTGGGGTTAAGAGCCAGGCGCCAGGGCCCCTCGGCTTGCTCACGTCGGAACCCGCTCTTGAACGAACCCCGGGGAACCAGCTCCTTCGCTTTTTCTTGTCCGCAGTGGCAGGTGGGCTGCTTTCACCGAATGATTTCGACTCTGGTGGTCCATGGATTGGGCTGGAGACTGCCCGCCAGCCGTCTTGTTCGAGGCTACGAATCGCCGGGGGTTGCGCCGAGACACTGCGGCCCCGGGGACTCCGGTCAGGAGATAGATTTCGGGGCTGGAGTCGGTTCGACTGCAGCTTCGCTCTCGACGGCGGCTGGCCGGGCGAAGGGCTTCTGTTCTCAGCTCTGCTCCTGCCTTGAGGTGCTGCCTGAGTCGCGATGGGGTCCGGAATGCGGGGGCGTGTACTGAGCCCTGGGAGGGTTGTAGATTCCTGAGCCAACGGTGGCGGCGGTGGCGGAGAGTTTGGCATGGTCGGCTCCTTGTGGAGTTTTTTGGGCAGTGTGGACTCGAGACGGCCGTCCTCGAGTGAGGGAGACATCTGCTCGATGGGCGAAAGACAGGTCGACCCTGTGCAGGACTCGAAGCGGGATGATGACCTGGAGTCTTCGCTGGTTCTGGCGGTCCCGGTCATGGTTGTGACAATACTGGCCGGCGAGGCGTGAGATATGATTGAGCTGCCCAGCGCAGGCTGTCGATAGATCTCGGAGGAAGAGGACGACCGCGAATCTGCGCGAAATGTGAGCTTGGGAAAGAACAAGAGCAACTGAGCAAAGCGTGGCCTCGACTTCTCCAACCCCATTGCGTCGACCCTCCTCTTGTCCTGGCGTTTCCCCATGATATTCTCGAGCGAGTGAGCAAGTAAGTCACACACACGTCAACAGCCCACTCAACACAGAGGTCTTGGGGGTTGGTGATGCGCGACTCAACTTGTACAAGCTGTAGTTGACCCGCCCTACTTTTCTTGCAATCTCTTCCTCCTCTTCCCCGTCCTCGACGACGCGGCTCGCCGCCTATCTCTCTCGATAAGGCGCAACGGAGCCCAGGGTGACGACTAGTGAGGGGTGTGTGCAGGAAGGGACTTACCAAATACCACAAGGAGCGGACGCGTGTCTCGGACTCCGCTTGGCCCAGTTCAAACAACCCGGCCCCCGAGATGCTTCTTTGGCGATCGACGTTCGGAGCACCGAGGGAGGGAAGAGCGGCAGGGGGCTGCTTTGTATGGGCGACGGCTGCCGCGCAAAGGTTGGGGTCCAAGGCCCCTGTGGAGGAAGTGTTGGCGTCCAGCTCCGCAACACTTGCGGCTTTGTAGGAGAGGGCCAGGGCTTCTTGCGTAGGGAAGGGTAGGTATGCAGGGTTTTGAGGGCTGTAACATGCACGCCACTCCTGAGCAGCCAGAGAGGTGCGGTGTGCGTAGAGATATAAGTAGGCGACTATTCGTGCCTAAGTGTTGTTCAGACAGGTCTTTAGCAGAAGAAAAGCAAACCAAAAAAGGGTCCTAAGTGAACCGGCAGCATGAACTGGGCCATCAATGAGTGCACACAGTAAACAGGAGAAAAGACGACCCCATGACAGAATTGATCAATTCCAAACAGCCTGAGGAGACAGGGCTCCGAGCAGACGGAACCACGGCAAATCCCAAGTCGATACCCCAGGTCTGACGTGCTTCTCGCCTCTCCAATGAAGCCTGCACGTCTTCTCCGCTTTCGCGCATTCTGCGCAGCCATCGGCTGGCTCAGCCGCAACCTGCCCGATGCCGTCCGTCTTTGGCGTGCTGCCTTGCAGCTGGGCTCCCTTGCGCAGAACTGTGTAAGCTTGCGGATCCGTTGTCAACTCGCTGTGACAAGAACGGTAAAAAGACCGGGAAAGAAGAGAAATGAGAACAACGTCATTCCGCCTGAACTTTCTTAACCAGGTCCTTGCATACTAGCAGGTGGGCCCTGCCTCATCTGGCCAAGCGGTGAGAGTTGCAGAGTCAAGCTTTGGAATCCCACCAAGCCTGACTTCGGTTGACATTCCCCACGCCATGGCACCCTGCATGCGACGGCGACAGCCCATGCTCTGGGAACTTGGTCACGTCCTTCCCCGGATTCTGGTGCCCTCGCCATCGGCAGTTCTGAATGTTGCTGCACAACACTCGCATCTCTCTGAACTTACATCTCTTCATGGCATGCATGGATGAGGTAAGGTACCCAAGAACAGCGGTCGACTGGCCATTACAGGAACACCAGCAACCTCTCCCTGAAGTCCCTTCGCAACCTTGCTTTCCCCACAGGAACCATAGCGATCCGCATCCTTCGGGCACTGCCACAGCCACGTCAGGACACACAGGTGCAGATGCTTTTCCTGACTGGGTGCGCGGTGGTTGAAAGCCACATCCATCCGAGCTTACCATGCACGGTGGGCGCTACCATGTAGTGGCAGCTCCGCATCGTAGGAGCACCAACGGCAGCAATGAGCTGGATGCTTTGGCATCATCCAAAGGGAAGAATCCAGGCCCCAAATTATCCTTGGACCTCTGCTGCTCAGCCCTTGGCAAGCTCGCTTGCCTTCTTAGGAATCTTGCTTCATTGATGATCCCCCTCGTAATGTCCGTCCGTACGACCAACGGCTTTGCGTATCTTTGTATTACAAATACCTGCGTTACCACATCAGCAGAGGGCAGCTTGTGTTTGCGTAACCTCGCGCTTCAGAGTCCACCGTATTTGCGGAACCTCGGTATAGCGTGATTCCGTGGGTCCTCGGGATCCGATCGACACAGGAGAGGTTGACTTGAGCTATCATTGTACTGTGGTCCATTTGCTGTGGATACATACACGTGTTAAGGTCCCGCTCTGGAGGAATGAGCTGCATCATCAGGGTTCGGGTGCCTCGAGCTATGATCCTGGGTCTGCACACTCGGAGATCGTAGGTATTTATAGCAAGCTGTTTAAGGCCGGCGTCTCGGTACCTGGAGATATCCGCTGGAGTGTGGCTCATTACTCGGCAGTCTGCGGAGAGCCAGGATTCTCGGGAAATCCACCACTGGTCCACCAACAGCAAACAGATTGGTAACGGCAAGGTAATTAACGAGAGAGGACACACGGCTGTTGGCAGTCAGATTCCGAGCCTTCGATATGAAGGACCTACCATTGCCGCCATTCCGGCATAGTCCTAAGTTGTACTACACCAAAACCACTGTCGCACAACACGCCCAAGCTCTGCTCGGGTGCCCGGCTATGATCCCATGGCACCGATCATCCCATTTCCATTACTGGCACTGTTTTCGAGAAACCATAACTGCCCGAGCTAACCCCCCGTCCCCGACATCAAACCGTCCATCAGTGTGCTCAAAGCACCGAGGAATAACAACCCTTGCTGGCTCGGATCCGAAGCATCCATCCCCAGTCAATGGTTCAAAGAGGACAAAAGCAACGGGCAGAAACGTTGCAAAATAGTAGAAAAAACAGACATCAGACCGCCTCTTGACCAGCGCCACCTGGTTTAGTTGTACGGATGATCGCCTCGTACATCCCCAGCCCAGATTTCCAGAGCATCAAGCGAACACCAACAAACCAAGAAAACACAAAGTGACGGAACACCATCTATATGGAGTGACTGTCCAGAGGAAAACCGTGCAACCAAAGATCTTAAGAAGAAATGAAAGGCCAAAAACTCCTGGCAACGCAACCGATAATATGGGTATCAAGGTATAGGAAGACAGGTAGGTAGTGATTTATAAATCCTTTCTGTCCCACTTCCGACCATCCCTTTCTCTCCCTCCCTTCCAAACTAGCATGCGATGAATCATGTCGCGGGATGGTAGGGTTTATACCCCGGGTACGCGGCACCGCCCTGCTCCTCCACCGGCGGCGAAGCCAGTTGCCGGTATCCGCCACCACCACTACCCACGGATTTGCTGGCGGTAATATCACCAGCAGGCGGCGGACGGCTGTAGCCCGAGGTGGAGTCGAACCCGGCGTTGTTCCGCAGCGGCGGCGCGGGCCCGTGAGAGGAGGGCGGGTGCATGCCGTTTTCGTTGCTGTTGTGGGAATATTGCCGCTGGGGGGTTGCCCAAGCGGAAGAGCCCCCGCCGTAAGGGCGGCTGTCGTACCCGCTCCTGCTGCCGCCGCTCTTGTAATCGGCTTGTGACCGGGGCGAGCGCCGAGCGTAGTCGCCTTGCGGGGCGGGCGATCGGCGGGACTCGGCGGTGTACCCGGCCCCGTATTGACCTTGAGGGGCCGGTGACCGACGGGATTCGGCTGCGCCGTAGCCTCCGGTGGTATATTGGCCCTGCGGAGCGGGGGTTCGCCGTGTCTCGGCCCCGTAAAGCTCATGTGGTGCCGCGGAGGACCTCGGCTCGGGGGAGTGGCATGGCGTGGCGTCCATTTCGTATGCTATCTGGTTACTCCGGTGGGCAGCGGCGCCGCAGCCTTGGTCAACAGGCGAGTTGTAGGTTTGGTAGTTGTCATACGGCTGGTGTTGGGCGGTGCCGTAGTTGTCATATGTGCCTGCGGCAGGCAAGGGGTTTGGGTAGTCGTGAGCTTGTCCGTAGCCACCGTGGTTGTACCCATCATTATATCCATCATTATTGTAAGCGTGCGGTGACCGTGGACCGGGACTCATGGTCGCGCCGGGCATGCCGTACCCTTGCCCTGGCTCGCTGTAAGCCATCACCGGCTGATTATATCCTGGCGTACCCTGCGCATAGGGATCGTTGTTGCCGATTGCGCTCGCAGCAAAAAGACCATCGGAACTGGGACCAGCACCTGGTGGCCCGTACGGGCTTCGATTAACCGGCGATCGAGAGCTAACCGGAGACACTGTCCCAACTGCTGCACCCATCGCGCCGGCACCGGCGACTTGGCCAGCGGCTTCGGGCTTCTTGAGAGCATTCATCTCGACCGCCTCTTCCTCAACGAGCACCTTCTTGTGCTCGGCGCCCTCCCAGCTAGGCATCTGAGGCAGAGCATCCTCGTCCTTCTTGCCGCTGGCATCGAACGTGGCGAACTGGGCAAACTCTGGCCCCTTAGGTGCTGCTGGTGCCGTTGGGCCGGCAAATCCAGCATGCATCGGTTCTTGCGCCTTGTATCCATGGTTCGGTGGAATGTATGGTTCATCAAGATATTTGCGCCGGCTGCCCCTCGGCGGATCGCAGCAGCCGCAGCAGTCACCGCAGCACTTGAGGCACGAGAAGCAAGAGCAGCAGCAAGAGAGCCCGCAGCAGGCGCAACGAATGATGCACCAAACCACCGAGAAAATAATCAAGCCGCCAATAATGATGAGCGCAATGACGGGCCACCTGGACGTCTCGAGTAAGCACCAGACAGCGCCGTGGAGGGAGAAGGGTGAACATACTTGCAATAGGTGACCTGCATGCAGTTGTCCCAGCTGGAAAAGGCCGTCTTCACATCTGAGACTGTGCCCGCAATGTCCCTCCTCTCAAACGCAGGTCGTAGACTGGCCACGAACAAATCCAAGAACCCCCTCCGCAAACTCGTCTCCATCGCCACGTCGACTGCCGGCATCTTGCCTCTTGGACTCTCCTCCGCCCGGACAGGATCCAACGGCCCGCACGACGAATTTCTGAGCGATCAATGATGCGATCCACAATTGCATGAATTGCCGAAACAATAAGCTTGTTCAATAAGCGCTACTGATTCATTGTGGTCCGTATGTATGATCGTCTCGAAACTCGGTGCCGTTCCGCTGCTGCGAGCAAATCCACATCCGCGGATTCCGAATCGTCGCAGAACACTGGGAAGGTCGCAGATTTGGAAACCTGTTCGAAATAGTATTTCCAATGACCAAAGCGTAGATTATGCGCGGTAAGGAGTGTTTCGAAATCGATAATCGTCTCGATCCGCGACGGCAACTAAGTGGTACGAAGGGAGTGACCGAACAAAGATCGAGCAAGGTTGTTGAGGAGGGCCGGGCGGTGCGGTCGCACAATGAACGGGACGAGGCAGATAAATTACTGCCGGCCTGAGCGTCCAACTAAGGCGCTTGCAAAACGAACGACCAAGGGAGTGGCTCTGCTCCGTCTCACGCACCGCGGGAGGAAGAAGAGCAACATGAAATGGCCTCCTGCACTGGCATTTGGGACAGAAAAATGCGGGCGCTGGGCTGAATGCGCGGATTGCATTGGCTCGTCGTTCGCGCTCCGTTCGCTTCTGCAGGTCCGATGGCTTCAGATCCTTGCAACAGGGGCCAACCAATATCTACCAAGTCGGCAGCGGCACATCGGCCGGAGAGATCACACGAAGATTGAAGGCCATTTTACTTCAAAGTTCGCGATGCTTGCGATCCTTGGGTATCCTCCGAATACAATGAAGGCACGATTATATCCCACTTCAAAGGCAGTGGAAATCACCGCCGACCTGCCATTACACCGCTTAAAACATTGGAGGTGGTGAGCAACTGTCAGCGACGGGACGATTACACGTACGTGTAAGGCAGTTACGCGTACTGGTGGCTTGAACCAGGTGGGGGGAGCGGGGCGAGTTCCTAAGGGAAGGGCAATCTCCCTTGGTTCACTGCTCCCAAATCTAGAGATTTCATTGAAGGGCACCTTGAAATTGCTTGGCGAAATTGAAACATAGGTTCTACCCTATAGGGTTGGTACCCAATTTTGGGGTTCTGAGCTGTTGGAGACCGACATGGCAAGGGCTGGCCGGATGGACACCACGTATAGTCTTAACCTTTTTATTCTTACCTCATACTAGAAATGGAGATAACTGATAAGTTTATTTGAAATCTGACATTTCAAGGCCTTGTATTCATTTTCCATTATCAAGATTTTTCAAAAAAAAAAAAAATCGCAATCTTAGCATCCGCAACACCAAACCGGAATCGTCAAGACATCCCGGCGGGGCCTGGCCAGTGGCCAGCGATCGATGTCCGTCTCCGACTGAGTTAGGGGCAAAGGAAGGACGAGAGTGGGGAGGAAGGTAAAATGCGAAGTAGAGCAGCAGAACTGGGAGCAGAACATAACAACCAAAGGAGGTAACCAATGCATAGAGAAACGGAAGTCATTCCAGAGCTTAGGTGTTTTAGGTACCCGAATTAAAATGCCAACCGGAGAGCCGCCCGTGTTTGATATTGCGTGCAAGGTGCAGTAGGTACGCAGGGGCCCTTGCCAGAACCTTCCCACATCGAACCCGGGCGGGCCAGACTGTCTGCCATTTTCGGTTTCTTTTTCGGTTTGGCAACATGTATACACATGACGAACGGCTCTCCTAGCTTCTCGGCTAGAGATCGCATTTCGCGAGCCGTTGTTCTGTCCCTTGATGTCATCATCATTAAGGAGAGATTGGGTGTTAACTCTCAAGCATCAAGGGCCATTATTCATCCGAACTACGAGGCGTATTTTGTGGGGATTGAACCCGCAAGCGCTCAAAGACCGAGCAGCGTAAGGAGCGGCCACATCCTTTGGCATGATTTACGAATTTCGATATAGGTGTTGTGCATCGCGGTTCTCATTTCAAAATCCACGTTGTGTGTCATTCATACACGAGCGCTAACTAATCGATTGATGATCACAAACAAAAACCTAGCAATACCGATAAAAAGTAGGTCGAGGACAAGAGAAAGCGTGGATAGCCACGCCAGCAACGTAGCGAGCGTCGTATCCCGCCGCCCCTGTTCCAATGACTGTCTTGACTAATCCATCGCTTCGCAAGTATACCGAAGCAACCCCGTAACGCCATCGCCCGTGTCCTTCATCAACAGCATGGAGCGAATGGCTTGCCCTCCCACCCCTTCTGCTCAGCATCCCCCATTACCTTCGCATCTCCGTCGACACCCTATCCCTTCACTTGGCCGCATTCGGCGGGGGTCCCGGAGGAGGCGCATAGTCCTGGTCGGTACCGCGGTGGTACGCGCTGGGCGGCTGCTGAAGCTGGATGCCCTCCTGCTGATTCCCGCCATAGTATCCATCACCTGAGCCATACTTATAGCCGCCAGGCGGGGGAGGGGAGCCGGGATGCTGGTCGTGCGCCGAGTACTGCGGTGGAGGCGGGTAGTAGGGAGGCGGCGCGGGCGCCATCCAGCCTGTTCCGTACAAAGGCTGTTGACCTAGCCTTCTGCGGCGACGAGAGTTGCGGCTGCAGGAGGAAGATGCGTCAGCTTGGTTCATGGTGGGTCGAGTGCATGGTTAGGAAGGCGACATACAAGAGAACGGCGAAGACGATGATGATGAAGAGAATCGCCAATCCAGCAAAGACCCAGCGGCCCCAATAATACCACCCCGAGTAGTACCAATAGCAATATCCGTCGTCGCCACGATAACGGCCATCGCCGCAACTGGTCATTTTGTTAGCCGGGATATTCTAGAGGTAATGCAACGCCGCGTTGTACGCACCCGTCCAGGCGCTTCGCTAGTTCGGCCGTCTGCTCAATGAGAGGCGCCATTTAGGGTTGTGTATCGATCGCTTCAAACGTGCCTAGTTTCAGTGCAGGGGAATCGAAGTGTCGCGCGTGAGAATTCGGTCGAAGGAATTTGATTTGCGCGATGATGTCGATGACGGTGGATAGTTGTAGAGAGATGGAAGTGGCGCTTTCCAGAGTGAGTTTGATGGCTGGGGTTTCGTGGTGAGAAATGGATGGGCGCTCAAAGCGAGGAAGTGACGTGCAGTCCGTGGTTCCAGCACTGTGGAGCATTCCTCTACCGCAGCCGGAGCCAACGGCTCGTCGTGAAAACACCGTGGAATTCAAGTGCTTGGCACACGTTGCAGGCGTGGCACCTTTGTGGCTGAGCTGAGAGTGCCCGTTTGCACAGAAATCCGCAGCCCCAATGAGATCACAAAGAGGCAGCTGCCATGCAGTCTCAGCAGTGCACAAGATCTTGGCGGCATCTTCCCCTCCTTGTCTGCTAAGGTATTTGTATGAAAGTCCCGAGGACACTCAAGTCAGGGTCCTTGAAGAATCTGGAGATTTCGCCTTCGTTCCCGGCGTATTCCACCGGCGTGTTCAAACTGATCATTGGCAATCTGGATCTGATACAGGCGAGCGCAAATCCAGGTACTGACAGACGACAGACTCAGAGTGTAACTCCACTTAAAGGTTTAGGCGCAGCCAGGCTTCTGCCTCTGTGGTGTCATTTCGGAACATTCTCAATGATTGGTAACGGCCAACCGATCCCTCCACTGGAAGCAAAGGCCTATACACGTATACTGTGTAGCCGACGGGCCCGGCCACGAGGTCATCAAGGCGCTGACGCGAGATTGCATCGCCCTTTCTTGATGGTTGGCAGAATGTTTTCCCGTTTCGACAGCGTAATTCCATTTTCCAAGATTCCAAGCTGACAATGCCTGTGACATTGTTCATTGACACTGTTGAAAGGGCCGACAAATACGGGATCAAATTGCCGGTCGAGCACGACTGCCAACCTAGCATGTAATACCTAACAATATGAACGTTGTGGAGTCCTCTTCTAGGTTCCGTTGATCAGCGGTTTTCGGTCGAGGACGAGTCCGGTCTGTCGGATGTCGCGGTCCCGGATCTCGAGACCGCTCCACTCTGAGCCGTAGGAATTGAGCCACATTATGCTGCTTCAAGCCACGAGCTAAGCCACGTGACTGCCGCTAGCCCCATCCTGAATTCCCCTCCACACACAAAATTTGGGCAAGGAGGAAAATCCAGCCGCGAACTAACGAACAGGAAGGTATCTTGCCAACAAGTCAAAATGGCGACCACCCAGGCAGTTCAGGTGTTCGGCAAGAAGAAGAATGCCACAGGTACGGACTTTTGCTTGGAACCAGGCAAATCGATCGGTCAGTGACTGACGGTATCGCAGCCGTCGCGCGCTGTGTGCAGGGCAAGGGCCTGATCAAGGTCAACGGCAAGCCGCTCAAGCTGTTTGCCCCCGAGATCCTCAGGGCGAAACTCTACGAGCCTGTCCTCATTATTGGCGCCGATAAGTTCGCTGAGGTCGATATCCGGATTCGAGTTGCCGGTGGTGGTCACACTTCTCAGGTCTATGCGACGCGCCAGGCGGTAGGTTTCCTGAGTCGCTCTGCACGAGGCGTCGACGTGGAGAGAAAGCTAACACGCTTGTTGCAACAGATTGCGAAGGCCATTGTCAGTCCACCGAACCCGTTGCAGTTTGGGCTTACGCTGTGAAGATGACGTACTAACTCTTCGAAATTTAGGTCGCCTACTACGCCAAGTACATCGATGAGCACTCCAAGAATCTCCTCAAGTCCGCCCTTATCCAGTTCGACCGCAGCCTCCTAGTCGCCGACCCCCGGCGTTGCGAGCCCAAGAAGTTTGGTGGAAGGGGTGCCCGTGCGAGGTTCCAGAAGTCCTATCGTTGATCGGTTTTTGGGTCATGTTGGGAAGCGGGGACTTGCGTGGACACGGACGGCGTTCGGCATTGCATTGGTCAGCTACGAGTCGATATTGGCCTCCAACGGTGGCCTGCTAAGGTGCACATACATGGCGCCTTGGGAGATAGGAATCGAGACTCGAGTCTACCTGGCCCCCATACAATACTCCTGGCGGGCTCATGCATTGATCATGTGAAATCGGGAACGGCTGTCTACTTCGAGGGAAACTGGGGGGTCTCAGCAATAGAGCAGCTCGAGTGACAGCCTGGCTGCCCGCGCCGGGCAGGAATGTTATCCGTGTTTCTCACCTGGGATGCCCAGAAATTGTGCCGGTGCAGACTTTGAGGACCTTCTGGGAGGGTGGTGGCGGTTGCTGATTGAGTTCGCAGTTCATTATCAACGCTGGCAGTTGACTACACCAGACCATCTTTGGAAGACGGCGAAACCTCCGAGAAACACCACCGGATTGCACCACCAGACGATCAACATGGGCGGGATTGCGACGTACACGGTGAAAGTCATAGCGCCGCTCCTGGAGATTGGTACGAAATTCAGCAAGTCCCAGCGAGAAACCCGTGCCGTCTGTCTTGGGCAAGGGCTTGATGCGGGAAAGAATGAAGGCTATTCAACCATCAAAGTCGTAGCAGGGAGTTTTACCAGCGCTCTTCATCTCTTTCCATCTTTAGCGAATTTGGCATCGACTCGGTGGTGCCGTCCTCTTGATCAGGCCCCTCATGTACCGTGATCTGGATTGGCAGTCAGGCACTTCTCCAATTCTCGCTCATTGCAACATAAGGAGCACGCCAGGCAGTGAGCAAATGTCAGGCCTCGAAAAGCGCATACTCTGGCGCCATTCTAACGGACTACGGTGAATTGAGACTGGAGATGGAACCTCCAACCAGGCTCGATTCACAGATGCATGAACACGTCAGACTATGCATACAAGGGATCTCACTCCTAAAGGCCCTTGCGTAACTGAAAGGAGCGGGTGTGAGACCTATGAGAAAATCCCGAAAGACAGAGTTGAGAGACTGGACGGCAGGATAACCAGCGCCAATTGGGCGGGAATGAATTCACGATCAAGGGACGAAAAAGCGGCTTACATGCAAACTTTGATCCAAAATTGCATCCATTCCATCCCATCCGCTTGCATTTGCCCCGTTATGCACTCTTTTGCCCCTCCGTTCGTGTCGGCGTGTCTTATCGACAGATGGATATCCCTATCTGAAGCAGCCAATCGTACCTTCACACGTCAATGGCCGAAATGGTCTGTGTGTACTCCGTAAGTCCAGGGACTTGACCTCTCGCCTGGTCCCCTCGAAGAAAGGTTTCGGAGGATCAAGTTTCCTCTCCCTTCTTTTCTTACTTTCCCTGAAAGTTCTTCCTTCACCGTGCGCCCTTCTTGCTCCTCTTCCTGCCTTCCGACTTCATTGGCCTCAAGGTCAGTTGTGGGAATTGGCGCTCACCGACACGCTCTCCGCCGCGGTCCTTCCTGACTTGGCGGGGCTGCTTCACCCCTCCCTGGACTCGTGGACCAGGAACACGAACCACGCTGTGGCATGCGCTGAGGCCCAGCTGGAGTGTCTACAATTCCTTTTCGATTCATCTCACTTGTCTTGACAATTGTTCATCATTCATTATCGAAACCGACTGTCGAGAGTGAGAGTCACTGAAACGAAATACAAACTGCCCGCGCGCCTCACAGCACCAGAAGCTCGCCCTCTCACTTACACGTTTTCTCCGCACCAGAAACGTATTTCAGAACGACCCTTTCTGAAATGCCCTCATATTTCCCATTCCTCGCTCATGGCTGCGAGTGGCAAGCGCCACTCGTAGTACGTATTGCCAACCCAATGTCTGGCCTTGCGGCTCCAGTCTGAGCTCATCCACCGCGGGAAGCATCGAGTCTCATCTCTCCAGAAGGGTCCGGTTTCCCCGTTCTTGATGGGAAAGCACGGCCTTCCTGTAAAAATAAAAGGCTGACTGCGCCTTAGGCTTCCAATGCCACTCGGACGAAAAGGAAGGAAGCGATGTTGAAAGAAGAGTTGGTCGTCGCCGGCCGATAATCGAATCTTCCCCCGAGAACAACGCATGGACGAGATTAAAAGAGAAAAAACGGAAACAATAACGCCGGAAACCCAGGCTGCAGCGCAAAACCAGCCGAGTCGCCGAACCACCATGCGAACCGATCCGCCAAAGTTGTGGTACTCAAATCAAGATGCGACCGAGCTCGTACGTAGCAGGCGACGACGCATTCACCTGTTGGCATACTTCATCAGCCATTGCAGGACGGCCTCGAGGTTCGTCTCTTCCTTGGCCGAGATTCCGTAGCATGAGACCTCGCGGTGTGCGATGTTTTTGAGGTCCATGGCGTCGATCAGCTCGTCGACCGAGAGCTTGTTGGGCAAGTCTGACTTGTTGCCGAGCACGAGCAGCGGAATGCCCTCGAGGGTCGGCTGGCTCATTAGTGAATGCAACTCTTCGCGGGCCACGGGGAGCAGGCTTAGGTCGGCGATATCGACGATAAAGACTATGGCGTTAACGTTGCGGCAGTACCTCTCCCACATTGGTCGAAAGCGGGGTTGGCCACCCAAGTCCCAACACTTGAGTGTCACATGCCCCCGTTGCACCCGCTTCATGTTGAAGCCGACTGTGGGAATGGAGCTGCAGAAAGGAGGTCAGCGGCGGAATTGAAACCGGGAGGGTGGGGAGCAAATAGGTGGTGTCTGCAATATCTGCCTCGGGCAAGGTCTTGGAATGGGCCGCTTACTCGATCGCGAATTCTCCGCCCTGGCGATGGGGGATTAGATATCAGTCCTTCGCGGTTCACCCTGGAGGAGCGGCCTGCCATATCACTCACCGAGAGCACACGCAGAAGAGAAGTTTTGCCAGCGTTCTGCAGCCCGATCATGGTCACATCCATCTCGGTTGCCCTGCGTCGGGTTAGCCCCTCGACCCCAGAGATCGCGGCGATGCGCTGCCGACGAGGAGCAGCTCGATAGTGCCCCGCAGCTCGGCGACGCGGGGGAGGTGCAGGGTGGTCAAACTCACCAAAACGTCCGCAACAACCAGTCGTACACCCGCTTGAATAGTCCCGCCATGGTCGTTGAGGGCCAGGCGATCGTCGAGAAATGGCTAGGAGGGCTGAAAAGGTTGAAGAAACGACCAGGAAGAAAAGTCGCGCAAGTTTGGTCTGCGGTCAAGGTTTCGCGACGCCGTCCAGGGTGACGGGTGGGATCGGCGGTGACGAGTCTCGGGCACCCGGGTCCAGTTTAAGAAAAATACTCTCCTGCGTTCAGACTCCCAGAGCGGCGCAGATGAGAGAAATGTCCCGTAGGGCGCGGGATCGTAGGTCCTTTGGATTTTTGCAAGAATCAGGAAACAGGATGAAGCTAGAGTCCCCGTTTATTTGAATCCGTCGGTCAAGAAAGACGGCGCGGGGCAGACGGGGGTGAGCGAGAGACCAGGCCCACAAGCGATCAAAAAGATGCCACCGGGAACACAAATCTAAGGTAGGTAACTTTGCTGTGTCAAGCCAGGTTTGTGATCCGTGCCTCAGTGCGCAGGAAGAAGATGATGCGGGTGAATTAATAACGAGCGGGCGGTTAGAGCCTCGAAAAAAGGGAAGCGGCACCGAGACTGTCCGGGACGAGGTACGGAAGCCACCTTGTCGGTCGGCTAGGTCTGAATATCCCAGGTTGCAGTGAATGCCAGTGCTGAGACCTAGAAAGCCAAGCGGAGGCAGCGGCTGGCGGCCAGGGGACGGCGTCAAGTGTAAGTCAAGCACGAAGAATCGTCTTTCGGGAGGGTGGTATTGCGCATCAGCAGAGAAATCGGGGATCTGGAAGCGCAAGGAATGCCTGTGAGCTGCAAGGAGCTACTGCAGGAGATTGCCGCGGCGGCGGAGATGTGTGCTGCAGGGACCGGGGACACCAGGACAGCGGCCGAGTCGATCTGATAATGGGGATGGATCCTGACAAGATGGGATGTCGTCTGTGTGCTTGTTCCTCCAGCTTGGTTGCCCGGGGCTTGTCGGTTTCGACCCAGAAAGAAGCGAGGCTGCTCGGCGGCTCTGGTCTGCAGCTGACCACGGCGTAACTCAGGTTTCTCTTTAACGCCCCCCTGCGCTTGTCCCAAATGGCAAGCAGTTCAACGGTTTGGATGGAAAGGGTAGATAGGATGGGCTATTTATCTGAACGAAGCACAAACGCCTCCTCTGATGTGGTTGAGTTCGGATAGAATTGTGGAGGTCCCGAGAGCAGGTCGAGGCCACCAACAGCGGGGTCGCAGATGCTAACCAGAGTGATTGGGTCATCAAGCTTCGACACTATCGCCCAGGCAGGGTTCCCCACGCTCTGGGAAGAAGCTCACTTGTTCATGAGGGAGCCACGCAGGTTGATGGTGACGCCTTTTCGAGGGCTCAAAGGCATTGATGAAACCAACCCAACTCGGGAGCATAGCTCCAGGTCGGGCCGGGTGCCAGACTGTTGACCACCTGCTGGTTTCCATCACTACCTACACGAGCCACAGTAAGGTACATAGGTACTCCCGTCCATTTTATTCGGGTTAGTCGCACAGGCAACATTGGCATGCCAATGGTCATTAGGCATAGGTACCAGGCACGGGAGCTGCACGACCTGGAGTTGGGTTTCAATCTGCCTTCTACTAGCTGCATGCTGTTGTTTCTGATTAGCCTGATTCGCCATGGTTGGTCGCTGTGATCCGTGGCCGTTCGTTGGGGCTGAGTGGTTTAGATGCTGACCTCCTTGGTCATTCGACTGGACATCAGTAGAGCACGCCCAAAATCCCCACGGGGCCAGCGGACCGGCCAGCTTTTGGAGAAAGACCCGGCCAGACATTCACCCTGCCCCTAGTTTGCTGTGCATCTTAGGTTCTGCCTGAAGACTCCCTGGAGGCAGAATCCATGGCAAGGAAGGCTCCAATCTGGGAGTATCGGGCGCACGGGAATCCAGGGATCGGGATGGGGGTGAAAACCGTTCTGAAGTTGCTGGGCCGCCCAAGGTCTTTTTCCCTGATCAAAAACTAAGGTAGCAGATGTAGGCAGTGGAACCGCCGACAAAGCCAAGGTTCGTATGTATGGCATGCAAGTCGTGGAAGGATGAGAGTTGCGAAATGCGGATCCATGTCGATTGCAAGTCGCCGAGGGCCAAGAAAGACCCCACTACACTGATAAGATACTGAACAAAAAAATGTTCCCGGCATTGGAACGGAACGACTTCATCACAAGTCTGCGCTCAACCAATTCTAGCGATACCCATACTCTGTCCTGTTGGCAGTGCGGCGCGACCTCAGTAATGTTCAGACAATAAACTGTGGCTTGGATCAGACGAGGGGCTGCCGCCACGACTCTGAGGCGGCGCGATCGCATTGCCCAACGAAACAAGCACTCTCTTGCAGACCTTTTTCGTCCTGCCCACGCGAAAGATGGCCCGCGGGAGCACCGACACGTCGTGGGACCACGAATACAACACAATCCGCCGTGAGAAGCTCTTCCGCAACCCTCCAACCGACCGCAGCGCCTACCCTGCCCTCCAACTGGCTGTCAACCCCCATATCGAGTCTTTCAACGCCCTCTTTCGGAACGACGGGAAGCCCAGCCTCCTCGACCATGCGCTTTCCGAGATCGGGACCAAGACATTCTTGGATGGGGACGAGAGAGCAGCGCCGGGGGGCAAGAACAAGCTGACAGTCCGGTACAAGAGTGTCACGCTCCAGAAATCCCAGGTTCCGCTGTCCAACAAGTTCGCCAAGAGGCGCGAAATCTTCCCAGCCGAATGCAGGGAACGGCATGTCTCGTACCGAGGCAAGCTCACGGCCGTTCTGGAGTATCGCGTCAACGATGGCGAACCACAAGAGTTTGTCCGAGAGCTGGGTCAGATGCCCATCATGGTCAAGGTATGCTTTCCAACCACGCCCGGCCTGGCTGCTAGCAAGCTCTGACACGCTCTCTCACACCCTAGTCCAATAAGTGCCACCTCGAGAACAATCCCCCGGCGCTGCTTGTGCAAAGGAAAGAAGAGTCCGAGGAGCTAGGTGGATACTTCATCGTCAACGGCATTGAAAAGATCATCCGTATGCTCCTGGTCAACCGCAGGAACTTCCCGCTGGCTATCGTCCGCCCGAGTTTCACAAACCGAGGTCCTTCATATACGCCGTACGGCATCATAGTACGATCCGTCCGCCCAGATGAGACCTCCCAGACCAATGTGCTCCACTACCTCAACGATGGCAATGTCACGTTCCGCTTCTCTTGGAGGAAGAACGAGTATCTCGTGCCCGTCATGATGATTCTCAAGGCTCTGATCGAGACGAACGATCGCGAGATTTTTGAGGGCTTGGTTGGGCCACCCGATTCAAAAGGGATCGAGAACACCTTCCTGACGGACCGGGTCGAACTACTCCTCCGCACCTACAAGACATACGGTATTTACAGCAAGACACAGACTCGCTCATACCTGGGCGAGAAGTTTCGCGTGGTGCTCGGCGTGCCAGACACCATGTCAGATTACGAAGTCGGCACCGAGTTCCTCCGCAAGATTGTCCTGGTCCACCTTGGGTGTGTCGACGTCACCGAGGAACAGGACCTTGACAAGTTCAAGTTACTGCTCTTCATGTGTCGGAAACTCTATGCGCTTGTCGCCGGGGACTGTGCCGTTGACAACCCTGATGCGGTTCAGAACCAGGAGATTCTGCTTGGCGGCTTCCTGTACGGCATGGTGCTGAAGGAGCGCCTGGATGAGCTGCTCTCGGTCGCACTTAGAGCAGCGCTGCGCGACTACTTGAGGCGAAACCCAACCGTTTCCTTCACATCTGCCACGTTTGCCAGGGACTTTCCAATTTCCATTTTCAGGAGGACAAACGAGAACCTCGGCAATGCACTGGAGTACTTCCTGTCGACCGGCAATCTCCAGAGCCCCTCAGGTCTCGACCTGCAACAGGTCTCGGGTTTCACCGTCGTGGCCGAGAAACTGAACTTCCTGCGCTTCATCAGCCACTTCCGCATGGTCCATCGTGGTAGCTTTTTTGCGCAACTGAAGACCACGACCGTCCGAAAATTGCTGCCCGAGTCCTGGGGCTTCCTGTGCCCAGTGCATACTCCCGATGGTGCGCCGTGCGGCTTGTTGAACCACTTAGCCCACAAGTGCAAGATCATGACGGACTCGGTCGATGTCTCGGCCGTTCCGGCAGCTGCGATGGAATTGGGCGTCAACGACTACTCATCGGCCGCCACCAGCGAAAGTGTCGTAGTGATGCTTGACGGCCGGATCATCGGCTGGTGCACCCCGCAGGCCTCCAAGGCGATAGCCGACACTTTACGACACTGGAAGGTCCAGGGCGGCCATGGCATTCCGGTACAACTGGAGATCGGCTATGTCCCTCCATCGAAGGGCGGGTCTTATCCTGGCATCTACATGTCTTCGCGACCAGCCAGGATGGTTCGGCCAGTCAAGTATCTGTCTTTGGGCCAGGAAGACTTCGTTGGCCCGCATGAGCAGCCATACATGTCGATCGCGTGCACAGAAGGCGAAGTCATACCCGGTGACTCGACACATGTCGAATTTGACCCTACCAATATCCTCTCTATCCTGGCCAACATGACGCCCTTTTCAGACTTCAACCAGTCACCTCGCAACATGTACCAGTGTCAGATGGGTAAGCAAACCATGGGCACCCCGGGAACCGCGATTCGGCATCGAACAGACAACAAGATGTACCGCCTTCAGACCGGCCAGACACCCATCGTCCGCGCCCCGCTGCATAACACATACGGTTTCGACAACTTCCCCAACGGCATGAACGCGGTGGTTGCCGTCATCTCATATACGGGCTATGACATGGACGACGCCATGATCCTCAATAAGTCGGCTCACGAGCGTGGTTTCGGCCATGGGACGATCTACAAGACCAAGAAGATCAGCCTTAAGGAGGACACAAGGACGCGCACGTCCAAGACTATCACCAAGATGTTCGGCTTCGCACCCGGTAGTACCATCCGGCCGTCAGTCCGAGAGGTGCTCGATGGTGATGGACTGCCCTACGTGGGACGCCTGGTCAGAGAAGGAGACATCCTCTGCGCATGGCACACCGTCTCAGCCGACTATAGTGGGCAGCTGATCAACCGGGATGGCGTCACGCACTGGGAGCGGTACAAGGAGGCGGAGGACGCCTTCATTGAGGAGGTGCGCGTGATTGGCAGCGACTCGGGCAATGAGCCACTGCAGACCGTCTCGATCAAGCTCCGTATCCCCAGGTCCCCCGTCATTGGTGATAAGTTTTCGTCTCGTCACGGACAGAAGGGTGTCTGCTCACAGAAGTGGCCCGCCATTGACATGCCCTTCTCCGAGACGGGGATCCAGCCTGATGTCATTATCAACCCACACGCTTTCCCGTCGCGCATGACAATCGGCATGTTTGTCGAGTCATTGGCGGGCAAGGCTGGTGCCCTTCACGGCCTGGCACAAGACTCGACGCCGTTCAAGTTCAACGAGGAGCACACGGCGGCCGACTACTTTGGACACCAGCTGATGAAGGCCGGATACAATTACCACGGCAACGAGCCCATGTATTCGGGCATCACGGGCGAGGAGTTTGCCTGTGACATATACATCGGCGTCGTCTACTACCAGAGGCTGAGACACATGGTGAACGACAAGTACCAGGTGCGTACCACTGGTCCTGTGGTGCCGACGACGGGCCAGCCCATCAAGGGCCGCAAGAAGGGCGGCGGTATTCGCGTGGGAGAAATGGAGCGCGACGCTCTGCTAGCGCACGGAACGGCCTTCTTACTCCAGGACCGCCTGCTCAACTGCTCCGACTACACCAAGTCCTGGATCTGCCGGGACTGCGGGTCTTTCCTCGCGGTGCAGCCGACAGTGTCTCCGTTTATTGGCAAACGGAAGCAGGTTGGCACCGTCCGTTGCCGAAACTGCGCGAAGCGCCTGGACGAGATTGAGGGCTTGGATCTCATGAACCTGAACGGCGAGATCTGGGAAGACGGACAGGGGGTGCAGTGGATAGGAGGCGAGAACACGACTTTGGTGGTGGTGCCCGGTGCGCTCAAGTTCCTGGACGTCGAGCTTGCGGCCATGGGTGTGAAGCTGAAGTACCGGGTGGACACGAAGGACGCGATCCGGCGCGGGCCCCTGAAGCCAGCGGCACCGAAGGCGCTGCTCAATGTGGCAGCGGCGGCGTGATGGGATTGGCATGTGACTTTATCTTTGTGTTAAATACCTTGTCAAGTCATTGTAGAATCCTCTGCATGTAAGTCTTGTCTCAGCCATGTCGGCTTTGCTCTACGTGCCTCGACATGACATCGACAGTGACCTTGGACCACATCCTTGTTGCACAAGGTGAAAACAACCGTGAGACATCGCTATCATGGGTTGGGCAGTGCGTCTCTGACGCGGCATGAGACGTGGTATGAAGGCTAGGCAGCTATCTCCTCATACAGTGTGTTGCATCTCCCTCTTGGAAAACACGAGGGAAATGAGAGGCCGCTGTGGTGATCCGGACACAAAACCAACGCAACTAGGCTCTTGTCTTGTAACAGGCGGCTGTGACGGGTATATCATGCAGTTGCCCGCTTCTCTGTTTGGCTTCTGGGTAGTCATCATCCTTATTTGCGCCAACTAAGTCAACTTCTTTTCTTCAAACCCAGATAGCTCCGCTCGTTTGTCAGCACCAAAACGAGGAGGCGGTTATGTGGGCAATCCCAAACACTGGCCAGCGCGCCAGCCCCTATTTCATGATTCTCAAAGGGAAGGCGCGGCCACCTGTCAGACGTCAAACCTCTCACACTACGGTGGCACCTTCCAGTTGTTCTGTCTGTTCCCTTACTGGCCCTTCCTTGCCACAAGCAGAAAGTTCTGGTGAATTCAAGTTACTCCCCGCTTCCCTGAACCAGACTTCGTGTTGAAGGACTGCTCAGCCCCAAACCTGGAAGCATTCAGTTCTCTGTAACCCCCAAGGTTCTTCTTTCAAGGCGGGCAGGACGGAGCACCGAACACTCAGCTTCCTCTTTTACGGACTGTGGGCTCATATTCGCATCTATTCAGCCTATCATGGTTGTTTGTTTGTCTTGTCGATGATCCTCGATTTTCTCTTTAAGACCCGTACCGCAGACCTGCTGACTCTCGCTCCTAACTGTCATCGCCGCCCAACGTCACTCCTTGATCCAAGCACCCTCCTTCTTGAAAACCACTCTCCGACTTCCTACATTATATTCTCTCGATACATTCTCACCTCACGTTCCCCAAGCATCGCCCGACTCAAGCGACTGCCGACAACAAGCAAGAGCGGCCGTCACAGGCGAGCAACCACCGTGACCATGATGCGCTTCCGACTGTCCCTTCTCATCTTTCTCACCTCGCTCGCAAACGTCTTTGCCATCTCCCAGTACGCGCCCTACGATTATGGCTTCGACATCAGCAGGCGAGTCAAGCGCGAGGTTGCCCGCCGCTCAGAGCTGGTATTGCAGCCCAAAACCAGCAGCGATCTTGTCGTGCGGCAGGAGATACGCCAGCTTGAGCAGGACAAGGACGTGTGGACACTCTATATTCTTGGCCTGAGCATGCTGCAGTTCACGGATCAGGCGTCTCCCGCATCGTACTATGGCCTTGCGGGTTCGTAGTTCCTTTCAGACTCAGGGGCGGTTTCGTGGAGGAGGAAATGATGTGCTGACCGGGTGGCATGTTTGTCATAGGGATACACGGAATGCCTCACGTAGTCTGGGGCGGCGTGCAACCGGTCCAAGGGAACGAGAATACCGGGTATTGTACCCATTCATCAATCCTCTTCCCGACATGGCACCGGGCCTACATGGCACTGTACGAGGTACGACAGAGCTGGTGCTATTCCTTTTTGCGACAGGCTTCACGAACCAGGCATTCGGGTTCATGACGTGACTGACATCGTTGCTGCAGCAAGTCTTGCACGGGCTGATCGAGATGATTGCTAGCTTCTGGCCCGAGAGCGAGAGACCGCGTTACGAAGCAGCGGCCCGCAGGTTCCGGATCCCTTACTGGGACTGGGCGGCCCCTCCGCCTCCCGGCGAGAGTGTGCTTCCGCTGAGCATTGGTGGGAGCCCGTTTGTCGATGTCAATGGCCCCAACGGCGTCCAGCGCATCGCGAACCCCTTGTTCAGCTATAACTTTAGGCCGCTTGATACTAAAGCTTTTAGCTTTGGTCCAGTGAGTGCAACTTTGTTCGTTCGGCTCGAACCCCTGCTAACTAGTTACATAAAGTGGAATACCTGGACCCGGACACTCAGGGGGCCGTCAAGCACCGGTCCCGATGCCCAATCAAACAATTCGCTGGTGGCCATGAACCTCGATCAGAATCGAGGTTCCCTCGCTCAGCGCCTCTACACCTTGTTCTCGGGCTATGATAACTACACCACGTTTAGCAGCAATGCATTCGGGCCGCAAGCGGACTCGGTCGAGTCAATCCACGATACCATCCACGGCCTGGTGGGCGGTTTCGGCCCTGGCCAGGCGTCTTCCCAAGCTGGGCACATGGGATACCTCCAGTGGTCTGCCTTCGATCCGATCTTTTTCCTTCACCACACCATGGTCGACCGCATCTTGGCCATCTGGCAGACTCTGCATCCCACGGCTTGGATTACGCCGTCTAGGTCCTTGACAAACTCGTACACCATTCGAAAGGGCCAAGTGCTGAGTTCAAACACGGCCCTCGCCCCCTTCTTCTCCCACGACAACGGCAGCTTCTGGGACTCAGACGGCGTCCGCGACCATACAAAATTCGGATACACCTACGCTGAGCTGCTGGGGCCCCCGACATTCTCCCACAACATGGCGGTGACGGCACAAGTCCGCACGGTCAGGCAGGCAGTCAACCGCATGTATGGCAGCTTCAGCCCGGCCAGCCTTTTCCTCAAGGAACTCCGAGCATCAGGCTTCAAAACCAGCTCCGGCAAAGCGACAACGGGGCATAACTTTTCCCGTTCGACCATGGCAGGCAAAATATTTGTGGGCGACCGCTACCACGAGTGGACTGCCAATGTAGGCGTGGGAAAGCAGGCCCTCGACGGCGACGGAGTCGTAGCCTCGTCTGTCAACTTCTTTCTTGGAGATGCCCCGCGTGATCCGAGGGAGTGGACGGCGACGACAAACCATGTCGGCACCATGGGTGTGTTTGCCAGCGTGGGCGGGTATGGCATTAGTGGTAACCAGGGCGGCGCTCATGATGTGGCTGTGTCGGGGACGGTGCCCCTGACGGCCGCGCTGATGAAGAAAGTGGCTGCCGGGGAGCTGGCGAGTCTGAGACCGAGGGATGTGGAGCCTTATTTGAAGGGGAACCTGAAGGGTATTGTGTTGGGAAGAAAGGGGGAGGTGCTCACTGAGTGTGTAGACGGGATCATGGTTGGGATTGTGAGCTCGGAAGTAACAGCGCCGTGGAGTGAGGAGGAACTGCCGAGGTGGGAGGAAGGGAAGATTTCTTTTGAAATGTGCTGAGTGATGATTGAAGGTTCCTGTTGTTGCGGGACTCTAATAAGGCAGTTCATATTCGCTTCGTGTCCTGCTTGGGGTATTGGGGTGTGATGGCCGGGTTCTAGTTAGCCAACAAATCAATCTGGTGTCAGGTAATCACATTACAATGCCATGACTTGCTTCATTACCTAGTCACGCAGAGAATTTCAGCCCCAAGTTCCAGGTTGAAGTCGGTAGTGGGGAACTCCGGATGTGCGTAGGTCTCTCGGGAGGGCTGTGTCGAGTATGGGAATGTTCCTTGTTTCGGGACATTTTCTTGAACCCTTCTCGACCAGAGCCGACTTCTAGAAGTAGGGCATACCTAGTGTAGATAGGCAACACTGCGGGTAATCACGGAAGTTTTCGATTTCAATCACCAGTTCACTCATCTATCTTGACACTCTTTTCTCCTATCCTCCCCAATTAGTAGCTTAGGAGGAAACCTTACCTAAGGATAGCTTCTTCCTATGTTAGTTTACTATAATAAAGTTAGGTACTAAGCTTAACCTAGAAAAGCTAGATGATATAACGTTAGTTACTTAACTACTACTATTTATGGATTTCTCTCTAGCTAAGAGGTAGAACTATTAGCGAAAGTCAGTAATCAAAACCCCAACTTGGCCGCTTTCTGTGCAAACGATTCACGACCGACACCGGATTAGTTAGGTGATCAATATCTTCTTCAGCTCCTCAATCTACGCTTGCTCAGTTTTCGGCTCTGGTGCGATATTGCCATCTTGCTTACTCAGTTGCGGAAACTGGCAGGGAGCCTTTAAATCCACGGGTACCCGTTAACCTATTGGCTCCCAAACTGGCATCATAGTGTTGATTTTCCTCCCCTCCCAGCACAACCTGTATCTCCCTTATGGAGATGGACCGCGAGCAGTAGTTGATGTCGGCAGACTTGAAGCCTGCAAGCCATCATGATCGCTCGTCTTCTCGTCACCGTTCGTCGACGCTACTGGTCGACGGCCCGGGTTCGGGGCAGTAACACCAGGAACGAAAAGAGAAAGAGTTCATCTGGAAAACAAGTGTCTCAGTTGCTCTGCGCATTTTGCCCTGGAAGTGTCGCTCCCTCGTCGCTTCCTCGGTTCTCTCCACACTCCTTCTAGTCGGTTGCGGCTCTTGCGGATGTCTTCTCTTGAGTTCGTCTTTCATTTCGCGTTTTTATTCTGTTTTATTTATTTACCAATTATTTTTTGCTTCAAGATGTGGTGGCCGTCTGTGTGCAAGCAGACAACGGGAGCTCTTGTTTTGCTCTCATGTTTACGCAGCGTAGCAGGTGCTCACGAGTGCAGCTCTCGTATGAGCAGCACCATCACAAGCAGGAGTAGCATCGAAGTATCATCCGTCACCAGCACCGATGCCGGGACGCGGTCCGCCAGTGAGAGCGTTGTGGCTCCTTCGCAATTGGACAGCCACTCTGCGCCGTTGAGCACACTCTGAGACCAACATCACCTCGAGTACCTCGAGCGAGCCCAGTAACAGCCCGCCCCAGACCACCGACGCTGCCCTCTTCCTTGTCGGTCCGGACTGGACATCGGCTTACACATACTTTGAGGCGGCAATGCTGCCAACCTTCACGTCGACCGAGGTCGAGATGCCCACTCCGACCGTGGGGTCGTTCTGCATGCTTGGCCCGCTGGAACTCCAGGGGCAGCGTTTGTGAATACCTGAGTCCTCAACAGAGCAGTACTCAATGGCCACTCTGACGTCCATCTTCAGAGCCTTCTCGACCTCCCATCCGGTTTTATCGTGCTGCGAGACTGGCGTCCTGGCACACCAGCAGCTCCTAAGTCGGAGAGGCTGAAGAACTGCTCGTCAACATTGAAAACAGGCAGCCGGCCCTCTTCAAGTTCGAGCAGCCAAAGGGGGCTCCCGAGGGCCTCTATGACCTGGTCATTGAAGATGATACTGGACGACATTACGTTTCCTGGGGCGTTGATGGGGCAGTGTCCTTCATGGACCAGTCCTCTCTGTCAACAACGACAATCTTTTCTGTTAACTGCCGCGGCTACCTGACAATCCGCAGCGCGGGGGCTTCGTACACATGGCGCGTTACCCACACCGGTTTCACAGCAGTCACGCCGGGCGAGACCGAGGATGGCATCGCAGTTCTCCGCCCCAGTCTGTCCAAGCCAATCGAGGCGACAGGATCCGGTGAGCCAGAACTGGCACGCATGCGGCGGCTGATCCGCCCGTGAGGATGGCTGGATCTGACGCTGCCCCTTCCGCGGCTCCAGCGTCTTTGCTCAGCCCCGTCCCGGGCGACAGCCAGAGAACCCCAACGGATGCGGCTCTAATAACGGCATGGGCGGTTTCATGCCCGACTTTAACTGGGGCCACTGTTGCGACCTCCACGACAACTGCTACCACGATTGTAGCGAGAGCTTTCAGATATGCAACAACGACTTTCTCGGCTGCATGTACAATCAATGTCGAGCTGATGTCACTTGGTGGAACTGGTGGTCAAGTACTCGTTCAAGGTTATGTTTCATTCAGGGGTAAGGATTGCTAACATACATACTTACACAGCTGTTCCCAGGCTGCATCGCTACTGCTAACTTTTACTGGGCCTGTCTCTGGTCCTTTCGACGTGAACGCCTTCTACGCAGCTAATAAAGGAACGCTGCGTCTGCCCTTGCCCGGTGCCTTCCCTTCAAGACCTATGTCTGCTGCCCAACAACGAAGTTGAGTGCCGCGTGATCCGGGGAAAAAACAACGCCAACTGCGGCGGCTGCGACTGGAAGTGCCCGTACAAGACACAGTGCTCCTAGGGGAGCTGCGTCTGCGACGACCACCGCTGAGGAAACACACGCCTCAACATCCGCAGCCACCCACGCAACTGCGGCGCCTGCGGCAATGTCTGCGACGGCGGTTTCTGCTACCAGGGCCGCTGCTACGAACCCCCCGCCCCCCCCCTCCCTCGATCCCAAGATGATCGATCAGGAGCGGGACGGTGATCCTTTGCCTTCAACCTTGGTGTAGGATGTATTACTATTCTCAGATTCAGGTTCATATACTTCGCCAACATTGCGGGAGACACCAGGTGATCAGTGAGGAATTGCCGCATCACAAGTTACGACGCCAATAAGAACCACCAGACGGACTATGACGGGTGCATCATAGACCGTTGAGCTGGGCTGTAGGAAACCACGGATGTGGTAGGGAGTCAACGCATCCACTGGCTCAGAGACGGAATTTGGAAAGACGCCTGCGAAGGGAACTTTGAGCTGAAATGGGGGGGAGGGAGAGATGGGGAGGGAGCGAAGATCCTGCTCCTCAAGCTGATCTTACACAGACAGTTCTCAGTCATGGACAGAGAAAGGAAATGCAAGCGTTCGTTGCCAGGACCGCTATATACCGACACGAAGAAACCCGGCTGACTAGTTGAAAGAATACCATTCCCACGTACAATGTACATGCATGTACGACCACGTCTGTGGAAACCCAACCTATTACTCCTGGTTCTAGAGAAAACGCCATGAGGAAAGATGCGACTGAAAACAAGTGTAATGCAATGCCGACGCCGAGACGCGCTACTCCTACCCATACCGACTCTCACAACATGTATCAGCGCACCGTGCCCGTTAACTACTCACTCGGGAGGAATCAGCTCCTTAGGCAACACCCCTCTGCTCGAAGTACTGCCAATCACCGTCTGGCTGTCGCCATCAACAGCGGGATCGTACTCGACATCCCGGCTAGACCGCCCCGGCGCCGAGTCCGTCCTGGACATGCGCAGATGCGAGCCCCTGCCGGCAGCGGCACTCTTGCCCGGGTCCTCGTCCTCCTCGCTCTCATCGCCGCTCTCGTCCGTCTCCGAAGCCGCCAGTTCCTCGTACACGACAGCGCCGCCCGCGCCCGCGCCGGCCTCGCCGTCCACCGCGAGGACATCCTGCTTCTTGATGTAGGAATCGATAATGTAGTACTGCAGGGCGTTCATGATGAGTGGGAACAGCATCATGACAAAGACAATCTGCAGCTCCTCGTTGCCCTCGGTCCAGCCCAGCGCCCAGTCGCCGATGCGCGGCAGCCAGGGGAGCATCATGAAGAGGAAGAGCACGCAGAGCTTCATGCCCATCAACCCGCAAAAGTAGATGAGGCTCTGCTTAAGCCACCACCACGCGTTTGGGGGGTTGCCGTAGTTGCCGCTCTGGATCGACTCCGGGGGGTTGCCGAGGGGCGTGAAGGCCACGAGGCGAGTGAGCACGCGCACAATGACGATGAGGATGGGGATCCCGATGGTTGTCTGTTACAAAATGTCAACGTCCTGCCCTGTTTCCTTAAGCAACCCTTAAGCAACTTTCCTCTCCCCCGGGGAAAAGAAACACTCACATCAATCCCCAAATTCAACAGATAAAACGAGCACGGATTCGGCACATACTCCTCCCCGCCATCACCACCCTCCTCCCCCCTCCCCACAACCAACCCAATCTCTCTTAACCCAGCCACCACCACCGCCCGCCTCACCGCCCGGCCCCCGCTATCGCCCGCAAACACAGAATCCACCCCAATCGTGAACCGCCCGCTAGTCAGCAACGACATGAACACGTTGGCGGCATGCACCAGCACGCTGCCAAACACCTGCTTGGACACGTCGAACCACCATATCTTGACCGGGCGCTGCGGCCGCTCGCGCCAGCGCTTATAGACCAGCGCCAGCAGGGCGAGCGCGCCGAGGGCCAGCTGGACCAGGATCGCGAACGAGCCCAGCAGGCGGCATTCGCCCGTGTTTGGTGGCGAGTGATAGCCGGCTGGGCCGGGTGCGGGGCCGCCGGTGGGTTGAGGTGTTTGTATTGTTATCGCGGTTGGGGTGGTGGAGGAGAGGTAGGGGGGGGTCATGGTGAACGGTAAGGGTCGCCCTGCGTCGGAGGCGTCGTTGGCGGGATGGGAGTGTCCGGCGGTGGTGGTGCTGCTGCTTGTAGGTGGACGTCGGCAGATTGAAAAGGGGCACGGAGGCTGGTTGGTGCTGCTGCTGCTACCGGTGCGAAAGCTTGGACAGGGAGGGCATGTGCGAATGTAGGAGGAACCGTGGCGGTTGGCGAGAAGCTAGGCAGCATTCACCAGCTCAGATGTCTGCTCACAGACATCGAGCAAAAATGGCGGATGTTTCCTTTCGGTCGAAAGTTGTAGTTGCCAATCAGACGGGAAAAGAAGCCGCTGAAGTTGGCCGGGTGGGTGTTCCACCTGGCCAGTGGGAGTTCCCGCCTTGGTTGGGAGAGGCTGCCTGCAGTTCGCTGTTTCGGGGAAATCAAACGCTGTTTAGATACGAACGCGTAGTACGGAGTATGTACGATTGCAGTGTCGTTTGGACGCTTCTACAAAAGGAAATATATGAGAAAGACAAGGACCGGCAGAAGAAAAGAAGCGAAAGGCAAAGTTACCTGAGCTTGTGGGTGTTGTGCTTGTGCCTGAGGAAAGAGGCGCAGATGAGCAATGCACGAGGTCATGACAGCCGACGCTTGATGACGGCCCTATTGGCCATCCACAGTTAGCCTTGATTGACCCACCAACGGCGGACCCACAGCTGGCTCTTTCAGATCTTCAGTGGGTCAATCAGCTGCTAACGGTCCGAGTCGGCAACTGCAGCTGTCTCCCGAATTGGCAGGCTTCCGGAATTCTGTCCTAGAGCTTCCAATTCAGACAGATATGGGTCCCATGGCGAATATCATGTTGTGTTGGCCTCGTCAGGTACTCTTTGTGTAGCACCCTTATGACCTCACTTCAACAGCTGTATGAGCATGGCAATGACGTAGCCAGGTCAGGAATAAATAATGGAAGTTGTGAAGCGGAACCGGCGTCCTCGGCGGGTTTATTTCGCTTCAACGGAACACACAATTCCGGTACAAGTAGGCACTAAGCACAACGACAATGAGTGGAATGTCAGTAGGATCCATGTAAAATCTCATCGCTGTCTTCCATAGCTCCATAGCTTGCTGCTATGTGGGAGGCTCCGTACGGATCAGTCTGCGCCTAATGTTAATCTCGAAAACCACCGAGATAGCCGCAGGATGCACAGACAATGTCGCCCTCTGATTGTCCTGCTCACGCTGCCAGAACTCCCAAAACATGATTGCAACCTCATACTCTAAGGCTCCCTGAAACTCAAAGTCCGCGGCTGAGGAGCCGCAGCAAAAAAAAAAAAAAAAACCGCCCGTATCTGAATGAGCAAAGTCGCAAATTTTTGTGATTGAAGTGGCAGGCCCAGCCAGAGCTAAATCCGCTTTGCAACTCTGCCAGACACTGTCGATTTGGTGCATCAAAAGTCGGTTGAGTCGATAAACCGGAAGCAAATGAAGTCGTGGCTTAGGCGCACTCTGGTACCGGGGGAAGCAGCTTGCGCACAAAATGGGGCATCTTGCGCGAGTGCATGACGATATCCGGCCTGCTCTTCTTGAGGATCGACTTGGGCGCCCTGGGCGCCGAAGCCGCCTTTGTTGTCGCGGAGGGGGATGTCGGAGAAGACGGGCCTCCAGACGAGTGACGTTGACTCTGAAGGCTGTCCGCAGGCCCGTCTAACTGTCAATCGATGCCGTGCTGCTTTTTGATGCGTTCTAAATTCTCCTTGCGGGCGTCCAGGTCCTCTTTTGTGCGAATCATCTTGTCGGGCTGGTGGTATAGTACTGCGCGTCGTCAGCTGCTGATTCGGAGCGTCGACGGTAAATCAATGGAACATACCGACAAGGTAACGGTTCTGGAAATTGTAGCCGTTCAGCTTGTCGCACGCCTGCTTCGCATCCATCACGTCCTCATAGACGACGAAGGCGGTGCCCTTCGTATTGCTCGCGATGCCCTGTCGGACCTGGCTGTTTCAAGGAGTCAGCGAAGGCTTTCGAAAGACGAAGCATACGGGGTTGACGTACCGGATGGGCCCGTACTTGCCAAAGAGGTCGAAGAGCTCCTCTGGAGTGACGTTGTAGCTGCGAGGGGGGGGGCAATGTTAGGACACGGAGCTTGAAGCCTGATGATTGACTTCTGCAGCAGCAACATACCTTAGATTCTTTACGAACAAAGCTCTATCCATAGGCCAACTTCGTTAGCAAAGATGCCGTGTTGCGATGACGCGGGTCCGCGATGGCGGAGGCCGGAGCGGCCGCGTTGGACAGCATGCCGCCCCGGATGTGGAGAACGATGAAAGGCAGCGACCATCAGGGCAAAAGCAAACGTGACTCACCGATTTACCTCCGGGCCAAGTTTGTTGGCACGACTCATATCTCGATGCCGACGATATGGATTTCCGACACGATACTTTTGTGTTGGGTAATGACACCGTTGGGTGGGCAGGTCGTGGGTGCAATGCGCAAAGCGTTGAGGCTCAAGAGCGGACGGGTCAAGACGGGAGCAAGAGGAGAGAAGTTCGAAGACGCTGAGCCAAGAGTAATGTGGGGCTGCATCTACGACTGGCACCCCACGTGATGCGCGTCTTACCACGTCCCAGGTTGCTGATGCACATGTATTGTACCACATCAAACCTGCAGCCCAAGTTTCGGATGGAAGTGGATTGTCGTCTCTCTTTAGCAAGACATGCTGAAATTGCTTGAAAAGTGGCACGCGATATTAATAAAGGGAACAACAGGAAAGAATGTTGGGCACCTGACGAGCTTCTCTGCATACCCAACAGGTACCGAACGGTGAAACGCTCGGCGGATTCCCGAGGGACCCCAGACTGCAAGGCTCGAGGTATTGGACGTATGTGTATCTCACGAGAATTGCGAGTGAACCAAACAGAGCCTCCCGTTACCTAGTAGCTACAGTATTCTGGCCTGTGGTTGGGTTATATAAGGCTAAGGTAAGTCACACAGTTATGTCCATCAACTAGCTACCAGCACAGACCCCCTGTCATGTTAGCACAAAGACCAAGCCCTTCTCGGTATAGAGCCCCACCTACCAGCCACACCAAGCCTCTTCCCGCCGACACCCTTCCGTCCCCTTTTCACTATGGTACTCAATGCCATTGCATCAACGACAGGAGATTTGCATGCATGCAGAACTGCATGCTCACCAAGTCGCATATACCTTGGATGATTTAATAAATCGGGTGAACAGCAGTTTGCTATAGCTGTTGCATGTAATCAAGTGAGTTGTGGCCCTGATGTCAAGGGATAGTTTGGCGGCGTTTGCTGCAAGATCTTGGAATAGCTGGGGGGATGGGGTTTTATACTTTAAGGGCTGTCTTTTGTGTCATAAGACCAGGGACTGTGCAAATAGGCAAGTCGGTGTCCATTGTTAGGTTTTGCAGGATAGGATGCCCATCGAGGCTCGGGCTCGACAACAACCCATGATCTGCCGATACCCATAACATTCGACCGCTGCGATGCCACTACAGTCTGCGCTATGGCTTGCGTTCCCGACATTCCGGGTTGCGTACCAAGGGATTGCAAAGACAATCCTCGCCATCGTGGAGCGGCGCAGGGCCCAGAGCAGCGTCTCCAATATCCGCGGGGCACCGTAATACGGTACGCGACCTCTGGTTAGGCACGGGGCAACACAGTGCACATCGACTCGGCGAGGACCCCTGCCAGAACCCTTGATGGAACTCTTCGAACTTCAACGACCTTTCTCCGCCATCCTATGCCGTTGCCTTTTCACCACCTCTGCATTGAACTTTGGGCCCCTTCAGTGATTTCCTCATAGTAGTCAAATCCCGTCCGAATGGAAGTTTGAACGGGTTCTCGCCTTCCATCTTTTCTCGGCAACTTGGAAACCATGCCATCGGTAGCCCAGAGCGATTCGTCGTCGACGGCGCCCTCGTCCAAGAAGAGGAGGCGAGACGATAACCACCAGTCAACTCTGTATGCGAACCTCATGGTGGAGTTGGCTTTCCTCCCAACTAACGATTCCAACGTCAGCTCTCCCAGCGCCGGCAACATACCTCGCGGTATCTTTGCCGACAAGACTGCTCTTGACAATGGCGGCCTGTTCGAGCATTTTCACTCCGTACCCTCGGCGATTCGGAAGATAATCCCCCTCCCTCCCGGCAAGCGGCAGCGGACGACGGTTGACATAGATGTTGAAGGGGAGGGGGAACCCATGCAGCGATCACCGGCCAGCAGTCCCCCGCAGAAACATCACCTACAGCGAGAGCACAACTTAGCCAGGCACGCATCCCGGGAAGAGCTTGACGAGCAGATCCGAGGTCCAGCTGTCCCTACTTCGACATTTTTGATGAGCCGCTGCCACATCTGCTCGCGCAAGCCGAACAAGAAATCCGACCTAGATTCATTCGCCGACTGCCAAGGGTGCGGCCAACGTACCTGCTACGTCTGCATCCGTGAGTGCCTTGGCTGGGGGCCCAACATACCACCGATCGCCAGCACCCTTGAGATAATTGGCCCGAACCCTCCAACAAGAGCACACGCAACAACATCGCTCTCAGAGGAAGGTGGCACCTCGTTCACCATGCTCGACGCAGACGCCGCCGAAGACATGCCTTATAACCACCTGCCACCGACCGAAGCGAAAACGACAGGGGCGGGGGCAGAACGCCACGAACGAGGATGGACAAGTGGCGGCGGACATCGAGAAGTAGTGTGCAGCCGCTGTTGCGTGGAAAAGGGAGCGGACGGGGACGTGGTCTGTCTGGGATGCCTGCCGTTTGTCGAGGGCTGAGGGCCTACCGGCCTTGCTTGGCAATCATGTTTTCTGATATTGTGTGGCCTGGCTGTCTTGTCGGGTGAGATTTGGGGCTACTAATCTCTTAGGATAATGGGGCAGGACCTTCCCCATATCTGAGCTGGGCTGGAGGGCCCAGACAGAGGCAGAGACGCCTGCACTTGAGTACCCCCCTCCCCTCTATTGACAATGCCCGGGCTGAGAAAGAAAAGAGAACGGGCACGGAGACACACCGGACGGACATCCACGGCGGCGAGCCACCGGGCGGGAGGGCGAGCTCGGACACGTCACCCAGTCTGGGACCCTCTAACTCGAGAGGACGGGAGGAACCCAGAGAGGAGACTCTGGCTCAGGGAGGACGCACCCAGAACGAGACGAAGAAGGTCGTTTGGAACAGAATTATCTTGACCCGGACTGGGTGGTAATTGGAAATTGCCACTGGTCACAGTGGTGCCGTGGATGAGCTTTTTCTTTGGAGGTTCTCCAATGAACTGAGCAGGAGGGAGAGGACATCGGATAGCCATTGGGCGGCTTTCATCCCTAGGTTTCTGTAAAGCATGGGTTAGCTGTTCGTGAGAGGCGATGGCGATCCGTCGTGGTACTAGCAGGAGCACTATGAGAGCCAGGATGGTCACATATGCCACATTTAGAGACAGGACGCAAAAGGTTGTTGTACTCTGTACGATACTTTAGCACGGCGGGCGGGCAGCGACCGCACAGCGACGACTCAAATACGTAAGCGACGAGGAGGGGAAGTGGCCACGGAAAGGTACAGGAGCGTATCGTCAATCATGGGGCAGTCGCTGAAATGGCTCGCTCATTGCCATCCTTGTGACTACCAACAGGTTGCAATCAATGCAGCTTTATTCGTACATACAGCAGACAACGATCCCCAAGCTCCTATTCTAGTTATACTGCGCGTACGCAGCGGTCGAATTGAACTTGAGGTTGCCTTTGATGACCTTGTCGACGGCGCTCAGGAAGTCCTTCTCGGTTGCAACCTTCCTCCTCGCCCGAATGGCGAACATGCCGGCCTCGGTGCACACGCTGCGCAGCTCGGCGCCCGTGGCGTTGGGGCAAAGGCGCGAGATGAGCTCCCACCGGATGTCGCGCTCCACAGACATGCTCTTTGCGTGGATCCGAAGGATATTGGCGCGCCCTTCGAGATCGGGCAGCGAAAACTCGATCTTACGGTCGATACGGCCCGGCCTCATCAAGGCGGGATCGAGCGTCGACGGCCGGTTGGTGGCGAACATGACCTTGATGTTGCCGCGGGCGTCGAAGCCGTCTAGCTGCGTGATGAGCTCCAGCATAGTTCGCTGGACTTCGTTGTCACCTCCGGCGCCGTCATCAAAACGCGCCCCGCCGATGGCATCGATTTCATCAAAGAAGATGATGCATGCCTTCTTGGTGCGCGCCATTTCGAAGAGCTCCCGGACCATCCTTGCGCCCTCACCCACGTACTTCTGAACCAACTCACTGCCGATGACTCGGATGAAGGTGGCGTCCGTCCGGTTGGCGACGGCACGGGCACAGAGTGTTTTGCCGGTACCCGGGGGACCGTACAGAAGGGCGCCCTTGGGTGGGTCAATGCCCAAATTGCCGAATCGCTCGGGCGAGAGCAGCGGCATCTCGACGACCTCGCGCAGCTTCTCCACCTGTTCCTTGCAGCCGCCAACATCGCCATATGTAACGTCTGGCTTCTCCTCGACCGTCATCATGGTAACACTGGCGTCTATCTTTGGTGGCAGGGGGAGGAGGATCTGGTACTTGTTGCGGTCGACGCCAACGCGCATCCCCTCCTCGATATCTGTCGGGCTGACGCGCTCGCCGAGCTGGACGACGAACTTGGCGATCTGCTTGACGTTAATGACATACTTGCTCTTAGACTCGTCCTTCTCGTCAGGAATGATCTTGGTGCATCGAGCGACCTGAAGCGGCTGCTCCTCTGACATGCGTTGACGATCGGCGGCGACGTCCCAGAGGTGAGGCGGGGCAAGACCGGTATCTGATTCCTGCACATGAGAGTCAACATGGCTTGTCTCCTACAAATACCAAGGGGCACGGCGTACCTTTACGCCAATCTTCTCATCCACGCTCTGCTGCTTCTCTTTTATTTGCTGCTCGAGCTTCTTGATGGCGGCTCCGTACGGGGCAGCGCCGTACGTCTTGAGAACCTGAATGTCCCTTCGCTGGGTCAGCTCGGCGTCGTTGCGGCGGCGTCCCTAGGGTGTAAACGGACTCATCTGATAGCGGAGTGATCTTCTTCTCTTCTATTTCATCGTCGGCAAACGTTTTCCTGTATTTCTCCCAGTTTTGACCTGTGGCAGAAGGCTATGAGGAAGTCAGCGTGCGAAGGAGCGGCGGTATAAGCAGCGGTCAGCTCGAGTGGGATTGGCGCTGGGTCGGCGTACCATGATGATGATAGGAAGGAACGGTAATGGCCGGAACTGAGATCGCCAAAAGTCACAAATCAGGGAAGAAGGTTGCTTTCCGGGTATGTAAGCGCACAGTTGCGAGTATTCGACTGTGGTGGCTGTTCGATGATGGATGGTGGGTTTGTTGCAGGGAGAGATGGTTGGAGGCGGTTTTGGATTGCAGCAAGCAACAGACGAAGCTGTTCCGTAATCCCATGCTGCCTTGGGCCCAGAGCTCTGCGAGGCTGAAAGCCGTCTAGTCCAAAGCCGGTTAGGTGCTTTCAGACCCCCGAGTCTCGCCTGCATGGACGCTCGAGCCACAACCCATCTCTCCCCCCACTGGCGGCTTGGGAAGAACTGCAGCGCCTGAACTGAAAATTCCCCATCCCACCTCTTGGAGTGTACTGTACCTTTGGAGGGGAGCTGCCTGGAAGTCAACAGAAGGAAACTCAAACCACACCGCTTGTCGCAACCAACACACCACGCCATTCCCGTACCTTTGGTATCGCCGCAACAGAACCGAACTGAACGAGTTCCAGTTTTCGCAATGGCGACAGCGACACAGCCCGGCGTGGGTGGAAATGCGGCGTTCAGGGTACTTGGACCTCCATGATGCACATGATGCAGGACATCCGCGCCGAGCTGTTGCTGACCTTCCGTGCAGGACAAGGAGAAGCCGCTGGCTGTCCGGTCTTCGAACATCGTCGCCGCCAGAGGTACGCCACAAATCATGCACGTCGTGCAGCTCCGTGGGTGCTAACCAGAGACAGCTGTTGCCGACGCCATCAGGACATCCTTGGGACCGCGGGGTATGGACAAGATGATTCGCAGCGGCAAGGGCGAGACCATCATCACGAATGACGGCAGCACAATGCTCAAGAGCATGTCGGTAATGCACCCCACCGCCAAGATGCTCGTTCAGCTGTCAAATGCCCAAGACGTCGAAGCCGGCGACGGCACAACCTCGGTCGTGGTCATCTGCGGCAGCCTGTTGGGCGCCGCCGACCGGTTACTTACCAAGGGCATCCACCCTTCAGTCATATCCGAATCGTTCCAAAGGGCCGCTGCCGCCGCCGTTCAGGTTCTGCACGATATGTCACAAGCCATCTCTCTCACCGATACCGCCGCCCTGCTCCAGGCCGCCAACACCTCACTCTCCTCCAAGATCGTTTCCCAATACTCGAATCTCCTTGGCCCCATGGCCGTCAACGCAGTCACCAAGACGATAGACTTAAAGACAGCGGACAATGTCGATTTGAAGAACATTCGCATTATCAAGAAAGTTGGCGGGACGATAGAGGACAGCGAGCTAGTCGACGGCCTGGTCTTGACACAGCCTGTTATCAAGAGCGCGGGAGGGCCGGTACGGATGGAGAAGGCCAAGATCGGTCTGATCCAGTTCCAGCTGAGCCCGCCCAAGCCTGACGTATGTTGTCTCGATTCGTACTTCAGGGGCTCTGTTTTGCTGACTTACATGGTAGATGGAAAATACCATCTCGGTCAACGACTACCGGCAAATGGACAAGATCGTCAAGGAGGAGCGCATGTACCTGCTTAACATGGTCAAGAAGATCAAAAAGGCCAAGTGCAACGTGCTCTTCATCCAAAAGTCAATTCTCCGCGACGCCGTCAACGACCTCTCGCTCCACTTCCTGCAGCGCCTGGGCATCCTTGCTGTCAAGGACATCGAGCGCGACGAAGTCGAATTCATCTGCAAGTCCACCGGCTGCAAACCCATCGCCGACATCGACAGCTTCACAGAGGACAAGCTCGGTTCGGCCGACCTTGTCGAGGAAGTCCAGAGCTCTGGGAGCCGCATGGTCAAGGTGACGGGCACCAAATCCGCAGGCAAGACCGTGTCGGTCGTCGTCCGCGGCGCCAACAGCCTGATTTTGGACGAGGCGGAGCGCTCGCTGCACGACGCGCTCTGCGTGGTGCGCTGCCTGGTCAAGAAGAAGGCGCTGATTGCGGGCGGCGGCGCGGCCGAGATTGAGATTGCGTCGCAGCTCAACAAGCAGGCGCGCGCCTTGACGGGCACCGAGGCCATCTGCTGGAAGGCGTTTGCTGACGCGCTCGAGGTCGTCCCGACCACGCTGGCCGAGAATGCCGGGCTCAACAGCATCAAGGTCGTCACCGAGCTGCGCCACCGGCACGAGCTGGGCGAGAAGAATGCCGGCGTCAGCATCAAGAGCAGCGGCGTCAACTCCAACATTGCAAAAGAAAACGTCTTGCAGCCGCTGCTGGTCAGCACCAGCGCCATCGAGCTGGCTGCCGAGACGGTCAAGATGATTCTGCGGATTGATGATATTGCGCTGAGCAGGTAAAGAAAAGGATGAAGAAAGGGGCAAGCATCGTTCTGTCATGGAACTGCATATCATGAACAAACCAAAGAATCGAACCAATGAATGATGGGCTCGCTGGTGTGAGATGAAATGTGGAGAAAAGTCGACTCGGCACACCAAACACTGCTGCTAAGGAGGTGTTAATTCCATCCACCTGGTATGTGGCAATATGTTTAATCATGATACCGCATAAATGAAGTTCATTAAGACATGGACGCAGTCATTCAGATGCGAATGCAAGTGCCAATGACCTCCACAATGAAAGGGGTGTATGTGACAAGAAAAAAAGGGTGGGAAAAACTCGGATGTAGCAGATCTGAAGAACGCCGGCCTCTCGAATTGTTAATAGTACATGTACCCGACAACATTCATAATATCGCCCACACAAATGCAGCCTAGCTACCCAGCAGTGACTTCCTGTCGCCAGCTAAGATATAGCTGGCTGTCGCATGCTAATCGGCCCTAAAGCAGGCAGCATCATCTCCCCTTCACCGTGCGCAACACATTGCGCCCATCAGTAGTTGAGCTCACCCCCGGCCCCACCCGAAACCTGGTCAAGATCCTCGTAGCTCTTGAGCGTCCGGCCCTGGACCGCCTCCCGCGGGCCGACCGCAGCAACGCCGGCACCATCGCCCCAGCGATTAGCAGGGCCCGGCCGACCGCGTCCTCCGCCACCCATACCGCCACCCTCACCAGCAACGCCGTAGCGAGGGTTGTTGGGCCGCCGCTCATACGGTCCAGCGCGGTTCTGAAACCTGCTGCCACCGCCTCCTCCAGACACGGGACCGCCGCGGCGAATGGGGCCGGCTCCGCCGACACCACCACCGCGCTCATCGCCGCCTGCGCCAGCGTGCCAGCCAGCTGCGGCACCCATGGGATGCGCGCCAGCGCCGCCGGCCATCATGTTGGCCGGGAACATGGCCATGGGAAAGCCGGGGAAGGGGAGCACGCCGCCATTCATGGTGAAGTTTTGCAAGTTGAAGCCTCGCGGGGTGCCTGTCATCTGCTGACCATTGCCCTGGGGGAAGTGGCCATTGGAGTTTGCATCGGTGCGCGAGGGCGCGATGTGCGAGGGGTCTAGGACATAGGCATTTACCAGCTCAAACTGTAATGCGATGTGTTAGCTTTCTGTGGATGGCATTGCCAGAGACGTGCTAAGAGGTCTGTCTCACCTCTTCTTTGAGCTTCTCCAGCCACTCAGTGTGGCGCTTTTCAACGTGCTTACGCCAGAAGTGTTCCTCCTTGAACAGCTTGGTGCACTCGGGCACCTTACAACGCCATTTGTGCTCGTCCTCCTGCTTGACGTACTTGGTGAGTTCGTCATTGACTGCGTCCTCAACTGGCTTCCCCCCAAGTTTCCGAAGGTCAACAGTTTCGGGATGCAGGATCTGATTGATCTTGTCTTCAAACGTCTTGACCCAGTTGTAAGCTCGCTGTAGCTGTTGCTCAGCCTTGGACAACGCACGGAACTTGCGCTCCTCCTCGGGCGCCTCTCCCTCCTCGACGTCTTCGGCCTCTTTGCGCTTCTTGGATGGGAAGGGGTCGCCGTTTGCGCTTGCCTCGGCTACTTCTTTAGCGGCCGAAGACAAAGTGCTCCTGGGTCTCCGGAGGTGGCCGCCAGGACATTTGCGCGTCAACTCATGGATCGAGTCGCTCTCGAAGACGCAGAAGAAGCAGAAATTGAAGACGCGGCGGAGATACTCAATGGTCAAATCCAGCCGCTTCTTTGTGACCAAGAGATCCATGTCATCGACTTCGTCGTCCACAATCCCCTCGTCTTCGTCATCCTCGCCCTCCTCCGCCATATGCTCCTCTCCCTCCTCGCGCTCCACATCCATGGACTCGTCCAAACCAATATCCCGCTTTTTCTTCGCCTTCTTGGCAGCAGGAGAGGTCAGGACTGAAGGTTGGAGCTTCCCTTCGTCACGCAACCTATCAACGTGCTGTTCAATTTGGTGAGCCGCGTTGAAATCGGAGCCAATGTCAACTTCAAACTTGGCGACCAGTTCCGTGGCAAGGTGAAGATCTTTGCGGATGCGTTCGGGGGCGGAGAAGAGATCCCACAAAGCCTTCTTTCTAGGATGTGACGGCGGGTTGTGGACACCGACGTGACAGGTGAAGTCACCGCGAAGCTCATCCTTGACGGTCTTGCCATTGATCGCCTCGAGGGCTTTATCGGCGGTTGAGACGGGAGCGGCTGGCTTAGACTCGCCGGACTCTTCATCTTTGACATCCTCGCTCTCCTCGAGGCCCGGGCCCTCAGGGGCCGGATGCAACATGATCCAGCCGATCCGGTGGTAGCGCTTACTGGGGTTCGGATCGCTCAAGGACAACCACTTGAAGCCGCCTTCGCCCTCTCCGAGATGCTCCTTGCAAAAAGCCTCCAGATTTTGACGGCTTACAGAGGGCGCAATGGTCTTGATCAAGAGAGTGGGCTGATCCAGACTTTCGTCCCTTATTTCCACAGGATTTGCAGGCACCAGATCACCAACGCCGAGAACTTCATTTGCAGTGGTCGCTTCGCCCTCCTCCTTCTCGACCATGCCACCGGCCCCATTGCTCTCGCTTTTGGGAATGCCTTCAAGGGATAGGTCGTCAAAGATGCCGGACGCGAGGTCCTCCTCCCACTTGGCATAAGCGCCACGGCGCATCTCATTCAGCTGCCGGCGGAACGGATCCCGCACATCTGGAACATAGCGCTCTTTGAACCACTGCTCGTCCTTGTGCTGCTTGACAAATGACTGTGCCATCTTGGCCTGGAGGTCCTCTTTGTATTTGTCGTAGGCAGCTTGGATCCTGGCCTTTTCCTGTTCCCGTTCCTCTTGAGCTTCACGTGGACCACGAATACGCTCGGGTTCGTGTCGCCGGCCGCTCTTCAGTCGCTCCTTTTCCTCTATTTTTCTTTGGTTCTGTCTCCACCACTCGCCGAACCATGAGAAACCGACCTGAAATGGCAGCGTAAGAGGATGCGGCAGGCTGGGTGGTTGTGCCAGCCGGGCTGGGGTACTATCCTGGCCCGGCACGTAGCGATCGATGTTGGTATGGGTTGAGGGACGGCCGCGGTCGTCCCGATCCCGAGTGCCGGCATACTCGTCGCGACCACGTCCCCTTGGCTCGTAACGATCGACTGCAACTGGAGATCGCGACCGACGCCGGATGCGCTCGGCACCTAGAACAGATAAATGTGAGTCAAATGAACGACCAAGTGCGATGAGAGGGATTTGCGCTCGAGGGGCTTGATGGGGACAAGTGGCAGCTCAGAGTACTAAGCAAACGGGAGTCTTAAAAATGATGAGACGCACCAGGGGACCTGCCGCCGCGGTAGAAGCTGTCTCCTCTCTCGTCTTTGACCCTTGTATCGTCGCGGCTGCTCCACCGGTCGCCGGGCGAGCGTGCCGAGTCGCGGTAATAGGAATCCATGGCGTACTTGAAGAGGTGTTATGTCGTTCGCAAAAATCGCCAATGAACAACGCGACTCCTGGAGCGCTTCCAAGGTCGAGGAGGAAGGGAGGGAGATGAGGTCAGGGCGAGTTGCCGCGGACGGCGGGTTGTAAGTGTCCAGTCGTAACCTTATTTGTCGCTTGCTAAGTGACGAAGGAGATTGGTTCTTTGATAAACGTTTGCCGCGGATAGTCACTGTTTGGCGACATGATTGCGGTTAGAACGCGACGACTCTCGGTATAGGTGGAGGAAGCAAAGATAGGGGACGTTGGTGGTGAGGACGGAGAGCAGGCCATGCGATTGGAAATAGAAGGTCTGGCATGAAGCCACAAATGAATGAAGAATATCAAAATGTAATAGGGGGCTCGAAGTTCTGAAAGTGCTATTTGTTTGTTTGAAGGCGACGATGCAGAGACGCTGAGGGAAACGATGGTGACGAGGCAAGCCAAGTGAATGAATGAGAGCGCTCCCGGACGGAGCGCCGTGCAAACTGCAACCCTCCACCGGCCAGGAGCAGACAACCAGGGCAGCGGGGGAAATGAGGATGGGTAGGACGAAGTAAAAGAGAAAGGGTAGACAAACAATTGATTGTTGGATGAGCGTCGGCGACAACGAAAATTGACTCCCGAAGCAGGCCGCGGCGCGCTCCAGTGAGCTTTGTTGGAATCCGCGACGGCTGGCGTGGAGTTGGCGGATTCAAGCTGACACTTGGTCCGGGGCCAAGTGGTGGCTGGGAGAGGTCACGTGATGTACGGAGCATCACACCTGTACTGCGGTACGTTACTCCATACTACGAGTTGATGGTTGAACGTCAAGGAATTGGATGTAGTTAGCGTGCCAAGGCCCTTTAGGCTTCGTGCCTCCGGGCGAAATAAATTCCATCCATCCATCCATACTCCATACTAGGTTACCTTAGTATACCGTAACGTGCGGCTACCATACTTGTAAGGTACGAAGTAACTTACATCTGATCTTGGTCCACAAAGGTAGCTCAGTTGTTTTCTCACTGGCAGGTGCAGTGTCAACGAGGTACCTGAAGCACAGAACACCTGAATTAAACTTGAAGGCAGAGATGGAACTCGAACTCGATGCATTGATTCTCAAAGTCTACTACTTCAATGGGTCCCAGTCGGAGATAGGGATACGGCATCAGGGTTCGGAAGGGCCGCAACAGGGTCGGTTCAAAAGAGTTTATCGAGTTTGGAGATGCGCCTGGTTTGACCTCGCGCTTCCGTCCAAATTCCTTGAATGGCACCTACCTTACCTTATCTTATATAGCTAGCAGTTGAACGATGATTCTCAGATTTATTTAGGTAGGTATTTCTTCTCTCCGAATCAGCAGTATTGGACGTGCCTTGACTAATCTCGTTGCCTGAGGTTCTTGCATGTTGTTGCATCTGGCAAGCAGGTGATGTCATTGGCATCCATCCTCCGCAAGTGATCAGAATGAGCCCCTTCATTCCACCGGACCCTAACTTCAACACAGCTTACCCAGCTATGTCCAGCTAAAGTTTCACTCAAGTTAGGAATACCAGTATTCAGACGCTGTACCCTACCTGATCCAAGTCGCTGAATAGTGCAAAATGACGACCTATATCCCCTCCCTCACGATTCCCGAGGCAGTCTTCAACAACCTGCCGGCGTCCGTACTGCTGCCCATTGCCCTGGGCACAGCAGTGGGCTTCAGCACAAGACGTATTTTTTCCTTCTTCCTTTGACCAGCCTTCCCATCCGTAATTTGAAACCTGACACCTGACATAGCCGCCACAAACCACCGCGAGTCCCTCACACTGAACCAGCCCCCGTTGCGCCCGCCCGCCGGCGTTTTCCCGCCAGTTTGGACCGCCTTGTACGGAATCATAGGCTACGCCGCGCACCGTGCAGTTAATATCGGGACCTCGCCCCTGAACTCCACCGTAAGCCACCCAGAACCCGCCGCCCTTCACGATCCCTTTCACCCTTTCCCTTTCGCGCCTGTTTCCCCTTGGGCCCAGCATAGCAGTCGGACTAAAATTGACCGGGCAAAAAAAGGCAACAATTCTGGCCGCACGAGAGGGCGCCACGCTGTACACGATCCAGCTGGGCCTGAACCTGGCCTGGATGCCGCTCTTCTACGGACTCAACCGGCCCATCCTGGCCACCTTTGACGCTGCCGCCCTCTTCGGCATCAACTCGTACCTGGCCTGGCTGTGGGGCACCAAGGTCGATTCTGTTGCTGGATGGCTGCTGGCGCCGTACGTTGCCTGGCTCGGGTTCGCGACGTACCTGTCGTTTGGGACGGGCTATCTGAATGACTGGGACCTGAGTCCCATGCTTGGTGATGGTGGTCGGGGTGAGGGGAAGAAGACGAAATAGAAGAAGGAATGGAGGGGATGAAGAGAAAGAGGAAGGAAGGGAATAAAAGAAAGAGAGAGGGGTGAGGGAATGGTTTAAGAAAGCGAGAAAAGCGAACGGCTGGTAAAAGGGGAGAGTGATGTGTAAAAGCCTGTCATATTTTCACCCTGTAGATAACGCGCCAGCTTCCTGGCCAAAACCCCGGAACCACAACGCCCCGCTGATGACAGAAATGTATGGCGCCCCTCTATGCCGCTCGCAAACCCCCGACCATCGGAATTAGCCTTCTATAGACCCTACTGAGTATAAATCAAACGCACCTCGTTCACCGTCCCTTGGACTTCGTCCCTCACTGCATGGGAAAGTACTTCTTCAACCCATCATAGACCATGAAAATAAACGCCGAGCTCGGCACCGACCGCAGCACGGTAATCCCGCACCCGCGATAGAAGCCCTTCAAGCCAGCCTGCTTCCACAGCGCGGCCGTCTCGCGGGCAAACGTTTTCTGCGGCGCAGCGCTCTCCCCAATCGGCGTAGTCTGCATCCGCGACTTGACGGTATCGGCAGGGAAGAACAGAAAGTTATAACTCATCCCCGCCGTCGCGCCCGCTACAGCCTGCTGCCACAGCGGCAGCGCATCCGCGGCCCGGACTTTCTCTCTTTCCTCCTCGGTCCGCGCCGACCTCTCGTTCCACTCCCGGAAAAACTTGCTCACCGTCTCCTTGGACCCGAACCACGCCGCGCAACCCCCGCTCTCGCGGATCAGCGTGCCTAGCTGGCCGTGCCAGAACCCGCGCCACCCCTGGTGCCGCCAGATATCCTTGATGACGGCGGCGGGCTTGAGGGGGGCGCGGACGACGCCGTCGCCCGTTTTGGCGGGCACTTGGATCTTGCACTTGACCAGCTCGACGGGGGTGAGCACGAGCGAGGTCATCGCGCCCGAGAAGGCGCCCGTCATCCAGAGCGCGGATAGCGGCAACGGTTGCTCGCGCGTGGCGTAGCCCGACGCGTAGATGGCGGCGCGGCCGAGGCGCTCCCAGAAGAAGAGACTGCTATTTTCGAGGGCTGCGCCGATGAGGGGGGCGCTGATGCCCCGGTACAGCCCTAAGAAGCCATCCGCGCGGATGGACTGGCGGAAGCAGTCGACGGGGCCTTTGTATTGCAGCGGGAGTTGGTCGGGCTGGGATTGGAGGCGGACTTTGACCGTGTCGAAGGGGTATTCAATGTATTTGCCCACGACGCCGGCGATCTGGGGTGAAGGTTAGACAGGAGTGGATGAAGGGGTGAGGGAGGAAAACTTACAGAGCCGTAAAGAATGTCTTCCACGGCTTCCGTTACCGCCGTCCTGGACTTGAGGTGCATTGGAGCGGTAGCGGCCTGGGAAAGGGGGTTGAGAGTGCTTGCTGGGTCCATGGTGCTGACGGGCCGCGAGAAGGGAAAGGCCGCGAGGGGCTGTTGTGAACCTCAACGGGTACGAAGCTGGTCAGTCAAGACCAGGCCGTCAGGCTTCGGGTCTTTGTGTGTTTAAGGCCCGGCTAGGTATGTGAATGCCTCTTCTGGGCTAGTGGGAGGTGGCGTATCGTGCCGCAGAGAAAACCGATCCCCCTCTCAGTGAATGGCGGGTGTTTCAATAGGCAAAAATGGAACAAGAGAATGATCGGCGTTGTCTGTTCTTTCGATGCAGTGTAAGGCGGCCTGACAGAATTCAACCCAGTCCACACACAGAGAGCGCTGCCCGAGTCAAGATGGTCTCAGTCACCGCTCAGTGGCTTATCAAAGAGGTTGCGGAGAGACTGGCGACGAACGCTGCCGATGAGCGGAGCACGGTAAACCTCGAGGGTGACAGCCGGGCTTTGTGGTCTTGTCGTCTGTTGAAGGGACACTCCTCGAGGACGGCGGCACCTCGCCGTACATGTAAGGTATGGGAAAATGACCTCACATTATAGGGTTCGGGGACAGCCTCCTCCTTGGGGTTTGGGGAAACCGTCGAGAAACAGCTCAAACCATCATGACGGTTACGGTGAAGCACTGTTGTGACTGTGGTTCGACAGTGGGACACTGCAAAAACTGGATAAGTGGTCCCAATCTTGGCACCAAGGGCAAGGGATTTGACGGTTGCGGTGGGGTCAAGGAGGGGCATTTCAGGTTGCAGCCGACTCAGGCACGGATACAGAGTACCTGACCAATTCCTTGCTGGAATACCTCTTTACCGGTACCTCAACCTGCTGCGCTTGCAATGTAAGTCTCAAGACTCCGATAGAAGTGAAGACACTGGGTTCTTTGAAGTCGCTTGTTGAGTGGTTTTTATCAGGTCGATCGATCCATCCTCATCAATCAGGTTCCATTGTGACGGACCCACTGACTGATCTGATTGATAAGATCATTTGGCTTGGCAAAGCCAATTCGGTTAGGGTTGATGGAGTTTGACTTTTGACTGTCACCTTCAACAAACTTTGATGAGATGGTACACCGACTCCGGCAGCCTTTGGGGTTCCAACCCGGCAAGCAGGAAAATTTCAGTACCTCGTTGGTTAATACTGTCATGGGACGTTGCCCAGTTATTCCAACCAAGGTAACTCGAACGAATGGTGCCAGTTTGCGCCATGGGCTCCCTCACCACTCTGAGTGATTGATACGGTAGTGGCACACACACACACACACACGAATTCAAGGCGCAGAGGCGGTGTTTGTTCGAATACTGTTACACTGTAATGATAGCTCGGCTTCTGCAGACGCTCACTGCCACGACCCGCCCTTCCCAGCAAACCCTCCGCTATCGTCCAGCTTCTTCGCGCCTCCGCCCCTAGTCGGCTTGGACTGTGCGGCCTCGTGCCTCCTCAGCTCCTCCGGCACCTTGGATATCGAAGATTTCGAAATGATCTGTCTCAAGTCATACAGGACGTCGTTGTCCTCAGGGCCCAAGAATGTAATCGCCACACCGCTCTTGCCCGCACGACCTGTACGACCGATACGGTGGGTATACGCCTCGATGCTCGACGGCATGTTGAAGTTGACGACCAACGAAACATCCGGCACATCGATACCACGCCCCGCCAGATCTGTGGCCACAAGGACGCTCGACTGGCCGTTGCGTACCGACAGCAGCGATGCCTCACGCTGCTCCTGCGTCTTGCTGCCGTGCAGCGTGACGGTCGAGTAGCCCCATGATTTGATGTCCTTGGCCACCATCTCGCAGTTGCGTTTAATGTTGACAAAGACAATGATGGGCGGCTTGAACTGGCCCGAATTGAGAATCTCTTGCAGTCGTCGTTTCCTCTTGTCCTCGCCAGAGATGAACTCTACGCGCTGCTCCACCGTGTCGACAGCCTCGCCGGCGTTGCCGATGGTCACAATGGCCGGTCGCCGGAGGTACTTCTTGGCAATCTTTTCGACCAGCGGCGGCATTGTCGCTGTGTACATCATTGTCTGCCGGTACCGGTCTTTGCCACCCAGATAGCGGCTCATGAGCTGTGGGTTCTCGGCCTCTTCTGTGTCGGGCTTCTCGTTGGTTACCGGAAGTGCGTCGAGAATTTTGGTAAGGGGCTCCTCAAAACCCTGGTCAATCATACGGTCTGCTTCGTCCATGATGATATAGCAGCACTGAGAGAACACGAGCAGGCGCCTCTCAAGGCAGTCCACTAGACGACCGGGCGTTGCAACAATAATCTCGGCACCATTCCTGAGCGCGAACGCTTGCTCCTCCAATGAATGACCGCCGACGATACTGACAACCGTAAAACCCAGGGGCCCAGCGAATTTCCTGGCTTCGGTCTCGATTTGCTGCACCAGTTCTCTGGTCGGCGCGAGAATGAGGGCATACGGGCCATCGTTCTTGTTATATTCTGTGAGAGGCGGCAGTTCCGAGATGTACACCAGCAGTGGTAACAGGAAGGCTGCCGTTTTGCCGGAGCCGGTGACGGCGACACCGATCAAGTCTCGCGCCTGTAATGCAATCGGTATGGCCGCCCTCTGGATCGGCGTTGGCTCTTCGTAGCCAACCTTGTGAACAATCTCGAGCAACCGTCGCGGCAGCTTTGACTCCTCCCAGCTGCGCATCGGATCCGGAATCGCGCCGCCTTTGGTGGCGATGCCAAAGTTCTCCTTGAAGATGCGCCAGTCGCGCTCCTTCATCTCCTCCAGATTCTTCTCCGACCAGTGCTTGCCCAAAGTCTTGCGCTGTGTTGCTTGCTTGGCGCGCTCGTGTTGCTCCAGCAACTTCCTCGCGCGCTCCTCTCCAGTCTCGGGGTCGCCGCGCCGGATAGCCTCCGCCTTCCTCAGTACCAGCTCGTCCGTATTGTCGTATCCTGCGAGTCTGAAGGCCGGGTCTAGACGCTCTGCATATATTGGGTCAAACGGCCGGCTGGTGTCGTCATCGGGGTCCCAGTCAAAATTGAATTTATTCGCCGCGGTCCTCCTCCGCTTCTTCTTCGCTGAGAAGGTGGACTGGTTGACTTCGGGACCCATATACTTCGCGCGCAACTCGTCCGCATCGCGCCGCTCCATCTCGGCCCGCTTCTCTTCCTCATCATTCCGGCGGCGCTTTCCACTGTGTCCGTGGTCGCCGCCATCAGGGTGGCGCATGGCCTTGGGACCCGTTGGTATGCCGTAGGGTGTTGACCTTGCGTTGGAGTGCCCATTTGTTCCGTTCGTGCCGTTCGCGCCGTTTGTGCCGTCTGTGCCATTTGCTGATGACCTCCTTGAGGATACCAAGGCTTCCTCTCGCCGCTTACGTTCCTCCTCTTCTTTGGCGGCCTTCTCTGCTGCACGGCGCTCGCGCTCCTTCTTGGGAATAAACCTGGGCTTGGCGGCCGCGGCTTTTTCGGCCTCTCGCTGACGCAGCAAGGCGGGCAGGTCGGGTGGCAGGCGTCTCTCAATCATGGCGCAGCAGGAAACGATGGACGGTGTGTGGAAAAGGATGGTAATTTCGGGTTTGAAAGTTGAACGCTTCTGGAATGCAATCGCCGATAGATGATGAGTGGGTCACTTCTCCAAAAATAATCGCAAATCTATAGGGTTAGGGTTCTCTACTTGCTCGATCTTCCATAACTTTTTTGAGACCGTCAAGGGTCGTGCAATTGAGCCCACAACCTCGGCCGTTGTCCGTCACTCGCCCCCTCAACCCCAGCCGGCAGACCTCGACAATGGCAGCAGCGGCGTCAAAACACATACAATTAGCGCTAGCGCTGCCGGCGCGGCTGCGCACATTCCTCGCGCGGTACCCCCCGGCGTCGATCCTGCCTGCGGGCGCCAACCCCGAGACTCACAAGACGGCCTACCAAGAAGAGACGCCCAACCCCTTCCTGCCTATGAAGCATCCCGTCACAGGGCGTTGGCATGATCCCAAATACTCGCTGCGACGACAGGCCGAGCTGGTCAAGATGGCGCGGGAGCATGGCGTCGAGGAGCTGCTGCCCTTCACGCCCAAGGGCACCGAGACGAGGTTACGCAAGAGGGTCGAGTTGGGGTTGCGCGTCAAGGGCACGGGTGTCGGCCAGAAGGTCAAGGGTCACAAGCACGAGAGGCAGCTGGGTGTCAAGTACGTCTGGATCCACAGTCGGGATTGGCTGGAGATTGTATTGGGAGTGCAGCTTGCTAACCCGTCACTCGACAGGATGGAGAAGAGGAGAGAGGCCATGTTGGCGATGCCGGAACTCATCAAGCAATGGAAAAAGGTTTGTTCTGGAGTTTCGGACATGCCCTGCTTTATGGCACTGCTAACTCACGTCGTAGGTTGGGAGACGGGACTGGACCAAGTTTCCAAAATAAATGGGAATTCTGAAGTGTTTAGACTGTACAATACCGATACCAATGTATAACATCCAACCACCGTGTGCCTCTATCGATGCGGCTCATGGCGATGGCATACCCTGTCCTACGGTTGTCAATGTGGCCTGGTTTCCGCCGTGCATCTGGTCTCTGTTCTCCACAGGGATTGAGCTCTGTGAGCCGTGTTGGCCAAGTGGCTACAGGCATCACACGCCCCAACCTGCATCTGATTCACGGCCTCATTCCATTCAGCGTCTCCCACCATCATATCAATTTCCTCATGGGCTGTACGGCTTCTCTCCCTCCTTTATACATAAACAACGACTGAGAGGGTAGACTAGAGCACGTGATCAGCTCGAAATCATTTTTCCACATTTTTCATAACCTACTCTCCAAATCTCTATCACCAACCCGACCCTCTTACAGCTCACCTCCCACACCTCAAGGGGTATATAACCCAAAATGCCGTCACCACCAATACCCAAGCACAACCCTACCTACTACGAGGTGCTCAACGTCTCCCCGTCAACCGTTTCCTCACTCGATCCAGCAGCAGCAACACAGCTGATCAAGCGCGCCTACCGCCGCGCCCTGCTGAACCACCACCCAGACAAGAAGGGCCCCAAGCGCAACAACTCCCCGTCTACAACCGTATCTTCATTCGCCTCATCCTCATCGTCTTACACGATCGACCAAATCTCAACCGCCTACGCAACACTTTCCCAACCAGCCCAACGCCAAGCCTACGATTTCTCCCTCACACAAACCTCCTCCCAGTCGACGACAGGCGGACCAGAACCAGGATTCCGAACAGGCATCGAGACAATTGACCTCGATGATCTAGAGCACGAAGAATACCACGACAATGACGGCACTGAGGCAAGCAGCACGACGGCAAGGTGGTACCGCTCCTGCCGCTGCGGGAATCCGCGCGGTTATCACTTCACCGAAGCCGATCTTGAGGATGCGGCTGATCTAGGGGAGCTGATGGTTGGATGTGCGGATTGTAGTTTGTGGTTAAGAGTTCATTTCGCTGTTATAGAGGATGATGATGTCCCACGGAATGGAGATGGGAATGGTAATGGGTTGGGTATGAAGGGCGGTGACACTGGGACGGTGGTTTCGGGTTGAAGCTGCTGCGCCAGGTTATCGTATGTAGGGTAGTAGGACAATACAATACCCGACGAGACATGCGTTTGTACGCCACTCCTAGTCACCAGGTTGCACCAAACCGTCGATTCACAGTCTCAGGGCCAGAGTCCGTATTGACAACGGGGTTTTATTTCTTGCCAGGCGATCTTCGCCAGTCACGAGTTGAAGACGCAGGCGATCTGAGAAAGGAATCAATACCCCTTCCGAGATGCTGCACTCTAGCCCTCAACTGCCGTGATGAACCGCCCATCAAGGTCTTGTGTATCTCCGTAAACATGCAAAGGGTACGTGGGATCTCCAGTCCGCGCTCCAAAGACACCGTTTCCACCAAGGGATTTGCCAAACCGGGGTTATCATATCAAGAGAAAGACAACATCTATGAAGCCGCTTACTCGGCCCTGGGCTCCTCCGCAGCCGCCTCCCCCTTAGGCTCCTCAGCAGGAGGAGCCTCGGCCTGGCCCGCAGCAGCAGGGGGCTCGGCCTCGGACGAGGTCCAGAGGGTCTGCGATTTGTCAGATAACGTCCACTCCACAACTTGGAACTGACGATACGTACCAGGTTGTCGCGAAGGAGCTGCATAATCAGGGTGCTGTCCTTGTAGCTCTCCTCGCTCAATGTGTCGAGCTCTTTATCTGACCGTCAGGAACAATCCACATCATCGCAGCGGACGATCACTCACCAGCAATGGCATCATCAAACGCCTGCTTGGCGAGGTGGCAGGCCTGGTCGGGGGCGTTGAGGATCTCATAGTAGAAGACGGAGAAGTTGAGGGCAAGACCCAGGCGGATGGGATGCGTGGGAGGCAGGTCGGTCTGGGCAACTTCGGTGGCAGACTTGTAGGCCGCGAGGGACTTGTCGGCCGAGTCCTTGCGCCGGTCGCCGACGGCAAACTCGGCGAGGTAACGGTGGTAGTCACCCTTCCTATTGACGAGTCAGACACAGAAGCAGAGCACGTAACGCGGCAGAAGGGTACGAACATCTTGTGGTAGAAGACCCGGGACTCGCCAGCCTTGGCAGAGGGAATCAGGTGCTTGTCAAGGACGCTGAGGATGTCCTCGCAAATTTTGGCGAGCTCGCCCTCAATCTTCTGGCGGTACTCCTTGATGAGGCCGACCTGGGTGGAGTTGCCCTTGGACTCCTCCTTCTGCTCGATAGAGGTGACGATTCTCCACGACGCACGGCGAGCGCCAATAACGTTCTTGTAAGCGACCGACAGAAGATTCCGCTCCTCAACGCTGAGATCACGGTCCTCAGAGGCGACGATCTTCATGTTCTCGACCATCTCTGTGTGCGGGTGGAGTGTCAGCGTCGATGATAAGGTTTCTCGGGATTCATGAATACATGCCCTCGTAGCGCTCGGCCTGCTCGGCCAGCTTTGCCAGGTAGACAGCGTCTTCGTGACCCATTTTGACGGATGAGGTATCTGCAGGATTGCGGTTAGCGGTAGATCAAGGCAGGCGGAGTGAGTCGGTGAGCTGAATATGTGGGCGGAAGCGAAATAATAAAAGAAAAAAACCATCTGCTGTAGAAAACAAAATCGCCAAATGTGCGCGCTGATCGCAAGCAAACCATCCCATCAAGCAGCCCGCTCAGGTTGATGTGGATGTGCGCGCTGCTGACTTCATGGCCTCACTCTCCGCTCTCGGTGTGGGGTGGATGCGCAGCTGTACCGGCGTTGGGACGCGGTGATGCACGAGATTTGTGGATAGCTGGCATCGGTCTGCAAGGTAACTAGAACCTGCATCATGAGGTGACGGAAAGGATGGTGACAGCGGCTTCAGAAGGCGAGGGCAAGGCTCGATCGAGTCGGCGATGACGACAGCGGACGAGAAGTGGTGCGCGACTGGGGCGATTGCAAGCAAGTGAGGGGACAATAACCGAGACTCACCTTGTGTTGATGTGGTGGGAGGCGAAATGTCAACGTGATGATGGTCTGTTGCAAGGAGGGTATGGTTGAAAAGGGTTTGCGATGTGGTGTAGTCGCAGGATGTTGGGGAAAGAAGACGAGGACAGGCGAAGTCACCAGTTGTGGATGCAAAGTTGGAAATGAGGAAGGGGCAACAAGGCCGAAGCACAGCGAGCGACAACACCAGGCGGGATGCGTGGGGACCAGTCAAATTCAACCATTGCATTGACTGCACGGCCACAACCTGGAAGCTGACCCCGCCCGGGCGGCCCTGAGGCTTAGCACGTGACAGAGCGTCAGCCTTTAAAACACTGGAGAACAGGGACAGGCGTTAGCAAGGTACGTCACTGATTAACAAGCCTCCAGTCAACCACACAAAACACTATCCACACAGATCCTTCACAACGACACTGCAAGAGGGGCCCTGATAAGCCATCTCCGTGCTGAGACCAAATCGCCTAGCTCGCCGAGGTGCCTTAGGATCTGCCGGCATCTTTCCTGAAGCAGTGCCGGGGCACGGCTCTGCCCGTTCAAGGCGGTCAGACGCGGCATGTGGCATCGGGCAGCAGCAGCCCACCATAAGGCAAGCTGAAGGGGAAGTTTCATTCATGCGTCTCTCCCTGCCCTGCGTGGCTTGATTGCGATGTGCAGGCTGTTCTCAAGTCCTGGCAGCACGTCATTCAGTTTCGGCGTGACAGCCAACATTAATCCCCGATGTGAACAAATCCCCTGTGGCCTTGGGTCATTCCTCATAACGACTTGCATGCCGCAAGTCCACACCTGCGGAGGTTTTGAAGATTGCGAAGCAGACGACATAATGAAAAAACGAATCAAACACCTCAAAAGGATCCGAAACCGTCTGCATGTGGGTCCCACTTTACGATCTAAGACACCTTGAACCCTAAACCTCAAGTTGGTTGGTGATGTGATCAGGTGCTTGCTCATAAACTCGATTTTGAGAGAGAATAACCCGCAATGACAGAGAACCACGCCGGTGACCGGTGACAAGAAATGAGAAATTGTGGACTAAGATTGAAAACCCAACAACCTAGTGCTACCCAACTCTGGCAGTGGCCTCTGCTGCCTCACAGCCTGCCTGCTGAGATTTCGCATGGCTTGGATGGTACCTCAATTGTCAATAGGAATGAACACCTCACAATTAACACAGAGCTCTCTCTCACCACGTTTACCCCGTGTCCGCTCCGCGTCTCTGTTTACTAACCTCACCGGCCCCTGGTCACGCCGACGGGGCAATTGGCTCCCGATACATTCAACTGCTGGAATGTCTTTGCGCCGTACATGGTTTACCAGCAAAAACTTGAATGCCCTGTGCCCTGGTTGACGGTGAGCCGTAGGGTTGTAAGGACGCACACGAATCGAACCATTCCAACGTCAGAAGAACTTCGAGTCGGCGGGAGACACTCAGGCTTCCGAGAACAAGTCTCATGTTCGATGCGGTAATTCGACATTGACCCTGGAAACATTATTAGCTAGTTACTGAGTGAGAGGAAGACGCTTTCTTTCAGATGTATCTGGTGTACAGGAAAGGCAATAACCAAGGGAAGTAGGTTGCTTCTAATTCAGAGTCTACTTCAATTGAAATAATTACCCTAATTGCCTGAACCAGAGTGAAGGATAAGGTAGGGATGTTTGATACGTTATACAATTCAGCCCTGATTGACTTAAAAGCATATAACTTGGTATGGAAAGAAGGGAAACCACTTGAGTTGAGCATTTAGGGGATAACGTTAACTAGTTCTCTCTTCTTTCATTTTTATATTCTCTCTTTCTTTTCCCCTCTATCTTTCTCTTACCAATGTTATTGCCTTCCTTCTTGCCCCTTCTTGCCCCTTATTCCCCCTAATCTTTCTCGTCATACTTCATCGTCATATACGCTTCTTGAACTCTCAAGTGTAATGTCTTACAGGTCATAATTACAAATCATACACACTTCATTTGGTTCCTTATTGCTCACTGACCTCAGTGAAAGCCTGAGCAACTTGAAGAAGACGTAAGCACCATCCTGTCTATCAGTGCGATGTCCATGGTAAACGCCATCAGGCATTGACTGTTGTTGTTATGGTTGGCAACCGAACTTAACACTACCTTCGGACTGGATTGCCGCGAGCTTCCGGGTAATACCACATTCATCGCCGACCCCACACCATGAGATGCTGCGTCACCGTCAGTGCGGGAGGGGACACTAGGGCGGTGGTTCATTGTTAGGAAAGGGGCTGTAATCCTTGAGACCATGCCGGCAGTATAAACTTCCATTTCAGTTGAAAGACATCGAACCCGTCCCTGATTTGGCTCTTGCTCACTGTTCCGAAACAGGCACTGGATGATCACCTATGCTTCAATGACCACCTAGTTGACGTCCGAACTCACATATAACGACTAGTACCGCCCAAAAACCTACCGCAGACCATGACTTTCCTTCGTAAACTCCCCGCTCCCAATCGATCATGCCTCTCCCCTCGGCTCAGCCTCAAGGTGTGGAACACCCCGGCACCACACCACCTCCGAACTATCACCACCACCCGAGACCCGGAAGGGCAGACTCGAAACCGGGTAGCTATCGTGACTGGTGCGGCCCGCGGCATCGGCCGGGCCATCGCCCATCGACTCGCCAAAGACGGCTACAACATCACGGTCTCAGACCTGCCCTCTCTCCAATACCAGCTCAACTCCCTGGTCTCGGAGCTCACATCTGCCGGTGACGGCAAAACCAAAGTTCACGCTCAACCCGCGGACGTCACATCCCCCTCAGACGTCGCCTCCCTCATCAACAGCTCCGCCTCAGTCCTGGGGTCGCTCGACACGATGGTTGCCAACGCCGGCATCGCCCAGGTCAAGCCCTTACTGGACCTGACCCCGGCCGACTTCAGCCGCATGTTCGACGTCAACGTCGCCGGCGTGCAAAACTGCTTCCAAGCAGCGGCCAAGCAGATGATAACCCAGAAAATTCCCGAAGCGAGCGAGATCCGCGGCAAACTCATCGCGGCGGCCAGCATCGTGGCATTCAAGCCGTTTGCGCTGCTCGGCCACTACAGCGCGAGCAAATGGGCAGTGAGGGGCCTGTGTCAGGTGTACGCGATGGAGCTGGCGCGGCACAAGATCACGGTGAATGCGTACGCGCCGGGAATCGTGGACACCAAGATGTGGGAGCTGATTGATGAAGGATTGGCGGAGAGGGAAGGCAAGGAGAAGGGCGAGATGATTCGGAAGTACAGCGACCAGCTGATTGCTCTGGGCAGGACAAGCGTTCCGGAGGACGTGGCGCGGTTGGTGTCGTTCCTGGGGAGCGAGGATGCCGACTATATTACGGGCCAGACGTATATTGTGGATGGCGGGATTATTTTCACCTGAACGATGAGGGGGTCAGGTTGGTGTTAAGACCGATCGATTGTGAATAGTTGTGCCCAATGTAGTATGTGGTCATGATCATTCGATCATTCCAATCTGATCAATGACTGTCACTGGCCGATATTCAAGGTTCCTCTCTTCATTTTTTCATTGCTATATTCTCATTTTTTCTCTCTATTTTCTTCTCTCTCTATTTGACCCTTTCTCTACTTTTCGACCTAGGTAGCCTTAGTCCCTTATCTATTCTTCCTTTTTCTCTATTTCCTTGTACTCCGCAATCGTCTCACTAGACCAATTAGTCCCGCCAAGGGTATCCTATGGGTCGAGCTTCTGTTTTTTGCATTATGGGCCTGGCGTATTCTTTCTTGCGCAATTGACCTTGCGCTCCCAGGAATCTTTTGAGCCGGTGATCAGCTCAATGAATTCTTTATCGCGTTTAGGGCTGAGTTTCCTAAGGTAAAAGCCATCTGATAATACGTGTTTACTCGAATCTTACTTGACCGGGTGCATCGGCATTGGGTTGGACATGATGGAAAGGGGCGAATGCTTTAAGATCAGAGAGTGTCGTTCTAGGCAAGTTTGGTACCTTGTCTGAGCCGAAATGAAGAAGATCTCCGAAGGGTCTTGATGCGAATATGATCTCGCCTTATCGTTTCACTTACAACGCTCTCTTCTTTATATTCTGTCGTACCTTGAACGGAAAACGGATGAGCGACGGATCAACCCGACTCTTCTGCTGCAAGCGTATAACAGATAGCTGACTGGCTACTACTGTGGTCAACCGAAGGTCCGAATCAGACGGGAACCCGCGTGCTCAGCTCTCAGAGAGCGCAATATGTGCTGAAGGTGCCTTAGGCATCCACTATGTGAAGGCCGACCTGTCTGTCGCTGCCTCTCCCAGCTACAGACACTCTCCGAATCGAGAGCTGACTTTTCCCACCGTTCTACTCTCTGGTTACCATTTCAGGAAGAAATCGAGTATGACGCTCGACGCATTGAATGAAGCCGGCCCATCGCCGTTGTGCTTATTATCGTCATCCCAAATGGTTGCCGGCCAGCTATGCCCGATCTTGCACCCATCAAACACATGCGTGACGAGCCCCAAGTTCGGGCCCGTCCCGAACTGACACACACGGCCGCGTCGGCCGTGAGAGAAAAGCTCAAGTTGGTCTCCCCCAGCCCATCTCTCTCTGCCCACAGCTGCACCAAATGCGGAATATACGGGAGACAAAACCGCCTTCGACCGCCGCCCTAGTACGGGATGATCGTGTCGTTTCCGCCGTGGAACTCAATCATGGAGATGTCAGCCCTACTCGCGTTGCAGGTGTTGACCACGGTGTAAGGGTCGCACTGGGCGCCGTCGTCAGTGTTGTCGGGGGCGTAGAAGGCGCCCGACATGGGCGCAAAGACAGCGATCCGCCGCTGGAGAGCACGGCATCGCAGGCGAGCACGTTGCCCACGAAGCCGGCCCCGTCGCGTTTGCCTGTGGCAAAGACGTGGCTACTGTTGAGGCGAAGCCTCAACCCCAGGGCATCGAGAATCTCACTGGTGAAGGCCGTGTCGTTTGTGGTCACGTCAGGGACGCCTTGCCAGCGGTCCTGACGGAGATTTTGGTCTAAATACAAAAAGCTTCAGACTGGGCTTCGCTGAACGTACGTCAACACCCTGCGGATACGCCACCACATACTCCGTGTTGAAGTAGGGGGACGTGAGTAAGTCAAGTCGGCCTGTTGCGAGGCGTTTCGGTTGCCGCCATGGTACGACAGGATGAGGGGCGCCGGTGATGTGCGTGTGATGTATGAGGTAGGCACAAAAAGTAGGCAGCTTCGGCCACCACTGACTGTTTCATTCACGAGTTTGCCGGTCGTGATACCCGAAGCGTTCGGGGTGCATGTAGCAGCAACCGCGGTGAGAGAGGCGATCAGCCCTGCGATGATGGGAGTGCGGCGAGCCATCGGTCGAAGGCCGTAGTTGGTATGGATAACCTCGCATGGCAGGGTTTTCAGATTTGAGAGGGTAGAAGAAGGTTGTATCCTCTTTTTCATCAAGAAACCCTGACTTGCTTCGAGTACCCTCTGAGCGTCCGGTTCCGGCTCTCTTCTCCTTTCCTCGGCGCCCCGTTCAACAGTCTACGGAGTCTACCTATCCCTAGTCCCTGCAGTCGGGAAATGATGTAAGTGGATGCTTTACAGTCATAGGACATTCCTTGATGGGCACCCTGGATTCTGGAGGACGGGACCGAGGTCCAAGTCGATGATGCTCGCTCTCTACCACTGGGTCTCTACGCTCGGGTCACTGCGTTAACTCTAAGACCATCATTAGCAGCCCCAGCTTTGCCCGAGCTTTGACAACCGCTCGCAAACACGAGACATCGTTGGATCTCGTCCATTATTGAGGTAAAAAAACGCGATGATGCGATTTGTCTTGAGGGCGTGGGGTGAGTGTTGCACAACGCACTGTGCTCTGCCCTGAGGCTTTGCACAGTCTAACTATCAGCCGGCAAAAAGCGGGCCAAAGTGACGACAGCTTCCGGGAAAAGCTCTCCACAACGGGAGCTCTGGTGACCTGGTCAGACCACTCGAAGACCACCAAGACCTGCACTCAGACAACTGTCATTAAAACGCCCAAACAAAGCGACAATTTCAGGTTCCGCTCCCCGACCACGAGCAAAACAACTAACAAACCGTCACAATGATGCGCACCTCCGTCGCCAAGCTCGCCCGCCCGGCGCTGCTCTCCCGGACCTTCGCGATGACCGCCCGCGCTATGGCGTCCGGTGACACGGGCGCTCCGCCCAAGACCGGCGGCCAGGGGTGCGTATTCCCTTCATGAGCTCATGACCTGCCTCTGTGGATATCCAAACCGAGATCTGGAGTACACGAGGGAAATGGAAGCAGCAATCGCGACATGTCCCCAATCCCGGAGGCATCCACTCCAGCCTCTCTGAGCTTCCCTGCTGCCACCTACCTCTCCATTTTCCCAACAACACAACACACAACCCAGGCCAACTCACAGAACACAATGAAGCTGACACATACCTTCTTTCTCTCCCCCACAGTGACGCCTTCCAGAAACGCGAGCGCGCCAGCGAGGACTACGCGATCCGGCAGCGCGAGAAGGAGAAGCTGCGGGAGCTCCGGAAGAAGCTGGCCGAGCAGCAGGCCCACCTGCAGGCTCTGTCCGACCACATGTAAGGAGGCCCCGGATTTCGCTTTTATTGTGGAATAAAGGGAACAAAAACCAAGCTTGAAGATGGCGTACTAACGTGATGAAATTGCCTCAGTGACGAGATCACCAAAGAGCAGGGCGGCGAACAGAACTAACCCAAGCGCGACGACGTTCTGTCGAATGGGATCGAACAGTATTACATCGCAGCCTCTATTATGGTTATGTGGATGTGGGATTCGGACCTTGGATGGGAGATGGATAAATCAGAGACTGTTTGTCGGTGGTTGCTGTTCAGCGTGCCGGGACATCCGCTCCATTTTCCTTTCCCTGACAGCAACTTTTGTGACCGGGAATATCTCCGTCACTTGTACAAGTAGATATGCGATTTTCTGGCCACCAAACGTAGAATTTGCATGCTCTGCTTCGATTTCTCGCTGCGCGGCGGTATCGTGTTCTTTTCCCCTGCCTTACACTTGCTGCGCCCCTAAGACATACATGCAGAACTCCAACCCATTACCACGCCATCATGATAGTCCAACAACCGCCCTTGATCTTTTCCTCGCGCTGCTCCTATCTGTACCCGGCCCGGTACGATCGGTAAAAGCTCTCGGCCGCATCCGTCTCGGTGCTGGCCACACTGGCACCCATGTTGCCGCTCGCCTTCTGGGCCGCCGCAACCTTGGCCTGGAGAGCCGCAGCGCTGCTGTCGATCCACTGCAGCTGCGCCAGATGCCCGTTCAGGACGCGGACAATCTGAGTCAACTATCGTAAGAACACACCGTTAGCTTCTTGTATTGGGTGAGAAAGGAAGAGAGGACAACGTACCGGATCGTCAGGCTTGCTGCCCTTGCTGAGCGTGCTTGACATGTCGTTAATCTCCTTGATCATCTTGGTCAAATCCTTGCCCATTTCATCCAGCCTGTCTGACAGCTTCTCGGCAAGCTTGTACGTGCGCTCACGCTCCTGATCAGGGCCGCCGGCCTGCTCACCGGCGGCACCTCCGGCATTCTTGGCAAAGAGCTCGTTCAAATCCTCCTCGTAGCGATCCAGCCACGCCCCGAGCTCCTCCTGCTGGCTCTCCACGTTGCTGAGCTGGCGGTCGATCTCGGCGTTGGCACGCTCGGCCTCGTATGTGCTCGTGTACAGTTTCTGGATCTTCTCGCCGTTCTCAACCAGCATGCGGTCCCACTCGGCTATCTTGGCCGCTTGGTCCTTGAATTCCTTCTGGTATTTGGACAGGTCGGTCGCCCACCGCGTGATAATCTCGTCCATTGTTTTGTTCTTCAGCCGGGGCAGCTGAGACGGGGGCCCCATGGTAGAAGCTGAGAGGCCGGGGGCAGTGCTGGTCTTGCCATCCTGCACAGGGGCCGCTGCTGTGGTGCCCGCCGGCTTGGCGCCGCCCAGCAAACCTGTCGACGCAGGTGCAGTGGTAACGGGAGCAGTTGTTGTTGTCGTGGTAGTAGCTGGTGCAGTAGTAGAAGCTGGCTTGGCGAACAACGAGCCGGTGGCCGCGGAAGTGGCCGAGCTGCTGGTGCCTGTGGTCGTCGCCGGCTTCCCGCCGAACAGGCTGGAGCCCGCTGTCGCCGAGGTGGCTGGCGCCGTGCTGGCGGGAGTGGCGCCTCCAAACAAAGAAGTTGTCGTCGTGGACGAAGTTGCCGGCGCTGTGGTTGTTATTGCGGCCGGGAACAGCGGCTTGGTGGCCACAGGGGTGGAGTCAGCGGGGGCAGCCGTGGTAGTAGGTGTTGCGCCGGCGGCAATCCCAAAAAGAGGCTTTGCCCCCGTAGCCGGTGCAGCCGTGGCAGGAGTACTGGCGCCGGATGTAGCGGCCGCAGCGCCTCCGAACAGCGATGGCGTGGCTCCTGCGGCAGGTGTCTGGCTGGGCTTGGGCCCAAAGAGACCTCCTCCTCCAGAAGTTGCACCATTTCCGGATGCCGGCTGTGTAGTAGTAGGAGCAGGGGTTGTGGTTTGGCCAAACAGACTGCCTGTACCAGACGCGGAAGCAGCAGGCTTCGCTTCTAAGCCACCGCCAAACAGGGATCCCGCGGGTTTGGAGGTATCGGCCGGCGGCGCGCCAGCCGGCGTGGTAGAGCCAAGCCCTCCGAATAAAGGCTTCGCTGGGGTCGCCTGGGCGCCGGTTGTGCTGGCGGCAGAGGAGGTCGCGCCGAGCCCGGAGCCGCCCATGGCACCAAATAGCGAAGTGCCGCCTGCCGCAGATGGAGCCGAAGTGGTCGTTGACCCAAAGAGGCCAGTTGAGGGAGCTGCCTGCGTACCCGTAGCTGGGGCAGCAGTCGTCTCAGCGGTTTTCGTGCCGAATAGTTTGGGTGTATCCGTGGGAGTTGCCGTCCCAGACGCAGGCGTGGAGGTGCTACTAAACAGCGACCCTGCCGGCTTGGCACCTCCAAATAACGCTCCTCCGGACTGAGCGCCTGAACTTTGACCGAAAAGCGATGTGCCCGTCGAGGGCGTGGTTGTGGTGCCTGCGCTACCAAACAGACCTCCGGTCTGACCGGTGGTTGGTGCTGCTCCTCCAAACATTCCGCCTCCAGTCTGAGGTGTGTTTGTTCCACTGCCTGCGGATTTCCCAAATGCGAACGGAGATGCGGTTGAGCCACCTGCGCTGCCAAACAGCCCGCCGGTAGCTGGGGCAGTCGTTGTCGTGGACTGGCCAGCAGCCGCGCTCGACGCAGGGGTGCCGAACGAGAAGGACATCTTGTCGACTGGACTCTCGGCGCTGTATGGAGCTGGCACGGACAAATATCTCAAAACTGAGCTCAGTTGACGGATGGCTGGGGCTGCTGTTTTCAGCGCTTGCAGGGCAGCGCAGGAGGGCGGACACGGGCGAAGCTCTTGCGCGCTGTCGATTCGTTCTGGTAAAGCCCGGCTGATTGAAAGTGAAATTTTTGAGGCTCAGCAATCAAGGTGCAAGGCACTGGCAACCCGGAGGCAATGTAATGCAGCTTCTTCTTGCTTGCCCGGATTCGTCCCTTGATGGAATTGACCTTTGGCGTTGCCCAGGCGCGTCTAGGAAAAGCTTGGGCAAGCAGCCACCTGGGCAGCCGCCTTTGACGCGCGCAGAAGCCAAGCCCAGCACGGGCCATTTTTTGATCCACTTTGCTTGCCCCACTCGGGCAGCTTCAATTTGGTGGATCCACCAATGTGCTCCCGAACTGTCTCGCCCCACTGGAGATCTGAACTCCTAAGCATGATCGGGTCTAGACTCCACCCAGAACCACGGGCTGATGCGCTCCGTCTCCGTACATGACTTGCACTCGGCACTAGAGTGCTTGAGCCTTCAACCTGAAGGCCAGTTCAAACCCAACCGTGGCATATATATCTTAGGCCCACAGCATAAAAGGCAAATCAACTCTGCCTGCCTTTTCTAAGCCGACCCATTCTTCTCCTGGACGACTTGAATTCAGGCACGGCGCTGCTATCTAATAGCACACCATGTCTTCTCGGCGCAACAGCCTCTCTCCCCCTGAGCGGCGAGGCACACTGGATCCCGGGGCCCATGAATTAAGTATGGATTGCTTGATACCTCTCGTGCCTCTGTGCTTCGCACTAATAGACCGCAGCAGAGGCATCCGACTCTGAGGAGCACTACTCCGACGCCCAGTCCAAGCCGGTGTCACCCACCGCGGCGTCGCCCATCCCGCGCACCAGAGTCGAGAGGGTCGACGACAAGCCCGCTTACGGGGAAGTCCCCGGCACGGATGCTTATCGCAAGAGGGAGGGGGATGCCGCGCCGGATGAGATAGCCATCATTCCCGACTCGAGAAATCCATCAGAACCCGAGCCTGAGCAACCGGCACGGTCACCTACCCCGGGCGGGCAGCCCATTCCCAAGACAGTGGTCGAGGAGACACCGGATACGGAGGGCTCTGTGACGCACCCGGAGAACAGGCAAAGGCGCAAGTCGGATGCGCACCCCGACCTGGTAGTAAAGGCCAATGGGCAGAAGGTGGAAGCTGGTGGAGCAGCAAATGGTACGGATGCGTAGCTTGCTTTTGGTGTGAAGCAGTTCCCCTGGTTCTTCTTGTTTTCTCTCCATACCTTGTGTTGACATGTCTTCCCGCGTAGATACTCTAATGGCATCGTCTCTAAGTACTCCCACCACACCAGCACGCGAGTCTTCCGCTGTTTTGGATTACTCTCTGCTAAGCCCTGGCGAGCCAGGGCCTGATAGTGCTGTCTCTGCTGGCAAAGAAGAAGAGGACGGCGATTTTGGGGACGACTTTGATGAGTTTGAAGCGGGCGGAGACGAAGACGACTTCGACGACTTTGAGGGTGGCTTTCAACAAGCAGAACAAACCCCTGCTCCCCAACCACAACCACCACCATTTTCCGCCACAGCCTCGCAACCTCTCTCCTTCGTGAGTCCTCATTTTTCGTCAACCCCCCTCGCAACCCAAGTCAACACTAACTCTTCCAGCCCATTCCCACATTCGACGACCTCGCCCCTTCCGAAATCCACTCCCTCACCGAGCCCTACCTCAACGCCCTCTTCCCGCCCCCGGACTCCTTTCCGCGCTTACCCACCCCCTCGGCAAAGGAGAACCCTATCTTCCTCACCCCACGCCCCGCCTCCCTCTGGTCCCAACTCGTCGCCCCTCCACCGCTCCAACCCCCAGACTGGATCCGCTCGCGCATCCGGCGCCTCTTTCTCGTCTCGCTCGGCGTGCCCGTCGACCTGGACGAGATTCTGCCCGCCTCATCCAAACAGAAGAAACTCGTGCTCCCCTCGGTGCACCGGACGACCTCGTCCGGCTCGCTCGCGGCAAGGTCAACATCATCAGCAGCAGCGCACAGCGGGGACGGGGAGAAGGCCGCCGCGGGGCGGGATTCGGGCTCCCAAGCGGGCGACGCAACAGCCACAACAAAGTCGTCTTCATCAGCCAGAGGGAAAAAGACAGAGGCGGCCGGCGAAGCAGCAGGAGGCAGGGGAGGCAGCAGTCCCGAGCGGAGCTTCGACCTCGTGTCAGCACGGCAGTCCTGCGCGGTCACCGATGCGGCGCTGAACGGCATGACCGACGACGAGTTGCAGGCGCACGTGGCGCGGCTGGAGGCGATGCTGGGAACGGCGCAGGGCGTTCTGAGCTACTGGCAGATGAGGACGGACGAAAAGATTGGGGATCGCGAGGCGTTTGAAGGTGTGATTGAGAATCTGGTCAAGCACGCGCGGAAGGTGAGAAAGTGAAAGGCAGACTGGATAAAGGAGGAACACACGGTATTAGAGAAGGGGTAGTTCGAAGGAGTGTAGAGACCTGAAGGTTCCGGATTACAGCCATTCTGAGTGCCATATCATCCTGATGGCTAGATGGAGGCAGCGGACAAGAAGGCAGACAACGCTGTATCTGGCTGCATAATAATGTTCTAACACCCTAATCCCCGCTTTTGTTTTTCGTCTACCATTCCCGCGCGAAACAGACGAACCTGGAGACCACTCATCCATGACCATACGAGCCCACGACATCATTGATATGTATGGCCGCCGGCCACATGCTCACTGCATATAACTTGGACCCAGACAAACCCTGCGCCCCGGGAAATGCTGACCCTGCCCGCTCCTCAAAGCTCATGCCCTTTTCATTGCACTCGTGGAAAAGAAAGACACTTAGGAGCTGCTGGGCTCCAGCGTGACACCGCTGTGAGGAACTTGTCAGTTTACCTGGCTGTCATGTGTGAGGTGAGACAAGACTTACGCTGCGATAGTAGCCCAACCGATGAGACGCCAGTGTTTCTCAATACGTCTGCTGAGGGCGACCTTCTCGCCAATATTAGTGCATGCCGGGCTGGTGAGTTGCAGCTTGGCGGCATCCTTCTTGATGGCGACAACCTTGGCGCCGGTCGATGTGGAGCCAATGTTGACCATGATGACCTCGTTCTTGGCCAGCTTGTCGACCTTGGCCTGCTTGCCGTCCGCCGTGCGGACACCGAGCAGGCGACGGAGCAGGTAGAAATTGACCTCGATCTCGCTGTAAATCTCGGGCAAGCGGCCCTTGAGACCCAGCACGAAACCAACCAGGCGATCGGCACGGCAGAGAGTAGGATCGATGCGGGTGCCGACACCGATGAGACCGCCGGGGACGGCGTACTTGAGGTCGTTGGCCTCCGAGTTGAGCGAGACAATCCGGCTGAAGATGGGCGTGCACTTCAGGTTGCCCTTGTCGTCGCGCGAAACTATACCAGGCCGAATTTCAATCTCATCGCCGAGCTTTAACAGACCATGCAAGATACTGCCACCAGCGACACCACCCTTAAGCTCCTCGATCTCGGCACCGGGCTTGTTAACGTCGAAAGAGCGGATAACAATCATGGTGGGGTCCATAGAGAAATCCCTAGGAGGGATAGGGATGGTGTTGACGATGGCGTCGTTGATGGCGTCAATGTTGAACTTGAGCTGGGCCGAGATGGGGATAATGGGAGACTTGCCGGCCACGGTGCCCCGGATGAATTTGAGAATTGACTCGTAGTGCTGCTTGGCCGCCTCTTCCCGCATAAGATCGACCTTGTTTTGGAGGATGATGATCTTGTCGAGCTTCATGATCTCAATAGCCGCCAAGTGCTCCGAGGTCTGCGGTTGAGGGCACGATTCGTTGCCGGCAATAAGCAGTAATGCGGCGTCCATGACGGCGGCGCCTGACAACATGGTGCTCATCAGAATATCGTGACCAGGGCAATCAACAAACCTGTCTTCGATGTCAGCCATGTTCATGCCCAGCAACCTTGACAAGCTAAAAACGGGGAGGTCCTTACGAGACGTGACGTAGTAGCCTGTATGTCCCCGAGCAGCCCTCCCGCTCGCAAGGGGGATCCACCTCCTTCTCGCTTTTGTAGCTCCGGTAGCATGTTGGCCGCGGGCATTCTGGGTTGTCACACTTGTAGATCTTGGCGTTGGCATAACCAAGCTTAATGGTGATGTTGCGGATCAGCTCGTTCTTGAAACGGACCGTCTGCACACCGGAGATGGCCTTCACCACGGTTGACTTTCCGTGAGCGACATGGCCGATGGTTCCGATATTGATGGTTGCTTGCCGCGCAATAATTTCGGGGGTCAGAGGACTCAGGGCTTTGATGTCAAGATCTTTGGGGTCTGTCTGGGGCGGCAACGGCGGTCGCTGGACGGCGGGGGCAGGTGCCGGGGTCTTCTTCAAAGCTGACTTGATGGGCTTTTCGGAAACCTCGTGGTCAGACTCGTGAGCCTCGACCTGCGACTCGTTGCCGGAGTCGGAGTCAGACTCGATGTCGTTGCCGAACTTGTCGCCGTTGGACGCCATGATGATGACTCTTCGGCGGGGTAATGATTTTTCTGCGCCCTCTCTTCCCGGGTGATTTCTTCTGTGACCCGGATCGGCTTGCCGCGGTGTGCGATGATCGACTCGAACGCCTGGTAGCGCGATGCACAAGGTTAGCGAGTCGGCGATGGTGGAGGGTATCTGCTAGGAAATCGATTGCGGTAAGAGTGCAGTGGTCGTTAGTTGATATTTCTCACGATTTTCGTGTGCAGTCATAGCCTGCCGTTCAATCCTTGCCAGTCAATTACTCAAGAGCCGCTAGGCCAAATGAGGATAAGAGCATTTTGCCCCACGTTTGGCGATAAAGTGCAGTTGTGCCCAAATGCGGGACGCTTGGACAAAACACTGTGCAAAGCAGAGTCACCTTCCGGTCTATTGTTCCATGGCATATGAAAGAGCGCCAGCTTGCTTGCAAGATGGTGCTATTTATCACATGTTTCTCTAGACAGTACAGGGCTTCATATTTGATGTTTCTGGTGGGCTCGTCTTGCCCTATCACACCAATCCTTCTTACCATGTGTCCTCCATTCTCTTCAACTTCTATCCTCCTCCTGTGGACGCCAGGACGCAGCGCAAGCTACCCGGTATCCCATCTGTCCCGCGAACATTCAATTGAACAGTCTCGTTGGGGCTTAGGCATTAAGATCTCTGCGTTTCCCTCACACACATGAAGTAGATAGATAGCCAGAAGGACGAGGGTTAGGTTTGACGAACGAAAAGTTCTCACTTCGAAACCTTTCCCGCGGAGTCAAGTTTCCTCACATAACAACCGGCTTCTACCAAATGAGGCGAGCTCGCACCGTGAGGTGCCATAGAAGGTTCAAAAATGCAGCGTTTCACTTAGCTTGTTCACCTAATCGGACAGCAAGAGATTTGGCCAGTCCCGACGATGTCCCCTTACCCACGTTTGGGGGAACGACCTCTGACAGAGAGTTCCACGGTTTCAACAGTTTCGTTTCGCCCACTCAGAGAAATTTCAGGGCTTGGACTCGGAGATTTCAATGAAACTTTTGCTTTGCCAAACCTGGTACTGGGCAGGCATTACACTCTGAAAGAGACTCTCTTCTCGGATCCAACTCTGTCCGGAGGGAAGCCGTTGTTTTAAAAAGACTTACACGCAACACAGCCTTAAGCCGTGTGGGAACCCCAAGTCTGTGCTGTGTCGTTCAGCCGTGAGGCTGGTGTTAGAAGTGTTTGAACGGCACTCGGCGCAGGCTCGGGACTTGGACGAACACGGGGCTCAGCCTTGTCGGCTGTTGGAAACGAACAAGGGGAGCAAGGATGGTTCCCCGAGTTCTTGAAGTAAGTCGAAACCAAAGAGACTGTCTCTCCATTACACAAAAGGCGGTCTACCTGATCCCGAGGTCGACGGCTCTCGCCGACAGGGGCCGACCTCTTATGACAAATTCCATGTCGGACCACTCTTGCTTGGCCCGTTCCACGGCATGAAGGGAGAGGTACTGGCTATCCTGCTGGTCAGCGATGACAGAGCGATGGGTCTCGCCACTTGCTGCTCTGAATGCTGGTTGAAAATCTTGGGGGCTATATATTTAGTATAGCGAGCTGCTTGAGTTGTAATGTGTGTAGCACTGGAGGGTAGGATAAGCTGACAGGTAGACTGCCGAGCCGTGTAAAGGCCGGGTGAGTGTTCCTGCTGTTCTCGCTTCCTCCTTTTTCTGGTTACACAAGAGGGCAAGCCAGTCCCGGTACCTTTGAGATTACCGGAAGGATGGAAGGAGGGCTAATTAATCAGTCTCGCCGCCCACCCGCTGATGATAACGAGCAATATCGACGAAGGTTTAAAAATACGGACGAAGTGGTGGGCAAAACTCTGGTTCCTACCTCCGTAGACGCGGTGAGCATGCACTGAACGAGCGCGATCCTGATAGCTGTCGGCGACGACTCTGTGCTTGGGGAACAGGGAGTCAGAAGCGACGCGTTGATCCATACTGATCTGACCGCTGCTAGACATCTAGATTGGAGTATTATTACGTTAAGGGTGATACTGTAGGAACATTGATGGGATCATACCTAACCCTCCCTGCAGCCCTGAAAAATCGAGGTGGTTGGATACAGCAGTCCGCAGTTTTTGTTCGAGAATGAAGTATCAACGGAAATAGCGCAGGAGCTTGATCTGGTGGTGCAGCCTTTGGTTGCCTTCTCGGTTGAGGGTTGTCCTCATCAGTCTTTCCAGCTCAATCGTCCAAGTCCCCCACCGACTGCAGCAGATGCTTGGCGGGCGGTAAAACTGCATGCCCATCACGCCGATCTAAGTCCTGATTGGCTGACTGTTTGCAAGCACTAGCCGGGACCTGTGAGCCGACGTTGATCATTGGCGTGTCGCCCCTCCTCTCCCGCTCTTCCCATCGCCTTGGCGCCCGCCTTCTGTGAATCTCGGCGGCCAACTTCGTTGTTCCATTCGGCGGAACAGGCTCAAAACCCAGCCGCCCTCGTCCAATGGCTCTGCGCACTTGCATACCCGCGTCCTGGCTGCGACGATAGTGCCAATGAGCGCCAGGATCCAAGAAGTGGGAGTCACGCTCGCCTCACCGTCCATCATGGCGGCCGTTGAGAACTTGAGAACACGCAAGCAGGTTTCTTGCGCCGTCGGGTACCTGAACGTGGGAGGTCTTGATGAGATGAAGCACTTCATCAGTTAGGACGACGAAAATCATGAACTCGGCCGTGGCGCAAGACGCTCTGAGAACAGCCTCCGTCATTCCAGCCCATAGTCCCGTGGCCTTCCGCAGCTGGCAGCATGCCAGACGGATTGTGGCCCCTGTCTCCCTCGACATGCAAGAGCTTCGGCACTGTTACCCCATGGCCCGTTGAACAAGGCGTGCTATCTTGAGAAAAGTCCAGCCCCTCATCTGCGGAACACGTTGCCCCCGGCCACTTATTTGCGCTAGAATGTCTCGCCGCTTCGAGATGCTCAGCGTCCTCCTTTGTTCCCTCTTCATCCCTGGTTCACATGCCCATTTTGAAGTGGACTCGACGGAACTCGTTCCCGAGACACACACGGCAGCAGACTGAGTCTTTTCCCTGCGTGCGGCTTCCCTCCTGCAACCGGCATTTGCAGCCCGAGGTCGTTTTCCGGGCCGCTGAGCGTCGACTCGCCAGTCATCCAGGACCGCTTGGTCAACCTGCTGGGCGTCTAAGCGCTCCGTCGCGACTTGCCGAGCTTGATTGGCACCTCACCCTCTGCCCTATCAGCGTGCTCACCTTCCCCCTTGCTCAGTGTAAGTGTTCCCCGGCGGCTTCGATTGCGCCCATCGCACCAACCACTCACATTCCCATGCAGAAGCGGAGCCTGCTGAAGCCGGGTGTGGTGTGTCCGCCAGAGCGCAGCGGCTATTCAAAACCATCATCCCCCGCAGAGGGCGCCTCCCGTTCCGGAATCCCTCTTCTTCTGGCAGCTGGCCTCATATCAACCAACCCTTTTCTCGGTTTCCTTCAACCCCCAAAGCTTGCGGCTGGTTTCAGCAGTTCCTCCTTGTGACTGCTCGGCTGTGCAACGCTGCGACTTGAAGAAGTGAAGACTGGTCTCTTCCTTCCTTTATTCTTTCTATAGCTCATAACATACCAACAAGCAACAAAGGAAGCGTCTGAGATCGCTCTCTATATCGTAGTCGCCGACCATGGGTCTGGATGAGAAGAAGCGGCCAGCGGCCCTCAACCTTGCGCCAGTCCGTACCATGTCCGCCAGCTCAGTTTCCACCACAGACTCGACATCTACATCATCATCACTAGCAAAGCCCCCAAGGACACCACGATTCGCCGAGGCAACCGCCGTCCACTCGCCCGTCGAGCCGCAAAGACTTCCCTTCTCCGAGAGGTCGCAAGTTGCCCACGCCCAACCAGGAGATGTCGGGTTTGGTTACATTGGGGCGGGAGCAAACAGGGAATCAGTCGCCATGCCCATGACGCCGAGGTCACCGTTGAAGAGCGCAATGAAGGTTCCCGGAACGCCAGGACGCGCCCTGGCGAACCCGTTGAGCCCCACGTTCTTGGAGGAGCAGGTCCTCGAGTCGAGGGAAAAGGCAACCGAGAAGGACCAGGCAAGGGATCTGGTAAGCCGGAGCGCCCACCGCAGCTACAAAATGGAATTTGACTGACACCATGGCAGAAAATCAAGACAAAAGTACGGATGGCCAAGTTCGCTTTGCGCGGCGTCAACTTCAGCTGTAGTCTCATCATCTTGTCCATGATCTCGGCCTCGTTCGCAATCTTCAACGCGACCAAGGCCCTGCCAGCGCTCAGCGGCCTGCCGCCATGGGCGGCAAACACCAATGCATGGCCTCAGAAAGTGGTTCTGGCCTGCGCCTGCGTCTCGTTGCTCATCTGCATCGGCGTCTTTGTCGGCTACTGTCGCGGCGGTCACCGCAGGGCCGAGAAAGTCGGCGTCTACTACACGCTGTTCGCCGTCGGCTGGTTCATCTTCAGCCTGGCCATGTGGGCAGCGGCCGCCGGCATCTTGCAGACGTCTCGGGCCAACAGCAACAACCAGGACATGTGGGGCTGGGCCTGCGTCCAGAACCGGCGCTCCCAGCTCTTCAGCCAGCAGGTCGACTACGCCCTCATCTGCCGCCTGCAGGACTGGACTTTGATATGCATCATCATCGAGCTCGTCGTCGAGGTCATTAGCATTTCCCTCTATAGCATCGTCTTCTATCGCTACTGGTCCAAGCGGAAGCTGCACAAGTCGATGGACATGCGCGACAAGGCCCGCTCCGACCTTTACCTCGCCCAGCTCCGCACCCAGTCTGCTCCTAACACGCCTGGTTTTGGTCCCAAGTCGCCCGCCTTCTCGCAATACGCCCTCTCGCCGCGGTTCCCGCCCTCCACCTACAAATCCCTGGGCGACATTGACGAGAACGCGTCCCCCTTCACCCCGGGCGGCAAGGGCCTCATTGTTCCGCAGTCGTCCTTCTCGCCCAAGCTCGACACGAGCTTCAAGCTCCAGGCGCCGCCTCTCAAGGCCAACCCGGCCACGCCGGCCACGCCCAAGGCCGGCTACAAGCCGCCTACCGCGGCCGATCTGTCGCCCTCGTCGACCACGTCACCTGCCGCCGCCGCCTTCGGGCCCGAGATCGTCAATGATCCTGCGCCCGTCGCCGAGGGCGAGCAGCAGTACGAGGCTGTCCCAATCCCGGGCGCGTACGCGGGCCAGGCGATCAAGTCTCCGCCGCCCGTGCAGACTACCTTCAACCTGCCGGGGAGGTATGCTTGAGTTTAGGAGTTGAGGAGGAGAAGAGTGCAGGATATTGCAATATACACTCGTTGAATGTCTTCTTCTTTTGATTAGCTGCTGCGAAGTCTCGGCTTTTCCTTTTTACCAAACACTTTTCTGTTTTTTTTTCATCCTCGATCTTGAAGGACATCAGTGGCGTTGTGGGCGAATACCAATCAAAGTGGGCTGGGTTCCTTGACTGTGTGTGCAGGAAAGGGCATTTATACGCGCTAATCTTGGGTTGCTTGGATATGGGGCGGGCCAACGTGTACAAGTAAACTTTTACCCCGAAGTTAAAGAGCGGTGAACATGGCGGGATGATGATGTTGATGAGAGTCTAGACCAGACAGACGTTGAGATACTTGAATGCCAGGTGCCCTTTGTCAGTCAACTGGACGGTATCAAGTGCCTTGGTTGTGACACGGGAGGGTGGGAAGGGTTCTTTGGGATAAACCGCTTCCACATCGGTCGCTGCCCTCGCTTCCTCCTTCACTGCAGTGTCATCCCCCCAGAAGCTGCAAGTCACTGTCTTCGCTCACTAAACGAAAAACCTAAGACCCAGCCAACCGGTCTTTGTTAGACTACGAACCACCATGGCCGACTCGGACAAGACGGGAGACAAGGGTGTCGTTCCCAGAGTCAAGGACGACATGCTTGGCCTGGGCACCGTTTCCCAACAGCAGCGAGAGGCGGGCATGAAGAACCGTAAAGAGGAGGACAAAGGAAGCAGTATGTCCAGGGCACGAAGAAGATGTCTGCAGCGGGAGCAGAGGTCAGATCCATATTCTGGGTCTCCTGACTCCTGACAGCCAGTGTGGGATTCTTGCCATGTACCCTGTCTAACCCATCTGATGGAAGTCATCATAACCCCATCAGCTTCTGTCCAGCACCGGAAGACTAGACTTGGGAGTTTCTTGTGTGTGACTGAGATTCCCTTCAAGCATTCAAATCTTGCCCTTTCCGAGGGTTCGTCTCGCATGGCTCCCTACGTTCATATGGCCGAGCGCAACAAACATGACGAGTGCCTGGCTTTCTCCGCCGACTCATTGACGTGGACTACGAAGTGGTGGGCTTTTCGAGGAACGACTGGGTTGGGCTCGGGGACTGCCAAATACGAAGGGCTCTTCAGAGGCACGTTCAATGTCGGCATACTGAGCACGCCTGCAGCAACGACAAGCTCCAAATCCGCTTCCCAGTCCCTGGGTCTGTCCACTCATCTTGGACGGATGAGAAGATGTGGAAGGAGGTGATGGTCTTCGGATCCCTCTGGGAAAAGCCCGGCAAGCCCGTCCCACGGGTACGCTGTTGGGGTCCGACTGTCGATAACCCCGGGCAGTTTGGGCGGTCTCATCATCATCATCATCATGACGGACGTTGTCGAAGGCGTGGATCTAAAGAGTCGCATGCATCAGCGACTAGGAAAGATGAAACCTCTGTCCTCGACTCTACCATCGACAACGAAAGGGCTACTGTAATATATACTAGCAGACTACAGAGTACCACACCTGCTAATGACCCGAATGTTCAGGTTTCGAGTAGGGGGCAAGGAGCCAACTAGTGATGCGTGCTTTTGTACCTCCTGTTAAGAGCCGTAGCCGAAGGGATGCTTTTCACATACATTAAGGTATTTTGGCCTGCACTAACAGGCGGGAAAGCCGTGTCAGACTCTCAGAGGAGAGACTGCACCTTCCTCGAGCACCAAACTGGACTTCCCAACGCGCCATCTTCCTTGTAAGCTTGTGTTATATGAGTCCGAGTCAGGCTTCCACGCCCAATGTCAGAAACACGGCTGATGTTGCTTCCATTCCAAATCGCCGCTATACCAGAGGAGAGCTACTTGAAACTTTGCGTTAGGCTTTGGAGAGCCGACCCTGGTTTGTTTTCTAAGTAATTTGAGTCTTGAACGAGCCCAACTCACATGTGGTCTCGGCACCATGGGGAAGTTGCAAAAATGGCTCCAGAGGACAGTGACTGTCGCGTTCATAAAAGCAAACGCAGACATGGACGAGGGCGACGTCTCGATTTGAAGTAGATGATAACCAGATCAGGGACCGGGGTCCCGACAAGGAGGACGCAAGGCCCTGGTCACAGCCAAGACATCGTGCCACGATGCGACGCTAACAATTATTGAAATTGAAGCTCCATTTCTCCTTCGCCCCTTGCGAAGACCTCCCTGATATCCGTGCTATAATAAGGTCAGTCGACGGACTGCTGGAGAGAGACATCGGCCGTGATCAGGCGCTGAAAATAGCCAAACCAGCGACAGTTAACCCGCGTCATCGTGCAGATCAAGTGCAACCCGCCGCACAACTTCCAGGTTGCAACGATGACTGCACCTGCTTCCGGACGCCAAGCCTGGCGCCAGCTAATACGCAGCACTTCTTCGAACCTGCTACAGCGACAACCACTGCAGCCCCGATTCGCACTCGGCCGCCCGATCTCTTCTACGACACGATCTTTGCCCCGTCGCATCGTCACACGGTCTCCGTCCGCCTTCCTCCGCCAGCAGCCCGTCGCGCAACGCTCGTACAGCTCTCAGGGCCAGCCCCCTCCACCGAGGGGTAGCAATAACCAGGTCAAATTCTGGCCCTTTTTGATTGTCATCGCGCTGGGCTCTGGAGGTTACATATTGCTGGTTAACCAACGGAAAGGTAAGTTACCGTAGCCTAGAGGGTTCGGGGCAGGAAGAAGGCGGAGTCGCAGAAAAGGAAGAGTCTGCCGGCCCCACGCCGTTACACCACCGGCTACACAAGGCAGCGCAACATATACCAGCCTTTCCAGCCTGCTCTCCTTTTCTCTGTCCTCTAGTCTATCACACACCCGACGATCAGCACAACATGCCTTATTAGCTCACCACTAACCACCTTCTCAGAAATGCCTCCCACCAACCAATCCACCCCGGCCTTCTCCCCCGCCGACGTAACGGTCCTCTTCGTGCTCGGCGGCCCCGGCGCCGGCAAGGGCACACAATGCGCGCGCCTCGTCCGCGACTACCACTTCACGCACCTCTCGGCGGGCGACCTGCTGCGGGCGGAGCAGGACCGGCCCGGGTCGCAGTATGGCCAGCTGATCAAGGACTGCATCAAGAATGGGGCGATCGTGCCGATGGAGGTGACGGTGGCGCTGCTCGAGAAGGCGATGCGTGACACCATCTCGGCGACGGGCAACAAGAAGTTCCTGATCGACGGGTTCCCGCGCAAGATGGACCAGGCCTTCAAGTTCGAGGAGGTCGTGTGCCCCGCCCGGCTGGTGCTCTTCTACGACTGCCCCGAGGCCGTCATGGAGCGGCGGTTGCTGGAGCGCGGCAAGACGAGCGGGCGGGCCGATGACAACGAGGAGAGCATCCGCAAGCGGTTCCGCACCTTTGTCGAGACGAGCATGCCCGTCGTGGACCACTACGACGCTGAGAACCGCGTCGTCAAGGTGGATGCCACCCCGCCGCCCGACCAGGTGTACGCCGAAACGCAGGTCAAGTTGAAGAAGGTTCTCGGGGACAAGTTGTGATCGCTTTGGCGGGCTCACGTGGGAGCATCCTTGCCATGCCTCATGGATGACGGTAGACTTCCGGGTTTCCTATGTATAGACTAGACGGGAGCGAGCATTCCTTGATTTATGTGGCGATTTGTTACCTCTCTTTGTTCCTTTCCTAGAACGTTTGATTCTACTGTGATCTTCAGTAGCAGACAGTGCCTTTCCTCCAACAGAGGGACGCATCAAATGTCCCAGATGCTATAGCGTAGTGTAATCCGCACCAATTGCTGCAAGTCATGCATGCCCCGTACCGTCCACCCTCCATTGTGCTAGACCCAAAGCCAGCCAGCAAACCATGGTGCCCAGGATATCTCTCTCCATGCGAAAAAGAAGCACCTATTGAATGTCTAACTTCTGCCCATTTTGGTTCCAACTCCAGACCAAATCAAGCAAAAAGTGCCATGATACCGTTCATGAGTTCCGAATCCATGCCGTTCAATCGTCCTCATCGGTGCGCTGCTTCTGTTGGCGGCGACGATCACCACCCTGGCCGCCACTGATGCCAGCGTTGGCGAGCTTCCGCTCAAGCTCCTGCTGTTCCCGCTCGCGCTGGCTCTCCACATCTGCCTGCGATTTGCGGAGGTGGGAGATGAGCCGGTCGACGACGGCCTTGTACTGGTCGACCCGGGTGCCCAGCTCGCGCCACTGCTTCTCGCCAAATACGCGGTACGTGGTCCGGTGGACCAGGAAGACCTTTTGTTGCTGAGACAGCCGGCCCTCGACCAGCTTGGCCCGAACCACGTCAATCGTCCACATTTCGACATTCTCCGGGGGAATTTGCAGCGCCTTGGCAATGTTGTCGTACGGGATCTCGCGGGTCGGTGTGCTCGCCGCCAGACTGGCAAAGGTAAGGAGGCGCATCTTGCGCTGCAGTTTCTCATGGTCGAGATTCTCCTTCTCGATCCAGCCTTCGTGCTCATCTCTGAAGTCGTTGTAGTCCTCGAGATCCTGCTCGGCAAAAATGTCGAGCAGCTGCGAGTAAACGGGCTGTGAGTCGCTAAGCGCTTGGACGGTCGGGAGAGCGCGCAGATCTTGGAAGTCGAACCGTGTCGGGGACAGAATGGCCATGCGGACGGCCTTCAACGAGAGCCTCTGGGCCTCCTCCGAAGTGATCTCCTCCTGCTCGTCGCGGTCGAAGGTGGCGAGCGCCTTGACGAGGTAGTGGTACGACTCCCTGTGGTTTCCCCCGTCAGCATGGCTCGATTCGGCCAGGTTCCCCAAGCTACTCACTCATCGTCACCAGCGTCCGCGGCGGCATCTGATACTTCAACAAGCAGCCTGCGCTGGTCGTCCTCAGTCGTGTCCCACGCATCGAACCAGCCCTCCAGGTTCTTTAACCGCGGCTTGAGCACCTCGTACTGGCCGTGCTGTCGGATGAGCCGGATGATCTGCAAAAAGACATTGTATCGCAGCGGGTTGTTCCGCTCAAGAAGGTTGAAGATGGTGCTGAGGGCGTTGATGGCGAGGGTGAAGCCGTGTACCGGGGACGATGTGATGGGCTTTTGGAGGTTGCCGCAGACGGTGGGGAGGAACTTCTTGGGGTCCTTTGACTGCAGGACGAGGTGGATCAAGAGGTTGTACGCGCCAGCGAAATCCTTCTCCGGGACCGAGTTGAGGTGGTTCGAGGCCTGGACAATCAGATGTAGCGCCTCGTCATTCTTCTCGTCGTCGAGATACGGCTTCACCTTGTCGCCGACGTGGAGGTAATCGGCCATCTCCTGCGCCAGCTCGGCAAACGAGCCGTCGACGAAAATCAACTGTGGAGCCGCCATCGTACTGACGGTAGGCCCGGTCACTCGAGGTGTGGTGCTGCCGAAAAAGTTGAAGTGATCGGTCGCGCCCTGAAGAACTTCCTTGATGTGCTTGTTGATTTGATAATCGCTCCACGGGCTGTAGCTCCTGGGCGTCCGAGGTGGTCTGGGCTTGGGATTGGGAACGCAGGGTTCCTTTTTGTCGTCGGGCCTGGGTGAAACTGGGATTGCCGGAGGGGTGACGGCGTCGTGAAAGTCGTACGGAGTAAGGTAGCCCCCTGGTGGCAGCGTTCGGACAGGAGGTTTCGGTTTCTTCGTCTTGCCCTCACCTGTGGCCGTTCCTGCACCAAGTCCTCCAGAATTTCCTGGCCCCGCATTCATCGGGCTCGCCATTTTTCCTGGTGTGGGTGGTTCTGTGCGGCTGGGTCACGTGAACGTAACGCTAAGCGATATTGGAAAAGTAAGCGAGAAGCTGGTGGTGAGTGGAAAGTGGGGCAAATGGTGGCCCCGAGAACTTGTGTACATCCGATAATCTGAGCATGGAATGGACCGCAGGCATCAAGACCCCAACAAAACCACAATGCCGTCCTGAAAGGTCTTGGTGATAAACCATGAGGAACCGGCGAAACTTGTCATTGTATGGCTTCAATAGCTCCTTCTGTCGACTATCCTGTATGGACCAGCTGTCTTGACTGCACTTCAGTACACTGTTGACCCACACACAGGAGGGAGAACTTCTTGCAACCTGCCTCTTTTCCTCAGTTGTATGGAATATTCACTTTCAGCCGAAGGAGAATTTGGACCGCCCTTATCGCTATTACCTATTTGGAGCACCCAAGTAAGTGCAATGGCTACGTCGCCGCCGCGGATGCGATCGCAACGCCATTTTACTGTCAACCCGTCGTCTCCTGGAGCCGCCCATCCCGCAGTCGAAGGTAAAGTACGCTCTGTAATTGATTCAACAACACGATCAACGGCACAACAGCGAGGAGTGTTCTGCTTACATCTTGACTGCACTGCACTGTTATGAGACTTCTCTGTGTTCCCAGGCACCCAATATCATCGAGATGACTCGTGCACACATCACCCACCCCCTCTGTTGGATGCAGAGGAGTCACACCAAAAAAAGCAATGGAAGGCCACTTGACCCCGCGATCCAGTCATGACCACACCGCACAGCTCCAGCCCTACCAACTACCAGATTTCACCCCTGCATCAAAACAAGGCCAATGCAGCTTGGTGTGCAGCGGATCAATCCAGGGCCGGTCTGTGAGTCCAGTCAGCCCGGGTTAGGTTGACAGCGGCGGGTCCCAGCCGCGAGTCAAGGAGTTCCCTGTCGTGCAAACGCGGCTGCGCCCCGGTCCCGTTCGGATTTCCAAGCTCGAATGATTGAATGAGCCTTCTCGAGCCTTCCCACGAGGCCTCGCGCATTTTCCAGACAACCCGCAAGTTTAACAGGCTGCCACACCACAGCCCTTCCCTTGGCCGCTGGGCCGCCCACACTTTTCGGTCGCCAATTAGTTACTCATTGCGCCGCTTCGACTTGCTACTTGAGGTAATCAGTTTGGTCACGTCGACTCTGGCTCATCTCGGCTCCAGCAACCATGGCTCCACGGGCTGAAGGCAGCCACAAGAGAAGCCGGCCAGTCTCTGTAGGTGCCTACTCGCTATTTCTTTGGCGAGCGCCCTATCCTTGATGGCGACACGCCCGCCAGGCATGCTTCGGCGATTAATCTTCTGGTTGCAGGGTTCGCCCGCCGACGAACAAGAATCCTTCAACAAGAAGGTCCGTCGCTCCGAGCGGCTATCGCAGCGCGCCGACCATGGCGGGCTTAAAACCCCCGTGCAGCACAAACACCACCTTCCCTCGCCCGTGACACACCTCGCCAGCGAGAGCACCACCGATTTCGACAAGGAAACAACCGCCACACCTCCCCAGGAACGCCCGAGCCAAGAGGCCCGTCGCCGGGGCGATGACAACTACTCCCAAGGGCTGGCCTTCAGCTCCCCGCCGCAGGATACGCAGGCATTCAGTCAGCAGGACATCGATCCTAATGCCCCCTTGGTCGAAGGCGTCGACGAGCTCAAGGAAGGCGTCTGGGGCTATCTCCTTCCGCTAGACACACGCTTTGTGCGAGCGCCTGTGGTGCTGAAGAATAAAGGGACTTGCTCGGGTCCCGCGGCCTCTCTCGAGACCAGCCAGGCGGCGGGTGCCAGGAGCAGCGGGAGGAGGGGACAGAGAGCATCAGACAAGGAGCAAAAGGGCTGCTCTGCGGCTTCCGGAGGATACGTGATTGGACGACACCCTGAATGCGGTACGTTTTGACAGGACACGGCATCCAACAGACAAGAGCACTGACCTGCGTAGACATCAGGGTGGACGACCTGCAAGTGTCGAATCGACACTGCTTAATCTTCACCGAGAATAAGGGCAACAGTACGGTGGCCGTTCTCGAAGATCTCTCCCGAAACGGGACCTACGTCAACGAGGCTTACCTAACGCGGAACGATAGGCGGGAACTGCAGGAGGGTGATGAGATTTCGGTCACCAGCACCAGTCCGGGCTTCATCTTCAGGTATCCCAGGTGCCGACACGGGAAACCGTTCGCGCAGCAGTACACACTGCGGCAGAAGCTGGGGAGCGGCCACTTTGCCCAAGTATTCATGTGCAGTGAGAAATCGACAGGCGACTGCTATGCGGTCAAGAGATTCGCCAAGACCCCAGGCGTCGAGGATAAGATCAAGTACGAGGGCCTGCACCAGGAGGTTGCTATGCTCATGGGCATCAGCCACCCAAATGTTCTCTGCCTCAAGGAGACGTTCAACGAGCCCGAAGCGGTGTATGTGGTGCTGGAGTTGGCCCCCAACGGCGAGCTGTTCAACTTCATCATCGAAAATAAGAAGTTGACCGAGGCTCAAACTCGGAGGATTTTTGTTCAACTTTTTGAGGGCATCAAATACCTGGTAAGCACGTCCCTTGCTTATCGTGCAGTTGTGGATCTCGTCCTAACATTGTGCAGCATGACCGCGATATGATTCACCGGGATCTCAAGCCCGAGAATATCCTGCTCATGGACGACGACTTGACTGTCAAGATAGGTGATTTTGGGCTTGCCAAGATTGTTGGCGAGGAATCCTTCACAACGACTCTTTGCGGCACGCCCAGCTACGTGGCGCCGGAGATTCTGGTCAACAACAAGCAGCGCAGGTACACCAAGGCTGTAGATATCTGGTCTTTGGGCGTGGTGCTCTACATCTGCCTCTGCGGCTTCCCTCCGTTCTCGGATGAGCTCGAGAGGGACGATTTCCCCTATAAGATGGTGGATCAGATCCGGAAAGGACTCTTCGATTATCCCTCGCCCTACTGGGATCCTGTCGGCGACCCGGCTCGTAAGCAGTCCCCAAAATCCCTGCCCCCGCTGTAAGTTGTCATCTAACCATTCCTCAGTCGACCTCATCGACTCAATGCTAGTAGTAGACCCTGAGAGGCGCTTCACAGTCGACCAGTGCCTCGCCCACCCTTGGCTGACGCAGAAACCGCCCGGTGTGAACGACAGCACTAATGGCCTTGTCTCTGGCCTCGCCGGGCTGGAGATGAGCCGCCGCGGGCCTTTCAGGGAGCGCACGTTGATCAGCTCCATCAACACGGTACACGTCACGGACCGCGTGCCCGCGGGTGCCGGGAAGCCAGACGTCAAGGTCTATTCGAAGAACCCCAGGGGAGGCGCGCCGCCTACGCCCAAGAGGGAGATGCGGCCGGATGATAATCGAGATCCGGGTGAGTTCATGGAGATGGGTGGGAAAGGCGATCAGGCGTTATATGTCGATGACAACGGGAGTCGGTACCCCGAGCAGGACATCGCGGGCAAGCAAAAGGGGAAACACAAGGGAATAGGGGGCCGCTAGGCCGGTTGATTGATAAACTGGACGGTTGAAGGGTGCTGGTGTTGGTTTCATGTGGGAACATTTGGACCAGTGACCGCGCATCAGGTGCGGCTGGATCTGTAATTGTCTGCTTATGTTGTGGGAGTTACCGGCGGGTTCATTTCGTTCCAGGATTATGTCTTCTTGAAACCCAGGGTTGCGTGGGAAGTTGTCAGATTCATCATACTTCAGGTCACACTGTGTTAGTCAATGGGATACATCAGGTTATACTTCCGGTGTTGGTCTGAAGTCATTAGTGATGGATACTAGCAAGGGAACGAACCCACAAAAAGACAAGAAGAACTTGTCCAGGGAAAATTGTAGCTGACTTATGGTACTGCTAGGAGCTCCAAACAATCAGTGTAGACACAATTATAAACACACATTGCGTTACTCTACCATAATGGATCAACTCCAAGCCGTCTCCCTCTCCAGTCGTTACTGGATCAAGCCAAGCACGACGACACCTTCCCTACTTCCTTAGTACGACAACTACATCACCTTTAAGATCAGCTTCAGTTGGAGATCACCCAACTTCTGTGAGACTTTTCCTGTGCGACTTCTGTCCAACTCCTCCGGTCCGACTCCTCCGGTCCTATATGTCAGGTCCCTAGGAGTAACTAAACAGCTGTGAAAGCAGCCGAGGACCACTCGCCATGGATCACAGCCACACACTGAGAACCATCTCCGTACATTGTTATGTATTGCTTCATCATTACGATTATGCCTACCAACCCCAAGCCCAGCCCAGCCGCCCAGCCGGCCCAGTCCAGCCCAGCCAAATGCGATCCCATCCCATCCATCCATACACGCCGGCCTGAGTTCATTCCAAGCAATATTATACCATACAGCAACAGAATACTCCTCACACTCCATCCCGTCCCTCACTTGAGGCCCCCTTAATATTCCATCTCCATATCAGAAGACCAAGACAGCCGCGATTGCTTGAACGCACAACCCCGATTTCCAAGCGCTCAACCATCTTCTCAAACTTGCTCTGTGTCTCTCTCGGGCATGCGCCAAGTCGAGCTGGTGAAACCCAACTCGCTCCCCGACCAGCACAGGCAAACTCATACACACAAAGAAAACAACATATGATGCCATGAAGAATGGGGAAGGGAAAAAGGACTCTATGGAGCACGATGCGAAGCAAACATTCCCTCCCACCATAGCCCTGACAGTCACACAGAGCAGACTGTGCGCGTCATACAGAAGAACAACCCCTCCGCCTACCGCCCCTCAAAAATGGCACGCCACACGCCCCCAACGCGCTCTAGCGTTCCGGGATGGGCGTCTTGGCCAGCCTGCCGCCAGCACTGACCCGCTTTTGGAGCCTGGCCTCGCGCTCGCGCTGTAGCCGGTCATTCTGACTCGACATGGCTGTGCCCGAGCCCGTCGAGGCGTCGTACGAGCCCGACGCCTCGATGGCTGCTTTTCTGCCGCGTTTCATCTCGAGGTAGGCTTGCGCCGCCAGGCTGAGGGGCACTGGTGGCGGAGAATCTGGAATCTCGGCGCCGTTTTGGATGAGGAGCTCCGCTACAGGGAAGGGCACCACGCGGTCGACGGTCGGGGTGGGGTGGGGTTGCGCCTGGGTGGGTATTGGTGAGGGCGGGGCTGGGTCTGCTGCCGCTAGCGCAAGGTAGACGGCGTGCGTGCCGCGGGACTTGTCGGTCACGTTGGGGTTGGCTCGGAGAGCCAGGGCGTAGAGGATTTGCTGAATCTCGTTGCGCTTGATCGCCGCCAAAAGGGTATCATCTGCGGTGCCATATCTCGACAGGGTGGCCGAGAGGGGCTCGACGTAGGCGCGGTCGACATACTTGGCAGTGATGAACTTGAGCCGCTGTTCCCGGTTTGCCTGAGGGGTGAGCTTCATGGCCGGGTCCAACCTGGCTTCAAAGACCATGTTGGATACCCTATTGCCAACAAGGAGGAGAAGCTCAACGATGTCGGGCGTAAACGAAGTTGTGTCGAGGGTGAGGGAGCGCACTTTGCTGACGTGTGTCCCCAGCGACCGGTGGATGCCGCTGCACTCGATGCACACAATAATGGCGAGGTTGATGGAGACCCATTCAACTTTGTTGTTGGACCCGCAGTCGGCGCACCAGCAATTTCCTTGGTCGTTCTCGCGCAGCATCTGCAGCAGCTTGTCGGGCTTCTCCTCGAAACTGTTGCCGCGCGCAGTGCTAGGTCGCGCGCCAACAGTTGTCCGCCTGAAGGGGATGGCGCTTGTGCTGTGGCTAGTGTGGCCGACCGACGAGCTCTTGCCCACCAACATCGAGCCTATGTCCATCCCATTGAAGCCCATGTCCGCATGGGCCGTCGCCGGCGGCTTGTCCTTGAATGACCGGCCCTCAACGGCACTTTGCAGCGCATTGTTGATAGCCATGATCCAATTATTCATATCCTCTTCAGATGTTGCTTGGTAAACACGCTTATACTGGGGCGTGATGACTTCAAAACAGAAGCGTCGGTCTGCGTTCCTGGCCTCCCGGACTGAAGCAAGACGTAAGTCAATGGGTTCCATGTGGAGATCCAGCTTTTGCTTCCAGTTGCTGTACTCGGACAACTTTCCTTGGTCCAACACAATCCAGAACCTGTATGCTGTCAGTGTCTACACAAAGGTGGGTTATTGTACGAATCGAAAAACATACTTATGCCAGCCCTGCTTGTTCAGGTTTCGCGGGTCGACGTGACCGCCAGGACGGTTGAGCGCCCAGAGCAGACCCTCCTTCCTATTTGGCGCATCCTTATCAGGTTGCACCGCTTGATTGGGGTCCCTTTCCTCGAGATCGCGAATGCCCTTGAACTTATTGTTCTGCAGAGGGCTGCCGACGGAACCATGTTGACTAAGGCTACCCGGTGACCTGGATAGGTCGCCCGCATTCGGTGAATTGCCAGAATTTATGGAACGCGTCGGCCTGAGCTGGGATCCAGTGCTGTCTGCGCGATTCATTTCGGTGTCGGAGTTGGACTGAATCCCATTGGTATGGCCGGCTGAGGGACTGGGACCGGATGCGGTCGAGGGCGGCTCGGGCTCGTTGTACGGGAGATTACTCTTTTCGAGAAGCCTTCTCTTCTCTTCACGCTCACGGCGTTGGTATTGATACTCCTTGTCCGCCTCCTGGACCTCAGTGGACAGCGCTTCGAGCTGTGGGAGCAGCTCATCGACCTTCTTCGCGGTGCGCAGAAAGTACCTAGCTTGGGCATCCGCGTACCTGGTGAGGTGCGACAAGATCTCCTGCTCCTTGCGCCCGCCGGTAAGGTCCTGCATGAAGGAGGAATAGTCAAACCGCTTCAGCTCGAAGTTCTTGCGCTTCGTCTGATACTTGGAATCGCTCTGTTTCGCCTTGACGGAATCGTGGCGCTGCCCGAGATACCGGCTGACGTAGGCGTAAAACTCCTTGCTCTCCTCTTCAAAGTCGCGCTTTTTGGATTCTGCCTGTTTGATATCCATCTGGTAGAGCTTGTTCACGGGATCAATGACAATCTTTTGCAGGTTAGCGGTGTTCTGCCGCTCGTACGACAGGATCTCGCGGGCGATCTTGTCAAAGTAGTGCTCGATGGCAGGCTGCACAGCATTTGCATTAGTTGCCGAAACTTCTTTCAGGGCGTCCATGAAGGCAGCGAAGGCATCGTTGGCCTCTTGCTGCGCCTGGTAAACGTGTTCGGCCCTTTTGATTAACCGCTTCATTTGCATCCTCATGTTGCCAGTCTTTTGCTCAAGCGCCTTCATGGTCGCCCTGAAGACCGGCCCGTCGTCTGACATGATGTCGTCTCCAGGTCGAGGGCAAGAGACATCGACCTTGATGGGCTCCTTTGGCGCCGGCGGTGCAGATGCTAGGCTGTTTGCCGTGTCGGCGGCAGCCTGCTGGGGTGAGGCAACTTCTTCGTGTTCCGGAATGGTACTAATTTGGGACTCGAGAGACTGCGCGGACACGGCGCGGACCTTAGGGGGAGCACTCAGGAGAGGCGGGGTCGGCGAATTAGGCTGGCTAAGGTATGGGGATGTGTCTAGTGAGCGTGAGCGCTGTCCTCAGACTAACAAGTGGCACCGAGGAGACGTACTTGTGACATAGAAGGAGAAGCTAGCCAGAGTGATCAAGCGATGTGCTCTTTGGTCATACTCGACGAACTATACCAGTGTCAGCAACTCCGAGAGAGGGGATGTGTGGAAGCACCGACACTGCATGAGTTCCTCCAGCCGCCGCCACGGTCTTCGGTGCTCTTGGGCGGTTTCCAACGCCATGTCCATTCGAAGGTCACTGAGGCGCTGCCCTCGGTCGAATAGGTCCCGACAAGCGCAACGTTCGCATTCTTGTGAAGGTTGGGGTCGGCGTGGAACTCTCGAGTCACCAGATTTTCGACTTCGCGGGTATTGGAGGCAAACACAAAGGTAAGGCCATTTATATGGGTGTCCACGGGCGTGACCGTCTCGATACCTCCTGCCTGATTCTGGACGATGTTTTGTGACTGGCGAATGACAAAGGTAAAGGTGAAGACTAGGTCGTCATCGTTGGAAAGCTTCAGCAGGAAGCCGGGGCCTGCACCGGGATTGGTTTGCTCGGTATCCTACAGCAAAGCAATTAGAGATGATTGCCACACTTAAGACCTCTTATTATCGGTCGCTACATACCAAAACAAACTCTAGAGGACTAGGGTCGCCGGAGGCTCGCGATGCAGATACTCTCGTAGCCGGGAATGCATTCGGAACGATATTCATCGAGGTGCGCCGTTTCGTGCTAGCTATGACAGCGGAAGAGATAGATACTGCGTGCGAAGGTCAGCCATTTCGGCGTCAATATGCAGTGAAGCCAAACAGCAGCGGAAGCAGGAATCGGCCACGGGCAGAGCGCATTCATTGAGTTTCGGGGGCATTGCACAGACCCCGGATCATTCTACTGTCGCACGACGGGGAAGGTGAGGCGGGGGCACTTACATCGATTCTGATCTCTAAGATAGAGAGGTGCACCCTCTTCGGGCACACTACTGACGTTGCCCATCTCGGCGCCGAGAGTGCGAGCGAGGGTGCGGAAAACCGACTGTCGTCGGAGTGGCAGAAAGGCCAAGTCAGGTTGAGGCAGGCGGGCAGTCGAAATCCAAACGAAGTTCCAGGTTGGTGACGGGGTTCACGGCGGCGCAGCGGGGTTGCCTGTTCGATTCGGACGGGCCGGCAGGGGCACTGGACACGCAGCAAGAGCTTCTGAAACCCTGCAGTGCCAGGGGCTGCTTGTAACGGTTGCTCGGGTAAAGCCCCTGTAATTCATAGGCCCACCTCCAGACGGGAAGTACCCTAGGTTCTTCAGGTGACACAGCTTCTATTCTTCAAAAGATTCTCCACAAAGTAACTAGTACTTCATAATCTTCCTCTAATTCTCGCTCTACATGAAGGTCCGTTGGACTGCGATCATGGTACCTTACCCAAGGTATCAATCGAACCTTCCAGGCTGTCTAACTTTTTGTGAAGGAACATGACCTCCATAGCCACCAGCGAGATCAGTCGAGATGGCACGGGAACATGTGAATGAGTGAGAGCTGCGCCGTGACTCGACAACTTGGAACGACAGTGGACGGGTGGAGTTGCTAGTGTGCAGGTATACCACAGTACGGAGTGCTTGGCGATCGTCCAGTCTTGAATCTGATTGTAGCTCAATATACGATAAATAACATCTCAACTTCTAAAGAGCTGTCATTCAACTTTGTTGCTCTCCATTGCAATGAAGCCATGCCAGTGTCAACTGGGTTGGTTTGCAACCGTGGCAAAAGAATGCCTGTCAATGGCGTCCATTCCGCTGAAAGACAGAGTGGTCTTAAACCACGTGAACCAGCTTGCTATGTTTCTATTTTGGGAGCAACTTCCTTATCTCACGAACATTGCTTCCCCAGGTTTCGGAGGATCCCGATGTGCATTGGTCCACCGCACCTGTCAATCAACAAGGTCCAAGATGACCGTTTAGCGGTGACTAAGGTAAGTACGGTATGTGCTGTACAAATACTGCCGTTGGTCCAAAACGGTAGTCAGGAGTGGCTTCCCTTAGAGTTAGAATCTGCCCTGGCTTCACTTCTCTGCAGGTAAGGTACATACCAGGAGACCTTCTTCAGGCCCTTTGTCTTGACCTTTCAAAATCTCGTTGGGGGACTGATTGCCTCGTATAACGAACATTTTCGGAATTGCCGTATGTACTCCAACCCGGTTCTTCGTCGACCTGGACTATATTTTACACCGTAACCATCGTTGTTGAGGTACAGTATCGTCAAGGTACATAGTCTCCGCTAATACGGAGTACCGACCACCCTGCATTACGAGCCCCTCCCGCATTGCCCCATCCCTCATGGCAGGAAACGTTACAGGGCATGCCTTCCCAGGTTATGACGCTTCTGATCCAACCTCAGTCCCGTCGTTTCAACCTTTCCTGCTGGCGCCAACGACCTGCCAAAAGCAGAGGCATCTGGACAACCTGAACTCTATTTGCACTCCATCATTTTGACGCTGTCGAACTTTTGCCAACCTAACTTCGTCCGAGATCCTATGCGCTTGCCGCTGGCTCCATGAGGACGGGCCTGTGACCTCGGTCGACAATCGCCCAACGTACCTTAGCTCCGCCCGACACTGGTGGCCAACCTTTGCTTTCAACATGTCGACAGCGTCGCGCTCTTCTTATCACCCAAGCCGCCGGATCGGCAGTGTGCAGAGCGTGCTGGATGACGAGCGCCGGAGCCGCACATCAACCAAGCCACGCGCTGCACCTGTCAGCTACGACGACGCATACTCGTACGCCGTCCGCATCGCCTTCCTCCGCTACCTCCTTCAGCCCAGGAAAAAGAGAAAGGAATATGTCAGCGCACCAAAACCCCCGCCGCGCGTCCACACCTCGAGCGTTACCGAGCTGGTCAAGGAACTCGTCCCTTCGGGCTCGACGTCGGTGAAGCTGCCCTCGGGCTTCCGTCACTCCCTCGAGAAGCGCATGTCTGGTGTTCTCCAAGGCATTGAGAAGCTGCCCGGATTTAGCGATGCCGCTGTGAAACGCACCTTTGCCGAGGCCTACACGGCCTTCACCGCGAAAGACTTTCAGAAAACTATCGACAAGGACCGCAAGGTTGAGCCACTGGTTCTAATCTTCTACTCCTCGGCCGCCAAGGCTCAGGGTCGCGGCAAACCCGCCGACGACCACTCGTGGAAGGTGCTCGTCGACAGGCACCTGGCCATGTTCATCAGACTGCTCAGCAGCATTCTCAGGGAGAAGGGGGATGTCGAGCTCGTTACTCGCCTCAACACGCTCGAAAAGAAGCTCATGAGCAACGACCAGAACCTGTATCTTGACACGGGCCAGGAGGACCACACCTATGTCGAGGTAGAGATCCCGTTGAGCTATGAGGTCAAGGACATGCACATGGTGCAGCTCGTTGCCAAGATCTTTGGCGTCACCAACTCTCAGGTCCAGGCCGACATCGACCGAAACACGTCCGCCTGGACCGAAGAAGCGGCGCTGAAAGATTACAAGGCATACCAGTTCAGGCTCGCAGCTGGCATGGCGGGAACCTTGCGGAAGCACGATTTCGACGTGGATGAAGCATACGACGAGTGGAAAAAAGGGGAGGCTCCGCACTTGGCCAGGATTTTTGCTGAAATTTTGAGCGTCCGCCCAGATCTCAAGGCGGGATCTGGCGGAGCCAACGATAAGCCACTACCAGTTCGGCCTCATTCCATGTATGAGGACCAGGCCTATGCCGACCTGAGCAGGATGCTATCCAGTCCTGAGTCCCCTACGACGAACCTCGATCCCTCGTTCGGCTTCCAATCACTTTCCCTAGATGACACAGCCAGCATCCGGAGCGTCGACGAACCGAGCTATACCTTCATCCCCCCAGATCCACGCTCCGTCTACAAGGTCATTCTCCAGTATGTTGTATCGTACGATCAGCTTCACTCGGATACGTCTGCCTCGCCCTTGTCTGAGGAGACGACGGAATTCTTGATAGAACTCGCTGTGCGCTGGCGTATCCCGCAGTTCTCTCGTCATGTTGCCTTTGTCGAGGTTACAACCCGCAAATTCCTTGACCAGGAATTACCCCCCGCGCAACTCTACGACTGCCTAGACCTCGTAAAACAGCCCCTGGAGGAACCAAAAAAGCCGGTTCTTATCCAGATGTACACATCGAGGCTGAGCGACATTGACCCCAGCAGGTGGACCATTGTTGACTTTGCGGGCTATCAGCAGTCCTTGAGGGACCTGCATGACGCGTTGTTGCGGGATCTCTTCGATCTCCTGATGCGCTGCTACGAGCCGAAGCCGCCAACTATCGGCGTGATTATGGCCCTTCTCAACAACCACGTCTATCCGGACCCCGCCTTCTCGCAGCGGCCCAATGATGTAGCCGAGTTCTCACAACAGCTCGACAACGGGTTGCGCCAACAGGCCGCCCAGGTGTACAAGAATTTCCTGGATACGCACATCCCGCGCAGCCAGCGAGATTGGGACTTTGCCAATGTGGTCAAGCTGGGCAAAGCCGTCGTCGAGCTTGCCGAGAAGATCAAGAAACGATACCGCAACAACCCGGAAATCATGGGTGTCAGCCCGTTCAAGGCCCTGGTGGAGACGACGCTGCCGAGCTTCGAGGAGGATTGCCACGAAATCATCAAGCGCGTGCTCCAGATTGCCAAAGAAACAAATATCGATATGGAACTTCAAGACGGGTTTGACCTGTACAAAGAGCTCGTCGAAATCAGGAAGATGCACGTTGAGGCCCTCCCCGGCAAGCCCTTCGCCTTCCACATCGAAGGCCTTCTTGAAAGCTTTGTCTGGCGATGGATCAAGAACGTCGACGACAAGATGCCGGGCTTCGTCGAGGAGGCCATCAAGCAGGACCAGTTCAAGGTTCGAACTCGTCATGAAGGCGACATACCAACCGACGACGAGCGGCATAGTGTCTCCATCATCGATATCTTTACCCTGTTCACTCAGACGATCGACCAGCTTTTGCAGCTCGAGTGGAATGACGAAGTCCATCTGGCGCGCTTCATGACGGCTCTCGCCAAGTCGTTCGCTGCGGGCATCGGGCGATACTGCGAGATTGTCGAACAGCAGTTTGCTAGGGAGATGGATCGGCAAACCGCCGAGGAGGTCGCGGCCGCATCCAAGACGGCGCAGGAGAGGTGGTTGCAGTACGCCAAGGACGCCTGGAATACCAAAGATAAAATCCAGCCATTCCAGTTCTACCCTCAGGTCAGTTGTATCCCGCCTTGATAGCCAGCCGTTGCTGTCTGCTGACTTCCAATACAGTCCTTCGTAAAGTTCAATAACATCGAATGGGCCATGCAAGCCTTGGATAAGCTAGAAAAGCGCATGAATGTGGATGCTTGCGCTGAGCTGCTCAACAAAGTTGATGGGCCTAAGCATCCCACGAGGCGGCCAGCACATTATGTGTTCACGGTCAAGATCGTGGAGGGTGAGGAGCTGAAGGCTTGTGATCCGACGGGCTTCAGTGATCCCTACGTCGTCCTATGTGACGAGTACCAGAAGCGCCTTCACAGGACGAGGGTTATCCCGCGAAACCTCAACCCTCGGTGGGACGAGTCGGTCGATATCACGGTTTCTGGGCCGCTCAACATCATCGCGACCATCTGGGATTACGATATGATCGGCGACCATGATTTTGTCGGGCGCACGTCGCTGAAGCTGGATCCGGTGCATTTTAGTGACTACCTGCCGAGAGAGTTCTGGCTGGACTTGGATACCCAGGGGCGGATCTTGATTCGAGTGAGCATGGAGGGCGAGCGTGACGACATCCAGTTCCACTTCGGGAAGGCGTTCCGGCATTTGAAGCGGACAGAACGGGACATGGTGCGCAAGGTCACGAGCAAGGTATGTTTTGTCCGGCTTTCAGGGTCAATAGAGATAGATACTGATCGCGGGCAGCTCTCGATGCACATTAACACCTCGCTGTCCCGCGAGGCCCTGCGCAACCTGCTGAGCAAGGGCATCACAGCGTCGATGGCCAGCCTCTGGAAGAAGAGGCAGTCGCAGGCGCCCACACTCACCCCAGGGGAGGTGGAGAACGCCCTGCAGCCGCTGTTCACCTACTTTGACGAGAACTTTGCCATCATGAAGCAGACACTGACGGACGCAACCATGATGGCGGTCATGACAAGACTGTGGAAGGAGGTGCTGCTGGCCATTGAGAACCTGCTCGTCCCGCCGCTCTCGGACAAGCCGTCGATCCAGAAGCCCCTCACGCAGGCGGAAATGGACGTCGTCTACCGCTGGCTGGAGCTCCTTTTTGCTTTCTTCAACGCCAGAGACGAGTCGGGCGAAGTGCTCGGAGTGCCTGCCGACGTGCTCAAGTCGCCTAAGTGGCACGAGCTGGCGTCACTCAACTTCTTCTACTTTGACTCGACCGAAAACCTCATCCGCACCTCGGAGCGCATGGCCGCCGCCAACGCGCAGCGTGCCCAGCAGCAGGCGCAGCAAGTCCAGCAGCAGCAGCAGCTCTCGTCCGCCCGCAACAATCCCAACCGACTGTCGGCCCCGTCCTCGCTCGGCGTGCCGTCGTTTGGGACGCCGTCGGGCGCGGGCGCCGTCCCGTTCGGCAGCCTGGGCACGATCCGCCGAGGCAAGAGTATCATGATGAGCCGGAACCTGGGCACAATGCGGCGGGCCAAGGAGGAGAAGCGCAAGGAGGCGCAGGCGGACCCCAGCGACGACATGATCCTCCGGATCTTGCGGATGCGGCCCGAGGCGGCGGGTTACCTCAAGGAGAGGCAGCGGCAGAAGGAGCGCATGGCGGCGGCGCAGGCGGCGGCCATGATTGTGCGACAGAGCGTGCACCAGGGGTGGAACGGGCAGGGGCAGCAGGGTCCGGCGTTTGGCGGGGCGCTGTATGGGCGGGGGGTGGTGATGCCCCGGCGGTGATGGGGAATCGGGTCTTCAGGTTTGAAGGGGACAGACAGGATTTGAAAGAGAGGGGGATGGACACGAGTAATAATGTTTGTCTTATTTCATTCATACTTTGCGTTTGATTTTGGTGGATGGGTGCGTTGCGTCTTCTCGGGGGATGTTGTTGGCTGACCGGAATGGAGGGCGTTGGAGGCAGCAGGCAATACCCTACAGTTTGTCATATTGTGGCGCTTGTCTGGATCGGTTACTGGTAGTCGACGACGGGCAGTGGAATAATGGCGACGGAGAATGATATCTGATATCCATGATCAAGAGATCTGCGTACCTATCATTCCATGGTGGTGGTGCCAAGGCCTGCTTCGGCGAGGGAAAAAGGGGCGAGGCAGAGCATCCGAAGGAAGCCACAGTGAGGCTGGAGTGACAAGGGTAACTAGTCTAGGGCTTTGAGGTGATTGATGGATTGATGGCGCTTGCCACTGACCGATTCAGTATCTGGTCATTTGCAGCTCGACGGCAGCGTACAGAGCATACCTCCAAGACAGACGTCATTCCTGACCGCAGGTGCAACGGCGACGGCATCGGAACGCCAGGTCTACGAGGTCCTGTAGCTTACACAGTAGTAGCCGAGAGCCGAGCCGGCGACTAGGAAGCTTCTGGAGCAATTGCCGGAGCAGACCCAGTTCTCTCTCTCCGTGCGGTTGTGCAGCGCCGCGGCCTAAAGGACAGTCGATCGTCGACAAAACCAACCACACCCTGCCTTTGAAAAACCAAAAGAGAGCAGATTCGTCTGCATGCCGGCCCTACGAGTGGTTGTTCGGTCGAGGAAGGCGATGCGAGCGGGACTCGGCAAGCTCTTCACACCGCAACAACTCTCCTTTCCTCGCATTGCAGCCCAAAGCATGCCGCCAAAGCAATTGCCAGGCCCCGGCCAATCACAGCAGCGTCGATGGCTGGCGTCACAGATGGGGCCCACATCTGTCTCTTGGACCTCTGGAGCCCCTCCCCCGCCTTGCTCTGAAGAAACCCCCTCCGCCGATTCTTCTGCTGCTGTTGCCAATTCGCTTCCCGCCGCCGCAACAAATCCCGCGACCGCTCAATTGCAACCAGGCAGCTTCTCTCTGTCTCGCACAGCCCAGATTGCCCGACACCTCCAGGCCCGGAGCTACAGCTCGACCACAAACAGCACCATGGCCTCCCAATACACCGTCCGCAAGGTCGGCGCCCCGTACACGCTCGAGCACCGCGTCTACATCGAGAAAGATGGCGTGCCTATCTCGCCCTTCCACGACATCCCACTCTTTGCCAACCAGGAGCAGACCATCCTCAACATGATTGTCGAAATTCCGCGCTGGACCAACGCCAAGCTCGAGGTGCGAGCTCTGTTTGCTTGATATGTGTGCATCTGATACTAACTTGTAGCTAGATCTCCAAGGACGAGCTCCTCAACCCCATCAAGCAGGACATCAAGAAGGGCAAGCTCCGCTACGTCCGCAACTGCTTCCCCCACAAGGGCTACCTGTGGAACTACGGTGCCTTCCCTCAGGTATGCCCTTACTTGGCTGAGCAAGCAAGCAGAGCAGAGATTGGACGACGGCTGACCGCCTGCAGACCTGGGAGGACCCCAACGCGATCCACCCCGAGACCAAGGCCAAGGGCGACAACGACCCGCTTGACGTGTGCGAGATCGGCGAGCTGGTCGGCTACACGGGCCAGGTCAAGCAGGTCAAGGTGCTCGGCGTCATGGCGCTGCTGGACGAGGAGGAGACGGACTGGAAGGTCATTGTGATTGACGTCAACGACCCGCTGGCCCCCAAGCTCAACGACGTCGAGGACGTCGAGCGCCACCTGCCGGGCCTGCTGCGCGCCACCAACGAGTGGTTCCGCATCTACAAGATCCCCGACGGCAAGCCCGAGAACCAGTTCGCCTTCACGGGCGAGTGCAAGAACAAGAAGTACGCCATGGACGTGGTCCGCGAGTGCAACGAGGCCTGGGAGAAGCTCATCACGGGCAAGACCGCCCCGGGCAGCATCGCCACGTACGTTTACTCCCTACTCTCATTGATTGGGTCACTTGGAAAGGAAACTGACTACGCACAGCACCAACCTGACGGTCAGTCACTCGACCAGCCGCGTCTCGCCCGACCAGCTGCCGCCCCTGCCCCAGCACCAGGACCTTCCGCCCGCCCCCATTGACAGCTCCATCGACAAGTGGTTCTTTATTAGCGGGGCCTCGGCTTAGAGGGTGAGGTTGGCAAACTTATGAATGTTGCGAGGTAGATAGAAAGTCTCCAAAAGTAAAAAGGTCAAGTCAGCAGCAACACATTCGACCGACTCCTTACATTTGAGTGTTTACGTGTTTCTAATTTGAAGACGCTGTAGCGGTATATCGTGACAATGACATAGCAAACGCCTCCCAATGCTTTGTATAGAAATGATGGACAGCCAAAATTGGTGTATGTGTACAGCGAAATGTTACATCCCGTCTTTCTCGGGTAGGTAGTGTGAGGGGTTTAGCCGTCCGCCAGGTCAGCTTCCTTCTGCAGCAGCCGCGAATGCCGGTCAACTTCTTCGACGATGCTCTTGATGCCCATGGCTTCGCAATCGAGCTTCATTTCCTTGCCGTCCTCTGTTTCCAAGATGTCAGCAAACTGGTCAGAGTGCAGACTGGTCCGAGTGCATGTTTGGTCGTGCATCAAGTAGCCCGAACCCCCTTTGCTACACTGTATACTATCTGCACAATCCCCCCCTGTTTCGATGAGTTTGCCATCTCTCCATCCGATTCATTGAACCCTTCAAACTCTTTCGATTGACAAAACGAGACGGACGTACTGAACTTGATGTGCAGACTGCTCGGCTCGGTGGACGACCGCGGCAGGAGCTGCGTCGTGATGTTCATGCCCGACAAGCGGGCCGTCGGCGGGAGGAAGGTGAGGAAGAGCCGCGCGGACTTGGCCCGCGGGGAGAAGGGGTTGAAGCGCGTTGTTACGTCGGTGATGAAGCGGGTTATCATTTTTTGTGGCTTTTCTCATCGGACTGCGTAGGTAGGTGGGCAGGTTCGGCAACCGGCGGAGGTCAATTGATGCTTCTCAGGCAAACCAGGCGTTGAATATTCGCTGTTCGTGGTCTTGTAACCTCTCCCTGTCGATCGGATCGTGGATCGGAAAAATGGTGTTGAAGTCGGCTTGCGACGGAAGGTGCTGGACGGTGGACGGGACGGAGCAGAGGAATGGAGCTAAGAGAAACGGAGCTCCGTTTCAAGATTTATGCAACAAGATAGATTCTTCCGTTTCGTCCCGTCTCGGCAAGTGTCCATCCAGCGTCCCCTTGGCCAGTGCTTTCAAGATGCCAACTCTACAATATCATCAAAGGTAACTCCCGGCCGTCGCACCCATTCGAACCGAACAGCCGCACTCTGGATCACGGGAACACACGGAGAGTCCAAATGATATGGCGTCGTTCGAATCTCTGCAAGAGCGCCTCGCGGCACTCCAGGAAACGACAGAGCAGCTCCAAGAGCTCATCGACCGCCTCGCAAACATCAAGTTCCAGCCCGGATCCGTGCCCCTAAGTTGCAGTGATGAAGACAACGTCGCCGCTGAGCTCAGCACCGAGATCGGCCAGATTCTGCGCGAGGAAGAAGAGGACCTGGAGCTTCTCCAAGAAGAGATCATCGACCTGCGCTCCGGCCGGCCAGGAAGCGAAGTCGAGCACCGCAAAACGAGGCTCAAAGAGGGCGCATATCGTCTGCAAACCGAACTGAAGGACTGCCGCACCGCCTTCCGCAAAGCCCAGCTCTCCGCCCGCCGCAGCCTCGAAGCCGCCCAAAAGCTCGAGCGTGACCTCCTCCTCGCATCATACGCCGCTTCCGCGTCAGCGTCCGCGGCCTCCTCCACCATCCTCAGCAATCCCGACGTCATCAGCGCCACCGGGGAGACCCCAAACCCCTCATCCACCCCTTCTCCCACTCACCCACCCCGTTTAACCGAAGAAGAGGCCCGGGCCCGCCTCTTCACCCCGCGCGACCGACGCCGCCTCGCCAAGAAACAACAAAGCAACAACCCCTCTTCGCAATCCGACGCCGTCACCACCTCCAACGACATCACCCTCGCCCTGCGGCGCACCCACGCGCTCATAGCAGGCGAGCTCTCCAAGTCGGCCTTTGCGTCCCAGACGCTCGCCGAGAGTACCGCGGCGCTGGCCGAGCTGCAAAAGTCGTACGAGGGGCTCGAGGGCCTGCTCGCCCGCTCGCGGGATCTGGTCGGGACGCTGCTGACGACGCAGAAGAGCGACACGTGGTACCTGCAGGCGGCGCTCCGCATCCTGTTGTGCACGCTCGCGTGGCTCGTCTTCCGCCGGTTCCTGTACGGCCCGCTGTGGTGGCTTGTCTGGTTGCCGCTGAGGACGGGGTGGCGGGTTACCAGGATTGTGACTTCATCGCATAATAAGGGAGGCAGCACCAATATGGAGGTGGTCGTGCCTGGCGAGGAGAGCGCAGCCACGGTTATGGTTGGGGTTGGGGAGGAAGGGGCCGTGCCGACGGTGAGGGTTGGGAGGGAGAACGTGGATGGAGTGGATGAAGAAGACCCGGATTCGATGGTCGAGAAGGTTGGGAGGATGGTGGAGGATACCCTGAACCGGAGGGACGAGGATGAAGCGAATCGGACGGCAGAGGATGGACTGGAAGATCAGCCGAATCCGAAGAAGAGGATGTGGGAGGAGGATGTTGGGCAAGTGGCGGGGAGGGTGCGAGATGAGTTGTGATTGGGACATACTATTACGAGCCTTGGAAGATGATACCCCCTGTTTCCCTGGTGATGTTGGCCCGATTGCTTTCCCATGTTCCGTTGACAAACCATTCGGGACGAAAGGGACAGATGTGACAACAGGGTGCGAATTATTGAGTCTGTCGGCCTTGGTTTTAGTCCCTTTCAGCTTTGTTGATTCATGCCCCAGTTATGATGTTTTCATATTGTATCCCAGATTCTCAACGCTCCGTACCAATCTGCTGTCCAAATACGCCGCTCTGATATGCGCCTCGCAGATATGCCCTCGCTCATTGCTCGACGCTTCATCTCATCTCATATGGCACAGTGACCCCATCATCTTCGTCGTAACAAGACCCCCAATGCTATGCCTCACCCGTCATCAATGTATAATAGAAAAAGGAACAAAGGAAAGAATCGCACTTCTCCCGCAGTTCAAACAGGTCCAAACCGCCATCTTCATAGCATAGCCCGCTCATCCGCGCGTTTCATGATCTTGCCGATCGCCACGGCCCCAGCAAGCAGCATCATTATTCTGGGCAGCACCGACGGCTCACCCTCGCCATCCGCATCAGACTTACCCGCCCTGGCAGCTTCTCGCCGCCTTCTTGATTTTGAGCCTGAACCTTCACTACCCGCTTCAGCTTCGGGGCCACTCGTAGCAGTAGACAACCGCCCCATCGCCGGCCCCTGGTTCAGCGTACGCTGCAGCGGCAGGCTCAGCCGGCGGACCTTGACATCCCCCAGCGCGCCGCGCAGCCCAATCTCGACGGACCGTGACTCGCAGAGTCCAAGGCAGAGGTAGCCTGCCGTCTGGGGGCGGTTGCTGCTGCTGCTGGCGTGCGGCAGGTCGCAAAAGTCTGCGGTACCTGGGCGCTGTTGTTCGTTGTCGGTGGACGGGCGGATGGTGTCGACCGAGTTGCGGGATATGCTGGCGAAGGAGGCGGCAACGTCGGACGAGATGCTGTTTGGGACTGGGCCGGCGGGGAACAGCTTCGACAGGTCTGGAATGGGCGCGAGGCTCGTTTTCTCTGGCTTTTGCTGTGGCGTCGGCAATGGCATGGGCATCGGAGTAGCGCTCTCAGTTTCAGCCGCCGGAGCTATCGTTTCATTGTCAGGTGTCTCTGCTTCTTCAGTCCCTCCTTCGGGCTCGGACGTCCTGGTCGGGATGCCATCATCACTTGCAGCCTCGGCATCAGCGGGGGACGTAGCCCTTGGCTCTGGTTCAAGAGCCGCCTGCCCGCCAGTTCCGTTGGGTTGGTCGTCAGATCCTTGAATAGAGCTCTGACCGGAAGTCTGAAGCCCTGAGGTCCTCTCCTCTTCTTCGGCTACCTCCGTCGACCCTCGGCTCGAACCATCTGATTCCGCCTCTGGAGCAGGTGATGCCCTCACAATATTATCAACCGCAATCTCAAGCGCGTCACTAAGCTGTCTCTTGGTCTCGTCAGGGTCAAAAACCGACTCCACCTCAGGTTCGACTCCTTTCGACGTGCCATCCAGCTCACTAGCCGGTCCAGCAATGTCCTTGCCGGTACCGACCTCCGAAGTCTGTGTTCCAATAGGACCAACCGTAGTTAAGACCGGGACGCGTGTCTCCTCGCCGAAACCCCGCTCCGATAGCTCGGACTCGGCCACAGCAGCCAGAGCTGACAGGATGTCAAGTCCGTTCTGAACGCCCTTGCCGACGGCCAACCTCGGAGGTTTGGCACCAATCACATAGGGGACAGTGATCAAGCCATTCTCTGCCTCGCAAATGCCGCCACCCCAAAGACCCATTCCAGCCGCCGCAGCCAATTCGGTGGTGGGTCCCTCGTCCCTTTCGTGAATTTGCTGTTTCGGTGTCTTGGTTTCAGCAGAATCAACGGAGTGAGCCGGCGCCGGGTCCGGAGCCGAGATAGGTTCTGCCAGAACCTCCTCACCGAGATCATCCCCTCGTACCGTCGACCCGGTAGGTTTGGCGACACTATTCCCAGGCGGGACCACACCAGGCTCCTCCTTCGGCCCATCGCCAACGTCGCGCTCGGGTTGCCCGGGTTTGGCTGTCTCAGTCGGACCCGGAGCCAGATCGTGCTTCTCCTCGACACCGCCACCAAAGGTGGACTCAGAGTTCGTTGCTTCGGCATCCCGGGCCAGCGCGGGGACCGCGTCCAACTTCCCCATAACCTGAGCCTTGTCAGACTCTGCCTCGTCCACACTGATTTCAGTAACAGTAGCAGGTGCCTCGGACACGACAGGCTGAATCACAGGCCGATCATCACTATTGTCGTCGGGATGCTCGAGACGGGCCTTCGATTCGCACAACTCCTCCTCGGCTTCATCATGACCCGGCATCAGCTCATCCTCGCCTCCGGGACCAGTAGCCTGCGCCTCGGAAATGACATCTTGATGCACGCGCTCGGCGTCATCGCCTTTGGCGGTGTTGCCGTGGGATTCGGGCCCGTCGGCCAAGGCCGTCTTCTGAACTTGGAGAGCATAGCCTTGCTCGGCGCCGATGGGGGTCAATTCCGGACCTTGGCTGTCAACCTGCTGCTCCGGAATGGCTGGTGTGGATTCAAGGAGGTTTGATGATGTGCCCGACCCGGGGACGTGTCTGTCGGCTTCGTCGGCTGCGTCAGCAAGCTTGTCCGAGAGCTGGTCGTTGGTCCCAAGACAAGCTGCTTCGGTTCCTGAACCGGAACCGTCGGTGTTCTCGAAGCGGGTCTTGGATGGTTGGGTGGATGCGCAGTGAACGATATCTACGAGCTCAATCTGTGCTCCGATGCCCGAACCGACACCGTGGTGCTCTCCTAGACCGTCCTCGCTGGCGTCCGGTACCGGGACATGAGTGCCGCCGCCGCTACCGACCACATCGGCCCCCCTGGCGGGGCCGACATCGACGCCCTCGTCAGCACACCGATCCTCCTCATCTCCATCGGAAACCACGCCAAATCCATCATCATTCCCGTCGTCACCGACATGACATCCCATCTCGCCGCCATCGGACCGAACATCATCCCCTAAAATCCGTCCCTCATCCTCATGGGCGGCCCCAACGGGATCCTCGGTCCCCAGCCCAGCCATCTCGGCCACGACCTCAGCCCCGAGCGGGACCGCCCCCAACTGGGCACCGCAATTTCCCCGGGGCCCGCCACCGGGCAACGCGTCAGCGACGTCATCGTGAGCATCTCTGCGGTCCTTGTCCTCCCCCAACTTGGTCTCGGCACCGCGGCCGGCGCCGAGTTCGTCCCCGGCGGCTTCCATCGCATCCGGCTCGGGCTCGAGCGGAGATCCCAGCTTACTTGCAGACTCGCTGTGACCTACTTCCTCAGGCGCGTGCGACGTCCGGACCTCAGAGGTGGGGAAGTCCGGCGCATGAAAGGGGATGCCGGGTCCTAAAGCGGGCTCGGCTCCGAGATGGGCGGTATTATAAGTCTGCCTCCCCGATTCCGTTTTTGCCTTTATACCAGAATCCGTGGACGCGTCAGATGCGGTGGATGGGCGTGGTGCTGGGGTGGGGTTGGCGTCTGGTGTTTGATCAAGTGTCACACTCCAGCCTTCCGGGTGGGGGGTTCTCGCATTGTGGCGACCGGTTCCATCACCATGGACACCTTCGGGTCCTTCGGCTGCAGTGCTCTGTTCTGCAAGCGAAGGTAGCAACCGACTCCGATCATGTTGGTCAACCTGGGGTTCTGGAACCGCGGCAGCATCCCAGTCCTCCTTGGAGACCGGCTCGGCAATGCTCTCACCCTGCAGATGAACTGCAGGCCGTTCGGTCTCGGAGTCCGGGTAAAAACCACGAAGGACAGTCTCACTCGTGCCCGAATCAAACCTCGGAAGGACCGGGGTTTCTATTATGCTGTGCCTAAGTGAAGAAGCTCCTGTGCTTAGTTCAGGGGTCGACGGCGCGGTCGAGAACTCATCATCCTCCCTAGGGGTTTCCGCTCGGGCTAGAGTAAACGGAGTCCCGGAATTGGCCTTATCTTCAGGTACAGGGCTGGTCACGTATTCCCGAGCGTCTTCGAACGTCATTGGAGTGTCCATTTTGCTAGTCGCGGCTCCGGAGAAGTTTAATGGTGCGTCGACGGTATCATGATCCCGAGATGATGCTTCATCTTGGACCGCGGGGCTGGAAGTTGAACTTCTGCCGGGGAGTGCTTCTCCAGGGAGACTCCCTGACTGAGTAGTGAGAGGATCCACCCTCCCTTCGTTCGACGTCATACCATTAGGCGGACGGGTTTCTCCCAAACGTTGTACGTCTCCAGCCAGTTTGTGATCCAGACTGTCCACATTGGCTCCATCGCTGGCCAAGGCCTGCTCTTCTACAATGGACAAGCCGTTGTTGATACGGATCGCAGATGAAAATTCTCCTGACACAAATGAGAAGGACTGCGCCGGCTTGACTTCGGCAGGGGCGAGCAACTCCCCTCGGGGTCGTAGCAACGGCGATTCCCCCGCTTGCGGCTTCCGCACCTGTTCGCTGGGCGCAATAATGGGCCTGCTGTTATCGCGCGTGAGCGGTTCACAACCCGGCTTGAGATAATCGATGGACACCATGGAGTCGGTCGAGCAACGCGAGAGCGAGAATACTCGCTGAACACGCGGTCTCGGGGAACTCTGTGCTGGGCTCAAAGCCGGCCTCGACTGCCTCGCTGGTGAAGATCTTATCGAGGAGGGCGAGTATCTCGGCGACAGTCCTTCAAACACAGGTTGTTCAGGCTGCGCAGGGGTGACGGGCCGAGCAAAGCAGTCTTCGTCGTCCTCAGGAATGTCATCGATGCAACACGAGTCTTCAAACATTCGGTCCATATCCTTTTGAATCCGAGCCTTCAATCTCGTCACAAACACAAGCTGTGCGTCGTCTCGCGAGGCAAATGTCTCCCTCGGCTTTCCGTGCTTCTCGTGGGCGACAATGGCTTTGTCCAAGACGACGTGGCCTCGCTTGTAGGCTTTGATGTGAATGGCAAGGTTATGGCCCCTAATCACGTCCCCGATTCCAGTCTGAATACGGTCCAGGGCTGCTTGGATGGTGCGACGGCCATGGGATGCTGACGGTCCGAGGGTGAACTTGGCCGGCTCTCGTAGTGTCCAGCCAAAGCCCTTGAGTTCGACGATGCGAAACTCAAAGTCGTTCATGGCGTCCATGGTCGAGTCAGCCTCGCTCCTAAGATGCGCGAGGTGCTTTTCGACATCGCATAGGAAAAGGTCGCAGTCTATAGCATTTTGGTCTCGGAACAGCACCAGCTTGCTTCTGAGGCTCCTCTGCACGTGGTCGTAAGCAGGTCCGAGGTTGTTGAATACTTTGAGACCGATTTTGAGAGTGTCGTCCTCCACAGTAGGGAGATCAAACGCCCTTTGGTCTTGGAAGTGGTCGTCAAACTCTCGCTTCCTGGAGTCCAGCCCTTGGTTGATGAAATGTAGCGCTTTCGATATCATATCCTCACTCAGGAACAGGGTCAGAGGAGCGCTTTGCGTGCTGTTGATGTTTATCCTCCTTTCGTAGATGGGAACCCGTCGTTGCAGGTTCTTGCTTCGAAAGCAGAGCTCAATGGTGTATCCAGGAACGAACTCGAACATTTGCGTGGCTTCAATGAACCGAGCTCTTGGGACGGACAGAAGCGAAGCCGGGCCAGCGCGAGATGGGACCATGGTCTCGCTTCCTTCCAACTCCGTGTCAGACACCGGGCAATCCAGCCATTGGAATCTGTCGTCGTGGCGCCGCAGAAAGAGCCCAATCATCCGATGCGTTGCCAGAATGACTTCCTTGGTAAATGCAACGGTCAGGGGTTGCTTCTGATAAGACCGGTAGGTCCTCTCGGCCCATTCGCCTTATCCCCTCCTCGTGATCCGAAAGGTCATGTCGAACCTCTGCGGTTTGCGCTCATAGGTGTCGCCCTTGAACATTTCGAGAGCGCCAGAGTCTTTGCGGGTGATGAACTCCTCACAGCAGCGCTCAATGCGGCGCACAAGACCTCGACATATCATGTTGGTGGCTCGGAAAGTCGGCGAGCTGCCGTAGCTGCGTGAGTATCTGGAGCGGATGACGGGGTCTGTGAAGCGGATCTCGACGTGCACCACCAAGTCCGGTGTCGTTGGATGCCCCAGCTGCTCCCCGAAGACTGGTGACAACGACGCCCAATGTTGCTCCATTTCGGATCGTCTGTCGTATGTTGGACAAAGCCTGGGGAAGGCATCGCCCATGACGAGCCGTGATTTTGAACGCGGCGAAGCACCGAGGATCCGGTGCTGAGAATCCCACCAAGCCATCCTCCTCTTCTCTAAGTTCTGTATGTCGGGTGCTCCTAGGACGCGACTGCTCCACCACTCAACGTGATCGCTCTGATAGCGATTTTGTGGGGTAGAGGGTTGGGTACCAGTAGAGGGGTTCCGATGAGGCAGATATGCTAGCATGTGACGAATTGTTCTCGAAGGAAATAAGACGAAACTACAACTAGGGGACCATGTCGTTGGTTCATGGACGAAAGAAGAGTGAGAACTTCAGATGGCGAAGTAAATGTGTCGTCCAATCCTACCCTTCCATCGAAATGTAAACAGAGAGGAAAATACCTATTAAGTGGTGAGACCTGACCCTACGTACTGTACCTACCGAGGAGGCCTTAAAGAAGCGGGCTTAGGTGCAGGGCTGTAGCAGCAGCTAAGGCTGCAATGTGACGGCACGCCTTTTGCAGAAGTCCTGCTCGTGTCATCCCATCAATGATGGCCCTCAGCCGATAGGGACGGAAAGCCCTCGAAGGCCCACGATGAAGGCTTGCGTTAGCCCTGCAGGTTTGTGGCCTGACACGTAGTCGCCGACGAGCGCCAACTCGTGCCTGTTCGTTGCAGGGGCAACAGGGGCTTCCATCCCACTGATGGCGCCTAATGGCACCCGTCTTCATATTCAAGCCTGCTCAGGGCCGTCGGGAAAGCTGGAAAGAGCGTATTCGCGACTTGTTTTGTATGCCAAGTTTGGGCGTGGTGTGAAACATGGCGACCAGCTTGGACGAGACATAGTGTACCGTGAATCGTCTATTCAGCCAGTTTCCGCTTGGAGTTGGGCTCCATGGAACATCCGGGCTGCCAGGCGCTTTCTTTGGATTGGGCTCTCACCGCTGGGCAACTCTGCGGGCGTCTCCATCACCACCAGTGGTGTGGAACAATGGCAGCGGAGAGTGGAAGTAGGGCAAGATCGACGATCGTTCAGCTCTCCCGCTCTTCGCGAGGTGTTACCAAAACAGAAGCCCAGCCTTGGCATGAACCCGTTCAGTGGAGTAACAGCTGGCTATGTGGAGTCATAGTGGAGCCTTGAACAACAACAACAACACAGCGGACTGCCTTTTCTTGGATCAACCACTCGATTCCAACTCTCTTGCAAGATCAACCGCCCGATCTCGAGATGAGACGCGGGGTCAATCTGGACTAAACGTGTCGAACCTACGGTTTTTATTGTGATGGCATTTGACATTCAAGAGCAGCTCAGATTGGGCACCTTGGTAACTCGTCACATACTCGTACGAACCCGACCTCTTCCGGTTTACTCAGCTGACAATCGCTGACAATCAATCCATAGCTGGAAAGGTCCGTGAAGTAAGAAGTTGTACTCCATGGCGGGAGTGAGACTTGACACGGCGAAAGCTTTTGAATCCCCAAAAATTACCCGAAATTCAAGTGGCACTGAGGAGCATCTGCAAGATGCTGAGTTCTCAGCACACCCGGCAGCCCCTTTCAAATACAAGTCCGGTATCCCCCAACCTCAACGCCTCTCCGATAGGGACCAGAAAATCTTCCCTCCCGCCGCGAACTGGTGGCCTCTCGAGGCCACCAGTTCGAACCCCCCGCGAAGCAAAATCCTCGGATTTTCGGAGCCGACCACCTCCCTTCAACCATCAAAGGGAGCTGGTCGGTGAGCTTTTTGTTAAAATCATCCCGGTAGCACGGTATGGGGGCGTGTGGCTCAATGCTGAATGAGTACTCTATGTTAGATAGTTAGTCGAAGTTGGCGGCAGCTCGTGTTGCGTCTCGCTGCACAGCACACATCATGGCTCATCTGATCTTCTAAGGCGCAGTGTCCCGGCACAATTGGATAATAATAGGCCTGAACAGCATGTTTCCAACCGCTCTCGCCCCCTCCCAGTTCACCAAACACTGCGAAGTTGACAGGCATTGCCGGGCTCCTGCTCCGGAATTAGGGGTATCCGCATATGCCTTCGTTTGCTACGACTGGGTAGTAAGCCTACATCAACCGAAACATTAAACCTCCTTCTTCCTGAACAGAGACACCTCCTTCTACGATTTGAAACTTGTACATAATAAGCTGCGAGGACAAACTAACGTCGTTGCCCTTGACAAGCCCCTGAGCTTCGTTTTTCTACCAGCTACGAACAACACTCTCCGCCCAACCCGCCAGTCGCGGGCAAAGCAGAAGAAACATGGCAAGAAAGAAGAAGGTCCGCTCTATTGTCCAAGAGTTTGACGACTACTTCGGGACCGGCACTCTCGAAGATTGGCAGCGTCTCTGCCACGATGTGGGGCTCGAAGGATACTACGGCAGCATCACGCAGTGCCGGAAGGTGAGCACTCACTCCGTTCTCCACCACCCTTGTATCAACTGGGGCGAATAGTAGACTGAAAAAAGTGATGGGTGGACGGATGGACCAGGCTCTCCGGACCGTGCACGTCAACATCCGCGACCTCCTCGAGGCCGTCAAGCAAGGCGAGAAACCCCGCCGGTTTGCCAGTGCAGCGCAGCTGGTCGCGTACACGGTCAACACGCGCAAGTTCTATCCGCTCAGCAAAGTCAAGGAAATGGGGCCGGTGAAGGTGCTGTTGCGGAACATGTTGTGAACACGACGCCAATGCTGAAAGAGAGGGAAATGGCACCACCTCATTAGACAACCCCATTGGATATAGTCTATCCAACATGTACATACCATCAACCCCTTCCAGAGGTGAATGAAACAGCCCGCCTTAGCTCCTAATCTCCCACAACCGAATCTTGCCCACATCGTTCCCCACCGCGAGCATATCGCTGCCCGCGCTGAAAGCCACAGCCGTGATCCTCCCCAGCGGCGTTTGCTCCGTCGGCCAGTTGCGGTAGACGGTGCAGCTGGGCAGGTGCACTAGCCTGAACGCGTCCTTCTTATGCTGGCTGCCAAACGCCATCAGCTGGCCGTCCGGCGAGAAGGTAACCACCGAGATGGACGTGGTCAACTGCTCAAACGCGCGCACCGGCTCGGGCAGTCTCTTGATCTCTACCTGCCCCGAACCCGCCTTTGCCTGCTGCTGCTGCTTGACCAACAGCTCGTTGCGATCATAGACATTCAGGACACCACTGTTGGACCCGACCGCCACCCACCTGTCCCCCCCCAGCTCGGCGGGCCCGTTCCGCCCGCCCAGCGCCATGACGGTCCCGCCCACGGACCCTTCATCCCTCCAGATCCCGACTGTCCGCCTCGTCGCCATGCTCCACTCGGTCACCTGCCCGTCCTTGCCCGCGATAGTCAGGCCGTTCCCGTCGCTCCACCACGCGAAATCGGCGACGCCGCCGCGCCCATCGATCCTCGCCTGCGCGATCCACTGCATGGAGCCGACGTTGACAATGTTGAGCATCCCGCCGCCCTTCTTGTCACTCGCCACGAGCGCCAGGTACCGCCCGCAGGGGCTCGCGCGGAATCGCTCCATGGTCCGCTGCTCCTTCTGGTGGCCCTGGATCTTGGAGACCTTCTTAACCAGTCCCGAGGAGAGGTTCCAGCTGTGGAAGTAGCGCCGGCGGCCGGCAAAAACGACCTCATCGCCGTCGGGGCCGACGAAGGCCGCCCGCCGGAGGTCGGTGCGCTTTACTTGCACCGACGTCAGCGCCGGGTTCGGCGTCGGGTGGGCTGACGGGTCGATGTGGTGCAGGTACATGATGGAGGAGGTGCTCGAGGACAGGAGGATGGGGCGGCGCGGGTGGAAGGCGAGGGAGGAGACGCCGGCTTTGTGGGTGTCGGGGATGTCGCGGGTGCGTTGAACGTCGATGGTTTCTGGGCGGAGTTTGCGGCGCTTGCGCGAGGCGTCGGAGGAGGCAGTGGGGAGGAAGGACGAAGCATCGCGGAGGAAGCAGTCGAGAGGGAGCGGAGCGTCAATGCTTTCGCCATCGCTGTCGAGTTCCATCTCCGAGGCCGAGGAGCCGTCCGAGGCGGCCGACGAGCGACGTCTTCTTCGCTTGGAGCCGGTGGTTGCGTCCTTCGCCCAGTCGGGAAGCGGGTAGAGACGGAGATATTGTTGGCGCAACCGCCGGGCGTATTCCGTGCCGCTGACCACATCCTCCGCCTCGGTCTGCCTGAGTTTCCTGAGCCGGGTAGCCCCAGCGAGGGAAACAGTCAACCGCTCGTCGTCGCTGTCCTCCCACGCCGGTGCCTCCTCCGCCTGCTCTTGTGGAGCCTGCTTTGTCGCTACCAATTCAAGCTCCACGTCCGAGTCCCCACCTGTGTCCAGTGTAAAGAGCATCGAGTCGGATACATGCTCATGGCCGGTTGCCTCTTCATCGTCGGCCGTCGCTTTCACGAGTGCCTTAGAGTCGGTGACAGACGGAAGGAAGTCGTCGCGAAATAACTGCTCGCGAAACGTTTCTTTGCTCCCGAGAACAAAACGCTCTAGCTCCTCTTCGTCGGAATCTTTATCAAGGAGAACTGCTCTCCTCTTCTCGGCAAAATCGTCGCCGTCGGAGCCGGAGAGGACGTCATCGTCGCCAAAGCTAGCAAATGACCCCTCATCAGAGGAACCATCCTCTTGTTGTTCTTGTTCTTGCTGGCGACGTCTCGACATAGCGGCGATTGTGGGAGGTTTGGGAGTATTTGGCTGGGAAGACAGAGGGGCAGACTGTCGAGGTCAACTTTTTTTTCCCCGTCTTTGCAGCCTTGCAGGAAAGTGGATGCTGAGGGCCCACATAGTGGGGCATTCTCAAGCTCAAGTCTTCAGCCTCGCACATCTCTCCATTTCATAGACCGAGATTCAGTGGCTGGGAACAAGCATGCCGACGGAAAGAGAGCGTTACTTCATGGAAATATCCGCTCACGGCACTGACTTAATGAGTTCTTATTATGAAGATGGACGCCTCCTCGACTTGTGGATCTGATGAGCCAGGTATCTCGGAGCTCAGGCGTTCATGAGAGCGTCGGTGAATCTAGGTAATGTACCCGATAGCTTCCTTCCAAGTTCCAGCCCTCAGGATATTGGCAGTTAGGAACTTGGGCGACCTTTCTTTTCCTGAAAGGTTGGGCATCACTAATCCGCTCCTTTTACATGATCAGCGCAGCACACAGACCCGCCAACCCAGCCCAACCCAGACCCCTTCTCAAACTACCCGCACCGCTCCGGCTGGTCTGCAGCGTGGTGGCATCGCCCGGTGCAAACATGACTGACATGGCATCTGCCGACGCAAGGATTTCCTCGGGCGTCAGCAGCGGGTTGTCCAGGACGTCGCACGACGGCCTGCTGTCGCTGGCCGGGATGCTGTTGCTCACCGAGATGGGCAGGTCGAAGACGGTGTAGTGGTCCTGGCCGTTGAGGCGGAAGGATTGCCGGATCGAGACCTGCACAAACAGGTGATCAATCTCACGATACCTAACATTGAGGTTGAATGGGCCTGAGAGGGGGTTCAGTTACGTTATACGCGCCCCGATCGGTCTCCCCAAGGCCCTGCTGCTGGCTCCCGTCGCCAACGAGGCAATCGGGCCAGGTCCACTTGACGTGCTTCACGGTGCTGCCGGGCTCCTGTAGCATGATGTCGCTCAGGCTGGCGTTGTTGGCCGAGGCGGTGCCGTTGGTGATGGTGAGGTTGCGGTTTGTATCGTAGCTGGAGAGAAATATGTGGATGAAGTGGATCACGCTGGGACTGTCCTCGGGGTAAGGCGGGAGAGGCAGGCGGCCGTTGGCTGAGACATCCAGCGCAACTTCGATGGTGTCTAGATGTGGGTGTCAGTACTCCTGTTCAAAGCTGGGACGAGTTGTGACACAAACCTCCGCCTAGAGGTGTGCTAGGCTGCGGGGCGTTGACAATAACCAGGCCGGGCGTATAGATTTGCCCGTTGGAGACGGTAAAGTTGAGCGCCGAGGACACTCGGGCAGCCAACAGAAGGGCTGCTCCCGCGTAAGTGACCAGAAACATGGAGCAGGTCATCTTGCTTGAAACAAATTGCTGTCGGGGAGGTAACCTTCACAAAATCGAAATTAAACAGACACAAATCCGAAATGTAAAAGAATGAAGTGTTCAAAAATGCTTTTGGTCTTCAACGAGCGAACGAAGAACAAGCCGCCATCTCAAGATATCTAGACTGCTAAAAACATAAAACGGTTGGAAGCGACGAAAAGAAAGAGGAATGCCGTGCTAGAAGATCTATGTCAATGGCATCGCAGGCTGTAATAACGGAGCGAGATTAAGAGGAAGGAGGCTAGTGAGGGAACCTAGTTCGCTTCCAGCCTTGTTGGATCCGCTCCCGTGAAGTGTGGGTGCGGCATCACAGGGCATCTTGGTCGGATGTCCGGGAACCGAGAGCATCGCTGGCAGTCATCAGGGACCTTACCAGCATAGAGCCACCTTTGGAAGACAGAGCATGAATGATCAGCTACTGGCGGCGATTAAAGCAATAGAGACGCAGGCCATTTTCTGCTAAGAGATCGTCTTCGTGGAGCAGTCCAAGGTCGTGGGAACAGGTAACACTCGACGGATCTGATGCATGCTGGGCAGGTTTCAGGTCAACTGATACCCCCCGATCACTGGCACCAGCACCGTTCTGCTTGGTACAGTACCTTATCACAGTACAATACGCTAAAGAAGGCTTGCCGTTTGGGTTGTGGGGTTTCCGCGATGAAGGCCCGAACCGCCGACAAGGTCAAGTCTTTGGCAATGGTCGTTTCCATGGGAGCGAAACAGCATCAGTAAACCATAAAAATCCAAACCTTCAGCAGTCTAGAAATTCTCGCAGCTGTCGAATTGTGTCGGTTGAGAGGATGCCGCAGGCAGGAGAAACGTCAAATTGGGAAACCGATCATGTTCTCAGCACCAAACCTTTCTGGGGACTGTGGAGAATTGATGTTCCTGATTGGGCCTTATGATTCTCCGCGCCTTCCAGACGACCACTTTGGACTTTGTTGGATGACCTCCCATGACACCTGAGCTTCATCCTCTGACTTGGATGCTTTGGAAGTAGTGAAATCTCACAGATCTACTCCCGTCATCATCCGCCAGCCGAGGCGGATCACTCACTTGTCGGAGACTGATGCGTTTCCCAGTCTCTTAAGGGAGGGTACATAGCTCGCGATTAACGGGTAATCGTGGCAGATTTGGACATATCATATCGCAAACAAGGCAGGCGAGCAAATCCCATCGATGGCCGCCCGCGCCATCTCGAGGGTTCACACCCTCTCGGGCAACCTTCTCCGCGGCCGCTGCCGCGGCCTTTTGATACCCTCTTTCTCCCGCTCCTTCACCACCACCCCAGGACGCCAATACGCCCTCACCTCACTCCTCCATATCTCCCCTGAAGTCACCGCCGCCTTGTCCTCCAACAAACCCGTGGTCGCCCTTGAATCCACAATCTACACCCATGGCGCCCTCGCCGATGACCTGGCCCGGCACCTAGACTCGGTCGTCCGCTCCCACGGCGCCGTCCCAGCGACATGCGGCATCCTAGCCGGCGTACCCACCGTGGGCCTGACGCCCGCTGAGGTCGGCCGCATGGTGCGTGAGGGCGCGAAGAAGGCTTCGAGGCGGGATCTGGCGTATCTTTCCGCCAGGAGTCTGCTGGGTGGCAATGACCAGGCAAGGGCGCATGGCGGGACGACGATTTCCGGCACCATGGTTCTCGCCCGGTTGGCGGGAATCAGGGTGTTTGGGACAGGTGGGCTTGGCGGAGTGCACCGCGGCGGGGAGAGGTCGATGGATGTGTCTGCGGATTTGACGGAGCTCGGCAGGACGAGGGTAGCGGTCGTGAGTAGTGGGTGTAAAGGCTTCTTGGATATTCCCAGGACGCTGGAGTTTCTCGAGACGCAAGGCGTGCTGGTGTCGACGTTTGCGGAGGGCGGGAAGGCCGACTTCCCCGCGTTTTGGGCGAGGGAGAGTGGCGTGCCGAGTCCATCGACGGTGAGGGATGAGAGAGAGGCGGCGGCCATTATCTTGGCCCAGGAGCAGCTTGGGGTAGAGTCCGGGATGTTGTTTGCAAATCCCATTCCTGAGGAATACGCCGTTTCGAGGAAGGACATGGAGGCGGCTATTGAGACTGCTGTTCGGGAGGCCGAAGAAAAGGGATGCACTGGCAATACCAACACGCCGTATATCCTACAGAGGATCAAAGATTTCACACAGGGGAGGAGCGTGCCGGCGAATCTGGCGCTGGTCGAGTCTAATGTGGCGCGGGCGGCCAAGATCGCCGTTGAGCTGGCGAAGCTTATGGACGGGGCACCGGTTTCGCCGAGGACGGTGAAAACTACGGTTACGACCAAGACCATCTCTTACTCAGGCATCAACGGGGCGGACCAAACATCCGTCCCGGCGGTCAAGGTACAGTCAGACGTACAATCGGAAGTCAAGTTCGAGGTAGGACATCAAGTCGCGACATAGACCTTTCTTTGACTGACCAGGTCCAGCACAGCCATCCGGTGGACGTGCTCGTGGCAGGAGCAGTCGCCCTTGATCTAAGCTGCGACTACGCCGGCAGTGTTACGTTGGGAGACGCCAAGAGCATTTCACCGGCACTACACACATCCAACCCAGCCACCATCAGCCAATCTGTTGGCGGCGTGGGGCACAACATCGCCCTGGCAGCACATAGGGTCAGCGACGAAGGCAAGGTCCGGCTCTGCAGCATGGTCGGCGACGATGTTGCGGGCTCAACCATCCTCTCCTCCCTGCAAGCCACCGGGCTCGACATTTGCTCCATCCGCCAGCTGGGCCACGAGTATCCCTCCACTCGCACGGCGCAATACGTGTCCGTCAACGACGCGCACAAGAACCTTGTTCTAGCCATGGCCGATATGGCCATCTTTTCAACACACTCCTTTCCCACTTACTGGACCTCAGCGGTGGCATCGTCCAGGCCTAAATGGCTCGTTGTCGACGCCAACTGGTCCGAAGCCGACATCCAGACCTGGATTCACGCCGGCCGCGCCCACGGCGCGCAGATCGCCTTCGAGCCCGTCTCGACCGCCAAAGCCCAGCGTCTCTTCCCGCCGCTCGACCGGCGCCACGCTCACACCACCCCGCTCACCGTCTTCCCGCGCCCTAGCGTCGACCTCTGCACGCCCAACCAGTACGAGCTGCTAGCCATGTACGAAGTGGCCAAGCGCAACGGCTACCTGGAGCACAGCTACCCGTGGTTCGAGGTGCTCGACGCGTTCGGCATCATGCGCGGGGCCAGGGAGCGGTTCGTCGACATCACGTCGCCCGAGATAGCCGACGCGGGGATTCCTGTGCAGAGCGTCAACTTGCTGCCGTATATCCCAACCATCATTACCAAGCTCGGCGCGGATGGCGCCCTGCTGACGACGGTGCTGGAAAATGGGGATCCTAGGCTGAGGGACCCGGACCATGCACGCTATGTGGTGAGCAGGTCCATCAACGGCCACCCTCACGTTGGAGGGGTCTATATGCGGCTGTTTCCTGCGGTTGAGAGGGTGAAGGATGCAGTGTCCGTGAACGGGATTGGGGATACGTTCATGGGAGTGCTGGTTACTGGGTTGGCGATGGGAGGGAAGGTGGACAAGTTGATTGACGTTGCGCAGAGAGCAGCGGTGATGACGCTGAGGAGTAAGGAGGCTGTTAGTGTGGAGCTGAGCGGGTTGAAGTGGGATCTGAGAAGGGCGGTAGAGGCGTCAGGGTAGTAGAGGTGGGTTGACTGTTCAACGGGTTGACCCACCCGCCTCGGTCTCATCAGTGGATTGACGTTGCGTCACCCCTGAAACGTGCCGATTTCCTCAGCGATCCACAGACTACCACAGTAATCTGGGCTGGCGGACAAGGACTTGGTACATCAACAAGAGCAACAATCTTGCCTGTTCATCTGGATCTGCTCCCAAGCTTCCCCGCATCACAATCCCAAACAACCTCGGCAGCTTTTCACATGAGGAGAGCTCCCCGCACCTCCACCACTCCCTGGCTGCTTGGCATATCCCACTGCTGAAACTAAAAGGTCATCATGAGACGGGACGTCCTGCCCATTGAGCATTCTTTCAAACTATGTAGGCGTGAGCCTGAGGAAAACACTCAAAATGCCTATGCACAATGGGCTCCTCCCTCGAGAGGGCTTCAAGGGCGACACAGTCTTGAAGATCCTCCGCAACACAGCACTCAACCCCAAGTTGGTCCTGCCGCTGCTGCTGCTTGCCAAGTACACTAAGAAGGGCCAGAACTGGGCCATTCTGCACCCAACAGCATACTCGCGACTCAAGAAACTGCTGGCGTTTGGTCTTATCCGCTGGATCAACAACTACTTCTCTCGCAAAGTGCTGAACAACTGGGTCGACGACAAGTATGACTGGTCCAGGGAAATCGTGGTCATCACTGGGGGAGCCGGTGGTATTGGCGGGCAGGTCGTCCAGCTGCTGGCCGAAAGGGGCGTCAAGGTCGTCGTGTTGGATATCCAGCCCCTGACCTACCCAGCTGGTAAGCATCGCTTGACTACATTACTTCTCGCCGTTCCTACAAGCTAACTACAACACAGGTCACACCGTCCACTACTTCAAATGCGACATCACCTCCCGCAAGGCCCTCTCCCTCGTCGCGCGCGAGATCCGCCTTGCCGTCGGCGACCCCACGATCCTCATCAACAACGCAGGGGTGGTGCAAGGCCGCACCATCCTCGACGCCTCGGAGTCCGACATCCGCTTCACGTTTGACGTCAACACGTTCGCGCACTATTTCACGGTGCAGGAGTTCCTCCCGCACATGATCCGCACCAACCACGGCATGGTGGTCACGGTCGCGTCCGTCGCGGCCTGGGTCACCGTGCCCAACATGGTTGACTACGCGGCCTCCAAGGCCGCGGCACACTCCTTCCACGAGGGGCTCACGGCCGAGTTGGCGACGAGGTATGATGCCTCGCGAGTGAGGACGGTGCTGGTCAATCAGGGGTACACCACCACGCCGCTGTTTGAGGGGTATCACAACGACAGCCCGTTCCTGATGCCCGCGCTGGACCCGGCCACGGTCGCCGAGGCGATTGTGGCGCAGGTGCTGAGGGGTGAGAGCGGCCAGGTGGTTCTGCCCGCGTTCGCGAACTCGATGGCTGTGCTGGCGGGCATGCCGCTTTGGTATCAGCATCGGCTGAGGGTGAAGAACCAGGGCATTATGAGGGAGTTTAGGGGGAGGAAGGTAGTGCAGGATGTGGAGAGGTTCTATGAGGAGAGGGAGAGGGAGCATGGGGGTGAAGCGGGTGCCACTGGGCCGGGGGCGAGCACGGTTTTGGTGGAGAAGTGAGGTTTAAAGGAGGGGTCAGCGAGTGAGAGCTGTTTTCTTTGTCCGTTGGCGTGTCTGAATGGATTATGGGTCAGCTGGCTGTGCCCTGATGCGCTGGAATGTAAGGCACGTGAGGGGCCGTGTTGGACAAAGCTCTGACCGGAAAGCTTCCCCGAGGAATGCAGCCACATTCCTTAGCCTTGGTCATACATATCAAAGCCATGACAGGCCTTCTGGTCTATAGCGGTAGTTGGAGGTTGCCTAAGGAAAGGTCCAATACCTCGGATTTAGTGTTCTATCGGATCATTGAAAATGACTGTTAAACTCAAGCAAGGGCATCACGTGAAAGACGGTAATATAGTGCTAGTATGGAAATCCAATAGTAAGGTGAAACGTTTAGAATAAAGGGAACTCCTCAGGAAGATAAAACTGTTGAGATAAGTCACTAAAAGAGCAATGTGTTTACACTCATTGTAACAGCACACAACCTCGTCTCGACACAGAAACTGTTCCTCGTGAACAGCAAGTGAACAATGCACCATAATTTCTTTGTCTCGAAGACTTATATGCCCTGTCACAGCCAGCTCAAACAAGAACAGACTGCTGGTCCTATGATTACGATGACGCCGTTCAAGCACCCACAACAGAGTCACAAGGCAACCACCATATCCACGAGGCCGGTTTACAATGTCGGCCTGGAGAAGTATCAAATCGAGTCTTCATTCCCACTAATCCTAGATACTAGTATATATACCTAACACTCTTCTCCTCCCAGAAACTCCAGAATTTCAGCAGCGAAATGCGGAACACTTCTGTGCTACTCCTCCCAGATCAAACATCATCGTCAAGTCCATCAAGACACATAGCTATATCTTTACGGAAGTTTACTTTGCCTCTTCCCATCAAAATGCCTTCTAGCACGAACACCATTGTCTTCAGTAGCAGCGAGGGGGCCATAAGCGCCGCCAACGTTTCCATGGTATCCCACAAGCCGAGTCATGAAAGCACCTCTCGGAACTGCAGTTCCTGCGTCTCCAACTTCACGGACCTTGGCCAAGATTATACCACAAAGTCTGAAGCCGCAGCGGCAAGGTGGTCATGCTCGGAACGCAGGATCGCGAAAGCCAAGCAGCAGGCGCTAAACAAGGCGCGGGAGGTGAGAGCTGCTAAACTGCGAGTTTTTAACGTGGGTACTGATTCCGAGGGAGAGGACGGCAGTTGGAGCTCAAAGCACGAGGAGGAAGACACCATGGAAGAGGATGTCATTGACGAGGAGTGGCCTGAGGAGGAGTGGTCAGAAGAGTGGATTGAGGAAGATATGGGGTGGACTTGGGAGGAGTATTATAAGGCTGAACGTTCGGGAGAGCTCTCTTGAGGGGACATATCCTGGCAAACTCGGACGGAATCATCTCAAGACGAGAAACATCGCAGATTGGATAAAGGTACAAAACGGACAGAGCGGCTTCTTAAAGCAAGCCTGCCTTCTGACGAAGGGACAATGCATACCTAATGTTCATACACTCCAAATTGACACCATCTTATACACGTGTACTATGAACTTGGATTTTGCGTGATATAACTCGAAGGCCTTGAAATGAGTTGGGTTTTTATGAGATCTTTAAGGCAGCCTCTCCCCCTAAAACTCCTGGTTAGTAAATCCTCCTGGATTACATACATACCTATCCATAACATACTATAGGCTGCAAGAGGTTATTTGGCATAGGTATGCCGTACCCTGGGCTAGACAGCGTTGTGCCCACTTTGAGCCACGGCAGAGGCGTTAACAAAAAAGGCTTGGACACGCGCAGGCTCCGGAATGGTGGCGCCCGGGAGCCCGTGCTCCTCGGAGGGGTTCTCGCGTGGGGGAGTGCCAGCCGAGGCTGCGAGGTTCTGGACTGCTGGAAACCGCTCCACCGGTTTGACAAAATGCAGGCTTTTGGCGCGGCAACCAATAAGAGCCTATGGATCAGAAGTGACGGCGGCCCGATCAGCTCATGGCTTGCATGGAATCAGCCCACTTGTTTGGAAAACGGGGAAGGATGAATCGCCAGATTGCATGTCTCACGCATCCATCCGTCTTGCTCCGTCCACCACCACCAAGAGGCTCACATTAACTCCAATAACATTGAGAACCACGACTTCCTATTGATTGCCCCTTCCCAGCCCCAACCTTACTGTTGACCGCTATCTCCCGAAGTCGTCCGATGGGTAGTGCACCAAGCGCAATGTCTCCTCCTTCCCTCATCTTCACTGCTCCACGCGCGACAAGTGTCCATTCCAGAGGAACTTGAATGGAGTGTGATCCCCGGTTGTGGTCTGCAAAACTCTCATCCTCCCAGGTCTCCTGGTCTGGTAATGTCCAAGTACAAGTGCGTGAGCATACAACGCAGCTTTTATAAGGCAACCAACGGGTTATCATCTTAACTCTGCCCGGCAACTTGTGCTCCCGTTTCAACGCTTCTGGTTGTCGCGACTCCGGCTGGAACTACATCACGACCACGGGTCCCTTCAAGGTCTCGGGAGCCAGTGGCGTATCCAAGCGTGGCGTCCCTCGCTGTCTGACCCAACCACCGAACCGTCCAACCCAAGATCGTCTCACCGACAGACGAGAGCCCCCGGCGTGTTGGATTGTGCGAACGAACAGCGTCCTCTGGATAGTGACGGCCCTCCCAGACCCCGTACCTGAAGCTCAGATAGAGAGTCTCCCCCGGCCACACCTGCTCGCCATTCGCCCTCCATCTTGTCCCCGACAGGCCGCAGCAGCCATGGTGCCCGCTGCTACGCTCGACAAGTCCTCCGAGGACCAGCTGAGCGAGGACCGGATGGATAAGTCCGAGTGTGTCGACCGCCTGTCCCTGCTCCGGAGCATGCCCGAGGCGCCTCTAGAATGCCAGATCTGTGTCGTCGGCGCTGGTCCAGCCGGCCTGATGCTGGCGTGTAACTTGGGCCGGTGGGGTGTCAAGGTGGAGGTTGTGGACGACAGGGCCGATCAGACGCCCGTGGGGAGGCAAGTTGTTTTTTTGGTGCCCTCCGTCTTGTGCTTGGTTTCTGACCCGCGTCTGCTGCAGGGCCGATGGTCTACAGCCCAAGACGATCGAGACGTTCCGCCAGATGCGCCTGGCAGACCCCCTGCTCCAGCGCGGTGTCCGGGTTTATGACATAGCCTTCTGGCGCAGCACGGCAGACGAGCCGCTCCGTCGACTTGGCCGCGAAGTCCACTACCCTCCCGTCATCGATGTGTTGGACCCGTACATCCTGCTTGTGCACCAGGGCATGGTCGAAAGCTTGTTCATCGAGGATCTGAAGAAGCGCGGCATCGAGGTGCGCCGAAACACAGCGTTTGACTCGTACAGTGTCTGCGACAGCAAGAGCGGGCCGCTACAGGTCAATTGCCGTGCGAACGTGACGCAGGACCGCAAGACTCTGCTCACACAATACCTGGTTGGATGTGTGTATCCTTGACTCCGCAGCTGAGGGAAGCCGGGCTGACCGTTCTGCAGGCGATGGCGCTCACTCCAAAGTCAGAAAGAGTATTCCCGATGCCAAGGCCGTCGGCATGTCGCAGGCCTCGGTCTGGGGCGTGCTCGACGGCGAGCTAGAGACCGACTTTCCCGACATCTGGTCCAAGACGCTGGTATACTCGCAGGAGCATGGTTCGATTCTGATCATCCCCCGCGAGCGCAATATGACGCGCTTCTACATCGAGCTCAAGAGCAGCCCTAAGGTGGATAGAAGCCAGCTCGGGCAGGAGTTCGTCATGCACCGCGCAAAAGAGATCATGGCTCCCTTTGAGGTTGGGTGGAAGTACATCGAGTGGTTCGGCAGATACCAAATCGGCCAGCGGGTCGCAAGCCGCTTCTGCGACAACCACCACCGCGCCTTTCTCGCCGGAGACGCCAGCCACACACACTCGCCCAAGGCTGCACAAGGCATGAACACGTCGATGCACGACGCCTGGAACTTGTGCTGGAAGCTCAATCTTGCCGTCCGAGGACTTGCCAAGCCAGCTCTACTCGAGAGTTACGAGGCGGAGCGGAGAAAGATCGCCTTAGACCTTGTCAACTTCGACTACGAGCACGCAAACAGGATTGCCGGCGGAGATGCCGAGGCGCTCGCCGAGAACTTCAAGACAAACGTCCGCTTCATCTCGGGCATCGGAGCCGAGTACAGCGAGAACGCCATCAACATGAGCCAGGACCAGGCTTGGGTCATGGGCGAGGCCAAGCCGGGATGTCTTCTGCCGCCGGCCAAGGTCACGCGCTACCTCGATTCGAACCCGGTCGACATCCAGCTCGACATCCCCATGCTGGGCCAGTTCCGAGTCTATCTGCTGATGTGGGACGTCCACCAGTCCCGCATCTTCCTCGAGACCTTCTGCCAGGCCATCGCCTCGAGCGACTCGCTCGTCAGCCAGCTCTCTGCGGCCGCAAGCATCTCCTACGCCAAGCAGCCGCGCGCTCCGGCTCCAGAGGACATCTACCTCCGACCGGAGCGCTACACAGCCGTCAGCCACCTCTTCACTTTTGCCCTGATCAGTTCGTTCCCCCATTATCCCTTTAAATGAACCCGCTTATTTACTGACCGTTTCCGCAGCAACCATGCCCAAATCCGAAATCGAAGTCACAGACCTGCCCGCCCTTCTCCAAGACAGCCGTTGGACGTTCTATCTGGACAATATACCGGAGCAGGACACGCGCGGCTCGCTGTGCACAAACAAGTGGCTCGGCAGCCTGGGACCGGGCGAGGTGGCCATCGTCAATGTGCGCCCGGACGGCTATGTCGGGTCTATTGGGCGCTGGGATTCCAGCATTGATGATGCTGGGGAGGATGCGGCAAGGTGGATGGATCGGTATTATGATCGGTTTTTGAAGGTGCCGGCTGCGGTGTAAGGGGTTTGTCTCGGGCGGGAATGATGGGTTGTTATGACTCCTTGTTTTCCACCTGGGTGCCTACCTTTTCCGCTTGGCGCAAGCTGATGGCGAGGGCGTAGAGCTGACGGATTGTTTACTTGCTGGAGACATATAAGGCCACTACTGCGAGGCAGGTGGTTTGTGAAATGGAGTTGGTCACAGGTGGGAAAACCATTTCTGCCTATTCTTTCTTCGGTTCTCGTTCCTTGCTTGGCGCCTGGAGTTTATCGTGGCATTTCTAACGTTGAGATGCTCTACAACCTTCTTTCCTGTTATTGGGCTTGTTTTTCCAATGCTGGACTCGTCTCGTTTGGTTTACGTCCATCGGCTCTACTTTGGTAAACTAGTTGATGCTATTGCTCAGGCCGTGGTCTGAATAGCTCTTAGGTCACTGGCCCCTTTTGCTTACTACTTTAGCGACATTACCTGCAACACTTACATGGACATCAAGGCACATACCTGACACACAAGGTGTCTGGTACTGTAAGTAATTCGCGCACAAAGAGCGCTTTCCCCCCTCTGAAGTGTGTTTTGTCTGATCCACAGTTGAGTGTTGAGAAAGCAGAGAGGAGCACCACTTCAGATTCTCTCGGTCTCTTCTTGTGTAAGGCCGTTGTGGTCCGATACATCTGATCCTCTCACAATTATACGCCTGACGAGGCACTCGGGGCTGGGTGTGTCTGGAGATATGGGAAGGAATAACTCCTAATACTAGTCGCACTCAAGAAAATATCGTAGTGATGCTGCCAGGCGAGGTTCAGGTATGGCAGATGGCCATGGTTTAGAACCTTTCCCAATAGCTTCGCCCAGAGAAGACGAGGTGAGAAACCCGGGGGGGTGGGGGGTTGGGGTGAGATCTAACTTCTGGGGCGAGGGAGACTATCCAGCTTCGTGTGCGAGTGATATACGAAACATCTGGGTATTCGACGTGATACTTCTCAGAAACGTAAAGTGAATGCTACCCCTCTACTAGTGCTGTGTACGTCCTTTGCTTCCCACCCCCTCGACTGCGCAAGGTAGTGTACCACTCAGTAACACCAAGTCTAGGCCCAATCACTTTGCTGAAGTCGCCGAGTTCTTTTTTGGTCAACCCCGGAAAAGTCAGCCTTCCAGCGCGCCTAGATACCAAGTGAACAGCAAAACACCCTCCATGGAATCTCCCCCTTCATTGCCATGAATTCGGGCCGCAGGTACCGAGTGGTAGTTCGCCACCTGACGTTGTCAACCTTGCAGACACACCTCGAGACCTCGTACAATAAAAGTGAAGAGCTCAACCATACTTCTTCGGTCTCCACTCTCGAGTTATGGTTGCCGCTTGCTGCCAGTGCTGTCCGCAAGTGATCAAGGGCATCCTTCATACCCAATTCATCGTTGCCGCTGATAGTGGCAAGACCTCGTCGATAAACATCTGAAGGTCCTCAGCCATCGCCTCCGACTCGGGATCTTCGCTGATGTTAACAGTTGTCGTGTCCGGCACCAAGCGATCTGCCCTGAGGGGCGCTTCCATATCGGCAGCCGGGATGTCGTCGGGGGAGATCCTAAACTTCTTACTGAACAGTTTGGCTTCAAGTTCCAGTGTCATCTCAGCAGCTGGGATTTCCTTCGGTATCTCACACTTCGGCGAGGAATGGACGACACGATACGCTTCCGGTGCATACATCCACAAAAGACTCCACAACTTGCTCCCGTTTTCGCGAGCTAGGTCTAGCGGCGTGATCCCTTTCGTATTCGGTGCTGTCACGATCGCGCCCTTCCTGAGAAGCAGGCGAGCAATTCTCTTGGACCCCAGCTTGACCGCGGCGTGGAGAGGTGTTTCGCCGCGAGAGGGCCGGCGGACATCGGCTCCGTTGTCAATGAGGAGTCGCGCGATTCCTTCGTCCCCCCGCTCGACGGCAATGTAGAGCGGATTAACCACGAAGGGATCCGACGGGCAAGCCTTGGCACCTTTCTCAAGGAGCAGCCGGACTAGTTCCTCGTCACTTCTCATGACGGCATGTTCAAGTGACGCTGCTCCCGCAGGGCCCGTTTCCGAGAAGTAGGCCACTCGCTCGAGGAACTGGCGCGCGAGGCTGTAGTATCCCGTCTGAATCGCAAACGGCAGGAAATCTTCTGCGGTCTTGGAGAGGCCGTCACCGTTCTCAGAGTCCTCGTCGCCAGCAGTATAGCTGTTGATGTACCGTTCCAGGCGTGATACCCCGTTCCGGAAGTCTACTTCCGTACTTTCAACTCGGCCATAGTGCTCGAAAAGCTCCGCTTCTGTTCCACACTGACGTTCGTATTCCGCAACTAATTGGCGCTCTTGCTCTTCGAGAGCTTTGATGGAAGCCCGTATCCTTTTTATCTCAGTCTGTTTCCCGGCCAGTATCTGCTTCTTGTTTTCCAATCGTTTTCTCATCCTTTCAGCATCCTGTTTTCGTTGTTCGTCGATCCGCCGTACATGGTCCAAGAGCGCAGTGGCCCCGGATAACCGTAGACTCGCAGTCACATTGAAGGTGACAGGGGCAGTGTCGGACACCACAAGGACCGGTTTGAGCACAAATCTGCGCTGCGAAGAGGGAGCCTGGAGAGTCTCCAGTGCCATGGCCAGCTGCATGGTGCCATTATCCGCACGTGTGTTCCCGATAACCTTGTGCTTCCAAACCACGCTGTTGCCGGCGATATCCTCTAGGGTAGTTTTCCTGGCAGCAACCATGAGACTGTAGTGAGGTCGTGCTTCGGAATCGACTCCAAGAACCGCCACAAAGTCGGCCGACAAGCCCTCGGTTTGAAACCGGACCAGGATTTCTCGGGTCCCGTTGGCCGTGGGCATGAGAGCCGCCTCAATCAAAGCCCTTTCCTTGTGCCAACACGGTGTCGGATGGACGCCAACTACATCCAGCCCAGGGACGGACTTCCGAATATGGAACCAACAGGCTTCGGACGACTGGGGAGGTGACTTGCGCCCGGCCTCAAGCTGAATGTGAACTAAGCGAGAGTCTCTAGTCGTGGGTTTTGCGACCAGTCGTGCTCGTCGGCCTTCCAATCTGACGTACTTGTTGGGTCGTCCTCCAGGCGCAGCGGCGAGCGGGACCGCCACCACCCTATCCGGATCTCGTTCAAGGCCGCATTTGAGAAGACCGACAATTTGCCCGTTTGCCATAGTGTGGACGGCGAGCGAGAGGCGAAGGCTCCCGCCGTGGATTTCGAATGAGGAATGCGAAGAGTGGTCCATGACGACGACCTGTCCCGAGTTTGCAAAGTATGAGGGAGCGGGCGCAAGGACGGTTCCGAAGACGACATCAGGTATGCTATCGTGGCCCGGGCTCTCCGACTCGAGGTGCCACGCGAGGATCGAATCGTCCTCAAGTTCCTTCATGATCTGCTCCTGCAACCTCCGGAAAGCCTTCTCCCCTTCGCCATATATCATTGGCATTGATACGCCAAATATGCCGAGAAGGCAGTAAGCAATATCCTCCTGTCGTTTTGTGACTCTGTTGGCCGCCCAGGACATCCGCTGGGCGACGCTGGCGTGATGGAGCTCGGTGATCCCCAACAGAAACGAAGTCGGTATCCCCGTGACCCTCTCGACCACATCGCACAACTCCCCTTTTGTCCCCATACACTTCCACTCTCTGTCATAGAAGCGGAGATTGAGTGGCGCAAGGAGCTCTTGCAAGGTCCATCCTCTCCGAAACCAACGGCTTGAGGAAAAGACTTTGAAGGGGACATCAGAGAGGTAAGCGTAACAGATTGCGGCGTTTCGATACCAACGAAACATGGAGTTGATAGCCTCCTGGAGTTCTACCGAATTGGCTTTATCGATGCAACAGCTGTCGATCCAGACGTATTGATAGCCATCCGACTTGGCTTGTTTGCAGCAACCCGTCATCTTGAGCGGCCGGGCCGAGTCCAAGTCCAGCCTTCCGTCCTGTACATCGCGGTAGGACACTTCTTCGCTGTCGTTGCCCCATGTGTGTGACAGGATAGCGTAAGGAGGAGGATCCACGTAGAAGAAGTCCTCTAACTTGAACGTGTCCACGTTTAGGAGTCGCATGGCTGAGCTGCCAGTGGCTGACGGATGAGTGCCACACTTTGACTTGTGAGAATCGGGGATGCGACGTCTTCGAGGCCATGGGTTGACAATGGCGAATTGTGGAGGCAAGGGATTGATGTGGAGAGCTGAGTGCTAGGAGCCTTCCGTCTCATTGAAGTGCTTGCATGTACCTGGCTCAGCCACACCGCTGCCCAATCCGGGCTGCAGCTCCCCCAGCTGTCGGCTAGTGTGGGAGTCAAGCAAAGCTGCAAATAAGCGCCAGGCAGATTTGCTGCTCTGGCTTGAGAGGTGATTAAGGTTCGAACTCAAATGTGCTGCGTGCTCGTTACAAGAAACACTCCGTATGTGCTTCGGAGAATGCCTATCCTGAATATAAGCTTCAGTTCCCTTGTCAGTGACTTCACTCCACTCCAGTCTAGGCTTTGAACCAGCTGCTGGAACCTGGCTGGTCCCGTCACTGACCAAGATGACACTTAGAACCTCACAACAGTGATTCTCCCTCTCCCGTCCTCTCCAACAACCCACCGCTCATCCCCAGCAATGTAACCCTTAGCAATGAGCTCCGACCACATCTCGTCGGGGAAGTCCACTTCCCTGGTTCTTGCAGGAACCGCGTTCGGTTCGCTAGATCGCCGCCTAGCGGTCCCTGAATCACCTTTAACCTGGATCGCCGAGATCTCCTTGACCGTGACAGTAGGACGGATGTGTACGGATAGGATCTCGAGTATGAAGCGATGGCGGGCGATAATTCGGACCCCTGCGGCAAAGTCCACCATCTCGGCGACGGTGAGGTAAGGAAAGTCTTCATGGCGCCAGCACGGGGCACAGCCAGGCCAACGGGTCGACACGACGGCGTTCTGAGAGCTGGTTTCGCCGAGTACCCAGGGCCGGCCCGCAGGGTCCATCGAGAGCGGTAGCCGCAGTCGATCAGGAATATGCTCGGCGCTAGCTTCGAGAGGTCGAGCACTGCCGTTCGCGTCCACCACGCGCACGCAAAAGTTCATGTTGACGGCCCCGTTGGCGCCGCATTCGTCCAGCCATATGGGCCCATTGACCGGCCCATCGACGATTGTGGAAAGCGCGACAGGCTCGAGATCAGCAGTTAAATCAGTAGCCGACCGAGTGGCAAGCGGGTAGACTGCCTGAGGAGAAGACACTGGCTCTGGAATGACTGGAATCGCCGTGCTTCGGACCATGTGAGCTCGTGGAGGATTTAGGGAGCTGTGCTGGCCATCAGTCCACCGGTGCTCTTCTTCAACCACGTACAGGTTCCGATTATCCAGGGCCAGGCACCTGAGTTGAGGCGTTACCCGCTGGCGCAGTCCGTAGAAATCCAATTCACGCCATGCCATGCGCCTGATAACCTGCGGCCCAGCAGTAGCAACCGCAAGAGAAGCTCTCCTCCGCCTATTAGGATCTGCCTTATCTTCATCCAGGCTGTATGTCGCTCCAGCAACCCTGCTGTTCTGCCCATTCCACAAACCAGAGGGCAGGGATGGAGCTCGAGCAACCGCGGGCCTCTTGTCACCCTTTGGATCTTCCGACGGGCGGTACGAGCTGGGCGAGGAGATGTCCCACACCGCCAGCTGTTCAATGGGGTCATCCTGGTAGAGCGAGCGGTTGGGTTGCCACAAGTACACGGCATAGTGGGTGGCTGTGTGTGCGGAGAAGAAACGGTCGGAGCAGTTCAGGGGCAGGCCGAGGAAGTGCAGCTTCCACTCGGACCGGAATTCGACAGTCCATGTCTCCCCTGGGCTGGTGGCAGCAGGCTTGCGGAAGACGTCGAAGGCCGTCACGAAGTGACGATGTACAACCTCGAGCGGGTTCAGTTGGTGAAATGGCAGTGCTTCTGCCCACTCAAAGATGAGTACGCCTTGTGCCATTCGAACTCGACGAATGTGCTTCGAACGAACATCGAATGGCACCGCGACCCGGTGACCAGTGGCCAGGTCGAGAATACGGTAGACGTGCCCCGCGCACCGGTCTGGGGCCCAGTGATCTTCGGACCCAAGCGCAGCAGGGTACACCAGGACTCCATCCTCCTGGCTGTACGACCAAACCGGGTCGGGGTAATGGAAGTTCCAGGTTTTTTGGTCCAAGCGTAAAAACCTGTTCCAAGGTGCTACTCCCCAGAACGAGAAGATGGATCCGTTTTCCCTACTGCTTGGGGCAAGCTCGAGCTTGTCAACGACACGAGGACGTCCCCGAGCCAGATAAAAGTATCGACGAGCCACTTCAGCGAACGTCGAGGACCAGTCGGGCCTTTGCTCGGCCACGTCTCTGAGTTCGGCCTGGAGATTTCTTGGGAAAGCTGCTGATGAGGAAGGCAACGAGGCCGCAGCTGCAGCTAGGCGGAGCTCACGGCATCGGGGGAAATTCCAGCGCAACAGTAGCTGAGAGACGAGGTCGGTCGTAAAAGCAGCAAGCCATCGTCGAGAAACAGCGCGACATCGCACACAATCCCGTGGCGGAAGGAACGAGATAACGAGAATGAAGAGGTCGTGCGGCAGCTCGGTAATATCCCTCATGGTGGCGGTCGGTGGTCATTTAGAGATGGGCTGCATAGATGACGAGATTCCATAATCCAAATTGCTACCACAGTGAAATCCGACCAGTTCTTATGCATGCGACGAATCGAGAGGCCGATGACCTTGACTCGGACTGTGAAGGCGATACGGGGCCCGGGGTGTGATATGGATGACTAAACTAGGTACGTGCGGATAGTCGATACGATGTTTTGGATTAAAGTGCAGAAGGCGCAGTCAAACTCTTGGCACACCGGGCGTCGGGTGCTTGGCTCGTTGAATGAGCGCCGAATCCGTGGTTACTTTATCAGTTCCCCAGGCAGAGCAAAATAAGTGATAAAACGAGAATCAAGTAAACCTTTCGAGCAGTTGAGTTCAGATGTCTGTCTTCGGGACTGGTCTGAACTTCTAGTACGGAGTAAGGTATGGATACAGGCAACTCAACTGATCAACAGCCAGTGCTTACCACTGCATTTCAAGCTCAGGCGAGCTGTATGTACAATGCAGAGCTAGGTTCTCCGGACTCCGTACCCTAACCCCAACCTTCCTCTCTCTGGGAGGAAGGAAGCCACTCACCCCTTCTCATCATCAATACAGCTCATTGACATTACGCTATGGGTGACCGCACCTGATGCCGTTATCTTTCTTGTGTACTGTGTGGCTTTGCTCGACCTGTTAAACTGGATCCATTCCTACGTCGTCGACAACGTCCATCGTCCGGCTCCCAACGGGCATTTCCAGGACCCACAAAGCCGTCTTACACCACCATCAAGCACGCAGGCTCGGCAGACACTCCTCACTGGCAGATCAGGGAACTAGTCGGATCCAAAGATGACTGCATTCGTTGTCAGACCAAAGGCACACACCTATAATGTCCATCAAAGCAACGGATTGTAGTGGATTTTCAGGTGACATGCTGCGACCTCCAATTGTCGCCCAAATCTCGGCTTGTGCGGAGCAGCGGGATGATAACGTTAAGCTTTTCAGGCAGCGTCGCGTGGAACCCAACCCCGCATCTCCCGAGTCGTCTTATTCGTGCATCCTCCGAACTTTCTTGCTCTCCACGATTTTCCTGTCATCTTGGCAAAAGCCAAGCAACCAGCGAGTCCAGCCTTGGCATATGCAACCCGCGAGCTCCCATCTCATCCACGATCTCTTGGCTTTTCGATCTGTTCGACCCTGCTGCCGATTTCCTCGTCGCGATCCCGGCGCGTGCTTGGTCCGACGCCTCCAGCGCGCAGCCCGACGCTCCCGTGCACGGATACGACTCCTGGGGGGGTTCGTCCGCCCATCTTCCCGAACTTCGCGTATTGCGTGGGCAGTGTCACGGACGAAGCCTTACACTCACCCACCCGAAGCCTCATCTCGAACCGCGAGGTCCCCTAGCGCCGCCCCAAGAACGTGTCACGCACGCAACCGCATTGCATACCCGTTTCTCTGCCGCGGCAGCCAGAATCCAGATACCTGATCCTAGATGGGCTTCTCCAAGAAGCCAGCCGACACCCGCGCCGCCGACCGTTCCCCTGCGCCCGCGTCAGCTTCAGAGGACCCCTCCTCAAGCAGCAACCTCTCCTTCTTTTCTCGCTTCACCCTGCCGCTGCGATCACGTACCCGCTACATTGCCGACTTCCACATCCGCCCGGCCGAACCCCATCGCAAATATGGCGCCGGCGACCAGGTGCAGGGCGCCGTAGTCCTGACTGTCGTCAAACCCGTCCGCATCACCCATTTGGTTGTGTCGCTGCATGGGTACATGCGCGTCTACAAAGGACCCAACACAACCGCCAACGAACCCATAATCGACCCCGGTGAGGCGCTGAGCTCCTCGAGCCGGATCTCGCGTCAGAAAGGCCTGAGTAACGGCTGCGTGAGACTGTTCCAGGATGAGCAGATACTCAGTGGGGACGGGAGGCTTGAGCCGGGCCGATACGAGTTCAATTTCAACCTCCTCTTTCCTGGAGATGGGTTACCGACCAGCATAGATGTATGTGCCGCGTGCGACATTTGTCCATTCACGGCCAGTCCCATTTGCTAACCTGTAGTCTACAGTTTGAACGCGGGACCATATCGTACATGATCACGGCCACCCTGACCCGACCAGCGTCTATTGGGACCAAAACCCCGTCTAAAACCAGCTGCGAGCGGAAAGTGGATCTCGTCGAGAAGCTCGATATTGGACCCCTGACCCCGCCACGACCGCGTACCATCTACCTTGAACCTATCTCAAAGAGGCACAAAAAGAAGGAGAAAAGGCATCCAGTTGCGAGCGCGGGAAAGAGCGCGGCTGCAGTTGATACGGCTCCGCCAATATCTGACCTTGACTCCACTCGAGCACACGAGAACTCTACCGAAGGCTCCCTATCCGTAATCGGTGAGGAGCTGGGACAAGAGACCACAGCAAACGATGCCCAGCGTCCGCAGAGCGATGTCAGGAGCGTAAGTAGCGAGAGCGTCGTGAGTGGCAGCACAGGTCGAAGCAAAGGTGTCGATGCACATCAAGCGGTAGCCATCACCGCTCCACTGGGAGGGAAGAAGATCGCTGCCGAGAAGGAGCGGACCATCACGGCGACGATCGAACTACAAAAAGGAGGTTGCCTCAGGGGAGATGTGGTGCCCATCAAGATTTCAGTGCAGCATATCCGACAGATTAAGAGCATGCATGGGGTCATTGTCACTCTCTACAGGCTGGGACGGATCGATTCCTCGCCACCATTGCTCCTCAAGGAGCTCCCCAAATCCGAGGCCCGGCCGCTGGAGAAAGAGGAGTACTACCCAAAGTCCAAGACTGGTCTGGGCGGTCTTTCCCTGACCTCGGCTGGTTCCTGCAGCGTGTTCCGAAAGGACTTGTCTCAGGCCTTTGCTCCGCTCATCATCGACCCTGACACACTGTCTACCAGTCTCACGGCCTCGGTGCGGGTGCCACCAGACGTCTTTCCTACAATTAAAGGCGTTCCCTACGAGATGATATCGTTCAAGTACCAAATAGAGGTGATTGTAGACCTCGGAGGCAAGCTGGCCAACCAAATCCAAAGCATCAAGCCGTCTGGTTCAGGGCTGAGCCCCGTAACCGGGACGCTAGGAGTGGTCGGCAGTCCACACGATTGCGGTGTGCCCTCGTTGGCTGCTTGGGGTACGAATATCATCGATACGGACAGGCTCCGGCGTCAGAAAGGCGTCATCTGCGTGGTCTTTGAGGTCGTCGTGGGAACAACGGACAGTAGCCGGCTTCGCGGCAAGGGGCCGACGAAGCCAGAGCCGTCCGTCTACACTGTTCCGGCCCAAGAGACTGACGTGGATGAGGGTGCAAGGACCGGGAGACAGCCTCGGCAGACCCTTCCATATGATGAGGATGGCTATCCGCCAGAAAACTATCCTCTCGAGTACGCTCCATCACCTCACACACATCTGCCTCAACCTTATCCCCCCTGGGCCACCGCTCCTCCGCAGTCGTTTCCCGCCCCCCACTACATCCCTCCTCCAATCGTACAGGACGAGAGCAGCCTTACTGAAAAAGAGCGCATCAGACGTGCCGAGCAGCGATTGCTGCCCAGCCAACCGCTACCAGATGAGCCTGTCGCAGGTCCCTCTAATTCGCTCCAACCGAACGGCGAGAGTACATACGACGCTGACGATCATCTTCCGATCCCTGTGGCCGGCCCTTCACACCAGCAAGGGACGGACAACCCGACGCAACAGGAATCACCCGCGGAGCCCTCGGCGCCAACATTAGAGGACCTCTCCAACGGAGCAGAGGCCCACCCATCGGAAGACAAACAAGAACTCGAACGACGGCGACTCCTCGCGGAGGCAAGCGCACCACCAGAGGTCCCGGACGACTATGACAACGGAGCAGGCAGCGGCGCCGCGCCGTCAAGACCATTAGCGCCGCTAGCAGGGCCGAGCGCTCCCCCAGATAACTTTGAGCCGTCGGCGCCGGTGCTGGGGGACGAGGAGGCCTATGGGCCACATTACGCTTATGTTTCGGCGGTGGCAGGATCTTCGATGGTTCAAACCGGGCAGAGTCGGCCAGCCGAGCCGTTGCCGAAGTATGAGCGATGAGGAAATCATGGGCATATACCCTCGGCTTGCCTGAGTTATATGACATGGGAGGCTTGGGCTGAGATGACGGACGAGGCGAGCCTTGGATAGCGCCTGGAAAGAACACGAGAATCGTGTGGTACGAGGATAGTGTATATTGTAATCAGCTGCTGGATCGGTGGTATACGCCTTTCTGTATATTTGGAGCACGAGGATTGTGCGGCAGCTTGGTTTGGATAGCGGAAGACTTCTTTGATGGATAATGAATAGGATGGTTCTGAGTACATCTTTCATCTTTCTCCCAATCTTCACAAAGCAGAATTTGCCGTAAACCAAGGTACCTTTTGACTGTGCTGAGGAAAGCAAATCCCGAAATGACCAAGACGCCTTACCTTTAACGTTGCGTGGAAAGCTTTGTGAGTTGTGGTCAGCCACCAGTTCCCTTCCTAGTGGTCACTTCTTTTAGGCTACACTCGCCGTCGTTCCTTTTCCTTTTTAATCCGTATTTCACCGTTCCCCAATTTCATCCTCTCCGTTTACTATGAAGATGCTCATGTGGTATCCGCGAAAACAGAAGGAAAAAGAAAGAAAAAGGGAAAACCATGTAGACAGACCGAAACCGAAGAAGCTAGAAAGGTGAGGCGGAAGATGAGGAAAAATCTCGTTTCCAAGTCACCCGCGCCAACCATTATCAGCCTCATCCAACTCCCGAGCCACATCATCACCTTCCAGCTCTCCCACCACTGCTGCTTGAGCCATCGGATGCTCACAATCTGGTATACGCGGCGAGCCGGCATCCGAAGAAGGTAAAGGCCAAGAATCCACCCCGCGCCGTCCACCCTCAGTCGCATGGCCAGGACAAAGCCCAAGGAGGCAACATAAAACCGTCATCAGCTTCTACCGGCCCGGGCCAAGGACACCCCACCGCATAGCCCTGCAGCCCTTGACGCCCCGTCCCCTCTAGCAGGATGAAGTCCAAACCCGGCGACAGTGGGACTGGGTGTGCCAACGAGCGTGGTATACCCCGATCCATTCCTCTGATGCCCGCCACCACTAGCACCATGAGCAGTATCGCCACCACCTCTCCCCCGAGCGACATAGTGTCTGTAGCCGCGATGAGGTGGGGGAATGACGACCAGATACTCTCCTCCAGCCCCATGCTTCTGCTGCTGCCTTCCATAACTTCCCCCCGCAGCAGCGCCAGCAGCAGTGACAGGAAGCCGATACTCGACGGCGTGATGCGCCGGCGGCAGCACGGCGAAGTGTGGCAGGACCGGTAGAGTCGGCTGTCTCATAGCCATAGAATCTCCGCCGCCGCCGCCAGGGGTATTATCATGGAAGATGCTAGTACCGGTGGAGAATACCTCGCCGTCCTCATCCTGTTTGGGGGAGCTGTGATGGCGGCGCCGGACAGCGAGGATCACGAAGCCTGCGAGGAAAAGGGCTAGGACGCTGCTGCCTGCCGCGATGCCGGCTATGGTTTGGGTTGGGAGTCGTTGAGGGGGGGTTGAGATGGGGTTGAGGGAGGTGGATGCGTCTGGCTGAGAGCTGGCGGTTGAAGGGGGGATGATGGGACTGGCTGGTGCTGTTGTTGTGAGGGTCGAGGTTGAGGATCGATGGGAGGTGAGGGTCAGAGTGGAAGTGATGGTGGTTGTTGTATCTGCTCTCAGCACCCTGATTGGGCGGTTAGTATGAGGTGCGAGATAGTAATCGGTGTATGGAGGTTTGAGAGGAAATCTTTGGTTGGGACATACCGAGTGTTGGTTAGATAGACGGTAGTCACTTCGGTTGAAGTTGTGTGCACAGTGATGAATGTTGTAGAGATGCTCGTGAGTTCGGTAGTCTCAGTGACATAGCTGGTCACTGTTGGAGGAGGCCCCTGCTTCGCTTGCCTCGGACGAAGAGCAGCATCGTTGCAATTCTGTGGCGGCACGGTTGATGTTACGTGGTCCGATGTGGTTTGATCTGGCAGACCGAGACCCGTGGGTGCCCTTTCTGCAAGGGCAGTTGCCGTCGCGGTCACCCACACGATGCTGGTCTGAGTGGCAGCAGTCGATATGGTGGCATCGACAGCAGAGACGACGGTTGATTTTTCAATCACAACTATCACAACCGTGGCTCGCTGCGTTGCAACTAGATTGACGGTCTGGAAGATGGTTGAGGTGGCAGTTACGGGCGCCCTTTGACTGATTAACTCCTGACATTACTCAACCCACATCACAGCAGACCCAGACTTACAGAGGATTGAGACATTTCGCCTCAGAACAGATCTGGTCGCTTTCACAGCAGCCGGATCCGCAACACACTTTCCCTTTCCCACAACAGTAGTTCCCTTCGATACAGCAGTTTCCGCAGCCGGCACAGAAGTCGACATTGTTACCGAAGCAATAATTGGAGCCGTTGGCAACACAGTCTCTCCTCCCGACGTCCAGAATGCGCTTGTTCAGGCCAAACAGAGGCTTCGCTCCGGAGATTGGGACGGTCCAAGCCTTGTGATACCGGGTATCTGCATCAAGAGTGAGACCGGAACCTGTCTCGGATGTGCAGTCAGTGCGAGATGTGAAGGCCCGGCGGGGCGAGAGGGCCAGAGCAGCGACAATAAAAGCAGCCAGCCGGCCCCAGGGAAAATTCATCACGATATCGGGTCATGGTGCAATCCCACGGCGGGGAAGAGGGACGACGATGGGTAGTGTAGGCGCCATTGCAAGGACTCGACGTACGTGTTTCATGGACCAGCCTTCCAATTATACAGCAGCCAGCTCGCCTTGTTCACCGCGTCTACCGACAACAAACCATGGAACGAGACATGTGGCGGCGTGCATACGACATGCACATACACCGACTTAGCTGCTGGTAAGGAACATGGCGGGCACCACTCAGACGTCGGCGAGCATCAGCCAATGACGAGATATCGACGGCGACCGTCATCACCTTCGTGCCTCCCTGGCCGGTTAGATTCAATGCAAGCCCTCGGAATGCGGCCGAAACTGTCGCCACAACAATTGGATCACTCGACTGGCTGTTCAAATGATGGCAGTGTAACTGACTTGACTGTCAGACCTCAACCATTCTCGCCAAGTTGTTTGATCCATCCTGGGCTGAACAACATCGGGCAGGAAGGGGCTTGTCGGTGACCAACCGTATGACAGCGTCATCAGCGGGACATGTTCTCCCCGAAAAGTAATGAAAAGCGCGGACCGGGAATAGGAGAACTCAAATCGAATTAACTTTACCAGCCATGACGTTGTTTCAGCTTCAGTTTCAGGAAAATACACATTAGGTGGCAGGCTTCAGGAGGAAGGAAACAAAAAGCTTCCAGGTCCGGCGGATCAGTTACAGGTTGTCTCGACAACGATAGTCCTGGCCGACGTGGGGCCGCGCAGCCCCCACTGCCCCGCGCTGCGATCGAGGTGGAAGATCCGCGCATCGGCCGATTTGCATGGGACTCAAATGTGCGTTTCCCATCGAGAGAGACGTGCAGGTAATCATTCCCTTCGGAGCAGCTTGCTCACGGCCGCCTCGCCCTCAGCGCTCGCCATGGACATTGACGACATTCTTCGGGAAGTGGACCCGATTTTCCATGACATCCCACAAGAACAGCGCGATCTCCAAGAGCTGACCCGCGCCTGGGTCGCCGAAAGATCCGCTCCAGAGCTGCTTCCGTAAGTTTTCTCCTCCACGAGCCCCGACACTCCTTTTACCAGCCGCTGCCTCGGTATCACTTCCCTGGACTGACTCGTTACCGACTTAGCTGGCCCGCCAACGGGCTCTTCGAGCGCATCAACGCCAACATCAAGACGCAAATCGAAAAAGTCGAAGAACTCACCGGCGACATGGACCCCAAGACCAACTTCGCTCTAATTGTCATTCAGACCGAGCTCGAGCGCTATCGCTACCTGGTGCGCAGCTACCTGCGTGCGCGCCTGGCCAAGATCGACCGCCACGCGCTGCACTACCTGTCGACCGACGCCCTGCGCGCCCGCCTGTCCGACGCCGAGCTGGCATACGCGACGCGCCATCAGGCCCTGCTGCACAACCACTACCTGTCGTCGTTCCTGTCGTCGTTCCCCGCCAACCTGCAAAATCTCAACGACTCGGCAGCTGGAATCAGCATGATTGAGACGCCCGACCTCGAGTCGGCCGTGTTTATCCGATTGCTCAAGGACACGCCCGTCGAAGGCCGTGGGGTGGACGCCGACGGGGCCATGGATGGCCGGGAGAGCGATATTGTCATCTTGAGGTGGTCGGATGCGAAGCCGCTGGTGGAGGCGGGGAGCGCCGAGTTGGTTTGACCGGAAGATGCGCCTGCAAAGGACATGATGGGCACGCCCAAGGCTTGGATGGCCCCGGTCCGACAGCTAGGGCTCTCGGTGACATGATGCACCATGACCCAGCCTCTGTCTCACCAGCTACGGTTTCCGGAGAGGAATGCCGACAGGGTTGGTCAGCCCGGGGCTTGGAAGATTGATCGTCAGGGAAGCGCTGCCAGATGGACCTCAGGCGCTTGACCAGCTGACTTCGCACCTCGTCAGGGCTGGCCGTAATGCCAAAGCTGTGCAATGACTGACTGCTCGAACAAAGTCGATACCAGGTTACCACTTCGGAACGGAGGCAAAGGACCCTGGAACTGGAAATGCGGCCTGAACTCGCCGAATTTGGCCTGCGAGACACGGAAGCCCATGCTGGAATGAAGGCCGAGTTGCAATGGCTTGTTTCGGGGGTATACGCCGACATAGTGGGTTGCGCATCTCACCAGACTCTACTATCCAAGCAGTCTCGCAAAGGGGCTACGGTGAAGGCGTGCCGGTTGTGTGTGGAAGCCGGCGAGGGAGATCTCTTCCCTTGCTTTGACCCGGACTTCAAGAGCAGCGAAGGTGGACTGTCTGGTACGGTGGATAGATGGATTGCCCGCGCTGTCCAGCCGTATCGAATCGGAGCCGGCATCGAACGTCTGGATGCCGCGTCTATCTGTGGAGCCCACCAGTTCATCAGTTGGCGCTCCGACGTCAGCCCCGTGCTTCAGAAGTGGGGTGAGCGGAGTCAGCAAACGGTTCTCCGCCTCCTTGCCATGGAGTTGGGCATAAAATTCTTGATTTGGCGATAGCAAAACACGACGTTTGGAAAGTTCTGCCGGTTTCTCTTCGTATGTCTATGCTTCCTGGTGGTTCCAGGTGCACAGCGACGAGAAAATCAAGACGTTATCCCTCGACTGGGACTCAGCACGAGCCAACACCTAACCAGAAGACTGTGGCTTGGAGCCTGATGATCTTGAGACGATTAGCACGTGTACGCCGGACTCCGAGCAACATCCCGTAGATGTGTGCGTGCATACGATGATTGTTGTCGATGTTGAGTGCCTTCTCTTCAGCAACGAGCCCAATGTGCGATGTGAATCGGCTTCAAGCTTGCGCCTTGGCGTACCACAGTCCTCCGTAGGCTCCGCAGTGTTGTCGACCTCAGCTGAATCGACTGCTCTTAAGTGGGGCACATTGAGCACCTTCCACTTCGTTGTGGCGTCTCAGCACTGGCCGCCGACAGCGGTTCGATCAGCTGCAAATGGCAGCGTCAGACGCCTCGCTTGATGACGGTGTTTGTTTGTCTGAAATGTTGTCGATCGGGAAGCCCTTGCCTCCAAAGCAGCTCTTCCTTGCCGTCTGATGATGTTTCTTATCCGTGCCATCACGGAGGGACACGGAAACACAGGGACATTTCCCGCCTTGTTCAAGCGAGTGCTCCCAACAACAAACCTGCAACGGTTCACACAACCCGGCATAACAGCGCCAAGCCACATCCCCCGGAAGCGGGTTACGCGAAGTCCTTCATCTTGATTGGTGCCCAGAATGATCGGACGGCCCGATCGGGCAAATGCGCTCCTTGCAGCGTGAAGACTGGTTCCTGGACGCCTCCGTAATTTTACTCTGCATGCCATGCATGGGCCTGTGTTTTCCTCCCTCCAGGTTTCAAGCGCAAAGCTACCAAGGTGTGCCTTAGTGTCCTGCTATATTTTTAAAGGTGATGGAATGCAGAGGAATGAGAATGCTAGGGGGATGATTCTCGCACGAGTCGGAGAGGAATGAATGGAGCAACGTCTGCCCTCTCTGCCAGGCCAGCCTGCCTGTAGTGTGACGAGAATCAGGGCGGGAGGGTTCGTGTTTTGCGGGTGGGTACCTTCTGGCACAGTCTGGATGAATGGCAAGCAAGGACAGCCGCGGGCGATGGCTGCAGGTGGAAAGGATCCTGCCTGCTCACTGGACAGCGTCCAGCTCTCGGATCGCGCCTGAGGGATGAACTCCCTGGCTTTGGCCGCCTTAAAGAATGCACAGCCCGGGACACGGCGAGGAATTCAAATTTCTCTCTCTTGTTTTGGCTCGGGCTTGGGAATCTCAATACTCGCTGTCTCTTTCAACCGTCCTCTCTCGTTGACATTGTGTACTATCATACTACGTTCGTTGAAGCATCACTTGCTCTCGCTCGCAACACTACACAGTTGATATTCGTAATACCGTACAACCACCACCGATCAAAATGCGTGTCACCTCGATCATCCTTGCCGCCGGCTTCGCCCTGTTCGCGAACGCCCAGTCGAGCACTGAGGGCAATGCGCCCTCGACCACGACCGACGCGGCCTCGGCGGCCCAGAGCTCTCTCCAGGCTGAGATGATCAAATGCCTTGACGCTTGCCAGGCCGGCGACGTTTCTTGCACATCCAAGTGCATCGCCGTTCCCAACCCGAACGAATCTCAGGTACGTTGCACTCGCCTCACCACTGGAGACCTCACCCAGAATCCCAGGTTTACAAGTTTTCCTACGCCATTTCAACTTACACATGACTAACACCCGCCCAATAGGTCAACGCCACCAACACCTGCGTTGCCGCTTGTCCCAAGGGCAACGGCACCGAGGCCGACATCAACGCCTACTCGTCATGCGTTTCGGGCTGCATCGCGTCGAACTACTACACCTCTAGCGTCGGTACCCCCCAGCCGACGGGCAGCTCGGGTAACGGCAATGGCAACGGAAGCGGCAACAACAACAACGGGGGCAGCAGCAGCGCCGGCGGTGACAGCAACAGCAACGGCGGCGCCACGGGCACTGGAACCAGGAACTCCCAGGCCTCTGGCACAGCGACCGGCGCGGCCTCTTCGGCCACCTCGGTGGGCGCTGCTCCTACCGCTGGGTTGATGGGTGTTGGCTCCGCCGTGGTGGGCGCTGCTGGGTTTTTAGCTGCTGTTATGGCTCTTTAAAGCTTAAATGAGTCTTGCTGGTGAAATGCGGAAATGGTTACAGGGATGGATGATAGGTTACGACTGGGTCTGTGATGGGTTTGTGGTGTAATGGATGGGTATAATCATGTTGGTTAGGGTGGGTACTTAGGCAGCGCAACTATGACGGAGTTGATTGTCGGGACTGATAGGGTGCAATTGATCCTGCTATGACCGCCGCGGCACCACGGGCTCAATGTCGGTGATCCAGGGCAGGTTGAGCTGCTTCATCTCGACGGCGAGTTGGAAGAGATAGTCCAGGCTGTTGTCACTGTCTGTTAGCATGTGGGCGAAGCAGGAGAAGTAAAACAGAAGCTCACCTCTCGCACTGCGTCTTCGCCTTGTGCACGTTATCCCCCCACACATAGACACCGTGCCTCCTCACGAGCACCGCATAGGTATCCGGGTAACTATCCATCGCCTCCTCCAGAAACTCCGTCAAGTCCTCCTCGTGCGCCGTGTTCTCAATCACCGGAATGACCAGCGTGTCGTGGTACCCCAGGTTGCCGCTCTTTTTGAACCCGCGCCCGAAGCCCTTGATCTGCTCGATATTGTTGATGCGGAACTCGCGGTTCTTGCCGAGACCCTGCGTCTCGAGGATCAGCGTCACCAGCACAGCCCAGTGCGAGTGCGTGTGGATGCAGCAGCCGGCGCGCCGCTTAGTGAAGGCGGCCAGGAAGAGCGGGGTGCACTGGCTCGGCTTGTAGTTGGGGGGGCTGCGCAGGTAGACGCGCTTGCGCCGGTCGAGCGACTGGGCTTGTGCGGCGAGGGAGAGGACGTAGATGTCGGAGGGCTTCATCAGCTCCTTCTGGACGCCCGAAGGCGCGATGTAGACGAGGTCACTGTCCGTTGCGCCACATGGTTAGCGGCAGTGTGCTCTGTATTCCGGTCATGGCCGGGTAGTCCTTATCTGGTGGCTGGACATACTCTTCGCGAATTGAGGCCCCTCCTCCGGTGCCTGTAACCCAACCGAGTGTCCAAAACTTGGCGCAGAGCGAGGGAATCAAATTCGCCGGGTGGTTGGGGTCGTCGGACTGGACGAGGTGGTCATTGTTGGCGGCCGGCTGCTCGTCGTCCTTCTTGGATCGCAACCATTTTGCGTCAGCCATGACGACAATTGTGGTCTAGCTCGCGCTCGTATGTCTCAAAACGGTCAAACAAGGTGTTCTCTGTCGTTTCCGGCCCGGTCAATGGGACTCTATCAAGGCTGTGTTGTCGGCATATCTTATAAAGGCGGCAGACTATATAAATCGCGAGATGAGGCTATTTGGGGCTAAATTGGCGAGAGGGGAGCCGCTACAACGCAACCCTGGTTTGTTTGTTAGCGCGGAACTTGCATCGTAGGTATTTCCACTTGAACTCTCGTTTGTACTTTTTTTTTTCTCCTCTTCCCCTTTATATTTATCTTCGTCTTCCTCTCTCTCTTTATCTTTCTCTTTCTCTCGTTTTACTTTTTATCTTTATATTCTATCTTTCTGTTTTTTATCTCTCTTTTTTATTTCCTTACGTTCCTTAGTTACTTTCATTTTTTTTCTTTTCTTTCTTCCTTTCTTTCTTTCGCTTTCTTTCTTTCATTCCGTATCATCTTGATCTTCTTCTTCCTCTCTAACTTTGTCTTTCTCTTCTCCCTCTTCTACTTTTTGTCTTTTCATCAATTTTGTTTCTTTTTCTTATTTCTTACGTTTCTTTTGTTTCATTTTATCCCATTCATGTCTTAGGTAAATGTAGTGCTCCGCCATGTGCCGTGCTAACGAACAAACCAGGGGTCGGATTGTACTGCGAAGTGGCCCGTGGCTTCGAGTGGTCCCTGAGCTTGGCATGCGGAATGGAGGCATGCGGCCACTTTAGCCCGACCGGCATTGGCTTGGGCGCTTGTTCCGGCCGACACGTGAGGAGGAAGTAAGATGTGGCAGCACTACTGCCTTGTTTGTTGGCTTATTCCACGTGGTCTCTATGCTGCTAAGTCTGTCTTGATGGCTGGAAACTTAGAAGTGAGAGAATCCGGAGAGGACAGGAAGCGCACTGTAAAGCAGTGAGAGGACAGGAAGCGCACTGTAAGGCAGATGAGACCCGAATTGCTCACAGGGCAGCCGATACGCTCGGGAGAATCACTACCTCAATCCGGGCGAACCATTGCTCTGCTTGATGCTTCGACTGCAGACCAAGCTTGAAACCTGGTCAATGCAGCCTCACTCCGAGACAGCAAACAAAGCATTTCACGCATCATCTGGTGGTCCCAACCATTCCTCCCCTGCTATTATTAGCAAGGCTAACGTTCCTCTGGGATGGTCTTGGAGGCACGGTTTTCAGGCCAGGTGAGAGGCACACCCGATCTGCTGAGGATGGAAAAAACTCAACTGCCGTCGGCTCGTGGCAGGCGCTAGCATTGAAAAGACAGATAAGAGGAACTCGCCAGTTGGGAAGCGTTGTTTTGGGCCCCTCCGTCGCTGTGTCATAATTGCGGTCTCAGCACCGGGCAGCCCACTGGATCGAGAGTGAGCCATGCAGGCAGACAAAGGCTGACGGTCTACATGAATGGGGAACTGAACATTCAAAACAATTGAGTCAAAGGTAGCCATTTCCTTGACTACAGAGCTAAGGCATCTTGGACAGCTTGATGCTTCACACTTCCACTTGCATTGTGTCGCTGAGACCTGGCCAATCGCATGGAAGGTTCCAACGACTTCTACAGGTGCGCCGGGGCCACTCTGCTGACCACCCTGCCGCCAGGAGACCCCCTTGCTGCCCCCGCAGTCCCGCGACGGGAAAGCTCCAAGCTCATCCTCCCCGGCCAGTTAAAGAACACGTTGTCAGAAATCGCCTTGCTGGGCTTGAAAATCACCACGCCAGCTGCTTGCTACACGCTCGGTGAATTTTCCCTTTCTTCGAGCTCTGGGAGCGACATCCATTGCCCAACCCCATTGTGTCGTCGTCTGTCTCCATCGACAGTACCTTCCTTCATTGACCGCGGTGCCTCTTCCATTACGCTTCCGTTGACCGTCTCTCATCTGGGTTGCTAGAGATAGCACTCGGCTCTGGAAAAATGAGGTTCAACGTCGCCGCCGCTGCTGCCAGCGCAGCCTTCCTGGTCGGCGGTGTTAGCGCCGAGGACCAGAAGGTGCTCAAAGACGAAAGCTCGTCTAGCTCAGTTGCTGAGTCGGCCACCCAGGCTGCCCCCGAGCTGCCGACCTTCACCGTGAGTTTTGCCCACGCGCCAATGGACCCGAGCTTCGGCGCCTACCATGGCAGACGGTCGGACAACATACTAACGCGCGCCGCTGCAGCCCACCAAGCTCAAGGCTCCTTTCCTCGAGCAGTTCACCGACGACTGGGAGGCGCGATGGAAGCCTTCACACGCCAAGAAGGACACCAAGGGTAGCGACGAAGAATGGGCTTATGTCGGCGAGTGGGCGGTTGAAGAGCCCGTCGTCTACAAGGGCATGGAGGGCGACAAGGGTCTTGTCATCAAGAACCAGGCTGCCCACCACGCCATCTCGGCCAAGTTCCCCAAGAAAATTGACCCCAAGGGTAAGACCCTGGTGGTCCAGTATGAGGTCAAGCTGCAGAGTAAGCCTTGGTCCGTCCCTGCTGCAACCCTTACAATCGCTAATGCACTTGCTTGCAGATGGCCTCGAGTGCGGTGGTGCCTACATGAAGCTGCTGCGAGAAAACAAGGCCCTGCACCAGGAGGAGTTTTCCAACACGACCCCGTACGTCATCATGTTCGGTCCCGACAAGTGCGGCCACACCAACAAGGTGCACTTCATCTTCAACCACAAGAACCCCAAGACGGGCGAGTACGAGGAGAAGCATCTGAGCTCTCCGCCCACCGCCAAGATTGTCAAGACTACCGAGCTGTACACGCTCATCGTGCACCCCAACAACACGTACGTCATTCAGCAGAATGGCGAGCAGGTTAAGGAGGGCAGCCTCCTCGAGGACTTCACTCCTGCCGTCAACCCTCCCAAGGAGATTGACGACCCCAAGGACAAGAAGCCTGATGACTGGATCGATGAGGCCCGCATCCCCGACCCGGACGCCAAGAAGCCCGACGACTGGGATGAGGACGCCCCCTACGAGATTGTCGATGAGGAGGCTACTCAGCCTGAGGACTGGCTTGTTGACGAGCCCTTGACCATTCCCGATCCCGAGGCTCAGAAGCCTGAGGACTGGGATGACGAGGAGGATGGCGATTGGATCCCTCCCACGGTTCCCAACCCCAAGTGCGCCGAGGTCTCTGGCTGTGGCCCGTGGACCAAGCCGATGAAGAAGAACCCCGACTACAAGGGCAAGTGGTCCGCCCCCTACATTGACAACCCGGCCTACAAGGGTCCGTGGGCGCCTCGCAAGATCAAGAATCCCGACTACTTTGAGGATAAGCACCCCGCCAACTTTGAGCCCATGGGCGCTGTAAGTTGCTCTGCTTTTCGACTTGCGGATGACATGTCACTGACAAGTTGGCAGATTGGTTTCGAGATCTGGACCATGCAGAACAATATCCTCTTCGACAACATCTACATCGGCCATTCGGTTGAGGAAGCCAAGAAGTTCGCCGACGAGACCTTCTTCAAGAAGCACCCGGTCGAGAAGGCCCTCGAGGAGGCCGACAAGCCCAAGGTTGAGGACACGCCCAAGTCCCCGAGCGACCTCAAGTTCCTGGACGACCCCAAGACGTATATTAAGGAGAAGCTCGACCTCTTCCTCACAATCGCCAAAAAGGATCCTCTTGAGGCCATCCGGTTCGTTCCCGAAGTCGCCGGCGGCCTTGCTGCTATCTTCATCACCACTGTCGCCCTCCTCTTCGGCCTTGTTGGTCTTGGATCCTCCACTGCCCCGTCGGCAAAGAAGGTCGCCGCCGACGCCAAGGAGAAGGCCAAGGAAGTGGCGGACAAGGCTACCACGGCCGCTGCCTCTGGCGTTGATACTGCCAAGGAGGCGACCAAGCGTGCTACACGGAGCCAATCGTAGATTAGGTTGCCCTTTCTGTCGTCGGGTTTGTGCTGGAGATTAATCGGACGCGGAGGGTCGACACATACTGAGCTCGGTCGTTGGCCGCCGGTGGGGTGAGGCCACTGGTTTTGCTTCATTCTTCTGCTTCTTTGTGGTCTGCGGAGTCCCACGGCGCATCTGTATTCTAGGCACAAAACACACGGGCGTTAGTATTGGACAGATAGCTTAGTCGCTCCTCTTTCATGGATTAATCTCTGTTATTTCGCCAATGGTTCATTCCTTGACTCTCTCAAGATCTGCATCGCGAGCCTGTGACCCGCCCAAGTCCGTCCCCAGTCTCGGCGTGCCCCGCAGGAGCTACCCCAGTTCCTCACCTATCGAATTGGCCGTCGCTGATAGGCAGTCGGCAGAACGCGGCTTTGGAGAAGGCGGAGAAGCCTCCACAGTTCGCCGCTGTTGCCCGCGACTTGCCCGAACGATCATTTGAGACGCTCCGGAGGTAGATCGGATAAAGGGGGGCTCTCTGCCACCCGCTGCAGGTGGCACGGGATGCGCCGACATCAACCAGATCAACCAGTCAATGAGTTAGGTCGCAAGGGGGCGAATTCAGTCACTCCTTCGGCACCAACTTATAGAGGCCGGTATTGAACCAAGACGGGAGAACGCTGACAGCTTCCTGGACCCTGTCCGTCTATCCGTTCACCCATCCAACTCGATCTCACCGTCTTTCTGAACTTAAACCACGATGCGCCGCCTTGCAACCCGTGCTGCTCCAGCGTCTGCCAAAACGGGTCGACTCGCGAACGCGGCCAGTGCGCCCAAATCTGCTCTCCTTGCTTCGTTTTCACTCAGAATGACTCCCTCGAACAAGTCGGCCTCGGCAACGGCGGTGCGGAGGTTACATGCCACAGCACAACACATGCGCCCAGCAGCGGCGGCGGCGGCAGCGGGATTATCCAGCACGGCCACCAATTTCCCAACAACGCACGACAAGATTACAGAGGTGCACGACACGCCCTACTTCATCGACAACAAGTTTGTCAGGTCCAGCACCACGCAGTACATCGACCTGCACGACCCGGCCACCAACAACCTGGTGACGCGCGTGCCCCAGAACACGGACGCGGAGCTCCGGGCGGCCGTCGCCTCAGCGCAGAAGGCCTTTGAGGCATGGCGCACCACCAGCGTGCTGCACCGCCAGCAGATCATGTTCAAGTTTGTCGCGCTGATCCGTGAGAACTGGGACCGCCTCGCCGCCAGCATCACACTCGAGCAAGGCAAGACGTTTGCCGACGCTAAGGGCGACGTGCTCCGCGGGCTGCAGGTTGCCGAGGCGGCCTGCGGCGCCCCAGAGCTGTTAAAGGGCGAGGTGCTCGAGGTGGCCAAGGATATGGAGACGAGAACGTACCGTGAGCCGCTCGGTGTTGTGGCGGCTATCTGCCCGTTTAGTAGGTACTGATATCTGAATGCTCTATGTGGACGCAGTGCTGACATTCCAGACTTCCCCGCCATGATCCCGCTCTGGTGCATCCCCATCGCCACCGTGACCGGCAACACGCTCATCCTGAAGCCCTCGGAGCGCGACCCCGGTGCGGCCATGATCCTGGCCGAGCTCTGCCAAAAGGCGGGCTTTCCAGATGGCGTGGTTAACGTCGTGCACGGCGCCCACCGCACCGTCAACTTCATTCTTGACGAGCCCACCATCAAGGCCATCAGCTTCGTCGGCGGCAACAAAGCCGGCGAGTACATTTTCGCCCGCGGCTCGGCCAACGGAAAGCGTGTGCAAGCCAACCTCGGCGCAAAGAACCACGCAGCCGTCCTCCCCGACTGCAACAAGAACCACTTCCTCAACGCCGTGGTCGGCGCTGCCTTTGGCGCCGCCGGCCAACGATGCATGGCCCTGTCCACGCTCGTCATGGTAGGCGAGACCAAGAAGTGGCTCCCCGAGCTGGCCGAGCGCGCCAAGACGCTCTCGGTCAACGGCGGGTTCGAACCCGGCGCAGACCTGGGCCCCGTCATCACGCCGCAGAGCAAAGCCCGCATCGAGTCGCTCATCGCGTCGGCCGAGGCCGAAGGCGCCACCATCCTGCTTGACGGCCGCGGCTTCAAGCCGGCCAAGTACCCCAACGGCAACTGGGTGGCGCCGACCATCATCACCAACGTCACCCCCCAGATGCGGTGCTACCGCGAGGAGATCTTTGGGCCCGTGCTCGTCTGCCTCAACGTCGACACGCTCGACGAGGCCATCGACCTGATCAACGCCAACGAGTACGGCAACGGTGTCGCCATCTTCACCCGTTCCGGCCCCACGGCTGAGACGTTCCGCCGCAGGATCGAGGCCGGCCAGGTCGGCATCAACGTGCCCATTCCGGTGCCGTTGCCCATGTTTAGCTTCACGGGCAACAAGAAGAGCATCGCGGGCGGCGGCGCCAGCACCTTCTACGGGAAGCCGGGGGTGAACTTTTATACGCAGCTCAAGACGGTTACGTCCATGTGGAGTGGCGAGGATGCGATTTCAAAGAAGGCCGATGTTGCCATGCCAACGCATAGCTAGGTTATCCGGGTTAAATGTGATCGATATGTGAAGGCACTGGCATCTGTGTCTGAATGATGTTGACTGGAGAGTCATAGTTCATGAGGTGCTGGGATTGGGAGAGAAGGGATGAGTAAATTTGGAGCAACCCTTTGGGAGGGGGGGGCCGATTTTTTCAAGCATTATGGCAGGCGAGCATGCACTAGCCTGGGCATGACATGTTTAAGAATCAATGATTGACATGATCACGCAAAGAATATGTGGAATATCTAGTTGTGACCTTTCCTCAGTGCATCTTTGATCTAACCTGGAGCGTGTGTTGAGACTGCTGGATGTTTCGTGATGTTGATATTCACAATACGACTTCAATTATCCATCAGCGGAGGCTCTACCGGAGAGAAATACTGGTTGGGTGAATATCAGCTGTCCCCTGGTTGTTCGACAGCAAGGAGTGGAAGCAACAGAGGAAAAGTGAAAGTCCCTCACCAGATTCGGGTCGAGAAGAGCTATGATCAGACGTCACGGTGTGTTCCATATTCCATGTGTTCCCAGTCGTCACATCTCATGTGGTTTAATACTCTCATCAAAAGACCATTTACATAGACAATGCTCGCCCGACTCCTATACTTTCTTCGTCCAAACCCAAACACCATAAACGCCCACAATGCGGTACTGGCTACGGTAGACCAAGCTACGGTTGCCCAACACCAATACTCCAAGCCACACAACCCCTCCACGGGCAACGAAACCCATGAGAAAACACGACAGAAAGAGGAAGCAGATCAATCCAAAGCCTCGCCGCTCAAAATTCCCCTCAGTATCCCCGCCCCCATCCCCTCCACGGCCCCCTCCATCTCTTTCTCCCCAACACAGCTCGCAACCCTCTTCTCGTCCATCATGACCAACCCACTTCCACCACGGACACCGCCAGCCCCCGAAAAGGCAAATACGTCCTTCTTCCTCCCCCCGCGGCCACTGCTAGGCGTGCTCGGGACGCCCGCAAACGACCCGCTCTTGCCGTTCACGGGCGTAATGAGCGACAGCGTCTCGAGGCTACCGACGACCTCGCGGAATTCGGACGACGTCAGCGGGTGGAGCAGCGAGTCGCGCGTGCAGAGAGTGCAATACGCTTCGTAGAGGGTCTTTATAGTCGGCGCCGTCGCACTCGTACCGCGGGACCGGCAGCCGGAGGAAGGTGTGGCTGGGATGGGCGTGGAAGTAGCCTGGGCCTGGGCGGCACGGTTTCGCTTCTCGATTGCCATGAGAGAACACAGGGCTGCTTTCTGCTGCAGGTTGAGCGTCTTGAGGCGTTGGGCGGCGCCGTTGCTGAAGGCGGCGGCTGTGACCTTATTGAGGTGGGCGATGGTTACGCGAGGTGCGGTCGAGACGGTCAGGGTCTGCAAGGATTTATGGAGGAGTTGTTGGGCGGACGAGGGACGGGCTGGGGAGGGGGAGACGAAGTTGCAGTTCTCGCCGAGGATCTTGCGCGAGGGGCTTTGCTGGAGGAGCATCTCTTTGATTTCGTTTTCGTGCTTGAGACGAGTTTCGGACTCGACCAGGTCGAGCGCACGCCGGCAGATCTCGAAGGCGCGGCGCAGGTCGCCTGTCTGACTCGAGACCTTGCGGGCGCAGAGCTCGATTGCCGCTGGGTGGAAGAATGGGACGAAGTCCGGAGCGGCACCTTTGGGAGCGAGAATCTTGAGCCGCTCGGTAATAATTCGCTTGACCTGCTGTGCGGTATACGGGAGGAACGGGAGGAGTTCCGGCTTCAGGTTGCGGGACTTGAGTCGAGGGAGGAAACGGTCGGTGAGATCTAGCGCGTTGGCGATGCCCACCAGGGTAAGCCGCGAGGCCGGCTGCAGCGACCACTCAAACACGCGGTAAAGGCTCTCGGGATCCATGGTGAGGATGTGGTCGATCTCGTCCAACACAACCAGGAAGACGTCGGTCGGCTTCTTGCGGAGAAAGAGCTTCTGCAGGGCCTCAACGACGTCGCTTTCTGTCATGTTGGCGTCCCCGCCTAGCTGGTCCAGCAACGTAATGTACAGGTCCTTGGACGTCTTGATGCTCATGCAGTTGATGTAGGTTTTTCGGACAGACTCGGATTCCGACGCGGCCTCCTCAGTGATTTTGTTCACCATCGCGCTCTTGCCCGTGCCTGGCGGCCCACTAACGTAAAGACATCCACTCGGCCGAGACGTTTTGCAGCGGCCCAAGAACTTGTAGAGTTGGTCCCGCTCATCGTCACGTCCGATCAGCTGCCCAGGGTCCGCGCTGCGCGAAAAGAGCTGCCTCGCCTGGTGGTAGACTGTCTGTAGAGTACTCGAAGTGGAAGGCGTCTGAGGTGTCATCCGCTTGGAGAGCCTGCCAACCGACATGACCCGCTGACGGGGCGTCGTTGCGGTCCTGGCGAAAACATCGAAATGGCGCGGGGTTGAAGGAGTGACGGGCGCGATATCGGCTGTAGCCGGTTAGCAGTTGACTCTTTGAAGTGTCGCGACATACTCCGGAACCTACGGCTCTTGGCTGTGCTGGCGATTGACGTCCGTCTGGATGTGGGTTTCGTGGGCGTCGACTCCTCCCCCTCCGAATCAGACTCGGGTTGTTCGTTCTCCTGATTCTCCTTATCGCAGAACGAGAGGCGCTCCTTCTCGCTGATCTTTCTCGGGGTACGCCTGACACGCTTTGCCGAGAAGTCGAGACTCAATATCGGCTCTGCGAAGAGTTGTCAATAGCTGTTTCCCTGAGGTGAGTTTTAAACCCGGGCAGCTCGCTTACCCTCTTGCTTTGAGCTTCGAGTCCTCTTTCCTAATGTTGTAGAAGGCATCTTGAAGTTTGGCAAGAGCAAATGACCTGCTTTGTGTTGTTCGAAAGAGGAAAGGACGCTTGTGGTGGGAAGCATCAGGGAAAGAAGCACCTCAAAGTTGGCGCCTCGCGCTTTCCCAGGCCGGGAACGCGACGCGTCGTTGCACGAGGCAAGCGCGTTTCAGGGCATGTGGATCCCGGTAGTTCTTGCGTTGCGGCTCCCACTAGAGCCACGGGTCCGTGTCGCTTATTTATTGCAAAACTGTACGGATCCGTATTAGTCACGACAAATTGCATCTAACGCGGCCACCTCCCCGCGCCGTCGTGTTGAACTGAACTGGCTCCTTGGCACCTGGATTCAGGGGCTGGGCACTGTTGCCCAATGCAGTAAGCGTGGAAGACTCGTCACCCACCCAAAAGCAGGGTCTGGCGAGGGTCCCGAAGCCCTCGGTTCTTCAAGCAATACACACATATGACGCATGGTTCAGACAGTCAATCCAAGCTTCATCTTGTGCCTCAATTGATGCTGTTGGATTTGGCAGGTGGTCAGAGAGGGCAGTTCAGGGGTGACCAATGGCTTGGCACCAGGATTCTCAGGATCAGGAACAGGCAGGAACTTCTGGAAGAACACAGACAGGTACATCATCATCAATTGAGTGGTTGCCCATCTTTTTGATACCCAATTACTACGGTGCGGCACATTCGTGGCTGTTGGCTTTCCAACAGATGCAGTGTCACCTGGTTGGTCTATGCCTATTCGAGCCTGTAACTGTTGCTGTCCAACACATCGCTATTACCAACGCCATGGCCACCTTCCCAGACGAGTGCCTTCCTCTCGAATGCTGCTTTGAGTCTCGACAGGCCTTATTAGAATCAATCAATTCTTGGGCCTTGACCAGAGGTTAGGCCTTTATGACTTAGAGGTTGACTCGAGAGAAGAACGGTCACCTTATAGTTGTCTACGTATGCGATCGGAGCTACCATCTACCAAACCCGTCAAGGGACGGTCAGAGGGGAACGACCACTCGAGTAACTGGTTGTCCATCTCGGTTCTAGCTAAAGAAGCGTCTAACGGTAGTTGGGTTCTTAAGCACCGTTCTGATCCTTGGTTCTTGGTATACAACCACGAGCTAAGCCAGCACCCTTTTGCTCATCTAGTCTACCGACAACTCTCTAGAGGTACCTCGTAGCTTGCAAGTCTATCAATGTGGGCATTGCTCTAAATGAGATTTAGACTATTGTACGACAACGTGGCTCGCTAGCTATAAGGTAAGACATCTATAATCGGATTGCAGATGTACGTCGAGATATGTATGCGGAGGTCAGAGTGCAATTTATGCGCTAGCCAATCGACTGGACAAATCGCGGGGAAATGGCCGCGCAACCGGGTGATAAAAAAAAGTCACACTTATAACGCTGAATACGTCTTAGGTACCTCGACCTCCTAGCATTTTTATATACAAAAACAGGTCATCTAATGGCCTGTTAACATGCCCTCTCTCTCTCTTATATCCTGAATTTATTAATAAGCACTTTCGAGCTGGTTGTCAAAAGAAATCTCCTCGAGATAGGATTATTTTTGAATTATGAGTAACTAACGTGTTTTATCAGCGAATGCACCATATCAGCGAGTGCACCACTGGTAAGGGCTGCATATATATTTGGGGTGCAGCACTAACGACGGGAATAAGCGGGGAATAAGCTGTTAGTACTTCGACTAAGTGTCTGTGCAGCCCTTACCAGTGGTGCACTCGCTGATAAACACGTTATGAATTTTCTTGTCACCCGGTTGCCGCGCTAGATGCATTTTTGTGGCAACTGATACGGTTGGTGTGATGACTAAGCGACACGGACTCGTGAGTCTAGTACGGAGGTTACCGGCAAAAGTTTTCCAAGTGGGCCAGGTACTGGCAAAGGTGGACCACCATCCCCTCGATGTACCTTCACCATGACAGCGCGTCGCACGCGCAACAGTCATCACCAACACCATCACCTTAAATGGAGCCCCCCTCTACGCCACCCAGCCAGCGTTTCAAGAGCTGTGATCTTTCCCGCGATGAGCGGCTTCAAGTTCAAACCCTCCGCAATTTTGGCCTGTCGTACGATCAAATCGTCGCACAACTTGGGCTTACTTACGACCAAGTTGGACATGCCTGCCGCGCTCCAAATGTTACGCCAAAAAAACGCTCTGGCCGACCTAGCCTTCTCAATCCTGAACAGATTGAAGAGCTAATTGCCTTTGTTACCTCCTCGAAAGCCTCTCGCCGAATGCCTTACTCGAAGATTCCTCTTGCTCTTGGTTGGGATTGTTCAGAGTACGCCATCCGTTACGCTCTTCGCAACGCTGGCTTTAAACGCTATGTTGCATACCGAAAGCCTCCGATTACCGAGAAGAACCGACAACTCCGCCTTAACGACGCTATCGAGCGTGTATACTGGCCCCTCGAGCGATATCACGAAATCCTCTGGACCGACGAGACCTGGGTGACTGCTGGTACCCATCGAAAGGTCTGGGTCACACGCCGTCAAAACGAAGCATACGATCCCACTTGCATTGTCGAGCGCGAACCACGGCCAAAAGGATGGATGTTCTGGGGGTCGTACTCAGTGAAATATGGCAAAGGGCCTTCTCTTTCTTGGGAGAAAGATTGGGGGACGATCACTGGAGAGAAGTACACAGAGAGAGTGGTCCCTCTTATTGACGGGTGGTTTCGTCTCCATCCAGGTCAGGTGTTCATGCATGACAATGCCTCTCCTCATTCTGCGCAAGTGACACGCGAGGAGCTCGAGGCTCGAGGGATCTCTGTTTATTCCCATCCCCCGTTTAGCCCTGATTTGAATCCTATCGAGAACGCGTGGAACTGGATGAAGGATTACATTGCAGTCAACTACCCAGCAAAGATGTCATACGATCAACTGCGAGAGGCAGTACGCGCTGCGTGGGATGCAGTCCCTGAGGAATTTCTAAGGGAGTGTGTAGATACAATGCCCATACGGCAACAGGCAGTTATTGATGCCAACGGAATGTATATTCCTTTCTGAATTGACTGTTGCGTATGCGACGCGCTGTCATGGTGAAGGTACATCGAGGGGGTGGTGGTCCACCTTTGCCAGTACCTGGCCCACTTGGAAAACTTTTGCCGGTAACCTCTGTAGGAGCCGGGACCCGTAGCTCCAGTGGAAGCCTTGCGTTTGCCTTAGGCTGACAAAGTGAAACTTTTTATCTTATCTAGCTGGTGCCCCACGATCCTATGATGGAAGGGGGCGAACTCCGGGTTTGCACAGTCGACAACTGAGGGCCACAGGACAGTTAAGGCAATCGCCGGCGACAGCCGTATTCGCTTCATCTCGCACTTATCAAACGCTTTTGGACGCCACGAGTTCTCCATCCCAGAATCATGCAGAACTCGGTGTTAAGTTCATTCATTTCGGCACCTATTTTCAATGTCTCATACCGACCAGTTTGTCAGCTGCGTCAAAGGCACGACTATAGCAGCAGTGAGTGATTATGGCGGGACTCAACACCCGAGTGGACACAGGCTACAATGCCCGTGTCGAAAGCTTCAGAGATGAAGAGTATCCCATGCTTGATGGTATGAACACGCGGTTTGCACTCCTGTTTGATCTGTGACTAACTTCGCCGCAGGCTCCATCTACCTCGACCATGCGGGCACAACTCTCTATCCAAAGTCCCTGATGGACAGGTTTGCCAAGGAGATGACCGCCAACCTGTTTGGGAATCCACATTCAGCCTCGGCCTCGTCTCAGCTGTCAACGGCACGAATAGAAGACATCCGTCTCCGCGTGCTCCGTTTCTTCAGCGCTGACCCGGCCGAGTTCGACCTCGTGTTTGTGGCGAACACGACAGCTGGAATCAAGTTGGTTGCTGATGCCCTGAGGGCCGGTCCTGATGGCTTCGACTACGCCTACCACCAAGCGAGCCACACCAGTTTGGTTGGCGTCAGGGAAGAAGCTCGAAATAGCTTATGCCTCGACGACAGGCTGGTTGATCAATGGCAGAAAGGGGACTCGCCTTTGGGTGATGACAGCGGGGACCGCCCGATCTTGTTCGCATATCCTGCGCAATCCAACATGGACGGCCACCGGTATCCCCTGCGCTGGGCTGAGGAACTCCGTCGCGGCAGGAAGAAGACGTTCACTTTGTTGGACGCAGCAGCGCTGGTCTGCTCCTCTCCATTGGACCTCAGTCAGCCCGAGACCGCTCCTGATTTCACGGTGCTCAGCTTCTATAAGATCTTTGGGTTTCCGGATCTCGGCGCCTTGATTGTGAGACGGGAGGCAGAAGAGGCACTCAGACCGAGACGGTATTTCGGCGGAGGCACGGTGGACATGGTCGTCTGCTTGAAAGAGCAGTGGCATGCGGCCAAGACCCAGTTTCTACACGAGCGTCTCGAGGATGGGACACTGCCCATCCATAGCATTATTGTACTTGACGCAGCCATGGATGTTCACGAGCAACTGTTTGGCTCAATGCGGGACGTCGCCGCCCACACCTCGTTTCTTTCAAGGAGACTGTATCGTGGGCTCAAATCCTTGAGACATGGGAATGGCGAGCCAGTGTGTGTTCTGTACTCGCAGGACTCAGACTCAACCGACAACCGCCTCGGAACTGGTCCTGTCATTGCCTTCAACGTCCGCAATAGCCTAGGGGCCTGGGTGAGCTTGACAGAGGTCGAAAAGCTTGCCGCTTTGAAGCGCTTCCATATCCGTACGGGCGGCGTCTGCAATCCAGGCGGCATTGCCTCGGCTCTCGGGCTTGAGCCGTGGGAGATGATGCAAAACTTCAGTTCAGGATTCCGCTGCGGAACCGAGAACGACATCATCGCTGGAAAGCCAACTGGTGTCATTAGGGCAAGTCTCGGCGCCATGAGCACCATATCGGACGTGGACAGCTTTGTGAACTTCGTTGCCGAGTTCTATCGGGATGCTGCACCCACTCCGATTCTTACAAACCCGGTACCGCTGCCTCATGGTCAGTCATGGCTCCAGGTTCACAGCATTTCCATCTACCCGATTAAAAGCTGCGGAAGATTCGAGGTTCCATCAGGAGTGGACTGGGAGGTCAGACCAGAAGGACTAGCGTGGGACAGAGAATGGTGCCTGGTACATCAAGGCACCGGCCAGGCACTGAGCCAGAAACGGCATCCCAAAATGGCACTCATACGCCCATTCATCGATTTCAAAAAAGGAGAGCTGCGAATTAGGTATGCGGGCCACATAGCAGCACACGCACCTCGACAAATTACCATACCTCTTTCCAAGAACCCGTCCCTCTTCCGGTCTGCGACCCCCTTGTCCAGGTCCTCCCGAGTGTGCGGCGAGGACATCCAGGCGCAGACATACGCATTACCGGAAGTCAACAAATTCTTTTCCGACATACTCGGGGTACCCTGTGTACTAGCCCGCTTTCCGCCCGGCGGCCAAGGGAAGAGCACGCGACACTCCAAGGCGCACCTCCAGAAACATCAACTTTCACCGCCACCAACAACCAAACCCGCCCTACCAGGCTCATTTCCACCTTCACCGCCAGATTCTGACACGGGAAGAGCGTCCCGTCGGATCCTCCTCTCCAACGAAAGCCCCATACTTGCCATCACGCTCCCAAGCGTCGACGCTCTCAACAAACAGATCAAACTCGCCAAACCGACCTCAACAGAAATTTCACCGGCAGTCTTCCGAGCAAACATCATAATCGCTCCTTCGGTGGTGGACACCCGCCTACTACCCTACGCCGAAGACTCGTGGTCAGCACTGAGGATAGGCCAGCATGGGTATGAGATGCTGGGTGCGTGCAGGAGATGCCACATGGTCTGTATCAACCAGGAGACGGCGGAAAAGAGCGAGGAGCCGTTCGTCACTTTGTCCAAGACACGGCGGTTTGATGGGACGGTGTTTTTTGGAGTGCACATGGCTTATAGTGGATCTCAGGGAGTTGGAAGTTTGACGAGGGAGAGGCAGTTCGCTACTGTGAGAGTTGGAGATGTGGTTGTGCCCGAGTGGCGGGTCGAGTAAAAGATTCGCTGAAAGTTCCTCGAAATCTATCTACTGTATTCTGAGCCCTCAGCGAGTCATGTCCCATCCCCCTGAATGACTGGACCAGTGGCGTGGTGCGAGAAAGAGATCGACAGTGTAAGTCTTCGGGATATTAGTGAGACACCAGTAACTAATCATATTCTCGTCTTTGGCCTTTCCGTATTTGATAACTGCATTTAAGCGGCAACCGCGGCAAAATCCGTTGTTGGGGCGTGCGCCAGCTGGTGTTTGTAAAGTTTCATTTTCCATTCGCCTTCTCTTCTTTACTAACATCTTCTCGCACCAATATTCCCCTTCTTGCCCATTGGCGTCGGATGGCTGTCCACCCTCCAGGACCCGGTCCTGACGACGGAAACTTCAACCTCGGGGCTTACCACCAACAACAATACCGCGAAACTTTTCGAGCAGCACTTGCAGCCGGCAAAGTCAAGCCACTGCTCTTCCCATGGTCATTCATCGGCTGCTTCTTTCTCCCGCTCTTTTACCTTAGCATCCCTCACAAGCAGCGGCCATGGCTGTACCGCATGCGTTGGGCGGTTGCTGCAACCGTCGTCTATCTCAACGTGAACCTGATACGCACGACGTCTGCGGATAACGAGGCCGTGGCATACGCAACTGGACTTATGGCTGTGTGGGGGACAATCTGGTCTTTAAGATGTCTCATCTTCACCCGTGCGCAATGGGACGCCGCAAGGGTTGAGAGGCGGCAGAGGAGACCACACGCGAATGGCTTCATAAGGGGCGAGGAGACACAGAAGTCGTCTGCCATGGTCCCGCCCGACGAGAGCGTCGCGATCGCCCTCCTCCACAGCGAGTACTACTGGCAGCCTTTTCCCACCACAGCCCCCTTCCTCACCCGCCTGGGCTGGACCGCCGGTCTGCTCATCTCGTTCCGCGGCGGAGGCTGGAACTTTTCCATCCCCTCCATCCCGCACCCCCCGCTGCCCAAACACATCATCAGCCATGACAAGCTCGTCCACGAACCCGTTCGGCTCGACCTCATGCCCCTCACCACCCGCGCCGGCACCACCCGCTCACAAACCTACGCCTCCTTCCTCCGGTCCCGCCTCAAGCAAATCATCCTCTCCTACCTCTTGATCGACATCCTGACCACAACGATGCGCCAAGACCCTTACTTCGTCCTCGGCCCAGCCTACGCCTTGCACCCTTCCTCCCCTTCCCTCCCGGGGGTATACAACCACGCCGTTCCAGGCCAAATAATCCCCCTGGTCCGCAACATCGCCGCTATCGCGGGCATCGTCGCCGTACTGCACCTCTACTACGCCCTGCTGCAGCTCGCAGCCGTCTTCATCCTGCCCCGTCTGCTCGGCGCGCGCGCCGAGCTGTGGCAGCACCCGACGCTGTTTGGCGGCCTCTTCTGCCAGGGAACCGTGCTCGACCGCGGGCTGGCCGGGTTTTGGGGCGGGTTCTGGCATCAGACGTTCCGGGCCGGGTTCGTCGCGCCGGCCGAGTATCTCTTGTCGTTTGTCTTCTATTATCCGCCGTACCCACAGCGTCATCATCAGCATGAGAAAAAACTCGTGCGCAGCCTGGTGAAGGTGGCCATGGCATTTGTCCTGAGCGGACTGCTCCACGCCGCGGGGAACTACACGTCCGTGACGCGAGAGACGGCCGCGGCGTGGCCGTCGGCAGTGTTCTTTCTGTTGCAGGGCATTGGGGCGTTGGTGCAGAACGGGGCGTGCTTCGTTCTCCGATCTATCGTGAAGGATATGAACAGAATCCCCCCGTGGATACGCCGGGCCGGGAATCTGGTGTTTGTGGTCTGCTGGCTGCAGATGACCGGTTGGGCGCTGATCGACGACATGAGCCGGGGCGGGGTTTGGTTATTTGAACCCGTACCCGTGTCGCCGCTGCGGATGATGGGACTCGGAGTGCCCGGAGAGAGGTGGTGGCGCTGGGAGGGGGAAACCTATGGGTGGCGTTGGCATTGGGGGAGCCATTGGTGGGAGAGCGGGCTGAGGCTATGATGGTAGATACCAATTCGGTTCTGCACCAGAGGGCTGCGGGTTGGGTATTAGGTAGAACGGCGGGTTGGCGTCGGAATAGACATGTGGGAATATAATTGGAGTGAAGGTTACAAGACATATGTTGCGTACCCCATGTATCTTTAGATCTTCAACCGGCCAAGATTACAGAACAATTGAAACCTAGACGTCTTGTCCTCCATATGTTGAGTACTAAGGAAAGGCGTGCCACCAAGTATCGTAGAGATGACAATTAAAAGAGTGACATTGCCCACATCGACTTCTTGAGTGACAACTCGCAAAGTCACCGAGCATCCGCAGATCAAAGCCAGGCACATACTCATATCACTCCAGTACTGGGTGACAAAATAAAAAGCCCCTTTCTCCGGTGGTAGTTCGGATAATATATCCAAAGCAGCAGCAGACCATTAGCAAGAATTACCCTAGCAAAAGGCAATCCTTATCTCTGGAAAGTACAGACAGTTGCAAGCTCACCCCTTCGACAACGGAGCGAATCCATGCGTGATATCCACTGCCATCTCTTACCCAGATAGCAATGGAGAATACCCAGAAGTCAGAGTTTCCCAGCACGCAGACCGTTGAAAAGCGAAAGCAATCCCATGGAATCAAGAAGCGCGAGCCCTACCACGACCCCTGCTGGCCCATCCCGGAATCAGCAAACGGATTAAAGCTGAGCTGGCCTGTTTGGGGATCGGTCGGAAACAGCTCATGAATCTTATCCTGCATTCATCGTCAGCCCACACTACCTTCACACCGAGCAATAGAAGAGTACAAACTTACCCAGTCAAGTCCCTCCATGACATTCATCCCTGGGACCGACTGCCCAGTAGGCCCTGGTATATTCCCATGCGCCTGCGGCTGTCCCACAACACTGCCGCCGTCGCTGCTGTTCTCGGGACTGCCGGGGCCGTTATTGCGCGGCGGCAAGCTCCACAGGGCCTCGCCGTTCGACACGCCGGTAAACACCATTTGATGTGGCGGAGCAAAACTCAGCTGGTGCAGCTGGCTCTGCTGCGAAGGGGGTATCATCATGCCCATGGCCACAGAGGACGGTGGTAGAGGGGGAGGGGCCACAAGGGCGCCGTTCATGGGGCCGGGCAGGGATGTTGGTACCGCAGGACCAGTCCCTGGCATCTGAGAAGGATAGACAATGGGCTCTGTCTTGAGTCCCGGAACCATCCCGGCACCTGTGTGGTGGACCTGCGGCCCCTGGTGGAATAGATCTGGCCCCTGGGGCGGCGCCGGAAGGGGCAGCGGATCAGGGGCCGACCGCGGAGGCGACTCTTTGACAGCCTGCTTCCCGGGAACGGCCCTGTTGATTGTGGTTGGTGCGCGGACCTTGCGCAATCCCATGTAGATGTTCGTCTTGTTCGCTATCTCCGTCAGAATCTGCAGGATCTTTTGCTCACGCGGCACATTAGGGTCCAGCTGGAAGACCCAGTCGAGACACGGCCATATACGCTGAGCATCCCGGTGGTTGGGCCGGTAATATATCTCTGTTGCCAGCAGCAGGGCAATCTGGTATTGCTGGTAAGCGCCAAGGTACCAGGCCCAATCTCGGAACAGGGGGTTGGACTCGAGCCGGATGGCAATCTCAATGATCAGGACGCCGCTGGTGACCAGCAATCCATTCAACTTGTCGGGCAGCGGGTTCGCCGTATTGGAGTGGTACGGGTGCAGCACCATGACATGCAGTCGAAAGATGAGCAGTTGCATGACGAGCTTTGCGTACTTCTGTATCGGTACGCGGTCGTTGAGCATTCTGTTGTACTTCTCCAGCATTCGTTTGCGGAAGTTCTCAACCCTGCTGAGCATGGCGGTCAACGTCGTCTTTCGCAGTTCCAACTTGCGGCGGTCCGCCCAGATATTGCGCATCATCTCGTTGATCTCGAACCGCATGATCGACAGGAGCATCGACGTCCAGGTTTCCGCAGGTGCCAGCCATACGGTTGTCTGCGGCGTCAGTTGGTCCTCTTCGCAGTTTAGCGGCATCTTGGTATCGTAGTCTTCGCGCCGTATTGCCGGTTTCGGCCCTTGCGCCTCGCATGTACGGATGTCGAGGAAGCATAGCTGGTGCCAAACTAGTCGACGGACCTGTGTCTCCAGAGGGCTGAGGCCGTAGGCCGAGCCGTCACGGTGGAGGCCCATGCACTCGGCCATCCGGACGGCGGCGCCAACAAGAACCGAGTGTGCTCTGGACACCTCGTCTCGGCATAGTGGAAGCTAATGTCCGTCAGTCCACCCAATGACTCGGACCCAAGACCAGGCTTGCGGAAACCTACCAAGTACATAACAAACCCTTGGAGGGTTTCGAACCTCGTTGTACTCAGGAATCCCGCCTTGCTGAGCGCAGTCTCTGTCCCGATCTTCATGTGGAGCACCAGTTGGGCCTTGCCGCATTGCTGGTCCCGGCAAAAGGCGTCATCCACGCTGACGGCGGCAGCGAACCAGGCCGCAAACACAACAGCCTGGACCGAGGGGCGAGGCTCAATGTTCTGCCTCACATCATCCCAGAACGAATGATATAGTCCCTCGAAAGACGGCCGATGGAGGCAGCGGGCGATGGGGTGAACAGCCTCGAGGTAGCGGCGCATTAGCCTGTCGCCGAACTCAGGCGACGGCAACAGGCTGAGAAAAGAAGGCGACTCGCCCGATTGTCCAAAAAAGAAGCCGCTGGTAGGGGCGAGGTATGAGTCTCCAGGCCTGAGAAAATCAGGGAGCTCGAGAGCTTCTTGCATTTCGTCGGACGCATACCCGCTAGAGGTAGCGTACATATGGGATTGAGGTTGGCGGCTGTCGGCAATTCCAGCTTGGATCTATTTATGCAACGTCAGCGAGAAGAGAAGGCACTTACGTTGTGGCGTGGGCAGGGATACCTCTTCCGAAATGCGCGGCCTGTTTAAGCCTCCAATGCGCTCCGTTATTCTCATCTTTCCAACGCGAACTCCCAGATCGATGAGATCGTCGGTCCCATTGCCATCGGAATAGTCGTCGTAGGTAAGGTCAAGGGCCACCATTGGCGTGATCTGAAGGTCGCGCTCCTCGCCGAGCTCGTCCTCGACATCGTCTGCGACAAAGCGCTGCTGATGGGACTGGCTACCATCGCCGCCCCGGCTTGGGCTGCCACTGCGGCGGCAAGTCGCCCCTTTGGCCACATCCCTCTCCAGTTGCCGCTCAAGGGATCCCACCTTCTCTTTTATTTCGGTCAGCCGCTGTTGGCTGGCCTCGTCGAGGTTGGGCCCGAGGTACACGCACTCCCGCTGGAACCTCTTGCAATTGTGACATGGCTGTTTCTTTTCGCACTTGAGCTTTCGCCGTCTACACTCGAGACAAGACGTGATCATGCGCATCCGGCGGCGGATCGGCTTTTGCGAGACGGGAGCAGGTGCCGGGCCAACAGCATCCAGGTCATTCTCCTCCCGATTTACCGTGACAGAATGTTCTCCTCCTGGGCCGACCGTTCCCGCAATTGAATCCGTGCTTGGCGCAGTAGTAGTAGTAGTTATTGCTGTGGGTAAGTTGTGCCTCCGCAATGCCGACGGGGCGGCAAGATCCTTGCCGCCCATAACGCAGGAATGCATGGGGGTCGTGTGCGGGGCGGGAACTGCGGCGTAGTCTCCCTGGCTTTGCCGGAGCGGTCCGGCATATGTGGTATGCGGCCAGTAGTTGGCGGCCATCATGTCTGAGACGTGATGATTAGAAGACATGGCTATCAACGGAATCCGAACGAGCAGAGGAGCCGAGCAGACACTGAGTCGAGCACGGGGGCTGGACAGACGGTATGTAGCGACCAATGATCGATCGTGTTAACGAACGTGGAGCATGTGCTGTCGGATACAGCCCCAGGCAGCCGCGAAGCGTACTCGTGGTCGATCGTTACTTCACATAATATCTCATAGATGTCCGAGATCGAGACTTGTCGGTCGACGGTTGCGGGGATGAGCAACCTGAAAGAGGGGAGATAATGAACTGCCAAGTAATGTAATAGAGTGACGGACTCGGATGGCTGGCAGAAGCAGGGGCCGGGCTTCAAGACTCAAGTAGATTGGAGGGTGTTGGATGGTTTGGGATCGCAGCCAGTCCGCCGTGTGCAGGCAGTGTGCAGGTGGGCGTGCAGACGCATCCAATCGTACTCGGCCTGGTCGGCTAGTGAGTCGGCTTGTACCTGAACTTGCAAAGAAATCGACTTCGGGACGAACCTGCTCTGCTGCTGCCGCTGCCCATGCTGGTCCCTGCCCGTGCTCGTCGACCAGTCCCTTTTTTCAACACAACCCCTCGCCCATGTTTTTCGATGCTCCAGGATTCGATGGTGCGTTCGAGGAATTGGCCAGCCGCATGGCTTGGGACAACATGATTTCGGGCTTTATTCCATTGTTAGGGACACAAGAGGCAGCCGTAGCTCTGGCTCTGTGCTGCGTGTTCTGCGCGAACCCTTGCCCTGCCAGTTCTCTGTGTCTCTGCCGGTGTCTTTGGCTGGCCGGCGGCGTCCCGTCGCCAGCGGACTGAGGTGGGCACGCACCAGCCCAGGTGTCGCTTTGATTTCTACGTTGTATTGTTCTGAGGTAGTACCTTACGTACTCATTGTTTTTCTGAGGTGAGAAGGTACCTGGCATTACCTGAGCCCTGGTCGGGAAGGTATGACATGCTGTTGCACTCCCCGTTACAGCCCACACGAGCAGGCTTGGGAAAGGACGATTTCCGCTGGCTGCTGGCTTCTGAGGTGGCAGCTGCCTGGTTCCAAGTCATATCGATGATCCCTGTGCAATTCCAGGGTGTTCCATCTTTCCTGCGTGAGCCATCCACCCCCGGCCACTAATACCCGACGCAGATCGTCCCGGGCTGCAGAAGGGCTGCTTGGCACCCGGGCCAGGGCTTCGGTTGCGATCTTGTTCCGTCCTCCGACACCTTGGGCTGCAGCGCGCCGGGCAAGCGCGTGGGAATGACTTGCGAAAGGGTCTTTCAGGGACCGACTTTGCCATCCTGGCTGTTACAAAGTCACACCAATCGCCAGAAAGCGATCGTCTCGGCAGCCTCCTTCTAGCTGTGCCGAACAAAAACTCTTGGGTTCGGCCCAATGTGTGCGGAGCTTATCTCAAAATCAGACCTCTTTGTTGACAGTGCAAGCGCCTTAAGGTGATCTGTGAAGTAGGTCATCTACTGTGCAAAAAGGTGCGGTCGTATTGAAGTGGCAACGGCTATAAGGCTATAAGCAAGGCGAACTGTTCATGAATCTAAGCTGCAAATCCATCAAATATAAGCTCTGAACGCACTAAATTCAATAATAGTATATTAGTATACGTTATTCTTATTCTTAATCTTATTATTATTCTCATTCTTATTCTTCTTATTCTTCTACTTCTTCTTCCTGTACCTATGCTATATGGCTCGCCAGACCCTCTACTACTAATTACAAAGGAAAGTTATGCCTATAAGGCTGGACTAAAAATCTCTATCTACCCTATACTAGTCTGAAGTTCTAAATCCACCCACTATAGCGAAAAGAAAGGCGGAGATAGCCAACTAAGCTATCAAACTAGCCTAGTTCTAATCGTATAGCTAGCCTATATTCTAAGAGCCTCTTAGAGCATTGCAGCTACCTAATCACCTTTCTTGCAAGCTTCTCTCTTTGTTTCTTTACTCTATTGAGAGCTCTGTATAGATCTCTCTGCAAGCGTATCTCTATAGCCAGCTAGGTCCTTAGCTTTAGTGATTAGTGGCACTATATAGCTAAGTGTTCCACTATTTCTCTAGCCCGGCCACATTCGTAGTAGGAGGTAGGTATTTGAGAGATTCTGGCCGGGAAGAGGAAGCCCTTGAGGCCTATAGCCCTAATTCGGGCCTAGGTTAGTAGGGAGCTCTCGGTCTTTGTAAGGCCCTCATGTCTTTCTAGTGCTCTTTCTTCAGATTTTGGCTGGTGATCGGCCGATTGTATGGTGGGTAGAGCCGGGTTCCGGGCCCTATACTATTATAGTTGATTGGTAGTCTCCTAGACCCATCTAGCCCCCTAAGCTTTATTAAGAGCCTCTGTAGAGTCCTTGCTTTAGGCTAATAATACTTAGTTAGGTATAATATTAATGATTAGAAAATAGCAGTTAACGTTAAATTGGTTTTAGTTCTTAAACTCGAGTCTACAAAGAGCGAACCCATCTATTTTACGTGGACGCAGCGCCCACGCAGCTAGAAGGTTAGTATATTAGGAGGCGAGCGACCAGGGCTCGCCTCTGTTAAGTCGGCTAGATTTCTTGAGGTCTAACTCGACCGTAAGCTATTCTTCAAAGCTTATGAAAAAGAAATAGGCGTTGTGATGGGCTGAGCCCATGATGGCCTCGGTAACCCTCGGCCGTGGTATCATGATAACGTCATCCTGAAGCAGGCAGTGTCTGTGTGTTCCGGAGCATATAAGAGCTGCCCTCTCTTCCTGTCATCTAGTTCTCTCTTTTCTTCTTCTTTCTCCATTCGAGACAAACTCGTAGAGTCGTCACCAGCTAGTTGCAATATACTCCTGGGACCGTTACAGGCGTAAAGATAGCGACTTAGACGCTCGCGCTTACAAGACTCACTGCGAAGATATATGGGGTATGTATTTCGCAAGCTCGTAAAATATATACGAAGGTATTTAGAAGCATTATATCATATAGAGCAATAGCTTAGTATATACGTACTCCGCTCAGAAGATACTACGAGGGATTGCGCAGCTTCCAGGCAATATAAGCGCGCTGTCTTAGAATTGTAACAGGAGCCTATAAGGTGACCCTAATGCACGATATAGAGAGCGAAGCCTGAATACTCCCTATCGAACTATATCTCAACAGATAAGTGGTAAAAACTGAGTAGCAGCTATAGAGGACTGAGATGGCAGAGCTCCTACGTAACGTAAGCGCTACTGTAGCTTCTCAGTTACGACGTAGGGCCCGGAGACCTCCTAAACCCCTACCGGCAGTGTCTGAACTTAGGAAGCCGGATGTCCGCCTATAGCTTCGTCGTCACCAAGCTGGAAAGGTGAGTTCCTGACCGCTGGATAGGAGGAACTGCTAAGCGTGCCAAAGCGGCAACTAAGCCGCGCGGACGTAGCACGGGAGCGAATGCCTTGCATGTAAAATAGCGCGGAGGGACTCCTTGCCCTAACTGGGCAGGACGATTGCGTTTGCAGTATATGATCAATATAGATTTTTCGCTAGACTATTTCTATATCTAAGTAATCATATAAGCAATGCTTACCTAGGTAGCACGGATACCTATAAAAATATAATAGGCCTGGGTGCTACCGCTGGACCTCTATTTTAACAAATAGTTAGCTGACTTTGAGGAACGGCTACGCAAGAAGTCCCTACAAACAGGGGCTGGGCCTGGGGAGGAAAGGACCAGTGCAGGGCACTTGATCGCAGAGGCTTGCAACAGGGTCTACTATAAATTCAGAAGGAAGAAAAGGGGCCCAGGGCAGAAGCCTAGACAGGGCCCACAGAGCACAATGGCCATTGAACAAGCCAATGTTACAGTGAGCCAGTGGGCCAACCAGAGATGGGAAGTGGGAGAAAAGAAATTGAGCACTGACAAAGTAGTGGTGCTGGCCTGGTAAACCCAGTGGGAGCAATAGAGAACTGGCTCGCAGGGGACCAATAGTAGGAGGATGGCCGACGAAGACCCTCCAGTCCTTCTCTTCACCGACAAACCTTGAGGAAACACGAGGGCCTCACAAAGGCCCAGAGTACTCTTCTTTCCCAAGCTCATATAGGGGATATAGGCCTGCGGACTACCTGTTCAAAGTCAAAGTCCCAGAGGTCCGTACTCCCTACTTGTGACGAATCTCAAAGCCCCAACTTCTGAAAGGGACTCCTGAAGGTCATAGCTTTGACAACGGGGTGAGGTTCGGTGAAGCCAAAGGGTTCACAACAAGCAATGTCCAAAGGTACTGACAATCTTGCACTTGAGTTGCTTGCTGGAGAACTCCCAGAGTCCTCCAGAACGAGTGACTATATACTTGGTAGAGCCTTCATGATCGCCCATGATCGCAGTCTACCAAGAGCTATCCTTGATCGCCTTGGGTAGCCAGCTACCCAAGTCTACCCTTGATCGCCCGGCCCCCACGACTATCGTGTGGGCCTCGTGCGGTTCCTGCATTTCTGTCTTGTGCCCCACTGGGCCTGTACATATGGTTGGTTCGTGACACTACTGCGAGTGTGGCGAAGGCAGGGAAACCGTACAGCACTTAGCGATATAGTGCTCTGACCCACCTCTATAGAGGCCGTGGGGACCGCGAGAAATTCGGTCACATAGGGACCTACAAACCGTACTACAGAGGGTAGATGCCCGGAGTACTAGGCTTGTTCGGAAAGTCCTTAGCTGGCTGATGGACTCTGGCTGGCTGCTGGAATATAACCTAGCTAGAAGGCTAGAGCTAGAATTAGCAGAGGGTTAGAACGCTCCGGAGGCCGGCAAAAGGCCTCCTTTCTTTTGTAGTATATTAGATTCATATATAATGGCTACGAAGTAGAGGACAGAGGTTTTTATCCGACCTATACAGTACGGTTTCCTTTGTATATAGCAGTAGAAGGACCAGCGCACCTGCGAGCATATCGGCATAGGAAATAATAATATAAAGATATAATAAGACTGAGTACTTAATGCATATTACTATCATTCGATATCTTATCTCTAATCAATCTGCGTTATCTGATGGCAGTATAATCCATTATACATTGCATAAGTATTGTTACAGTCTTAGTCTATCTGCTAAACTGTCGCTCGCTGCTAGATAGTGAGCGACAGGGCTAACCTACTATTCCCTCGCTTTTACAGAAAAAAGAGCGTGATCAGATGGAAGCCGCCTCAAGTATAGGTACTTACATGCACCTACCATGGCAAGCGCCTCGAGCTAAGGAAAGATTCATGCCCAATCTGCTCGTGATCTCTCTTCATCTCCACCCCGCTTTCGCACTATCCGATCTCCGGCTTAGCGGCGCAGATCATCCGATCTTCTCGGCGTGGACATGCATGGTTTCAGATCTTTTTTGGCGAAAAGCTTGGCGAGGACAACACTTGACATCACCGAGTACAGCACTGAATCGCCCAGGTCCATCATTCGACAAGCCCGTCCAAGCGCACGCCTCTCGGATAACCAAGACACCAACTTGAGGTAGAGACCGAGACAAAAAAAAAAGCCCTATACACTTCTCTTGCATGCCCGCATGGATGGGGAAAGCTCCAGATTGCGATCTTTGCGATTGGTGTGTCGCGCACCTACATCATGTCGTCCCATCAGAGATATTGATTGTCGGAGTCAGAGGGTCGCTGCAGCATCGAGATTAGGCCCATCGGGGAGATCGAGTTGTCGAGCGCCCAAAACGTGAAGCAACCTCTAGCCGCCCCTAGCCTTGGCCCCCCCCCTCCCACCCCTCTCCTGGTCTGGGCCCTGCGCCGCCCGGGAGGCAGCCTGCCGTCACATAATTTCCAAGACGTGAACATGAAAGACAGCGCACAAGCAAAGTTGCAAGGCGAGGCCAGGAAAGAAGACGAAAGGAAAAGGACTTGCAGGAGACAGCGCAACGTCCCAGCTTCGCCATCCCAATCCGCCAACCTAAATCAGCCCCAACCACGCATCCCTCACACATTCCTCCGTCCTACATTTCCCCGTATCCGGCACTACGCGTCTGAGTGAGACTCGGCGTGACACGAAGAGGGTTTCTAGGTAAAACGCGCAGCCCTTGGGAGCGCCAGATGGGCCGGGCCGACAGAGCCAGTCCTCGACGAGAAGGTGTTTGTCGGAAGCATCGTGGCAACCAACCCCCTCGCCTCCGGGCCTGTCGTGGGACGTGACCGCTCGTCATCCTGTGCAACGGCTCGTCCAAGAGCCCATGCGAGCAAAAGGGTCCCGACCAGCACAAGCAAAAGCAGGTATGACGGACGCCAGGACAGACTGGGCCACACCTTTGCCCTTGTTATGCACTCGGGCTGTCGGAACATGGCAGGTGTGATGGTTGTCTCAGGGGAAAACATTCCACCCGGTAAATATATTTCCCATTGCTGAGCCCGTCGTACGGGCTGCTTTTTGGCAGCAGTCATGAGAGGTCCCTCCATTTCCGTAGAAGCTGAACCCGGCGGCTGAGCTTAGGTAGTCAGATAGCCCGCCAGAGAGGAGGAGAGCTGAATTCCCTCTGGCGCATTTGATGCCCCAGTACATCAATCCAAGACTGCCACCCGTTCAAGTCCCTCCAGACCACGTGTGGAATCCCATGCACGGATTCCGCCACTCCCCAGCCTTAGACATATGTGACCGTGGCCTTGACGGCGCATTGAGGCAGGCTTGTGCGCCCTAACCGCTATCCGTACACTAGGGTAAGGTATCCCTGATCGCCAGTCTTGACATTGGCTCAGAGCAGGTGCACTTTGCTGCCAGATTGCAACTACAGTAGTACTGTGGTCGCGTGCATGAAGAAAACCCCCATGTCAAATACCTGTGGGCACAACAAGCTGACGCGTTTTGACCAATCAGCTGAACACACCCAATCAAACCTTTCCACTCTGACATTCTCTTCCAAAGCATCTTTTGTTTTCAACAATTCACAATAGCAAGATGGCACGGCCATTGGGATCCAGCGGCACCAAACAGCTTACTATCGAGAAACGCCAGCGAGCTCGAGTTTTATATTTCGATGCTAGCAAAGGCCAAGCAGAGATCCACAGTATTACTAGCTATGCCAAAGCCTATATCCGGGTTAGCGTGGGTACCCCGCATGGAGATTTTCATTACCCATCATACCATAGTAGCAACCACTCGCCGAGTAACGTATTCGGAACCATCATCTGCGTTGACGGGGAGAAGCAACATGTTCTCACGTTGACGGAACTGACAAACTGGGTAACCCCTGCGCAAAGACATGTCTGTGTAGAGTTCAACATAATCTACGCGTAGCTTCAACGGCAATCAGTTTTCCCAACTCTGCGCAATGGCATTCACCCTTGCCAGCCATTGCCCTTGCTCAGCCAGATCTTGGTCAGCCTCGCCCTCCAGCGCCGGAGCGCAAGCCGACATGACCAGGCAAACTCAAGGCCGTGTCTGCGTTCAAGGATCCTCAAGAACCACAGCAGCCGCTGCGTCCGCCCGGGCTTCTCCTCCCACAGGTCCCTCGTCACGAGGCGGTATAAGTCCTGGAGGATGAAGTCGGGCACCTTGCCGCGGACGGCCTTGAGGAAGGCAAACGACCGCGAAACGTGGCGAACGGCGGCCCGGTTCGACAGATGAGGCGCGTCCATGAACGCCTTAGACATCTTCTCCACGACCGCGGCCCGGCGCTGGCCGAACGCGCCGCGGTGGCGCCGCATCTTGTTCCCCAACGTGCTCTGCTGGCTCTCGAGCTTGCCAATGTCCAGCACACGCCAGATCGTTTTGGCGGGGATGCGCGGGTCACGGACAATGGCTTCGGCGTACTTGTCGAAGACGCCCGGGTACCACTGTGGTTGGTCTTTGGTCCTGATGTGGCGCGACCAGAGGTCGTGGAGGCGGATCGCCGTGTAGTGGTCATCGGACGTGCACGCTAGATCTTCGAGCATCCGCACTGGGAGCTTGCCGGTCTGTGAGTCGAAGGCTAGCGAGCGGATCACGTAGTCGGTTCGGTTCAGCTTGCCCAAGAATTTCCAGGCGCTTCGGTAGAGACCCTTCCGGGTCTCGTTGTTGCCGCGGGAGAAGAGCGCCAGGAACAACGATGAGAGAGCTGCGTCGTCCCGCCTTCCTAGATGTCGTCTATAAGAACGATAGACGTCCGTAGGGGATCGCAAATACCCTCGGCTCGCCCACTGTGTCAATAACAACGAGGACACCTCAACGACCGATAAGGGCGGCATTAGCGCTGGTTCAGAAAGGGAGGCGGCAGCGTCAAATAGAAAGTCCTCATTGACGTGGGGCATGTTAGCCAACACATAAAGCCAGCTGTATCGCAACATTCGCCCGCCTTCTGCAGAGGCAGCCGTCTCGTTGAAAACGAGCCGGTGGACGGCCGACACCAAACCCTTCGTCTCTTCCGGAGTACCGCAATAGAGCACCTCCGATATCGCCCTAGCCTGCCGCAGGCTTGCTGGCAGGGCGGACAATTTCTGCTGTTTTTCATATAGCTCTCCGAGAATGCCAATGTCCAGCAGCCGCCTAATCTCACGACCTTCGGGGGTTGAGGATGAGCGATTCCAGGCGCAGAAGAAGCACGTCAGAACCGACAGAATCCCCTCTGAGACGAGGGACCGATGGTCCATGGGCATAGCTCTCATAACTTTGACGAAAAGGTTACAAAGAGCGTCATCGTGGGGTAGTTTGGACATCTGACGGAGCAGAGTATCCCAAAACCGCGAATCCATCAAACTGGGTGGAAGCACCTTGGAAGTGGTGAGACCGCTCAGAATAGTTCTGCATAATGACAGTGAGAGACGCTGGCCACGCTGTGACCCCTGCAGCCGCGACTCCAGAGTACTCCATACTTCGGACGCCAGCAGAAGTATGTCATTTGGTGATGTCTGCCCCAGAATTATGCGTTGCCGGAGTCTGCTGCACATCTTGTTGGCGTGTGACGCGAAAGCATCATCGTCGGCATGCGTAGCCGCCCAGCGGAAGCCGTCCATGAGGGCTGCGTAAGGGTCGGCCGGTGTCATGGTAGCCGGCGATGGGCTCGCATCAGCCGATGCCGCGCTTGTCTGGTCCATGCCAGCCTCTTGATGCACCGAATCTCGCAGCCATCGAGGCAACAGCGACAGGAACTCGGCGGGAGTGTTATGGTCCTCTCGCAGTCCGGTCTGTTCTTGGGATGATGACGGCGGCTTCCAGGTCCATCGAGAGAGGTCCGGGGGTGTCAAGAAAGCCCAGGATGGCGGAGTTGGCGGACAATACCAGGTGCTGGCGTCTCCCATCCGTCGGCGTCCAAGTCGGCGTTGGCCCTCGAGTGGCCCCGGGACATTGCTGGCTTTCCTGTTCCATGTTTTGGAGACGCGGCAGTAGCGTTCAAATGCACTGGCTAGCAAGCCGTCTGTGATCCACACCGCATCTCTGCACGGCGCTATCTGGCGTTGAAGAGCGCGGCGGCAGTGCGAGGTAGGGGCGGTCATTGCGGGGGCGCCGCGAGGAGAAAAGGGGTGCGATTGGCGGTTGCTACCATCTCCATCCAGCGACAATATCTGAGACTTGTGAATGGAGCGGCATGTGGTGAATTTGCCGAGTATAGAGACCAGCTGGTCTCGTTGTCGTCGGGGTTGCCGTCGTCAAATGGAGAAATTCCCCAACTTTTCGCTCAACTGCCCAATGCTCATCAGCGAGGGATGGAAATGGGAGCTATGACCATGCTTGTGGCTGCGTGTGGCTGATGATAAGATAGTTTCTTGCGGAGACGTTGGTAGTGGGCCCTTTGCATGGGTGGCGCATTCCCGTCGGCTGTCCCGGCTGCCCCGCGTCAGATGCCAACTGGAGCTTGCCGTCACCATGTCATGGAGTTTTGGCGGGGAATCCAGATCATCCCAAGCATTAGACCTGGGAAGCTTAGACATCGACGATCCCAATCATGGAAGAAGAATTTCCTCCTCTTCAAAATGACTTGATTTTGAGGGCAGCATGGGGTGAGTAGCATGGGTGCTTTTCTGTTCATCTTCCCGTGTTCTGTTTTATTCCTTCCTTTTGCACTCGAATTGGAAGCAACATGCTAACGCAAAGTGTAGGCCACACTGTCGAACGGCCACCCATCTGGGTCATGCGGCAGGGTGAGGAACCCAGCCCATTGTTATCTGCTGTCCGGCCGGCGCTTGTCTGAGATATGCGCTGACTATCGGCGCAGCTGGTCGCTATCTCCCGGAGTACCACGAAGCCAAGGGCTCCCGTGACTTCTTCGAGTGCTGCAGGGACCCTGAGGTCGCCTCTACCTTGACGCTGCAACCCATTGAGCGGTATGCCGGTCTTCTCGACGCCTCTATCATCTTCTCCGACATTCTTGTGATCCCCCAGGCCATGGGCATGGTCGTTGAGATGGTCGACAGAAAGGGCCCGCATTTTCCCAACCCTCTGCGTAGCCCCGACGACAGGCAGTACGCCGAGCTGATGCAGCGCAAGGTCGACGTCGAAAAGGAGCTCGACTACGTCTACAAGGCCATCACCCTGACCAGGAAGAAACTCCAGGGCCGCGTACCGCTTTTTGGGTTCTGCGGCGCACCATGGACCCTGATCTGCTACATGGTCGAGGGTGGGGGGACCAAGCTGTTCAAGGAAGTCAAGACCTGGATTTACAAGTACCCCGAGGAAACCAAAGCGCTTCTGCAAAAGATCTCGGAGCTGTGCGTCGAGTATCTCGCCCTACAGGTTAAGGCTGGAGCCCAGGTATTGCCATCGACTCTTCTCAGTGCATTGCGCGCGGACTGATTTCGCGATAGCTTATCCAAGTATTCGACTCATGGGCCGGTGAGCTGTCGCCCGCCTCATTCAAGAAGTTCTCCCAACCATACCTGGAGTACATTGCCAAGCATCTTCCCCCGAGGCTCAAGGAGATGGGGCTGGAGCCTGTGCCCATGGTTGTCTTTCCCAAGGGCGCTTGGTATGCTCTTGACGCTGCGTGCGATATGGGCTACAACATCGTCGGTCTTGACTGGCTCCATGATCCGGCCGAGGCCGTCAAGACTGTTGGTGGCCGGCCAATTGTTCTCCAGGGCAACGCCGATCCCGGTGTTCTGTACGGCTCGCACGCCGCGATCACCGAGGCAGTGACGGACATGGTGAAGGGCTTCGACTGGGCCAACCGCAGGAAGGGCTGGATCGTGAATCTTGGCCATGGTACGTCCGCATGTCTCTGTCCGGGCCACGGCGGATTGCTGACGTTACTCCAGGAATTACACCCTTCGTCAACCCGGATGACTTGAAATTCTTCTTTGAGGAAATCCACCGCCTGACCAAGACGGATGTTCAATAGCAAGGAGGAACCTGATAGCAGTGTACGTTACGGACTGATACCGGAGTCAACTGGCAGAGCATAGAACTGTTAGATCTGGCTCAGTTGAACTCCCTTGCAACTCCTCACATAGAATCCCCAACGCTGGAAAGATCAAGCATTGCCCTAGACAAGTCAGTTGCCGTTCATGCTGGGATGAATTCAATCTTACCAGGACAGCGTCCAGCTGTTCTTCCCACCGATGCTTCGGCATAACGCCTGACTCTTATGGTTCTCGACGAACACATCAGCCGCTCCCCAGCAGTCGTCGCCATAGTCCTGAAGGTGCTCGCGCATTAACTTGCAAGCCAGAGCTTTCGCCAAGCCGCGCTGCCGATATTCTTCCTGAACATCATTTAGCCAGACGGTCGATCCACAAACAAGCTGCGAGACCGACCTCAACGTGTAGCGTCATTAGCGTCCCATCAAGTCCTAGAGATTCCATGATACTCAAGTCAGTCAGACAGCCAGATGCCCATCTAACGTCAATACTCACCCATAAAAGCCCACGCAATCGGTGTGCCGTCATCAAGCCTAACCACCATGCTAGGCAGCATGAGCAGCGTTGCCCTACACCACACATGGTTAGCACTCGTCCCAGACCCCTTTCCCACCGTACTCTCCCCGGCCACCTCCCAGCAGTCCGTTGTTTCTAGAGAAGACGAGGGAAGACGGGCTCAAAATAGCACTCACTCTTTCCGCTTGATACTGGTCCGCGCCAACACAACCCCAACATCCTCCTTCCTCACCCGATCCCACCTCATCCCCTCCGGCAAGCCCTCCTCATGACGGCCCTCAGCTGGCGGGACAGGAAAATCCTCGACGCGAAACAGCCATTTCCCGCAGAACTCCCAGTCCACCTCAGGCCCCACGGCCGGCGCTTTGGACATGCGCACCCCTCTGGCAAGCAAACCTTGCCGGACGGTTTCGTGCAGGGACCCGACTAGGATATCGGGGGCTCCCTCCCCGGTCCGGTTTCCACCCTCATTTCCGTCATGAACGTCGTCAGAGCCGCTGTTACTGGTGGAAGCGGCGGCAGCGACGGCCTTGATGCGGCGGAGGATAGCGAGGACGAGAGTCAGCGCTCGCTCCTCTTCCGCGTCGTCTGCTTTTATTATTGGCGAGTAACCATCGCGGAGCATGGCATCCGGCTTCGAGTGGTTGTTGTTGTTGGCTGCGTGTTCCAAGGAGGAGTAGATCCAGAGCTGGGTTTCCGGGCCGCGGGAGAGATCGACGCACCCTGCGGCGAAGTGGCCGCCCTTGGTGTCGTTGGTGTCATCCCCGGGGTAGTGGGCATACAAGACATGGGTGTGCGGTGTCCTACCGCCGGAGAAGTTGAGGGCAAACTGCAGACGGCGGAGAACAGGGAGTGAGTGAGGGAGATGGGATTTTAGGAGGCGGAGGAGGGGCTCCGAAGGGGTTGGGGTGTCTTCTAAAATGATATCTGGGGTCATTGAGAGGCTTGATGTGGCGTATAACTGCTTCAAACGACTCTGAGGGTACCGGGGAAGATTGGGTGTCGGATCATGGATTTCGGTAGCATGTGTGAACTGGGTGCTTTCTCGAGATGAAGGCGCAAGGTACGAAACAAGCTTGAAATAGCTCCATGTGGGGATATCTTGCACAGGGCTGCCAACGAGCGAAGCTGGAGGCAAATGATACTCACTAGGCACACAAACACCACATCAAACTCTTCCCTGAAACCCGTTCCATAACGCTCAGTTAGGATATCCATACCGTATCCTCATCCAAGTACCTAATACCTTGCCGCCGAGCCTGAGGAATCCCCCTAGCCAATCCACGATTTTGAACGCCAACACCGGGGTATGAACGATACTACAGCCACCCAAAGTCACCCAGGAACACCAAACAAGCCAGAACCCCAGAGAAACGAATTTCTCCCCATATCCCTCCTAATCAGCAAGAAATCATTCAGCACCATACCCCATCACTTCTTCCCAAACAACAAATTCCTCCCCTTCTCAGCCCACCCAACCTCCTCGGGCTTGCGCGCCGGCACCGCCACATCGTCGTCCCCCGCATCCGCATGATCCCCATCCGACGACGCCCTGCTCTTCACCTTTTGCAGGTTCTCCTTGTCCTTGCCCTTGTCGGCAGCAAGAAGCGCAGGGCTCGGCGACGGCTGCTTGTCTGATGCTGCCGGACCTGACGGCGGGGACGAGTCCTCCGCCTTGGCCACATTGCCCGTGCCTCCACGGCCAATATGCATCATCGCCCCGTGGCTATCGCGGCGGACGACCCTACATTGGATGGATGACTATGTTAGACCCATGAGGGTTGCTGTGGCGACTAACTAGGATATTTGGACGGAAAGGAGAGAGGGAGAGAGAGGCGGGGGGGGAACGTACGGCTCGACGTCTTGGCGACGGCGCTTCTCTTCGGCGTCAAGGCCCGAGGCAAAGTTGCCTGTCCCGCCGCGGCCCGTGGTCACCATGGATGTTTTGAGGGTTGGCGTCTGCAAGTCCTCGGGCTGGACAGGCTGCTGCGGCGCCTTGGAGCTGTCCACTATGTTGCCCGCGCCGCCTCTGCCTGAGGTTCGGTAGTGCGACATGTTTGCTTTGCGTTGTGGGTTGTCTGTGCGGTGCTACTGCCGAGGAAGAGTGGGAGTTGTGGTAGAAAATGGGTGAATTGTCGCGTAGGTGGCGAGATTGTGATATTTACTGCCCGGATTTGAGACGGAAAGACGACAGGACCGGATAGAGTGCCTGATGGGTGGTCGGTTTTATACACTTCAAAAGCGAGAGGTTGTGACAGTGGACGGGAACTCTGAAAAGTTTAGTGGCACTCCCTTGGACAAGAGCGATGCGAGCCTCACGAGTCACGATTCCAATGGCTTGGCTACGACGCCCAGAACATTAGTCTGCCGCACAGAAGGGAAACTTTGATCACAAGGCGACTGGAATTTTTCTTCCAGACCACGTTTTGTCGAGCAGTTCAGGGCAAGAACAAGGGTGCAGGATCTGCGAGTTCTGGGGTGCTGGGCTTGGCCTGACATCACCTGGGCACCCGGAAAATGCTGCCTGCCCCTCACTGCCCCTCGTTGCCCCTCTGCTCACCATTTCAGGGCTGCCGCAGGGCTCGGCGTCGCCCTCCTGCTATTGCCCAGCGTGGCCCAGCGGCTGGTCAGGATTGCCGCGTTGGAGGTTGGCTTGCGTGACGGCAAAATTGAGCACTTAAACGCGATGGTGTCATTTGGCTCGGCAGTTTTCTGATTTTTACATTCGGACTGGAAAGCTCCTCCGTGAGTTCATCGATGCCGATATTCCAAGTGAACCCGCGGGCGGTGAGCATCCGACTCGACCAGGGGCATGAACCACCCAACTCGATGAAGTGTTCTTAAGCCCAGACGACGATGAACTCGTTCTCACATAAGATCTTGCCTGTTATCAAGAGGGGCGGGCATGTGTTCAGAACATGTTGAACTGATGGTGAGGGAAGGAACGTGTCTTCAGAAAGTGGAAGGCACGAAATCCTAATTCCCCCCCTGAAGGTCCAACCCGCGATCGCAACTTGTTAGCACAGGCAGTGTAGGTTGGGTACCTTAGTTACTCACCTCAATGAATGCTGCTGGTGCTTTTCGACGTGATCTGCTAGTGCGTGGCATCATAGCCGAGACTAGGTATTGCAGCAGCAAGCCTGAGCTTCCATTGCTAGCCCGACCGCAAAAACGGACGGTGATGGACTTGACATGTAGTAGAGCCAAATCACTCGAGATCCCTGAATCCGACTTGGTTGCATTGTTACCCAACAGTGAGGTGACGGTATCTCCTTTCTGCACATAATGCTGAATGGCGCCTTGGAGTCCGTTGGCCACCAGACGAAACCTGACAATAATGCCGGCCTTGCGAATGGGAGAAGAGGGCCTTCAGTTGTGACTGTGTGGCTTTATAAAGACCACTCAGCCTTGATACCTGGTACGTAGATAAGCTCGTTATGTGTGCTTGACGGTGCAATGATGGAATTAGCAACACAAAATCGGCTTACATTGGAACAAGCTTCAGGGTAATTTGATTGGAGTGCTCAAGAAATGTAGGTGAATACAGCGAGTAGGTACTCGTCCGGGACAAGGCTTGGCAAAACTCAAAGCAAACTCGATTCGACTCAAAGGTAGACAACAGCGTGGCCTATGTACCCATCTACCCACCGGCCCATCTACCTGTGATAATCCTGTTCTTATGGGAGCAACAAATATGAAGCGTGCGTACAAGGGATGATATTAGCAAGGACTGATACAAAGTACAGAACAAGTTGACCTTCTCCTCTTCCACCCGGCCCCCGAAAGGCATTGGTATCACCGCACTCCAAAATGATGATATTTCCTAAAAAGAGCTGACTCTGGACATTGCAAATGGACATTTTCGTCAGGTGAAAGAACAGAGACACTACCGGCCGCCTATCCTTTCGAATGCTCCATCATCCACCTCACTTCCAGTCTATAAGCTTCACCCAGGTAGTAGGGAGGAGTCCCATGGAGAGGAAGAAAACTGCAGGATAACAATGAAAGGGGTCAAAATCGTCGCACACTTCCCGTTTAGCAAAGGGCCAATGATGGTATGTGTGTACAGAATTCTCTTGGCACACTTGACGGTGATGGACGCTAGGTGCCCGGTATCATAAAGCCAGAAAAACGTTGGAAGCCGACACGGGTTAATCGTAGTCGTCGTCGTCTTGGTTGGAGCTCTTGTTAGGGTTGTCCTTGCGAATGGGGATCTTGATGCCCTGGCTCGCGAAACATTTGCTCAGGGCCGTGCTCTCGCAGACTCCCGGGAACTTCTTGGCCGAATAAACCTGGAAGACGTCGCTGAAGACCGAGGCGAGAACGGGCGCCTTGCCGACATTGATAGAGCCGTTGCCCGACTGGCCGGGAGCACCGACATTGACGAACGAGAACCGTAGGCTTGGAGATGTACTGTTAGCTCGGGTGGATGGGGTTAAACTGGCAACATCGGGGGTGGGAGACGTACCGAAAGCACCCTTCGGTGCGGACGCTCAGATCCTGCAGGATAAACCAAATGCCGATCTTATCCTGGGTATCTTGAAGGCGGAACGCACTGGCAGCAAGGCTTCCAATGAGGTTCCGGGTGAACATGCCAGTCGGGGGGTTTCCACTAATAGACATGCGTTGAGGCAAGCCGCCAAACTGAGGATCATACACTCGCGGGGCGCCGTATGGCGAGGTAACAAGCTGTGTAAGGCCCATCTCGGCCTGGGGATAGTACTGATTCGGAGGCTGGTAGCCGGTCCCATTAGGCGACACAAAGCCCGCTGGCAAACATGTCAGCAAAATATCCTGGTGCTTGGTCATGTCTCGAGACGCCGACTTAGCCGAGAAATGATGTGTGGGAGCGTACCTTGGGTAAATGGCTGCTGCATGCCGTAGGGGCTGACCGCTTGACCGGGGGGAGGGTAGCCCATTTGTTGGGAGTAGCCCATATCGCGACTAGACGGCAGAATGTGCGAGTAGGCCGGAGTAGCCTGTTCGATCTGGGCATAGGACGCTGGAGAAGTCGAGGATATTGAGGGGGTCGCGGTTGTGTGACGAACAAGGTTCACTTCCTTCAGGGCGTCCTCGGACCACAAATCAACATTGAGCACATACATTGTATGCTCAATCTCACTTTGGTTGGAACAGCATGCCCTGGTCAGTCATGGCTTCAAGCACCCAAGTCGATGGGAAAGTGTTGAGGCGGACAGACTCACTTGCAGTCAATCTCCTTTCCGGTCTTGGCATCTTTGACGATGAGCCTCACGCAAGGTGGAGGGGTGATGGGCCGCCGGTCCTATGACATTGTGAGCTATCACGCCGATTTTGAAGAACTCAAAGTTTGAAAAGTCAGAGGGACAAGCGTACCTTGTCTCCAAAGCCACACATCCGCGCACGTTGTGGCTGTTGCACAACATCAAGGCTGCCGACGCTCGGATTAGCTTCCGCAGATAAGACCGAGAAGGAACACCACGCGACGTGTGTGACAGGCCTCGCCCGACGGAGCTGACGCGAGGGTGGGCGGTATCCACGAGGGCGAAGCTTACGAGTATACGCGACCTTGATCATCCTCAGACGAGTACGGCTTGAGGTTTATTTCCTGCTGTCGTTTCTGCTCGGGGGTGAGCGGGACGCGTTCATGGGATGCGGTCGGTTGGGCGCCGTCGCCGGGCTGGCCTGGTTGCAGCGCTCCGGGACCCGCCATTGGAACGCTGTCTGGGTAGGATGTGCCCGGTGGGGGCATTGACGGGAGCTGCTGCATCTGGTGCGCCGCGTACGGTGGTGCGTGTGGATGCGAGTGCATATCGGGAGGCAACGGCTGCGCCTGGCTCGGGGGATACGGCGGTTGATGCATGTTTCAGGTTTGCGGTCGAGGTCCTCCGGACCGCGCCGGTTGCGGCTCAAATGCTGTCGGCTTGGTTGCGTTTCCGAAGCCTTGGGTGTGGTGTGGAGACGGACAGAGAGAGGACCGATCGGTTGGATAAGCCCAGAACAATGCCGGGAGACGAACGGGCTGTTCCGTGGGCGGCCCGAAAGTGTGGGTGTGGACAATCGCGGTCGCAGGTTTCGGTTGCAGCCGCAGTTGCAATCAGTGAGCGGGGGGTTCGTTGAGGTTCGAAGTCGGAAGCGGCGCGGCGTGGTGTTCGTTTGCTTGGAGCTGAGGAAGGTAGCTGGAGATGGGCAAGACTAGCTTGCCGATGGATTGGGAGGCGTGCCTGCTTAAATACCCTTCCTTGGTCCTTGTCTGCTGTGGGTGAGACTACAGTAGGTAGTGTCTTCGGTAGTGGTGGTATTGGTCCCCTGGTTAAGGTGTCAAGCGCATAATGTTGGAGGTAGGGTCCTGTGTGAGAAGCCGGCGATGCTCGAGCATTTCCATTCGACATGGGAGGATCTCAGTGGGCTGGCCCGCTTTGGTGTGAGGGAAGGTAAGGTACATACCTAAACTGACTGACGACGATCACTTCGGCTGTACAGTTCCCAGCCACCTCCAACACTGTGCCGGGGCTGCTGCAACCCCACCATTCAAGTTGCCAAGCCTGAAAATCTGGCATGCAGTGCTCAGCACTGTAACTCCGTACCTACACTCCAGCTAGTCTCATCACCCTGTATTGTCGAGAGTGTGCACCCGTCTGATTTACTTCGCAAGACTCAGCCGCTACTCGCAATTCCCTTGGGAAGAGACATCACGCCTAGTGTAACACGTGCCGTGCGATCGGACGACAAGAGCCTCGTCCGGTTTCAGCCATCGAGGGATCGCTGCCATCTGAACCCAATATCAGACGGTCTGATTGCTTGATGGCCAATTACTGGCACGACGAGTGCAACCGCAAGGGTAGGCCCTAACACGTCTACCTTGAATCGCACGCGACATCCTCAAATCTACGACACTCTGCACCAGCCTCTTCTGTGATTCATGTCAAGCTCCCTTTGGGTTGTCCGTGGATCTGGGTTGTCTGCCCAGGAACGACCTGGACAAGGGGCTACCCAACACGGGCAATGACACAAAGTGCTCGCCGGCACACCACTTTACACAATGCTGCGCAGGGGTCGGTGACGTGGAAGCTGCCGAGTTCAAAACCGGGCTGTGGGCATAGGGCACTTCCGGCAATGTGGACCGTACTAAGAACTCGTCTCTCGTCGAGCTTGCACACCGGTACCGCAGGAGGATGACACGCAGGCAGCTGTTATCATTGGCCGTACGGCATGGCAGCTGTAGCTAGACAAGCAGATGGCACTCCCATCCGGGCGGTCAACCAATGAGAAGATGGTGTGCGCTTATATTGCAATATAGCTCCCGCTGTGGCTGCAAGCCTGAGATATGGCATGTATGAACTTCCAAATGAGAGCAGAGGAGAGGCAGTTGCCTTGACTGTACCAATACGACGCCGCCGCCTGTAAGACATCCGGTACGCAATTGGCACCACCAAAGGTTCTTTAATTCAGGAAACTCTTGGCTGATAGTTCCCCTTCCTCAGGGTAGCCGTTTTCCTGAGATGACGGTACTTGTACCACCCTCCACGTCTTCCAAGATTGGAGTTGTGTGTAAGCCTGCGGGTGCATGCGCCGGGCCATGCACGTGAGCGGCGTACGTTTGTCTCGGGAGGCTGGATGAGTTCCTATTCGCCCGTACACGCTGCAAAATGGGGGATTCGCCTTGACACTCCCACTTGACCAGACCGAGGGGAGGAGAACACCGGGTTCACCACCAACTGTTGTGTTGCTTCGACAGATCCTTGCTGGTTGAGGGCTATAGCTCGGGTCATTGGAGTTAATACAACTCTGCCACCCCCGCACTCTCCCTCCAGGCAAACCGCGCGAGCTCCGTCACTTTTGTCTTGCCTATTGTCATGTTCTATCCGTATCCATATGACTAATGCGCTCGCCGGCATCGACTGAAGAAGAGGTCGTGGCTTGGGCTTGGAGTGACGGGGACACATGCAGCATACCCTTAATGACTCTCGATTTTGGTTTGCTTGAGATCTTGGTACAGGGGTTACGGCTTGCCATGTCCAAGAATAGCACGTCTAGACGAGAGCCGCGTGACCCTGGTTCTCTCGCCTTCACCATGGCAGGCAAGCCCACCTGCAGTCCTGAGCCTCCCCACTCAGTTTCTTCTCGCTGGAAACCTTGAATATGCTCGAGCCTGAACGGTGTGTTCTCCACATGTCAGGTTGGACACAAACTAGGATTCGGAGTTGTAATCTGCGCAACGATATACAATCATACATGTCTTTCGTGAGGGAGTTTCATTGGTTCACAGTATAGACGTACTGTGCATGGCATGCCGGATGGTGCCGGCTCCACTAATGCCTTGCACAGCATGGGGACGAGACTCCGCACAGACCATATTGGTGAGTTACCAATGCCAAGAAGGGACGGGATTTTTGACAATTCCCCAAACAAGCCACAGAAAGTTCCCAAAGAGGTGAAATGGGAAGAAAACAAAGTCCCAAAACGGGAATTTGGTGTTTGAAATCCTCGGATCGCCAGACCTGCGTCGACATCGTCTGTGCGCACTTTGGAGTACCCGCAGCGCTGTCCTTTTCAGTCTCTTGCTTGCTCCAGCCTTCCACACTGGTTTCCATAGTTTCTTTCTACCGAAATATTTGCTTGACTGACACTCGCATCGTGCAGCGTCCTGGCAATCTCTCCCGCTGAAGCTCTTAACTGAAACGGTCGACTGGGTTCAACAGTCCTTGTCCAAGCAACAAACCTTTCCGCATACAGCAGATTCGCATCAGCGGGGATGCTACCCAACCAAGCTCATGATAGCAACCACCTCGGACTCACGACATTTTGTCTCCGGCCTAAGACTCCGGTGACGGGCAACTGTCATCATGGCCTGGGTAAAGACCCCCAGGCCTCCCCATTCTTGGCTTTGCCAAGGTAGCGCTCATTCGAGCACCCGAAGGCTTGTTCGCTCTAAGACAGCTGGTGTGCTCAGGGTACCCGTCAAACTTTTGCTCCTACAATGTCGGGCACAAGAACGGTACCGTGGCCCGCTCCAACCTGTCTCCATCGCTCGATTCCCATGAGTCTTCCATGACAAATCGCCGCTCTGGCCTTCGTTCCGGCATCCGGGTTACAGATTTCTCATGACTGAACCGCACCGTGGTCTCGGAAACAACTCAACCCAGCAGGTCGCAGTTCGGATGGGATGTGAACACTAGGTTGCCTACCGCCTTCGCTGCCGTTTCTTAGGACACGCAACACTGTGGATTCGTCCACAGGGTGTACCTCTTCGCTTTGACCGCACGGTTGTACTGATGTCCACTTGGCAGCTCATAGCGAACCCATGGCTTGGCATTTCGTTTGAGGAAGGCTTCCAGACTTCGAGTCGTTCCAAATCGGTGCACTCAAGACAGCTCGGGGGGTTTGCCCCCATGCCGATTCATGCAGCAGCCTGTCAGAGACGACTGGGGCTTGCAGCAGCCGCACTGACTTCTAGAAAAGCGAAGAGGCCAAAAGATATCCCAACGTTTCGACAGTTTTCCTCCGAAACGGGAACAAGGACGATTCGTGACTAACGCTCTACACGCTCTACCGAGCTGGGTAACCGCATCTTCATGGATACCGCTTGTCGAATTGACGACCAAGTTGTCACAGCCGCCTCCCTGCATGCATACCATCCGAATTCGGGCCGGGAGTGGCCAGAATCTCTGTTCATCGGCTCCCATCTGCGGCTCCCGATCTGCAGGATTCCACACATCAATTGACCCTGGTATGTGTTTGCCTCTGCTTGTGTGATTTGGAATATGGAAAGGCGCTGTGCCGCCTCGCACAACTTCCTGATGGCCCACCCTAAGCTAACTGGAATCCTCGCAGCCACACGCCCGATTGGGAACTTAGTCGCATCTCTCCACGGGATCTGCACGTCACTGATTGAGAGAACCGCTCATCTCAAGATAACCCCGCCTGTGCGCCGGCCTGCTTGATATTTCCCTGGCCTGATACGCCATCAAGTTCCGTCCATCCGGCGTCCTTACAGCACAGATCGACTTGTGCTACGATACTGTCCCCATCTCCACCCCATCTTGATCTTGGGCTCCACAACATGGCCAACCATGCAGTGCCGTGGGCGGGCATTCGGTCCCTGAGGGTAATTGCACCGTGTCACAGGCTGCCCATCACCACAACGCGGCGGGACCTGGTGGCTGCGAGTGTTGGCAATGGCAGCCAAGCTGCAAGAAATCCGGGAATTGTTTGATGGAGAGAAAGTTGCTAACTTTGCGAGCTGGAAGCCTCGCGGAGCGGGATTCATGTGAACAGTAAACCCCCGTTTGCTATGTGGACGCCTCTTCCCGTCCCAGGTAGAGTGTTTCGCAAAGGTGGAGCTGCCGGCCCGGGGACGTGGCCGTCACGAATGGGGCCGGATTCGGTACCACGACGGCGACTTCCATGGATCTCGCCGTCAGTGGAGAAGCAACGCTATCCAATGACGGTCCTCAGGGCTGGACGCAAGCGCTGGACGACGGTGGGAGGAAAAAGTCAGAACGGGCCTCTATCCGCTCTTTGACCGGGTTATAAGGGGCACGTTATAGCCAAGCTGGACACATTCCAGCGCCGTTGGCAAGAGGGGGTTGTACAGTACAGTGCGTGATCTTGCTTCCTCCAATAGGCGGAGCAGGATACTTGATCCTGGACGCTGGATCACGCGCGGTCTTGTTTTCTTGCTCAGAGGATACGAGCCGGGCCAGAGGGAGGGTCGGCTATCATGCTGAAGGATGCTCAGACTGCAGGCGTCCCCTATCGGCTCGTTCGGGAAGGGTGCAGCGGCAGCCTGCCACATTTGCTGCGTACTAGTTGCCGAGTGTGGCTTTTTGAAGAACGGCCGTGAGATGGGGTCCTTGTCTGAGGAGGTGCGTGAGCATCATCGAAGCGCAAGCTTGGCTCTTTTCCCAGCTGGGGACTGCCGGCATCCACCGCTGACTGCGCAGAAGAACCAACAACTACATGTCTCGCGGAATTGGGAAGAGGGGTACAGAGTCTGACTGCATGGGACACCGTGCTGGCATCGGGACTGCCGCCTCCCTGCTGCCCGCGGTTCCGTACTGAGGTCAACGAGTCCCAACGAGTGCAGCTTTTGGCCCACAACGGAGGCTCCAGGGCCTTCTTCCACCACCAACTCAGCTTACCCCAGACAAAGAGCCGCACTTCGGAGATCTTGATCCCAAACCAGCAGGCTGGACAATCCCACGTTGCGTTCCACTGGACTGCACTCTCGGTTGCGGGCCGCGCGGGCTCTCAGCCCCCGACAAGGGCAGGCTTGTTGACGGCTCGTAAGTACCGGGAAAGACCGTCAGGTGGGTGCGTGATCCTTGGGGGCATGCTCGTGGTTATTAGCCCGTTTGCAAGGACGTGAATCTGAAATGTGGCACCGCTGCTCAACCTTCAGACGAGCCGTACAACGCATCCAGGCATCCTCACGGCGTCGTGCAAGAGTGGAGGGGTTTCCAGGCTCCGGGGAGTTCGGAGGCGGCTATGTTTCCTAGGATGCGTGGTAACTCTGACTGTTCTTGCAAAGGCTATTAACAGCAGGGAAGTGTCTCTTGTGTAAAAGTCCTGGGATGGACATCGAGACTGTGACCCAGCCTGAGCGTTTCAGCGTCACCATTCATGTTTGGCCATGAACTCTTCCACTCCTTCTTACGTTTCCCTTTTGTCATTTGGAGTATCCATCTGTTCTCAACCGTTTCTTTCTATTCTCAAGGCATTTCTAACTTCAGTATTGCCTCTCTCTCTAGCTTCCTTTGTGTTTCACTACTTTCATATCTTCATTCCCCATTTTGTTATCATTTTTCACATTTCTGGCCCCTTCAATGGGCGATCGTTCTTAACCCTGATGTCTGAGACCGGCAGAATCCTTCTAGAACACGTCATTAGATGATCGCCGACGCCAAGTTCGACGATCTGGTAGGCACACGAGACACTTCTGCCAGATCTCGATTCAGATGCAAAAGTCTGAGCGTCAAAGAGATAATAAGCACAGATTTTGCAGATTTGCGGTACATAACCGGTATGTGGCCCTTCGTTGGTGCCGCGCCACCCCCTGCGGGCTCTGCATCTCCCGCGTCCCGAGCCGGGAAGACGTGCAGGGAAATAATCTTTCTACCTGGAAAGATGGGACGAGCGGGGGCTGGATCGCCACAGGTTGCATACCTGCTGTCTCATCCCCTTCAAGCTGGATGGGCCATGTGGTCGTATCCTCTTGGGTAGGTAGCTTGCGAGGTTCGGATGTACGCTTACGCAGCAGCACGACATGCTTCGCACGGGACATTTCCATATCCGTTACACTTCGTTGCCCGGCCATCGCCGTTTACCAGGTACTGATCCCGAGCTGCATGCACCAGTTCGACGAACAAATGCTAACTACGTACCCTGTAAAGACGCGAGGAGTCTGTGGCTCTTTCGGCATTGACGACGATGATGGAAATTGACTGGGAACCTGAATCAGGCTGGGGCGTGGCTTGTTGGGCGACCTACTAATTCCGCTGATATGAATGGCGTGAGGGGGTGAGACGTTGGTTTCTGCTGTCGTCGTTGGCGGTGATGGTTTGGGCTTAGTGCTGCTACGACGAAGCTTACGGAGCATGATCCCGACGCGAGATAGTTGGTGACGCACGGCGTTGTAGGAAGAAAAGAAGTGATTTGAAGGAGAGCCGACTGTGATGCTGTGTTCAACTGGGTGTAATACCCTGCAGAGGTGGTGCATTTGGTTCGAACTCGCAGCAGCGTTACGGAACTTGAACGCACATGGGCCTTTGCTCCTTTTCGCTCGGCTCTTGAACTCAACCAACTGCCCTTTTCAGTTTCCCACTCCTATATCACACCGCCCCTAATCACGGTGGGTTGTTTGTTGCCTTCAATTGAAGCATGTCACGCTGCTTGACCATGCCTATTCGAGCCAGTAACCTATGTCACGATAGTACACAGTCGAAGGTTGAAAATCAACAGACTGAAGGTCTTGAGTCTCTATCAAGGAACCGGCTTAAACTGAGTCAATGACCGCCAGGAAATTTTGTATCTCGTTTCTCAACATAGCCATAGCCTCCATCAACTAGCCAATCCAACGCTGTTCAGATGGCCGACGCTGTCAGAGAAGAAGAATGCTAAGTGTGGAAGTAGAAGCAAAGACAAAACCAACCAACGCTGGGGGTAGTCAAAGTAAAGTACTCAAATTCGAAGCGAAGAACACCCAAAAACAAACAACAGAAAAGTCCAATCCACATCATTCCCATTCACACCATTGCCAGCCCCATTCCCAGGTCTTGACCCAACTAGACAAGTAACAGTTGACCGCTCTCCAAAACGCCATGCTCACAATCGCAGAACCCCAGCCAAATTCTTAATCTCGATCTTTTTGTAGAGAGCAAAGACAGAAAACAGAAGACCAAGAAGGACTTTGCAGCGTCCAAATCCCACCCACCCATCGGTAATAGTAAGCCAAATAAGAGAGAGTCGCCAGAGTAGAACAAGTCATATGTGTCTGTCGGAGGCCCAAAATTCGTTCATGCATCGAAGTAAACATGGAGAAAAAAGCCCCTCCTCAACGCGCCGCGGCAGGGGGCAATGGTCGTGGTATCGTCCAACGGATGCTCATGTAGTCACTCAAAGTCAGTCAGTCAGGTCGGTTCGAGCACAGCTGCATGTTCGAGTCACGAATCCGCCAGCTTGGCAAAATGTTTCGACCAAATCCACCCGACCACATCGCGCGGGTCGTCTTGGTTTTTGGCCAGCCAGAGCTCGCCCTTTTCGGCAATGACATCGAAGATCTGTACCCCAACCATCAGCAAAAAAAGAACAAACCTCACGAATGGCAGACTAGGCGTGGTGCCGAACTCACCTCTCCCGCCTGATACGTCAAATAAGGATACCCGGCCTCATGCTTGGTCGTCTCGATATTGAACTCAAACAGCGACGCCGCGAGCCAGAGCACCTTGTACCCTCCCCGTGCATTTCCTCCCCGATCCCTCGACGACGCCCTCGACGACCGCGCGCTCTCCTCCGGCCCGTCCGGCAGCGGCAGGGCCGAGTTGAACAAACCCGACAGCCGCCTGGCGTGCTGCTCAGGACCGGCAGTCGTGCTGCCCGCGCCGGGACCACCCGGGTAACTCGAGTTGAACGTCGAGTTGGAGTCGCGTCGGTTGGTCGCCGACGACAGGGCGGCGGCAGCGGCGGATTCGGAGCTCTGTCTGGGTAGGCTGGCCGAGTCGAAGCTGCGGCCCGTGCTGGGGCGGATGGACGGCGGCGGGCGGGCGGTGCTTGTGGTATCGGCCGGTGTGACGGGCGAGCCAGGGCTGCCGCGGACGTGGCCGTTGATGCCGGAGTAGTAGTCGCGGTAGTAGGTGGCAGGGCTGGGAAGAGCGCTGCTCGCGGGGGACAGGCTGAACTGCCCGCTGTTGCGCTTGGCAAAGTCGGGCGTAGGCAGGGTCGGAACGTGGTCGCTGTTGATCGACAGGCCCCGCCCGCGCGGGGAGAATAGATCGCTCGGTCGCGATAGCGTCTTGGAAAGGATCGAGGAAGCATCGTCGGTGGTTGACTGCGACGTTCTGCCTTTGGCAGTATGGTTAACGATCCCGAGAGCGCGCGTCCGCTCCTCCTGCAGTGAAAACTCCCTCTGGAAGCTGGACACGATCTCGGAGAGTTCGGGAACATGAGTGACGTCGGAGAGCGGTGCCTTGACCTTTTCCTTCCAGATTGCAAACCAAGTTGCCTGGATGCTGATGAACTTGCCGAGACAAATGTTGCCGATCTTGGCCGTCATGGCCGAAAGCTTCGGGAGCTCCTTCTTGAGTGTGTCATTGAGGGCCTCGTACTGCTCGACCAACTCGGCCAGTTGCTTGTCCACTTTCTTGCCGTTGGCCTTCAGGGCCATGTACTTTTCGTAGTCGAGACGCCGCTTGGCTCGCTTTTTCATGGCCAGCGAAGGATTATTGTAGCACCTGATGACCTGCTCAAATGGTTCAATGACATGTTTCCGAACATCGGCCAACTGGCGATTGTTAGCGAAACATCTGGTCAGAAGCAGTGTGGCAGCGCTTACGTGTCTCTCCAATACAATCTTCTCAATATCCCTCATCGACACGTTGAACTGCACCCATTTACTCTCCAAGTGAGCATAGTCTCGAGACGGCTGGAGGCGCATGACAAGCTCCATCGACGACAGATACTGAAGGAATTCATGGACATACGTCGCAACGTTCCTTGTGTAGTACTCGACATCGCGCAGTACGACTTGCAGTCGCAGGTAATCGTCCCCAAACTGCTGCTGGAGCTTCTGGTACTCCTCGTCTTCGGCCGTCTTGTTGACCGATACTGCAATCTTGTCGACACGCTTGCCGAACGCTCTTGCCAGGCCGGCTCTGACATCCGACTCTTTGCGCTTCCGGTTGCTGACGATCTGGCCGACCAGTTCGAAATTCTTCTTAGTCTTGTTAATCTCATCGATCGCATCAATGACAGCCGTCCTCGCGCCGATGAGCGCTTCGCGGTCCGGGTGGTCCTCAGGGGTGTACTTGAGCAGGTGCGTGATGATATCGGGATACTTGGTGATGCGTTGCATGGGCTTGATGAGGAGCGAATCCAGATTCCAAGCAGTCGTCAGCTCCTTGGCCACTTGATTGCATTCATTCAGCCAAACCATGACGGTCTCGTCTTCCTGAATCTGCACAAGCCGCTTGGAGGAGCTGTCGCTGGACCTCAGATACACCTCGTGCACCGCCTTGAGCTGCTCGATATTTTTGGAAAACACAGAGCCAAGGGCAGTGAGGCGGTCCTTCTCGTCGGCTCGTTCCGGTCTGGCTGTGGACACGACCGAATTCAGGGTCGCCGTGTCAGAGTCCTTTGCATCCGGGGTAGGAAGGGGCGACCGCCTGCCCTTCGGAGTGTAGACGGTCGATGCTCCTTCCTTGAACTCGATGAGCAGAGCGGCGTGAAAAGCGATGATCTCGTCCGTGTTCCTGAATATCAGCTTGATCGTCTTGCTATCCAGGTTCGGACACGCCTCGGCAGTGCCCTTGTAGATTTCCTCGACGACAGTCATGTCGCGGACAAAGGCATCCTCCGTGTCGATCAGCTCTCGAATGACCAGCTGCCTCTGCCGAAGCCTTTTAACCTCTTCTTGCTCCTTCTCCGTCAGCGGCGCTTGTCCCTCATAAAGCGTCTCGCTGAGGGAAACCTGGGATTGCTCCTGGTCATGGCGCAGCTGCGAAACAAGTGGAGGTGATGACACATCTCCTGGCAAGTCGGCCTGCCCATCGTGGCTGTATGCATAGCTGTCTGGCCGACTCTCTGCGAGGTACAGAGTGCTGCTGTCTCGCTCGTATTCGCGCTCCGATGTGGGTTGGTGAGGAGGATCACGGTTTGGCGGCAATGCTATCCCTCCCGATTCCGAGTCGCTGTGCGGTGTGAAAGATTCCCCAGATGCGAGGTCGGAAAGGTGTTGCTGGCTACCGGGCAGTTCTGGCAGCACAGGGGAAGGGACAGCGGATTTGTCCAGCGGCGAGATCTCCGGGCTGTGCGTGGGCTCTCCCAAGCTCGAAGCGCAAGTACTGAGATCGCCTGTGGAAGGGTTGACTCTGAAAGACGCGCCGTCGTCGTGATTGTCGGCTTCATGAGAGTGCGAGCCGGAACTTGGCTGGCCAGCGTCACGGTATTCACTTTCGAGCGAGAAGTCGGTCCACGCGGAGTGTTGGCTCAACCTGCTCCCGGGTGCCAGAAGTCCAGGCACAGCCAATTTATGTGACGTGTCCGGGGTCCTCTGGTAGGCCACTGAGGGCGCATGGCCATCTGCAGTTGTCTCGGGATCGGAACCGAAGGCCGAATCGCGCAAGACCGCAATGGTATCGTGCAGGCGCGACCCGATATAGAAATCTTCAACGCGGTCAAAATCCTCGAGCTCAACCTGGGGTTCTCGGGCATCTCCTAAACTCCTGAGATCAGAGGCAACAATGTCAGGGCAACTAGCGATGGCAGGCTCATCTGCTTGAGGCAGGTCGGACCGTGGTGTGGTTGCACGAGGCAGCTCCGTGTGCAACGGCCTGAAATCGTCCACCGGACCCAAAATTGTGACGGTGGTTTCGTAATTTCCAGGGACAGTGTACGGCCGGGGTACATACTCGTCGTCTTCGGCCGGAGAGGGAGGAATGGGGAGCGGTTCGGCTTGGCGCTCGGGTTCATGTTCGGGTTCGGGCCTGGAGGTTGAGCGAGTCGGTGTAAGCTCGGGAGAAGGATGCGGCTCTAGAACCGATGTGTCAAGAGAGATCTTGATAGAACCGCTGTCGTCGTCAGGGACCTCGTTACCGGACGGGCATTGATATGAGGCTCTTTCATGAAGGACTCGGGGGGCAGGTCGTTCCGAGAGCTGCTGCTTGAGGACTTCCGCTTCCTGCAGAACCAGCGCCATATTCGGCATGCCCACTTCCAGGGTATTGTCGATGGGCGTCGTGCTCTCCTGTCTCGGAGGCTCAGTCTGCACCTCGGCGTCAAACTCGGTAACCGCGCTCGTCATGGAGATGGCAGAGAGCGGTATGTGGCCATGCTCCAAGGGGAAGCTGCCTGGTATCTCTAATTTCAGGGCTTCTGTCGGAGCGCAGAATTCTTCGGCCGGGGGTTGGGGCGTAGATGAGGCTATCACATTCTCCCCTGGCTCTTCCTCCGTCACGGGTTCTTCCTGTTCAAGACTTGTCTCCGAGAGCCGACAACCACTGGGAGCGCATCTCTTTGGAAGGACCGGAGCGGCAGCGGCTGCTGCTGCCGCTGCATTCGCAAGGGCCGCCATGGCAACCGCTTCGGCCTCAACTTTAGCTTTGGCCACTGCTGCCAGCTCCTTCTTTCTCCTCTCGGCCGCCGCCTGCCGTGCTTCTCTCGCCTGGCTCTCGCGGATGGATTTGCTGTACGCAAGTTTAATGGTTTCTCGCCGTTGAGCGAAATCTATTGCGCCCACTGACGGCTTGCGCCTCCGAGGGGTCGATTCGTCCGTCTTTGGGGCTGAGCGTGGTGGTTGCCTCAAGGCCGAAGTCCCCCTCTCCACGGCTCGCATTCTTGACGCGGCCGTCGTAGCAGCGGCAACCGACTGCCGGGGTCGTGAACTCCGTAAAGTCGGAGAGAGCTTGGGCGGCGGCACAGACACGTAGGCATTGAGCCGGCTGCTAGGTCGGCTGGCCGGCCTAGTTGTTATCTTGGACGGTGGAGGCTTTCGAGAAGAGCTGGGGATGTTGCTTGACGTCTCTGACTGGCCGGCAGGAATCCTCGTAGGAGTCCTCGCGCGTGAAGAAGACGAGACATGCTGCCTAGAGGACCTCCCGCTCGCAGTGGAGTGTTTGAGGGTGGAGGGAGAGTTTGACCGCGTTGATACGGGGCTGGCATGGGCCGAGGCGTCGTGCATCCTCCTGGTCAGCCTCGGTAGCCGTGAGGTAGGGGAAGTTGGCGACGTGGGTGATATAGGGGAGTCGACGTCGTGCTTGGTTGCGACATGATCCAAATGACTCAGGGTCGGTTTCGAGCCGGCGAGGTCACTGTGGGCCCGGAAATGTTGGGTCTTTGGGATCCTAGACACATGGTGATCGATAGTCGGTTGCCCAGCCACGTCTGCGGCGCGGTACCAGTCGGTGGGAGACGGAGGTTCCATTTCCGGATCCGAGAAAGATCTCATCATCTGTGGCCGGACAAGGTTGATGACACTGGATTCGGAAGTCCTTCTCGGCCGGGCCGTCGTCTCAATGCCAAACCCTGGTGTAACCGAGTCGCCCTGCTCGGGGAGTATCTCGCCAAAAAGCAGGCCATTTTGGCGCGGTGGAACAGCCCGGGAGCTTGGTGGCTCGTCCCCCACATCCAAGGCGAGCTGTGTGAAGGATTTGGACGGCTGTGCATTGGTAGTGACGGCGGTGCGAGGCTTGGATATCCTGCTCGCGAAGGACTGTGGACTGCCGGACATCTGGTCCCCTGTAACCAACTTAACTCGCTGTACACCGGTCCGAGAGGCGGAGGTTTTAACCGTGTCGCGCCCCGTGTCTCGTGTCGCTGTTGTCCTTGGTACGCCTTGCGAGGTTGCACCGCTTCCCACGCCGAGCGATCTTCCATTGACGTTACTTGAGGCCGTGTCTCGGGTTGATGTTCTCGGGATGGCTTTTCGGGCGGAAGAGGCCGATTGAGATGCGGACAGGTCGAATTTCTTCTTGAGATCGCGCACGCTAGACCCAGTCCCCGCTGTCACGGACGGCCTCCCGCCCCCACTGCCCGAGCTTCCCAATCGGTTGTCGACAGGGTTCGAGGCGGAACGCTGGCTTGGACGGAGCGCGTTGCGGTGTGTTGCTGGGACGGCGGGGTGCTTGGGGGTGGTCCCATTCCCGTTTGACCGCAACGACGGCCGTTCCCGGGCGGTGCTGGTCGATACAGCCATGGCCACGGGATCCTTTTTCACCGGCGGTGTGGCATTCCCACTGGTGTCCGTCGTATGTGGCACGCTTCGGTAGCTGCGGTAAAAATCGGCCGGGTCTACAGAGTCGTCGGCGGACTGAGTGGATTGGGTGGTAGCGAGAGCATCAGCGGAAAAGGCGTGCAGATTTGCCGCGGCGTACGGGTTGACGGGGATCTGCGGGCTTGGACGGTCGTGGATGTGGTCGTGGTCGTGGTCGACATAGTGCGGCGATTGTTGATGCTGGTTGTTGGCAAGGCGATGGTCGAGGAACGGGCCGGAGCGCGAAACGGGCTCATCTGGAAGACTGCCATGGTCCATGGTGTCGTGGTCGTGTTCGTCCCTCCTCCCATCACTCCTCGCTTCTGGCTCTGGGTCGGCTCCTGTCGGGGCTGGCTGTGGCAACCGCTACGGTGATATGCCAGGATGTGCGAATTCCAGATATCATCGATGTTCCATGTGGGACAAGGGGGGTGTGGGGGAAGTTCCTCGGGTGCGTGGTGTGTCTGTGTGTTTGGTGGGTTGTCGAGGCTTGTCGATGTTGATGCGCTGGCAAGCACGAGTATTGGCTGGGTTTGGCTGGCTACATGCTGTAAGAAGCAACTGGAGAGCCCGGGCGAAAAAACCACTGTAAGCCTGAGAATGGGAGTTCTCGGCACCACACTGGAAGCCGGGCATTTGGCCGGATCCACTCCAACCGCCAAGATAAACCCCCTTCAGGCTCAGGATCACGCAGCCTTGCCTCGCTAAGGGAGTCGTCGTGATTAAACAGACCAATGAGTTCACTATGACATTAGTTTCTTTTTGAGAGTAACACTGCATCCCGCGATCCTCGGCCCTCTCTCCTTTTCTTTTTGTGGTAGGGTCGCATCTCCTGTGCCATCAAACGATGCTTGTGAGATGAGCTGCCCACTGTATCTGGACGTCTGTGAAAGCTTGTGGCACCTGGACACCATTCCCTGCGTGGGCGGTTGCAGCAGAATGCGGCACACCGGAGTTACACGCAAAGTGGAGAAGCAGCTTGGGGGAAGTTTGGAGGATCAAGAAGCGGGTCCGAATCTCGATGTTCAACTTCGTTGCCCATCATGATGACGGGAGGCAAGTGCCCGATGCATGAGCCTGCTTGATGAAAAGATGGGCCGATGCTCCTTGTCACGCCCTTCACTCTTCTTTCCTTTCTTTTGCTTGTCTTGTTCGCTTTCGTTCAGATAACAGAACCAATTGCTCGCTCAACTTCAGATTATTCTGGATGCTCGAACAACTGCAGCCGGTCACTGCATAGTAATACAGAGATGCAGAGACTGCAGCAGCCTGCCCTGACATGCCCAAAGGGGCCTCCATCGGTTGTTCAAAGAGCATGGAATCTGCGTTTTCAGCTTGGAAAGTGTGAAGAGCTCTTCTTTCTCGTTTGGGCGGCTAAGGTATCCGTAGATGGTTTCATGTTGTCGAATGGGCGGGTTGTTGGGTCGAACGGAGCCACGAAGCTCGACTCTGTGTGGCTGCCCAATGTGGTGTTTCGTAGACTAAGGCTCCTGCCAAGTGCGATTGAACAAACGATTCCAGATTCCCGCTGCGCCTCTATTGCTGCTCCGAGAGTCGGGAAGCCAACACGCACATCTGCAGTGCTGCACCTGCCAAATCGCGGTCGGGCAGCGTAATCGTAGAACCATTTCGCGGCTATCAGCCATCCTAATCATCCCCGGCCTGCGTCTGTTAGCCTAGCACATGGCAAGCCTACACAAGACATATCTCTTAGGTTAATTTGTGGATCTTAATTATGAATGAGAGTAGACAATTAGAAAAAAAAAAGATATGCTATATAGAAAAGGCTCTCCCTACCAAACGTTTTACCACACCGCCTATTTAGCTTACTAGCTATAGGAGGGTTCTCAACTAAGTAGAACTACTGTGGATTTAAGGCAGTGAGGCAAGACTTTTAAAAGGAACCTCCGTATATAAGGTAGATCAAGATGATAATCGAAAGAAAGTTCATAAAAGGAAAATTAGGGAATTATAGGAATATAACGTTAACGTACATTACAAGCGAACGGCGCATAGAGGTGAGTGGCGCACTGATAAGGGCCAGTATGGAAATCTGGGCACAACACTAACAGCGGGATTAATCTGGGAATAAGCTGTTAGTGTTGTGCCCAGATTTCCATACTAGCCCTTATCAGTGCGCCACTCGCCTATATGCGCCGCTCGCTTATAATGTACGTTAACTATATTAAGATAAAAAATAATCTTAAATGTGACGGAATGTGATGTAAAGCGCACCCTTGTGTTGGAAAGCCAACAGCTGTTGGGCAGCCAACAATTACATGCTCGAGTAAGCTTAGACGAACCAAGTGGTATTGAATAGATTGAGGTATGAAATGAAGCTTGAATTGGAGTCACGATTCCAGAGTGACCATACAAATGAAGGATCAAGATAGTGGGTTAGGGTGCCTCAGAATGTCCCTTTTCCTTTTAAAAAAAATTGTCCTCTCTAATCCTCCCAGGGGAATTACCCCCTTATATAGAGACAGTGTGCCATGATATGACGTTTATGTCAGGAACTGCTTCATAATGATAAGCCCATCTTGACCGAGAGTCTCCAAGTCCGTCAACCAGCCGTCATTGTGATGGATCTGTGTTGACTGAGAGTCTCGCATTGAACATCAGTGCTCAGTCCGTGAATCTTGGTGCCAAGGCACCCACTCAGTTCAACAACAGCCACAATTCCACGGTGACACACCATATGAGCCGTTAAAAGAGTGAACTTTTCGAGTGCTTAGGACCAGCCCAGAATCTGTCGATTGAGTTCTCTTCGTCTCCTCAAGTTATCTGGGTACCTTGCAGACCTTATGTAACAGCTGTGTATTACCCCTGACTAGAGTACGACACCGGCAACCCAGTTCCCGTGTTTCAAGTGCCATCACTTCTAACACCTTGACTCATGCTCTCTTCGGTGGTTCATAGGTGGGTGGCCTGTGCGACCACTTATTCTTCACGTGTCGCAGACACGTATCTTATGTACTTCTCTTCCTTTCTCTAGCTATTGATTAGTGAAATTGAGTCGGCATTTACTATTGCTAGTGCCTTATCTTAATGCTACTTATTTCTTACTTTAAAGAGAAGTTAAAATTTCACTAACTATATTAAAAGAGGAGGGTATTATAGTATATTATTAGTAGCACTATACTAGAAAAACCTATCTCATTATATATAACGTGATCCACCATTGACTCGGACACCCCATTGACTCGGACACCCCATTGACTCGGACACCCCATTGACTCGGACACATTTTCCCCCACCATAACCACCCAACGTCAACACGCGTTTTCTCTACCACAACAATGTCCGACAGCTGCCAAGAAAACCGAGTTCTTCTCGCGATCAATGCGATTCGATCAACACCGCGCTTGAGTATCCGACGCGCCGCAGAGATATACAATGTCCCCAAGTCGACAATTGCAGATAGAATGAAGGGAAAGATCGCGAAGTCCGACAGCTATCACGGCCGTTCGAATTTGACGAAGATCGAAGAGGAGGCGATTGTTCAAT